AAAAAAAAAAAAAACAGATGAGCAGCAGTTACTTTGGCATCAAGTAGAAATCAGCAAAAAATCAACCCCCTTATACACCCGTGGGCTATATGTAGAAAAGTATTGCCCTCCGTCTCGCCCAATAAAGCAAAGAGAAAAATAAAAAGCAAAAAGAATCCAGAAGCGAAGATGGCCCTAAAGAAATACACAAGAAAAGGAAATAGGAAGAAGGAAAACAAACAGGAGATATCGAAGCCGATATCGATCAACACAAAAAAGAAAAGGTCATTACATCGTCATATGAATCTTTCCTTGGATGGATGAGTTGCCTCCCAAAGCCAGAAAAAATAAGACAGAAGAAACACGCGGGCAAATCCGTAATGAAACGGTCAAACAAACAACCCAACCTTGACTGATATATGTAGATAAAAAAGAGAACAAAAATCGACAGAGAACTTTCATTTGGCTCTTTAATTGTCGGTTCCAACGCCCTTCTTTTTTGGCTGAATATGTTTCGTCCCGCCGGCACCACCGTTGCCTTTTTGATTCAAGGCCGTGCTGTCGCTTGGGGGAGCCATTCTTGTGGCGGATGCATCGTGTTTCTCGGTCAGGAGGTTCTTCAACCACCTGTTCTCCATCTCCAGTTGGGCCACGCGGGCTTCGAGGGTGGCGTTCTTCTCCGTCGTCTCGCGAACGGTTTTTTCAAGAACCTGTTCGCGTTGCTTCTTCTTCATGCGGAACCGGGCACTGGCGGCCGTGTTCCGTCGTCGCCGATCTTCTTCGGCGGCGACCCGGACATGCTCTTCTTGGCCTAGAGCGGAGGCGATGTGATCCCCAGAAATCTGGGTGCTGTATTTGGTGTTGCCAATCTGGCCGTTGGGTGGTGAGATCGAGGATGAGACATCCGACGGCGTAAGTGCGCCCGGTGCATGACCGTATTCATCGGCCGGGTAAGGGATAGGAGGATATACTGAGTGTGCGGGATATGACAGCATTTGGTCGGGTAGTGAGTAGTTGATAGACTTGTCTCCTCCGGTTGCAGCTAGAGGACAAGTAAGTAATTGAAGAGATATGTGAGCCCCGAAATATTCGAGGCCGAAATGATCAAAAGGTAAGATGGAAAAGGCAGGAACATAACGAGAATAAAAAAAAAAAAACAAAAGCTTCACTGCTCTTCAGGGAGAAAGGAACACAATATAGACAGGTGATCCAGGGAAGAAGCGCGGATAAGCGATGGGCAACTGGAGGGTTGCAGACGTTGTCATTGGGGTACAGGATTGCGTGCTCCCTAGCGCTGTACCAAAAAGCTCCTTCAAGACCAGGATGAGATCATCCACCAAAAAGGCGAAAAATGATGGAAATGACACAAGACACTGGGGATTTCGCTGAAAGGGGGTAGCCCAGCTTTGCAGCTTCACAGGTTGCTGAGGAAATCGCAGCCACCACGATCCAGGAATCGGGGGGATCACGAAAATGGGCAAACAAGGGGGTGGGTGCAACCGTATGCAGTAAGAGAGAAAAAAAGGAAATAAATATGACAGCCAACAAAGATTGGATTAGATTGCAAGAGATGAACCAGAAATTGCAAATGAGAAGCTTCTTCCCCGGAAAGCACAAGACAGCTTCTGTCCCCGTGAGATGCGAACAGCTCAGCCTGTGCATATGCAATCTGCATATGACCAGCGGCAGAAAACGAACCAGAAGACAAGGAAATGGCGCAAATAACGCATCATTGAGAGTCATAGAAGAGAAAAATAAAAAGATCAGACTTACCATGATACGGATATCCTCTGATATCGATGGGACTGCGCTCATCCTCAATGCTATCGTACGAACTGACGGACAGGCCGCCCATGCCCTCAGTTTGATCGTACTCCATGCTCACGTTGGCAAAAGGGGCCAAACCAGCAGAATCAGCGTCGAATGAATACTGTCGACTCTTGGCTATCGCAGGGTCGTGTCGAGAGAGAAGGAAGTTGAAGTTTTCCAACCGATCGATATTAGCAGCCGCCTGGCGAGAAAGCTGCTGCTGGCGCTGCTGCTGCTCGTCTGACATAATGGGCTTTTCCAAGAGGGGGAAGGGGGCAAAACGAGATATATTAGAAACAGATGCAGCCCGGGATTTTTCTTTTTTTCGATTTTTCTGCTCTGGCTTTTTTTTAAATTTTTTTTTTTTAGGGAAAGCAGCCGGGCAGTGTCGAGCCTATCGACAGGAAACGTCCAAGCCAAAGCGACTATCCAATTATTCCAGACCCCAGATCAGCTGAAGAGGGGAAAGTTCGGAAATAATACAGGCACACAGAGATTTAACAGGCCGAAGTTTGGATGACTTGTCTTAAGATATCTGTGCTGCAATCACCCCATCGAATTCGCATAGCGCGGGATTGGCCAGCCACGTACGCAAACAAAGTACGAAGGAAGAGATTGATGGGTGGGGGGGGAGGCAGAGTAGCAGTATCTAGACCTTGCCGGCAGGAGAAAGTGAGAAGGAAATGGGAATCACAGCATCAGGCTGGAATCGAGGCAGCGCAGGCGTTGGTGGTGATCGTCTCATGCCCGCTCGAGGCTAGTTGATGATCTGATAGAATGGAGAAATGTCGTGATCGCACGCTCTGGTTCGCCAGTCGCCGGCTCTGCAGGGAAGCGGTTCTCACCGCTTTGGGCCGAGGGACAATGGAGGGGCAATATAATTAAAATGGGAGGAGGGGAGGAAGAAAAGGAGATGGAATAATCGATGGTGATGATGGGCGTCGATTAGCAGACGACTCCAGTCACATATATCTGCTGTCGTTCAGAGCACAAGGCAAGAATCTCCGCCTGCGGAAAAGGGGAATAGGAGGGTGGGAAGTTCCACTGCAAGGCCAGGGAAGGGATCTCCACCGGGTACGGGAGAAGGGGAGTTGGAGTTTAAATGAAACGAGGGTCAAAGCCTCTCACAATAATAGATTTGGCTATAAAGTAGTCGGGCTTGCTTAATATAACTAGTCATGTCCAGTTCTCCTTCGCTTTATTTTCTTTATTTTTTTTATAAATCAAAATGACATGATCGAGCTCATTAGAAGTCCAGGATGAAGTCCGATTGTTCGGTGGAAAAGGCATGACGCGGATTGCCTCGGGGTTAGTCAAAATTACGGCCGATTACTTACCGTTACCGCTGCCAGGGCTGTCCGCCCAGCTTCCCAGTGGCCAGGATGCGAAAGCTTGGCGTTGCGGAAGTAAAACCGGCGTAAGGTGGCACCTTAAATCCGTACCTGGACAGCCATAGATACGTAACTGATATTCTTTTTCCTGCCCTCGTGGTTCCCCGCGCTCCACGGCGGGAAGCTCTGCAATGGTATGGTCACTTGGGAGAGTCAAGAGTCAACGTCCCAGCAGAACTGCTGGCCGATCAAATCCGGATCAGGTCACTACATACGTATGTCCAGCTATTCGAAACGGGGTACATATGTCATTCAAAAGTCCTTGGCTGGCCTAGGTTGAGCTAATCCACCAGTCGGGAGATTCACTCTTCACCTCCTCAAGCTGACTCGTCTTGTAGCAATCACTCTTCTTTCACGGCCTTCTTCCTCCGCACAATCGTCTCGGCTATCTCTTCCACCGTCTGGCCTTGACTCTTATCCGCTTTCCCAAGTTCCGTCTGCTCTGCGATGGTCCGGTACACCTCTGCGATGCTTCCATACACTCCCGCCCCAAGGCCGTCCCAATTGCCTTCACTATCGAACATCTCACCAATTCCCTGCATCTCTTCGACGAATCGGTACGCCTTGGGACCAGCTTCAGGCACGGATTTAGTCGCCCACGCGCTAATATGAGGGGCGTACTCTTTGAGGTGTTCAAGCAACTCGGGGAGAAGAGACTCCTTCTGGGCCGTTGAAAACGAAAAGATAGACAACGCTGTGAGTCCCTTCGTCAATGCCGCAACTGAGAGCTTCAACGTGGATGCAGCCCCGATCTGTGACGAAACAAGCTTCATATTCAGTATCTCCGATAGCCGGGGAAATGTAGAGGGGAGATCAACGCTGCCGGATACCACTAGACTGGGCTTCTTCCAGCTTCCGTCTTGTACATTGTGTGACGGAGGTGGCCCGATGATCCCACCATCTAGAAAGTGGCACAACGCAGACGGGCTCTCTGACGTGGGCGAACCATCGACGAAGACAGAACCCACTTCGGCCGATAGACGGGCGGGCGTAGCATTGAGGTCTAAATAGTACAGCTTGCGTCTCGTTGGCAGGCCGTCAATGTCTTCAATTCCTTGTCGCTTCGCTTCTGTGTCGGGAAGCTTGCATACTTCTGCAATTCGACGAGCTGTGGCTAGTGCATCTCTAGGGGGCACGATGGACAGTAGGTAGTCAGACTGGATTACCAGTTCCTGGTCCGATGATAGAGACTCTATTGATGCGGAACGAATCCGGGATAGAGTACGCTCACTTGGCTTTATTAGCTATGGATATAAAGACGGGTACTTTGTAGTACATACCTCCTCCCACTCCCTACCGTGAGAACCCGATAACCATGAGCTTTGAGGAGTATCGCAATCCCATACCCCATCTCCCCGATGGAGTGGATTCCCACCGAAACAGGACGCATGATAGATTCTCAAAGATGGGGTTTACTTTGTTCTGAACTCTAGTAGCTGGTCTCGAGCAACTGGTGAAAACAGTATGCCTGTCGATTTTAGTATCATCTAGCAGGCAATTTGGTGCGGGGTTTCTGAATAGCGATCAGACCATGCGGTGCCATTTGTCAGCAAGCATAATCCATCTAATCTCTGAAATAGCTTGTATAATCTAATATAATCTAATTTGCTCTTCATTGGAGATTGAAAGTAGCACAGAGGTAAGGTAATATTCCGCAGTGTCAGGCCTCTTGTCCTTGATGGGTCAGTTCTGTTTAATATTCCAGCAAAGAAGCAATAAATACAGCCAGCAAAAATAAAAGGAATCATAGAATAAATAATGCAATGTTCGATAATAATAAAACCCACATGGAGAAATACTCAATGCAATATATGTATCGGGATCAGCTGATGGCCTTAAAGATCAGGCAGATATGCCAATAAACAAGCAAGGGATGTTGACATAAAAAACAGAACACAGCATTCTTTTTCAATCTACCCTTCATAATCCGACCAAATGCTCGAAATAAATCAAGTCAATCTCCACGATAATGGCATCTGCCCCGTAAGGCCATGGAATTCCAAATGATGTAGTAATTGTCCGATAAATTCCAAGCGATGATCTTGGGGATTCCGCACAGCCAGTGTGGATATGTAAGTGCCCTGCACGGCCCATCATTCGATCCTGTGTAGTTGGATAGTTCGTCTAATCCGTCATAACCTGGCTTGGCCATATGTCACCGGGCCCAAGGATACTCGTATCGATAAAAATATGATCCCCAACTCATTCGTGCAGCATTATTCATGAATTTTCCCAAGACCAAATCCCGACAACCACCATCTCCGACAATCAATCCCCTCCCCCTTCCAACATTGCTGAGTTCGCAGTAACCCCACCATGATTCCAGAGCGATCTTGGTCCTGTTGGGCCATGGCAGTGACGATCTGCCTCGCTTCTGTGTTCCCAGTGTTATCGGCAGCGATTGAGAACCCATACGCGCATCTCGTTGCGGAACACGTCTCGGGCTCGCTCGACGTTGACTTGGGCTACGCCAGCTATCGAGGCTCCTACAACAGCACGACTGAGCTGAATTCTTGGCTTGGGTATACACTTCGCAATTGGCTTCCCCATTCCTGATTGAGCTGCGCTGACATGGTGTGTGTTGTGATATAGGGTCCGTTTCGCTGAAGCCCCCATCAACAAGCTCCGGTGGCAGAAGCCTGTCCCTCCCAAGTCAAAGTCAGACCGAAATGAACCGATCGAGGCCGATACTTATTCGAAAGCCTGTCCTCAAAGCCCTTTGGGCTCGATGTAAGCGATTAGTTCCCGGCAGATAAAATTATCATTATAGGCTAACTGTATATTACAGAGGTGACAACCCGTTCGAAGTCTCTTCAACGCAAAGCGAGGACTGCCTATTCCTCAACGTTTGGGCTCCGCGCAATGCAACTAACCTACCTGTTCTGGTTTGGATTCGTGAGTCGACATGATGCACCGTTATTGCGGGCTCTAATGTTCTCGTGATATAGACGGTGGTGGTTATGGAGAAGGGTCTACTAGTGGGTATCCAATGGAGTCTTTGGTAGACACGACCGGGCACAGGTTCATTGCGGTTTCTATCCAATATCGGGTAAGCCCTAGAATATCACTTGGGCCCAAGAAAACAATATACTAATCATCATAGCTTTCTGCTTTTGGTTTCCTTTCATCAGAGGAAGTGAAACAATCTGGAACTCCGAATGCCGGTTTGTATGATCAGCTTTTGGCTCTGCAGTGGGTGCAGCGGTACATCAAACTTTTCGGTGGTGATCCTTCAAATGTGACTATTTTCGGGGAGTCGGCCGGTAAGCCGAGATGAATACACGGGTGTAGATTTATGCTGATGTTCATAGGTGCTGGGTCGGTGATGCTTCTTTCCATGGCATACGGTGGCACGTTGGGCACATCCCTGTTCCAAAATGTAAGCACATGAATTTGCGATTCAGATAACTTAGGCTAATTTGCAATCAGCTCATCGCAGCAAGTCCGTATCTTCCGATGCAGCATGACTATGCCGGAGCTGTGCCCTCTAAGCTGTACCACGAGCTTGCTGCTTCGGCTGGGTGTATTGAGGACGTTGATGATAAGCCTGCAAACACGTCTATCTTTGAATGTTTGGTCGGTAAAGATACTGAAACTCTGCAAAATGCTAGTTACACCATCAGTGTCACAGGTAATTATGGACAATGGGCTTTTCTCCCAGTGACCGATCACAGTCTTATCCAGGAGTTACCTAGCGAGCAGCTCTTGAAGAAACAAGTCAATGGCAAGAGGATGCTTGTTGGGGTGAGTGCTCAAAGTTATGTTGAGAGGGTCAGAACTAAATCTCTGTAGAACAATGCTGATGAAGCCCCGCGGTTCACTCCACCAACCATCAACACACAAGATGACTTCGAGGGGTTCATTCGATATCTTTTCCCGCAGTTTAAGGAAGATGAAATTGAAAAAACACTGCTGCACTACCCATCTACAACTGATCCGGTGGACAAAAACGCAACTCGCTTTGCCACTACAGGGACCGGAGAGCCGACTGCGCTGAATATGAGTGCCTTTGCAAGTGGTCAACAGCAGAGGGCATTTGTAAGACACGCTATCATATTAACACGTTCTCATCATGCTGACATTTGTAGAATCTTTATTCAGAGGTCACCTTTGTCTGCCCGGCTTACTGGATGGCGGAAAGTTTTAGCGAGGAAAACAGGACAAGTCACTTTTACCAGTACTCGATTCTACCGACGGAGCATGGTGCCGATGTCAATGCCTATTTTGGCCCCCTTCCAGATACAATGTCGCCGGAGTTTCAAGTTGCCATGAGATGTAAGATAACACCGATATGCATAGCGCCTTGCTCAAAGAAGTGATGCTGACACGAATCAATTTTCAGCATTTTTAAACAGTTTCATCGTCACAGGTAATCCCGGGAAGCTCATAAACTCGACCATTTCCGACGAGGTTGCAAAGGTCTTGAAGGCATGGCCTGAGTATAGCCTCCGTGAGTCGACCCTTATGAATATGAATCAAACCGGTGGTCATCCAGTCGACATTTTTCTCCCAGACATTGGATCTGCTCCGCCATTTGAAGATATACCTGCTCGAGATTACAACGTCACTCTTTACAAGGGGTCAGATATGCAGCCCAAATTCAACCTGGCCGATGCGTATTCCTGGGAGGGCGGACGCGGAAAACGCTGTGACTTTTGGCGGAGTATGGGCTCTCTAGTACCAATGTAATAGCCTCATATGGGCCCTAAGACACCACACATCATGAAACAATCATAATATCGAGCGATAGAATGTTTAAATCTAGGGATAAACGATGGAGAAGTGAAGACCCATTTATGTACATCATCTCGGTCCCAACAACGCCGGCACGGAAGTTATCAGTGCCGACGTTCCGACAAGAAATATTCCCAATTAATAATGGGCATCTGCGGTTCGCAAAAGAAAACCCTTACTTTATCTCCATTTATTAGCTGCATTAAATCATAATACCGTCTATAACGGTAACTTAATCACTGTTCAAACGTGCCTGGATCTATATTAAGCAAAAGCACGCGTTCTGGTCCTCGTGGCGTTTTGGCGGACGTTGGATTTGCCTTTTGCGCCTGAAGTTTAGTGCCTCAGGTCTCCAGGCCCATCACCCACTTCACTCCATCTCCAAGTCTCGCTCTCTCACCCTCGCTCTTGGCCTCGCCTCGGTCTTCAACAACACAAAATAGACCCCCTTCTTCGATCCCATCACCATCCCATCTCATTAGGGTGCTTGGCATGGGCCGGTCTGCCGTTGGTGACCGCAGTACCGACTGCCTAGGCTAAGAGGGGAACAGAACAACCAAACCATGCAGCGTTCCACCGCATTTTCCCCGTGGGGGTCGCTGGACGGCCGCTCCATCGTACAGAAGAAAAATGCCAGATCGGACAACGGCTATGATGCAATGCCTCAAAGACGTAACCCACTGGTAAGATATTCATTGTTCCATCCTACAACTTTTTAAAAAAGAAACGGACATAGTAAACGTTAAACGTCTGTTTGTTTCCAATAGGCGTGCGAGATGTGTTATAAGAAAAAGATCAAGTGCGAGGTTGAAGGATCCAATCCAGCTTGTATCCAATGTTTGCGTCGGAATGTCAGATGCAAATTCACGACTAGGAAGGAAAAGAAAGAGAATACCAGAAGGTGGGTATAGAATGCTTTTTTATTATATTTCGTTGATGGTTGTTAACCGCATACCCCAGGACGCAATATATAAAGAACCTGGAAGAACGATTAAGACAGGCAGAGGCTGTGCTTAAAGCTGCTGGTATCTTGGATGACGAGATTCTTAGCCAAGGCGAACTGACTGATGATGACGACGAACTGTCAGAAAACGACAGCGAAGTTGAAGATGAGCAAGATGATGAGGATACTGACTATCCAGCAAACGGATCTTTCCGGAATGGGGGTATGTCAAGGTCATCAAGAACCCGGCCTCCCGGTCACTCAAGCCAAAACTCATGCGCTTCGTTGGATTCCAATGCCTCGTCTCGTAGGGATTCAATACCCGGTGACAGTGATATAGCACAGGTTCCGGTTTTGAAGCTTAATGATAAGGAGGACTCGAGATACTATGGTATGTTAAAATTTACTATTACCTCTTGTTAGAAGGGTGCTGACTCTCCAGGGCGATCATCCTTTTTGTCAATACTATCCAGGGAAGGTATCGAATGGATTAAAGACAAGACAGGCGATGTCAGTTTTCTCAGAATGCTATTCTCCGAGTCAGCGCATGATAGCCCATGGGATTACTGGAGACCCGATGTGTTTCATGACTTGTTTGCCTCCAAGGTTTTCAAACCATTACCACCCAGAGCAGAGGTCTTCACCCTCCTACGGGATTACTTTCGCACAGTGAACCGTTTGTTTCCAGTTTATCATGAAGAGTCATTCATGCAGCTGGTGGAATGGCAGTACACGCAACAGACATGCAATGATGCTGCCCGTTGGGCCAGTATCAACATCATACTGTCATTGGCGTACGAATACCGGTTTTCCAATAGTCTTAAGCCCGAAAAAGATAGGGAAAGGGCCTGGCTCTACTACAAGAACGCCATGTCAGTATATGCCGAATTAACCATGCGACGGACCGATCTCTTGAGCGTGCAGGCCCTTCTGGGTATGGCGCTCTTCCTTCGAGGAAACTCGGGTACTCAATCAGCACTGCCTATCGTGACGGCTGCCATCAGGTCCTGCCATAGGATGGGGCTTCATCGGAATATTCCAAGACCCTACCTCCCCGCTGTGGAGCAGGAGCAGAGGAAGAGAGTATTCTGGATCGCCTATATTATGGACCAGAGGTATAGTAGTTCTTTCTTTTGGCATATTCATTGAGCTAATCAATCCTCCCGTTGTAGTACATGTATCCGAGCAGGAAATGCCCCAGCTCAACATTCTGACGACTTTGACGTCGATCTTCCCACAGATAATACTGCTGATGGATGTCCAGTGGGAAACAACACATCCTTTTTCCGCCAGCTCTGCCGCCTTACGGTCATCAAGAGTCGGATATATGGCAAGTTGTATTCGGCCAAAGCTCTACACAATAAGTCTCCTGTGGATGTCATTGGAATCGTCGAGGAATTACACGCTGAACTCGAAGACTGGAGAGTTACCAGTCCCTTTGACAGTCATGTTAAACAGAAAGGAGCTGGTGAAGATTTTCTGCTGGGATTTGCATCAGTAGGCTTGCAGTTTGTATACTACAATTCGTTGATCATGATTCACCGCATGCCTCTCATTATCAACTTTGCCTATGCGACCCATGCTCAGCCCGGACTGGAGTGTCATTTTGATCCCAGGGTGCTTAATAGACAATCGTCTATTTCCAACGCGTACTGCGTTCAAGCGGCCAGGGACACATTGAGGCTTGTGAATAATATGCCTTGGGGAGATATTGCATGGATCTGGTGAGTCTTCCATGTTAATATTGTTGACATTCATCACTAACAGTTATCTCAGGTCCCTCCTGTATTACGTGTTCCTAGCAGTAATGACGATATTCGTGGCTATCCTGCGGGATAGTAAACATCCAAATGCCCGAGAAGACCTTCAATCTCTGAACATGGCCGCGACATTCTTTGCAACCCTCATCCCCGGCGAGGGAGCATGTCATTATGCCACCTTCATGGCCCGGATGTGCGCCAACTTCGAACGCATCGCTAGGTCAGTCCTCGAGCGGGACGAGAAGGCGATCACTCGTCACAGCAGTGTGAACTCTCATTCATCGAACGAAAAGCCCCCTCGCGCCCTCTCGAAACGAGCAAACCCAAAAGACTCTTTGGGGGCCAACCGAAGATCCCAATCCCTCTCTTCCCCCTCAAATTCTGGTCACGCCGCCAGTCTCGACATCCCCCACCTCGAGGGCCTTCCCCGCATCAACTCATCAGGCTACTTCGTCCCCGAAAGCCCCGATACCGCCTCGGAAGATCTCCCCTCATCTACAAACCGTCCTCTCCACAACACTGCCCTCCAAAACCCACCCACCACTACCACTGCTACTACCCCAGCAGACCTATCCAACCCTACAACCAGACACATCGCTCGAGGCTATAACAACCAACCCTCATCATACAATCCCATGTTCCCCGGATCCACCTTCTCTTCAACCGCAGAAAACACCACCCCCACCGAAGCCACACCCCCGGAACTCTGGCAAGTCCCCGTAACAGCCGATTGGGAATTCGGCGGCCAGTTTCTAGGCAGTCTCATCACGCATGGACTCCTTGAGCAAGACCCATTAATAACAACGATGGGATCCATGGTCCCTGGCCCCGTTGATATGGGCTTCCCTTTCGGGGATCAAAGCCAGAATCAGAACCTAGGGCAGGATCCCGGGTCGAATGATGCTTCTTCGCTGTGGTCGTGGCCTGGTATGTTCATGGGGCCTTTTTAACCGATCAGTTCTACTATCACTCCCAGATATGAAACTATAGGATTAAATTATATATGCGTACCCCGTATATAAAGATGGTTTGAGCCAGAGCATGATGTGATGATAACGACGGAACGAAATATTTACTAAGAGAGCGAAAAAAGAATATCGCATTTTTGCTCATAATATTCAAATGTGCAATATATGAAAATGAAACATCTGCATAGCTTCGAAATTCCAAACAGAAAAAAAGAGTAACAATAAACCAGGTACACCAAGTGACAGTTAAACAATAATAAGAGGCCGTACCGTTGGGAATCAAGAAACCGAAACACCTGGCCCGAATTCGTCAAATAATATTGTAGCGTAGAAAGAAAGACGAGAATTGAATATAAACAGACGCCTGGTATCCCTGCAGATTTTAAAAAACTGCTCCCGTAAGCATTTGAACAGCCTTGCTCCAAACACCATTTCCAAGTTGCACTGCGGACTTGTTGCCCTCAAGTCCGTTGTGGAGAATATTCTGCATTTCAGTCTCTGAAATGCCGGCTTCGTTGCCACTTCCAAAGCCGTAGACTTTGCTGGCAATCACTTCGGTTTCAAAGTCCATAGTGCCAATTTCTTTGGCATCGGCATCGCCGGCCCTAGGTACAATGCACGTCTTAACGGCGAAATCCACGTCAATTCTCTTGTTCCTTGTGTTAACGACTTTCTTAGACCCCTTCACAGTCGGTATTCTGCTAGATGCAGGTGAAACATTTCCAAGCAATGTACATCTAGCTCGTAGAGAAGGTTTGTCGTCCATCTCGGAGAACTTCAACTTGGTCACGCCACAGAATTCCAGCATGCGGGCCTCTTCCTCAAGGTTGAGCACAAGGTCCCAAGCTTCCGATATGAAGCGCAACAGTTGATTTGGTGCCGTTTTGGGTTGATCGATAGTGGCGATGTGATTTTGCAGGGCTTTCAAGACCAATGAGGCGATGGGAGAGAGATTTGGTGTCGAGATGGTCGACTTCTTGTCCCCATTGTGGGGACCATACCTCAACTCAAGAGGCATGTTCGTATTCTCAGCCTCGGTTTTCTTAGGAGAATTCTCGAGGTAGAATGCCCCAGGATGGAACATGAGTTGAAGTTGACTGCGGTAAGACATCGTCAACAACGGACCAGCAAAAGACTCCGGTGAAGACTTGGCAGATATGATGGACCAGCCTGTTTGTCGTTCGATCTTAAGAACCGAGTCTATGGAAAGATCAGTATAAGTAACAAAAGCGGTTTAAAAGAAAGGCAAGTCTGCTCACCCTTGAGTTCACTGATCTCTTTCGCACTCCAACCGCGACATTCCTCCTTGACTCTTTCGGCTTCCTGAATTTGTGTTGTGAAGTCTGCCTTGAGCTCTGCCCCAGCCTCGATAATGTTAGACTTTTCTTGGATCTCGCTTTGCATATCTTGGAGTTGCTTTTTCTTTAATGCAATCTCATCTTCGACGCTGGAGAGATTGTCCCGCGCATTGCGCAGTTCATCCTGATTGCAGTTCTCCATCTCGTCTGCCAACTGCTGCAACGTCGTAGCCTGCTCTCCAAGCGAAGAGTGTTTCTCAACCATTGCAGGCACAACACTGTTGAGAAGCGCCTCATGCTTCGAGAGAAGATCATCATCAGCCTTCATTTCTTCAACATGTCGGTTGAGTCCCTCTTTCAGACCCTCGAGTAGCTTCATTCTCCACTCATACCAAGTAGCTTTACTGAGCAATCTGGCATGGGTTTTGACATTTCGGAACTGATTGTCCATCAGCAAACGAATGTCGGGAGGAGCCGTGGCATATTCGCGGAATAATGGTGGGTTATCTGCATAGGTTTCGGTTTCAATAGATCGAATAACCTGTCTTCCCTCTGAGATATAGGATTTCAATTCCCGACAAGACTAAAATACAATCAGTACATGTATCCACTATGAAAAGGACAAGGCGACTTACGTGTTGATATAGCTCGAGCATAGGCACCGTACAGAATCCAGCAGCAACACAATCATCAAAGGTGGCTGGTTTAATCTCCTCAGAAAGCCTGGCAGCTCTTTTGCTGGCACTTCCTGGTGCAATCGTGTGTCGTCTTTTCGTTGTGGTGAGTTCCATGAAATGAATGTTGGTCATATTCAAGAACTCCTGCAATTGGATTGGCGGGAATTTGGATTCTTGATCCTCAGTCTCAACGTTTTCTCCCTTCTCTGCTTGTTCTGTTTCGGCTGAGAGATTCAAGGATTCCGATCCATCCTTCATAGGGCTTGGCATGATAGACCTTCTTGGTTCCTGAGTTGGAGTAGTACTTGCTTTAAGTGGCGACGAGACAAAACGCCCACGAGCGGGAGAGCGTGTCGAGCGTCGAACTGTCTCATCGACTGTCGGCGGTGCGGGAAGCCTGATATTCTTGACAGGGCTGGCTTCGCGACCCTTTAGACGCTTGGGTGTATTATCAGCTTCCTCCTCGTCGTCGTCCTGGTCCAGCTCTACTGGACGTTTACCCAGCAAGCCCCTCGCGGCACCAACATGCAAGCTCTTCCGACCGCGGAACTTGTTCTTCTTTGGTGTCAAGCTTGAGATCATATCCTTCAGATTAGATGTAGCGTCTCGTTCACTTGGATACGGTGGTATATGCCCATCTTCCCGGTATTCCTCTTCTTCACGCTCGCAGTCAACCTCCTCCTGGAGCTTCAATGGATCTTCAAAGCGCACACCACCCTGCTTTGGTTGCTCCTGAGGAACAAATTGCGGCGCATTTTCACCAATAGAGCGTCTTTTGTCCAGCATTTCCGCTACACGGGGAGATCCGAGCCCTTCTTTGTCAATTCCAAGACCTGAGGAACGTCTTCTGCCGTGGGGTCGCAGAACAAACAAAGGGGTTGACTGCCCAGTCGATGCATCTTGTCCAAAAAGGCTCTTGCGACCAGGTGATTTGTATTTACTTGCAGACTCCTTGAGCTCGGGTTCAAAAAGCTTCTTGGGCGATGCCCCTCGGAAGCTTATATTGCTTGAAGGAGGTGTTTTCCCAGGCGTGGTGGGTCGCTGAGCTTGGGGCGTCATCTGCTTTGGGGGAGTTGATTGTTTCTTGGCAGGTGATTCTTGCTCTGCTGGAATCGGAGTTGGTGTAGTTGATTTTCTTGGGCCTAAGCTTTGCCTCCCTGGCCGAGATCGCACACTTGCCAAGCTAGGACTACCACTCTCAGAAGCAACTGCAGCGACATGAACAGGTGCTGGGGGTTTTGATGGTGATTTTTCTGGGGATCTCGCAGGTGATTTCGCAGGTGACTTTGCCGGAGACTTTTGGGCCTGTTCTTGGAAAGGGGAACTTCCCAACTGTCCAGAGTCGGACTCCAGTTCCATCATCTTCTTTGCTTGGTCTTTATCATCGGATTCAAGTTCGGACGGCAGAATCCTACCCATGGCTGTCGTGACATCCATGCCTGCAGTCTGGTCGTCATCCTGAGGTTCAGTACGCTCTTCGATTGGCGGGAGTATGCCACCAACTGCCCCAGTCATTTCCATATCCATGCCATCGACATCCTCCTCATTATCCCATTCGGAGAAATTCCGGTCCTTACTGATAGGAGTGAAGGACTCCATTTGGTCGTCCTCGTCGTCGCCGTCGTCGTCTTCTTCCTCGTTGGGAACTTGAGATTGAGAGTTCTTACTCAGAACCCCGCCAACAACTGACGTAAACTCCATGGTCATCTCCTCATCCTCATTCGGGTTGCTGTCCGCTCCTATGGATTTTGCAGGGGATGTTGACTGCGCTATACCCCCAATAGCATTCGTAAATTCCATGGTTTGGTCATCGTAGTTCGTTTCCTCGCCAATCGACTTACGAGAAACAGCACTCTGTCGACCCGTTTGTTTAGAGAGTATGCCACCGATGGCGTTTGTCACATCCATGCTAAGATCTTCATCTTGGTCATCGTCGGCTTGTTCAAGAGACGGATAGTTTGGTTGAGATGGGTCGACATTTTCTTGGTCGTGCGAGGCACTAATATCCCCCCAGTCGAAGCTCTGCCTCTGTCCTTTTTTGATCCAGGGTTGGAAGGCACCGGTGATCTCCTGGTCGGCGATCTCCATGGACATTTCTCCAGTCTCGTCATACCCATTTTCCTTAGTTCCAGCTTCCTGGGCTGCTTGACGTAAAGCTTCATTTAGTCGAGCACTGGAGCTAGTGCTGGAGTTGGACCCATCAGATTGTGCTGTGGCGGCTGACTGAACGGTCATATCATCCATACTCATCGCCGTACTTTCGCCGTCAAAGTTGGTGTCAGATCCTGACGAGTTCCCATCATCTTCGTCTCCAGGAGGGCCTTGGAATCCGATATCATCACTGCCTGCAGAGCTTCCACTAAATGGACTAGATGATAGTTCTTGAGAGCCTCCGACATTATCATAATTCGAAGATGCTGATTGGTTCCTGATTTGTTGCAAATCTTGGTACTTCACTGGAGAAAACGTGATATCTGATTCTTCGCCGGCATCAGGGGAGGATGGAGGGTCGTTCTGTTCAGGTGCCGGTTGCTGGTTTGCGAGGGAGGATGCGCGACGGGTCGAGTTGGAGGTAGATGATGAAGTTGAGTCGTCTGGTATTTCCACTACGTTCCAGGTATGTAACGTTGCCTCCGGGGCGAAGGACACACGGCGGTTTGCTTCGGAGATTATCAGTTATTTGAGAACGATTGAAAGGTGGGGAATAGAAACTGACCCATTGACTTTCGGCGCGCTTCCCTTTGTTCAAGAATTCTTTTCCGCTCGCGATCTTTCTTCTCTTTCTCAACGGCCTTTCCGTCCCGAAGGGCAGATGAGGCATTGAAGCTATCGAATGGAGTGGCATGATTGTTGGTGCTAGAGGCTGCGGGCCCCGGGGTATCAAGGTCTATCAACATGCCCTCTTTCCCTTGCTCAGCCTTTTCATCATTGCCGCCATCCTGTTGCACACTGCGGGCTGGTGTTCGTCTGCGCGTTTCCTCGAAGGTCGGGATATTTCGGACTGGAGAGACAGGGACTGTAGGTTTTAGGATTGACTTGAGGGGTATAGCACCCGCCGAGGACTAAGATAGAACGACCAAGTCAGCTTGGTCCTGTGCTTTAATCAATGGAATATGGTGGGGCTGAAGAAGTTAATTACCTTGCGTCGGTTGCCATTCGAGTTCTGAAGCGCATCCAGACCACCAGGTCCTAAACTTTTGCTACGGGACTTCTTGTCCTTGCCCTTCGGTTTCGCATCACCATCTAGAGGTAAGATAGCGCCAATGTCTGTTGTAGAGTTCTCTTTGTCGATTCCTGACGTCAACTTTGATCGGGGTACGTGAGCGATAGAGCGACGAGCTCGCGGACGGAGCGACCCCGCGGAGTCACCTCTGGACGCCATGGGTCAGGCTGCGAGAAGCATAGACAAGAAAAGTGCCAGATTCAAAGCACCGGAAATTAAATGATCAGCAATAATATCTTCATGTGTATTGAATTGCGACAGGTATAAACATGATCAGGGCGAGCCGTTCCCTCCGCACTGCCATACAGAGGCGCGTCTCCCGGCGCCCGCTCATGTGATCGCCGATGTAAACAAACCAAAAAAGCCCTAGCCGAAGCGCACCATTCCCGAAGAGGGATAGTGTCGCCATCGCACACTCACCACACTGAATATCCGCCCTCGTCGAATAAATCTTTCTCAACATCGACGTCGACCACCGCAGCCCGACACCCCCCTCCGCGACGAATTTACCATCCAGCTCGACACCGCTTCCCCGTCGAACTGAATTCTCGCAACAATGGCGACCGAGTTGACCGTCCAGTCGGAACGTGCGTTCCAGAAGCAGCCTCACATCTTCTTGAACTCCAAGACCAAGGCTAAGAGCAAGAAGGCTGGCCAGGGTCGGAGATGGTACAAGGACGTTGGTCTGGGATTCCGTACTCCCAAGACCGCCATTGAGGGCAACTACATCGGTATGCAGGACCTACGTTGAATTTTTGCATGGGCGCATCAAATTTTACATCCGGAGGAAATGGACCCTTGGATTCTTTTTCGAGATTGGAGATGAGAAGCGATACGACATATCGAAAGAGACAAATTCGAGTCTACGGCGCAAAATGGAATCAAAGGCCATGAGAAAAAAAAAATTTAAAGCAAAAAGAGCCAAAGAGGACGTATTACTACGTCGTGTGCATATCGATTCTTCTCATCTCCAAAACCTCGAACTCGAACACCAAGACATCACCAGCGTCTGCATCTTGGACAAGCCCGCTAATATCAAACAGACAAGAAGTGCCCCTTCGTTGGATTGGTCTCCATCCGTGGCCGTATCCTCACTGGCCGTGTCGTCTCTACCAAGATGCACCGTACCATCATTATCCGCCGTGAATACCTCCACTACGTCCCCAAGTACAACCGTTACGAGAAGAGACACAAGAACCTCGCTGCTCACGTCTCTCCCGCCTTCCGTGTTGAGGAGGGTGACTGGGTTACCGTCGGCCAGTGCCGTCCTCTGTCCAAGACTGTATGTGACATTCGCCCCCTTGAGATAATCGTGCCGGACCGTTCAGTATCAGTTGAAGCATGGAACCGTCTACTACTGGGATATGCGGCGATACTCGAATGAAGATGGCTTTTGTCTATTCTTTCACAAGTGACTTTACCTAACATACTTTCTTAATAGGTCCGTTTCAACACCCTGCGTGTCCTGCCCCGCACTGGCAAGGCCGTCAAGGCGTTCAGCAAGTTCTAAGCGCGTCGATGATGGATGAAGGGGGTGCTTGAGGGAAAATACCTAGGGCAGCGGCATGACTGGATATAAGTTAAATTCTGACGGGTTGGGGATTGTTTTACGATTATCATGTCCCAGGTACCCTTCTGAAGAAAATATCCAAATAAAAAAAATTGATCCTCCTGTGATAGACCTATAACCGTACGGCAGCCCGGGGCAAGGGGAGTACCACGCATGGCGGTGCGAGCATGGGGCTTTCCAGTGCGAAATCAGGGTTGTCCCGTTTACTTTTACTCTTCAGGCTGCTGTCTTTTATACATTGGAGGATTCAATTAACCTTTTCTTCTTGTTTCTTGAAAAAAGATCCATGCCTGCATAGTTTACCATGCGTAGGGGCTTCGCTTCGGTCTGATCTAGATACATACAGTAGACATCACCATAATCTGATCTCATCGAAGTTTACATACCCGATTTCTCTGCTCACCACCAGTCCGAACAACCCTGCTCCGCGGCAATACAAAAAGTAACTAACCGGGCCATAGGGCATTCTGGCGGGCATTCTGTAACACTAGATTGAAAGCAACATTAAAATAATCATTTGATCAACTTTGCGACCTTGCAAATTGCGCTCTGCTCCGTAGAACAGAAACAGCCGCAACTTATTCGATATTCCCGTTCATGATTTGCTAAATGCGGTCTCTGTTAAAGGCAAAGACATCGTGTAGCCCCTGGTTCTCCCTAGGGCTCGTGATCTCGCTCAACAGCACTTGGTGGTCATCGTCGTTTTCGTCTTCATCCTCATCATCGTCATCGTCATCTTCATCGTCGAGTACAATGACATTGTCATTGTCAGTTGCTCTATAGTTGTTCTCTGTCAAAGGTGTTCCCATTGAACTTTGCGTAGGTGCAGTCGACCACCGCTGTAGCATAGGGCGAAAGAAGCGAATAGCCGGCATCGGGGCGGCAGGACTGGTAACAGGGCTGGTGACCGGGCTGTCGATAAGCCTGTTAATATTTCTTTCTGCAACGGTGTGAACTGAGCGGCGCTCTGGGGGGCATGGGGTCTCAATGATCGTCCATTCGTCATCGGGCTCATCGGTCTCTATGGTTTCTAAAGACGTCGGCGTATTGGGGAGATTCGCTCCTAGAGCTGGAGATGTTGCAGCCGACATACCATATGCACCATGTGTACCTCTAAAGTACTCATCCCAGGAGCCATTTCTCACCTTAAAACCAAAAGAACGCGCAAAGCTTTCTGCGACAGCTTCGCAGTAGCCTTGGGGAACTTTCAACTGACCAAGGAGCCGTCCGATAGCATATCCAGATTGATGGTCAAGTTTTCCGTGCCCTTTTCCATAAAATTCTTTTAGGTATCCACGAAGGTATTGGTGAGTCGACATTTTCTCGAGTTCCAGGCGTTCTCTGATTTCCGAATCTTCATTTACGATAGCCATCAATCTTGTTAGTTTGAAAGAACAAACAACAGCTGGTGTGGGAATTTTTCCCCATATCAACCATTCTCCACGTCCGTCGTATCCTTTGATTCGGATTTTCAGTCTCTTCACTTGATACTTCGCAGAGAATAGCTCTGTACCAAGGAGGAGAGGGTCAATTATTGAAATCAATGCCCCTTCCTGGGCCCTGAGTGCACGGTGTATGGGTGCACGAGGAGATTTAAATGTTGAGATTAAAGGGGATGCATTTTGTGCAATGCTAACATGATTTCGAATGAAATAGTCAATTTCAGTTTGGGAAAAGTCACTGGCAGTTCGATAGGACATATCAGTGTCGGCAAAATAGCCTGCGAGGAAGACTTTTGGTGTATTGACTCCTTGAGAATCAACATTAGACCATCTCCAGAGTAATTTTGGTCTATCTCTGTGCTCAGACTCAGGTTCTGCCTCTGGTCCAGATTCAGGCTCGGGTTCAGGTTCAGGCTCAGGTTCGGGTTCAGGCTCAGGTTCGGGTTCAGGCTCAGGTTCGGGTTCAGGTTCAGGTTCGGGTTCGGGTTCAGGTTCAGACTCAGGCTCCGGCGATGTCTTTGATCCAGTCAATAGCTAATAACAAAGACGAGTGTCTTTTAGCACTTACTTACCTCTGAATTGACGAGTGGATGACCCTCACAAACACACCAGAAGCAAACCCTGCCATTCCCGGTACAAATGCTCTGGCTAGGGCTGTTTTCAAAAGATGGGGTGGTCGGTGTGACGGGAGTGTTCAGAACATATGAGGCAGAAGGAGGCGTTTGCTGGCCAGTTGGAAAGCTGGAAGTTGTTGGCGAAGTATTCTGTGTGGGTTAGCATCATATTACTTAGAAACTGGTATGAACTTACCGGTACACGCAGGCCCTGGCTACTTAAGGTTCGCCGGGTTTTCAAGGAGAAGGTTGAAGTATTAATATTATCAAATTCTTTCTCCTTTAACTCCATTCCGTGGGCTCGAGCAGTATCTCTGATTCTTTGGATAACGTAAGACCAGACACCTTGTTTATCAAAGGGTGTGTTAACGTGGACTTCGCTCCATATGGGGTCCCCGTGTCTCCGCATGTCGTGCCACTGTGTATCAATGGTAGTAGCGGCCAGTCCATTAGTTATATTGAGACCTCTAAGATGGTTTTCGAAAATTTTGTTGAAAACATCTCTATAACCAATGCGGGTCCTCTTGAAAAAGCGAAAGAGACAACAGAGGACATATCGTTGCTCATTGTCCCACCTGTTCCTCTGGTCCGGTTTCCCATAGTCAAGACCCTCTCCATAATCCATAATAGGGGACTCTGGTGGGAAGGTTAACTGAATAGAGGGAGGAAATTGGAAAAAAGGAAGATATTAAAAAAAAAAAATTCGGGTTTTTGGTATCGAACGGATTAACTGTTGAGTTTGATGTCAAGGTTGAAAGTTAAGGAATAATCTTGCTGCTACCACGAGAAGATAGTAGGATAGGAAGAAAGGTAGTGTTGAAGAGGTAGGGGAAGAAGAGAAAAGAGAAAAGGAGTGGTGGTCAAAGGCATATTTTGTTGTGGGATAGTAACACTGAAGTCGAGATCGAGTGAATAGTAGGAGGCTGGACCACCACAGGGCTTTGGCGATTGAATATGAAACATATTGATCAGATGAGAGGATTAGCTCGTTCTAGAATGTGTAGTAGAAAGAGTGGTTTGGATACTCAAGGAGTTATCTGGTAGAGAAGGTAATGGTGGATATATATACCGGTGGTGGTGATAGAGAACACTGGTTTTAAAGAGATGACAAGAGGGAAACAAAGACAGATTTAGATACCCTAGACGTTATATAAACATCTAATCCGAGAATTCTCTTTATTGTAACAGGTATATCTTGGCTTTAGCCACTGTAAGGTAGTGGTGTTGCGTAGTTGAGGTTTAAGTGAGAAGACACGAGAGCCAATGTGATAGACACCTGAACACTAATTCCATAAATAAGATTATATCTACTTGTAGTCAATCATCAACTGTAAATCGGGGGAATTTAATTATTTCATTCTACGACTCCATCCCCTTTAACTAAAGACACGACGTTGAAGATGTATGCGGGTTGCGTCACGGCTTGACGGTTGACCAGATCCTCGTGCGCTAAGAACGCCGAGCTCCACCGGGGAGATTCGCTTTGTCTTGACTTCACCACCAACACCCCGGAAGGGCTAAAGCTCCTCCGTTCATGTCCACACTGCGATCAGTATTCTTCTGACTATTCTATCCTCGATTCCATCCGTCTCCTGCTAGACTGCAATCACCAACCCGTCGGCTCCGATTCAACTGCCTTCGACGATTGCCGCCCCCCCCCCTCTCATCACCCTGACACACTGCGCAATCAATCACCGGTATCCCAGCATGGCTCAATGAGCCATGATGAGTACTCTTGGTGATTTTTTAGAAAGATCTACTCGGGCACTACGATAATATTCCAATTTTCTTGCTGTGACGATATCACCATCTCCCAACGTCCAATCCCCCGACGAGCCAACGACCGTCCCCTTATTCCCGTCACGGCCCAATTTAGGAGCCTAACTGGTCGACAATGTCTGGCAACTTTGAGAAGTCTGTGAAAGGGGCCACCAAGGTCAAAGTCAGTTACCGCAGTCTCTGGGTATTCGATTTTTCATCGGTTTGTAATGCTGACGGCTTTTATTTTACGGACAGCTTGCGGCCCCTAAATCCAAATATATCGAACACATCCTGGTAGCGACCCATACGGGTGAGGCGGGCGTTGCAGAGATTTTCCGGACATTACACCTTCGACTTCGTGATTCAACATGGACGATAGCGTTCAAGGCGCTTATCGTGGTCCACCTCATGGTGCGGGAGGGGCAATTGGATGCTACATTACAGCACATGGCTCAAAACCCAAAACAACTCGTAATCAGCGGTTTCTCAGAGGGTGAGTCAAGCGGAATTGATTGGGACAAAATTTTGGAGGGGCTAACAAATCAACTACAGTGCAGTCGCAGGGACATAATATCCGGAGGTATTCCGACTACCTTATTGCGCGCGCTAGAGCATTCGAGGATACAAAAACCGATTACGTACGAAGCGGGCAAGGACGCATGCGAAGATTGACGGTGGAAAAGGGTCTACTAAGAGAGACCGAAATTGTTCAGAAGCAAATACGGGCATTGCTTCGTTGTGATGTAGGTTCTTCGAGCGGTGTCTCTTTAGCAGTACTAACAACCGTTTAGCTGTTGGATGATGTTGAAAATGAAATCACCCTAACAGCTTTCCGCCTGCTCACCCTGGATCTCATGACTCTTTACTCGGTCATGAATGAGGGCACGATCAACGTCTTGGGTAAGTGCTTTTTCCGGGCACTGGTCTGTAACTTGTTCTTACGTTATATATAACAGAGCATTATTTTGAAATGTCACGGACCGATAGCGAACGCGCCTTGGAGATCTACAAGAGATTTGCAGCACAAACAGAGGAAGTGGTTAAATTCCTTGGAGTCGCAAGGCACTACGAATCAGCAACACGCCTAGAGATACCAAAACTTAAACACGCTTCTACAGACCTAACGCGCCTTCTTGAGGATGACCTGAACGATCCGGATTTCGATCTGCGCCGAAGGGAATATCTGTACCGAAAGCACGGAAAGAGAGCCCCCTCGTCTTCAACAAGTGCCGCGGCAAATGGGTCGACTGTTGATTCGAATTCCACACCCCGACCTCAAACAGCGCCCAAACCCCTCCCAAAGGCCAATCCAGACTTGATTGACTTCTTTGACACAATTGAACCAAGTCAACAACAGGTATCGCAACATTTACAGCAGCATCAGCAACAGCAGGCGATGCAATTCCAGCAAACTGGATTCCAACCACAGCAAACTGGCTTTCAACCGCAGCAGACCGGCTTCCTTCCACAGCAGACTGGGTTCCAGCCACAGCAGACTAGCTTTCAACAGCAACAAGGCCTCTATCCTCAACAGACAGGTTTCCAACAGCCTCAACCGACTGGATTCGGAGGATCGTATGCGCCGCAGGGGAGCAATCCGTTTGGACAACCACCGGTTCCACAACCGCTTCAACCAACACCGACTGGTGCAGGGTTTGGCGGGTACACGCCACAGCCACAGTCGTACGGATTTCAAGCCAACCTTCCTTCTATTCCTCAAAGCGATCCCACTTCTTTCCAACAGCAGCAGCCAATGCAGAGCGCACAGCAACCGCAGCAACTGCAGCCACAACCAACAAATCCTTTTAGACAGTCAACGTTGTTGAGCACGCCAACTGGAGGAGCAACGCCAGCCAGGTCACTAAGCCGACAGAACACAAACCCCTTTGCGCGACGTCTCTCAACGGCCAACCCACAATATGCTGCAGAGGCGCCATTCCCTCCACCTTCTCAGCCCCTACCCCAACCACCGGTACAAACTCTTCAGCCTCAGCGAACGGGTACTAACCCTTTTGCTCGGAGCTCTTCTGTCCCTCCTCAGCAAGGGTTGCAGCCACCGGCTGCAGCACCACTCCGGCCCAACCCCACAGGAAGCACAAATCCGTTCCGGCAAAGTGCTTTTGTAAACCAGCAGACTGGCCAGGGGTGGCAAGTAGGTGGCCAGCAGGGCACAATGGGCGGCTTAGAACAGCTGGATACCATGCCAGTCTTCCCTCGACCGGGTATGATATGATTTTTCGGGCTTCCATTAGTAGTCTTCTTGATTGCGCAGATGCTACCCCAGTGAGAGTAGCAGGCCTCAAGGGCCGAAGGATGGTGTTTTGCATTTTGAGCCTACCCTATATCTCTTTTATTGTTTTGCTTGTTTATTTTTATTTTATCCCTTCTAGTATTCTTTTTAGTCTTCATGCATAACTCTTGGTAGTCTGGGCTCGCAGTGCGGGCACATACTTGCTGTGTAGCAGGATTGTACTGGTGCGTGTACCAAGACATCAGCGAGCATAGATTTTATTCATATACGGTTTTAAAGACTCCTGATAATTCACACCTATGTAATTGGTCGACTTAACAATGATGTTGTGCTTATGGAACCTGAAGTCTAAGATCAGCCCATTGGATATAAAGACTGCTACTATTAGACCAGTTGAGAGGCCATTCTTACATCATCCCACCAAGTGGTCGAGCAGTAACTCGACTATCCCATCTTCCTTGGTCTAGTGGTCATGATTTCCGCTTGTCATTAACCTGATAAGCGCGGGAGACCGGGGTTCGATTCCCCGAGGGAGAGACCTTTCTTTTTTGCTTTTATTTTTTTCACTCTCGTCAGCTACAAGCAAACAACAAACAACGATAATAATCCAATTACTATATTATCTATCTCGTCCAAAGCCACTTACTTCACCAGCCAAAATCAGTATTTAGCGTAAGCATTTAACCGCTGTAAATTAACAGCCTCTGACTCCTCGGAAATTCCGACCTGGAGTCTTCTTACCTTACATGCATAAAAAAAAAACCTACACCGTGTATATCTACTATGTAGGGCAATTTATGCATCGTTTTCCAGCACTAGAAAGTTACTGCCCAATCTCAATCACACTGTCACATGCGGGAAAATTTATACCCGAATCTTTGTTAAACTTCTGGATTAGTTAGAAGATGAAGCGATGTTCTCCAAGGCATGGACGGGTATGGTGGAACGTTTCGGAAATATTCCGGACCAGAACAGAGAGAACGGACGGGAAGGGAAAGAGAAAAAGAAAGTCAGCCCTATCAAAATCTGCGATGATAGCGTTGTCTCGTCTAATGTACATCATCTAGGCAAAGAATTGGGATTTGAGAGTAAGGTAAATATACTAAATGGTTTGTATGACGATAGATTTGGTCCCACCGAAACGGCCATGAGAACACCCAGGGTTAACTAAAACTGCCTAGGTACTAACTTGTACAAGTTAGCACTGGAAAGTAAGATGGATTATCTATCCACCCGTGACTCATAGGGCATATTAAATAGCCAAGCTAGAATACTGTAGTTTGCAACTACGATTATTGCTGCCCGGGTGTTTATGTTGCGAGATCCGGTAAGGTATGCGGATTGTATGGTGTATATCCGGACAGTACCTAGGCTTTTACAGTCCGCCGCGTAGACAGTGGGGATGTTGTCGGTGGTTTCAGGCGAGGGTGAAACGTTGACATTTTGGAGAGGATAAATTAACTAATACACATGGAGTATCTTACGCCGGGAGGGATTTGAGAAAGTCAGAAAGAAGGCGAAGATTTTGCGGGTGTTGCTCTTTTTTATTTATATCGAACTGAAATTGCTATATATCTCACCACGTAACAATGTGGATTGACTTCCTTTGCACCAAGCATCAAAAAAAGAAAGAAATAGTCCTGGTGATGCCTGCCTGCCATCATCTATCGTAGACAATACCAGATGGAAACCCGGAAATAAAATGCAAGCGGCGAAAACCCTGTTTCTGATCCCTGCCAAGTGAGTTGTTGACAAGGATGGGGCGATTCCTGCAGATCCCTAGTGGTATTGTATGAATACCATCAAGAATTGGTAAGTACTAAGAAGTTATTATGAGTCAATAAATATATCATCAAAGAATCTGCCATTGAAGATATCGTTGTCTCTCTGTGAGTCTCTATGTCAAAAGCAGATACCGGCCGAAGAGCATATCCGAGTCTATCGGAAGATGAATACGCAATACGCGTGGTGGTGAAGTTTATTCTCATACATACACTAAGATGCAAAACAGACGGTTTTATTATTCAAATACTACCTTAATTTGTGCTAAAACCTAATAACATGATTAATTACCCTGATGCTTTCCTTGGCGCAACATCCAGCATTCGGATATCGGATTGTAATGCGGCTCAAGACCCACTGTTAGTGAAAACACAGAAACAGTTTTAGATGAGTAGATAAATAAGTATTGACATATGATATGATATTGAATCCGTATATATGTATATCAATTATGTATATACCTAGTTAGGTATATAACTGATGATGATGAATGTGATATGATAACTATCAGATCGGATGTACTCAACCGGATCCCTGACCAACCACCATAAACCACAACCAACAGAGAATAGCCAGAGAACCAATAGAAGAAGGAGATATTCCCTACTTTTAATATCAGCTGTTGGATCACATTCATATTCATATTCATATTATTGTTAATCGTACAATTCCTTACAGTATGCCCCACTCGGGTCCGGCAGCAGCAGCATCCGAGATCTCGGCCTCGTGTGCTTTTTTTTACTTTTGCTCGTTTTCCCGTGATTTTTCACCTCGTCGTTTCTCTGGTTCGACACGCCATCCTTCAAGATTCCCCACGATCTTGCAAGGCACCGGGATTTCTTCCTTCTGACTGGCTGGCCAGACGCTAGCAGTTACGCAGTTGTTTTCCGCTGTTCCTTCGCTTCGTCTTTTTTCTCGCTTTCGACTTACGAACCCTTACCGTAACTGACTGAACAGCCCCCCCTCTTCTTCTTTTCTTCTTCTTTTCCCTCTCTCTCTGCCTTGGCCCGTCTGACATTCCTTCAGCCTCGTCGACGACTCACTATGGGCTTTTCCTGATAAGGGCAGTGTGCTGGCCATTCAGCTTATTTCTTTCCTCCCAAGTCTCCTCTTCTCCGCCACTCCTTTCTCTCTGCTTTTCCCCTTCTCGTCCATCTTCACCTCCTCATCGTCAGCCTCATCGTCATAGTTCTGCTTGTCTTAGAACGATGGATGCCATGTTCGAATATCATCAGCTGGATCTGTGATTGTTAGTTTGAAACTCGCGACTGTGATGGATGCCAAGAACTTTCCTCTTGAGCACGCTGTCTCAGGCCACGAGCAGTATGCCCTCCCTTTGCTGGGAAATTCCACCACTTGGATGAATTCGGCCCCCCCTCCTCCTTCTTATACCCCTCCGGATTCGATGCCACACGCGACTACCACGACGCCCCCTTCTGCGACGGACGATGATAATGGGTCTCGACCTTCCCCCTCCTCCGCATCTGATAACCGCGGAGATAATGGCAAAAATGCGGCGTCGAAAAACCGTAAACCCCGCAAGAACAATGCGTCTGGTGGCAAGTCATCCTTGTTCTGGGTCCATACCGACCCTGAATCGGTTTCAGGGGGCTCCAGGGAGGAAACGCTGAAACGCATCCGTTCCCATGTCATGTCGGAGCATAATCGCAAGAAGCGACTGGAAAACACCAAACGCTACAAGAGCAAGACCTGGAAACACCTCGCGTTTCAACCCGTCGAAACCACCGCCACGGCGGCCGCCAACACGACCACCCCAGCTGGCTCGAAAAAATCACCCGCCTCGTCTGGCAGTCGAAAATCCTCGTCGCCATCATCCTCATCCTCCGCATCTCCCTTGTCTTCGTCCTCGTCACCCCAGCAATATAAACAAAATGAGCTTGCCGTCACGAACGCTCCTTCTGCCGTGGGGAACCTTTCACCCCCGTTTACACAGGCCGCACAGCCTTTCCCCGGAGCATCTCCGTGGAGCTATGTGGGCCATAACGCTAACGATGCGTTTTGCACGACTCATACACAGCTATCCGGTCGTATGCTGCGGCATCTGGAGTACTGTAAGCGCTCATACGTCATTATTGGAAATGCTTTATCTGACACTGGATAGTTCTTCGCGATTTGACCCCAATGGCATACCCGTTACAGAGACGACACGGGCCGAAAATCCAGGCGCACTGGGGGACATTGGTCCAACATGACCCTGCTTCGCTGCATGCTTCCATCTGTGTTGCTGCAACTAATGCAGCTCTTATGACTGGAGAGTTTCCTATGCTCGATCCGAACAGACAGCGGACCAGTGTGCTTATGCTCGATACTTTCCATCATCGCGGTGAAACGATTAAACTTGTGAACGAGGGATTATCAGACCCGGTCAAAGCTGCAAGTGATGAATTAATTGCGGCCGTTTCGATCTTGCTTACGATCGAGGTATGTGATTTTTATTTGGGTTTATTGTGCTTTGCTGATTAGGTCAGGTCGCTTCTGGAAACCCTGACTACATAAAAATCCATCTAGCTGGGCTGAGGCAGATGGTGGCTTTGAGGAATAGCTTTGCCGATGTGCCTCCAGATGTTCGATTCCAGATTTCATGGTGAGTTATCCTCGTCATCATAAATGTACAGTCTATTGACGTTTATAGGACGGATATCCGAGTCGCATGCATGGCTTTTACCAAACCGATCTTCCCCTTTGTCCGCTATGCCCGCCCATCTCACTTCTCACTCACCCCTCCGATCCCGGACCTTTCGATTACTGGCTCTCGCTTAATATCATTGATTGAGATACCCGGTCTCTTTGACGATGCCTTGTGCAAATCGATATACGATCTCCTGGAGCTCACGTGGTATTCAGAGTGGATCAAGGGCGCGGTATACCGGGAATTTGACGATGAGATGGAGACATACTTCAATTCTGAAGTGTTGTATGTCGAGTACTCGCTTCATCGCGATCGATTTGCGGAGACAGGCGAGGCCAAGGGCGACCTGTCGATTGGGGGAGGCGTTCGACTGGCCTGTCTTTTGTTCCACAACACTGTAATTTGGGATTTTTACCCGAACAACGGGCTTGTGTTTCCCAAACCGATAATTGCTCTCCGGTTGGCACTGGGGAGCACCATTCCAACAGGATGCTTCTCACACTGCCGGGATTTGCTGATCTGGCTCTTGTTCATCGGAGCCTGTAGCTCCCAGCACCTATTTGAGCGATCCTTTTTCGTGACCGAGATGGCCACTGCAGTAAGGAGTGCAGGCATCCAGTCCTGGCAGGAACTCCGAGCGCTACTGCTAGGTTTCTTCTACGTGGACCGTCGATACCTGGCACCACTGCGAGGACTCTGGGACGAAATCCATATGGTACCAATCCAGGTCTAGTATTTAATAATAATGACTGTATATAGCTGCATAATGATTGATGATACTGCTACATATGACATAGAAGCATGACATAGAAACTGAATGATCTGAATGAGTCTTCGAATCTTCAATAGGGGGTACTCCTTACATCTAAAATAACCTACTGGGTCGCGATCCACATTCCAATTTGACGGCTGTCAGTCCGGAATGCCATGACGAAAAGGAAAACAAACTAGCTGATATTGACACTGGTGAATCATACTTGGACCCCTACCAAGAAAAAAAATATGGGACTGGACGGTGATATCTCTGTTCTCGCTCGGAGTTCGGTCGGAGGAGTTCACCGAGTTTTTTCCAGCGTACACTGAAAAGATCCCTAATAATCATAGAATAGCAGGGGAAAAAAAACCAGAAACAAATAAATATATAAAACAAAACAGAACGAAAACCAGAATGAAAAGCGAAATCCCAAAAATCAAAAGGGTGAGGGGGAAAAAAGCAGTTGCACAAGGCAGTGTCAACTCCATGACTCCTCGACATGTCCGTCTTCAGCAAAGTCAACGAACCGCCGAGCGGAATCCGACCGATCGCCGGCCCCTTGGGCTGCTCTCTTTAATACTAAAACCGTCCTTCTCTCGTTTCGCTTCGCTTTTTCTCTCTTCTTGCTCTCTTTTACTCTTTTACCTGTCTTTTTATTTCTCTTTTTTTATTTTTTAATAAAACCATTCCTTCTGTACAGAATGTTGTTCAGCGTTGAGGATCCTGTATACTTGACATGAACATAAGGTTTACAGGTTTACTATAACTAGTCAAGTATGTATAATCCACCTACCTATACTCTCTACACTCCTTTACTACCTAACTACTCACAAGGCAGTACGGAGTACATTTACAAGAAGAAAACTAACCCATCGGTAACAGGAATCAACTCGCCTCGATCGGGTATATTATTATCATGCATTGACGCTGCGTTATGCTCGCTTGGGGCGAAAACATACATGCAATACATGCATAGCCTCGTTGACAAGGCAGATCATAATCATAATCATACTTTATGGATTGTGGCTTATGTATGTCATGAGCGTCTACATATGTACAGTACTCCATATGTGGGACTACATAATGACAGGTGCCTCCCTGCATACATGAAAAAGAAATTGGAGATTGACGTCGGGTAGACGAGGCAAGGCTGTGAGTTGCCGTTTCTTTTCTATCTATCCCTTTTCTTATTTTTTGGCTTGTTTCTGTTTCTTTGTTGTCTTGTCTTGTCTTGTCCTGTCTTTGTCTGGCAGGATAAGGTCTCTTCCGCCCTACTATGACTTTCCCTGCCGTCTCCCATCCGACTTATCTACTGCCCATTCCTCTTCTTCTACTACCAAAAGATCTTACTATTACTCTTACTGATTATGATTCAAACGCAGAATGCGAATCAAAGATTGAAGCAATTATCAATTAAGTCAACGGTAAGAACTAAATACAAACATCCTGCTATTCACAGTGATCCAACAAGCATTAACCAAGCATGGTGTATTAATATCCAAAAAGAAACACACAAGACCATCTCTACACCGCAGGGCATATATATTGACTATCGTCCAGACAGATGCCAGAATAGCCTAACCAACCCGCAGCCATGATCCTACAATTGGGTATCTGAAACATTATAGGGACAATACCCTCAACGCACTGTTCATGTCATCCCTCATACCGTGCTGTCATCTAAGCAGTCTCACGGTCGGTCTTGCCTCTCCTGCTGCGGCCAGTGGGCGACCAGGGGAAGTGGGCAACGGGGATGATGAAGAAGCTGTTGCTGGTGTCGAGAATACCGGCCAGGGCATTGTACCAGGCGGCGAACGCAGACAAAAGACCAAAGAAGCCACCGGCCTTGAGGACGGGGGTGTTGGGAGCACCAGTGGCGTCACGCTGGATGTAACCAATACCGAGCAACAGGAAGGTAAGGTCCAGGAAGAAGAAGAGCAGGAAGAAGGCGACGGTGGAGCGCAGAGTACAGACGAGCATGAGAGTGGTGAAGATAAACCATGACTGCTTGAGTCAGCAGCGATTCGATGGCGAGAAAGCCGACCGACTTACCATCAAGTACAATCCGAACGAGTTATAGAACTGAACCTCGGAGCCATCGGCGGTCAAGGCCTTTTGAATCTCGAACCCACCAGGGGTAAAGACGATTGCGAAAGAGAGCCAGAAACCTCCGTAAGAGGAGAGAGCAGTGGCACCGAAAGTGTTACCGACAGCCATTTCCCTGAGAATGTTAGCGACGACCTTGACAAGAGGAGAGGAAACAGTCACATACCACATGCCAGCGAGCAGCTGGACCAGACCACCATAACCGAAAGCAAGACCGACGACAATGTTGGGCTCCGTGAGGTTACGCGCACCCATGTTGATAGCACTCAGCAAGAAAGTGGTGAGGGCGAAAGCTGACAGGCCCAGAGGAGCTGGGTTACCAAACTTGCGGCCCTCGACGGACTTGTACAGACCGGGCTGGAATTCACCACCGAAGGGACGCAGAGGAGCATCGGCAGTGTTAACATGGGCCAGAGGGCCATATCCAAAGCGGGCAGCAGCTCTGGCGACATCATGCTCGTGAGCGGACATCTGAGGAGCAGCGGGGGCACCGTTGGAGGAGGCCTGGTCGGGAATAGGACCAATGTCCTTTTCAAGGGATTGGTTGTTTTCCGCAGACATGTTGATGATATACTATGGAGGAAGGATTAATTAAGGTGAAGATGGGGATAAAGGATAAAGAGAAAAAAAAGTCCAGCTAGCTGGAGGGGGATATAAAGATTCAGCACTGCTGGATCCGGAAACACACAAACAATGGAAGCAAGCACAGGAATGAGGACAAAAATGACACAAAGAAGAATGGGAAAAAAGATGACCAGCAGGGGGGACGAAGGGGAATTTAAAAAAGGTTTTGGATAGAGCGACTGGAATGGAGAAATTTGGAGACGGCAAAAAAACACGAGCGGCAGGTGGGGGAAGGGAGAGTGGAGCTTACCACAAGAGGGAGGTAGGGCCGTTAGTCCGGATAGCGCTAAGTTGCCTAACAAGGACTGTGCTAACTAACAGCTAATCAACAAGTGATGGACAAGTGATGGACAAAAGAGAGGTATTTATAAATGCAGGAAAGCGGAGAACATTGGGATTGACTGGATTGACACTGAGTCTTGCAGCTGTTTACGGACGACGGGAGGTGCAGCCATGGTCGGGATGAAAGGAAGTTTGCCATTTGCTGGAACGGTGGATCTGGGGTATCTCCATACCCAGTACCGACTGTCTACTGCACTGACTTGACAATATTGTAGGATTTGATTCTATTGAATACTGACTTTATCATTATAGGATGTTGATTATATTGATTACATTGAGGTGCAGACAGACCACTCGTTCTCAGTCAGAGCAGTGGGGAAAGCTTGAGCTGTCCAGACCATCCCGTGTCTGGCACTGTCTGCCCGTCAATTTCGGCTGATGGCGACACACCAATAAAGCCGACCCAGTCGATCATGGGCCTTTTGCCCAAGTAGTCTAAATCCATGCTAGGGAGCATCCGCGGCCGATCCGTTCTGTTAGGAGGTTGAGCAGTCTCAGTCCTTCCGAGGGTTGCGAGTGCACCGTGGACACCCGTTCCCAGAGCACAGAGCATGTCTCCTTTTCCCTTCATCCCTTTTGACGCGGCCTGATGACAACCGTTGCACTGCCCGGACCCAGATGGATATCCTCATTAAACTCATCTCCGTTCGAGTCTAGAATAGAAGATACATACTGTCTTCAGACTCAGAGAGTACTAACTATTCGAATTAAGACACCTGTCATACGTCCAGACACTCAATAGTTTGCCAGGCGGGGAAGCCGGATCTCGGGGGTGATGGCCCATCAGTGTGCACTAGCATACAAGGTCGCACAAAATTGAGACACGGAAGATTGATTATATCCTGATACGCACTAGCAAGCCATCGTACGATATACGATGGGTATTCTGGCCGATGTGACTTGGAGTGTTTTACTATATTGACGCTGACTCATGTTAATATAGGATGGTGATTGTGATTGTGTGATTAATAATACTGGTTAGGGTTGCTGCAAGGCATAATCACGCTAATCTAGGTGCATGAATAGTATATGCAGGATGACCAGAGTAGAATGGTCAATTGGTAATATTGATATATCATAATATTATTGATAATAATGTACATTATTTACTGTAGAATAATAATGCTTACAGTCTACAGAATAAGAATACAGTAGTTATCAGATAAAGTATGTCTACACCGCTGGTATGATGGAATAAATCAATAGTCTGTAGACTAATCCCAGTCTATCCACTCTGATAACCATAACACGATAACAGCATACCACGGAAATACCGAATGCCTATTCAGTCATATTGTCCAGAATAATGAACACTACTACACACATACTACTGAATACAATAAACTCACCATAACCGAGGGTATCAACCACCGACCGCACCGCCGGCAAATCACATCGCCCAACCAACCAAACCTCTCGGTTCGGCGGAGCGGAAACTTCACCAATCTCATCCTCACCCAAGCTGTTGGGCTTGGTACACTTCCAGGTTTGCGATCTTGGATAAAGCCGGTCCACTAGTTAAAAACCCCAAGCATGAGGGTTTTCCGATTGCGGAGATGGAACGAATCACATTGTTCCAAGTAATTCCTTGGGGTAGGCAAAAACGTGGATGATGCGGGGTTGGAGAATGGAGATGCGGATGTGGCGGATGATGATGCTGAAAGCTGAATGGCAATGATGATGATGCCGATGATCATCATCATCATCATCAGATGATTGCCATTCGGTGTCATGGATACATCATTTTTCTTTCTTTCTTTGTCTTAGGGACTGGGATTTCATGGATTGGAAGGGCCAATTCTTGGTTTGGGGCCTCATGCATCATAATCCATAGCTACTGCAGATCATCCTGCAGTGTTCATCCCACATGGCAAAATGTGCCTGCCATCTCCATCTCCAGCGAACTAGTAAAAGCGTAGATAGACCAGCATGAACTCTCTAGCACGAGCTGAATAAGTTTACTATCCATGCAGCAGCACCTTTTCGGCCTCGAACAGTGGGGGTGAAGGATCGGCGGAAAGAAGCGGTCAACAATCAGCCTTCACAGCATTGATTCTAACTTCAGTTTTTGTCTTGCAATTTAGTTGGAACTATTGATCTCGTCCTTGGTTTGTGTGATAGTGGTTTTTTTTTTTATTTTTAATTCCAGTTGGGTTTGGAAGCAAAGTTGCTAAAGTTGCCAAAAATTGATCTTGGTTTGTTGGTTGGTTTGGTTGGGACGCCAGCCGGAGTTGTCGGATGTGATGGACTCAACAGATGCATTTATGGGTTCGGAGTTAGTATGGTGGTGGTTTATTGTACCATGCAGGTCATGCAGCTGAGCTCAGCGTTCTTCAGCAATAATGTCAGATTATCTATTCGTACTTGGTAATCAGATAGTAGTCAATGCAGCACTAATGTACAGACAATTCCCTGAACTGAGTGAACTCTTCACTAAACGCATAATCAATATACCCCCTCGGGTCCTTGACGAGATAAAACACCTCCCTCTCATACGGCCGTAGCGGCACCCCATTCTTCACCCGAAACACCAAGTCCGGATTCGAAATGAACATCCGTCCCATCGCCACCACCACCTCTTCATCTTTATACTTGACATCCACCGCCTCCCTGGCCGTATCCGCCGTGTAACCCCCCGCAACAATCACCGGACTGGCGCGGCTATACTCCGCAAGGAAGAAATCCAACGACTCCCCACTCTCGACATCCGCGTAGCCGGCGATTCGCGCCTCGACAAGATGCACATAGGCGAGCTTGAACTCGGCCACCTTGCGCGCTAGATACGAGAATTGAGGAATTGGATCCTCCATCCGCATCGCCTGGAATGTACTCCAGGGACTGAATCTGACGGCGGTGCGATCCGCGCCAACGGCGTCAACTACGCCGCTGATAATTTCCAGTGCGAACCGCGCGCGGTTCTCCACGCTGCCTCCCCAGGCGTCGGTGCGCTGGTTGCTATTATCCTGGATGAACTGGTCAATTAAGTACCCGTTTGCAGCGTGGATCTCGACGCCGTCAAAGCCCGCCGCGATGGCGTTCTTCGCTGCTTGGATGTATTCGTCGATAAAGGCGCGGATTTCCACCTCGGTCATTTCGCGGGGTACGACGCCGTCTGCTTTCTCGGGGATGGGGCTGCTAGAGATGAAATCTAGGCCTTCGCTCTTGAGCACGTCTGGGTCCGCGACTCGACCCAGCCCCCACAGTTGCATGTAGATGTACGACCCCTTCTCGTGGACTGCGTCCGTCACCTCCTTCCAGCCTGCTATCTGCGCTTCGTTCCAGATGCCGGGGACATTGTGGGATCCGCCGGCGCGGGGCGAGACGAGGGTGGACTCTGTGATGAGGAGGGTGCCTGGGACGGAGGCGCGTTGCTGGTAGTATTCCTTCATGAGGGGGAGGGTGGGGGTGTGGTCGTCTTGGTTGCGGAAGCGGGTTAGGGGGGCCAGGGCGATGCGGTGGTCGAGGCGCACTCGGCCTATGTTGAGGGGGTTGAAGAGTTTGGTCATTTTGATTGTCTGCTTGAAGTGATGGAGAAGTTGATTGGTGGATTGGTAGATAGAGTGCTGATGTTGGATTGGATTGAAGTCTAGTATATCGACCTGGATGTTGAAGGATTAAGTACCCTGAACAGGTACACTCAACAGCATCTCCTGATGGCCATGATTTCCAATCAAAAAAAGACGGTGAAACCTGAATCACAGAAACAAAACTAACTCGTCATGATTGAAAATCATGCAGATAGACCTGTACAACAAAGACCTGGTTGTTACTGCATGGGTTTATGATGAGAGACCGACAGTCGACCAATCACATTGCGGGAAAATGTCTCCGAGCGGAGGAACTCATATTGAATTTCTGCCTCAGGCATGGCTAATATATCACCGAGACCCTTTGTTAAATGCTAACGCCTTTGTTTCCCCTATTCCAAAATAATCCTCTCATTAAAAAATCAGCTGTGGGTATTGAACGTCATAGAATCAATAAGACAAGTGTGGAATGCTTTCAACTTCATCTCTCCAGTGTCCGTGCGGTGGCCTCCAGTTGCGCGTTGAACGCTTTGATCTGGTTGAGGAGGCCTCCCTGTCTGCTGGAGCTCACTTCTTCTCCTACGCTGCGGAGCATGAATTCCAGTCCGGCTGTCGTAGCTGGTCCGGCTTCGTTTTCGTCTGGTCGGTTCTGGCTGCGATCCATGGCTAGGTCGAGACTATGCAGGGAGTTGTTGATGGTGGTGCGGGCCTGGTCTGTTAGAAATGAAACATCAAGGATGAAATCAATGAAAACTCACCTGTCTTGCACTCTCCTCCTCCGCATGCTTCTTCCGTACCGCATCCATCTGCAGCGCCACGCTTTCTCGCTCCCTCCGCACCTGGTACAGTCTGCTCCGCATGTCCATCATCTCCCGCTTGGCCTTCTTCACCTGCACGCCCAGCACGAAATTACTATCCAGCATTTCGCTCAACTCAAGCAAGCGCCCATCCAGCTCCGTCCCGAACGCTTCCACCGCCTTCTTCTTGCGCATAAATTCCTGTCGTCGCGCTGGATTCGTCTCATTCGCAATCCCGTTCTTGAGTGTCGTGAGCGTCTTCTCCAGTGTCTCGCGGCATATCTGGCTCAGCACGTCGGCTGGGTTGACGCCTCCCCGGTTGGGGAGTTTGGTCTTTTGCCGCGTCGAGATTTCGTCGGCCGATTCTTCTTCTTCTTCTTCGGCCGCGTCGGGTCCGCCAAGGGCCCCTCCTAGTGATGCAACGTTCACGAGGCGATGGACTGTCACTGGAACTGTCTCTCCCCGTGGTGCTCGCTTCTTTCTTGTAGGTTGACTGCCCTGTTCGGGTTCTTGTTGCGCTGCTTGCTCCGCTGCTTGCTGGTCTGTTGCTATGTCGGCGTCGTTGTTTGGCTTTCTACCCCGACCACTTTTGGGTGCTGAGGGCTCTGGCTCAGCAACAGGTTCAGGTCCAGGCTCTGGCTCTGGCTCTGGCTCTTGTGCAGCCTCTGGAGATTGACGAGCTCGCTTTTGCTTGCCTGGCCGCCCACGTTTTGGCTTCGTCTCTGCTGGTTGTGATTGACGCTCAGATTCCCGAGCCACATCAACATCCGGCTCAAGTGCATCCTTCATTTCAACATCAGGTCTACCCGACACTTCAGTTGTAGCCAGCTTCTCTGTAGAAGCTTCACGATTCTTCGCATTTCTCCCCCGGGGTTTCCTTCCTCCCTGTTCCGAAGTAGATGCGTTTTCTGTGGAAACATCCTTTCCTTTTCCGGACGCTTGGCTTGTATCGGGTGATGCTGGGGTTCGGCCTCTTTTTCGTTTCTCACGTTGCAGTTTCGAATCCTCCTCAGGCGGTGCATTCTCTGTTGTAGCCTCTTTAACTTGTTCAGATACTTCATTTGTACCTGGGGATGTTCGGGCTGACGCAGGAGTTCGGCCTCTCTTTCGCTTCTCACGCTGTGGTTTCGTGTCTTGTACCTCTTCAACAGCGGGTTGACTTTCTTCCCCTGGTACTTGCGATGATTGATACGGAACCGATGCATCGTTGCTTTGTTCTGGGGGTGCGGGAGTTCGGCCTTTCTTCGGCCTCCCACGCTGTGGTTTCGGGACTTGTACCTCAGCAAAAGCCTGATCTTCCTCAGGTGGAGCAATCTCTGCTGTAGCATCCTTGTTTTGTTCGGACGATTCATTCGTACCCGGGGACGTTCGAGCTGACGCCGGAGTCCGGCCTCTTTTCCGCTTCTCACGCCGTGGTTTCGAATCTTGCGCTGCCTCGACTTCTTGGCCCTCTTCCTGTGGTAGTTGGTCTGGAACTGGCGCTTCTGTTGCAGCAGCTTTACTTTGTTCAGCCGCCTCGTTTGTATCTGGGGATTTTCCAGCTGATGCCGGGGTTCGGCCTCTTCGCTTCCCGCGCTGTGGCTTCGAGGTTTGTGATTCTTCGGTGTCTTTTTGACCTTCTTCAGGTACTTGCGATGGCTGGTCCGGAACTGGTGGAGCCGATACACCTTCTGTTGAGATATCCTTGCCCGGTTCAGGCTGTTTGCCGGTATCGGGGGATCGAGAAGATGCGACAGGACGACCCCTTCTTCCTTTCGTAGTCTGCTGCTTTGGACTTTGTTTCTCAATGGCATCCTGACTCCCTTCGGGTGGTACTTGCGGCGGTTCATCTGGCTTTTGTGGTTGCTGTTCCGAAACCTCTGGTTGGACCGGTGGTCGTACTGGCTCCTGCTCACCCTGACCGACCGCTTCCACTGTAGTTTCTGGTGATTGACGAACCTCGGTGCTACCCTCTCGGCTCTTGCGTTTGCCATTCGTACCCCGTGGAGACGTTCTTGTCGGTCGATGTGCTTCTTCTTGGATCATTGAAGCTTCTTGTTTCTCTCCATTGACCTTTGTTTGATCATCTGCCGGCTGCGCTTGCTCGTGCTCTTGGACGTCAGGCTCGGGTAGTGCAGTGGAATCCGGTACTTCGGGAGGTGGCTCTTCTTTGTGCGGGGTAGTTGTAGGCTCCATCGGCTGTATAATTTCATGCTGTACCTCACTTGGCGTAGGTTTCGGTTTCTTCGGTTGTACATCTGGTTCTGCTGGAGCGCCATTTTGTAAGGGCGGGGGGTTGTTTATGTCATGTTGCGAGCTGTCCAAACTGGTCGGCGGTCTCACGGTCTTGCTGGGAGAAAGCCTAGTCGGTGATTCTTGGTCATATTAGTACACAGACACGGTAGTCCACAAATTAAAAGCACCCACCGATTTTTCTTCTCTTGATGCTCCGTCCGGTGTCTGGCGCATCATCTGGAATGTCAAACGTCGACGGCCTCGCGGGCCGGTTGTTACGCGCGCTTCCGGGCGTTCGCTGACCCTGGACTTGATCTTGCGATCCCAAGAGCCTCCTTTCCGGTGACAATGGCGGAGGTTGAGCCTTCTCTGCGGCTATATCTGGTTGCGGCGGTACAGGAGGTTCGGGAACGATACCAATGCCAGCAGGCTGCGACGCGGGCTGGGAAGAGGCCCCAGGCCCAGGGGCCAAACCAAACGAGAATCCAAAATCGACTTCCTTTGCTTTGCGTGACCTATAATGTAAAATAGCCGGTCAGCCATTGAATCGGTTCGCGGGGTAAGGGAAATGGCGCGTACGCAGCTCCGCGCATCCGCATTTGCTGCCGCTCCTCTCGATCTGCAAAAACCATCTTGTTAGCTGGAATTGCATCCTGAAATCAACAGTCGGGAATCATACTGGAAGCCATGATCGAGAAGCGGCGCCTTTGCTGAGCTTAACGCGCCTTAAAACGCGAGATGTTGGCGATGCGGGTGACTTGGGAGCGGACAATGCTGTAGATCGAGCGAGTTGTATGTTGGAGCTCCGACGGGCGGCCCAATGCGGTATGGCGGGAAAATCACTCATGGGTTGGAACTTCTCCTCCGCATTACTCGCATCTTCTGCCACCAGATATTCACGAATAATTGTTTATCATTGCCCTCACAACCACACAATCAGAGGCTTCGCACGGTCGCTTGCTGATTATATACAAAATGGGTTGGTTCTGGGGCTCCAACAACGACGACCCCGTCAAGAAGCTGGACCCGGGCCTCCGCGAGTATCTCGAGCACGAAGCCCCAGCCAAATATGTTCCTACAACTCAGATTCCATCCGCTCAAGACCCTTCCCAGACGGTAGACACACAATCTCAGCCGTCGCAGCCTGCCCCCGAAGCTACAGAGCCCCCCAAACCTACCGTCCCCGCTGCCTCTCTCTACCCCGACGGCCGCTATGCCGACCTTTGGAAAACCTACAAACCCCCCAGTGACGTTGAAGGAGCCGAGGTGAAGGGAGCATCGCGAGTGATTGAGAAATACAAGGAGCGCAAAGACACGGTGCACCGGGCGGCAATGGAAAACTGCGCATTGGAACATGAAGACTTGACGTATTGCTTCCAGACCGGTAACTGGCAGAAGCAATTAAAGGCCCGTATGACATTGTGCTCCGAGGAGAATTCGACATTTTCCCGTTGCTTTACCACTCAGGCTGTGAGTTGTTAGATCGGTTTCTGTTATTGGTGTTGATACTGAGACTTTCCAGAAATTCCTCCAGGCTCTGGGTTACGCCTCCTCGTTCAACTATGATGAAGATAAAGAAGAGCGGATTCAGATGCACGCAGATAAATTGTATCACCAGATGCTGGATTATGAAAAACAAGTCAAGGAAGCTCGTGAAGCTGGCCAAGAACCGCCACCCATGATGTCTCTCTTTAACCCTAAAACAAAGCCAACAAGCCAACAAGCCGACAAACCAGGAGCATTAGAGATTCCTGGGGGCGAACAGATTCCAGCCGGGTTCAGACCATCGAAACCGTTGGAGCGACTCAGTCCGCATGAGAGAGAGCTGGAAATCCGGGCTCACAACGCCCAGTTGGAGCAGCAAAAGCTTTACATGGAAGAGGCGTCTCCGTTTATGAAAAACCAAGAGGATGCCCGCCAGAAGAGACGGGAGAAAGCCGTGGGCTGGTTCGGAGAGACGATTGGCAAATGGGTCACATAAAACTGCACTTGTACTATTCTTTGTATACTATTTAGCATGTCACCTATATCGAAGAGGACGTGAAAATGATCTATCATAGCAAATGTGGGCGTTAGCATGGATGTCTACAGCGGATTCAAATTAATTTGATTAATAGTGTGTAAAAACGAACTCCCCATCTCGCCTTCTCTACTGTAACCTCAGAACGTGGACTGCTGACGGTCACGGGCGCTGCCATTCGCCGGGCGCGTTCCCGTTCGCCAGAGCGACACGAGGCGACACGGAACGACATCACGACTCGACCTAAACTCGCTCATTGATCGAACCCATGAAGGAGATGCGCCTGACCTCGGCTGCTTGCGATTGAAAGAGAGCCTTGCTTGTTGCTTCTTTCTCTCTTCTCCCTTAGCTTCCCTCCTTTTGTATGTTTCTCAATCTTTGTTCCTGGCCCTCTTTTCCTCACTTCTAATCTGCTCTCCCTCGCCTCTCTCCACCTTTGACAATCGCAGCGTGTGATTAGTCCTCGCAGCTGTCTTCACTATTATTCCTACTGTCAATCACAACAACCGTTCACCACCACGCCCACGCCCACATACACGATCAGCTCACTCTTTCCAACCATCAATTACTATTCGCTTTATCACTACATCCAGACACACACCCTTTCACCCCATCAGCTGTCGTTGGGAGGGGCCATTGAGCTGCCGTGCTTACCATGAAGGCTACCCCATTGCTCATTTCGTGGCACAATGACAATGCTCCCATCTATTCGGTTCATTTCGACCCCAATGGCAAAGGTCGCTTGGCTACGGCCGGAAAGTACGTCGCAAAAGTTCCCCCAATCTACCTACAAAAAATCCCGTTGCTAATCTCCCCTCTTTTCTACAGTGACAACAACGTTCGAGTATGGCCCTCCCCTCCTCCCACCCGTGACCTTGTCCCTTTGTCATTCTCCCGGCCCTTCTGACCCACGAAACAACAGTTATGGAGAGTCGAATCAACCGGCGAAGAGCGGAAGGTTACATATCTGAGTACTCTTGTCAAGCACACCCAAGCCGTGAATGTGGTCCGATTTAGCCCGAAAGGTATATACCTCCTGCTTTGGCGATAAACTTGTGCTTGTGTAGCTCCTTTCTGACTGGTATAGGCGAGATGCTGGCATCCGCCGGAGATGACGGAAATGTTCTGCTTTGGGTGCCATCAGAACTGCAAACTCAATCTGGACTGGGGGAGGATCGTTCGGACGATCTGGAAACTTGGCGGGTGAAACATATGTGTCGGTCATCGGGTGCGGAAATCTATGACCTCGCCTGGTCTCCGGATGGTGTATTCTTCATTACAGGCAGTATGGACAACATCACTCGCATATACAATGCCCAAACCGGTTCGTCGGATCTCTCCCGTGTTTTCAATCCGGAATCGCAGCTGATGGCCAAACCACAACTCCAGGGCAAATGGTTCGGCAGATTGCAGAACACTCGCACTATGTCCAAGGCGTAGCATGGGACCCTCTGAATGAATTCGTCGCTACTCAGTCTTCTGATCGATCTGTTCACATATATAGTTTGAAGACGAAGGACGGTCAATTTACACTGACCTCGCACGGGAAGTTCTTGAAGATGGATCTTCCAGCCAAACGAATCGCGTCGAGCAGCCCTGCCCCAGAACCCACCAGTAGGCCCGCGCCTGCTACTAGCAGTTCGGCCGCCATGGCTTCCCCAGCTCCCTCGGCCCCAGGAACCCCAATGGCTTCAAATTTGCCAATGGACCCTCCCCCGGTGTCGCATAGCCGCCGCTCTTCGTTTGGCTCCTCTCCATCTATCCGACGCTCAGCTTCGCCGGCTCCATCTTTGCCGTTGCCTGCTGTCAAGCCTATGGAAGTATCTTCTCCCAATGTCCTTGGTGGACTAGGCGTTAAAAACGCCAATATTTATGCCAACGAGACTTTCACCTCTTTTTTCAGGCGCTTGACTTTTACCCCTGATGGGAGCCTGCTGTTTACACCCGCTGGTCAATATAAAACCTCGCAAGTATCCTCTAGGGATTCTTCGAAGACCACGGATGAAATTATCAACACGGTGTATGTCTACACCCGTGCAGGCTTCAATAAGCCGCCGATATCCCATCTACCGGGCCATAAAAAGCCCTCTGTTGCAGTCAAGTGCTCTCCGGTGCTTTACAGCTTGAGGCAATCCCCTCAGCCGGCCAGTCACATTACCCTGGATACTTCTTCTGGTGAAGAAGCGTTTGCCTCCCTTCCCGACCCGCTTGTTTCAGCGCCCTCGTCAAATAATTCCTCTATGGTCCCTCCATCGACTCATGCCGCAGGCGATTCATCGAACACCCAGGCATCTACCAAACAAACCGAGGGCGAAGGCACTTCTGCTGGTCAGGGCCCAACCCCGGTTTTCGCGTTGCCATATAGAGTTGTGTATGCCGTGGCTACACAAGACGCTGTGCTGGTGTATGATACTCAACAACAGACGCCAATATGTGTCGTCAGTAATCTGCACTTCGCTACCTTCACCGACTTAACATGGTAAATTCTCTTTCCACTCACATCCTTCCGTACGGAAAGCCTAACTGAAATTAGGTCGAATGATGGCTTGACTTTAATCATGAGCTCATCGGATGGCTTCTGCTCCACGCTCTCGTTTGCACCAGGAGATTTAGGGCAACCCTATATAGCTCCGGCATCAACAACTAAGCAGCCGGCTAACTCTGGTGTATCATCGGCACCCCAAAATCTTCCAACACCAGCACCTGCTGCATCTCCCGTGAAACCGCTTCCGGTATCTTCGAACGCAAGTGCCTCAAATACAGCTCAAGCACCCCCAGCAAGCCCAGCGCGGTCTAATTCTGCTTGTTCGAACGCCACTCAATCTTCTGCTCAGCAACCAAACGCGTCGGTTGTGAACAACCCTACGCCCACTCTTGGATCCGTGCCGTTGGTGACTGCAGTTCATTCTGCCCAACCGGCAACCCTTCCGCTCACTACACCACCGCAGACACCCATGTCCTCTGTGTCTCAGGGTGGTACGAACTCTGCCGGCAACAGCATTCTAGGCAAGCGAGATGTGACAGCTGCAAGCGAATCCGAACGAGAAGAAAGCAAAGAGCAGGATTCTGCCACACAAGCACAACAGCCGAAGAAGAGACGCGTGGCACCTACACTCATCTCAGCTGGCAACGAGCCTTCAAAAGACGAGTCGCCAAATAACGGCGGTGGTTAGATTTTGCGAGCCCGAAATCCTTTTTGTCCTGTATTATGTGTGATACTGCGCAAGTCCCATTCACCCCTCTACAGTTTAAAGCGCCAGTGTGCGGATATCTTGGGCACCTACGAATCTACTTGACGACTCATGTTTCCTTTACTCTATCTTCCGCTCTACTCAAGTAACCGACATTCCGACATTTATGCGCGACGCTGTAATCGGCAGGTAGATGAGCGCTACCCCTCACGCAGCATCCATCTATAACCGCGCATTGACATTTGCCATTCAGGCATAACCCCTGCTTTCGTCGGTTTCTCTTGTGCTCTTCGGCATTGCCACCCCCCAGGAGGGGTGTCTGTGTATTTACTATTTCATCTGCGTTTTGACAGTTGGGTTAAAAGGAACGGTTAGTGCTATTTTCATCTTAGCTAGTAGTTATTTCATAAAAATAATGACTTTGATAGACTCATTTCACTGAATACTCGATTTTTATTATTTATTAGTTTTTATAAAGCTTTCTTCGCTGGTTCTCGGAGGGTATAAGTGGTTAGTGCTAGATGAAACATTGATTAGCCACGCTGTGTCGATATTCCTAGCTAATAACACCCATCTACAGAAACTATCAATGGGACCGTATACAATGCTCAGTCAATAGTAATAAAATGAATATACATTGATCAATCTACAGTAGGAAATGACTATCATCTATGCCCATTCGCAGTCTCCTTCAAAACTAAGGGGGGGTGAAAAAGTAAAAGGACGAGCACTGGTGGCGATTAACCCGTGCAAGAGGTGAGGACATGAGGTTTAGTAGTCGAAGGCATTAGGTGGAATGCCCGTTGCTCAATGGAAAGCCAGCCATGGTCGGTGAAGATAGAGCACTTACAATGTCTGTAATGCTTAGGTCGCTCGGTAGAACCGCTTTTGCCTCCGTAGCATGGGATCCCACAGTGAGGGTGGTCACATTGGGGATTTTATCCTCCAGTTGCAAGCTGTTGGCCCAGCGAAACAAAGCTTCGTCACCCCGAGAGCCTCCTGCGACAAATAAGAAGTCCGGAATCCTTGGTAGCTGCTGCAGGATGAGATCTGCGGCTTTCGCTTTTGTGACATCCAGAGGTTCGACACTCACTAATCCCTCAGTTAAAACAACCCGAATTGCCTCGTTGCCCCTTGAACCATTGATTTGGTCCGCAAGCTCAGAGGCTTGTCGGCTGGCAATTTCAGGATCGTAAGCATCGTCATACCGATACGTCAACAAGCAGCGTCGTTCTTCCATTTTGCTTCCTTCGGTCCTTTCTTGGAAATACTCGATCACCTTGCGGATTCCATTTCTCCAATCTTTTATCTTGTCCATGTCAACTAGCGACTCCCACTGAGATGCGCCAATCTCTCGTAAAAAGCAACCATTCTCGGCGATATAGCCCACTCTATATGGAAGTGTATGGATCATTGTTTCGAGTTGCTCAGGGCTTTTATCACTGGTCACGTAGACAAGATTCTTCGGCTCGCAAAGTAAGTGTTCTAACAGATGAACCATTTTCTTGCTGGGTGTTGAAGCGGTAGAGCCGATTGTCCCTTCATCCTCAAGCAAGAAAAGCCTTACATCGGAGTTTTCATATGACTGTTTCAATGCATTGACAGAGAGGGATGAGACTTGGCTAGGCTCGCGAGATAATTGAGAGGCGTGAGCTTTGGATAGAGCATTTTGGAATGCGTCGCACCAAGCTAACGCAGTGTACGGTGCCTTCCTCTCGAGCAGAAATTGCCAGTTGCGCTGTTTTTGCTCTGGTGACATCTCAAGAGCCTTGTTAATTGTATCTGCCACTTCCCTATAATCCCATGGGTTGACAAGGAGCTCATGTCCACTGAAAATCGAGGCACTCCCCGTAAACTCACTAAGAATGAGGGAACCATGACGCTGTAATGTGAGTTTTCCATCTTGGTAATGAAGGTAGTCATGACTGGTAAGATTCATGCCCTCCCTCAGACTGGTCACCATAAAGATCTCGGCGACACTCATGAGCGCGAGGAACTGAGAATAACTGATGTCTTGCCTCAGAAGCACCAGTGGCTGGTGGGTCAGTGTTGAGTAAATCGAATTTATTCTCATTGCAATCTTTGAGACTTGGGCTTCCAGTTCAGGCAGTTCTGATGCTGACGACGCAACTTGGATGAGGACGACCTGTGACGGTTAGCATGATATTTATCTGACCAGATAGGGGTTTTCAGATCTTACATTTTCTCTCCATTTCCGATTTCGCTTCAAAAATAATTCGTACGCCAAGAGCTTCTGCTTGATACCCCCTGGCGCATCAAGCCTATCTCTTGCAACGATCAAGCGCTTACCCCTGTATCTCGTGCATATGTTAGAAACCCAGTCCTTGACCTCTGTAGACTGTCGCAGCTCATCAAGGGCCTTTGTGTCGATTCCAAATGGGATCCTTTTCACATTTACGAAGCGTTTGTTGAGTCGAACCCCATCAATTGTCACCTCTAGACTTAAAAGGCGACTACACGTCTGGAGGAAATGATGACAATATTCATCTGTCTGAAAACCAACAAGATCTGCACCCAGAAGACCCTCTAGCAGTGCATTCCGGGCATTGAGGCACCTGAACACTTCAGACGAGGGGAATGCAGCATGCATGAAGAAGCCGATCTCTGCATTGGGCAACTTTTCCCTGAGTAAAGACGGAAGTAGCAGAAGATGATAGTCATGTACCCAAATGCTATCACCTGGTTTCCAGTGAGCTGCAATGGTGTTGGCAAATGCTTCATTGACTTTCAAGTATTGCTTCCAGGAGTAATCGTCATATTCAGTATGGCGAGGACTTTCCTGCATCTGATAGTGGAAGGCCGGCCATAGAACAGCACGGCAAAAATGGGTGTAGTGTCCTTCAAATTCACTATCGCTAGGAAACACCGTGATGGATTCGAATTCGTCTTCGAGGGTCTCCGAGATGCTGGCACACGTTTCGTCTTTCAATGAATCGGTTGGCATGCCAAGGGTGCCCACCCACATTTTGTCGGGCAACATACCCGCTTCTACGGCTGCTTTGACTGTATTTCGCAGACCACCGTTGCCCTGTTCGGCAGATTTGACGACCCAGTCTGCATCAGAAAGCAGTGCGCGGGGACTCCCATGATCATCTTCCGAACTTATAGTGTCTATAGCACCATCGAGATGATAAGATAGCTCGTCCTCTGGGTCGGGGCGGTTCAAGATGGACGGCTCAGGATGAAAGGTAGCCTTGGATCGTGGCTGATTAAACTTGCGGCTTTTACCCCACGATACGGATCGAGGCTCACTGGGACCTGGGCCGTTTGGGTCATCCGTGTACGGGATTTCTCCCGCAGACTGAGATGCATAGGGTTTGAAAATTTCATAGTCCGTGATTGCCCCGGGAGTCAGATAGAAACTTGAGGATTTGAAATGGCGATTCCGGCGAGCCTCTGCTAGCCGCCCGATGACCTGATCATCGGGTGAGGAATAACTGACAGAGGACTTGCGACGAGCATGTCTTAATTCAGTGGCTTTGAAGTCTATAGTATACGGAAGGAAACTAAAGCGGAATGTCAGCTCGTATCATATACCGATGAGTGCAAAAGAGGGGTGACCTACAGTGAGGCAATAAAAACCGTCATTGATATATTTTGTTTGAGCAGACTGTCTTGAGCGGTTTGAACGATATCTAGCAAGGGATGATGCCGCAGAAAGGTGATCGACCTTTGTGAGGTATTAGGACGTAAGACGGAGGTCGGTCTAGATGATGAAAGGCGTTGTTTTCCGGGTCAAAGGAGGATGGAAGGCCGGGTCTATAAAAGATGCGGGAAAGCGAGTCCTGAAAATCCCGGGGAAATTAGTGCTGCAGAACATTTGGAATAAACAAATAGAGTGGTGACGTCGTTGATTGGCCAGTGAGAGCCTGGGCTGAGGGATTTGAGCGAGAAAATAACAGAACCTTCTGGGCTTTTCGAGGGGAAGAGGGGAAGTTCACCTGGGCGTTCGGGCACGATGTTGCTTTTCGCGCGCTCGCTGCCTTGATGCCAGCCACTCATCAGAGGAGGTTGCTATAGTCCTTCAACTTATACCAACGGCCCAACGATGCTGACCGTGTAGTGTTTTGGGCAGAATAGTCGGTCCATTCGATAGACTCCTTGACGCTTCGACACAGTCTGGGCCCGCGACGACTTGGGACCACGGACCGGATCGGAAGGGTCAATATTACTTCATCGCCGGTGCTCTTGACGGAGAAAAAGCGCCCAAACTGCAGAGAGCCAGAAAAAAATCAAGGTTGTCAGCTGAAAATCAAGTAAAAAGCCGGTGGTGGTGGATAAGAATAGAAAATAAGAATGTCTGAGGGAGGAGGTGGTTGAGTTTCCCGTGGGGGTTGCGTCGTCCAGCCAGTAACGGTATCATCGCCTGAGGGTAATAATTCACTCCTCCTGCTGTCGCGACTTCCCTTGCAATCTGCCCCTCATCCGACAGTCTTCGGAACTAATTCATCACTCTTATCTATTATTTTCGTTCTCTGCCTTATTATCCCTCGGGTGCCGTTCTCCTGCTCGGTCACTGCCAGCACTATATTCTTTTCTGATACGTCTTGTCTATACCGAGTCCTGCGCAGCCAATCTGATCTCTCATGTCCAACACAGACACGACCCCGGGCGATTCCCGCCTGCTTCTCGTCTCCAATCGCCTACCAATCACCATCCGGCGATTGGAAGGCAAGTATGAATTCTCCATGTCCTCGGGTGGCCTTGTGACAGGCCTCAGCGGACTGTCCAAGACCACAAGCTTTCAGTGGTACGGTTGGGCGGGCCTGGAAGTCCCTGAGGATGAAGTCAAGACTGTGCAGGATAGACTGAAGGAGGAGTTCAATGCCACGCCTGTCTTTATAGATGACCAGTTGGCCGATCTCCATTACAATGGCTTCGCAAGTATGTAACCATGCGCCTCTTTATGCCCGGAGGCGATCACCCATTACGACAGTGCCCAATCAATCGCTAACGATTTGTCCTAGATTCCATACTGTGGCCATTGCTGCACTACCATCCCGGTGAAATCGTGTTTGATGAAAGGGCTTGGGAAGCATACCAAGAAGCCAATCTATTGTTCGCCAAAACAATCGCCAGCGAAGCCAAAGACGGCGACTTGATCTGGGTGCATGACTACCATCTCATGCTTCTTCCTCAAATGCTCCGACAGGAATTGAGTGCATCTGGAAAGAAAGACATTCGCATTGGTTTCTTCCTCCACACCCCTTTTCCCAGCAGTGAGATATACAGAATCCTACCTGTGAGAGGTCAGTTACTTTATGGATTGCTGAACTGCGACTTAATCGGTTTCCACACATACGACTACGCGCGCCATTTCTTGAGCAGTTGTTCCCACATACTGTAGGTACCTTGCGATGATTGTCAACCCGTGATGGACTAACGGTTTTACAGAGGGCTGGTAACAACCCCGAGCAGTGTGAAATATGAAGGACGATCCGTTGCAGTCGGGGCTTTCCCTATTGGAATTGACCCTGAGAAGTTCACTGAAGGCTTGAAGAATCCCAAGGTACAAAGTCGCATCCAGAATCTTGAGAGCAAGTTTCAAGGGACAAAATTGATGATAAGTGTGGATCGTCTCGACTATATCAAAGGCATTCCTCAGAAGCTGCATGCTTTGGAAGTCTTTCTTTCCAGCCACCCAGAATGGGTTGGGAAAGTCGTTCTAGTTCAAGTCGCTGTCCCTAGTCGACAGGATGTTGAGGAGTACCAGAACTTGAGAGCAGTGGTAAATGAGTTGGTCGGGAGAATCAACGGCAAGTTTGGTATGGTTGGCAGCTTTCCAAGACCCAAACTCATTCATACTAATATTGAGGTTAGGTACTATCGATTATGTACCCATTCACTTCATTCACAAATCAGTAGGGTTTGATGAACTTATCGCCCTGTACGCAGTCTCCGATGCTTGCATTGTGTCTTCCACTCGGGATGGAATGAATCTGGTTTCATTCGAATACATTGCTACACAGGAGAAGCGTAAAGGTGTTTTAATCTTGTCGGAGTTCGCCGGTGCTGCTCTGAGCTTGAATGGGAGCATTGTGGTGAACCCGTGGAACACCGAAGAGCTTGCTGGAGCATATCACGACGCTGTGTCATTGAGCGATGCGCAAAAAGCCGTCAAATTCCAAAAACTCTTCAAGTACATCTCCAAGTACACAAGGTCAGTACCCATACATACGTACCCATCTAACAACACGACGGTTGCCTAGCTCGGTGCTAAACTCTTTGCAGCGCATACTGGGGACAGTCTTTCGTGTCAGAGCTATCTCGCTGTCCATCATGATGTGAAATTGGGGTTTAGGATGGGGTTCAAAGTGGCAAACCATAATATTTTTTTTTTTTTTTTTGCATGGCGGCTTAGAGCGATATTTGATCCAAGTAGACATGACGATTCTAATGAAAGCGAGTCCTATTGGCTCTAGATATTGACACGGGCAGGAAATGCATACATTATGTAACGGGAAGGCAAAGTATCTGGAAGGATTGCCGTCCTACGCCAGCGACTACGTATTCCACGCGGCATAGAAGAGTAGTGACGCATGACATATCAAGCGATCTGCGAGATCTACACCACGTCAACACCCGATCAGACAGCAACGGCAAGTGATGAATTGCGCAAAGGGATCAGCCGGAGAAAATCCTTGTTTCAGAATTGTATAAGCCGACAGGGATATAGCACGATATTATGGTGTTTCTCAGCATGAAGATGGCTAAGAGCTTGGACATGGTTTATCAACATCAACCGAACCCCGCGGTCGTTATATACTTTGAAGAACGAGATCAAATACTGCAGTTGTTCGTCATAGTAGTATACTCCATCAAAACCACAAACTATTCCATACGTAGTATGTGTAGATCGGTGGTGAAAAACAAGCACACATGCATACAGACGGGAAGCACCTTACGTATACAGATAGGCATAAGACAACGTACACTCCATGGAAGCCAAGTCTGAAGCCAAGAGATGTATGACAAGTCGACAGCGAGCACCACGATCCAACCGTGCAACCGACAGAAAGCGGGCTAGAAAAAATAAAATGAAAAACAAATAAAGTGGATAACACTGACAATCAATATTTATTTTATTATATTTTATCTTTTCACCTTGTACCAGAAGCAGAACTTGAATGGAAAAAAAGAACAATGAACCTTTCCAAGCACACTAAACCCAATCGGGCAAATTACATCGGCGGGATAAACCGTGCACTCTGCAATTGTGGAGGGGCAAAGAGGACACAGAGCTTAGGTGGACAGTGGAACACACTTGGACAGCCAAAGGCTGAGGCAGGAAAGTAAAGGTAGTGAGGGGAACGGGTTTTAAACAAGGTCTATGAAAGCGAAGGCTGTGATTCGTCATTTAGTGTGGAAAAAAGATGGGTTGCTAAACTTGCTAAGCCCCACGATGGGGTGGTGCTTGGTTTTCTTAGGAGTTAGGCTTGTTTTGGCCGCTTTAGCTGTTGTTAGCATGAAACGGCCATGCCGTCTGTTAGGCCGTTTCAACTTGTCACGGGTGTTCTTGGATCTTAGTACGAGTATTCTTTCCTTTTCGCCTGAAAGGGGCATGAAACCGGAAAAGGTGTTACTCCGATGGGTGTAGGAATAATCCGAGCCCTCCGAGGTTCCGAAGTAGTGTGTTGATGATCGTCCAAGGAAGGGATTTAACTACTAGTTTTACTATTTAGATCAACTGACAAAAGTTGTTGGGCAATAGCCCTTGATCTTTTTTATCTAGACTCTCTGTAGTATTTGATCAAGAAATAAATTCCCCTAGCTTGGTAGTTAGTTTATGTTTATTACGTGATATATTGGAATATGGGAAAAAAGACTGAAGATTTGGCTTCTCTACGAGAATAGATGCCGATCAGGGTCTTGTGACTTGACCAGGATGTCGCAATCAGGCTTTACGATGAGGCGGCAGCATCCCGTATTCCCGTTGAACACGCAGATAACCAGTACGCATATATGATTATCTGTATTCAATCTACAAAAACGGTCAATGTCAATGTAGATGATTCATGATTCAGATTATCATTGTAGATGAAAGGAGAGTCAAGAACCATGGACGATTCCATCTAATAATAAACATGATCTGATTTTCCAGCATCGATAATTCGATATGGAAACTTGGCAGATTCGCCGGTCGCGCGTCGCTGCGAAGATCATCTCATAGCTAGATTGGCAGACTAAACCGCACCCAACCTAGGGCCCAGGGGGTGGATGATCCGATCATTCTGAGTCCATTCTAGGAAAATAAAGGGGGGGGAAGAGAGCCGCACGCTTTACCCGTTCAGAGTCAAAGACGACGAAAACGAACCCTGAGCCAAGACTCTCGAAAGGCTGGCCCGGGATGAGACACCAGAGACAGCCCATTGCCAAGGCGCTTCTGGTGTTCTCAGGGTCTGGGATGACCCACTTGGCAGTTTTGTCAGCAGCAGAATTGGGTTAGGCTGGTGGGGCGCTCGAAGCTATTCTAGCCGAATCTTGTCTATGCCAAGACGGACGCTTGCGCGTCTCCGCCACATCTTTTTCGTTCCTATCTGGGAAAGACGCTGGACTGTAACGCCCTTGGCTCCATTGTTATGTGTAGACTGGAGTGTACGCTCCGAACGGGTTTGTTGGGCGAACAAAGAGTATGCAGGTACCATTATTATCCCATGTTCAACAGAATTATTCGTAAGATGTACGGTGTGCATAGTTTGGGCTGTGGATGGCAACAAAGTAGTATTGTGTCGTGTCAGGGTGGAAATGCGCATTCATAGTTGGTGCAAGAAGCCGCGCGTATACCTACACCATAGAGCGACCGACTTTATGAATCATTTTTTCCCTCCCTTGCCAGTCTGGTACATACTGCAGGTCTGCATCAGACAATTAGAAAAACTATTGAATAAACCATCAAGAATAGAAAATGGAATGGAAAGAGAAACCCTTAATTTCAGAGATCCAGGTCTTCAGGAATGAAGATTGTCCAAGACAGTCCATGGTCCCGTAGTGGTGTTTGACTTTTGATCTGCCTTTCAGGGTCTCAACAGCCGACGTTCAATATCTCCGTGCTTTCGATGGTGTGGACAGACCAGGGTAGATATTTAAAATTTTCTCATCGTCTTTTTTTCTGAATCTTCCATATCATTATCCAATTATGGAAGCGCCAGAAGCAGTTCCGTCTGTCAAAGCCTTAGCTGTACAGTGATTCGTCCGCGCAATCTATGGGACTTTGGGTGGTTCGATTTCCACAAGGCTGCGGTCCAAACCGCGAGATAATTTTCCTTTCTGAAGGAGGATTTTTCCCTTTTGCCCACCCAAGACGGTTAGCAGTTGGGCAGTGCACGGTTACACGCTATTCTAAAGTGTAGATTAGTCTGTTGATCAGAGAGCCGCGTAAGACACTGGCTGACGTCGAGTCAAGATCACTACATCGTAGGAGAGTAGTTAGCACATACAAAAAAAATTGGGCTTGAAGAGCCGACCTGAATGATGACAGCTGTATGTATGGAGCATGCATGTCCCAAGAGAAAAAAAAGAAAAAGGCTTGCGTACCTACAGAGGAACGAAGTATTCCATGGGAGAGTCAGCCCAGGCAAGGGCAAAAATGAAGCAAAAAAAGGATGGATTCTCCCCTTCCACGCGGTCAAGGCCAAGCTTTTCAGAGATTCATCAGCCAGCTCCTGGCTGGGTGGAGAGGTGGTGTTCATCATCATGGTCAGCAACTCATGAAATAATCTGTAGCAAAATCTACCTAGCATCTGTTGCTATCGTGTTGGACCAACAGGGGGGGAGCCAAGAGACATCAATTGGCAAGTGCTTGTTGGGATTATCTGGGATTGACTGCGTACTTGGGAGGATGACCAGAATAATGGACTGTATGATGTGCAGTGCCAAGCGTCCAGACACTGAGACCCTGAATTGGTCATCATCATGTTTTGTACCAACTGTTGATTTATGTACTACGTACTAGAATACTGTTAATTGTATAGAATGATATTTACTACAATATTTACTACTTCTATGACTCCTACTACTATCCAACATATTATCATCATCTCAAACTGGTTCTTGGCCTTGACTGCGGTTAACTGTTTCGGGGCGGGACACACGCGGCTTGCGGTGCTGGCGCGGGGCCGTGATTGGGGCAGCGAACCCAAGGCTGACGACGCTTCGCCCTCGCTGCTGGCGTGGAGTAGGGAAAAAAAAAAGAAAAGAGAAAAAAAAAAAAAAAAGGCCAATGACCCGAAAAATCATCATCGTCTGCTGCCCTTTCGCTCTCGCTCTCCCTCTCTCGCACTACTACTACTCTTACTACTACCTCGTCTCACCCCTTCTCCGGAGATCTTCTATCTAAAACTCTCTTGTACCTAATTATTCTTTTTTTTTTATGTCGACCGATCTCTCGCTCTTTCTTGTCTCTTTCTCTCTCTCTCTTCCCTGAAGCCTTTTTTTTTTGGCGCCCTCACCTTCACACTCACCCCTTCGTTGTGGTCTGCGTTGACCAACGCCAAGCGTGGCGACCGCTTGGCTGGGCTGTGCTTCTGCGACCACCGTCCTTCGTCACTAACAACAACCTTACCACCTACCTTCCGACCGACCAAACCATCTTCGAGTTACCTTCTCTTGAGTGTCTCTTTACTTCAGTAACTCGAAGTAAAAGAGACTACTAGTGCGACCAACGGGAATTCATCGACATTCAATCGCTTTGGAAGACCGTGTCGACCCCTACCATGGCGGACAGCAGAGGGATGCCAACCGCCGACGGCTACGACCCTTCGGGACTCACCAACCAATTCGAACAGTTGATGCGCTCAAAGAGGTTCAATCGCCTTCAGGAACAGTCCCGATCTCGTGCCGGTACACAATCGCCTTCGCCGGCACCCTACATGGCTTCTCCTTCGATTCCTCCACACCCCTCGCGGGCACCACCACCACCTCCCCCGACCGGTGTCCATCACCCATCTCAGCCATCGCAACCACAATTTCCATCTCAATCGCCATCGTTAAGAAACCTTCCTATTATGCCATCGCCTCCTCAGGACCCTGCCTCGCTCAAATTCCGAAATCTCCTCCACGTTCTCTCCGTGACGCCGACCAAGTACGAAAACCCGGGTCTCCTCGACGAAGCCCTGGCTCTCATTCCGCTCGACAGATTATATTCAGAGGCAGAAGAGGAAAGCCAAATAATTCAGGCCCAAGCGGCCAGTGTTGGGGGAAAGCCTGAGTGGGGTTACCAAGATTGTGTCATCAGAGCTCTTCTAAGGTTGGTCTTGGATCCCTTGCTTGTCTCACTAATCATACTAATCACATTCCTAGATGGTTCAAACGATCATTCTTCCACTTTGTCAACAATCCCTCCTGTCCCCGGTGCTTCTCGCCCACAATTGCTTGCGGCATGACACCGCCTACACCGGACGAGACCGCCCGTGGTGCGACTCGAGTCGAACTGTACAAGTGCTCTGCCTGCGGCGGTAATGAACGGTTTCCCCGATACTCCGACGTTTGGCAACTACTACAGAGTCGCCGGGGCCGTGTTGGAGAATGGGCAAACTGTTTCAGCATGTTCTGCCGGGCGATTGGTGGTCGTGTTCGATGGGTGTGGAACTCGGAGGACTACGTCTGGACAGAGGTTTACTCGGAGCATCAGCGACGATGGATCCACGTCGATGCGTGCGAGGAAGCTTGGGATCAACCGCGACTTTATTCTGAAGGTATGTTTACCAAGTTTGATCTTTGTTATTGATCAAGCTGACTCTTTTCCAGGATGGGGTCGAAAGATGTCCTACTGCATTGCATTCTCTATAGAAGGCGCGACCGATGTCACCCGACGATATGTACGAAACCCAGCCAAACATGGTGCTCCCCGGAACCGTGCACCCGAAGAAGTTCTACTGTGGGTGATCCAGGAAATCCGGAAGAAGCGTCGCGAGAACCTGGGCAAGACAGACTCGAAGCGCCTGCTCAAGGAGGAGGAGCGGGAGGAGAGGGAGCTCCGTGCGTACACTGCATCTGCTCTTGCCGCCGAAATCAACGGCCTTCTTCCTCGAGCCCACTCGGGCAGATCTGATGAGATCAAGACACCTCATCAGGATTCCGCTATGGATTGGGTCGCTACAAGACAACAAGGATCTGGACACTCTGGCCCAGATCACTCCCAGGATGGTCGGTAAAACTACGTGTCTCACCGGCTATCTTCTCTCCTACCTGCTACTATGCGGTTGTGACTCCCTAGAGCCACACTGGTCGCGTTGGCATCAGACCGACCGACCGACATACTTCGCAGACCTACGACCGATACGACGACATAATCAGGCCGGACTATATATTCAACGTATAATAATCGACTGAAAAAACGATAAACGATTGACTTCAGCCCTATTATGGAATTCATGTGATCGGCACCGCACTTTTCACGACTCGCTACAAACACCCTGCATTGTTAGGGAGCGTTGGTTTCATATGAACTCCAATTATGAATCGTCTGCCGGCATACCGGAGGCCTCTACTCCTTCGAACCGGGGTTCGAACAGGTCTGCTCTATGCTCGTTCGATTCTGGGGGAGTCCACCCAGAGTCGAAGTGTGAGCTGCTGATAGCGAACGCTATCCTTGCAATGATGCATCTATCTTGGCGACTAGATGTCGCCTGACTCGTGACTCCACAGTCAGCATTTACAATCACTCATATATTTCTTTCTTCAAACATCACCATCGTTTTCGATCTACATGGACATCCACCACGATTCGTTACTTTTCTTTTATATTTTCTTCTCTTTTTTCTTTTATTTTTTTTTTTCTGGATATAACCAGGCGTCTCCCGAAATAAGACTTTATTAATTTTATTATGGGTCATATTTTGTTGGGCGCAACGGGGTTTGGCAGGGGTTGGCCGGCGTGATGTGAAGATCATTTTCTTCTTTAATTTCTTTCTTCCTAATCACTGGAGGCCCAGGATGCGCCAAGCACTGGAGCCAGCCAGACTATCTGCCATGTTATGAGACACGAATGAGAGTGTTCATTCGGGTTGAAAAAAATTACCCTTTCTTTCCGGTCGCATAAGTCCGTTCGGCGCAGCGGCAGTTCATTTTCCTTTTTTGTTTCTGACTCCTGGCGATCTCAGATATCTTCCGTCTCATGTCAAATATCCATTTCCTAGTGACATCTACATGGAGCGTGCTTGTGATGCTCAAACTTCAAACCTCAAACTTTGGCCTGTCAATATTCTCCGTAATCCGTAGCGAACAAAAGAATCAACAAAGAACTCGACCAAAATAACCACCCTTACCATCCTTCCAAATATCTAGGTACCGTAACAATAAACCAACCAAGTTCATGAGTCCAACCACCTCCAATCCCCTCCCTCCATCACGAGCCAAATTCCCCATAAATCTCAGACAGGAGAGACCCTGCACCCACCCAAGTTAAATTGCGATATGCAATCCTATCCCCCCTCCCCGCGATATAGCGGGTCCCCCAGTTACAGTACATTTTAGTAGGCTATTTTCTTACGTGACTGCTATTTATAGGTTAGTTTTGGCGCTTGTAGTAGGTAGGTGATGTTAGTTTGTTAATGCCTTAGGTGTCGGTATTTCAGGGTCCACGGATCGACGGGGAATGTGGAATGCGCTAACTAGGCTTTTTTGGGTGGTCGGGGGCCGCGGGGGCCGAGGTGTTAGCATCTACTATCTAGTACATACTAGCTTTAGTAGGTAGTAGGTGCTTTAGTTTAGAAATGGTTAGTGTTGTGTAGAGTTAGTGGTTAGTATGGGGTAGTTCATAGATTAGATGGATAGATGGAGGATGGGGATGGTATTCAATTATGTTATCTGAGGCTGATTGACGAGCAGTATGAGACAAGATAAGATCATTTATAGAATACGTCTACTACTTATATCTTGATATTTGTAGATAATCAAAGTAAAATTGTGTATTAAACAAACAGCTAGTATGTCAAGTAATCGCTAACCCAGACTCCACGCCATGCCGCGAATTGGATATAAGAAATCAAGTCCATCCCATCACTCCCATCACTCCCATCACCAGTACAGAGTACAGAGGGTCAAACCGCCCTCACAGAACAACCCATCCCCCTCCTCCTCAAATCCCCATCAATACTCCCAATCTCCTTAACATAATACGGCTGAGCAGGCAGCAACAACTCCCACCCGCGCACAAGCCCCCCCAACCCCCTCAACGGCTCCAAGAAAACCGGTATCTTCTCCACAGACTCGCAGAACCAGTTCCCTGTAAGATGGAGGGTGAAAGTCTGCAATTCGGCGATGCTAGCTAGGGCCTGGCACGTCTCAACCCACTGCTGCCGGCCCGCGGAGAAGTAGACCGATTTTACGGGGTCTTTGCTGGGCAGCCAGTGGCCGGGGAAAGCCCAGCGGAGCTCGATGTGCCGGATGCTTGTCCAGTGGTGAGTTGGGATTGTTGGGCGCAGGTACGGGAGGGACCAGGTTGTGCTGAATTCGAAGGTGTTGAGGGTGTAGAGCATGTGGATTGATTCGGAGTAGCTGCGCCTCTTAGCATCCAGCACTATAGTCCCAGGCTTGTAGATAAGATGGATGAAGACTTACATCTGCTTGCACGTCAACGAAAGCGCCAATAACCCCCCATCTGATTTACCCATCGCCTTACTCCTACTCGACGTTGGCAATCCACCCTGGCAGATCTCGCACGACCCCGTCCGCGGACAAACCACGCATCCCATCCGTCGTCTCGGCCGCTGGACAATATGCAGCTTCTTTCCGCCCATGACGTACTCCCAGATAATCAGTCTAAGCTCGGGGGAGAGTTTGGCGAGGAGACTCGAGTCTGTCTGGAAGTCATATTCGAAGCGCGAGTCAGATGATGATGGTGATGATGGTTTAGGGAGTTGAGATTGAGATTGAGATTGAGATTGGAGAGTTCGTCGACGGGATTTGGGGAGTGGGTTGGGTTTGTTGCCTATAGAGGTGTTTTGTGAGTATTGGTTTCGATGGCCTTGGTGAATGTTACACAGTATTTGTTGTACTGCAGACGAGCAATATTCTTATGTGGAAAACTTTGCAGGCAAATCCATGTCATGCAGACAGCAGAAGAACTCACTCTGATACCGCTGAGCCAAAACATCCTCCCAAGAAAACATGCCGGGCTTAATTATCGCCATAATCCTATGCAGCGTCTTACGCTGCAGCGACAAAGCGGGGGCGTGTATAACCTTTTAAACAAAGCAACACGAGCTGATCGGAAGAATTGCGATCAACTCAGGAAAAATCACGCATGTCACCGTCAATCGGAACCCTGACTGGCGAGAATCATACTTGGAAGCTAACTGGGGCCTTTCAAACAGTCGATGCCGGGCCTGGGAGATCCGAACTCGGATGTACGTGGCTGGTGGAGAAGGGGGGGGGGGGGAAGAGGAGGAGACGGCCGATCGTAAGCGCGTGTGACAGTCAGGAAGGGGAAATAGTCTCGTGCGATATTTGAGGCATTTTCAATAATGGGGATGGGGTGTTTATTTGTTGAGAAAGGTGAAAGGGAGACATGGGGAAGAGTCGGTGAGAAACAGGCCAACTTAAATATCAAAAAAGGGGGCTGAGTTGAGCGCAATCGATAAGTTGATGGTGTTGAGGACGAGATAACGACTGATTGATAACAGAAGATCTTCACGAACCACGATAGGAAGGGCAGTGGAGATAAGTGGCTCTCGGTGGAGACCGGAAGGGCTGGAAGGATCCCGACATCTCCCGTGCTTACTGGGTGTTTGCGATAGAGAATAATGGCATTTCATTCATTTCATATGCAACGAGTGTAGTAATGTACATGCTAGATATCTATATAATGTTCATAAGTCGTAAAGAGTGATAGTTATACAGCCCTAGCCAGAGGGCAAACGAATGTCTATCAAAAACGAGAGTAACCACCATCCATATAACGAGTGACGAACCAATCCATCAAAAAGAGTTCTATAATATGCTGTTCATGAGTCGTAAAGAGTGATATAAAGCCCTAGTCCAGGGGCAGAGCGAATGTCAAGTGCCGAGTGTCGAGTGACAAAAACAATAGTAGCCATTCCATATAAACGAGTGACACAGCCCTAGTCCAGAGGGCGAAATGAATGTCGAGTGTCAGAAGTGAGAGTAGCCATAATTCATGTAAACGAGTGACGAAACCAGTCCATCAAAAAGAATGTTATGATATGTTCATGAGTCGTAACGAGTGTGGTAGTTATACGGCCCTAATCCAGAGGGAAAAATGAGTGTCGAATGTCGAGTAGCCATCAATGCATAAACGAGTGATATACCAGCCCAAAGGGCAAACGAATGTCGAATGTTAAAGCAAACCACCATTTAATATAAACGGGTGACAAAACCACCTCTTCACCAGCAAAGAAAGTTATGATATGCTGTTCATAAGTCATAATGAGTTGATACAGCCCTAGTCCAGAGGGCAGAAAGAATGTCGAATGTCGAATGTCGAATGTTGAAATGAGAGTAACCAGCATCTCCTATAAACGAGCGAGCGGTGTACAGCCCTAGTCCAATGGGCAAAGCGAATGTCGAATACCAAACGAATGTCGAGTATCAGAACGAATGTCGAGTATCAGAACGAATGTCGAGTATCAGAACGAATGTCGAGTATCAGAACGAATGTCGAGTATCAGAACGAATGTCGAGTATCAGAAAGAATGTCAAAACGAATGTCAAAACGAATGTCAAAACGAATGTCAAAACGAATGTTAAACAAGAGTAACCACCATTTCATATAAGCGAGTGACATGCAGCCCTTATCCAGAGAGCGAAATGAATGTCGAATGTCAAAAGCAAGAGCAACACCATCTTGAATAAATGAGTGATATGTAGCCCTAATGTAGAGGGCAAAGCCAATCTCGAGTCAAAAAAGAGAGTAGCCACCATCCCCTATAAGCGAGTGACCAAACCACTCCAAAAGAAAGTTATACTGCCCGAGAAGGAGTAGGAGTAGGAGTCGTAGGGGTATAAGCAGGTCTAGTGCTGGATAATCCCAGAGTATTCGTTGGACAAGGAGCGTGAAGTCCCTTGGTGAGCATCGACAGTCCATCAGGCTGTAGTCGATCGATAGTCTTCTCTGCCGGCACCGTGCCGACATACGCGTTGAAGTTGTAGATGCCGCAAGGGCAAGTATCGACAACATCTTTCAGACTTGTATCGGAGATGACGGGCTTCCCGTTACGGATGAGCGAGAACTTCTGCTTCCCAACGCCCATGGGCAGCGAAAAGGCCTTGGCTCCTGCTGGTGCGTGGAATTTCCGAGTCTTGTCACCGGAGCTGACTTGGACCGTGGCGGATGAATTAAGCAGGGAAACAACGAATACTTCGTCTTTCATTGTTTCGTAGCCATCTGGTCGACCGGCGAAGAAGTTCCCACTGGCGTTGCTGGGGCTTCCTTGCATTGTCGTGTCGGTCGAGTCGCAATCCACATCTTTCGGTGTAGGTCTATACCAGTAGACCAACTTTTCCTCGGTGATGTGCTTGTCAACCGATTTATCCCCAGCTTTGTATGCGGCGATGAAAGGCTTCGACATCTCTAGCCAACCAGTGTGTGGCCTGCATATGTTAGCCAAGTCTCAGGTAGGTTGGTTTAAGATTACTCACATGTCCATCGCCCATTTAGAAGCTCCATCATCGCTATGCGGTGAAGACAGCGGTCCAATATAATGCGATTCTCCGTAGTCATTCCAGGTGATGATTTCCACGAAGCGAGGGGCGAGATCCAGAATTTGTCGCCATCGGTTGTACCACAGAAGGTCAGAAGGAAAAACAAAGTTCTTGCTGTATGAAACCTCGCTGCCATAATGAGTGGAGAACCAGCTAGAGGCAGCTGCATTTATCTTTTAGCTTTGCGTCACATCCTTGACCAGAGAAACACTTACGAGCAATGTAGTCCTTTCCAGCCAAAGCATCGGTGTAGGACTTGTCGCCGTCTGCAACAGTGACGTTATGGCCTGCTGTCGGAGCCTTATTGTTGCCATCGCTATCCCATGCCATCCAGTTGAGCGCACCCTGGACGCCATCAAAGTTCCCACTTCCCGGATGGAAATTAGGAGCAAAGAACAGATCCATGCCAGCAGCGGCTTTGATCTGAGAGACATCGACTCCGTCACCAGTAAACGACGACACAAACACCTTGCCATCCACCTGCAGCTGTCCCGGGAGGTTCGCGTACTTCTTGACCTTGGAACCCACTTTAGAACCCTCTCCAACTTTGAACCAGTTAAAATCAAACGAGAGAAAGACTTTCATGTCGTTGTTCGCAGCGGATTCATAAGCATAGCTCAGCTGCGTGTCTGTAAAAGTATCATCCCCAATGTTAAGCGCAAAGGCATCGATCCCCAGATCCTTTGCACGTTTCATGTCGTCATTATAATCTGAAGCGCTTTTGCGGTTGCTGACAATGCCCATCTAGATTAAATCTCCGATTAGCTGCATATCCCCCCTGTCAACATCTATATGTGATGAACTTACCATAAAATGACAGAAGACCAACTTGTCGTTGGAATCTGTAGAGCGAGTGCTGGGTTGAAGACCCCGAGGCATTGGAGTTGCAGCGACCAGCGCGAATAAGCCCACCAGGGCGAAGGAGAGAAGATTCAAAATCATGATCTGGGGGCCGTTAGTACCATATTGACTCGAAAGACGGACAACTCACCATAAAATTGATAAAGAATGAATACCAGATCGAGTAATAAAAGATTGACAGTGGGGAGCGTAGCGACTGAATAAATAAATCAAGCGTAAATGAATGTTTGTGGATGAGTGTGGATAGCGAGTGGCCGGCGCTTATATCCAAAACAGATCCTTCCCAATGGCATAAAAGAGAGTCTGCCAGAGTGGTCGGAGATAGGCGCCTGTCTCGAGAAACAAAGGAACGGCTTCATTGTCGTGCCTTTTATATCCATCGTTCTTCTGATGCTTCTTTATCATGATGATGGCATAAGCATTGAAGGATCACCCCTCAAACAACGCTGACTGAGATTCAACCTCAGATTCTGACTCGAAACAAAAATTCTCATTCAGACATTCTTTTTTTAATTCCTCAGCCACGAGGACGCTAGAGTCAACAGACTGTGTCATATTGTCGCAGAATATAAGCTTGGAATTTGCCTTTATCGCTAGCCCATGAGGTAATCCATGATGAAACTCGGATCGAGCCGATGAGATTTTCAGAAATATGATTTCCTAGACAGCGTATATACCTTCATAAGAAGTATTTGACCGTGTCATTTATCCTCGAGTTGAGAAATTGAGGTTATTGAGACCAACGCATTGGGCGGAGAGATGCCACGAAGCACATGCGATAACGTGGAGACGGACGGCAGTGGCATCATGTGTAGTAGAGAAAAATGCAACCATCCTTTGACTTTCCTATACAAGATTCTTCTTACTGTCTGATGATGGCATCACATGGCTGTCCCAGGTATGCGACCCCGCAGTTGGAGATACCGACAAGTTGTGCCAAAAAAGGGTTTTTATCGATGATATGATCTAATGTATGAATGATATAAGCTCAAAGATAATTTTAGGTATCCAAGCCCCATCTCACCGATAGTTGATTAGATCTTACTAGAAACACAACTTATCTTACTCTAGTGGAGATCTCGTAAATATCACGGTGAGAAATGATGGCATTAACTATACTCGCAATGACTCGATCTAGCATGACCTCACTTCATTAATGCCTGTGTAATTACTTGGCTTTATTATAGAACTGCTCAATATTCTATCAAAATATTCGAACTTGGACAAATGTCGCATTCGCTCTATCGGATAAAACACCGTAAAGGAATGGGGCCAAAGGCCTTATTCTGCAAAATGAAGCATTACAGCACAGCAAATGCAGAAACATAGCTCACAGAGCTATCAGACACATCAACTGCATCAGAACTGCGCTCGTATCTAATAAAATGGAATTTGCCCTTGGTGCCCTCCTCTACGTTCGTGATTTTCTCAATACCAGCCATGATGACTCCGATCGGATGGCGTCCGCACACGGTATTCCCGGTCTTCTGGAGGATATCCAAGAAATTATCCGTAACGCCGGTGGTTATAGCCGCCATGGTTGCAATGTCGAATGAGGAGATACTTTCGTGAATGGCTGGTTCGCCTCTCTGGATACGATCTCGTCGTTGCAGAACGTGGCCGGCAGAAGCTACTTCCATCTTATCTTCTATGGCGTCAATATCACCTCCCGGCTGAGGGAGGGAATCGGTAGAAATGGGGAGTTTGGGCCCTGGCTTGTCAGCTTGGGGAACATAGTAAGTATAGTGGAAGCGCAGGCCCCAGTGACAAAAGTCGGAGCTGATCACGAAAGCATTCGACGGGTCTGCAAGGTATGGAGCCAACAAAGCCCCGAATGCCTGCTCGGTGGATGCTGAAGTATTCCCCACCATGATCGGAACGAGTGGGGGGTATTGTGAGGTGGGCGTGTCTGGGTGCTGGAGCTGTAGGAGACGATGGATGTAGGGAAGGTGGAGCTCGATACTGTGTTCGTCTTCGTCGATCGACCGGGTCATAGTATCAAATTTGATGGTGGATCCGTTTGGCTTGACAGCTTTGGTCGAAAGCAACGTAGCAATGAGGTCTGTGTCCAGCGGGAGAGGGTCATCGGAAAGTGGGGTATAATAGGAAGTAAGTTGAGGGAGGGCAAGCGTCGTCAGATAATGGTGATGCGAAGGCCCAAGGACGAAGATCCGTTTCCTATATGCACGAATTAGGTCACTTGAGCGGGACATAGCTCAAGAGCATGGTGGGTTAGCTCACGCTTTCGACAAGTCCAAGGCTCGGTACGCGTGGGCAGCACATGGCCCTGAATATGCATAGCCAGCATGTCTGGAGAATCAGCATCGCGCAGAAGAAGCAAGAATCCTCGACACATACGGGGCGATGATGATACGGGCCCCAGGAACAGGCAAGGGACCGATACCACTGATCTCACTAGGGACTTGAGCAAGCCATCCGTCAAGCTGTTGGGTCAGGGTGCGTTGACTGCCCGAATACCACGATCCTGCGTGGGAAGCGTCTCTAGAAGGCATTTCCGTGGTGGTAGATAAAATTGGGGAAGCGATGGTTGAAAAAACAAGAGGGGCTGTGATGGTTGGTGTCAACAGTCAGAGCTACAGAAGCGGGGGAGAACGCCGTCATAGTGGAGATAACAGTTACCCCGCGGCATGCCGAACCATCTATCGCAGTATCGCAGAGTGTCACGCACCAAAATGAATGGGGGTTACACCTTATATCGATATTAGAATGACTCTTTATAATGTCTACTATTTTACAATCTTGAAAACATGGTGGAACAACTACAATACCGATTATTGACCTACAGGCTACTTACGACGTAGTAAAACACCTACTATGTACATAGTAGACATCTACCTAGGCTCTAGAATATCAATCTCCTTACTCTATCTAGGCAGATGCCAGACAATTATGTTGTGATCGCAAAAGCAATGCCGGTGGGGGAGAAAATCCAAGGGCCGGATAAGAATTTAAGGCAGGGCTGAACAGCCGAAGTGCGTTATCAATCAATACTCCGACTCGGAGTTACCTGTTTGGGTAAAAACCGGGTGATGGGGAAATGCCGAGTGGCTGCCGACTGCTGCAGAGCACGGAGAAGCCAATCCCGCCACCTTACGAGGTTTTACTATAAAGACGTGATTCCCTTCTAAGGTGAGTTTATTTTCACAGATCTTTACACAGAGAATATACAGAAAATGACGAATCTACTCAAGAACATCATCGTTGTCGGGGGGTCCTTTGTTGGACGAGTATGTCTCCAACTCTCCATGGCGTATATCTTGCTAATGATGCAATTAGACGACGGCTCAGGAACTGGCGCGTGTGTTGCCTGATACACACAGGGTACTTGATGCTTCTACGATTATGGTTGAATTATACTAAAGGTTGCAGGTGCTCTTGATTGAACCCCACAGCCATTTCCACCATTTATTCACATTCGTAAGTCTTCCTTATCCGTTTATTTGTACCCATACTGATAATCGCAGCCTCGATTCGCTATTGTTCCTGGCCAGGAACACAAAGCTTTCATCCCCTACAACAAAATCTATCATGCCGCACCAAACGCTTCTTCACACACCGTTGTTCAAGCCCGTGTTCTTTCAATCCAGCAACAGCATGTCAAGCTCGATCGAGAATGGCAGGGATCAAACCAGATCCCATTCGAGTACCTCACTGTCGCAACAGGAACACGTCTAGCTGAGCCTGCGGGCATGCGCGACGACGACAAACCGTCTTCAGTCGCGTATCTCCAGAAACACCAAGATGCCGTTAAGCGGGCCAATTCTATCCTCATCGTTGGTGGCGGAGCCGTTAGTGTTCAAATGGCAACGGATCTGAAAGAGGTCTCTCCCGAGAAAGAAGTCACAGTCGTACAGTCTCGTGAGCATGTGATGCCACAGTTCCACGGAAACCTACACAACCTCGTCAAGAAGCGATTCGACGAGCTTGGTGTGCGGTAAGTCTACTCGATTCTTAAGCGCATGCCCAAATCTAATTGAAAACACAGACTCGTCACCGGCTCTCGTGTCACAGTCCCAGAAAATGGATTCCCCAACGACGGAAGCACATTCAACGTTCAACTCACAAACGGTACTCAAGTACCAACTCAATTCGTCATCTTAGCCACAGGCCAAACACCAAACAACGACCTGGTCGGTGATCTGGCTCCTTCAACGTCTGAAACCATTGTCAACCCAGATAATGGGTTCATTCGTGTCAAGAAAACCATGCAATTTGTCGATCCCAAATACTCCAACCTTTTCGCCGTGGGTGACATCGCGGACACAGGTGCGCGTAAGGCCGCAAAACCAGGCTCAGCACAGGCGGCTGTTGTTGCGAAGAATATCCTGAACCTGATCGAGGGCAAGGCTGCGGATGAACAGTATGAGAAAACACCGCCAGCAATTCATATCACTTTGGGCATGGTAAGTCAATCGCATATGAGAAACCCCGAAAGATTGATGCTAATATAACTAGAAATATAACGTCATTTTCCGCAACCCGAATGAAGCAGAAGGACAGACAGAGCCAACGATCATTGAGAAGTTTGAGTGAGTACTCCCGTTCTCCCAATCAGCATCAATATCACTAACAAGAACAAGCGGCCAAGATGACTTGGGGGTCGAGGGAATGTGGGGGAGACTAGGTATTGAGATCGAGAACCCTCATCAGTACCATCTGTGAAGAGTAAATATCTGGATATATTGATAGACTTGTACATACCACTTTGACGAACGACTTCTAATCCTTTTACTTTCTTATAATGGAGGACATCCGATGTCAATCATCCCTGAGGGTTTGAGTGTATTTTACATCATTGCATTCCGTAGATTAATTGAGGCTATATCTCTTCCCTAAATCCTAGGCACCAGAGTCTTTATTTTCTTTACATGTTCAATGTCGCCATGCTGTTGAATGTGGTAACTGATCATGTGATTGCATCGCGAACAGAAAAAGCTGATGTCAGAAGACTTCACAACTCTGGTAGAGCTGAAGATGATACCCAGAAAACTCTGATCTCGTTCCAAAGGATATTCTATCCAGGAATACTTTGGTACCGATCTACTGTGTTCCTAGTAGCAATTGCTGTCCATCGCAACCGGAGATGCCAATTAACCCCAAGAACGGTTAGCGCATACTTTCGTGTATCGACGCGGGTTTCGTATTGTCAGACGCGCCGGAATCTCGACCAACCACAAGGAAATTTCCTCGTAATGGCGATACCTCCAGCCTTGCTGTAGGCAGAACCTCCCCCTCGTGTTGTTTTTTGCGCAGATCTTGCTTGCTCCTTTTCCACGATTTGCAACACAAACAATTGGGAAGACGCGATCAATTCCCTGACTGTTGTACGGAGTAAAACATCTACAAAGGCTAAATTACATCTTTCCCCCGGCCATGTCTCTCAAGCGCAAAGCTTCTTTTTCGAACATCACATCTCCCAATGGCTCGTCTTTCGCGGGGCCATTCATGGCGATGGACTTGGACGACGGGTCTCCCAAACATCTGAATAGTCGGACACGAAAGCGCTACAGAAATGACCGTCCAGATGAGGAAGTGGTATACGGTAAGATCTAGGTCTTTTATTCACTTTGTGCCTCGGCATCAGCTAATAGGAGAAAATAGAGAATACCCTCCGCTGGCTATTCACTGCCCAGCAACAGCAGCACCAGACACCCACGCCTACTTGCGACGAGGACGAGAATATGAACCCCGAACCCCTTCCCTCCCCTGAGACCGTCGACCCTCGTCAGCAGACACTCCTTAAATTCTTCCGACCCGCGCAGCCTTCATTCGGTCAATCCCCTTCAGGTCGATGGAACCAGCAAGCAGTGGATGTACTCCCTGGCAATCGTAACATTCTGCAACAACACGTTCTGAACACAAACCCAGTGGGCGGTTCCACTGAAAGCGACTCGAACACCCCAAGCGTTCAAACAGGGACCGATATGGATGTCGAAATGGATTCAGGGAGTGATCGATCTACACAGGATATTAGGGCCTGGGCTGGAGGAGTTGGGTGGATGTAAATCTGCGCCGTTTTCGATTTCGTCTCTTTCATATCTTCGTTGCGGGGGCCCTGGGTTCCTATTTGATACCATATTAGCGGGGTTTGGTTGGTTTCATTATACAGTTGTCTGCTGTCTGGTGAGGGCTTGATGATAAGCCCTCTTGATCTTCTGGTGTTCTGGTGTTGGGGTTTTGGATGCCTGTTGGATATTCTTTCGGATAACTTGTGTCGAAGTATTGTCTGCTTCGTCAGCCTTACATGGCACTGCATGCTGGATTATTACTTTCTGTGTCATGATAATAATTGGAAAGTCATCTGTGATTTTATATCAATAGATGCCTTGGGGGAATTTTTGAACATAAAGCGGCAGAGCAGTCTTCGGTAAGCTGTTCTAGCTGCTGTATGACTCCATTATATAGTTAAATAGTTTTGAATATAAATATGAATATCAGAAGAAAGGGAGAATTAGATGAAATCCAGTTTTGTTTGCTTTCTAGTCTGATGGGCTGTTGTGCTGCGGTGTCACATGCACGAACGTCATTTGCTGTGCGGGCATACAGCCTAGGAGCCTGAGGCGTCAATGGTTCAGCGGCTCCTTAAGTGCAACCTCCCAGTCTCAATCTTAACAAAACATACATTATCCATACCCAGCTACAGGTCACTCTTTACAATTATCCTACAGAATCAACAGCTTCGATTTCCGCGCTGAAACAATCCCCTGTCTTTGAGCGCCCTACCCCGCAATTAGCTTCGGATTGGCATCATTTTCACCCAGGTCATACTGAACAAACGACCAGAGAAACCAGTCACCATCTTTTGGTCGCCGATTTCAAAAACCCCCGGCAAGAAAATCACGATCAACTCCCCTTGTTGGGACCTCAGAATGGACGAAAACCGGGCTGTCCAATATCTCGACTCATTGATAGGCCAGACGTTGCGAGTGCACACGACCGATACACGCATATTCGTGGGCACGTTCAAGTGTACAGATGCGGTGAGTCTATCCCCTCCACTGACGAACTCTACTACATACACGAGCTTTGCAAAATAATACGAGGTCTGGTGAACATCTGCTGACTTGGGCTTTAAATCTGGATCTACATAGGCACGCAATATTATCCTCGCATGCACATACGAGTACCGCTTCCCCACACCATCGACTGTTCGAGACGCTGCCTCCAATACGAATAACCAAGAGTCTGCGACCAGTGTCGACTCGAAAAACATCAAAGTGAATATGACGAGTCGACTAATAGGTCTCGTGGTCGTCCCCGGACAACATATTACAAGGATCGAGTTGGAAGAAACGCCTGAGCAAGCCCACGTACGGAGGGCGCTCAAGAAGTAGTTGGATGAGGGGGATCGGTGTGATAGTACGGAATCCAATGCAGGCCAGGGATTATTGCTTGGGATGATCAGGCTTGGCCACGTTTTTCTGTCCGCTTTCTTTTCTTTTCTTTTCTTTTTTTCCCCTCTGCTTCCTTCCCCGAAAGTGGCCGCAAATCGGCGAGTGTCGCGTGGGGAAGACTGATGCGACATGAATGCAATAATTTTGAGACTGGCGCTTTCTGCGCGATCTATTCCCCGGCCTCTGGGGTCTTGTTTGGCAGCTGTGCGGATGTTATTGTCATTGTGCGGTGTGCCAAGATTTCCATCAAGGGAGCAGAGGAAGAGACCAACCCAGCACTTACCACAACGTGGCATGGAGAAAAAAAAAAGAAATGCAACTTGGCACAGATCCAAGGGCTTGGCAGATGTAGCCATCGCCTTATCAGCGCAGAGCTGTGATTGGAGATGAACAGGCGGTGTTCCTGCAGTCGAATGAGCCCTTAGCATCTATATAGTTCTGAGTCGGGTTCTGCAAGTCCTATATGGTCTATTGATTCACAATGCGGTCAAGAGCGTTTTTGGAGACGATAAAGGAGCATCTTATCTTGTTTCCGGCATGGATCAGCACCCATGTCTTAAAAGGGCTGTTTTTTCACACGGAAATCAGGACATCAAAACTAGGAAGCCGAGGTAGGGTATGGAGGATGAAGGAATAGCCATCATAAGACTAGGATGAAACCATGAAAAACAAGCTATGCTCGGGAGTGTTCGGAAGATGACAGGATAGTGGGCTGGGGTTTGATAGTGATTTGATGTGATGACCGCCATTTGCCAGGCAGAATCCCAATATCCATGTTATACCTACAATGGATCAGATTATAGGATAGGAAGAGGGCTGGTAATCCATTGATCTTACGAGATAGCCAAGAGGACTATGATGAGGGGTGGGCATAAGTCTGCGGCGAATCCAGATGTGTCGAGATGCCAGTCGGTCACGAGGCGATAGAGGATGATAGACCAGCCAACTCCCACGCTGTATGGCCAATCCAACCTACCACTAACTCGTCCTATTATTACCTGCTACGACGCTTCAGTGAATGAGTATATAAGAATAGAAAGAAATTAGGCATCAGTCGCCTTTCCATCGTAGAGAGCATCGGCCCGACTGATCCCCCGAGATGCCCGCCCGTTGCTCTGCAGGAATCGAGACCAAAGAAACGCCGCGAGACTGACGGGCGATGGACGGATGGAGGCGAGAACCAACAGCTTCTGGACTCTTTCTCATCAACATCTTCCCCCCCCTCCTTCTCTCTCTCTCTTTTTTTCTCTCGCTTTCTCCCTTTCGACACTTTCCATCCTATCTTCTCCTCTTCTTCCCCCTCTTTGCTGATCTTCGTCCCGTCCAGGTTGGTCCCCTTGTCTTGCTTCATCTCCAGACACTCAAAAAACTCCCCATAATGACGCATTCTTTCCACTCCATCCACTCACATCCCAATCCCGAACCCAGACTTCCCCATCAACTCCTCCTTCTGCTGCCCACTTGACCTCCACATGCCACACTTTTTCTAAGCTACCTACCGACCTTCCCTACCTACTGCCTACATAGCTTCTTCAGCAGCTTCTGGCAATCCTGGCCTTCACTTCAACTCTAACACAAAAAGTCTGCAGGCGCCTTTTTTTTTCTGCCCTTGACGAATCGGATCTCTTCCCTCGAACTCTCTGCGACTTGTGCCTGTGTGTCTGTGTGTGTTCACGCGCTGTGATGCCATCCAGTTGCTCGTAGCTTCAACCATCCTGTCCTACCGGTCGGTCTTTTCTGTCCTCAAGTCCTCGACGTGACCACTCGCCCCCCGGCTTTTGCTCCGCCACGCCTTCCTGCGATCGGTATTTTACTCCCACAAAAAGATCATATTGGGACCTCGCTGGAATTGTCCCCTCTTTGTATCTTTTGCAATACCTTTCTCGATATCCTGTGTCCCCTCCCCTCCCTCGCCCATTCCCGACGGTGGGCTTCGCGAACCTTTTTATACCTTATCATAAATACCCCCCATAAGAGGAGGTGGTGGCCAAGACGGCTTCCAACATTCCAACGCCAAGACGGGGTCTGGTGCTCAAACCGTGTTGAACGCTCACCGTTCGTCTGATTTTTGCAACTCCGAGCTTGGCAGATATCCAACCTTGCAGTAATGGGTCAGTCGCATTCCAAGAACAACTCTGGCTCGGGCGACTCTTTGCAGTCGTACCCTTCCTTTTCCCGCTCCGACACCAAGGAGTCTCTCCGCTCCCTTCGCGGCTCCATCCGGTCGAAGATCCGGAGCAGTGACAGCCCTCGGGCGTCCACCACAGGTCTGTCCCAGGTCGATAGTCAGACTGATAAGTCTGATGCGGGGTCGGTGAGATCCACTGGCACTGCGAGTCGACCCGGGTCATCTCTTAATAGCCCTGGCCCTGATGGTGACTCTCGTCCCGCTTCTCCCCAGCCCCCGCCATCTCCATCCCTGTCGACTAGTCTGAAGCGAGGTCACCAAGATGTGGATGCTATGCAGCAGAGTGGCGAAGTCGACCATGTGTCCGATGTCCCTCCTAGCGGGGAGGCCCCTTCAGCGACTCCCGGAAAAGTTGGCGAGTCTATTCTCATCAAGCGGGAAAACCAACTCAATCCTATCCTGGACTTCATCTTGAACGCTCCGCTGGAGACAAACGGATCTCCGGGAATGGGCATGGGTGCTCTGAAATCGATCGATCTCGATGACATGATTTCTCGCTTGCTCGATGCCGGTTACTCTACCAAAGTCACTAAGACGGTGTGTTTGAAGAATGCAGAGATCATGGCAATCTGTACCGCTGCTCGAGAGCTTTTCCTGAACCAGCCCGCCCTCTTGGAGTTGGCAGCACCTGTCAAGATTGTCGGAGATGTTCACGGTCAATACACAGACCTGATCAGACTGTTCGAGATGTGCGGGTTCCCTCCCACGTCCAATTACCTCTTCCTCGGTGACTACGTCGACCGTGGGAAGCAAAGCTTGGAGACGATTCTCCTGCTGTTGTGTTATAAGCTCAAATACCCCGAGAACTTCTTCCTCTTGCGAGGCAACCATGAATGTGCCAATGTCACTCGGGTGTATGGGTTCTATGATGAATGTAAACGACGTTGCAACATCAAAATCTGGAAGACTTTCATTGATACCTTTAACTGTCTCCCGATTGCTTCTATTGTCGCTGGCAAGATCTTCTGTGTTCACGGTGGACTCTCGCCCAGCCTCTCACACATGGATGATATTCGAGGCATCGCGCGTCCCACCGACGTGCCCGATTATGGCTTGCTGAACGATCTTCTTTGGAGTGATCCCGCCGATATGGAGGAAGATTGGGAGCCTAATGAACGTGGTGTTAGTTATTGCTTTGGCAAGAAAGTAATCATGGATTTCTTGCAACGCCACGATTTTGACTTGGTTTGTCGAGCTCACATGGTTGTCGAGGACGGCTATGAGTTCTATCAAGACCGCATTTTAGTCACGGTTTTTTCTGCTCCCAACGTAAGATTCTAAAACTATTTGGTCCAACTTTAGGATTGATGTTTGCTAACTGTCTTACCTTTAGTACTGTGGCGAATTTGATAATTGGGGTGCTATCATGTCTGTTTCGGACGAGCTGCTTTGCAGTTTTGAGCTACTAAAGCCATTGGATTCGACCGCCTTGAAGAACCATATTAAGAAGGGTCGGAACAAGCGGAACAGTTTGCTCAACAGTCCTGTAAGTTGTCCCTTGCTTGCATTCTATCCGCCAAGAAAAATCATTGCTTCTCTGTGCAACTGTGCCGAGACTTTTGTGCTCGTCTATTGTGGCCACTTATCATTCGTTCAATATTCTAACAAGTCACAGCCTGCAATGGTATCGGCGCAAAGCTATTAGATCCAGCATCCACGGCTTGCCAAGACACCGGCACCCGCGATATGTCACCATCGAAGCAATCTGGGCCGTAGTGGCCAAGATAAAATCCCCTCTCATCAACCGTGCAAACTTCTCCTCTCTTGGACAAGACTCGCACATTATGGTCGTTCGGTACTGGTCCAGCCCGGACTATCCCGTCGACATGTGCATCCTTTTGGATGTCAGCTTTGGATTCGTTTTTCACTGCGTTGCAGCGTAACGACACCAAGTTCTTAATCCCCCAGAGGCCAGTTTGGCCAATGCCTAGCCTTACGGCACTAGCATGACAGGTCCGTCATAACCTCTCGGAAGCGAGGGGGTTTGAACCCAACATACCGGCATTGTGACTTGCCATTCGTAACCTTCAAGATGGCGCTGTTCTTAACCAGGGTCTTGGGAGGCCATACCCGCCCTGTTCTACGACTTTTCATCCATTATCGGACGTATCATGGACCAAGACCCGGGAGAAGAAAACTGTTTCTATACGGTAAAGATGAACATTCAGAAAAGCGACCTGGTCGCGGTATAATATCTTTTCCCGGAGCATAGGAGGCTCCTATTGATAGTATGTCATGGTATAGTGCGCTGGCTTGGTTGCAGGTATTGGGGCTGTTTCGCGTTTTCTTTCTTCCCTCTTCCTAGTTCTGGAAGGGGATGTTTTATAGGATGTTTTATTGAGGTTATATGGCGTTATTTCTAACACTCGCCTGCGTAAAGTGAAGTGGTAGATTGTGATGATAGAGCAACAGGCCATGTAGAATGGATATCAATTCCAAGGAATCTGCTTAATCAAGACCATTTTGTTTTCAAAAGAACATCCTAGATAACCCCCTCTGATGCCTATTCTAGTACATACGACCGCTGAGAGGTGAAACCGTGATCTCACTGAGTAAAAGGCCCAATATGCGGCATCAAAAAATCCGCATATCCAATCGGGACCCCCTTCGCCCTCAAAATGGAATACGCCAGCTGCGTATGGAAGAAGAAAAACGGCACTGCATATCTCAACACATACTCCTTCGCACTCATCACCAAGTGATGATGCTGGCCTAGCGAGAACTCGATTCTCTTCTCCTCCAACCCATCAATCTGCGCCGGCGTTACAGTCGCGAGGAGATCCAGAGTGCGCTGGCACCGCTGAATCAATTTTTCCGCCGTATCTTCGGTATCAGGCCATACCTCGGTGGGGATGTCAGCGACCCGCTCGAGGAACTTTTTCGCGACGTTGGAGGCGACCTGGACGTGTTTGTCGAGGGGGAGGAGATTGTCAATGAGGGTGGCGCTGGGGAGAGAGGAAACGTCCTCGCCGTAGTGTTCCACGGCTTTTGTGAGGATGGCTTTGAGGCTTGTCAGCCCGTTTTGGAACGTGGGGATGCTGGCTTCGTAAAGGGTGGTGCCGGCCATTGTGTGGGTTTGTTATTTTCAAAGTATTCAATTAGGGATTTGGTGGTTTGGCCTGGTACGATTTAGAGGAATTGATCATGTTATATATATAGCTCAGATATATCACTCATTGTATGCTTCGGGGAGTGTGTTTATAAGCATGCTTACCAAGACATCAAGCTGCCTTGGAAACTCTCCGAAACCCGCGCCATGCCAGAGTTTCAACCAATGATCGAGTTAAGAATTATTCAGATGCCAATGGAAGCAATCGGGCGTTTGAAGTAAGAGTGTCCGAACCAATAAAAAGGTTGGTAGATAGCAGGGTTATGATCCTGTGGCATATTGTACTCCAGAGTACACATCGCCCTCACCCATCCAGGTATTGACACTTTATTCATCTTTCTATATAACCCTCCCTTATGTCTACTCCAATACATACGACCACAGGGTGTGGAGAACAGGGCTTCCCGTCCGCTCAGCCGTACTTAAGCCACACGCCGGCAGGTTAGTAGTTGGGTGGGTGACCACCAGCGAATCCCTGCTGTTGTATGTTTTTTTTCTTTTTTTTATTTATATATAAAAATATATATATTTATATGTTTTTGATCAGGAACCTAGCACTCATATTGCTTGGAGTAAATAATATTATCATGGTGCTGTGAATTGTAAAGAAAACATTTATAGCAATAGGTCGAGGCGAGAGTGAATATAGAATCTCTCTCTAATAGCATTGACCCAAATAATAGCTCTTGGAAATGATAGGGCTTAAGTAACTACCCGTTACAATGAAAATAATGACAGATAGCAAGTTGGTTAATCTTGGATAATATACTATTTATCTCTGTTGGGTGTATCATAGTTCAGGATTAACCACCAAATTGGAGGACTCGGGGAGATTCCCGGGTGATACCCGCCGGTTTCTCAGCCTGCCGTGTGCGCAAGTCCAGGTATGCCATGCCGACGAGTGCGAAAGACGACTGACGCCCAAGCCCATGCACCCACTGACTGGATGTTCGTGGCAGATGCGATGGCCAGCGGCCTTCGTGCTCGTCCTGCATGTCGCTCGGGTTCGAGTGCTTATACGAACCCAGTGAATCTGCGAGCAATGTCATTGTACGCAAGGGCTATGTGTCTGACCTGGAACAGCGAGTGACGTCTGTCGAACACAAGTTGCAGCGGCTCAATGATGCGTTCAGGGGCCACCTCTCGCTGTGCCCAAACAATTACCCATGCCACCCCACAAGCAGCACTCCTGCGCCGGGAGGAGCGACGCGTGCAAGAGAGACGCAAGCTACCGGTCTGGAGGAGCCGCAAGATGAAGACGCTTCTACCAATGGCATGGCCATGACCTTCATCGAAGAGCAAAGTTCGGCTTTCTTTGGCGAGTCCTCTAACATCAACTTCACGCAGCTTCTTCTTTGAGGCATCGCTGCTGTGCATCAAGCCTCACTGGCCGTAGCATCCGCCGTAGATAAGGACTATGCTCATCGAGAAAGCATCATAGCTAGTGTCTCCCAGGGCCAACCATACCATCCGGCTGCGGCATTATCAACCCACCTGGACTCATCGCCTACTACCTTGCCGTCGGTCGAAGAAATGGACTCTTTGCTCGACACCTACTTCGACACGGCCAGCGCCGTCTTTCCGTTTATCCATGAAGAGACAATGAGGAAAAAGTATACCGAGTGTAGGCTCAATGGCTTCACTAGAGCTCGCAGAACCTAGTTAGGCACTCTAAACATGATATTCGCCATGGCCAGCAGCTTCGACAGAGACCATGTTACATCCGCTATCAAGCACCTCGAGAGGTCCCAACATTTTTTACAAGAGGGCCCTGGAGCTTTGTGGCGACCTGTCGAGACGGATCATCAGCCTTGAGATGGTCCATTACCTGCTCCTCGTCGTCATCCACTGTCAGGGGACTCAGCGCTCGGTGCAGGCCTGGAACAATCACGGGCTTGTCATCAGGTCAGCTATAGCGTTAGGGCTCCATAGTGTCTCTACCGGGAAAGCTGTCGATCCCGTCAACGAGGAATATCGCCGTCGGACTTGGGTAGTAATATACTGCCTAGACAAGGTCCTGAGCGTGGCCTTTGGCAGGCCAGCGAGCGTCCCGGATGAACAGATGACCGGACGCGAGCCTGCCATCGTACCTGAGTTTCTGCGAGCCGGAATCCAGCATACTTTCGCATAATACTCCGGCAAATCGGTTTCGTGTCATTCTCACGCTTAGGTATTATAACCTTGCCATTCTTATACACAAACCGTTACTCAGCGCCACAATACGTCACTTGTTCCGGGCGGAAAGTGCGGCCGGTGGGAGCCCATCATATTTGATACAGCTCGCTATGGCAGAGGCCCACGAATGCGTACGGGCAGCACAACTCACCATTGAAACTGTCCACTGTATTATCAGTGCGGATTCTACAAGTAAGAATAATCTTGGGGCGTGGTTTTTCACGCTATACTACGACGAGCCTCCTTCAAAGCAAGGCTTCGTTGGGATGCTGACCGGATACACCCACCAGTCTTCACTGCCTCACTGGTGATCAGCGGCCGCCTACTGTGGGCACAGCATGGAGAGAACGTGGTGGACGAAGCAGCTGTCAAAGACTCGAAGATTTTACTTAGTAAGGCAGAAAAGATCTTCCACGAGCTAGACCGCGAAAACAGTCTGGTCTTGAGTTGCCTTGAATACATTTGCAGACTTGCCAGAATGTGCAGTATCAAAGGTTAGTCGCTGTTTTCCAGTACTCCTGATGATTGTGGATCACAAAGAGCTTATTTCTTCTATTTATCTTATTTTTTACGACGTAACAGAAGCTGCACCAAATACATCCGAGGGCTGCTCTGATACTGACTTGGCCTTGAATCCGGCAGTGTCTAACAGCCAACCGACTTTTGATCCTGCCACTGGTTCGGCGGAACCAGTGCTCCTCAACGTAGAGGACATGGAGGCATTCCAGCTTTTCTCATCGGAAATGTTCGACCCCTCTATCTTCGAGGGCTTCCATCAACCGCCGGTCGAGGGGATTACTTTGAGCAGCGGTTTATGGGATGGCTCCCCTTGTGGAGGCCTTTGAGAGATGTCTAGCTAGGAGGTTGGGTTGAGCAGTACAAGTGGTACAATCCGAATTTCTGGACTCTTTTAGCCATACGATGCACCCACAGGCTGCTGGCGGGGGCACAGTTAGGTAACGGAGAAGTGATGTCAAACCTCAGCCCTACGCTTTCCTTCGTTTCTGAAGACTTTGATTACTCGGCGTTTACTTTCCAATAAACAGAAATCAATCGAAAGTGTAGTTCTCCCTTTAAGCTTCTATGTTCCAGGCTATCCGCCCCGGCCTGGCCCGGCTTATCTCCCCGGCGCCCCACGTTCCACGTACTATCATCACCCCGCGCACTCTCGGTAAGAATACCTTCATGTTTTCGACTCACCGCTCCCACTGCTCACGGATCTCCGATCCGGCCATGGAAGATCTTCCATTATAACGACTCTAAAGACCCCTCCCGCGAACGTTCTGCAGGAGGCCCGCACGATCCAAGTGTCATTCGTTACTGGTCAGACTACCCCGTCATGTCGAACCCCGCGCCCACCGTGCTTACCCAGCTTCCCTTGGACGAGGACGCTCGTCCACGCTACAGCGATGCCGAGCTGTGCGACTACTTTGAGTGCATCAACCTCCCACAAAAGTATCTGGACTCGATTGTGCTGAAAGATGCGACACAGGCCGGAACCAAAGAGCATGGGCTGCCCTTGCTACAGGCCCTGACACGGTACCACACATGCCATGTCCCCTTTGACAATCTTGTCTTGCACTATTCCACATACAAGACCGTCACGCTTGACCTGGCGGAGCTCTATACAAAGATAGTTTGCCGGCGGCTCGGCGGGCGATGTATGGAACATAACACCTTTTTCGGGACCGTCCTTCGCTCGCTCGGCTATGAAGTGCGCAACTGCGGAGGCCGCGTAGCGCGGGCAATGAGTCCCTACCCAGATGTCCGGCGCGACCAGGGAATGACGTATGACGGGTGGAACCACATGCTCAATCTTGTGCGACTAGATGATGAGTGGTACGGTGTGGACGTGGGGATGGGCTCTATGGGCCCTAACCTCCCATTTCCGCTGCGTGATGGATTTGAGACGACCAGCATCCCTCCACGTTTGATTCGTGTGCAGTTACGGTCGATAGCCGAGACATACGCGAGTACAGGACCGCCGAAGATGTGGTGCTTTGACGTCTGCTACAACCCACTTGATGAAGGCAAGAAAGAGTGGCTGCCGGCCTATTGCTTTTCAGAGACAGAATTCCTGCCTCAAGACTACGAGGTCATGTCCTGGTTCACGTCGACAAACCCAAGATCCTTCTTCACCAGATACATCACCTGCACGAAAATGCTCATGGACGAGGACAAGGAGATGATTGTGGGCAATGTCACCTTGTTCGAGGACACCGTGAGAGAAACCATTGGCGCCAATCGCAAGGTAATCAAGGAGTGTAAGACGGAAGACGAGCGTTTGCAGGCGCTGGCCGAAATCTTCAACGTGCATCTGACAGATGAGGAGAAGAGGGCGATTCCAGACGACCGGATATTAGCATAAAGGCTAGGATGAGAGGAACCATGCCAGCCATCCTATCTCATTGCATTCACACCTGGGGCCCTAGAATTTATTGTCCGAGGGTGATTTGCCACCCCAAGTAGGTAGAAGCACATGTTGCTCCTATGAGTCTTCGTGCACTGTAGCAGATTTGTCCTTATTTATTCCATCAAGGTATCCAGACCGGGAACTGCACAAGATGGAGTGTAGACAATGTGCCTTGTAGCTCGTTCCACTGGTACGCCGTCAATCACATCCGATGGCTGCGGGCCGTTCCGAACTTCGGCTTATTCCCCGGATAAAGCATCCTATGTCAATCGGTGCCTCAGCATGCGCAGGAGGGGGATCGCGCGGCCAACTCGCTGTCTCTCTTTATCCATCTTCCACTCCACCAAACACGGGAAAGCACAGGCTGATTTATTCGCACAAATGGCAACTCCCCGGGTACCCTCAACCACCGGTAGAGATACCAAAGTCGCAAAGTACAGTGGATGTGTACATCATCGACACGACGAGTTTCATGAGCGGATTCCCAGCCTCGTCTTTTGTGGATCCCCTTGTACCGGGTTTTGACACCATGAATGCCGGGTCTTACGCGTACCTTATCAGACACCCCGGCTCGAATACCAAATACGGCACTATCATGTTTGATCTGGGCGTGCGCAAGGACTGGGAGAACAGCCCAGAGGCCTTCGTTGCGGGGATCAAGGACAGCGGTGGCTGCATCAGCGTCGACAAGGACGTCGCCACCCTTCTGCGCGAACGTGGACAAGACCTGGGAGAGATCGGGGCCATCATCTGGTCTCACTGGCACTTCGACCACGCCGGCGACCCCCAAACGTTTCCTACCGCGACAGACCTGATTGTTGGCCCCGGCTTCAAGGCCAATATCATGCCTGGGTTCCGCGCCCTCTATGAGAAGGTCTGCGTCGGTAACAAGGGAGAAGACGCCCAGAGTACATTCTTCGAGGTCATGCTTCTGGAAGAGGGTTTCGGTGCGCCCTGACTCCTTCATCTTGCTAGAGTAGGTCTTGAATGCTTATGCGGATTTCCCATCTCCAGGTCGTGGTCAGCCATGGCATGGCAGATCCAGATGGAGCCACCCCGACTACGTTCGCAAATCCGTCAGTACGCCCGTCGCCTAGGAAAGAAACCCGCAAGGACGCTGCTGAATGCTGATCAGCCCCAGGCACACCGCAAAACGCTGTTTGACATTATGACAGGCTTCATCCCGATCGAAAACGTCAAGTTCGATAAGCGCCTGACCCATGTCGAGCAGCGGCCGGCCGGTGTCACCCTCACGTTTTCCGACGGCACGACCGCCGAGGCTGCTATACTTGCCGGGGCTGATGGTATCAGGAGCACGACCAGAGAGCATATCCTGAAGGATCTATACCCGAGCCAAGTCGCGCCTGTGTATGCAGGTGCTTACTGCTATCGAGCCGTCATCCCCATGCCCGAAGCCTACGAGATCCTCGGCGATCTCACAGATGTCGCCAAGCTCTATTTCGGACCCAAGCGTGGCGTGGCGGTGATGTGAGTGTTTGATCCTGATGCGAGGCCCCGCAGCATTCATGGCACGAGTGTGACGTGCTAACCAGTCTATTGTTCGACAGGAATTCAACTACCTCCTATGCGTTGCTGATTCCGACGAGGGGTGGAAACTAAAGGACGCCGTCACCGAGCGGACCACACATGAAGCCATGATGGCCGATTTCGAGGACCCAGGCATCGACGAGAGCTTTCGAAAACTTCTGCAGAGGGCGAAGCCGGTGAAATGGGGCCTCTTCCACCATCTTCACACGGCGACATACTTTCGCGATCGCGTGGTTCTAATACAATGGGTGTCTTATCCACCAGAAACATCCCAAGGAGACTGAAAAAGGTTGACCATCGTATCAACAACTACCACAGTAGCCAGAATCGACGCCGTGCAAGCAGAGTATTCTGCTTTCGAGACACTCCACGAGTCTGATGGTCTTGTCTCTACTGCTCGCGAGCTCGGCATCGCATACGTAGCTTACGGTCCTCTTGGTCATGGATGGTTGGTGGACGTCCCTACCAGACGCCAGACGACTTCGAGCCCAACGACTATAGGCGGCAAAGTATATACACTTGAGTTTTGACTAATGTGCCTCTGCTGACTCCTTTTCCAGTCCCAAAGTTCCAAGGCGAAAACTTCTACGCCAACAAAAGAATTGTCGATGGATTCAAGGATCTTGCCACACGGAAGAAGTGCACGTTGCCACAGATTTCCCGTGCATGGGTGGCAGCTCAGGGCATGATTTCGATCCCAGGAACGACGAAACCGGGGCGTCTCGAAGAGAACTGGGGTCGAGAAGCATAGAATTCACTGATGAAGAGTTTAAACATATGCGCGCCATCGACCCTTTGAAGCCGCGGGGCGATCGCTATAACGAGATCGCGGCGAAAAATATTGGAAACTAATATATGCTGGGAACAGTCCTTGTCTTATATTAGATACTATTCAACTCTTCAAATACCAAAAGTTAGTTCCACTGTTCTGTGCTTTGGCTTTCAGTTAAGTCTTAGAGTTTGGTATGGCATTAAAGGTGTCCGCAGAATGTGAATATTGGGATGGACGGCAAACTCGAGCAAAAACTAAGCTTAAACAGCTTGCTTCTATAGGGCTTACTGAGAAATACCAATATGAGCAGAAGAAAGAGAATATCATCTGCAATAAAGTGCTTGCTCCTGCAACTTTCAAAACATAAGGAACAGATTTGGGGTCAGTAAATTATTCTCTATTAATCGGTTATACTATCTCGAATTCCCCTATGCTTGGTAGTGACCCATCACATATTTTTTCCCTACTATGGTTTATAGACTAGTATGAGGAAACTTGAAATTAGGGTCCGGATGCTTGAAATCAATAAATGTCAACCGGCCAGACTCTTGTCCAAGGACAACCGTAGTCCAGTACGTCGCGCAGCACCGATCTCTGAAGTCCGGTGGAATCCAAAGGGCTTTTCTTCCGCCCAGCAGAACCCATTCTTTCTCAACAAACGGAGTCCAAGCAAGCTCTTCACATCGTTTTGAGTCCATAGGCCCCCCAACGTTAAGCGCTAGCAAACCTCGATCGGTTCTGAGGTATCGATTATCCGAGGCGAACGCCAGCTTTTTGACTTCGACGTTCGCGCGAAAGGTCTCTGCCAGAGTCCCAGTCGCAATGTTCCATACTCTAATTGAGCTGTCCTGTGAGATGGACGCTATGCTTTTGCTATCCCATGAAAAAGCAATTACCTTGGCGAACCCTTCCCCGCCAGTAAATGCTTGTACGCAGGCCTTTTCTTTCCAGTTCCAGAGCTGAATGGCAGAATCGGACAAGGCGACTGCTATAGACTGACTGTCTGGCGAGAACGCGAACGCTTTGATAATACCCTCAACCTCCAGGATATACTGCGTGCCATATGTATCCGTGTCCCATAGCCTGATTGTACCTGTATCTGCCGGAAAGTATGCCAATGCCTGGTTATCGGGAGAGAATGTAATACAGCGTAGATCTTCCTCCTCAACTGCCAATGCTCTGACGCAGACACCAGTGACTGTATCGAAGAACCTGATTTTCTTGTCCTTAAAAAGCTGCGCTAGCACTTGGCCATCAGGCGAAGGTGCAGCCTCGGGGAACTTTGGTTCACTCTCGGCCTTGATCTCCTTGCATGTTCCAGATTGCACATTCCAAACGCTCACACAGGCATCACGGGAAAAGCTTAGAACAATCTGAGAACCCGCCAATTTTTGACTTTTTGTTATAAGCTCTTCTGGGCCAACAATTTCTTTCACCGATTTTTTTGTGTTCATGTCTAACACTTTCACACGAAAAGCAATCGATGTTGAAATGAGAATCGATGCCTCATGTGATGGCGAGATTTCCAAAACCTCACCAATATGGTTAGTGACATTTGAATCCAGGGAAATTTTTATGCGTCGTAGATGTTTCTCTGACGCGAGTGACATTGCTTTTACCTGGCGGCGATTCTCATCTGATATCGCAATGCCGCCTAATAGAAAAACTATGATTGTAACAACACCAAACGCGGCATATAGAGATATGAACCAAATCAAGTCGCACACCAGGAGAACCTTGCACAGCAGCGAGATGGTGTCTTGATCTGGGGGTGAACTAGATGGCGAAAGCTGAGTTTGATCTGCGTTTGTGCCGTAAACCAAGCCTCCTGGAAAAACTTCATCGCTAACCAGGAAAAATAATATAATCCATGCGCAATTTGCAAGAACAAATTGTTTGTCTGTAATCCTCGAGGCACAGTTCTTTAAATTCTCTCGATAGTCCAGTTTCCTACTTAGTAACGGGAAATTCTCGCGATCCCTATACTCATACGGCACTCGCCATAGTAAAACCTCGCCCTGGAGAGTGCCTGTTGCTAGAATATTGCCGCTCGGGGAGAAGTCGATGGTAGAAAGATACTCGCGACTTTTTTGAATGCTACCAATCTTTTTATTTTCATATTTCACGCCTTCATTCCAAAGATGCACTTCATGTGTTAAAGAGGAAGCTAAACTCTGACCAGTCGGTGAAAAAGCCAAGGCTCGGGCTAACAAGAGACCCCGACTATGATCTTTCCAAATTTCAGTCGTCGTATTCCAAGTATACAGCTTGCAATACTCAGTGGAAAGCGCAAGTTTGCGGCCATCTGGTGAAAACGCCACAGCTTTAATTGGTTCCTCATGGTGGAAGATTTGTTTCCAGCGTGCAGATTCCCGGTCCCACAGGTGAGCCGCGCCGCTTTGTGAGCCGAAAACCATTCTTTTTCCATCTGGTGAGAAGCTTAGAGATTCAATCTTGTGCTGCCTCGATTTCTCTGCACGATTCATTGCAGCCAACCATTTCCGCTTTGCTTCCGCCGCGGGAGTCTTTGCTGGACCTTTAATGAACCAAGACATAATGAACCAAGACATCTTTCCCCGTGTCTTGAGATATTCGATTGTACTCGCTGCATAGTCGGCTACCCCCTCCATGTGATTTCGGTATGCGTGTCGCAATTTAGTTTCCTCATAGGAAGGTTCAGCAACACTTTTCTGGCCTTGAAGGATTTCCCTCCAGGTTCCAGAAGCTGTATTCCAGAGTTGCACCATGCCTGTACTCAAGACACACGCAAGGTCCTCGCCATCTGGGGAGAACGCAATGGCGGTTACGAAGCTACCATGGCTCTGGTAAATCTGAATCCTGGTTCCATGGGGTAGCCTCCATATCTGAACCGTACCATCTTCAGATCCTGAGGCTAGCGTGCTGCCGTCTGGGGAAAACGAGATCGAAGTTACACCCATTTTGTGTCCTTTAAGCGTCCTTTGCAGGGTACCAGATGCGACATGTACCAGATGAATCATGGAATCACTCGAAGCCGACGCAAGGATCTGGCCATCGGGTGAGAACTTGACGCTGTTAACCCAGTCTGTATGTTCCTTTATTCTTTGCAAACAGCCACTCCAGCTCGCTTCTGCGCCCTTTGTCTCCTTTATCAAGACCGATGGTTTGTTAAGAAAGTGATCTCTGACCGCGCTATCGATAGGGCAAAATGCAAGAGCTGCGGCATAGACTTGTAACGGCGCTTGTTCCATGATATTCCTAAAATGTAATGTAAAGCGCTCGGCATCTTCTAAAAATAACAAATAATGAGAACCCGTTGTCAGCTAGTATGTATTAGTTCAAATCCAGTGAATTAGACTTTTTTTTCGACTTCGTACCGGGATATTCTGCTGCAATTTTCTGATTGCCATTGTGCTTACAGGAAGTTCATGCATCAAGCCTAAGCTTTCCATCCAGTGTAGAAAATGCGTAAGCAAAAAGGAAAAGGCCTTACTGTCGTCGGAGAACTCTCTTGTATATTCTTCCTTCCGTACGACTAGCTCACATAGGTGATCTGGCCAATACATGCAAGAATATTTGACAGACGCCAACGGATCGTGGAACCGCTGAAAATTGTCTGGAACCGCACCAAAGTCCTCCAGATCGTACATGTTCTGTCTGAGAACGGCCGACATGGTCGATATGGAGTGAGAAAAAATATCATAGTGAGCCTTCTCTCGTCCATTCGGAAACAGGGCAGCAAATCTCTTCGTAGTCAGATAGTCCTTTGCTGATTGGTGTATAAAATAGACGGAATGATCTCGAATGGTGAAAAACGAGCAACACATATTGACGATTCTTTCCAGATCAGGTAGCTGTGAGATTTCTTGATCAAGACCGGCTATGACACGCATTTCATGCAAGCGAAGAGGGCGATAAGCTAAAGTAGCAGCTGACATGATAGCAAAACATCGCTGAGAATTCCTGTCATCTTGTAGCTCGATTCGTTGCATCATTTGGTCGTAAAGTGGCACAAGGCCAATGGGGGCAGCGTTAAGAACCTTGGCCACATCAGCTTCCAGAATGCTTCCTCTCAGCTCCTTAATTATAAGTGCCACCCAAAGAAATGTACCATCGGACTTCCGGCGAATTTGATCTTTAATCTGAGCTCGAGTATCGGGGGAATGTTTCAAAGAGACCAGCTGAGATACTTTGCACTCGATAAATGCGTCTATCGCACTGGATATGTGATCTGCATTCAATTCAAGACTCAGCCGTCTCAAAGAGTCCGAAACCCCTAGACCCTGCTCTATGTCATCGCGATTTCGGCTAGATATTATCCATTTTATCGGGATAGGGGATTCTTTTGTTGTCCGCATGATCAGATTCAGCAGGGCGTCTAGCTCAGCTTCACATTCATCGACGGCATCGATGAGGAGGTATACCCTTGAGGCAGTTGAGTTTCGCAACATCACATCGAGTATGCCGGATAGACTATAAAACGCACTGGCACCTTCAAACAGTTTTTGGCCGTGGTGATCATACTTCTTGCGTAGATGCTGTGTAAGTAATGGTTGCTGAACACAAAGGTTATATATCAAACCTCGCAGGACCGCAGTGGCATTGTTGAGGTTTGAGTTGGTGCCTTCGCAAAGAAAATAAGACACAAGCCGAGAGTCACCCAGCATTTCTCTTTCCCGTGATAGTTCATCCATGATGCCAATCATGAGCATAGTTTTACCTTTACCGGCATCCCCTTTGATCCAAAGTAACTGACTCTGCTCCTCAGAGCGCCATTGCCGGAATATATGGTCTTCAAGGATCCAACGGAATGAATCGTTGAGTAAACCACCCTTGGTATCCTCAATACGAAGCTTGTCGTCACTGGGATCTGACAGGAGAAGATCAGTTAGGCACTTATCATCATCGGTGAGAGCTACAAGGCAGTATAATTAGTATCATTTGACTAATGGCTGATGTTTTGACTAACTTTCTGTAACAGTGGGCAGCCAATACTCCAAAAAGGCCTTTGCAGCACACGCCCCGGTTGCCGCAGAATAGTCTTGCCATTTTTTGTTCTTGTGGCTGTCGGCATAGTCACAAACGCCTTTAATAATGATGCATGGCATGTTGTCCCAGACACCCGCTCCTTCCATCTCAAAGCCAATTATACCCTCAATTCCAGCGAGCCTATCGCGATGCTCGCCCGACTTCATAACAGTGCTGGCAGATGCGATCGTGCCAAAGTGAATAGAGGGAGTCGTGCTTTCACCGAGGCGGCGACTACGGTAAACAGGCCTCCCCTCGCATTGGAGACTCGTGCAGTCGCTTCTCAAAGCATCATCGCAAACTGGGTCGTCGCTTAACTTGCAGTCAAAGCAAATACAGCCATTGGAATTGCTCTGGTAATGTTTGTGGCGAGAAGAGGCCTCAAATAGTATGTCATATTTTGCTCCAGGATAACCATACTCCATTCCCGCCTCAGCCTCAAGGGTCTTCAAATGCTGAGCGATTCGGCCTTGAAATTCTTTCCGTGTCCTGCGAGTTTGTAATGCGCTAAGCAGAGTCCTGATCTCTCGAATAGGTCGTCCTAGTGTTTCTTTGACATCTGCTTTTCGTTGAAATCCATCTGGGTACTGCCGTCCAAAGTCATACTGAATGACACTATCACTGACGATGATATCTCCGAGAAAGATTTCAGCTTTGCCGCCAGACGGAAACGGAACACCGCCGCAGATACCGACAACCAGAGCGAGCTTAATTTTGGTGTAGCTCACTCGTAGACTCGACGCAACACTTGCGGCATTGCCTATTCCCATTCCCGGCATATAACACAGTACAACATTGTGTTGGCCGATTCTTCCATTCGTATAAGTATTCGCATCCCCAGACTGTTTGCCATACGTTCGACTAAGTGAGTCATAAGTTTCGTCGAATAACGCTTCGACCGCGTCAGCCTCATGAACGAGGGCGCAAATGATCGCAATCTCGAACTCGTCGCGTGTTTTAGGGCGCATAGCTTCTATCCATACAAAGGTGCCAAAGCGATAGTATATGTACCATCAATGCATGCCTGGGAGTTGCTTGAAGTTCCTTGGGGAAGATGTTCGAGCTAAATTGAGGTTGAGCTTAGCCATTGCGACGAAACTTCATCAGCCTTGGGGGCAACGCTCAGCTGGCGCGCAGACCCCTGTTCATGATCAGCTGATCTGTCGATCTCTGGAAATTCAGCGTTCGTGATCGATACTCGGTAGTCTCCAAGTAAAACACTTGTAGCTGAAGATTGAAGTTTGGCAGCAGAGTCAGCTTGATGGATAACGTGAAGAAACCAATGCAATCTGAGGTTGGTTCTAAGCGAAGGAAAAGGATCCATCTTGATTGGGTATTGAACTTGGAGGCCTCAGGCATAAGAATGAAGGACAGAGTGCGTACTTGAGATGCAAGCCGTCGATGCCCAGTAGTCCAACGTTGAACCTCAGACTATACCAACTAACAATTGACTAGGTTTCAAAAAAGAAGTACTGGGTATCAGACTGAGATGAGCTCACCCCATCTATTTCATACTCAAATCACCCTTGGTCGCGCGACCAAAAAGCGGCCTCACCCTGTATCTCACCTGGAGCACCCATCCAGGTATTGACATTTTTTATTTATCGTTTCTATATAACCCCTGCGTATGTGTATTCCAGTACATACGACCACAGGGTGTGGAGAACAGGGCTTCCCGTCCGCTCAGCCGTACTTAAGCCACACGCCGGCAGGTTAGTAGTTGGGTGGGTGACCACCAGCGAATCCCTGCTGTTGTATGTTTTTTTCTTTTTTATATATTTATAATTTTATATTTTAGTCTCGATAGAGGATATATTGTGGTGTTTTGATGTTGACTAGAACCATTCCAAGATAGTGCCATATGATATATGCCTAAAAAGGATGAGCAGTATAGATAAGGAGTTCTCTATAAGGTTAGAACTCGAATAGGTATTAAGGGCCAGCTAAAAAATGCCAAACTAATCCTCTTCTCATTATCATTTTGATATCAATTTTTATAGATGCGTAGCACTGACATGTCGGTAGTCATTACCAATGTCGATAGATGATATTCGTTTACAGGTGATATGTAAAGCCAGAAATACTTTATATTTCATAAGATAGACGTCGTCTAGCAGTTTGGAAAGAATAAGCCAAGAAATTTGAGATAGAAGTGAAAAAAGAAAAGCCAGTGAAAACTGACAAATAATTAAAAACAGAAAGAAGCATGTGTGATGTAAACTCTCCTTCAGCAACCTCGGGGTTATAGTCACCTTTCTTCAGCAATCCAGCTCAAAGCTAATCATTCCAAATCGGCTTGTGGTAGCGACTGCTAACACGCGTGAAGCGGCCGACTGAATCCAGCCAACTATCCAGACAATGCAAGACTTCATACATGTAGGTCCAATTGCGCTGGATGGGCTTTGGCAACTTACAAAAAATGACCGCATCACAGTCCACCAGCAACTTGGAGACCGAAAATTTTCTTTCGCCTTGATACTGGCGCTTGTTTCGCTTCATATGCCCACCCTGATACCAGAATAGCAAAGGATCCTGGCATGGAGCCATACCGCAATAGTTAATACCCGTGTTGAGGTTACCCAGACGTAAGAAATCGCCATCCTTGGGCTGGAGGAATATCTGCGTGTATTCAGGGCTGGGCCGAGTAGTCTCCAGCTCAATTATGGCCACGTGCGAGGTGGGGGGTTGGTACATGAGCATCCGTCTCCAGCTTGCTTCCTGTCGAAGGTATGCGTGTTCCTTTTGTGGGTTGATCAGAGTGAAGTATTCTTTTTCGATGCAATATTGCCATCTCGGACGTGTATGGAGCTCCTTGAGGAAAAACCCAGGCCACAGGTTTGCTTTGATGAGTGGGTTCAGTATCCGTTTACGGCTGCCCCAGCGGTGCTTTTTCTTGTTGGGTTTGAAGAACAGAGCTATCTGGAGTTTCTCGGACTGTTGGATCAGGGCGTGCCAGTGATGAGAGACTTGTTGGGCAGATGTCAACAGTGTGGCTATGTCTGTCTATAGGAGGATTGCCTTGAGAATCTCTGTGATTTCAAGTGCTTTGTGAGTAGCCATTTTTGAATGGTGATTTCCATAGATAATTGCTGGTTTTCGCAAGAAGTCGAAGGATAATCAACCGGGATACCTACATTTTGGCGGTTGACTGGTATAATCTGAAACGGGTTTAGTTCAAGCACCACACTAAACCTCTTTAGGTATTATTCCCTAATCAGGAGCTGCGCTACCATGTTCCTATTGGTCCACCGTGCGGGAACTAGTACATTAGTAGCCTTTATGTCCACTCTTTATGTATGTATGCAGTTATGCGTTTCGAACTTCGCCTTTCTATAGTAAATTATATGAGACTTGCAAAGTATATATATATATATATATCCCAATAGTAATAGATACGAATAATTAAAACCATAGTGATGAGTCATGCTATATCATGATTTCAATGCTACTGTAGCAGCATTCCACGGACCGAGCCAGCTGTCAGGCTGTCATGGGAGAGCTTATAAGCTTAAAATAGCATGCAGAACAGGACATAATTTCCTACACTAGATTGATATTTCTCTCCTATTCCAGGTGATTATTATATAGCTTGACATTTCTCTGCTATTGCTATATGAACACGCAGCTAGCAAAGCTCCCACATCTCCCCACCACGCTGAGACTCATTGTAAAGGGCCGGATAAAGAGGATAACTCAATTCATCATCGGTGGGCTGCCATCCAGAGCCGTTCTGCTCTGTCCCACGAGTAGCTTGTTGTTGGCGCTGCCTTGGGCCCCATGACCACATCTGAGGGGAGATGCGGCGGACGTCTTTGAATGGGCAGAGGGGTTGACGCCGCTGGGAATAGCTCAGCCATTACTACCTGCCAGCTGGATCGATGCTTTCGGTCGATCATTCACTGGCTTTTAATGAGTCAGACGAGAATAGGACTTCCCACAACAGCATTTCCTGCCCACTCAACACCACATATTGTCTATCTCATCAGCCAACAAGACTCAACTTCTCTATTGGACCCAATTTTCGCCGATCATGGAGCTAAAAGCCATGGGGTCTGCATGAACAGTGTGAGCGGCGAAAGCAGCCCTTCCAGCATTAGGAGACGTGTGGGGAACAGTCAAGACTCAAGTAGCTGCGTCCTTTGGACCTGCTTGCACGTCAGCAGTTTAAGACGTCTGACCCCACCCAAGCAAGGAACTGCTGCATATGCAATGGCTTCTCACTCGATTATGGCTGCCGAACACCAGGAAGACTTTGGTAACAAGAGCGTGGATAAGACCTCGATACTGAGCAAGCTTCGGTCGATGAATATCTCTCTTTTGTTTAAGGCATGATATCCCAAAGGCACTCTGGGATATCCAGCGAGTCAGAAAGCAAAATACTGAGTGAAACTATACATTTTAGATCAACCATCAGAAGATCGAACTATCTACTCATAACTCTTTAATCATACATCGTTCAAAGAATTCATGCCTGCACCCGCTTGGTCAAGAGATACTCATAATCAGGCATAGCATCCCAAACCGCCTTCTCAATCATCGCGCCCATCTCCTCGCCAAACTCCTCCTTCCACTTCTTCGCCTCAGCTTCAATATCCACCGTATCAGGCGCCTTGGACTTGACCACCCCAGACGATTCACGCAGGGTAGACAACATTATGCCCGACGCAGCCCGGTGAGCAGCTTTCTCGTCTTCAGGGGTATCCTCTCCACCAACAGCGTGCGCTGGCTCTTCAGGCTTTTTACTATCCCACTTAAACTTCAGCGCAGAAGAATCGAGACCCGTCAATTCGCAGAACCGAATCACCGCCTTGGGGTTGTGAATGACATCGTTGGCGTCGATGATAACAGGTTCAGTGTCGGGCTGTTCTGAGCACCAGTCGCAGAGAAGACGAGTCCAGCGAAGCGTCATATTGGTGACAAGGGTTGCCTTGACGGCCTTTGGGTCGAAGAGACCACCCGTGGACATCTTGTTCATGGCACGGTACAGCGATGCAAACACCAAAGCCGGATGGCGGATTATAAAAGCCAACTGCCAGGTACGCAAGTACTCATCCGGGAGGATGGTATGGTTACTCCCCGAGAAGGTCTGTTCACCATACGCCGCAGGGAACTGCAGTCTGAGTGGCTCCGTCGTCGAAACATCGGTAGTGGTATCGTTGATAATATTCCCAAACGCAGCCGGGTTCACGAACCAAAAGGCATGTTCCTTTGTGAAGAGGAACTTGCCCTCACTTTTCGCCCGCGCGGACCATTCCTCCAGGTTATCCACACACTTCTGAAAGACGGACTGGACGTCTGAGCGTTCCTTTTCCGTCCATTCGGCGAGGGGCTTTTCGGCGCATCCGCTGAACGCGGTGGCCATGAATGCATCGTAGAAGAAGTAGCCGCCTGCATCGTTGGCAAGCACGTTGGGTTGGTCTGGTATGGAGAGGATCTTGGTGAGGAGGTTGGATGCTGTACGGGGGCAGCTGACGAGGAGAAGACGCCGGGAGGGGTTTGTGCTGCTGTTGCTGCTGATGTCGTTGGTGCTGATGACCATTTTGGCAGATGTCAATAGATCGTATAGATAGATAAGAAAGTTAAGAAGTTAAGCTTAATTCTCACAGTTCAATCAGGATACAAGAAGATGGCGATATCCCGGAGGCAGATGGTGTGATTTATATCTACAGTTCCACCATCAAACCATCCCAGCCGTTGCTACACAACAACACTGTCAAATGTACGACTGTCCAGTTTCAACTGTCAAACCACACCACCAGAAAATCCTCCGGTGCAACACTCCACTTCGCTTCCCTTGTCGAATTGCCGATCTCTTACTCAACTCAGTATTCTCATCGGTCATTAGCATCAAAGAACCAAGCAACTCGGGGAATTCATTAAGCCAGTGCCGAACGGAATCGGCTTTTTCGCTTATATCCAAAGACCGACGTGCGAAGTGTGGAGAGGATTCGTTAATCTATACCAAACAGTAGCAAGTGCCATTCGCTGTTCTTGTCTTGATTGGACATGGTGGGCCATCATCCTAGTAGATTCTAGGCGAGGCGTGTGTTAGTGTCAACTGTCAAAAGGACCGGTTTTCTTCAGTGCTAAGTCAACTACTGTCTCGGATCAGGGATAGGCTGCTGTAGGGGCTAAGCACTAGAAAATTCTCCGGTTCGTATCCATATGCATTGACTCAAAGATAGGGCGTGATGGGGTTCTTTTTTTCCTGAAAACTTTTGTCTAAAATAGGTATGAATACTGAGTAGCCTATCCTGTCCGCCAAATAAAGTAATATAAAAGAAAAAGACTTCTGTACAATGCGCCTGGCTTCTGCGAGTTATATGCTCCTTGGTAAATAGCACTAGGAATCACAGATAATATCAAAAAGTAAATTGTGGTGTAACGTCGAGATAGATCATAACTGTCCGCGCCGTTGCTTCTCCACTTTTAAGCATAATCTCTCACATAGCGACCTGGCAGCTCCACATCCCACATTGGTCGTTCCACGACGGCGACCTCGAGACCACTGCTGCCTTCTTCCTCTTCTTCTCCATCCTCGGTGGATGGGGGACTCAATGGGACAATTCCCAGAATATCACGATACTTGTATGTGTGCCACCACCGACGAGACGGTTGGGGTGCTGCGTTATTCCCAGTCGGCACCAGTTGCTTCTGGGACGGGGTCTCGAGCACATCCTGGTCATCCGTCTTACGTCTCGGTGTCTCCCCGAATCCATTGACAAGGGGGAGCAACCTTGCAATACCAGAAAGACGCTTCTTCTTGGGTGTGCTGGTGGACTTGGTTTCCTCCCCACTCAGGGCGGCTTCTCTTCTTAATCGTGCCAGGTTCGCGTCTTGGCCGGCTGTATAAGCTTCATCATTCTCGTAAGCATCATCATCTCCATCCACTCCTCGGCGTCGCTCTTTGTCCAGCGAAATCCACTCTCCCTGAGACCCATCCGATCCGACAACCTTGCGGATCTTGGACCCGAAGCCGAGATCCGACTGTGCCAGAGACATCTTATCACCGGCACCGCTGTTGGTCTTCTTCCTCGCGTTCTCGCCATCTTCCTGTAGCTCGCGCTTTCGCTTGTTGGCTGCTGAGGCCTTGACGAGTTGTCCGGGTGCAGTCGAGTCCTCGTTGGCCTCGACCTCGGCCTCCTCAGGCGAGGGGAAGTCTTGCTTCAAGTCGAACATCCACAACCAAGAAGAACCGTACAGCCAGAAGCGATCACGGCCTTCGGATAGATCCCACATGCAACCCATCGCTCGGTCCTTCACGCCTCGGAATTCAGCGGGGAGGTACGCCGTGGGGTTTCTCCGCGACCAATCTGATAGTTTGCCTTCAAGGGCCTCGAACTCGACCAACTGGTGTTCGCTCGTGAGCACCATCAACCGGCTCTCACTTGAAGAGGCACCGTTGGTCAGAAGCTTCGTATCCGGACTCTGAGGGCGGAAGGATAGCAAAACAACGCCGGCCTTAAGACGGGGTATAGGAGTTTCAGCGGCGGCGAGAGTCCAGCGCTCGCCCTCGATAGCGGTTTGTTCGTCTTCGTCGTCAGACTCGTCATCGGACTCTGCGGGTCTCTTAGATTTCGCGAGAGCTTTCGAGCCCGACTCGGCTTCCTCTAATCTCCAGGTATCCACACAGCCAGAAATATCACCGGCGGCCAAGACCCTGCTGTCATCGGAGAATACGACACATCGGATTGTCCTTTCATACTCACCCAAAGTTCCATGGGAGGCTTTCTCGTGGCGAGTGTGTCGGGTAACTCTGTTGATTTTCAGGAGAGGTGACAGCACCTGGGGCTTCTCCTGAGGAGAGGCGGCAGGCTTGATCTTGGCCAAATAAATCTCACTGTTGGGGCGAACGACGCAGAGCCAGCGGCTATCGGGGGAAATAGTGACCAGTCGTGCACCGTCATCGGCAAGTGCGGAGTCGACATCCAGCTTCTGTATACGTAAAGCCCCTCGCTCGTCGCCCTTGCGCCGCCGCACAGAGAAAACCTTGACATCTGATGTCGTAGCAATAGTCAAAATCTTTCCATCTGACGACAGCATGGCTGAAGTGATGTTCTCTTCGCCCTATAGAGCATAATATATCAGCAATCCATTCATCATCCTTAGCTACAATGCCTTTCCATACCTGAATCAAAACCTTTCCGACGAGTCGATGCTTTTGTCCATCGGCGTTTTCATAAGATGTTGTAGGGCCACGGGACACACGCCAAATGCTAACTTCTCTATCCCAGAAGCTCATGACCAGCCGAGACGAAGGAGACGAAGCAAGTTGGGGTATTTGGGGCAAGCTCGACAGCTTTCTGTGGTGTTCTTTACCGAATTCACGGAGGGGCAGTACGACCGGCGTGGCATCGGGACCTAAAGGCCAATTAGTTAGATTGGAAGTGTTATTGGGGTCGGCTGATATAACATACCTCCAGACACAATGATACTGATATCCCTTGTCTCATAGACAGCAAAGGTCTTAACATCATGGGTGTGGTATCGTCTGTGCATCACTTCGGCCCATCGTCCTTTCTTGTCGCCCTTTTCTCCCTGTTTTTTCTTGTAGACAACAGTCCTCTGATCCGCACCTCCACTGACAACGGTATCACCACTGGCGCTCACGGCAACGTCCAGAGTATCAGCCATGTGGCCCTGTAGCCGCTGGATGAGAGAGTAGTTCTTCGCGTCCCAAAATCGGATTTCACCGGCCGAGTCACCCGAGACAATCGTGCCGTCTGGCAGGCACTTGACCGACCAAACGAGCAGCTCCTTGGGACCACCCGCGGGGCCCTTGCCAAGCGAAATCGTCCTCAGCAGCTGTCCATTTCGAATATCAAACAGTCGGATCGAGCTGTCGGCATAGCCCGCCACGATGGTGTTGCGGTTCTGAAAGGTAACACTCAAAACTCTCGCTCGCTTGGTGGACGGGCGCATCAAACGGAGGTATTTCAAGTCTCCGTCCGCCGTAGACAAGATCACAATCGAACCATCCGCACATCCAGCTGCGAGATGTTGTCCGGTATACTCTCCCTCTGCGGGGCCCACGAGTTTGCCATCCTTACCCCGCTGCGTCGACTCCCATCTAGGCTGCGCTGCCAGGCACCAGATCTCGCCGTAGTTTCCACTCGAATGACGCATCGGGCGACCCTGCTCGATATCCCACTCGGTCACGGCGGAGGAAAACCCAATACTGAACAGGCGGAGTCGACCGGGGATCTTGACGCCTTCGGGACCATCTTCGGGGGGATCAAGCGTCCACGCGAGTCCCTCTATGCTTCGATCTTTTCCTCCCCGAAGAACCGTCTCCTGGAACCAAGCGCCGCGCATTGGGTTCCATATCTCGATGTCGCCATTGGCGCGACCAACCGCCAGTCGAAGGGTAGGGATACCGCGTCCAGAAAGACCTGCGGAGGGAGGGTGGGAGAAAGCGAGCGCATTAATCGCCTGCGGATTGTAGGGCACGAAACGGCAACGGTGGATATCCATGTTCGGTGGGCAGCTTGCGGTGGTGAGCAAGCTGCGAGGAAATCAAACTTCTTTGGTTGAACTTGGAATTGGAAAGCGGATGAGGATAGAGCCGTTCAAAAACGATCTAACCCGGCTCGAGCTGTAGAGCCAACCGCTATGCAATCATGCCGCGGGGAAAATTAAAATGTGGTAGAGTGTTGCCGTTGCTTGATGGTCGTTTTTCGGCGTTGATCTTTTTTTTTCTGTATAATTTTTAGCGTCCCGAAGGACCTGCCGCCGGAGGGTAATTTTACCCGATGTGTCACGTGATCGCGTCCGCTTGCCTCTTTGCTTGAACATATAGAGCATCACTTTTTCAAGATAAATTGAATATCTATTTTATTTGAAATTAAATAATAAAATGTATCAAGATAGATGTCAGAGATTGTATTGATAGTAGTCTAGCTACATAGATCAAAAACGGGAAATTTCATCGCTGTAATATACAGAAATGAGCGAGAGAAGAAATATATAGTTTCGAACATGTCCATGTTGAACGTTATTCCATCTCCCATCCTATCCGAAGAAAACGAATAAGAAGAGAGATATAAAGAGCTTAAATAAACAATCTGGCTTATTCTAGTCCTACACAAGAAGATAAGCATGCTTAGGCACTGCAAATGGTGTTGCTCTGCATTTTTATGGACTGGCAATCTGTTTTATCAAAAGCATCTATAGCAAGAACTAGGTAGACACTCAAAAACAATAGGAAATACCACAGCAAAGAAGTCCAAGAAATGCTCAGCATGGCTAGCCTATAAACCGGAGTAGAAGCTCAATTGAAACCAAAGGAATTGCAATTGTGGATAGCCACATTTCCTCGCTTAATACAGGCAGCGAATACCCCATTTGTAGACAGAGGCCATTCTCCCGCTCTCCTTTTTCTTCTTCAGCCGTTTTCACTTCCTTACTCTTACCTTCAACGCCAGCCCAGACGGGGGTGTACCGGTCCTAAAATGACCAAAGGGATTAGTAGCATCTCTCAGACACTGGTGTCTGTAGGCAAGTTGTCTGTGACCCATTTTGTATACATACCATATATAATGACAATTTGTGATATAGATCGGGGGCAAGACTGTGCTTTTCTTTAGGCAATGACTGCCATCGAGATTCCAGAAACAACACATCTGTATATACTGCTTGGGTGACAGAGGCGGACAGCTTTTTAGACAACTTTGCCGGTATTCTGGACAAAAAAAAGTCGACGAGTGGTGACAAGACATCTGAGGAGATTTTGGTGGGACTCAGGAAGTCCAGTGGATGGCGTACCCCGTCTTCCTGTTCATGGACTGGACTGCACAGGAGTGGGCTCTGCATTAGAGCCGCTGGATGAGAATTCGAATGGAAATAGTGAAAGTCACGGCGGCAGACCGAACAACTCATTGTTGAGGTCGACCTTGATATCATTCAATGGCTTTATTCAGGATCTGACCAGTATTGACATTATATTGGTCTTCGCAGTATGCATGACGACAAGGCTCTCTGCTTTGGTGATGTTCTTGAGAATACCATGTCGCTCCTCTCATACCCGGACATCCGGCTTCTGAAATTGCAGAATGATAAATCGCATCACTGCAATAAGCAGAGCCGAGCCTCATGGCGATGAAGAACCTGAAGATGGTAGAAAGTCAGTTGTATGTACAGGCCACAGGGTAGGCTTGAAAAGAACGCTAACCATTCCTGGGAATTCGCCACAGAATAGATGAATGAATCCTGGTGCTTATCTCGCGGCAAATACCTTCCCTGTTAGATCTAGCCTCGTCTGGATATTATTCTTCCCTATTGTGTGCAGCTGCTGCGGTGGAGGCTATAATCATGGATGCCCGATGCCGTCGCCAATCAACACCCCGCGCCTTTTTAGCTACAGCCAATGTCCGAATCAGAGGACAGCATCGCCAGACCAGACCCCTCCATTCAGCTGAACATGGTTTCTGAACCCAAAAAAGCATCAGAAACAATAATCTCGTATCAAAGCCCCAGCTAGTCCATTACCATTCCCGTCTCGATGGATTATGATGGGATCGTCCCCCCTTCAGCCTCCACCCATCCCGCCTATACATACTCTGGATGACTACAAATTTCTCCATAAATGGGATGATGATCCCCTGCATCCATCGAGCCCATTGCGTCCTATCAGCGCCCAGAAGCCGGGATAACGTTTGGTGTTGTTGCTTAAGGCCAGCCACATGAAACCAGGATGGGTGAGTTTCTGACGTGGCAAGCCAATCCCCTCCATCGACACTCGACAGCCAAAGAGATATGGTGCCTGGCGTCATGGATACGACATCGCGGCTCGCTTGGGATGACTTTTTGTATGCAGGAGTTATTTACCATGGTCTTTTAACTTGCTTATAGCTCACTTATTTGATGCGATCTTCATACCTATGTGCATACATACAGGCGACAGAGGTGTATGCTCTGCGAGATGATGCTTGCTTATGCTTTGGCCCCATGGATGCAGTGTAAATACAGACTAGACTTGGGTTGCCTATTTTTGGACGCGTTCGTTTGTCCGTCCTACGTTTGAGACTGTTCTGCTTAGAAGTAAGTATTGGACGATATGAGTCGAGATTTTACTTAGGATTTGGCTAGCATCTGCATAGGGTTTAATACAAAAGTACCAACCTAATATATCGAACAGAAAGAAATAACCTTTGAGTTTCATCCGTCCACCCCGTACAGTTTGAACACTGATTAATAGACAGTGTCTCAGAGCATGTACATCCTCGACAAGGTTGACGATGATACCTCCCTGAGACCGCTAAGTCGAATGCGACCCCAACGGCGGATTCCCGAACTGCCTTGTCCAGCCTGCACTTGCATCGCATGCATGTTTGGGATACAATCCTGCTGGGTGCTGTAGCCTTGTAAGCTGCGCTGCATTTGTGGCCATGGCCACAATGGCAATTCTTCGTTATGATTGTAGCGCTATTGTCTGCTGGGCTAGACTCGCTGTGCTGCAGACTGCAAACGGGTTCCCTTATTATTCACTCTAGGCCATTCAATTAGATGGTCCACGTACGGGTGCTGTATGTTTCCACCGTGCATATGCAGAGGCATCTTATTCTAAAGGTATGGAGTAGGGCGATTGGCTTTTGGTCCAGTTCGAGACACTCTGTGGTACGATGCTACTGCTACTATGTATGTGCTATCTATGTCTGCTGTGGCTACAGTAGCAGGCTCATCAGCACTCAGCAGTAGGCAGAAGCAGCAGGCAGAAGCAGCCTTGCATTTACTGCTTTTGCTACGACGGGCATGAAGTGGTTGTGATCGTAGGCCTTCTCACCAGCAACAGCTTGCGTCTTGTCGGTACTTGATCACCTCACCCCAGCGTGCGCAAATCAGACTCTCGCCTCTGCCACGATTCATGCGACCGGCCCCAATTGTAGAGGCGAAAGCCAATATCAGGTCTGCTTCCAAGATCGTATGCTCATCCCGTCTCGTCGCTAGTTTCGGTGCAGCCCAAGCTCTTGGCTGGATTGTCTGCTTCTAGTAATATAATTTCCGTGATCGCAGGCGCCCGATTCGTGCAACTTGTACTCCGTAGTAACTCGAAATATTGCATATCGACGATAGACCTGACGAGTTACCTAGGTCGAGTAACTCTCGTGTCGGACTACCGAACTAGACAGTTGAGCAGACGACATGTGATAATACCCGTAACACGGAAAAGACAACCATCGAAAAAGCGGAATCGAATCGTATCGCAGTGGCAAGAAAGGCCATGTTTATCAGGCATCATCGGTTTAGCGGTTCAGGAGGTGGCTCAACGGTGGTCCTGGCGCTGGGAAATGACCATCATCAACTGCGCCCGTCGAAACAATCGGTGATTGCGTCCTTTTGCCCTTCCTGTCATCATCCGTCTTCGTAAAGAGTAACAGTAAAAGGCAAAATTCGCGGGAAACGACGGGCCTGGCACTATGTATTAATTATGATCCTGTGTCTCACAGAAAAACAAGGCTGGAACTGGCTTTTTTTCCTTTCTGATTTTCCAGATTTCTAGACCTGGAATCTCGGGGAACATCCAGCAAGAAATAATACGCTGGATCGGCAATATAAGCGCGATGTCTATCTGACGCGATGGTCGAATCAGCGCGCGTCAAGGGCTTCCTTGTCCATCCACGCCAAGCAGACCCAATATTAATACATCATTAAGATTGTTTGCCCCCTTAATCATTCTCATCGTTGAACGTGATCAAAGTGTCCATATCGGCGTTTTGGGGAAGTGCCGGAGTGGCCGTGGGAGATGGTAGCTGAGGAGACGTAAGCTAAGCCGGTAGTAGGGCGTAGTTAGCAGGTCGCTAGAAGGAATCAAATCAAATATCGAAAAGGGGAAAAATTGAAGACTCAAGTGCTTCCCCAAATTTCATTTTCTCGATGGATGAAGATCCCATCCTGAACGCGCAATAAATCAATTCAATACCCAAACAGGCAGGCCCCTAAATAAAAAACGTGGGACGCGAATCCGATCGATGACGCCATGAATATCCATGTCGTGTGTGTATGTGTGTGTAACTGTATGTCTGGCTCGTATCCACGTCTCGAATCTTCTTGCGGCTTATGTATGCCAAATTATTTATCCTTTTTTTTTATGAGGCTTTGGGGTTGATTGTGGAGTCGCTTATTTACACTACAGTAGCCTCCGCTCTAGTCGGAGCAGCTAGCCCAACTGCGGTATAGCGCGGTTATTAATACGGCTGTATGTAACAGACGGTAAGGACCAGACCTTACTCATACCCGTCAGTAAGGTATGTAAAGAAAACGCCGGTATCCCACTGTCACAGCGTTACCGCAGTCCAAGTCTCAAAATGCCCTCTCTTCCCCTCCAAAAGTAACCGTTATGGAGAAGCTAGAAGGAAAGAGAAGGAGAAAAAAACCTGAACCATGGTTTGCAACACTCCGCAGCCCCAGCTGTACAAGACGTGGCCTTGCCTGAAATGGTCATAGACTTCTTTTTTCGTGTCGTACTCTGACTTTATCCGTGTTCTGATTCGCTGGAGGCCTTTTTGACGTGAAGATTTCACCAGCGCTATCTCAATTTTCTACACTACAGTGAATGGATCTCTTCACTATGGGGTACTGTATGCGAAACATTATAAAATGCCTCACTTCAAGGTATGCTGTTATTATTCTCAAGAACGATTTAGTAAAGGTTGAGAGGACTTGTAGGCAGTTGAAGCCTGAGGGTGTAGATGATCTCAAAGTTATGACGACATGATAAACAATCAAAGTTTCTTCTTAGGGCACCTGAAGGCAAAAAGCTACTGAGCCCTACTAGAACTACTAGAACTACTAGTATCAATCAACAGTTGAAGTACGAGTACATTAGCGGAGTTGAACTTACATACGAGGAGGATAATATCTCGTAAAAGATGCAGAGAGAAATCCAAAGAATTGCTTCACCGAGTATGGAGTCTTTATCCACATCGAATTCTGCTATTTGACACGTACATATATCGGTCGAGATATATGTATCAAAAACCAGGAAGTTGAGTTTGCCTCTTTGACCTGTTCAGGAACAGGGTAGATGGAATGGAATATCAATCATATTGATCAGCCTACGCTACAGGGATTAAACATCATGTATAGAGTACATTATTTGTAGAGAGCATTGCATATGCACTGCTAATAATGATAACATGGTAATCTGATATATTATTCCCTGTCAACTTCCAAGTTTCTTTTGCTTTTCTAGAACACCGGCTATTGACAGCTATGTAAAAATTTTTCTTCCCTTGCTAACTGCTAACTAGTAATAATAACTATGGAGCAAAAAAAAACCAGAGTCCTAGTTTCTACACCGCAGTCCGCACACACCGTATGGATTATGGAACAGTCGTAAACTCCATAAGGCATAAACTACTGCGTACCCGCTACTTCCGGCTACCGCTACTTTTGCCTTTCCCAATGTACGCATAATGGATATAGACAACTTTTTTTTTTTTTTTCTCTTTCTTCCGTTTCCGTTTTCTGTGGACCAGTATGTAAGTACTGTATGTCGGAAATCTTGCGGGGCTAAAACGTCTTTCAGTTCCATTCTTTCTATACATAACATACGAGAGAGGTACTAACCTACCAAGTAGCTCAAGTGACAGCCCTGGTTCCTTAGGGCAGTTCCCAGAAACCACGCAATTCACCAATAACCAGCCAGAAGCCCATCATTCTGCACCCGGTGGACATGTGGAGACGCGCCGAAAATTTATAATGGTTTCCGCCCGATGCCCTGGGTCAGTCGCGGCGGGTGGCTAAGCAAGTAAGACCATGACCTCGGTGGTGTCGGAGGCAAGAAAGAAAAATAGATACTGAAGAGCGAACGGTATGTATCCGGATTAATATACATGTACAGTATCCATATACCTAGGTATCGGAGTATGAAGGCTGTCTTTTGTAGGTCCACTTGTGGATGTCGCTGCGTACAAGGCTGCAAGACGAGTTGAGCGCTATGCTCGTTTAGAGGAATAGTTGTATGATAAACGGGGGTCTAAATATTAAATCGAAAAGATACTTCTGTCAGTACTTTTGATAGAGATGGGTTGCCTAAAACGGTATAGCGTTCCAATTCGGGATGGTTATAGTTGCTTCGATATCAATGGCATCAATTGACTGTAGTTATTAAATATCTTAGTCTATATTATTTCCAGAGGAAGTCAATTCTTTAATATCATGTTTGGCGACCGGGCAGATAGAATAATGCTTACCCGCCGTACCATACACAGCAGTAATACATAAAACACCAACTATTGCAGATAAACCCATGCCAATACCTACAATCAAAAGCAACGATGGAATTAGCAAGAAACTCATCACACCTCATCAAAAACAGGGAATACTTCAATACTGTTCGTACTACTTGCCTCATCTGGATTAGCTTTTAACACGCCGTGCTTCATCGACTTGAAACAGGAGATAGAAAACATGTATGCATGTCCACTACATGCTCCCGCAAATCCTTGCAGCATGACAGTCATGATGATGTTGTGTATACAGTATAAATATGCTGGTGTATCCCCTGAGCTGTTGAGAATCGAAGCTACGCTGTTAACGGTAAGGACTGCTGCATGTTAGATGAGTGTCTGCCAGGTGTTCTGCAGGTACGCCGCAAGGGAGATATATGTAGAATGTGCAGTGCAGTGTTCTATAGATTCAACGAGTTGTTCCCGGCGACCGAATAGTATAAGCACTAGACTGGTAACTACGGAGGAAAGAGTAGTGTAAGCAGGAATGGACAATAATTACATGGCGAAGTGCATACATATGTATGTGCATGTATCACGTATGGAGTTCACCACTCCGTACCTATGTATCGAATGTCGAATATCAATATCGAAAAGTCAGGGTGCAATTCCACGTCTGGTTGCCATGACCAACTCGGTAAAATAGGGAGTAGGATATGTAGATGTAGATCTTAGAAGCACGGTTACGAAGAACAAACAGGGGGTGCAGAAGTACGGAAGCATCAGAATTCCTGGACCGGACCGTTGTCACGTCAGATAAAATAATGAGCGACGCTGCTATTGTACGGTATTCCTGATCTACACTCTCTTGGCCAACATTTCGGATAGAGACATGATTCACCAGGGATAGTTAGTCCATAGTCCATACATAGTGACGGTAGACTCAGACTCAGGAGCCCCCTTTAACGCCCGGGGTAGTTATGGGCTGAATTATGTACATATGCGCATCCCGTGCCGGGCGCCCCGCGGAGGAAAAATATGCGATCCAGTCCACTTATTCATTTCCAAAAATAATCAAAGAGTCAGATTAAATATGGGGAAAGGATGGAGTGCCTGTCCTGCCTAAGAAGTTGGACTTGGATGTCCAATGTTGGGATGATGCGTTTAGCCCCTTTACGTACGGAAGACGCGGGTAGATCTTTATACGGATCATGATCTATCAAGACTCTAGCTGGGATATTCACTAGGATGTCTTGATGGTGGTATTGTAGTTTAATGACTCTATTCAGTAGCAGGGGAGGCCCAAGGCACAGGTGTCATGAACCTTGGATAAAAGTGAGAAGGAAACCCACGGAAGCAACCCTACCATTCCGGCGAATTTTAAGTTCAAAAATAAAACCAACTTCAAGCAAGGACACGGGAAAGAAGCCAGAATTTAAATATGCATACTGCATACGGGGAAAGAGGATTGAGGCGGGGAGAGACACAAGGGCAAATGGAAGCTGCCAGGCCAGCCACCTCAGCCACCCCCAACTCCCACGATATTCCCGAGCTTGTTCCAGAATCGAGACTCAGAGTGGAACACGATATGCATCTACAATCGTGAATAAGAGTAAAACCGCATGATGCAATAAATCTGCCCCTCTCTTCTATCTTAATAAGTTGGTTGGGCTTCACTTCACTGGGCTTCTTTGTTCGAGATAGATCCCTTACTTTGGAGTATTTGGCTGAACCTGGATAGTATCCATGGTATACGAGTAGGTACTTCTTTCAAGATATGTGTATGTAGGACAGTACCTGGTTTAGGTACAGACATGGATGAAAAGTTAAAGTAACTTCATCATTCGCAATGACTGGACAAAGACTAAAGAGAGGATAGAGTTCATCTACCGATTGACGAACGGCTGGCCTGCATATTCATTGTCTGGAGTGTTAAAGACTGGCCAGCCGCGCTGAGGTGGCCATGATGTTGGTTGCGGATAGGGAGGATCAAAGCAAGGAGTCCCCCGCATCGAGAAAGAGATCATTCGAGATATGACATGGTAGATTCGATCATAACTCAGGTACAGAGTATTGAGTAACATGGATAGCTTCATTATGGATATTTTTACAGTGCCTGATGGTATGGGGAAGATGTTTGCGGATACCCAGCAGATGATGATTTCAATAGCGATCAATAGTAACCAGTGCACGTCATCTAGATACTTTTCTGTACCATGGATTCTGGTCGTGTTTCTCCTATCTTTTCTTTTCCCCCACATTATTGCCTATCGATCCTTGTCAGAACGACAAAGAGAAGACAGAAAAAGGGTCAAGAGACGAGACGGGAATCGGTCGTGAAAGAAACCGAGCGAATCACTCTCCACCAGTCCACCGGGCGGGAGAAAAAAAAAGACGATGAAGTCAACCATTGCCAGGGATTCCCGGCTCGGAGCCAGTCAGGGCAAATCATCCTAGCCGTCGATGGTGTAGAAGGAACCCTGTCTGCTGGCTTTTTGGGACGCGACCGTATCTACTCCTGCGAACCGCGACGACAGAGCAAGTTACATACATACATACACTGCATACTAAGGATATTGGATAATATTGGCTACTCCGCAAGTGGGTAGGGTATATTGGCCACCGATTATGTATTATTATTCCCCTGAATGTGAGTCTGACGGTAGAAATCATACTCGTCAAATCACCTGTCATTCAACAGATAATCGGTCAATATTTAAGGTATCCTCATCAATCGACATCTATCTACTCTCGTCGCTCACTAGTGAAGGACGCTGCAGACCGCAAAGTGTGGGTTTCCTTACCATGTATGTAATACATGATTACATACAGCGGGCGTATTTTCCCTTTCTTTCTGGGCCAATCTAAGGATCCGAGGTGTTCCTGGCCTGAATCAGGGAGCGAAATGGCTGGTGAAGACTGGCCGGTAGCGACGGAGATCCCCCCACTAAAAAGCCCACCGAGGGTTTTAGGGGAGGCTTCCCTACTGGGACACTGGTTACGGGTGAATAAAGGCCAGTCGTACCATGAGAAACTTTCTAGGGGGAAACAAAGATAATCTGTCTCTTCCAGCCCAGCATGTCATCTGCACTATCTCTCCTCCTAGGGATTCATTATTTGTTCTTCATGGAGGGGATAATCTGATCAGGCTGGTGGTCCGCTCTGGAGCCTACACGATACGCCATCATACAGCTGCGTATTGACTTTGACGCTTACAGTAAGGGCCACTCCGGGCACAGGCCGCGTTATTATGTAGGCGGACGCTCCGTACAGTTACTGCGCAGTATTATTTCCAGTTTAACAGCTTACAGTATGATCCAGTAACGCTGTCCAGCGCCCGGCCTTCTCATACAGCCCAGCCGTACCCTTGTTCTACCACTGGGGCCGTAAATCTTATCTCATGGTGGTTGAATTCGAAGGGATGATGTACCAGCATAAGGAGTATTTAATATAATATAATCACTAAATTACTCTATTGAACTGGACAGCAAATTCATTGGTATCGTTGAGCAGTGAGCTGAAACACCGCTAATACCTTCAATTATTTACGCTGCGCCGTGGTAGAACGGTCTGGTACAGGATTACCCCCGGTACAGGAACAGCGTCACATTACCATACAGCGTCAGCTAAGCTGCAGCGATCCTTTCGAGACTTCTATCTCCGGTTCTCGTCTTCCTCTTAATCTCTTCTTTTCTCCTCTACTACACCCGCCTGGAGAGAGAGCAACTCCTCCTCACTTTTCTCTCCTCTTCTTCCATCTTCACCTCTTCTCCTTCCCTCCTCTCCTTTTCTTTCCACCCGCCAATCTTTGGAGAGATCTGAGACTGGTTCTACAGGCCGAGATAAAGTTGACCGGAATCTCCCAGTCAACTCCAATTTCAGCCCGCTGCACCAGCTCTCCAGTCGAGCCGTGTCCGTCAGCTTCTGCTTCGACGACCTCTTTCGACGTTTGTTAACTCAAACGGCGACTCCTCTACCTACCTGTTCCCGCCGGTGCCCTCTCGATCCGTGACGTCGACGGTTAGATTCCCCTGATCCAGCTCCTGCCGGTTAGAAGAGCGACAGACGGGGAATTTTTGGGCTTTTTCTTTCTCGAAGCTTTTCGGATTGATAAGCCAATTGATCGTTTTCGCTGTACATGATTTCGATTTCGTTGTGATACCTTTGGAGGTGAGAATTTTTTTTTCCCTTTGTCCTTGACTTCCCCCCCTCCTCAAATCATGACCCAATTGTGTGTGCCTCGAACCACCATAAATGAGTTCCATCCCATACTCGGCTCGATATCCATTCGGACCCTATGATCCTTCCTGCTCAGACCAAGATGTCCCCGGCGAATGCAAATCGAGTGCCATTGGCGATTGTCAGCCCGAGTGTCCAGACTGCGGTGCAATTTCGGTGCCTCGAGCATTTACGAGTTCAGAGACAAACAACACCGCTATTTGATGTTTTGTGGCCGGTCAATTAGTTGTGGCTAGTGTGGAATTGGAATAAAAACCATATTGTCGGTCGGGAATCTCGGGCTGTGGTCGGTGATATGGGAGATGAAGGGTGTACAGATGGGATAGAGCACGGAATGTACACTCTATCCCCGGTCCTTCTGTATTATCTTTCATTCGTGAGAGTATGGCTTTAGCTTTTAGCAGAGGCTATCTCATCTCTAGCATGGATACGGAATAAGGGGTTTCTAGGTTGTCTGGGGCCCCGGGGGAGTGTATAGGGTCATTGAGCATACTTCGGGATCAAAGCCATAACATACCTAAGATCTATTGCACCATTGGGCTGCATGAATCTTCCGAGCTTCATATTATTCCAAATCGAAATTGATTTGCTAACATGTTGTTTGACTTCTCAGGACAAATTTTTTTTACTTCGGTCACCCTTAAATGCGGATATCGATCGAAAGTCCCTCTCATCTCGCAACATCGCTTCGATCTTGTACAAAATAAAACAATCATCGAAAGACTCTGTTCTGCGAACTGTACGTTGTTATAAGTCTCGTTGCACTTTGATTCCCCCTGACGATCTCCTACCCCTACATAGGGTTCGTGCCTGTCCTATTTGTTCCACATTCCGGAGAATACACAGGCTCGCAAGTTTAAGCAGCAGCTCCTAGGGGTGAAGACGTTGACTCGTGCTTCATCTGTTGGACTGGTATCCTGCAAAGTTCTCTTTGACGGATCATTCCTGCGTCCTTCTCCAGCCTAGATGCCAGACACGCCGTCACGGTAAGGGTTGCATTGTGCCCTCTGCCCGAAGGCCTTTATCTGGGTTAGTAGCTTTATCTACCAAGGAGTCTCCCTGCCATCCTCGACCTTTAATGTTTTATGCCTTTCCTTCCCACCTTGAACCCTCGTTTACTGGTCTTCATTCATTTATCTCGCCAGCCTTTCGTTAATCTTTGCGTTGATCCATTATTATTTTAATCTTTAATTATACTAATACGGTCTTTCTTACAGCTCTAGCCACGAAGCCCTTCAACCCGGTTCTCTGGCCACTTTACTCAACAGTATTCAGACTATTGTCTCGTACTGGCCATTCCTTAATAATTCCAACTAATTACATTCATTCATTTGACCAACTAATTCGACGACTGTCACTCTTAATACCCCGTCGTTACCTGATAGACTCGTTCAGGTCCGCTCTTTCATTACGCAACGTTAATATTATTCGCCTGCATATTTTCCCCTCTTCGACATTATGACTTTCCGTCACCGTCCCACCTCCAGCTACCAGCCTTGCGATACCTTCTTCGTCGAGTCGTACGATGACTTCCCTGCACCCCGCATGGATCCTAAGGAGCATGCGAAACTGATTGCCCGGGAACGCCAGTACGCCATTGCCGACGAGTTGTCCAAGGCTGCAAGTGAAGAATTCCGTGATGACATTCTGTCTCACATGCTGGACATGGATGTTGGTTACCCTCAAGTCCTCGGACTCGGTATATTTGCTAACCTAATATAGTCCGCTACGCTGCCTGACGTCGAGTCGATCGATATTCAGACTGAGATCCAGTGGTTCATGCGTCCTTACCTCCTCGATTTCCTCATCGAAGCACACACCGCTTTCCAGCTTCTACCTGGTACATTGTTCTTGACAATCAACCTTCTCGACAGATACTGCTCCAAGCGTGTCGTCTACAAGAGACATTACCAGCTGGTAGGATGTGCAGCCCTCCTCATCGCCGCCAAGTATGGAGACAAGAAGGACCGTGTGCCCACAATCAAGGAGTTGAAGTCCATGTGCTGCTCTCTTTACGATGATGATATGTTTCTCCAGATGGAGTGGCACGTCTTGCAGACTCTGGGATGGACAATTGGACACCCCACAGTGGACAGCTTCCTCCAGGTCGCTGTTCTGGACACCCCTTACGACCCAGAGGTTGAGCACTTGGCCTTGTACATATTAGAAATCTCGCTCTTCCACCGGGAGTTTGTCTCGAAGCCATCCTGTGATCTCGCCAGAGCGTCTTTGGCTCTCTCGCGCTGCATCCTTAACCGGCCCCAGCCTCGTCACACCGAGTGGGCATCGCAATACGACTCTATGACCTTGGTTGGTCTGTCGCAACAACTGCACCAGCCCTCTCAAGTGTTGTCGAGAAAGTACTCGTCGGCTCACTACTCCCGCGTGTCGAAGCTCCTCGAGCAATTCCTCACTCGTCAAGCCTCTATTGCCACCTACATTCCCCCGAGCCCCCCGTCCGATGTTGCTGCCGAGTCGAAGCCTTACAATGGAGAGATTGGCCTGGTTACTCCTCAAAAGAGCCTCCCCTCGACCATGCACCACGGCTACCTTACTCCGCCCATTACCCCTGAAAACGAAGCCTTCGCCAATGGGGGTAATCCCACTTTTGTCAAGACAGTGGCTGGAGTTACAACCTGCTCGCCTTCCCCGACACCTTCACCGAACATGCCGTACGTCAGCTCGAATCCTTACCAGCAGGAGACCGTCTACGTGCAACCACAGCAGTTCCAACCCCAGGTTGCATTCCACACTGGCTACTAAGTCGGGATGGTTGCAGGACATACCATAAGTGGAGTATTGGGCAACCTGATTTTGAAAATCTTCGCCTGATCTGCCGGTCCGTCTGAGGACGCCCGGTGATATCGAAATATTTTTCATTTTAATCATTGATGCGGTTTGTGTGCGAAATGTGCCATAACTGCTCAACCTCATCTACCTGACTATCATTGATCTCACCTCTTCCCATGGTTTTGTTTTCTGTCAATACGGACGGGGACATATTCGACCATACCATTTTAAAGCTTTTTTTTCTTTTTATTAAAAATTGCATACCCATTTCCTTGTGTTCCTCATATCATCTCTGGGGTGATCCCAACTGCATATTTTGCCATTATTCATATATCTAGCATTGCAAGCGCGAGCCGTTCGAGTCTTAAATTTGCATTTCTCTGTTTTCATTTTTTTTAACTACCCCTTTTTTGTGTGAAGTGATTTTGAGAAATCTTTTGAACTGGACCAAGTGGTCTCCGGCGGATTTCGTGGATTTACATATGGGGCTTTTTTATTTCATTGTGTTTTTCTTTTTTACCCCCCTCTTCGAAAAGACTTTTAATGTGGTTTACTCTCCCACCCGACGTGTGAATATGGTGGATGGGCCTTATTTTTTCTGGCTATCCAAGACCTTGTGATTTTGATTTTTTTTTGAGCGGGGAGGCGAGAGATACCTCACAAAAACGCCAAAAAAAGAATAAAAAAAGAAGGAGAAAGAAAAAAAGGACCAGTTTTCATTTTTTTCATTTTTTTTTTTAATGATTGGGAGGAAAGAAGAATTGGACAGACAGACAGAATCCGCAGACAAAATCATGGAAGCGTGGAGGAACATGATTGCGGATTTGGAGCAAGGATATACATACATAGTGTTGATAGCCTGTGGCAATGAATGATATCCCTTATGATTTTCTTCCGGACTAGACTGTAGACTGCAGAGTAGAGGAATGACAGTGACTTGACATGAACAAGTATCGATTGACGTGGACGAGTGTATTGCCAGAACGAAGGACAACACAGGCAGGATAGCATAGCATGTGAGATGTCATTACCGACAAGACCCGTCGTGATGTCGGCATGGAAGTGATAGATCATGCCACCAAGGATAGTATAGTATAGTACAGCAATCAAGACGGAACAGAATATGCAATGCAATCGAAGACAAATATAGTAAATTATCATTAAGCCATAGGAATAGTTTCCGCAGACCGATATATATCCAGAATTGATAAATCCCGAACCAAGTCGAATAATTATCAACAATGTAGTGTAAGTAGAGTAGAGTTAGATAACACATAAGGGTCGTAGTAAGTAGTATGTAATAACAATCCAAGATAAAAATCAAAGATAGGAGGAAAGAAAAAGGAAAGACGATCAAGGTCGAAAAGAGAGACTGGCTTCTGAATGTTGGGTGAGATGAGTGATGATTTGCCTAGTCTTCAAGAGCAGACAAGTTCCATCCTCGAATAAAGAGAGAAACAACAATTCAGAGCTGACGTGACCTGATCAGAGAAAGGGAAGCAAACAAAAACAACCATTCCAGTCTTGATACCCGAGATTCATAACCCACGCTATGCAAAAACAAAAATATAAAGGCAAAGATAAATAGTACAATGTCGAATCAAAAGAAAGTGTACAACACCGAAATCCAAGTCCAGTCAAGTCACGCTGAAGCGGATGGGGATAGATAGTTCAGACGGCGCAAGGGGACGAAACTGAATTAATGGATTCCCCATCCATCAACGCCCGCGATTCCCGAAACGGGGAAAGTAGGCACGGAGATTGACTTTTGGTCAAGGATGGAATGTAACACGTGTGCTTTGGGGAGAGGGAGGGTGATGGAGAGGAATTAATGTATGTGGGATGAAGGGGAAAAGCACACCCAGCACAGCACTTGTGCACAAGTGAGAATGAAACAACAAAGCAAAGCAAAGCAAAAAAGATCAACTCCGACTCATAAAAGTACAACAGAAAAACAAACAAGACAAGTGGTGGTACAAAATAATGGAGGTGTGGGGGTGGAAATTGGACCAAAAAGTTCGGCCAAAGGTCGAAGGGCAATAAATCCGGGGAACTTTCGCCAGTCGACTAACTGGTGATGGCCCATCAGGGGTGTCGGTCAGTGTTTGCGAAAGAGACAAACACAACAGCCCCAGCGAGCAGGTATCCGTTGATTGCCGGTCGAGAACACGAGCAGAACAGAAACGAATAGTCCATCGACCAAGAGAGCCCATCCGACTCCATCGTAGCAAATTGTCGATCACCGCCTCACTTTGTGGTCCCAATCCAGCAAAGCCGCGCGGATAGTCGAACCAGCGACAAATAATCGTTCCGACCAGCCGCTCCTCCCGCCCAGCGGGTCACTCTCCAGGAGTATTATGATTATGGTATATGGGAGATGGTGAAGATAGATGGAGTTTACTTCCATCGCTGCTTGTCCCAGTCGGAAGGTCTTGTTTCGTCGTAGATTTGGCCGCCCTGGTTGTGGACGATGACGGGCGCTTGGGTTCTGCGTGGGCCGGAGTTGGGGCCTAGAAATGAGGTGTTAGACTAGTTCGAAGGATGGATATTGAATAGACCAAATAGGCTGGGATAGATCGGACGTACCTCGCATGTCTTGGACGACGACTTTCTCCCCGCTGCCTTGGCTGGCCAAGGTGGAATTGGAATCGGTGGCTTTGAGAGGCATGTTGTATGAAGTGAAGTTGAAGTGAAGAGAAGTTGGTAGACGATGAGGTAGAGGTAGCGTAGAGTTGGAGTTAAGAGTCAAGTAGGCGGAGCAAGGCAGAGTAGATAGAGTAAGATGACAGAGAGATGGTCGAGTTGAATTGATGGTAGATGATAGATGATAGATGATGAATGCTGTGATATGAAGCTAGAGGGACAGAGACCCTTTTGTATCTCGATGGGCGATGGCTTTGCCAAAAAAAGGCACAGATCCATCTCTATCTCTGGATCAGTCACCTGTGCAGACTGCAGCATCACCCAGGACGTCATTAAAAAATACTACTAAGAAAATAATAATTAAAATAACCAGACCAGGCTTTCTGGGGAATGATCAGAGCCCCTGCGGTCTAGTCGGTCTCTAGCAGCGTTGGCTAGATCCAGTCAGTCTACGATCGTAACCAGGATGCTCAGGGCAAAGTGAGGGTAAACGAGGCAGCAAACCGGGTCTGTTCTATTCGATTCTGTTCTATTTGCCATCAGAGTACGTGATGGTGATGCTTAATTCATAAGATAAATGATAGATAATAAGGCACAGGTAAGTAAAATAATAAATAAAATAAAAATAATTGAATAACGCTATTTCCTCCCCTATTGGCTCCTCTCCCGCCAATCACAGCCAGCCATGTAGTTCCTCCTGCCTCAGGCACCAGCCCTTCCTATTACAGCCTGCGATCAGCCTCACCAGGCGCAATTGAGGCGCTGCTGTGGTTGCCTGTTTCTGTCCAAAGTGACTGTAACTGTGGCGGTGGCTCTTCATTTCCTCCCGTTTCTTTCTCCTGTTTCATCCCGTACAAATCATCGACAAAGGAGAGTGTCAGGGAGCCCTAGAGTGATGCGGCCTCCCCTGGTATCGTACATACACCGATCAGCAGGTATCATTGGCGAATTGCCGTATTAGTTGTACGGTACTGTCACAAAACACCTGTCAGTCACCTGATGTCTATTTTTATACGATTATGTGTTTTTGGACAATCGTAGGATTCAGGCATGTTCAGTCTGTTTCAACAGAAATAGAGTAACCGACTAGACGTGGACTATTCGATGGCATGATGATCGTCAGTGTCCACTTTGGAACCTGCATCAAGTACCCCATACCTTTACCGGGTTTTCCCATGTATCTATCCGGAGTACGGAGAGGAGTAAACACGCCTCCATACTCCATTCTCCATAATCGACTAGTCCAAACAATTGCGGTGTGGCTGGAATTGTTGAGTGAGTCTAGAAGCACATGATTTAGTAGAAAGCAGACCAATAATGAGACCATATTCGCGTCGACTAGTCCAGACACTATCTATCCATCCAGATCAACATTCCAGACCAGCTTTACGGCTACTACCATTTGCATTTCCCCTCATTTTTACCCCAGCATGGTAAATGCTAGTTTCAACTACAGCTTGATTTGATTATCGGGTTTATCGTCCATCAACCTGCGCAGGGGACATCACTAGAGACAGCTTCACCGCCAGTCATTGACCGCCATACAGAGTCGGTACGGGAGATAGTTGGTTTCTGTCAGGTACTACGAGTCTATTCCGACACGAGTGACAACTGTACCTGCATCGACTGTCTTTGATGGACTTGGCATTTGGATCTGTTCTCTGTAATCTGTACTCCGTCGTAGTCCGTGGTTACTCCGGTGTGACCGAGGTTATTGCTGACCGGTCCTCTCCGTATACTCAATAATCGATAATCGGATGATGCTGGAGTATACAGAGTAGATAATGAGGCGAACTGCAGATAATTGATACTAGTTTGGACTGACTGTTACTATGGTGAATTCGAAATCCCTCATAGACGGTCAACAAGAGTCAAACCGTTGAGATGAGGACAGCATATACTGCAGTGTCACAAAGCACTCAAGTCACACAGTCTCACGTCTTATACCGCCATCATATGGTGTTCTTTGACCTGTAGACAAAGACAGAAGGAATTGCCTGATGCTGCTGCATCAGCCCATCCATCCCATTTCATTCAATTCAATTCATGTTTTGTCGATCGATCGACCCAATAAGAATATCGCGGTATTCGCGTCACCGTGTGGAAATATCAATTCATCACTTCAGCCGTGATGGAGGAGGCATTTGCCGGGTTGGGATTGCCTTGTTGACTTTGACTTTGACTTGACTTTGAGTGATTGCTCATTTAATCCTTGAGGCATATTCTTATCTCTAATAACTGCACTGTAAATTGACGTAGGTGGAGGTGAAGCAAGTCTAAGGCCGTCGAAAAAGGAATTAGTAAACGCGTCCATTGAATGGGTATTAGGACTTATTGTCTTGTCCTTTCAAGATCCCGTCATCGTGAGAAGCAATAATCCCTGTTTCGGGTGTTTTGATCCGGTGACGATCATGAGATAGACGGCAGGGTGTCATAAGTACGGAGTACTGGGGTGATATGGTCGATGTCAGCTTCGTAAGTCAGGGATGTTGGGGGTTGAAGACTTTCTGGTTTGGAGATTGCTAGAGCTGCGGGGAACGGTGCCTGAGGATAGCATCTGCTCAGTTTGTTGTCATGCTAACTGCCAAGGAAGTCTACGATGAAGCGTTGGCTTAGACTACCGAAAGTCAATGTTCTCTAGATCTAACCATAACACCGTATCTGCTCTAGACATGCAGTCATAATTCATCTAGTATTATACATAATCATCACTGTCTCTCCCTCTTCATCCGATCCTCCCAGGTATACTGAGTGCGTCGCACCCCCAGCGTCTTCCTCACCCCTGGTTGGTGGAGCGTCGACATCGTTGTCGCATGATACGTGGCCACCGGTCGGACGCCGCCCACCGAGCCTGAATCATTCTTAACCTCGCCAGCCCCCCACTCTGCCTGACTCTCGCCCTCCATCTTGGAACGCCCTTCGTCCTTCGGCGGACGGCGCATTATCGGTTTCTCCGCCGGCTTCGACGGCGTGGCCAGCCACGTGTATTTGTTGGGGTCTGAGGGTTCAAGTGTCGGGCGAGAGGTTTGCAGCGCCGGCTGCGCTGGTGGCCGATGCCCTAGGAACTTGGACGGTATGACGTTTTTCGAGGCCGGATTCGCGATCTGGGGGCGGCTGGGCTGCCCGACCGTGTTTGTATTTCTGTTACTCTGCCGGCTTGTCTGTGTCGACGGCGTGCTCGTGCTGTCTCTGCCTTTGGGCGGTGCTATGCCTAGAAACCCAGAGATGGTTCCCTGCGAGAGTCCGCCTGCTTTACGACCTGTGCCTGCTGCGACTGAGCTTGTGGCTTTGGGCTTGCTGTCCGATTCGGTCCTTCGAGTTTGCTCCGGTTCTGTGGCCGCGCTCGTCGTGATGTACTCTCGCGCCGATGAGAACCCTCCCATCGTGGTGGGCACGGAAAAGTTGGACGAGTTGTTCATGGTATACGTGGACGAAAAGGTGAACGACGACGTGGAAGGCTGGTCTTGATCATAACGTCGCTTCTTGGGATGCGGTGCATCGTCCATTGCAGCTGAGGTTGATGCGCTGTCATCCATGGTGTCGGGGTTTTCAACCTTCTTACCATCTGCAGTCCACAGATCATCTCGTGTGGAAGCGAGCGTAACTTCCTCCTTGGCTATATCCTCAGCAGACGGTCTGGACCGGCGTAGGATGTCTGCAATAACATAGACAACTTGCTCATTGAAAACAGGCCCGACTGGTCGAAGACGCTCCTTGATTATTTTGGGCGTGATGAACTGGGTGGATTTCGTCTCGCCGTCGGTTCGGGCATCGAAAAGGGGGTAGCTAAGGTAAAGGAGCGCCTGCGCTCGAGTCATGGCAACGTATAGCAGCCGTCTTTCTTCGTCCGCGTCCTCCGCTCGCGAGTGTGGAATGATCCCGTTGTATACCGCCGGCACAAAAACGACCGGCCATTCCAGGCCTTTTGCTGCGTGGATGGTGGAGATGGTGACCTTTGACTGGGGCTGTTCTCCATCCTTATTCTCCTGCGAGGTAACCTCTGTAGACAAGGCGACATTCGCCAGAAACCGGGACAACGCCTCTTCACCAGGGTGGGCCTGTTCTTGTTCGAGGCCCTGGATTTCCGGAAGGTTATCGTCTGGTTCTGTCTCCTCAGTCTGGGCTGGGTCGCCTGCTTGGACCAGAAGTTCCTTGACGTTATCCCACCGGGTCTCCTCCTTTTGAGGATCGGTTTTGTTGAGAAATTCTCGAAAAGAGAGTTTTTTAATGATGAATTCAAGAAGCCGTCGCGGTGCAGAGCTGTCCTTGCAGTCAAGCAACGTTTGCCGGGCAGATTCAATAAGTCCCACGAAGACACAAAGCCCTTGGTCTGTATTCTTGGCTAGGTCCTTGCCGGCCGACCTGCGGCCTTGAGCGACGTCTTTGACAAAGTTCCAAAGAGGGACCTTTGCTTCCTCTGCATTTCTTAGGAGCATCTTGATTGTTTCTTCACCAATCTTCCTCGATGGAGTATTGATAATACGCAGCAGCGCATCGGTGTTCCCTGGATGACTTACAACCCTCATGTAATCCAGAAGCAGCTTGATCTCGACTCTGTCGAAGAATCTCAACCCCCCAACCATCTTGTACGGCACTCCTTTCTTTCCCATTTCAGATTCAATCTGGCGGGATAAGGCAGCCGACCGGAGCAGCACCGCAAAGTCGGAATAATCCAGAAGCTTCCCGGTCATGGCAATGGATCTCTTAATCTCAAGGACAATCCACTGGGCTTCAGCCTGTGCTGATGGTAGTTTCCGCATCACAGGCATGGTCCCGACGCCATGAGTTGGCTGCAGCTTCTTGGCCGGCCTAGACGTATCCTGCTCGATGACATCTTGTGCCGAGCTCAAGATGGATCCGGAAGAGCGATAGTTATCTTCCAGAAGCACGACAGAAGTATCACTATACTTCTTCTGCATACGCGCCAAGTTCTTTATCTCCGCAGACCGGAAGCCGTAAATGCTCTGATCCGGATCCCCGACGACAGTAATCCGCCGATTCTTGGAAGCAAGGAGGTTCATCAATTCATACTGAACGCTGTTGGTGTCTTGGAACTCGTCAACCAGCACCGCTTCAACGTTAGACACGCACTCTGGATGTCGTCTGAGAAGATCGGCACATCGTAATAGTAGATCGTCGTAGTCCATTAGATTGGAGGCCGCCAAGTCTGTCTCATATTCTCGATACACCTGGACAAACTCCCGCTGCTCAAACACCTTGACGTATTTCAGAGCAAGCTCGTCAGGACTAACAGCCCGGGCTTTCTGGTGTGAGATCCTCGATCGAGCCGCGTTGGGCGCAATGCTAAAGTTCAACCGCTTAACGATTCTCTGCAGAACAATATAAGCACCATATGTAAACACATAGAAAAAAACACATAAATATCATTTTCATACCTTAATAATAGCCAAACTATCCCCCGAATCCGCAATCCCAAACCCCCTCCGCAACCCAATCAAATACCCATAACTCACCAAATACCGACGACAAATCGAATGAAACGTCCCCAGAATCAACTTCGACTCGACCTCATCACCGATGATCTTGGCGATTCGCTCGCGCATCTCACGGCTCGCCTTGATGGTGAACGTGCAGCAGATGACATCCTGAGGCCGGTATCCATAATGCGCGAGGAGATACGCGACGCGCGCGGTCAGGGTCTTGGTCTTTCCCGAGCCGGGCGGGGCGAGAACTTGGAGGATGGAGCAGGGGGAGGATACGGCGGCTCGCTGGGCGGAGTTTAGGCCATCGAGAATGGGATCCATGGGGTTTGGGATGGAGAATCGTGGAGTTGGAGGTGTGGGTGTTGGCGTTGAGGTGTCTGGGGAGACGCGTCGGATCGCGGTGTCATGTGATGTGATCTATATAGCATGATGGCACCACTACTCTATACATCTATCTATTATGGATAAATTGAGGTTGAAGTTTAACTTGTTCGTATTTGAATATCTCTGCATTATTTGGACTCATCAGAACGGACATGTTCTTCTTTCTCTAGTCTACGGTTTCTATATATTTGACGGAACTATTCGATAGCCAGTAACTCGAGTATATCAATATGTCGTAAAGTTTCATTATCATTAATATTCATTATAGGTATGAATTACAGTATCTTTTCGCCGTTTCACTCTCATCGACCAATATATACTCAATTGACTCTGCATCAACTTGGCTCTCCTCGAAACCCAACTCCACGAACAGATCTTTGACACGACGAATCTTCTTCTCCGTCGCATCAATCAACATATTCCTGCCCTTCCACTCGAATCTTGGATTTGCTCCATACTCCAAGAGTAGTCGAATGAACTCAGTAGACCTTCTACTCATGGCCAGGAGCAACGGTGGCTCCAGAATCGTGTGCTCATTAGGCCAAAGGTTCTCGGGAATCTTCACGGCATTTGGATCTGCGCCGTATTCAAGCAATAGCTTGGTCATTTCCATGTTACCATCCTTGACTGCTTGCTGTAAAGGCAAGCCGCGCACCTTCCAATAGCCGGTTTGGTTTGGGTCAGCTCCGTTTTCCAAGAGCAGTTTGATGACTTCGAGCCTGATATCTGGGCGGCATTCGAATTGCGCAGCATACCAGTACCCACTGGAATAGGGTAAAGGTCGCTTGTTGATATCAAACCCTCCCGTGTTTAGTAAAAGCTTCATGACGTCCAGTTGGCTAAATGAAATGGCATGGATCAATCCCTTGCATCGCAAGGTCGCTACATCGTCGTAGATATATTCCTCCAAGATGAAGCCAACCATTCCAACATTTCCATCTCGCACTGCTTTCATGAATGCAGCTGCCGGGTTCTTTTTTGGCTTCCATCCTAAGAAGCCACCTGGTCTAGGTTTGTGGACCAGCAATTCCGTATAGGTGTCTTTGTTTCCGCACCCAGCGGCTGCTATCATTGCACGTTGGAAATCCTTCCTATTCCAATAGCCCAAGGGCCCTGGCCTACCGTACTTTAGCAACGTAGCCATCGTCTCTCGATTTCCATTTTGTGCTGCGAAAGTCAAGGGAGCCACGCCAAAGCGATAGCTTACTGTCATGAAGGCCACACCATTCTGTAAAAGCTTCTGCAGCTCATCGCAGTTTTTGTGTTTAATAGCACTGCACACAAGCGCGATTTTCAGGTCGACCTCCGGGGGATGTAGGGATTCCAATGCTGGAACCCCATTCTGAATACTCGATCGATACAGCCAAAAGGACGCAAGCTTGGAGGAAAAGATCTCGTCACACCTAGGCCTCTCCCAATATACTGCATCGATCATCTTTGATATCAGTGCCTCTTCCTCCTTATCCCTGATGCTGTCGGCTCCCAAGGCTAGAACTTCATGCATAAAGCAGGAAAACATAGACTGGTCTTGCGGGTATCGTTTTATCTTTCGATAAAGGTACTGTCGCTTGAGATGCTCCGGGAATGTTGCCCAATAGTGGAATTCTTGTGATTTATCTCTGTATCCCAATCCATCCTCCTCTAGGCGATCAGACTCGAGCACGAGCAACCAGATTTCATCTGCAAAAAATGCTGTATGAAGTTAGAAGATACTAAAAAGTTAATTCCATGGATCACGTACTATTGACCAATCTTGCACGGAATAACTCTGAAAATGGGAGGACTTCCACGGCGGCCTCGAGAATCTGCCGTAGAATTTCTAGTGGTACTCGCATGATATCTTGATAATCGTAGATTGAATAAAGTGGGGATGAAGAAGAAAGAGTAAGCTATAATATAGTTGAGCCCTGTCAGTATAATTGACTCATTCAGCCTTGTGAGGCTGTGCAAATCATCGGCGTCCAAATCGAGAAAATAAGCTGCGAAGTGCGCCACAAAGTGGAGTTGCAGCAATGTTGAATAGTACACCATGATGGCATAGAGTCCATCCCTGTTTCGATCTGGAAATTCAGCAAGGAGAGATGATGCTGTGTGGAGGATCGGCGCCCAGCAGATACTGTTTATTTTTACTCACCGTCAACCCATATTGCTGTGGACAGCTTCAGAGGCAATGGCTGTATCAGATTCCATTAGAAATGACTGGCTTTATGGCTTCATAGCCTCGAGCAATATAAAGAACCAAGAAGGGCTTCTCCAGAACTGCTAGGAGCGCAGTTAATCTGACTTCAGTGGGTGTTTTGGTGGAAGGTGCAGAGAGCCTGAGGCAGTAGAAGAACAGTGAATATGGATGGATCACATGATGTCGTTACCAGACTGCTGCCTCATTTTCTGAATTTGACCACCTTCTCTTTCTTTTATTCCCTAGCATCCATCAAATCTCTGCTGTGACCCACAGATACGATGCGGAGCTTCATGAAAAGGGCCCTAAAGTCGACCAAAGTTCCACCAGATATGATAGAGCATGGTGTCGAACTTTCAGGCTTGACAAAGAAAAGCGTGGAGAAGACCATAAGAGAGATGTGGAAGGCAAAAGGCTCCGATTTTTATGACGCATACATGCTATTCCGATTCGCCAGGTCCAACGGCCGTTACGCACAGATATCCCAAGATGAACAGAGAATCGCTTGTCTTCGTTGTCTTGTCTTTTTAGACAGATCATCTGCAGAACAGGTACTGCAAGACACTAAGTTCCCCGGTAATATTATTCATGCCCTGGAAAAACTGCTAGCTAGATCAGCAATCAAGGAGTACGATTTCACAATATCCATGCTCCAATACTTGCTTGGCTGTTCTAGAAAATTAGCGATGACTTACGCCCCAGAAAATGATTCTGTGTTGAATGTCCTTACCACAGCAAATAGCAACAGGAGCATTGATGATCGGACGTTTGCAATCGCATCTCATGCATTCTACCTTTTGCTCGATCCCGAAGAGATTGTTCGAATTGTCGATCGGGAACATTTCCCACCGGGCGACTTCGACAAACTGGTCGAATTTACCACATCCCATAACCTAGCTGACACAAGTACGGCCCGTATTCGAAAATGGAAACAGGTACCAATGGACGAGATCCAGGAGGTGTTTGCTGCTGGACGAACTTCGACCGAACAACAGACCAGAGACGAAATTGAGATTCGCAGGCTGGCCAAAAGACACAAGATAGATCGCCAGGATGCATATACGGCCTTCTATCAAGCAAATGGAAATATGGGTATGGCGGAAGGCATATGTGCGAACATTGGAAAGAATGTCCAGGAGAGACCCTCCAAAGGAGTTGCGAATGTACCAACCAGAGATACCAGAAGCTCGCCAAATGTCACCGCTAGGACAAGAATAATAGCAGTTCTAGGGCTGGACGAACCAGACGGAATAGGAAAAGCAGCCTGTCCTTCCGTGGGGGATGGGTGGATCGTATCTGATTTCTACTTGTGGATCCATATTCTCCACGGAATGGGCAAATCTCAAAAGTGGATAACAGCCATGAAGCCTGAATATCTTGTGGATAAATATGGCAAGAAGGACGAGATAAGCCAGACAATAGTTGATGACTATGGTCCAGAAGTCGAAAAGCCCATTCAAACCGAATGGGAATCTGGCTTTGTCCATGGTGATCCATGGGAAGAGCGGGTGGTTGTCCTGGACAGAGAATTACTTCCAAAAGTCAAAAACAAGGTTACAATGGGCCCAAGTGGTGTGGCTCTTCGAGATTTCTTCTTACAACATCTAGAAGAGACTATCGCTGAAGCAGCAGAGTCTGAAGATCCCGTTTTGATCCTGATATTTGCTCATGGAGATTACGATTCTTCAGGAGGCTTATACATTGGCTGCAGTGAAACATCCGATACCACAGAAGAAAGCCTCCTTCATCCAAAGGCAATGGAAGTGATATTGGAAAGATACCCCAAAGTTCGAACAACACTCTTCATGACGTCCTGCTATTCCGGAAACTGGGTCGAGACCACTGAATTTCAGGTTAACAGACCTACCGTTCTTGCTGCAACTCAAGCGGATGAAGAATCTTTTGCGTTTGTTTGGTCACACTCCCAGCGACATGCCGGGGGTCTATTTTCCTCCGCAACAATCACTGAGCTTCTTGGCGAACCAGCTGAGCTACCAAAAGATTCAGATGACGATGCGTCTCGGGACTATAGAGAAATGACAAAAGAAATCTTATCTCAGATGTACCGTCTCTGTCTACCAACGAACATTCCGGACTACGGATCAAGTCCGACCTTCTCAGACCCTGAGAACCAAGAAAAGTTTTGGAAACGAACAGGATATGAGCTTCATCATTACAAATCAAATTATGATCAACTCCGAAAGGTCCCACCTTCTGATCCCCATCCGAAAAGAAATAGGAAAAAGTTTGAAGGCGGTTTTAACGATGGTAATCATCCAGATGTCATAGCCTGGAAGGAGCGCCATCCTGGTATCTTAGATGAGGATTACCCCGAGGCCACAGCCTGTTACGGTAGTACACGACGAGGTCTTGATAGCTCAAGAAACATGGACTATCTCATCCGGCGATACATGAAATCGCAGAAGGGAAGCTCCAACTATCTCGAGTCAAAAATGGCGATGAACCAAATTCGTGCCTACTATGACAATGAACTTGACACCCGAAGGAAGATATCTTTGAGAAAGCTACTTATCTCACGGCTAGTTCTGAATAAACTAGCAAACCAATACGCGCTGGCCTTGGATTTATACAAGCTTCCAGAGATCGAAGAATGGGATGTGCGTGATGGTCAACATGCTGAGACTTTCAAACGCTTTACCAGGGTACTCACTGACTCGCGACTTTTCCATATCTTCAACGATGGTAATGTGGGATGCTACTACCGCCGTCCAGCTCAGTACCTAGCTGCCGGCATGGGAAGCGCTGGCTACAACGAACAGGAGGTGATGCTTGCGATAGAAAAATTGAGGGACTTGAACCGCGAAAAGAAATTTACAGATAGTATCACAAAGTACTATCTCAGCTCCGCAGAATGCCACAAGTCCGTGAGCACGCTCTCGACCATCCTCCAGAAAAGCTGGTCCAAGTCCAAGTTTAGTCGCCGCCAGAGTCGCCCAAACATATCGGACATTCAATGGGAGCCTCCAGCTCAGCATAATCACAAAGAGTAGCAATTTGTTTGACATGAGGTGTACTTCACTTGAGCTTGTAGGCAGTGGGAAACTTGACATGAAGTCAAAGATGAGGGCTGCATTTTATGTGGAAAAGGTACTTTGATCTGTTTATGTAGATGAAGTATTAGCCTTTTGTAGGGATTTGCTTTGTTACTGTCCAAGAATGTTATTATTCAATCCATGCCCGTTGGCTCAAATGATTATTAAAAGAATTAGAGATGGCAAGACCCGGGCACTCCATTCGCATCCGAAGATGATTCATATCAACAAACTTCAAGACTAAGCACCCGAACCTTCCGACTGACTCTTGATGCCCTATCAAAAGCCTAGAAGAGATGATAATGAAATTAATCCATTTATTATTAGATATTCCATTCCTAACAGCATATCCGCTCTACTCAACCGCTTCCACCGATTCCACACCTGGGATATAAGACAAGTGCTCCGCCAGATCAAAGTGCAGATTGGCACTAACAAGTCAGTTCTGCAAACCTCAGGCAATGTAGATAACGTACACAATCAATAGAGGCGGACCTTGATCCACTTCAACGACATTTCCACCCCCGGCGTAGATCTTGTTTATGATACTGATGGAAATTAGCTCTTTTTCTATAGTAGGATGGGATGTGTAGTATTTACTCGTCCAGTATCTCAGGCTTGGATAATATGACCTGTATTCCGTTAGTCATCATCGTGAGAGTGATATAAGACATACATGATGACGGATCAGTTCTACTTGTGTCATTATGATAGATTGTGGAGTAGAATGGAGAATAGAAGAGAATGATGAAATGTTCGGAAGGAGGGGTAGAAGAAATCAGTGACTGTTGATGTCATGTTGTTTGGTCTCCACATTCCGCCTCTATGACACTGCTAGACTTGTATGTAATCAGAGACAGTATAATCTAATAGCAGTTATATAACTATGATATTATTGTATGGAATTGAAGATAATAAATAGGTAATAAATAGATACTCGCATGACCGTGGTTTCTCCCCACATAGTTAGATAAGATGGTTGATATCACTGAGAATAAATAATAAATAAATAGAGGTTCTTGGATACTCCATAGCATATCTGCCAATATTTACATCTTACAATTTCATGGTGAAACTGATATGACCAACTAGAATTCCATTGTATTCAACCACCCAGCCTTACTCCACATTTTTAATTCCCGCAACAGCTTGGAGAGTGGACAAGTAGCCTCTAAGATCTATAGGAAAACAATGTATTTGGTACCAAGCCTGAATAGCTTCATGGATTTCCTTATCTAGTGTATTATGTGTAGAATTATTTTACAAAGTGGATAATTGTGTGTGTGGACATAAGTAAATAGGTCACGTGCCCCAACACCACAGTGGACAGGTAATGGGTCTATAGGCCACTAATACACCCCTTCAGGGGTTTATAACTCTGAAGACCCTTCCTAATCTAGTAATCTCATATGTAGGATATAGTGGTATAGTAATGTACCCCTAAATCTATTATCCCTATATCCTTATTCCACATGGCTCTTAACCCCTATGAGTCTTTAAAATTTATGGAATTTAACTAGATTAATAACCTTAGTGAGAGCGTCCACTACTATATCATTAGTTAAGATATGTTTAATATAAATATATCATTCAGTAATTATATCTTGAATCTAATGGTATATAATATTAATATGCTTTATTCTAGTATAGAACTGAGCATTATAGGCCAGTTAGATAGCATTATTACTGTCTGAATTAATATATATAGGTCTGATACCTTTAAAACTAAGATCCTTAAGGATATATGTAAGCTAGAAAGCTTCCTTACCAGCAGTAACTATAGTATAGTACTTTACTTTATATATTAATATTATAATAGTTATCTGAAGCTTTAATATCTAAGAGATTACTCCATGAGTAAGAATAAAGATATAACTAATAGTAGAGTAGTAAGTATTAAGGTAACTAGTATAGTCAGTATTATAGTATCTAATAATAGTCCTAAGCTATTTAACAATGCTATTACTAGTGTGTGGATGATAAATGATTCCCAGTATAATAGTATTCTATAAATAATAGATTAAGATAATAAGCTAGTACATATGGTCCTTTAAGGGGTTAGATATATACTATATTAGCTTACTAATAGGAAAAGTAATGTCTAGCTAAGTTTAAAGCATGATATATATGACTAAACTAATACCTGCTTAGTAGAACTTAATAACAGCAGTCTCTACCTATTTAGTGTTTTTAATAAGCTTTACCCCTTTATCTAGTGGCATTTAGGAGACCTTAGTTAAATCTAGATTAAAAGTATTAATAATATACTGGATAAGTGCTTACTATAATAGTTTAATTAACTACTTTTCTTTATCATATTTAATGTATATCCTAAGATAGTATAATATAGGACTGTAGTTAGAGACCTTAAAGTACTTAGTAATAGCATTCTTAAATATATTAATGGCTTCCTAAGATAGTCTAGTAACTTAAGCATTATTAATATATAAGATTAGGATGACTCTATCCTTTCTAATAAAGAGGCATTTATCTAACTTAGATAGGATAAGACTAATCTTTATAATAGCTTCCTTCTAAGTGAGATACTAGGCCTAAGTATCTTACTTTAAGCTATAGAGTAGTAGTAAAAGATAATAAACCTTTATGCTACTATCCTTAAAACTATCTAGTTACTTTATATAGATAACCTCACTATCCTGGAATTAGCTATATAAGAATGCTAATTTAATATCCATCTACATATAAACATACTTAAAGACTATAATAATAGTAAAGAAGAGTTATATAGTTATTAGTTTAACTATAGGGGTAAATATCTGGTTAAAATTAATACTAGGGATCTATATAAAACTATAAGTAACCTAGTATACTTTATAGTGTAAGATATAGTTATTAATACTAATTTTAACCTTATAAACCTATCAGCTACTAATCATACTTCTACTAGCTAGTAAGTCCTCTAGAATCTATAACTTCTAATAGACTAGGTTATTATATTTACTCTGTATTACCTTATACTAGTAAGATACTTCTAGGGACTGTAGTACTTCTTTATATAATAATAGCTTAATAATACCTTTATAACTATCTCCTTACTTTTCTAATAGGTAGGTAAAAGCAGCTTTAATAAGCTATAGAGCTTCTAGTTAAAAGAATTCTAGATAGTCCTCTATTATCTAGGTAAAGACACCTCTATATATATATAGATTATTATAACCCTCTGGGTCTTCTTTAATATAAGATAGTGGAGTTGGCAGTATATCCTGAGGATCTTAAGGCTATAGAGGCTTAAGCATTACTAGATTATGCTAGTACTCCTAACTAGTGGTTATTAGACTGGTAAGCTCATTATTAGAGTCTTTAATCTTATGGGGGTTATGGTTTAGCACTAGGACCAGTATAGGAGCCTGGTATTCTCTATAATTATTATTAGGACTGCTGTATAGTTCAGGATCTAAACCCTTATTAAAATAGATATCCTAGACTTATTTAATCTTATTAGCTTTAATATCCTAGATAACATACTGCTTGCCTAAGCTGGTGTAGCTAAGTAGTTAAATAGGAATAGCATAGGGATTAATCTTTATAATATTCTTATAATCCTATACTTCCTTTAGAATTATAAGCATTCCTTAATAGCTAAGAACTTATAATAACTTTAAATTAGGCCATTTACTATATTATAGCTTATAAGGGGTGACTGTTTTACTATATACTAGTAATAGATTCTTAAGAAATATAATACCATGCAGTAACTCTGCCTAAAAATATTATAATAGGTTCTAATCCTTTAAAATAGTATATATATATAGTAAGTAAGTATAAGATATATACTCTGTAGGTGCATTTTATAAGTAAGTATAGGCTATAATCTATTCCTACTAGATACTTTTACTGTGAGCCTAGGTTTATAGCTCCTTATTATTAAATTCACTACTATTATTAATATAGTAGATAGTAATTCTAAAGCTAGAGTAATCTACTTCTTCTATATATAGCATTAGAGCTTTAGCTGCTATTATTTTAAATTTCAAGAACTTAACTATGATATAGTTATTATACTAATTAATAAAGAATATCTAGTATTTTACTCTACTAGTATGAGCTGTAAATATATTAATATATCTATTACTAAGATTAATAAATACTCACCCTCCTCATCTTACTAATAGAGTTATTTTTATATAACTATATATAGTGGTAGCATTAATATAGTAGCAAGCCTTATAAGTGTATTTTAGAATTAGTAAGCCAGAAATGTCCATTCCATTAACTATTTTAGATAGATAAATAATATTCTAGATTAAGAGATAAGCTAAACAGTAGTACTAGGTAATTAGATTAACTTAGTCTTTCTTTATAGTGTTGATTTGAGGCTACTAAAACAGTCTAAATATAAGATAGTAGTGTTTTACTAGTAAAGTAAAAGCAGCAGTGGTATGCTTTAGTAGATAACTATTAGAATGCTTATTATTAGTAGGATAATCTGTTAATATTAACAGCTACGACAGGGGTATTTAAGTTCTTAATATTAGAGGTAATATTATTAACTATACTATCTATACTAAATACCTTATAGATATTACTATAGAGTACTAGCTTAGTATAAGGATTCCTATTAATCTATAGTAAATACTGGTTATGTATAATATTACTAAAACTAATTATCTTATTACTCTTAGCATGCATGATAATAACTTTAGTTAGAAGTAAAATAACTACTAAACCCTTCTGGCCTAAGTATATCATTCCTAGTAGATTTATCTTAATCTCTAGAATAAAAAGTATATCTTATATAATAACTTTATATACTTTACCTTTACTATATACTAAGTATAGTAGTATATCACTAATAAATTCTAAGTATATAATCTACCTAGTAGCAGTGTAAATACCACAGTGAAAAGGCTTCTTAGTACTAGGAATATAGTTATCTATATCTATAGTAAGGTAATTAGTAGAGCTAGAGTTAATAATCTAGTTATCTAGCCTAACATGGTTAGCAGTGCTAGTATTAATTTTAATCTCTCTAATTTCATCACTTATGCCATTAAAACCATAGGATTATAAGGAGGAGGAGGTATTTATAACTTTAGTATTAATAGGTGTTATTAAAAATATACTAAGTCTAATAGGACTGTCTTTATTATTATTAATTTTAGTAGTATTAGTATTACTCTTCTTTTAAGATCTTTTATAAGGATACTTCTCCTAATAGTTATCTAATTTATAACTGTTTTTATTATAATAAGTGCATTTCCACTCCTTTTAGACTTCCTATAGGACTTTCTCCTTACTGCCTTTTCTAGCTTTAGTATTACTATTATTATTATTATTATTCTTATTAGACTTCTATTCCTTCTTATTATTTTACTGAAAATTCTTACCCTTTTAGGCCTTAATAAGGTTTATAAATAAAGAGTTAAAGTGTATATATATCTCTTCTTATATTAATACCTAAGTAATACTGTTAAAAGTAGCAGTTACTTTATTATATTATGAATTAAGATAGGAGGTTAAGAATATTTCCTAGGCCTTACCTAGGTTATATAGTAGGAATTAGACCTTAACAGACTCTAGCAGTCTATCTTTCTTATTAAGGCTGTGAGAAAATTTATTAAGTGCTGATAATATCTTTATAATATAGTTAGAGATATTCTTATACCTATTATAATAGGTTAAGATAGTAGTCTATAAACCCTTAAATAACTAGATATCTAAAATAATATTATATCACCTCTTTAATTTATCTTATACCTCTTTACTTAACGCTATCTTAATGACCTTATAGTAAATTATATATAATAATATTAAGTAGATAGCTCTATAAGCCTTCTTATCTAATTCCTTTTAGTCCTCTAATACTTACTTATACTTTTCTAGTGCTTTATTATAGACTGTATTATCCTCCACTTCCTTACCCTTCTTACTACTAGAATAGGTGATATGCTTATCTATAGGTGAAGATAGTTTCTTAGATATACTATTAATAATCCTCTATATAGATTATATCTAAAGGTGAGTTATTATAGCTTCACTCTATACTTAGTAGTTTTCTACACCCACTAATAGAGGTAGTTTATTAAGATTAATGGTATGACCTATCTTAACAGTATCTTCATGACTTAACTAGACTAGAGATAATAGGTGGTGGGATGAAATGACTGACTAAGGTATAAAAAGTGGGTATAGTGATGGGTTTAATTTATATCTAATAAATTAGTAAGCCTTAGTGGCTTGAAATACAGAATCATGATTATAAAAACATAGTAATAGAATAGAGAGAGATAGTCAACTTCAACCAGTTTATCTTCTTTAAGAATCTTAATAATGTTCTAACTCATCTTTAAAGACAGTAATAGCTCTATTTTAAAGCCTTTTTTTTTTCTTTTTTTTTTTTTTTTTTTAACTATAAAAGGGGAAGGTGTGTGAAGCCACAAGGATTTAAAGAGTCCTTGGGCTCATAACCTATAGGAAAATAATATATTTGGTACCAAGCCTAAATAGCTTCATGGATTTCCTTATCTAGTGTATTATGTGTAGAATTATTTTACAAAGTGGATAATTGTGTGTGGACATAAGCGAATAGGTCACGTGCCCCCGACACCACGGTGGACAGGTAACGGGTCTATAGGCCACCGATAAGATCATCAGGGAGATCGGCAACACTAGAACAGTCAGCTCTTTCTGTAAGGAGTTTCATATATGTGAAGGGAAAAAAAAAAATACATTAGCGCATGACTCTCCTCTGAAGGAATAGGCACATTGTTTATATTGAGTTGCGCTTTAACGCTAGTTCTCTAGTCAGCTTTAGTTACAATAGCTAGGTAGTGTGGTATTACTATTTCCAACCCTCAGATTCCCAACCAGCCGGGATGTCAATCTATATTTTATTAGTTGAAAAATGGCTGGTGTATGGTAGGATACGTACACGAGAGCTGAAGGTGGGATGTTCAGAGCTGAATTTGATAAAACCAAAGAGTAATTCCATTGGCTGATCTCAGATTAGTGCCAACCTGGTAACACTGGCCAGATAGGAATACTCGAATCATGGCGATGAATTCAATGCTATAGATTTTATTCTTATATTATTGATTAATGATAAACCATAATTTGCCTCTATTCAAGATGTATCAACAGCCAACACGTCACTTGGGTGGATATTGTATTCATTCAACTACAAAGCTGAGCTGGCTAGCTGAGAGTAACCATGTATCATTCCCTCATAGATGAATAATGCACAATAGGCATATTTGTGGAGATAAGAGGATAGAAATTATTGGTTGTGAGAAATATACTGAGTTATAGAAACCAACACGGCTAATCCTTATACACTAGTGTCAGCTCCACTACCCCTCCTTCAAAATCATCACATCAACACCATAACACCACAACATCAACATATATAAATCAAATCAAAATGTCCCTCTCCACTCTCCCAGCAACCTACTTCCAAGCCGTCGATACCAGAAACATCGACCTTGTCATCTCCCTCTTCGCCCCTGACGCAACCTTCACCGTGGTAACAGCCAACATGACTTTCACCGGCACCAACGAGATCCGGCGCATGTTTACCGATTTCATAGCCAACTCAAAAACCCTCTCGCACACAATCACGAGTCTCGTTGTGGACGAGAAAGCTGGCAAGGTTGCGACGGAGCAGGATTATGTGGGCGAGTCCGTGGATGGGACGAGGTCTGCGTTGCATAATTGTAATTTCTTCGATGTGGTGGATGGAAGGTTTACGCGGGTGGTTGTTTGGATGTCGGGGGCGAGTCCGTTGAAGTAGATTACCATTATCATACTATACTACTGTCTATCATACTATACTACTGTCTATCATACTATACTACTGTCTATCATACTACTGCTACTGTATGTAAGGATATCTTATCTGGAATGCGGGGTTGCGGGGAATTGTCCGCCATGTTACATCTGCGGACTTTTGTCCGCTACAGATCTATCTATATAAGCCACATGTCACATTATTCTCCAAGTCAAGCATCGCAATCATGGAATCTGTAAGTACATACATATAATATATAAACGTATACATTGCTAATACCAGAAGACATTCAACATCCTCGACGCCAGCATCGCCGACCTGCAGCACGCCCTGCGCGCAGGATGGATCACCAGCGTCGAACTAGTCGCGACATATCTCCGCCGCATCAGCGTCTACGATGCATCCGGTCTCCAACTCAGCGCAATCCCACTCATCAACCCGACTGTCTTTGACGAAGCGATGCGTTCTGACGCCAGACGGGCGGCCGGGATCCTACCCATCCGACCACTTGAGGGAATACCTTATCTGGCGAAAGACAGCATCAAAGTAAAGGGAATGACGGTGGCCAGTGGGTCTCCTGCGTTCGAGACGCTGATCGCAACGGAAGACGCGAAATGTATCCAGACGCTTCGCGATGCGGGGGCGGTCTTGCTCGGAAAGACCAATATGCCCGCCATGGCGTATGGGGGTATGCAGCGGGGATCGTACGGACGGGCTGAGAGTCCGTATAACAGCGACTATCTCACAGCAGCGTATGCATCGGGTTCGTCAAATGGGTCGGCCACTGCGACGACGGCGAACTTTTGCGCGTTCAGTCTGGGCAGCGAGACTGTTTCCTCCGGGAGATCGCCTGCGTCGAATAATTCCATCATCGCATATACGCCGTCCAGAGGATTACTGCCACTCCGTGGCGTGTGGCCGTTATATCCGACGTGCGATGTATTAGTGCCTCACACGCGCACGATAGAGGACATGTTCACTGTGCTGGACGTGCTGGCCGTGGTGGATGAGCATCCCGTCGGCGACTTCTGGAACGAACAGCAACTCATCCAACTCCCTTCTATCGAAACCATCCGACCAAAGCTGTTCAAAGAACTCGCCGACCCATCCTCGCTCCATGGAAAACGACTCGGCATTCCATCCATGTTCATCGGGGGCGTGAATCCCCTCCCTGACAAAGTGTGTCTACGCCCGTCTATCTTCAAACTGTGGCAAAAGGCAAAAGCGACACTTGAAGCCTGCGGCGCGACAGTTATCGAGATCCCCTCTTTCCCAGCGGTATCAGCCTACGAAGCAAACGCACACACAGGGAAGCTGGTGACGGTGAAGAACCTCCCTGACGGCTGGAGCGCGGTGGAACGATGCGAACTCGTCGCGCACGCCTGGGATGACTTTTTAAAGTACAATGGGCAGGAGGGGTTGGATTCTCTCGCGCACGTTGATCCAGATAGTATCTTTCCTCTCGCACCTGGTTCACTAAAGGGAACACCCGATGCAGCGAACCAATGCCGATGGAAGGAAATGGTGGACTATCCAGCGAGGAAATACAAGTCTATCAACCACATTCCGAATCTACAACAAGCGCTGAACGCACTGGAAGACGCACGCAAGGAAACGCTGGAAAACTGGATGGACGAGAACGACCTCGACGCAGTAGTCTTCCCCGCAAACGGGGATATCGGAAAAGCCAACGCAGACACCAACATCGACTCATCCAACCACGCCTGGAGTAACGGGGTGAAATACTCGAATGGAAACCGGCCTATTCGACACCTGGGCATCCCTACGATTTCCGTCCCGATGGGAGTGATGGAGGATACGGGCATGCCGGTTAACTTGACGATTGCTGGAAAAGGATACGATGATGTCAACCTTCTTCGATATGGATATGCGTTTGAGCAGGCGATGCAAGGACGGACGATGCCATCGCTTGTGCCTGCGCTCGAGTCGGATATCGTGCAGAAGAGCATCTGCCGTCGACTGACGCCTGATCAAGACTGCATCGTGGTCAACAAACAGAGCAAGAATATTGTGGATTCGACAGTGCATCTTGACATAGAAGGAAGCTCAACCGGTTCGATGCAAAAGATGACCTGCTACATAAACGGCAACTCAGTCGACGCCGCATTCACCGGAACCTCATGGACACTAAAAGCCTCATACCCGACATCCGCCCGAGACAAAAAATGGAGCCGATGGAGCAGTCCGGCATTGACACAGACAATTATCGTGGTGGTGGTGTATACCGCGGCTGGACCAATTGGGGGGTTAATAACGATGTAGTATACCAACAGTTGGACGTCGTATACAACACTTGCGGTTTAGTTAGCAGGTTAGCTTCTTGGCCAGGCCACCACTCGCACGCGATGCAACTGTCGATCGCAACGTGGGCGAATCAGAGCAAGATCTAAAAATGAGTCGGTTCTTGGCCTTTTCTAGTGTTGTTTACACATTGCCTTGTTGGATATAGTTGGTGTTGTTGTTCTTCTGTATTGTTGCGATTGGATGCTATTTATACGATCACAACAAAGTCAGAAGATGAAAAGCAAGGACGTGTTTAATAGAGGATCTTAGACTGTGACAATGCAATGCAACAATCAGATGATAGGCAAGGGGGAATAATAGTTACTTGATTTAATCTCCAGCTGGCACTAATGCAGGATGCATCGTTGCAGATCGATATACTATTGTCTTGGTTACAGGGATCTCCTCACGACACACACATAAATAGCCAGCCCCCTCTTCAACATCAATCAATTCAATCAATTGTCAATTATTCTCAGAACATCAATTATTTAATCATATCCTAATCTAATCACAATGAAGTCCTTCTTCGCCACCACCCTCACCCTCCTCACCCTCACCCTCACCTCCGCCCAACGCCACCAATACCGCATCGAACCCGCCTCTCTCCCCAACACCGTCCTCACCTCCACAAACACCCAAGACTCCATCCCCGAGTTCAAGAAATTCGACGGCACCGTCGACCAAGTCTGGTTCCTCGACAACACCGACGGCGGCTTCACCCTCCAATCGCTGTACTCGGACTACTACCTCAGCTGCAACCCGGTCGAGCGCGGCCACCCCTGCAAACTCTCCAACACCTCGTCCGTCTTCACATCCCAGAAAATCGAGGGCTCGGAGAATGTGAGGATTGGGTTTGGCGGGGAGGACAGCGATCTGGTGCTGACGGTTGAGGCGAAGGGGAATGCGAAGCCGTATGCGGGGGTGGATGCGGATGTTGGGGGGGATGATAGTCAGTCGTTTCAGTTGATTGCCGATCCGCGACTTTAATTTTATCTGGGATTAATTTGGTCATCCATGAATGGGATATTTATGATCCGTGGTATGGATGGATGGTATATGGTTATGATATCATGTTTATATGCAGATTTTAATTAGGCTGCAGTTGCCGTTGTTAGGCAACTTACTATTACTACTATTCTATTAACTATTATTCTACTTTTTACACCAACCAACATACACTCCATTTACTACGTCTACCACACTTACTACTACAGAATGACTATCGAGATCACCATGGACCAGCAACTCCAGTTCAGCATCAGAGAACAGTCAGAGCAGTCAGAGCAGTCCAAGCTCATGCCCCCTCCCCCCATCCTCAACAGAAGCATCACAGGCGACACCGAAAAAGCAACCGACATCGACTCGGACGAAGAATACATCCCACTCCGATGCGACAATAGCATCAAGCGGAATGCAGAGTTTGGGACGGACTCGAACTGTACCAGAGAAGCTATACACGCTATCGAGGAGCTAACCAACGGACTAAAGTTCGACTACCTGAATGCCGTGGATGGATCTGCCGTAGCTCTAATCCGGAGAGCGATCGACTCGCTGAAGCTCATTGGTAGTTGCAACGAGTGCATCGAGTACTTGGATTTCCGCGTCGCACTTCGCAAGCTATGCGACAAGATCGTCGAGCGTGTTTCAACGCTGTACGAACTCATCCACGTCATTGATAGTGAGTGGGAAGAAATGCTCACCTTCAACCCCGATGACTGCGATCCCGATGATCCTGGCGACGAGACCCGATCTGCTGAAGAAGCGGCGCAATTCCTGCAGAAGCGATCTTTCCAGTTCGACGGGGACCCAATGGGAAAAGCAGAATATTTCGGGTTGTTGTACGCGAGGGCGCGATATCAGATTAATCGGTTCTACGACACCATCTGGCATTTGGATCTGGCGGGTTACCCCGAGCACGATGGCGAGGAGTGGCAGGCCATGGATCGCGAGATGAATTCCAAGGCGCAGTTTTTTGAGCAAACCGCAGAGGAACGCCTGGCCTATGCGATCGATTCTGCTTATTAGAGGAGAAATAGATTGGATGGTTTGTAATTGCTATTGCTATGTATTGCTAAGGTGGCTGGTTAGGTTGCAGTTATGCGAGATTATCAAGCGGGAAGAGTTATGAATTTGCTTCCTTGATTTGATTGAATACTCCGCAAAGCAGGGACTGAGCGTTGAGCTAGCTGTGTTAATGTTGCTTGTGAGTCAGATATCACACCGCTGAATATTCGGAGAATATCCACATGTGGAGATAGTGAGGCTATCCGCGTTAAGCAACGACCATCTTGGATATTACTATTGCTACTGCTACTTGCTCCTTGATAATACAATGCGAACCAGCCTCATTTTAAATCATATTAACCATTTCAATCCTTGTAAATCAAAACCAGCCGTCCAATTTGTCGGTCTGTCAGGTACTCAAGTCGGGTTTCCAGCGCCACGTCACAGGCTGCTTATCCACTGCAGCTCTCGGTGTTTTCTCTGACGTGTAAATCCACTTTATTCTCACTGTCTGATTGGCTGTTAAATGCCATCTCAGCGACACATGCTGTTCCTTGACTGGACTGCGTATCCTGTTACAATTATGAGACTGTTGTCCCAGACCTCCGTATACTTGTAAAAGACGGTGAGCTGGCAGCAGATATAATATACCCCTCTTACTCTCTCCATCTCAATCCTCAATCAATCAATTATCATCTTCTCAATTTACCAATGTAATGGACCCCAAAATGTCCTCTTCCTGGGACATGCTCTCCTCCCCCTCTCAGACCTCCCCGTCTCGCCCCTCCTCCCCGACTTCGGATAGTATCGTCGACGCCTCCAATCCCTTCCACCAGGTTCTCTCCTACGCAGCGCAGGAGTGGGAGTTTCGGAAACGGAACGGCGAAGAGAACGATGTGATCGACCGGCTGATGGAGTTTCAGGGGCTGGAGGAGATCAAGCAGCAGTTTCTGAATATCAAGTCCAAGATTGATATTTGTCAGGGCCAGGGGAGGGATTTGGCCAAGGAGAGGTTTAGTATTGTGTTTCGGGGGAATCCTGGCACTGGTATGTATTTCTGTTTGATTAGGATGATTTCTTTATGGCTGGGCTAATTAATTGGATAGGAAAAACATCTGTTGCCCGTCTGTATGCTGAATTCCTGCACTCCGTCGGCGCAATCGACTCAGACGGCTTCAGAGAGACATCCGGCGTCGACCTCATCGTGCGCGGGCCGCGCGATGTACAATATGATTTTGAAAACGAGTCCAATGGCGTCCTCTTCGTCGACGAAGCATACCAACTTACAGCATCCTACATGGACGCGGTAGGCCGCCAAATCCTCGACATGCTTCTCAAAAAAATGGAAGACGATATCGGCAAGGGAGCCGTCATTTTCGCCGGCTACAAAGACGAGATGGAGTCATTCATCGAGCACAATCCCGGCCTGTCGAGTCGAATTCCCTGGACGTTGGATTTTGTCGATTTCACCGAGGCTGAACTCTGGCGGATTCTGTCGGACCGGATTGAGAAGGATTACCACGGCCGCATGAGAGTCGAGGATGGGATGGCGGGGAAGCCGATGCGGATTGCGGTTCGACGACTTGTGCAGGGTCCCGCGAGACGATCGTTTGGGAATGCAAGAGCGGTTGAGAATCTGCTTTCGCTGATATCGGCACGACAGGCGCAAAGACTCGTTAAAGAGAAGCGACTGGGTGGCACACCGGACTACAACTTCTTCACGCAGGAGGACATCATCGGGCCGGACCCGAGTGAGGCTGCGGAGCAGTCTCAGGCGTGGAAGGACCTGCAGAAGCTGATCGGCCTGGATGCGGTCAAGCAGTCGGTGCAGAATATGATTCATCTCATCCAGAGCAACTACAAGCGTGAGATGAAGGAGGTGAAGCCGCGACGATTGCCGCTGAATCAGCTGTTTGTTGGCCAGCCGGGAACGGGCAAGACGACGGTAGCGAAGCTGTATGGACGGATTCTGGCGGATCTGGGATTGCTGAGTCGGGGTGATGGTATGTTTTCTTATATCCTTCTATATTATGCTATATACTGACAGAACAGTGGTGGTAAAAACACCGGCAGACTTCATCGGCGCCGCATTGGGCCAATCCGAAATGAAGACGAAGAAACTCCTCGACGCAACAGTCGGCAAAGTCCTCGTCATCGACGAAGCATACATGCTGGACGCAGGCGACACCAACAAAGACCAGGACAAGTTCAAAACCGGCGTCATCGACACCATCGTCGCCAACATCCAAGGCGACCCCGGCGAAGACCGCTGCATCATTCTCATCGGCTACGAGGATAAAATCCGCAACATGTTCCACAACGTGAATCCCGGTTTATCGCGACGTTTCCCGACTGAACGACCGTTCCACTTTGAGAATTACTCTCTCTATCAGCTGGAGCAAATGCTGCAGTTGAAGATGCGTGAGCAGGAAATCGACTGTACGCCTGAAGCGCTCAAGGTTGCGCGTGACATGTTTGAGCGGGCGTTGATGCGGCCGAATTTCGCCAATGCGAGTGAAGTCGAGAGCTGTCTTGCTACGGCCAAGGCGAACTACGAGGCACGGCTGTCGTCTAGCAAAACGCTAGACGGGGAGTTCTGCGACGATAATCTCGAGCCGCAGGATTTCGACCCGGACTTTGAGAGTAAAAATGTCGACTGTCGACAGTTGATGGAGGGCAAGGTGCAGAGTAGCATTGTCGAGAAGATGGTCGCATATCAGAATCGGTACTTTGGGGCGAAGAAGTATGGCTTGAATCCGAGGGATCAAGTGCCTACGAATCTGATCTTCAAGGGTTTCCCAGGTAAGCCTATTCCATCTATTACTTAGCTGTGCTAACAACATCAGGAACTGGCAAGAAAACAACCGCCCACTGCATGGGCCAAATCCTCTACAACATGGGTTTCCTGTCGACATCAGAAGTCATCGAATGCTCAGCCACAGACATGCTAGGCGAATACGTCGGTCAGACATCGCCCAAAACCAAGAAACTGCTTCAGAAAGCACTCGGCAAAATCCTCTTCATCAGCGAAGCCAACCGTCTCCACCACGGACAATACGCCGGCGAAGCCCTCGACGAGATGGCGCAGTTCCTCACGCAGTCCGCGCACGAGGGCCGCATGGTGGTGATTCTCTCCGGCGACGCCGCGGAGATGAATACCCTCATGGCGTCGCGGTCGACGCTGTCCGGTCTGTTCACCGAGGAAATCATGTTCAACCATCTCAAGCCGACAGAGTGTATTGCCATTCTGAATGATCGGCTGGGCGATAGCCGGCTGCCCTTCAAGTCGGACTTTCTCAGTAACAAGAATTCGCCTGAATATAAAAAAGTGCGAAACGCACTCTCTGTCCTCCGTGACACACCAGGCTGGAGTAACGCGCGCGACATGAAGGCTCTCGCGCAGCAAATCACCGGCCGCTTCCTCGATGCCATGTCGCAGTCGGATAAGTCGTTAGTCTCGACGGAGCTGGTGATTGAGTGTATCCAGGAGATTACAGAGCTGCGCAAGAGTCGGTATAACACTGAAGCTCCTCCCAAGGAGGAAGAGCCACCTACGCCCGCACCGCCTCTGACACCTAAAGAGCCTGAAAAGGACGAGAAAAAGGAGAAGGAGAAGGACGAAAAGAACAAGAAAGAAACAAAGAAGGTCACCATCAGCGAAAAAGACAAAGTCAACCCGCCTCCCAAGCCCAAACAGTCGCAGTCTCCCAAGCAGACGCCGACCCCACGAGAATCCCCCCGCCAGTCCCCCCGAGGCTCTCCCCAAAACCCATACAAACCCCTCGACAACGACAGATCCAGATCGCACTCCAAAGACCACCCATCTCACCCATCTCATCCTTCATCGCATCCCTCCTCCCACGAATCCTCCCGCTCCCGCTCCCACTCCACCACCAAACCCCCATCTCCCCAAATCATCCCCCTCACCCCCCCCTCCGTCCGCGAACCGAACACCAAAGACTCCGACTGGAAAGAACTACAAGCGGCCAAACTCACCCACGAGGAAGAAATCCAAGACCGCGAACGCAAAGTCGGCATCCTGCAGACCGCCCTCCGCGACGCAAAGGCACTACGACGACACAGCACAGGCTCGAAAAAAGCCATGCTCTGCGCCGAGTGCGACTCGCTGAAGATCCAGCTCGAGCCGATCCATAGGCAGATTCGCGAGGAGAAGCGCATCCAGGTCGCGCTGGAGGCGAAGGATCGGTGTGTGAATCGCTATGCGTGGGTGAAGGTTTCTGGGGGATATAGGTGTCATGGGGGGGAGCATTTTATCTCGGAGAGGGAGGTTTATTAGATGTGATGAGAATGATTAGATGACTAGATTGTATACCCGTTTATGATGTATTGATACATACCATGAATTGCATTTTATGATTAGACACAATATGGCCTTGTCAGATTATCCAACGCTTAGAACAAAAGAGCATAGCAGAATGAAGTAGACCACTATGTCTTCAGTGCATGCCTTGAGCACACTTCCGACTTAATTACCCTATACGTATAAATAAGCCACCAGATCGTGTACCAGATGCATATGAGTTCTTTTCTACGGAACTCAACAGATTAAGGTACTGCTTCTAGTCTTGCCCAATGAAAGTTCCTGATGCGTTACCTTCATCGCCTCACTACTAGCTTCCACAGCCTACCTGAAACCCCAATGGCATTGAAGCCTTGCCATGGCGCCTTCTCATCTCAGCCTCATCCCCCTCCCTGTCGGCTGTGCAGGGATCATGTGCGATCCAACATCCCGCCATCTTTAGCCTGATTGTCGCACATCTCTTTCTTCTCTGTTCCATCCTCTTCATCCTCGCGCTGGGACACTCAAACTGAACTACTAGATTACACCAACATGGAAGAAAAGGAAGCACTGGAAAAAAAACCCATCTGGAAGCACCCTCTGCCACCGGTGCAAAGTTCTCGAATTCGGCGACGAGGGCCTGGGCAGTATCCAGACGGACCCAGAGACCGGTGAAAGCTTTTTGAAATTGTATAACAATGACAATGAGATAGAGTTGGACTACTATCTCGAAGATACCCTCCCTGACCTCCCGATCTTGAAAGCTTCTCCCTGCAACCTTTGTAGGCTCATCAGGAAAGAGACCCTGGCATGTGCACCTTGCCATTACCTGGAGTTCCATCGATTGAAGATATTCAAATTGCAATTATACGTGCCGCAGCGGAATATACCAGTGTTGAAAGACAATAATAGTCTTGATACTCTATCTATATTTATCTCACTTGGCGATGACAAGATGAAGTATTCAGTTCTCGAATTTCCAATACAGGCGGAGCCCACCGGTAAGCATCATTCAGTATTTGCCGGAAAACTAGACTGAGATATCAGACCCGTGTGCCAAATGGCTGGGTATCAGGCGAAGACGTATTCCTCGAAATGCCTTATCCGAATTGGGGTTGGCGAATATCAGAGCGATGATAGAAAGAGCAACGCTTGACATAGAAGAAGAAGAGGAGGAAGAAGAAGAAGAAGAAGAAGAAGAAGAAGAAGAAGAAGAAGAAGAAGAAGAGGAAGAGGAAGAGGAAGAACCATATCTGCCAAAACGCCTAGTCTATGTCGGTGATGAGAGCCATAACCCGCGGCTTGTCATTTCAAATGAGCATATACAACCGAGTACTCGATACATCGCGCTCAGCTACTGCTGGGGCTCATTGGAAGAGGCTAAATCACAACTGAAAACAACAACAGACTCTTTAGAAGCACACTTGCGTGAGATTGACAGCAATGCCCTTCCCCAAACACTGTGGGATGCCATTCTGGTCTGTCGTGCTCTGGGGGTGAACTACATTTGGATCGATGCGCTGTGCATCATCCAAGGCGACCTGAAAGACTGGGAGAGGGAATCGTCTCAGATTGCTGAAATCTACTCACACGCATTCTTGACAGTCTGCGCTGCACAGGGCACATCGTGTCAGTCTGGGTTTCTGGAGCGAGATTTGGATGAGGTGCAGGTTTCGTTCCGCTCATCATTGGGTCCGTCCACAACAGGCAGATTTCTTATCTCGGAGTATCAGCCAAAATATAAGCATTATTTGAGTCCCTATGACAATGAGAAAAAGCTTGCTATTTCTGATGTCAATGCTCATTGGAATTCTAGGGGATGGACATTCCAGGAAGCCGAATTTGCCTCCCGGCTTCTCCTATTCGGCGAGAATATGGCCTACCTGTGCGTTAATGGCCTTTGGGTGTGCGAGAACGGGGCTTGCTTCAGGGGGGATGGGAATGTGTTACCATGGGGAGAGAGGCTGTTTAAAAGTAATAGAAAGCTTCTGAGTCCAGAAGAGACGCATCAAGACTGGTATTCACTGGTAGAAAGATATTCTGAACGACATTTGACCTTTCCCAGCGACAAGCTCACAGCTATATCAGCCCTTGCACGGCGGTTTGGCAAAAACATCAAAGGACAGTATCTAGCGGGCATGTGGAGTGACAATCTTCACCATGGTCTTCTTTGGCGGACCAAGAGCGGTAGGTCATATGCTGAATATACCGCCCCATCATGGAGCTGGGCAAGTCAGGATGGAGGTGTCTCTGTCGAATATTCTAAAAAAGCAGAGTTCCATCTTTTGGATGCCAAAACGGTGGTGGGAGAGGATCCATATGGCCAAGTGACAGGAGGCTATATTTCTCTATCCGCCAGAGTCATCAAGTTCCCATCACATTATTTCGAAATCCACAAGTTTGATGGCAGATCAATAAAAAACCCAAGCAGAGTTTGACCGGATATTGGGAGGAGATCCTAAACTTACTCGTATGTCAATGGTTTTGATCTCCAGTTATGTCATGGGGCGGATGGAAATCATGCGAGGCCTTTTTCTGCTTCTAACCGACAACAATCCAAACGAATATATCAGGATAGGCACTTTTAGTTCAATATATTGCGAGGAAATAGGAAGATCATTCTGGGATGATATCCCGATGACAACCATTAACCTGGTTTAGAAATGGTTTTTAACATGTGTATAGAGCACATTACAACAGTTCTCATCACAAACATATCTAATCTTATACACCTTGTTCGCATCAAACCTAGACAAGCACATTTGAAACAATCCACCCACGGCCGAAAATCCCAACACGCCATCCCAACAGGTCTACTTCCCAACCGTTGATAAAACGGCATTCTCTCCACCTCACTGTTCATACAGAGGTACCCCAGCAGCCTTCACACACTCCTTCATAACAAACGACCCAACGCCTCTCCCTCTCGCCTTCGTATGTTATACACAGACTCAAGCTGGACATAATCATTCACACCACACACATATGGCATCCCTCCTCGTCGCATCCTCTTTGTTAAACACAAACTTGAACGCATCATGTCGGTCTGGTATTGGTGTCATTCCACTCTCAACTTCACCTTCACTCTTGGTTTTCCGCCACCACATACTAATAATAGAGAGAATTTCGCATCGACACACAAAATGTTTCAGTCCTGGATTTGCCAACCCCATTGAAAGACGGACCCTTTCGAATCGTTCATGCGCAGAGACGGTAGAAAAGATAGCTTGCCACCAGGGGAGAGCGTGAAGGGAGTAGCCCGGAGGCGGGCTGCTTGGGGATGGACTTGGTGATTAGGTGAGTTTTTTAAACATTTTGACTGAATTGGATGTGTTGGATGGAGTGTTGTATAGGTGGTATGTTGGTTCGGATTTGTGTGTGATGATGATATGATGACTGGTAAGATTTTAGTTAACAGGGGGTTACATCCGTAGAGTATACAGCCTCAGGTGAATTTAACCTCTCATAGTTATTAAGATAGAAGGATTTTATATATCATCAGATGCTGACGTTTAATAAGAGACTGGTTTAGTTAAGCATGCTTGGAAAGGCTTGGCTTAATCTGTTATATAGATTATATTCTTTATGTCACCCATATAGTTCACGACATTAACCCACCAAGAGTGCTCCTTAGATCCTGATTAAACTATTCATGGGATGCCTATACATTAGCAGGCAACTCAGAAAATAATTTCATTTCCAAAAATATGATTTTGACGCCCAACCAAGAATCCCCAAAACGGGCACCACCACCGCTCCCATTCTCATCATCGCAGCAGTAACCTTTGGCTGCAGAGCCTCTTGCACCATCGCCTGGAATTTCTCCGGCTCATTACGGCCAGGATACGCCACTTGTGGGACTGGGACTCCCAGGAACGGGCAGATGGTCTCCCAGTCAATGCCGTCTTCCAGTCGAATCAGGCATAAGCGGTCGGCGGGGAGTGTTGTCTTGACTTTTTCAATGCTAATAATTGTTAATGAGATGGAACAGAATTGTTGGATAACATTTGCAACATACTATTCGGTGTAATACTGGTATAGCAGCTCTTCGTTCTCTCCACCGATGGCCCGGTAGACCAGCACATTGAAGTCGAAGAAATGCCACAAAAAGGCGTCAAAGTACTTGAGAATATTGAATGGGAAAGCACCCGACATGGCGACTACTTTTCCGACACTGTTTCTGACTGACTTTGCCCACTTCTCCGGGCTTCGCTCTGTGAGGATGAATTTCACGTCGGGATCGTTTGCGTAGGCTTTTATCACGTCTACGCCTAGATAGCTGGGGATTTCAACCAGGCACTGTAGTCATGTTAATCATAATCAACAAACAAAGGAGTCAACATACATCATAGTCAGCCAACCATTTGTCACAATCGGCTCTTGTTATTCTCTTGACTCCAGATGATGGGTAATATTGGGCAGTAATGGCCTCTTTGAAGATTTTCATGTGTTGCACGCCATGTACGGCGACGCACTCGTATAGGTGGTACGAGTTGTAACCCAGGATTTGCATCGCGCGATACAAGCCCAGAGTGCCTGACCTAAACGTCATGATTAGATTAAGCCCATAGCATAAAGGGTAGACAGCATACCGACTTGGGCTGGCGACAATGACTTTCATTTGTCGGATTGCAGCCGGGACCGGCAATTGATCTATTTCTCGAGACATGATTAGAGTAGCCAGATATAAATTCGAAATGTATCGTTTGATGGAAGAGAGATGGCGCTATCATTGGCCTCTTTATACTGTCGTAAAAACATAGACTAAACCGGGGAGAGCCTTGTCCACAGCCTCAGCAATTCCCCGAAAGTAAATGTATAAAACCTCATACTGAAAGGCTGACAGCTGTCATCTGTCAAACTTTATATACACCGTGAACCAATGATTGATCGCAGATGATGGCCTCGTGTACGGCTCGTGGGGTTATACGAGATATTCTTAGCTGCTGTCAGCCTCGCGGCGATCTTTGGTAGGGCCGTGCCCCCGTATCTTGACAGGTGGGCAATTAATCAAGTTTGTTCTTCTCGATGATCTGGATCGGTGATTAATTCATATTTCTATCCGAGCACTTCCCGTGCAAGAATTGAATTCTGTTGGTTCTTGACTGATCGGAACCCTAAGCGAAGGCCTGAATATCACGACAGAACAAGTGGAGACCAGAAGTAGATGGATGGTAACACAGCATCATTAGTGTAACCTAGAATTCAACATTCCGAGTTTATTTTGATGCAATTCATTACCATCACGTAGAAGATGTGCATCAAGTGTAGAAGATATACGCCTTGTCCAGTGTTCCGGTAGCACAATCCGCTCCCTAAGCAATCAGTATACATACTCGAATATCATAGTAAACTCACCAAATACTCCTTAATCCCCACAATCCTCACCTCCTCATTCTCCAATCTCGCCTGTTCCTGCTCCGTCATACTCCCCAGAGTATACGTATACGAACGGTCAAAATCCAACCACACAACCCGCTCAGCATCACCAGCAACAACCATCATATTCCGCGGCTTTGGATCCGCATGCAAAACTCCCGCTTTATGGATTTCCTGAATGCCCGTGACGAGGTTATCCATTCTTTGAGGCGTGTAGTTGTTCAGGTAGATCATTTCCAGGCCGGGAATGTACTCGAGGAAGATGGCGCTGGGGGGATATTCGTCTTCAAGGAAGGTGTCTAGATGAGGTCGGCAGAGGGAGGGGTTGAATTTTCTCATCGTCCCGAGGAAGTTGGGGACGATGCCGCGGTCACACAGGCCGAATTGTTTCAGGCGATGGTAGGCGGTTGCTTCGACGATGTGGATGTCGAGTTCGCGGTTGGCTGACTCGTAGTAGAGACGGGGACCTCGTCCATGATGCTGTCTATTAGAGTGGTATATAAGATGGTGTATGGTACGTACTACTTTCATCACGCACGTTATATTGCGGATGGTGACAAGGAAGATAATAGAGTGCTGAGAAGAATACAGTTTCTCCTTAAAGATGATTTCAGCAGGCTTGATATTATCCATCTCCATATTGATGAATCTGAGATCAGAGTGCAATTCGTGTGTTCCTGGCATCCAGATGAAGTGTTTGTAAATCAGCATCAATGACGACTGTATAGGCAGTGTCACGTGTGCAGAAGCCACAATAAAAGATAGGGTATCAAGACTACCAGGTTATAGAGTTATACATCCTAACTCTGATAAGATCTATATGACATATAATCTGAATTATCCAATCAGAGATCTCTTAATCATGCAGATCGATCAATGGACCCACTACTCCACCGATCAATAACTATAAAAGCCCCTCCACCCTCTCAGTCTACCATATTTCAAACCAAAAACCTACTTAATATACTCATCCCCAAAATGTCGTCCACCCAAACAGAAGAAGAGATCGACTCCCTCTTCCCCGAAGACCCAACCACGCCCTCCCTCGCTCTCATCGCCTCCAACAACGTCCAAATCACCCTCCCCTACTCAACAGGCGGAAAAGACCATCCCATCTTCACGCTTGGCTCTGGATGTCGTCCGGCAAAGATAGAAGGCCGTGACGCACCTGCTGCGTTTACAGCCCAAACCGCCCTCTCAGACAGAACTCTGAAAGAAGGCATATATTTCCGCATCGAGAACGGGGCGCAGTCGAAGTTTCACAAGGCGATTACGTCGGACTCGCATGCCTCGTCGGAGCATTTGAGTCTTTCGGGGAAGGTCTCTGCTGGGGGGAAATTTGCAGAGGCGAGTGTGAGTGGGAGTTATAATAAGGATGTGGTGGATAATCAGGATGTATTCTCCCTCTGTGAAGTTTTCTTTTTTTTGAATATATTGGTCTAATGATGACAGGACATGAAAGCATCCATCCAAGCATCTATCCGCACAGGGAACATCTACATTGATGAACCGCGTTTCTCACTCGCCGCATTGGCGGATACACGCCGTACGCGCACGAAACCGTCCTGCTTTCCCTCGAAATACGGCGAGTACTACGTAGCCAGTCTCAAACTGGGTGCAGACGCAGGCGTTCTCGCGTCCAGTGCATCCACCCTGCACGACGATTCTGAGAGTCTCGACGTCAAGGCCAAACTGCGTGTGCTGTGGTGGGATATTGAAGCGAGCGAGCATGAGGAAACCCACTCGGTTGAAGCGTGGGCGGAGTTTAAAGCGACTGGGTTTGATACGTTGGCGGGGGAGAATGTGGGTGGGGGATCGCGGAAACAGACAGGGGAAGTTATAATGGATTTTGTGGAGCGGGTGACTGATGTGGAAGCGAGGGTGAGAGGGAAGATGGAGGAGTTTGGATTGACAGAGGATAAGAAGGTGGATTTGGAAATGTGTAGGAGACTTTGTGAGGCTGGACTGGTGGTTGAGATTACGCTGTTGCCATATAGCCAGGTGAGAGATTATATGGTGGCTTTGAACCAGCGTCGTTAACTATTGAAGCTATATACTATGCATCGATTCCAATCTATACGGTTAGTATATTACTTTATCCATAGTTTGTCAGATACTTACTGGAAGATATTGCTTGAAAATAACCGGACTCTGACAAGGCAGATCACGATCTCCACTGGCCAGTTCAGGCTTCTTGGTGATTTCGTCGACCTAGACAATCAGCTAATGTATACACATAACTAGACAATATCAGCATACCTCTTTCACAATCGCATTCATCATCTTCCGGATAGACAATTTGGCCGATTCCAGACCAGTCAGGGTAGCAGGGAAAGGCTTTTTAACATGACCTTCAGGGGCCTCTGGTGTTTCTGCATAAATTAGCATCATCCAACTATATTGTATATGGGCGGACCCACCGCTGAATGTACTCTGTTTGAGTGTCTTTGTTCCCTCATCAACATCCGCCTCCAAAAGCCGAGCATGTTTGTAGATATTCTTATAGTCTAGAAACGTGTCCTGCAAGATGGCCGTATAGACACCCGCATTCTCATACGACAGCGGAGCCTTATTTGTTTTGCCATCGGTGCCCTTGGCATAAAAGCTTTTGAGAGATGTATACTTGGTCAGAACGGCGTGAGTGCGGACAGGTGTTTTGGCCACCAGAGATGGGAAGCGCAGAGCTGCTTTTCGTAGGTTGGCGATGTTCCAATCGTCGTCGGCTACCTTTATTAGTATCGTGTAGTAAGGAGGGCATGCAGGTACACACGATTCTTGAGCTGCTGTCCACCGCCAGAGTAACTCACGGAAATGGTGGTTTCGTTCTCCTGGAAGATATCCTGGTGATTCTTGTTGACCTGGGCGTTGCCTTTGAGGACGAGTCCAGCCGGACTGTCTGGATTGGGGTCTGCTTCGTCTTTGTCTTCTTCGTCCTCCTGGTCACCTTGTTCCTGGTCATCCTCATCTTTGGGCTTCTCTGGAGTCTGTTCTCCCTCCTCTTTCGTCTTCGCTGACTCTGCAGAATTCTTTGCAGGCTTCTGGTCCTTCTTGGCTGCTTTTTTGCTTCCGAATGCCGGGGTGGTCAGAGCGACGGCCGCACTGTGAGATTAGTAGGTGATAGTCTGGAGGGTATGTTCATACATACTCTGCCTTGATATTCTCTTTTTGATTCCTATCCTTGACTTTGATGGAGACCACCGCATTGAACTCGCCTCCTTCCTGGAAGCCTGTCTTATATCAACATAGTCCAACAAAAGAGACCAGAAGAGGTACTGTACCTGAGATAAAAGAATCCCCATAAATCCGAGTAAACTCAGCAGACGAATCCAAATTCTCAATTGGCGTAAACTTGGTCAATCCATTATCAGTGACCGTCTGGTTGATCACCTTGACACTGATGAGAAAGTTGATGTCGGATTCTTTGATTTTGTTTGAGTTGATAAAGGTGCCTTTGCCGGTGCCGTCGATGAGGTTGTTGTATTTGATCGTCAGGGCTCCGCTGATCTGTTTTCTTAGTATACATTTTTAATATAGGATAGGTGGTACGTACATTGAGAGCATCAGTAATGTCCGACATTTTGTCGATGATGCTCGTTTTGAAGACAACAGACTGCGCGACGCCATCTTTTGGTCGTGTAGGCACAGGAATATCTTTGGCTTCCTTGGTCACAGCATCGTCGACGCAGAGCTGTTGCGTGTAGGAATTGAATCCAGAACCAAGTCTCATGGAACTGTTGTAGGGGGCGAGAAGAGGAGCCATTTTGACTGCATACAAGAGTATGTCTGGGTCAATTGACGCGAGGATGCGATGATGGTTAATAAATGACACTCATCTCAGCTGAAAGACAGACCCACAGCTCATCTCTCGCTTGGAAATCGCCACGAACGATCAATACCCAAGATGGAACTGCCTGCATCGACGATCGAGACGACTCAGCTTTGCGCGATTTTCCAGCAGCTGAGGAGAGGAGCTGAATGAGCTGAATGAGCTGAATGAGCTGAAGAGAGCTGAAGGAGAGTGGAGCTGAGGGGCTGAATGCGGGTGGACTGGCCATCTGTTTGGCTATGAACCATGATCGGCGCAATTGTTGGGCATTGGGATGGGTTAACTATGGAATACTTGACCTGCTGTCTGCTGTCTCTATTTTCTTTCTCTTTCTGACATTCTCATCTTCTTCGCAAAATGAGTGCTCAAGTCGCGCCGTACAATGACTCTATGCGCATTGGCTCTGGGTATGCTGACTGACTATTATACAAACTCACACTGACCGTCTAAATCTCAGGTTCAACTCGTACACCCAGCAGCTGCGCGTCAACGATGCAGTTATCAAGGAGAACAAAACCGCTGCGACCGACAAAGACCTCAAGCCGAAATTGACGGGAAGTGCAGACACAATCAGCCAGCAGGTCACCTTTACCTCCAAGTTTGTCGACCATGCCAGTGAGGTTACGGAGGCGATGAACATCAGCGGTATTCCATCTTCCTATTCTTGGCACGTGAGGAGATAGGCTAAGATGGCAGGTGCTCTCGAAATCAAATATCAGGGAATGGGCGCCAAAGCGTCAGGAGGTAAGCCCCATCCCTTGTACATGATACATGATACTGACAGAAAAAGCCTACGTCGACTCGTCCAAAGTCAAAGACAGCGACATCAACTACTTTGTCCAAGTCAAAGTCGTCAACCAGCAACTCATCGCAGACGACGCCACCAAATTCAACGTCATCCCCAACATCCCCGTCACCGACCAGCAGCGCTTCACCGACGTCTACGGCGACAGCTACGTCTCCGGCTTCCTCGAGGGAGGGGAATTCAACGCTCTGCTTTCCGTCAAGGTGAATGACAAGGAAAACACCACTGACATCAAAGGCGCGCTGGCGGTGAGTCTGGAAAAGGCTGGGTTTGGCATTTCCGGTGAGGCGGAAGGAGAGTACAAAAAGGCGAATATTGCGAAGAACTCAGAGACGACGATTACGTAGGTCTATCTCTACTATATAATGGGAGAGTGCTAATGAATAGTGTATCCTGGACCGGGGGTGGCGATATTCGCGACGAGGAAGACAAGGGCAAAGGATGGACGATCGACAGCATGGCCAAAGCTGCCTTTGGCTTTGCGGATCGAGTCCGACACACTCCCCAGCGAACGCAGTGAGTCCATATAACACGGCCTGTATAGGTATGAGCTGACCAAACAGTGCCATCCTCACCAAATACACGGCGTTGCGGTCCTACCAACTCCTCTCGAACAAGGGCAGTCCGCTCGACTATGAGAATGCCGGTGTCTACACCAATTCCCTGCTAGAGCATTATCTCGACTACAAGGATATCTGGAAGAATATTGGGATTAGTATGTCTCCTCCCTGCGTAGCTTGTCTATAAGCTAATTAGGTAGTGAGCACCGACTATGGCCAGGGCAAGACCGACCTTACGGTCACCGTGATTGCGGAGAATACTGCAAGAGATATTGCAGATATGAAAAAGGATTTCCGGAGCATTCTGCCCAAAATCGACGGTAAAGAACAGGAATTAAAACATATTCCAGAAAAAGAATATGATAATTCGTTGGTTGGGCTGGAGAAAGCCCGGCGGGACTGTCGATTGCAGATGATTCTGATTGTCAAAGAGGTATGCATCTTTATTAACAATATACCATATGACAGTGATTAATTATATCAGGTCGACGCAGTTGCAGAAGATCCCAAGGTTGCCATCGATTTTGATCGCGTCGGACAATATCTCAGTCCGGTGCTCTTTCGCCAACTTCTTCCGGTATGTTTCGTCCTTAATATAGATACGCAGTACTGACCATCCAGGACGTCGAACCTCGACCAACAGAAGAGGAGATCGATGAAGAAAGGGAAAGACTTGCGGCGGTGGAGGATAAGATGGATGAGTTACAAGACGAGATGAAAAGCCTTCGGTAAGTCAAGTCAACCCCACCCGGCCTAAGTCTTATTTCTGATATCGTTTCAATTGTAAAACAGCGAGTCTGTAAATTCTTCAAGCTCACTGTTTGACACTAAGACCTTTTATTCACTCACGACAAAAGAAGACGGGCATGTCTGGAAGATATCCCACACACGTAATGAGCAACACGAGTAAGAATCAATCCCTGACAGTCAGATCAATCCACTAATACCAATCGAACCATAGAAAGTGTTACAGCTGGAAATTCACTCATAAAGGGGACGGTGAATATCAGATTGTGTCTCAGGTAGATGGCGTATTAATCGCAGGTGGTATGTCCATACTACCTTTCTCCATCCCACCTTCCATTTCCAAGAAAACCATTGACAACAATCACAGAAAGCGACGCAACAGCGATCGGTATAGGAAACCTTTCTGATGTCACCGAAGAAAGCGACCCACGTACCCGGTGGTTGGTCAAGAAGAATGGCAGTACTTTCACGTTTGTGATCCCATTTTATTTTTCACTGGTGTTCCGATTAGTCTTCTAATATCAAAGCAGGATCGAGAGTGCATTCCACCCAGGCTATGCGCTCAAGTATGTCACTCACAAAATTATTCTTTCGCGGGAGTTGGCTGGGGAGTGGGATATAAGCCCAATAGTGGCAGGAAAGTAAGCATCGACCATCCCATAGAAAGATACCGAATGATCACTAACTTGAGAAGACATGCACACGGATCAAATGGAACGGAGAACGGGACCAATGGGGTATCTTTTAAAGAGATACATGTGCCCTTTATGAACTGATTTTTTTTTTTTTTTTTTTTTTTTTTTTTTTTTTTTGCCCCTTGTCATTCGTGATACATCATGTGTGTGGGAGGGCGGACGGGGAACCAACTATAAGCTGAGGATTATGGGATTGTGTGTTTAGTGGTTTACTTTCACTATATTATAGATTATATACACTGGTTAAGGAGCAGACTATGCCATAGGAACACTGCAAGGCGTAGATACTTTACACTCGATACATGAATAAATACCATCAAACGCATCGCTTGCTTCTTTCCCAAGAATTTTTGTGGTTGTTATATTCTTCGTTTCCCCTTATTAGTCTCATTGTGTGCCATGACACGGTCTGCATCTTTTCAGGCCATACTTGCCTTTGATATGGTCTGCAATTCTTGAAAATGAGCAACGAGGTCTTCGCCGAAAGCTCTCAGTTAGATATTAGGGCTTGGCTTCAGTAGCCCTATGTCCAGATCAGTCTTGAGCATTCTGGGAAGGGTGGGATCTTCCAAGGCAGAGTGAGATGGAAAAATTGCGCCATGCGTTCCTTCTTCTTTTTCGCAACGCCAGCAAGAGACAAAACACCACTCCATTTCTTTCAACTCTCCCTCAACTCTCCCTCAACTCTCCCTCAACTCTCCCTCGTCCAAGCACAGCTAAAATGAACAAGACCTCCTGGGCATGCAAATGCCTCTGTCTCTGCACTGTCACTGTCTGACATTGTCTCGAGGATATACGTACGATATCCCCTCTTCAAATACCCATCCAACACGCGCTACCTAGGTCCACCACACTACCCACGGTCTAATCGACCCAACCTCACATCGAAGCGTGTACCTCTGTCCAACATGCCATACTGCCTTCGACAACGCCCTCGACCATGAGTTGTCTTCATCCCATCGACCTGGACTTTTCATCTAATTTGCACCAAAGCAGGGGCTTATACCCCCAGGGCTCTATACCTGCCTCCGTTTGGATCCTACGATCCATGTGTCTGCTTAACGTGATAATTTGTGAGATTCCATTGCCATTCTTGATATCCCTTGTATTGGGGCTATACCAGTGGCGTTGGTGGAAAAACTTCAGATCCTTCGGGATCTCTACTTTCGAGACGATGAAGAATATGGCCTAGGCCGCTGGGGATTAAAGATCAATTTGGTGAGAATGGAGAAGGCGTGGATTAAAGTACGTGGATTCATGCATCTATTTATCTTGAAATGAATAACAATGTATCAACCAGTGATACTATGGTCTGTATAAGACGGGATTACTACATTCAATACGTTGGTCAGCGGACGCAGCCTGCAGTTATGCCTGGAATAACCAACCTACCAAACAGCCTATACCGACAGATCTGACCCCCAAATCATCTTCATCCCTACTGACCTAGACTTTTCTATCCAGTTTGAACTCAAAGATCGCACGCGCCGCGAGAAGGGCCAAGTAAAACAAAAAGTCCCCAGCGCAGATATGTACCATTGCCAAATATCTGAAAAGGGCCTCGTTTCTGCAGACACGGTAGGTAGGCTGTATACATGTTTCCGACTCCATCCTAGTCTTCAGATAGAAGAGTGGAGGTAGGAGAGCTGGCATTGGGAGCCGTTTGGGAGTCTGAATGGGGATTGCTGTGCTTGGGTGTCCGGGGATTGAGACTCTTTCTATGGGTTTTGTGGGGAAGCTGGAGGCTTTGAGTGAGCCGTACACGGCATAAATCATTGTATCGAGGAATGCTTGTTTGAAATGGCATCGTAATCTGCACACATGGTCTGACCGACTTGGGCAGGGATGGTTTGCTGTAACGTTGATATGACAGCTGTCAAACGCTTCAACGACAAGGATTATTTTAGTGCTCTCCACACTCTCGTACCGAGCTCAACGGCTTCAATTCCGGCATTCCTAGTGCATCTTAGTGGTTGACAGCCTCCATCCAACCTCAACTTCCAGCACACTAATGCAGCCCTTGTATTCCAAGAGGGGGGTGATAATATCTCTCCCTGCTGTGGTTGGATTGCCATCCCGTGTTGACACAGACCACTGATGATCGCACAGACTGCCCATATAAACCCGACAGCCAGCTCATCGTCTACTCATTTCTGTAATCTTCAGCGAAAAAAAGAAAGATGGCCTCCATAATCCTCGTCATCGTCGCCATTGTCCTCCTCCGTCTCGTCTACGAATACAAACGAGACCGAAAGCTCCCCCCAGGCCCATCTCGTCTCCCCTTCATCGGCAACCTCCACCAAGCACCACAGGAACTCCCCTGGCGGGTTTTCCACCAATGGACCCAAAAGTACGGGCCTATCATGAGCGCTCAGTTCGGGCGGCAGACGCTCGTCTTTCTCGCGGATAGTACACATGCGCGGGAGCTGCTCGACAAACGGGGCTCGATCTACTCGCATCGTCCGCGGATGGTCATGGCGGGGGAGAACCTCACCAAGGGAATGCATATTCTGCTGAGACCGTATGATGAGCGATACAGGCTCCATCAGCGCATGGATGCGCCGGTGCTTAGCCCCCGGGCGTCGTCGACGTATGCGCCCATCCAGGACTTGGAGAGTAAACAGCTCCTGTTTGATTTTCTGGCGTCGAATGATTTTAGAAAACACTTTCAGCGGTATAGTATTAGTCTGGTGTATGTGCTGGGATACGGGTTTCGGTTACACACCGGGGATGAGCAGGAGGTGAAAGATGCGTGTCTGGTGCAGCATAATTTCGCCTACGCAGCGCGCGTGGGCACTTGGATCGTCGATGCGATTCCCATTCTGAACGTTCTGCCTGCGTGTCTCGCGCCGTGGAAGAAAACCGCCGAAGACCTCTTCCAGGTCGAAGCAGCGCTGCATATGAAGAACATGAACACGGCACTGGCCAACAAGCCCTGGAACTGGACGAAAGAGTTACTCCGGTCGAAGCAGGCGCAGGGCATGCCGGAGCTGGAATTCGCATACAACATCGGCATCATCGCAGATGCAGGCCTCGAAACCACATCCACCGTCATGCAGGTCTTCGTCCTCGCCACGGTAACCCACCCGCACTTCCTCGCAACCGCACAGGAAGAACTCGACCGTGTCGTCGGCCCCGACCGTCTCCCTTCTTTCGCGGATAAGGATAACCTCCCCTACATCGAGGCCGTCGTCGAAGAAACCCTCCGCTGGCGCTCCATCGCCCCCGGCGGCGTCCCCCACGCCACCTCCCAAGAAGACACATATCGAGGCTACCGCATCCCCAAAGACACCACCGTCGTGCCCTTGCACTGGTCCATGAGCCTAGACGAAGAGCACTACCCCGACCCGCTCGACTTCCAGCCCGAGCGCTGGCTAACCAAGACCCACGACGACAAATTCACCAACTTCTTCGGCTACGGACGACGCATCTGCACGGGGCGGCATATCGCGCGCAACTCACTCTTCATCCTTATCGCGCGGCTTCTGTGGGCGTTCAACATCCAGCCTGGGGTTGGGCCTGATGGGAAACGCGCCAAGGTTGACGATATGGCGTTTGGGTCTGGGTTTGTGTCGTCGCCGTTGCCGTTTGAAGCTGTCTTTGAACCGCGCAGTGACAAGGCCAGAAGGGTGGTGGAGAAGGAGTGGAACGAGACGGAGAAGGATGTGGAGGTGTTGATGAATTCGGTCCGTGAGCATCAGGTTTCGCTGGGGATGGAGTTGAGGGCATAACGGTCAGTTAACCTGCGTATATATTGAACATCATACCATTGTAGAATGAGATATAAATGTTGAATAGCAAGAAAGTAAAAGAACTTGAATAATAAGAAAAGCTGGAATTCTTCAATGTGCTTAATTATCTGACTACAGTAGTGTTAACTGAGTTGAGTTCAAGTAGGGATTCAAGACTCAACTCATAAGTTGAGTAGGGTTTAGGACTTAAGCTCATGCTAAGATCAGTAATAATTTAAGTTTAAGCTAGCATTTTACTATACTTTACTATATTTTTAAGCCTCCCCTATATAAAATAGGTGTATTTTTAGTATTATAAGGCCTCATGCTAGACACACAAGAAGTGGCTCACAGATTTAATGAGCCAACCATTTCGGCACATTGCATTCCTATATCCCACACAAACAAGCTGCCTAGATATGTGCATTTCCTGTTGATTCAGAGAGGACCGGAAGGGAAATTCTGCAGACTGGGTAGATTTGATCTATCGAGTTGGGGAGAATCTTCACTGCCAGATACTATGGAACGGAGTCATCACATTAATATAGGTCTTCCAACACATACTATCTAATTAATTTATATATCATCAAGGAAAAGCAGCTGTATACGTATGAAATAGAATGCTTACATGCAGCTTTTAACATCCTTAGCCATTCATGTTCAAGATCACCAATCCTGCCTCTCACTAACCCTAACAATAACAGGCTTCAAAGGCTTCGCCACACCATGGTCACTAAACTCCATGGTATCGGGATATTCCCCGGACAGTTCCATATCACATCTCGAAACCAAATACGCAATTCCAGTATATAGTTCTCTCATAGCCAACCTACCACACATTAGTCCATTTCACACAATCCAATAAGGAAAACTCACGTCCTCCCAATACACCCCCTAGTCCCACGACTAAACGGCGTCAAGGCTTTTTCCATCATATCATTCTTGTCCAGCCATCGGGATGGATCGAATTGGTCTGGATTCGGGAAGATAGAGGGATTCTTATGAAAGCCGTTGATTGTTGCAGAGATTATTGTCTGTGTATGCTGATGAGTCTGACCAGACAAAAGGAAAGAAGGGAGATTGACTTACACCACCCGGTAGAACGTGAGAGCCAACTGATAGACCCTCTGATGGAACAACTCTAGGAAGAGGTCCAGGTGCGACTGGAAAGGTGCGAAGTGTTTCTTTGATCACAGCAGTCTATGGCTATTAGCCAACATCTTCCAAGGGAGGAAGAATATCATACCAAATAGGGCAACTGAAGCAAAACATGCCATCCAAAATCCTCAACAAACGTCTCCCGCTTAAGTTTCACATCACACCCCTCCAACTCCTCCCTCAGCTTGCCCAAGACATCCGGAGATCTAAGAAGATAAAATATAGCAGCCGAGAACGTATACCCGACACTCTCGATACCGGCAAATATCATAGCCATAGCATGATCATATAATCGATTACTATTTTTCTCTGGATCGACTGCTTCTTCGGGATAAAGATCTAGTAGACTGTCGAACAGAGAGGGTTTAGCGTTTTTTCCGGTGTTTCTGGCCTCAACAGATCGAGAGATACTTTCGATGCATTTTTGTTTGAGTTGGACAAGGCCCGGGACTGTGTAGGGACCTATTTGAGAGATGAAGTCGTGACCTATTGTTGCCAGGAAGGGCAAACAGGTGACTTGCTCGTTAGATATAGTATTGTAAGGGAAAATGTTGACATACATAGTTGTATACGAGTAGTCACGGTATCGAGGCTAGTTAGCAGTAGGTCTTTTTCTGCGTTGTCGTAGTCAACCAATTCCTCTGTCATTCCTAGCAGAAATAGTCCGTTGATATTTGCCTATATCGTCAGTTATCAGGTCGCAAACACAAGGCGTTACCTAACGCCAAAGCTTTAAATATAGCACCAGTATCCACCATCTCTTCATTTTCAGACAGTCTGATCATCGAGTCCCCTGCTTTGATAAACTGCCCAATAATCAACGAAGACGACTGGTCAATACTTCGCATGGAAAACAGCGGACCTAACCGACTCCGATAGATTTGATGGCGGTGTGGATCTGTCACCGTCACGATTGAATCGACCTTTTCTGATGATTGGTAGAAGAAGTCCCATTTCAGGAATTTTGTTTTGTTGCAATATACCCTGGATACGTTAGTATTGGAATAGATAGTGTGTGAGGGGACTTGCTGGCGGTATATGTCCACATCGTTAATGTGGACATGGTTTGGAGCGATTCTGATTACTGGGGAGTCATAGTATTGGTGGAGACTGGGGAGACGCTGGGAGAGTGCTCCATCCTGGAAGATGCTGTAGTAGTAATAATAGAGGTTGCTTGCTCGGGGCAGAAGTGGTCCTGGTATACTTTTCAGCGGGTGGAAGTAGATATTCTTTATTGCACCCAACGCCCAGTAAATGATGAGAGCTGTGGGGGCTGTATAGAGCAAGAGATAGATATTCATAACATCTAATGTGTTTGACATACCCATGCTCAGTCTCACTCGCCTGTCATCTCTCGCGAATTGTCGGGGACGTATCTGTGTAAATATGATAATTAAAAAAGGCCGCAAGAACATGAGAACAAAATTAATAAAATCTGACAGATAATGCATTTAAATAAGCGGGGTAAGGTTTATTTTCACTCAAGTCAGCTGGTATATTTGCTTTTTCTGTACTGATCACGTCGGACAAAGTTGCAATAAAGATTCCAAATCAGCCGAGAAAAGGCCAATGACTGGACAGATCTATATACCGTCCTCCACTCAAGAGAATAAAAACTAAATATTTATCTGGTGTAGTCTGCTGATTAGATGAGCTGACCGTATCTTTGATTCTTGCAGACCGATTGTTAGCTTCCACAAAGCCTAGACCAACGATAAATATATGGGATTTGACGACACCTTCGGTCATTATCATCAAGTCAAAATGGACACTTGCGAGAAAGACACCCCCTTGCTTCCGGCTGTCAGCAAGGCATTAACCCAAGCCGCTAATTTCACTTTCCACCATACCCGACAAGATGGCCATTGGTATGGTGAGCTTGTGGCCAACCCATCTCTCACGGCTGAATACATCACTCTCCTTTACGCCTTGCAACTACCCGTCGCAGAGCCGAATCGTTGGATTTCATGGCTCCTATCGGAACAAAAACCCGATGGATCATGGGGTCTTGTTCCGGAGATGCAGGGGGATGTTTCAATGACGGTGGAATCTTATCTGGCCCTCAAGGTCTTGGGTCTCTCACCAAATGAACCTTGTCTGCTGACAGCACGAGATTTCATTCTCTCGGTTGGCGGTGTTGCAAAGGTTCGGATCTTCACTCGGTTCTACCTCGCTATTTTCGGTCTATTTCCTTGGAATGCTCTACCTGAGCTCCCACCGGAGTTGATTCTCGTCCCAACATCAGCGCCAGTCAGTATATATTACATGGCATCCTGGGCTCGCGATACAGTCATCCCGTTACTTCTTATTTCTTACCATCGCCCTATTTTCCGTCTACCGAATGGCCGATCAGAATCAAATGATTACCTTGATGAGCTGTGGTGCATGCCAGCAGCCAAGGTGGTGGCATATTCGCCCGGTCTATGGGATTTATGGAAAACGGACTTGACCGGACTCTTCTTCGCCGGGGCGGATAAGATCCTCCACGGTATCGGCGGATTAATGCGGAGCTATTCACCCATACGATCATACGCTCGACGAAAATGTGTCTCTTGGGCCTTGGAGCACCAAGAGGAAGAAGGAGGGTGGGGAGGTATCTTCCCCCCGATGTATGGTGGTGTGTTGGCTCTGTTCCTGGAGGGATTTCCACTCTGTTCTGATCCCGTACGGCGGGGATTAGAGGCCACGGAAGGATTTCTCTGGAGTGACGGTGTAGGCAAGCGAATGCAGGGCTGTATTTCGCCCATGTGGGATACAATTCTTATGAGTATCGGCTTGCTGGATGCTGGGCTACCGGGAGACCATCCATCCGTTCAGAAATCCGTATCCTGGATCAAAGCGGATCAAAGCGCGACAGCAATTAGGTCCTCACGGGGACTGGCGAGTACTGCGCCCGCATATCCGGGCTGGCAGATTCAGCTTTGAGTACTTTCATGTCTGGAAACCGGATACGAACGATACAGCCGCTGCCGTACTAGCAATGGTCAAGCAGGATCCTACTTCAATGGGCTCGACGCCGGTTCTATATGCATTGCAGTGGATTCTAGGAATGCAGAATCCAGATGCTGGATGGGGTGCATTCGACTATACGAATGACAAGTTATTCTTCAATAAGATCCCTTTCAGCGACATGGAAGCCATGTGTGATCCCTCGACAGCAGACGTTACCGGCCGGATACTCGAAGCATTCGGTCTTCTCCTGCAAGCAAAGGGTAAACATACCGTACCCGGAGAACTCCAAGGAGCTATGATTGTATCCTCAACACGAGCCTTACACTACCTTTCCTCCGAACAAGAACCAACCGGCGCATGGTATGGTCGCTGGGGCGTCAACTACATATACGGCACCAGCAACGTCCTATGCGGACTGGCCTACTTCAACACGAAAGAAAGGATCTACAACGGAGTGCAAGAACAAATCCAATCCGGACTCCACTGGCTGGTCTCAACCCAAAACCCCGACGGCGGCTGGGGCGAAACAGTAGAAACATACCGCCATCCAAACCTCGCAGGCCATGGCCTTTCAACGGCCTCTCAGACGTCTTGGGCACTTATGGGTCTCCTGGCGCATCTTCCTCCAACAGATCCGGCTATCAGACGTGGGATTCAATATCTTCTGCAGAATCAGGCGTCGAAGGAAGGGTGCCCCGGGGAATCGTGGCATGAGACGGCGTTTACGGGAACAGGGTTCCCGAATTATTATTATATGCGGTATTCGTTTTATTCGCATTATTTTCCTATAATGGCTTTGGGGAGGTATGCGAGGTTGATGGAGTGTAAGGTATCGAAAGATGTTGATCTTGATAAAATATAGTTAATATACGATGATATTCTCATCTCGCCCGCAAATCCCCCGTCTTCATTCGACGGCCTGGAGATCTACAAAACAATTCTTTGGGTACTCATCCTGATCTGCCATAATTACTCCCCGTACGGTCACGAAAAAGGGCAGTCAATCGAGGACCCAATGAATTGTCGCAGGCAAAGTGAACATTTGACTCGCTAATCTGACCTGCTGGCGCAACCATAGAATGGTAGGTTTCACATACATGTCATGTGTGCCGCCTTACATCAGGTGCTGTCAAATAGTATCTAATAGAGATGACGCCGACACTAGTTATTAGACATCAATCTATAGAAAGATACTTGTGGCGGTTACTTGACTCATAATGGGTTCTCAGTGCATAACCTTAGACCATTACTTGCCTGTTCATAGATGTACATGTTGAACGTATTCCCGTAACATGATGTGTTGACTGTCGAGCCGCTCTTTCCGAGACGTCGATTATCAATCGATAAATACTCATTGAGAACCAACTGGACAAGAGCAAAAAGTTCGAGTCATGGTCTACCATATGTAAGTTGCCCAGAAGGCGACTACTTGAAAGTAAGTGAATCCAATAAGCTCTATAAGATTATCGGCTGCCCCCCACTTCTCTGCCCCACTAGATGTATGAAAGCGGGCTGCCTATCTGCCTCCACCAATGCAAGTCGGACATATGCATATCAAATGATCCGTTCTAATTTCTAGACGAATGGGAATCCGCGCCTCTAATGAAAATCGCGATGATCGTTTACGTGTCAGTCCCGGCTTGGGGGTTATGAACTACCCCTCCATCAAAACCCACCACCTAACTCGGAGGGGTTGATACCTAAACAGCAGAAAACTCGGATATGCAAATGGAAATGATACCTGACGAGCATGCCATTTAAGCCCTGTGGGGATCCGCTTCCAGATTGAACGACTATCTTGGCTCAGGTAAAAAGAGTAAATGCTGTCTTTCTTATGTGTGTGAGAATTAACTACAACCATTTTCGGAAGTATAATTGGTAACACATTAACCTTATGAAACCTTTTAGATGGTGTTTGCAACACGGCCCGTCGGCCCGAGCCTTGTTGTGTTGTGGTGGAGCTAAATATGCATGTCGAGTGGCGTCATCAGATTTTTCAGCAACTTCAGCCTTGTCGCTTAATTCTGTATCATGCATGGAGATCTTCCCTCTTCGGTAGATGTACAGTACGTACATCAACAATGCTGGTCAATGTGTTATTCTCGGAGTCCATATGATCATGCCTCGCTCGACTCGGAGAGCGGCAGCTCAAGGACACGCAGCAGAAACAGCAAACGATGTACTTGTCGTCATCGATGCCGAGGAACTCCGGGCATCAGGAATCCGTATCAGTCGCCGTCTTTCCTGGGAAAAGACAGTCGAAGACCTGACCACTCAATTCTTTCATGGAAAGCATCTACCGGATAATCTGAAACCACTGGCGAAAGCTATGCACGTGCTTGTTCGATTTGGTTATGAGGGCGCCATCTATCGCCACAAAAAAGCAGTCGACCCTTCAAGTGCCCCAGCAGCACAAATCAATGACAGTGTAGACGGCACGGTACAAAACGGTTCAGCCTCTTCAGGCAACACCTCGCCAACAGGCAGTCCACAATACACTCCAAGCAGCTCCCGAGAATCGTCACCTTTACCGGAAAAGGGCACGGAAAATGACGAATACTTATTCTTCTTCGAGCCTACTCAGATAGAAGGCGACTTTTCTCGATCATTGCCCAAGGAATCCAAAGAAGATTATGAATGGAAACTGAAAGACCTCTTCGTTGCCGGACTCACAGCGTCCCTGGCAAAAGAGTCTCCCAAGTCGATCAAGCACCTCAGCGGTTATCAAGTGCGTCTCGGTGTCATCAATGGTCTAACCTGGGCCCGGATATTTGGATCTTACTTGCGCGAAAAAAGGAAGAAGAGCAAAAAGAGTGCGGAAGAGAAGCAGATTGAAGAGCCAGCTGCCGTTCCCAAGATCGGATTTGTCGAAGGCCCAAAGTACAAAGTGGCAGAGGCTTCCCAGTGGTCCATCTTCACAGACCTTCTGGACAAGCACAAATTCGATGCAAAGAATAAGAAGCCTGCAGTAGACGAAGCCAGGGGAGAAGGGGATGGTACACCAAATCCAGAAGGAACAGAAAGGAAGCCCACACCGGATGGTTGGGAGATCGCCAAAAAGGCTGCCAACGACATCGCCCAAAACGGACTCAAAGGCTTGCTGTCCCAAGTGCCAACGGTTTCCTACGGCAAGCTTACGACGGCAGACAGACACGAGGCAGAAAGCTACAGGGCTATTGCCGGTCTAGTCGAGGGGTATCTGGGTGTTGAAAAGCAAAAGAAACCCATTTCAATCAGCGTCTTTGGTCCGCCGGGAGCCGCAAAGTCTTTTGGAGTCAAGGAGCTGGTCAAGCCAATTGGGGAAGCACTGGGCCGCAAAGTTACAGAACTTACATTCAACCTGTCTCAATTTATGGACTATGCGGATCTGCTGGCTGCCTTCCATAAAATCCGCGACACGGTTTTGAACGGCGAAATTCCCCTGGCCTTCTTCGATGAATTCGACACAGCCTTCGGCGAACAAAAGTTGGGCTGGCTTCGGTACTTTCTCGCGCCGATGCAGGACGGCGAGTTTCTTGAAAATGGCCAGGATCGTCCCATTGGCAAGGGGATCTTCGTGTTTGCCGGAGGCACTTGCGCAACCTATGAGGAATTTGTTGGCAACTTTTATGATGGAGATTCCACGAGAGCCAAAAAGCCCGACTTCGTGAGCCGGCTTCGCGGATACATCAACATTCTTGGACCCAATTCTCTGAATTACGATCCTGCTCAAAAGACGCACATCCCAGAGGACATCTCTGCACATGAAATTTCTATCTCGGGCACCTTGAATATCCCATGTGATAACAATGTGGATCCTTGGAGAACTCTGCAAATTCCCCCTCTCAACATCCCACAGTTCACCATCAGCAGGCTGGACAGCGGCAAACCAACGATCCAAAGTCTCAGCATTCCAGGCTTCACAATCGCCAAAAGAGGTGAAAATGCGTCCATAGAGACAAACATTACAGTTGCTGAACAGAATATGGGAAATTTGAGCATCAATATCGTGAAGCGAGAACATCGACGAGATACAATGTACCCCGTTCGACGAGCCATTCCTCTGCACAGCCTCCTCAGTCGACTACCCGGGAAGAAAGACCCAACTGTTCAAACAGAATTACTCAACGGTCTGTTGACAGTCCCGGGTTACAAATTCGGTACACGCTCCTTGGAATCGATTCTGGCCATGAGCACGTGGACCAAATCGAACAACATCACCATGTCCGATCTCCCATCTACTCTCCAGCTTGAGATGCACGTGGATGTTGAAGCTCTAGAAGGCCAAATGGATCCTAAATCTGTTATCGGACGCAATCCTTCGGAGGTCACTCCCCAGCCGATTGATGAAAGTTTGGATATGCTTTATCGTCTTACTGATCAGGTTCCGCGACTTGTGTTTGGTGATGTTGACAAGCTTTTGGCAGGTTTCTGGGGCTCTTGATTCCGCTTTAGTATTTTATTCCTATTTTGCATCCTTGAAATTTGTCGTTTTTTTTTCATTTTGATTGTTTTGTCTGTTGTATCTAAGCTCCATCCAGATTGTTTCTGAGGGAACCAATAGCTGAAAACACTGTTCGAAGACCAGATGATTATGGGCGTCTTTTCTATATTCAAGTGAGATGGGCTTAGTATCATTGATTTAGCCCCCGTGGAGAATATTAGATGATTGGAGACACTCCCATTGGTCGAAAATTTCGTATTAACACTTATAAGTGGGCGTTGGTAGTATCACAACTCGTGATTAGTTAGGCCACCCATAAACTATATTGATAGCCAAGTGTTCCAATCATATCAAAATTCTTCATTACCCCAAATGGCATGGTGCGTGGTCGTGGATAGTATTCCCCACATTTACTGTCCGACCACCCAAAGATAGGCCAATGGTGGTGCATCTTACAGGACATTTATCTTTAATAGGAAGAAACTAACATGGCAGTACACACTTAAATCTCACAAGCAGGGGTGTTATCCTTGTTGAGAACCGCAACACCAGCCGACAGTGAGCCTGACAGGCTGTGCTGCGTGGACGGATATATAATCCCCGAACCTCATCCGGACAATAAATTGTCTTGTAGAAATTGCATCGATTTGCTCATCGCTTCATCATGCCCCAGAAAGAGACATTTCACCTTCATCCCTCTGGCTGGGAAAATGATCCAGCAGAGGAACGGTTCAAATTAGGCACACTGGATTACATCACCTATTGCACCTACAGCAACTATGCCGTCTTTTTCCGTATGGAAGACGAGGAAAAGAACCACGCAATCCAGGTATTGAAAGGAGGACTGGAGCGAACACTCAGCCAGGCACGACATCTGTGTGGTTCCATCGAGAAGGATCCAGCGGGTGGTTATTGCTTTTCCAAGAAAAGGGACAGCACCGTTCAGTTCGTCGTACAACGACTGGATGCACCTGGCGAGGACCACCCATCCTTCTCTGAGATAGAAAGCGGCCATTTCCGAACTTCGACATTGGGCGATCTTAACCTCTGGTGTGTGTCTCCCATGACGTTCGGGGTGAAACCCGAAGCGCGACCTGAAAATAGCCCCGTTGTGGCAGCCTACCAGGCGAATTTTATTCGCGGGGGTCTGGTCTTCATCATGCATCACCACCACTACGCCAATGATATGATGGGCTGGACGGGACTCGCTCATCAGCTGGCTGAAAACTGCTACGCTATCACGCACCAGACGCCGTTCCCGTCCTGGGACCCTGCGTGTCTCGATGTGTCCCGTCTGGTCAAGGGAGAGGATATCCCCGAGGAATCAAAGGTGGATGGGCCCCCCGTGCCCGAGAGACACCCGGATCACACCAAGTCAGAGTATCTACTCTTCCACCTGCCCAAGAGCAAGGCAGCTGAGCTGAAAAAGCTCGCCTACCCAACAGACGGATCGTGGATCTCGACCTATGATGCTTTCTCCGCATTCCTCTGGCGCACTATCACACGCCTGCGAGCCCCAGTCTTCAACCCTGACCTCTCCCAACCTCTCTACTGGTGCCAGGCAGTCGACATGCGACGACGACTACACAATCCGCCCATGCCCCCACGCATGCAGCACAATCTCGTGGTATGCGCATTTTCCTGGTCCGCGCCCGTCACTCCACCCACCGCCGCCGAAGTGATATCGGAATGGCCATTGCCCAGACTAGCCAGCTACATCCGGCAGCTAACGAACAGTGTAACCGAAGAGGAACTAGATAAAACGATTGCAATGGTAGCACCGGTCCGGGACAAGAGTTCCCTGTGTCTGCGCATGGACGCGTACCCGCCTTTGTCGATGTTGCAGACGGACCATCGAGATGCGAATATCACAGAGGCAGATTTTGGGTTTGGTGTTCCGGTCGCGTATCGTCATCCGATTGCGTGTGTGTCCGAGAATAGCCTTCTTGTTTATCCGCCCAGGAAGGCTGAGGGTGAGGATGAGGGGCCGGAGATTTTGTTTGCCTATGAGAAGCATCTTAAGGATGCGTTGATCGAGGATCCGGAGTGGACGGAGTTTTTTGAATTTAGGGGGGTTGATGCGGCTTGATTAGTTATCAACATGCAAATTAGCAATACAATCTCTAGATGTTACTGCTAGTATTCTAAAGGAGAGACGTTGGATAAGAAGATGGCAAGATCTCGTCGGCTTCTTGGTCTTGCAGGTGGAGCAGCACCCATATTACCGGCGGGAACTTGTATCATATATAAAGCTACGGCCCAATCTTCATGGTATCAGAAACTAACCACAGGACAGAACTCAACTCAACTCACTAAAACCATCCCCTCACCCTTTCACAATGCTCAACACCTCCACAGTACTAAGTACATATATATACTTAACATTTATAATAATAATAAATAGCAGTGCCTCAGTATTTTTATAGTGTTTATTATAATCAACTAGTTACTAGTTTATTTCTTTATATTCATAGTTTGGGTTAAGAGACGGTTATTTAGAATATATTATATATTTAGTCTATATAGCACTATAATTAGTAGTGCTAGAAGGTTTCTACACACTTAAGAAAGCAGTATAAATATTAAGGTGTCTATTAGATAATCTTGACATCATCTCCTAGTCTAAGGACAGTAGCTCACGAGCTATAAGGGAAGATAATCTGAAATGTGAAATAAGTACAGTATATATACTTTAGCCTAAGGCATCTTTTTACCTTTCTATATACCATATAATATTAAATAATAAAACATACATGATGTCTATCCCATAGGTATAAGTTTGATTTCAGGGTTATATGTGCTCTAAGCTAGGATGGCCTTCACTAGTATAAATACTACTCTCCGCGGTGAGGCTTCAATATAGCAGATAACCACTTTCTCACCACTATTCGGTGTGGCAGAGAGGTCTATCTTCAACAGAGGATCAGCTGAAGCAGACCCACAATTTAAACTCCACTGCCCGATCGCCAATGAGCCAAGATATCAGTCTGATTGGCTCGGAGGAACATTCTCAATCAACAGAAAAAGAAAACAAAGAAAAAGAAAAATTCAATAGTTAGGAGAATACGAGATGCAGGAGGCTGGATCTGGCAGGATCGTCATGTTGACTGGCAATAGCACTTGGCTAAATAAATCTTAGCGACAGTCTAATTAGATTGAGGGAAATCGGGAAATAGGAATAGGAGAAATGTGATATATTCACTTATTGAAAGTAAGAATTAATATTATATTAAAATAGTAGCTAAAATCTATATTCTATACTCTAGCAATAACAATAATAAAGCAAGAAATCAAGAAATCAAGAAATCAAGAAATCAAGAAATCAAGAAATCAAGAAATCAAGAAATCAAGAAATCAAGAAATCAAGAAATCAAGTCAAAACCTGCTTCTCATTAAAATAACTCTCCGCCACACTCTCCCCCAACCCCGTCTCCTCCACAAACTCATCCAACGGAAAATTCAACCGATTCGGCACCAGCCCAGGCATATACTTCTTAAACTTGCGCGGGATCTTGAAGCCCTCCGGCTGCACAAACAGCAACTCCACGTACTTGTGCACCTTGGGCGGCAGCAAGGGCGTCGGGGCGATGTATTTCGCATCCGGCTTCGACTGCGAACTGAGGCTGTAGTAGGATGTGTCGGCGACGGTGATTTCTTGCGGGGAGAGGTGGAGGTCGGATTGGATGAGGTGGAGGATGTCGGATTTGCCTTGGTCGACCATGATGAGGACGAAGGGGCCGGTGGAGGGGGGGAGCTGGGTGAGGCCGAAGGTGGGGGTGTTGTGGGATTCTGTGATAGATTAGCTTTGTATAAATATAATTGGGAGAGGGGCTTACCAGGAATATTCACGAGCTGGCCAGGCTCGTCGAGGACTTTGCCGTTATAGTTGACAACGACGGTGGCGTTGGTTGCGAGGCATGTTTGCACAGCCAAGCAGAGGGCAGAAAGGATGTAGTTTTTCCAGATCATGGTGACTGATGGAAAATAGTTGGTGAATGAGAGATGAAATGGGATCAGAGACCTTTTGTACCAGCCAGAACCAAGTGCTAGTGTAGCTTGTTCTGTCGATCTTTAGTGGAGTAGCTTGAAGCCGAAAGGTCTATCTCCATCAGTCTATTGTTTTTCAATCGCGCTATTGTTGATCTCGATATACTTTGTAGAATGACTTATGCCAAGAGCTGAGATTATATTCCATCTACTCCATCTTAATGTGATATGAGAAATACTATGCAACCAGAGCTTGGCATGAGTCAAATCACAATACAAAGCGATTGATATACACGACATTTTGAAAGGCGGAAAGACTGGAGCTTGGATCAGCCCCGATGATATACAAAGTTATGCAATGCCAAGCAGCATTCTTCAGCTCAGCTGAAACCAGTTCATCATTCACGTCACTCCAGTCCCAAAAAGGGAAGCTTGAGTACCTGCCTAATCAGAACTAAACTATTGTTCATGCTATGTATACTCAATGCATGATCACCATGCCACGATAACTCCACTTCACAGCCACCATAAGTCAACCGCATGACCGTGCTGATGTTGCGCTGGAAGTAGGCACATGCTCTAGATTCCTGCATAGCAGCACTGGTGATCTGCTGCAACCTGCTGGCGAATTGAAAGTAAAGCGCATGCCGCGCAGCCACCGGATCGAACGGATGGGGTATTTGTAGACAGACCATGTTGGGCAGCTGGTAGTACTACCTAACGTGCATGGCTCCACAGTATGAGATGGACTGGATGGATTTGTATTTCGGAACTGCGGATGGGTTGTTTTTCGGACATGTCCATAAGTCCGAATGTCTCATATATGTAGTGGTGGTCACATTTCTGCATAACAGGTTTCCAGACGGGGATTATAATCCATTCATGGTGGCGAGAAGTAAGTTCCATTGGTTTATTGAGGGATGAGGATATAACGAGTAAGAATACGCCGAATATCCCGAATCTCCGAATCTGCCGATTTTGCCGATTACCCATAATCATTCCAGTAATAACGCATTTTCAGTGCTAGATAATGATATTTAATAAAAAAATCAAGGCATATAAGACTGGGTCGAGCTGAGAAAATAGTACTAGTACCTATGGCCAAATCGAGAGCATCAAAAAAGCAAGAAACTCGCCAATGAGATGCCGCCCTAGACTGAGCTGTACAACACCACCATTCCTATCTCAGTGGGAAGTGCTTAGCTTGTTTGCCTTGTTTGGCCGTGGATGAACAGTGCCAAGTATCAACTGTCAAGGATGATAAGAGCGTCACACAAAGCGTTGCATATGCAATGTGCCGAGATGACACGACGTCAAGTCAGCATTATTAATTAGGATATTATTCTGATGATATATTTATCCGAGGGATTTTCATTTCAGATGTAAATGCTGTACCATCTATCTCTTCGTCTAGAATAGTTGCCTTCACTCCTGAATACGTAAATCATGGCTAAGCATCCATCTTGGCAGAAGCGTTGAGCACAGCAGAATAGGGATATATCTAAATCGAGACAATCCAAAAAGAAAAGAGTGGGAAATGATAAAGAAGCAAATAAAGATAGTCCGCACCGGAGGACGGCGTGTTGAGCACCGATATGCCGGATGCTCTCGATCCAGACAGACTATTAGATATCCTTGTCAGTGCATGGACAAAAACTCTTATTTATGGATACAGAAGCTTTGATTCAGTCGGCTTGTTTGTCTTTCGTCCAATAAGAGAAGAGAAGCCAAGTGGATAGGCTTGATCTGATTGGTCCGGGTTCCATTCCCCTGTCATTGCGAACCTTGACTAGCCATAGCGTACTCTGTGACTCCACTTGATCCACGCTACATAGATAAATCCACTTTTCAGTATGAGCCTGATATTATCAGGAGAACCAAGGGAATGCTAAGTAATGCTAAGTAATGCCAAGTCCGCATCACCATCTGCCAAGCCCTCGTTTCCTCCCTGAAAATGAGCTGGACAGACTGTTTCCTCGATCCGTCCGAGTAAGCGATCTGCTGATAGTCAGTGGTGGCTGTGCGGGTGGATACGCTGCATGATAATGGCATTATCTATATTTTATTCTTGGCGATGGCGTTGTCTTGTTGACGCAGACTGTGATCAGACCAGGGCCTGCGTTGGTCTTTCACTAGGTGATTTCCTTACTTATATAACCTTTCTCCAGTTCTTTGTTCTTAGACCATTCCTGCATTATCTTTCCTTATCTTTGCCAATCCCATTGTTCTTCTTATCGCTATCACCATGTCTACGTCAGAAACCAGGCAGCTGTGCGAGTGGATCTCCAGCTTGTCGCTGGATCACATCCCCCAAGACAGAGTCACCAGAGCAAAATACCTCATTCTCGACGGTCTGGCCTGTCTCTTGATCGGTGCTCATCTGCCCTGGTCCGAAGATGCCGTCAAGGGTATTTTCAGCTTCGAGTCTTCTGGACCCTGCAGTGTTTTTGGCTGGGAGAGGGTATGTCACCACTCACTCACTCTGTATGTCAAAGCTAATGAAATAGAAAATCTCCCCCCTCTCTGCAGCCCTCCTCAACAGCACATTCCTCCAAGGCTTCGAGCTAGACGACTACCACCGCGAAGCCCCCATCCACTCCAACTCCATCGTTCTCCCTGCCCTCTTCGCCGCCCTCGAACACTGCGCCGCCGCAGACAACACAGCCATCAACGGCCCCTCCTTCCTCCTCTCCACCATCGTCGGCTACGAGACAGGCCCCCGCGTCGGACAGGGCGTGTACGGCGGCGAAGTCCTCGGACGGGGATGGCACTCGGGCGCAATCTTCGGCCCCGCCGCGGCCGCCGCCGCATCGAGTAAACTGTTCGGTCTATCAGCCGATCAAATGGAAGATGCGCTAGGCATCGCATGCACACAAGCCGGCGGACTAATGTCGGCTCAATACGAAAGCTCCGTGAAGCGCATGCAGCACGGCTTCGCGACGCGGAACGGGCTCTTCGCTGCCCTGATGGCGCGCAGCGAGTACTCCGGCATCAAGCAGGTCTTGGAACGGCCGTACGGCGGGTTTCTGAGCGTGTTTAGCCAGGGGAATGGGAAGGAGCCTGCGTTCTTGGCGGAGAAGGTGGTGGAGAAACTCGGTGAGATGTGGGAGATGGATCGGATTGTGGTGAAGCCGTATGCGACTATGGCTGCTACGCATGGAACGATTGATTGTGTGATTAAGCTGCAGGAGAATTATCCTGAGGTTACGGCCAAGGTGGACAGGATCAAGAAGGTGACGGTTGAAATGTCGACTCCGGCGTGGAAGAAGGGCGGGTGGGTTGTTAAGCGGCCGTTGACGCCGACGGGGGCGCAGATGAGTTGTGTATATGCTGCTGCTATGCAGTTGCTGGAAGGACAGGTCCAGCCTGCTCAGTTTGGTGCATCGCAGATGGAGAGAGAAGATGTGTGGACGCTTATGGAGAAGATTGAATGCGTTCCTAACCCAGACTGGGATAAGGATATGATCACAGGATGGTATCAGCGCATTTATCTCGAGGTGGAAGGCGATGATGGAGAGACCAAGACATACACAGACCTGGTGGAGGCACCACGAGGGAATGGAGTGCCTCTAACCAACGAGGAGATTCTGACTAAATGGCGACGGGTGACAGAGGGAGTCATCGACCCGAAGAGAAGAGCGACGATTGAAAAGTTGGTGTTGAGTTTGGAGGATATGGAGAATATGGAGGAGCTGGCGGCGATTTTATACCCTCAGACATCCAATGTTCTGGCTTAGATACTTTTTTGTTTTAGTTATTCCTGTTATGATTTAAAATAGCGTTATATCATTTCTTCTGTTGTTACATCTGGTCCATAGTCCAATGCTCGCTTTCACTTTCATCCTCTTCAATCTCATCGTCAACACCAACGTGCCGTTCCAACCCATACCTCCCCTCCACCAGCCATCCCGAAGATACAAAGCTATTCCTCGAAGGAGGGATGTTTATGGGGAGGATATGGTATGCATTTCCATTACTAGGTACCATGGTATCTGATGGATATCTTGAATCGATTACTATAAATCATTACTCATCTATCTGCTATTAATCGATGCTGCTTCTGGCTATTCAACACCCGAATCCACTATTCAATCTCTATGTATCACGCACATGTTTCTTGCCTCAGAATCCACCCCCAGCCACAGTAGATCCAGCCGACTATAATGTCCACAAGGATCGACAAAGCATCGAGCCTCAAGTTTCTTTGCCGCATCAATAAATCCACTTTATTAAAGTTGCCACTAGTTACCCCTCAATCTGCATGGGACTGGTATTATCCCACTGCAGATGGAAGCATCTTCTCTAGGTATTTGGATAAGTCTTGCCTATCCTATGCTATTCTTAAATGTGTTGGAAAACTCAATCTCATGGCAAACCCCCTGGAACCCAGTGATAGGCAATACGTCAGAGAAACCTGAATCAAAGTATCTGCGGAATGTGAAACCATGAACTTTTATATGATTGCGGGGTAAGCTTATCTGTTGGTGGTTTGCATGCCGTGATTCAAGCAGTCTGCACATGTGTATGGGATGTAGGAAGCATTTGGTAGTGGTTTGTCTTGTCTAAAGCTATTCCTATCTCTTACCGTGGAAATGGCAAAAATAGTCTGCTTGTCGGCAAGAGTATCTCTATACAAACTTGATCATGATTAAAAACGGGTCAATCAATAGCATTGAACATCGATTCCATGCAATTTTACCACCACACTGTTATTTCTATGTTGATAGAATTTGGACCGAGTCTGTCGAGCTCTTTATACTGCATCTACCACGCGAGTCATAGATTTCTCCTGTCCGTTCCATCACTTCTTTACACTCTTTCAAGCAAAATCAGAAGTCCTGTCCAGTAACTTGGAGAAGAGTCGTAATATAAATGCAAATATGTCAAATGCATCTCCACTTTTCCAGATTAGGGTTTGATGTTTGTCAGCGTTCATGCTTGGTAATCATCTTCTGAATATCTCCGACTCTCGATGTCTCGATTATCATATATCGTTCCTTGTTGGTTACAAATCGTAGTACAAAGTCGCCGAGATGGAACATCAACTATCCGTAGTCTCGGCTTGATATAGCTACACTGATCTATGTGCTTCGAATCGGAATGTCGTTGTAATTATTCTGGGAAATATATTGATTCAGTTGTCTATGCTTTATAGCCATGGATTTGGTCATCTTATTTTGTGCTTTTTGAGCTATCTGAATAACTATCTCATGTTTGTCGGAGACTTTTGCGGATACATTGAGGGATTCAACAAACACAGTTCAAAGCCTTATGATATTCTGGTCTAGTAGAACCTAATTGGAATTAAACAATATATCTAATATTGATGAGTAAATCGAATGAAAAATCTTTCCATTGGACAAGCTGCTTGTATTCCGGTTCGGGTTTAGCCCGAGTATGATCACGTGGGGACATGTGATGGACGCAACTGAGATGGACTCGACTGTCTGCTTGGAATGATTCAAAGGCAAATTTGGATGAACAGAAAGCAGAGACATCATGGAGATTCCAGGAATAGGTATGGCAGCAACTGTCACGTTATTACGCAATTTGTGAGGGCAGACAGACTGACAAGTTCTGGTAGGACGGCCGCTGAAACGGACTCGCATCACGAGAGCTTGCGAACAGTGTCGGGCTCGCAAGGTCAAGTGCAATGGCGATGAGCCGTGTATCACCTGTTGGCAGCACAATCAGGCTTGTACTTATCGTTCTTCTGGCACTGCGTCACAGGCGAGGTCTCTGCCTCAATCAGTACCGTCGACAGGCCCAGATCGCCATGCTGAATCTGGCTTGGAAGCTGGCCAAAAGTCATCCCCGGCACGGTACAACCCTGATGAGTATCGTCAGCAGCTGGAACTGCGAGCGGGAATTGGAGTGTCTAATAGTCAGACGGGTTCATTCCAATTCTACGGTATCGTCTTGTCGTTCCTGGTCTGTAACTGGAGCTAATAATGACAGGGCCATCTTCCAACTTTTGTTTCATCCAGCGCATCTACCAAAGGATGAAACGACAGACTAACATGACCCTGCTCGGTCAGCAAAAGACTGCCGTCCCCGACGGCCTAGGGCAATGGGGTCTGGAACGATTCATGTTCGCCGCGGGCTCAGACACGCTCCACATGAGAAGTGGCTCGACGGAGGCATTTCTGTCCAAGGAGAACGGTCACCGATTCATAAACGCTTACTTCTCCATTATCCATCCGCATATGCCGATCCTCAGTAAGCGGGTGATCGCCCCTCTGTGGGACCAATTCTGGGATGCTCCAACCCCCGGACGTGACGTTAAGTCTAAGGATGTTGTCTACATGGTTCTTGCGCTTGGGGCGAGGGCTATGCCGCGTGAGGAGGGCTACAGTATTGAGTTTCTTGATAAGTGGGCAGATCATTTTTGGGCGCATTCGAACAATTTTAGTATTCTGTTTCAGGAACCAAGTGTGAAGGGGACTCATTTGTTGTTGCTAAAGGTAGGCAGGCTGTCTGTCCGTTTCAAGAACTACGACTAACAGCGACCAGGCAATGTTTGCTGTGCACGGCATGAGGCCCAACGACGCTTACCTTTACTTGGGCCACGCAGCTCGCAGTGTTCTAGCCCTAGGGATCAATCGCAGCCAAGTGGCTAATGGCAGTGGAGAGGCCATGCATCGCCTACGCGTCACCTTTTGGGTGGTGTATTACTACGAGCGAATATGTGCCTTCTTCACCGGCCGACCCTCGGGCTTCCTTGATACTCATATTGACGTCTCTTACCCCGAGGACCTGCCTGAAAAGTCAGGGGACGGGCCTACAATGCAGTGTGGATTTGTACGCGCCATGTCGCAGATTGGACAGCTCATTGAAAAGGTCTCAAGCGGCATATTTTCGCTGGCGAATCTGCGGGCTCTGTATGACAATCGCAAGGTAGATATGACCATTGTCGAATGCAGTGCATCTTTACAAGCTATCCTGAATAGCCTCCCCCCTTACCTGCAATTCTTCGAAGCCAGCCGACCAAAGGGACTTGCCTGGCAGGAAATCCAATGCGCCCACGTTGGTCTGGCATTTCATCTGATCAAAATGATGATGCATCGTCCGGCACTTGTCTATGCAGGATTCCACAGTAGCGAAGCTAGCAGCATCAGCAATTCAAATAATAGACTAGCGAACCTGCAAAGCTCCATCGACCTCTGCATTCAATCCGCGGAAGAGATCATCCGGATCGCCCGCGATGTGATCTTCCACCGAGCGGTCTGTATCCGAAGCGATGCCTCGATCGCAAACTACATCGTTTCGGCCTGTGTGACATTGCTGTACAATGTGCTCAACTCATCCGTCACGACCGAGTACGCACGAGCAATTTTCAGCTCGGTCGAGAGTGGAATTCACTGTCTGGATCAGATGGAGCATTTCGGTCCTATAACCGGAAAGGCACTAAGTATGGATATCATGAAGAGTGCCAAAGATGCACTGATGCTATCCACTAGTGAATCGAACCTCGAACAAGATTTACTAGATGACTTTCCCTGGCTGAAGTATGTAACCAGAAAGATTGAAACAGTAGACAGCTCACTCTAATGCCTTCTAGTGATGTATTTAACCCTCCCAAAGACGACCAGAATCCAGAACATATCGACCAGCCCGTTGAATTCGTCCCTGAAATGCGGACAGAGTCATTACCGATCTCAACAGCAGCCGAGCGAAACGCGGATGACTTCATCTCGGCGAGTATTTCAGGTGTGGACTACATGTCCTATTGGCTGAATGGGAACTTTACGGCGATGGATTTCCCCGAGTCGCTATATTGAGACAAGATATGATTGGTAGGATTGACTTTTTCCACTGATGCCGCAGATCTGCTTTTGCGTTTCCGAGCCATCTCGGAGAGGTGTGGCCAATTTGTCAGGGTTTGCGGCCAGCGGGCCAATCGGAAGGCAGAACGACTCCGAGGAAAGATGGATATCTCGGAAAGGGCTGGATTTCTTCTCCAACATGCATTATAGCAAGTTCGAGACCGAATGGAGAAGAAAAGAAAGAAAATAATAATCATGAATGATGTGATTCAAGGCTTGTCTGGTGGCGGCCAGCTTTGCAATATAAAGGATGCCCAAAGAAGCTATGAAACGGCATCTTTTATAGTTCATCTGGTTATTCTCTATCACCATCTGTTTACTGTCTCTTGTCGGGACTGATCATTGCCAGGCCTGCTGGTGTTGCAGCTATGTCTGATTCCAAGGAAGAGGCGGGTGCCTCTCCAGTGGTAACTATTCATCATAGCCAACTTCAGTTGTACAAGACTAACGAATCGGTCGTCCATGCAGAAGTCACCCATTTACCGTTCTCAAGGACGCTCTCTAGGAGTCGTCTATGAAGATGTCAGCGTGTTAGGCACAGCCGCCGGTGCCAACGGAATCTCCACCCTACCCGCCATTATCTGGGACATTGCCAAGTGGCCTGTGAACGCCATTGCTCAGTTTACGGGCAAACAAAACATCCCAACGACCCCTATACTGCGCAATGTTTCTGGTGTTGTTTTTCCTGGTGAGACCATGTTGGTTCTTGGTCGCCCTGGAGCTGGATGTTCAACCTTGCTGCGTGTCTTGGCCAACAACCACGAGTCCTTCCAAGATGTGCAGGGACGTCTCATGTACGCTGGTCTATCAAATGAAGAAATGTCACGCTCGTACCGCTCTGAGACGGTCTATGCCAGCGAAGACGACTTTCATTTTCCGACACTCACCGTAAAGAACGCAATGGGCTTTGCCTTTTGTCTACGCAAGCCAGCCAATCATACACAGTCGGATTCATCATTCGCAGCTGACATGACCGACGCTTCACTCAGCTCTGTTGGTCTTTCGCATACCGCCAACACGATTGTCGGTGATTCCTTTGTGCGAGGTGTGTCTGGAGGAGAGCGCAAGAGGGTAACCCTCATCGAAGCCCTATCTGTGAATCCTGCCGTGGCTTCGTGGGACAATCCTACGCGCGGGCTCGATAGCTCTTCAGCGATAGACTTTGTGAATCTGATTCAGAATTTATCCCGCGAGACGGGCATGGCAAACACCGTCACCATGTACCAGGTATCCGAGACGATCTATGAGTGTTTCGATCGTGTTACTGTGCTCTATGATGGACGCATGATCTTCTGTGGAAGAGCGGCCAATGCCAAAGCATACTTCAACCGTCTTGGGCTCGAGTGCCGTGATCGCCAGACGACGGCTGACTTCCTCACTTCCATCACCTCGCCTGCTGAACGGCTGATCCGCAAAGATGCTGTCGGGTCTGTTCCTCTTGATCCGGATAGTATGGCGGCCGCCTTTCGAGAAAGCGACCAATATCAGACTCTGCAGCGGGAGATTCAAGAATACCATCAACGGGTTGGTACAGATACTCAGCTGATGACCAGTTTCCGAGAAAGTGTGCAGCAGATTCGATCTCGCTGGGCGCCCAAGCAGGCTATTGCCCCAAACACTGTTTTGAAGCAGATCTGGATTGCACTTTGCCGACACTATCAATTGATCTGGGGTGACCGTCGCACTTTTTATACTTTAATTATATTCAACATCCTCAACGCAGTTATCAACGCTACCTCATACTACATGGCTCCCAAGGACGTGACGGGCTCGTATGAAAAAAGTTGTGCTCTGTTCTTCTCTTTGATCTATTTTTATCTAAACGCGCTCACTGAAGCCACCTCCACCGTCAAGTCTCGAACTATTCTGCTAAAGCAAGTGCAGTACGGTTTCATCCACCCTTCAGCATTTGTGATAGCACAAACCATTGCCGACATCCCCATATCCTTCTTTCAGTGCTTGGTATTTGCCTGCTGCTACTATTTCGAAATCGGTCTACAGCAAACTGCGTCTGCATTCTGGATTTTCGTGCTCATCGTCTTTGTCCATTATTCTGCTGTTCAGAGTCTATTCCGTATGCTCGGCGCTTGGGCACCCAACGTCCCCTTGACCCTCATGATGGCGGGAAGCGCAATCCCCGTTGGCCTTTTGTACTCTGGTTTCGGTCCAACCAGACCATATCAACATCGCTGGGGTTCATGGTTGCGCCGCACCTCGCCTTCGCCCTGGGCATTAGAAGCACTGCTTGGAAACGAGTTCAGTGGCATCACATTAACCTGTTCCGCAACAGACATGGTCCCAGAAGGGCCAGGATATGACCAGCTGGCTTACCAAACGTGCAGCATAACCGGTAGTGAAAAGGGCCAGCAGTCCGTCCCTGGAAGTGTCTATCTGGCAGATCATTTCGGCTACACTCGCGCCCATCTCTGGCGGAATTTCGGCATCATCCTTGTTCTTTGGTTTTTGTACATGGTCCTCGCATGTATCGGGCTGACATTCATGACTCGTGAAACGAGCGGTTCTCACTCTCGCGTTTTCAAGAACTCGAAAAGCCGCTCTGCTGGTGCAGACGATGTGGAAAAGCGAGCCAACCCGTTCTCCGGCTCCCCGTCGTCGTCGATTACTGAATCTCGAGAAAAGGTCACGCCCGAAACACACGGTACCATGGCTAACTCGAGCGTGTTTACATTCCGCGATATCAGCTATTTCGTACCAGTGAACGGAAAGGAAAAGCAACTTCTGCGCAACGTCAATGGATACGCCCGTCCAGGCCAGCTGACGGCTCTCATGGGTGCTTCTGGAGCGGGAAAGACGACGCTACTCGATACACTTTCACAGCGTAAAAGCACTGGGCGTGTTGAGGGTGTTCTTCAGCTGAATGGTGGTCCTTTGGGTGCGTCTTTCGCGCGGTCTTGTGGGTTTGTCATGCAGCAGGATGTGCATGAACCTAATGCTACTGTTCGTGAAGCGCTGGAATTCTCTGCCCGACTCCGTCAGCCGGCTCATGTTTCTGATGAGGAGAAATTGGAGTATGTTGAGCATATTATTCATCTGTTGGATTTGGAGGACATTGCCGACGCGCTGGTTGGAGAAGCTGGAAGCGGCCAGCTTAACGTTGAAGAACGAAAGCGAGTTACCATCGGCGTTGAGCTCGCAGCCAGGCCTAGCTCTTTGCTCTTCCTTGACGAACCTACCTCCGGTCTGGATAGTCAAGCTGCCTTCTCCCTGGTCGAGTTCCTGCGCAAGATTGCGGCGGAGGGTATCCCGATTGTGTGTACTATTCACCAGCCATCTGGGGTTTTGTTCGACATGTTCGATCATGTTCTGCTGCTGGCGCCTGGGGGTCAGACTGTCTACTTTGGTGAGACTGGTGACAACTCGTCCAAGGTTGTGGACTACTTTGGTCGCTACGGGGCGGTAATCGGGGGCAATGTCAACCCTGCCGAGTTCATCCTGTCTACTGTTACGAAAAAGGAAGAGGGCTCTTTGGACTGGCCTACAATATGGAATGAGTCTGGCGAGCGCAAGTCGTTGGATTCTACCATTGCAGAGTTGGATGCAAAGGCCGGTCTGTCTGGTGGAGCGTCAACGGATACAGTCAGGGGATTGCAATCTGCCACCTCTCACGGTCAATACACACTTCCTCTCTGGGCACAGACGGTGGCCGTGACCAAGCGGCACTGGATATCTGTTTGGCGCGATGGCATGTACAACTTTGGTAAACTAGCCAAGTCCATCTTCGTCCAGATGTTCGTTTCATTCAGTTTCTTCAAAGCCGGTACCTCAGTCCAAGGTTTGCAGAGCAATATGATCGCCATTCTCCTTCTTGCCTGGATCATCCCCGCAACCTGCGCTGATCTTCAGGATATGTGGTTCCGGAAATGGGACATCTTCACCGCACGAGAGAAGAATGGCATCTACGACTGGAAAGCACTCGTCACAGCCTTGGTCCTCGTCGAACTCCCCTGGCAACTAGGCACCTACACACTCATCTTCTTCATCAGCTACTGGACAGTCGGCTTTCCCAACGAAACAACCATCTCCGGCTTCGTCTACTTCATGTGGCTTCTCCTCGCCATCTTCGGCACCAGCTACTCGCAACTACTAGCAGCCATGTTCCCCAATGCCACGATGGGCGGATACGCAAACTCCCTATTCTGGGTTATTCTCATGGTTTTCTCAGGCGTGCTCACACCGCACGCATACCTGAATGACTTTTACCGCCCCTGGCTCTTCTGGGTCGATCCCATGCGATATTGGTTCGGGGCTACTGTGGGTAGCGTTCTACACGGCGTCCCTGTCTCATGCAAGGAGACAGATCTGACATTTTTCGATCCTCCGTCTGGCCAGACTTGTGGGGAGTACGCTCGGTCTTTCCTCGATGCGAGTGTGGGGTATCTCACCAATGGTGATGCGACGGCTGACTGTGCCTACTGCCAGTACTCTGTTGGTGATGATTATCTCGATACGTTGGATTATGCGTATAGTGAGAGGTGGTGGAATTGGGCTGTGTTCTTGGGCTTCTGTTTGACGAATATTGTGCTCTTGTATGGCATTATGTGGTGGACTACGGGGAGGACTCAGCGGCGGTTGGGTTGATTGCATTTACGCGTTGCTGGCATATTTGCGTTTCTTGTTTGCATTATAGACTGGTCTTTTTCGTTTGGGTTCTATCATAGACATAAAAGGTGCATATATTCTGAAATAATATCATTGATCTATTACTTATAAAGGTTTCTTCCTAGTGAGGCCCCTGGGTCAAGGGGGTAACCTAGGATTCCAGGCACTTCCATAAAAAGCCAACGATCAGTGAATGAATTCTTGGGTGTGAGTTTTTGTCCTCTTTGTTTACGCGCCTTGTCAACCCACAAACCCAATGATTCCCCTTTCAACACAATCATCTACGCTACACTGCTCTCCTTCACCAGTATGGCACCATACCTCGACCAGCTCGACCCCGATGGGGATGTCATCCTCGTCGTAGAGGAAAGCAAGTTCCTCGTCTCCTCAAAGGTACTTGGACTTGCCTCTCCTGTCTTTGCGGCGCTCTTCTCACGCAAATTTTCCGAAGGCACGCAACTTGTCGAAAACAGTCGCCCCGAAATCACGCTCAAAGATGACAACCCTGATGCTATGCGGATAATTCTCCGCGTCCTTCACTTCAAAGATCCTAAAGCTAGCTATTGCAAGGATGCCAAAGAGCTTGCCGTTCTCGCTATCCACTGCGACAAGTACTACTGCACCAAGGCTCTCATGCCATGGATAAAACTTTCGATTGCTCGTTTCAATTGCATCAACGCCAAAGACTACATTTTTCTCCTTCTAGCAGCGCACTTCTGCCGTGCTTCTGAATCGTTCAGATGGTTGTCATTGAAGGCTCAAAGGAGTCTTCCTCCTGACTTTTCCTTTGAGCAGGGGAGGCATGAGATCCTATGTTTGCTACCTAACGGAATGATCGGTATGTACTTTACTTTTTTACCCTCTCTATTCGATGCAAAGCCAGAGCGCTAACAATTTTAGATGACTTGAGAGGAATTATCAAGGGAATGTTGAAGAGTCTGAATACTGCGATCCAGTCAGTCGAATGTAGTCTATCCTACTCTCCGAAAAGCTACGCCATGTCAGACTTTACTTGTTGCGCAAAGATCTACAAATCGAAAGATAAGAAATGCAAAATCTGTGGTAATACAGATCTAAGCTACAGGCGGTGTACCAAAGAGACCAGAATCGCCAAGTATTTCGCAATCTTGAGGAAGAACCGCCTCTGGCCTTCTGTAATCATACCCGAATCATCCTCGTGCCCGGACCTGGTCAGTCGCATATCCGACGTTGGCAAGGATGTATTATCCCACACCTGTGCAGCAGGTCTGTCATGTCCGCTAAAACGGGAACTCGGAAGTTTGGTGATTGAGGCTCAACGGATTCTTGATCAGGGGAAGGGATTCAATCTCTATCCTCTTCATGGAGACTTGGGTGACTCGATTGTTGCCGAGGAATATTAATTCTCAATACTACTTTCTATACTATAGCAACTGTTCACCATCAGTGACACATAGCCCAGCCAATCAAAAACCACTTCTGGCATCTTGCATTGTATAACTATAGTCGGCGTGCTGTCCCAATTCGGAAAACATAATGTGGGTCAAAGTCAACCCCAGGTGACCCACACTACTTCCTAACCTGGTCTAGTGTTTGAAGTCGTAGAAGGAAACAATGCCCATTTCGAATTAGCTTCGATGTCGGCTGGCGAATGTGGCTAACATATTCTATACGCAGACCTAAGCCAGCCGAGGTTTTTCCCCACGCCAGATGAGCTCTATAAGTTTCTATTGGGCGATATCAGCGCCACAATCCACATTCTTAAATAGGAATTATAGAAGAGGACTGCAGAATTATATACAGCGATGGATAATCGAAGGCCCAACTTCCTCGTATTCCTCCTTGGAAACCCAATTCTGAAAACCAGCCTGAGAAGCAAGCATCGAACCACCAATCCAAGCGAGATACTTGCGGTGTGGGGGTGCAATAACGCTGGTATTGTGTTTGTTGGAGTCGAAATCTGCGATTTCTTTTTGGAGGCGTTCAGGCAGGTCTCGGAAGAGGGTGTTTCCTCCGGACTGTATGATTAGCATGTTTTCCTGGTTTACGTGGAAAGGTCTACATACCAAGACAATATTCTCGAATAGATCATTCTGGATACCTTCATCACTCTTCATAATACTCCTGTATACACTCGCTTGAAGAGGCCGACTATCAAGCCCCAACATGCAAGGCTGAAACAGACACTCAGTGGTAGCCAATCTCTCCACACCAACCAAAATAACCTGTCCATCAGGCAGCTCATACGCTTTGGCAGAATGAGAAGACTGGAGTGTGAACAGCATCTCCTCTTCATAGTCAAGTGCCACATAGCCGAATTTCTCTTTCATATCGCGCACGATATCACTGCCTGTGTTTGTTAGTATTTCATATCCAGCGTCGGTGAGTTGCTTCCGAAGATAATCTGTCAAATCGTCACCGGCGATATCGAATCGATCGCAGGCGTCTTGGATTATCGAGCCATTGTGGATGGGAACGATGTCTGTTACTTCGCTGCCTGAGTCGATGACGAGGCCTGTATTTCGGCCGGATGCATGGAGGGACAACACAGCTGATGGGATAGTACAGAAGGCAGGGGAATTAAAACTCTCAAAGACAATCTGTGCTGTTCTTTCTCTGGCTGAGTTGCGGTTTGAGAGCGGATCAGCCATGAGGATTGGATGGTCCGATGGGATCACTTCGAGCTCTTTTTCTAGGACATGATGCCATATTGTCTCCATATCATCCCAGCGGGTGATGAAGCCGCATTCCACGGGGGGTCTGATATTGAGGAATTGTCGATGGGATACTGCTTCATGGCCGATATATCTGTCCTTTCCTTTGTTGTTTAGAGGGCTGATTCATTAGTTTAGTTGATTAGGAGGACAGGCATGATATACCCTTGACGTCGTGGAGTTCCAATGATGGATGCTATGGATGTAAGTAGCTTTCATGACTGAGAAGAGAAGACATACGGAAGACAGTACGAGGTGTGTCATCACCGGCGAAACCAGCCTTGCATGTAGAGCTGCTGTTTATTGTTAGCGATGTTCATATGTGTATTTAAGGATGAAACATACCCATTATCGACGACGATGGCTTTGTTATACGACATGTTGTTGATACTGCTGTAAGATGCTGTGTAGTTGATTTATAGTCGATGGCTGCCTTGACACAGCCACAGTATAATGACTCAGCTTATGTATTCTATTATACTATAGTATTAAATTATACCGTGTTGATGATAATATGGCTATAGTTGATAGGATAAACTTCTATGCATGCACAAACACCCAAAGCAGCTGCATAAGTTATACCCAACCCCTCATCAACAAAACACCAGAAGAATCCCCAGGAATCCTCATCTTCAACACAACATCAACTCAAAATGTCTTCAAGAATCACCCAACTAGCACAATCTGTCCTGGCCAACACCACCAAACTTGACCAACACCAGCAAAACAACAACCATCCCTCGCCTTCATTCGATGCCACCGGCCCAAGAGATTTTGGCATCACCGATGCAGACGTGGAGAAATCGCGTCTGGATGCTATTGAATCTGCGACCGAGCTGATTGACTTGCTGCAGGGTCCAGTTGCACCGTTGCGTCCTTTTGTATGTCATGCAGTCTATTGATATGAATATAGCTAATTTATCAGTACAACGGAGCCAGTCTACAAGCCATCTCCCGCTGGTCCATCGCATCCAAAGTCCCCCGCGACGGCGACATTTCCTATACAGAACTCGCCAAACAATGCGGTGGCATTTCCGAACTCGACGTGCGCCGCATCCTTCGTTACGCAATGGTCTATCACCGTCTCTTCTGCGAGCCCCGAAAGGGCTTCGTCGCACACTCTCTCGCCTCTCTCCAACTATCCGAAGAACCTCACCTGGCAGGTCTCCTCTGGCTGATGGGCGACTCCTCCTACGCCAGCTATCCACACATCGTCCCTGCATTGGAGAACTTCAAAGATCAAGAACCGCATCACGCCCCGTGGTCGCTTGCCTTTCACTCCTCGAAAAGCATGTACGACGCCATGCAGGATCAGCCTATCCTGGCTTCGAATTTCGCCAACGCTATGGCTTCTTTCGCGTCCTTTCCTGACTCCACCATCCATCAGGCCTCCCATGCTCTTCCCGGGATGGAAATCCTGCACTACTACCCCTGGTCAAACCTATCAGGCTCACAATCAGCCATCCACATAGTCGACATTGGCGGATCAACCGGCGACAAGACCCTCCCTCTCGTCGAGGCCCTCCCAAACCTTTCTCTCACCGTGCAGGACCTCCCACAGACCATCGTGGGTGCCGAACAGTCCATCCCAGAACACCTAAGACCAAGGGTAAACTTCATGGCGTATGATTTCTTCACGCCCCAGACACGTATCGCTGATGCGTATATCCTCAAACACTGTCTACACAACTGGCCAGACCATTACTGCGTGCGTATCCTGCGCAATCAAATCCCGGTCCTTAGACCTGGTGCGCGGATTATCATCATCGACCACATTCTCCCTGAGCCGGGGACTATGGGCCTGCTAGTCGAAAAGAAGATCCGGTATTCCCCCTACATAGCATCTATCAAAGCCATCTCTAACTAAACGATAACAGAGCCTTAGACATGCTAATGCTAACAAACCACAACGCGCGCGAACGCGAACTCGAAGACTTCAAAACCCTCATCAAACAAGCCGACTCACGCTTCCAAATCGGCCACATCCACCAGTCACAACCCAGCAGTGCCGACTTTCCAACCGGTGCTATCGAAGTGATCTGGCCAGGAAATTAGACATCCATTAATAGAAGCACAGCACAGCCTGTCTTGTCAAATAATCTAACAACCACGTAATGTCAAAGGCAGCGTTTACTACATACTGTTTGTTTAAGAATGAAAGAACCAAGCTTCCAATGCCGATCAGGGGGGTTCCTATACAAAATTCTCGAGGCTGGTTCTTAGCCCTGATTGGTCGGATCTTCACGTCGTTCTTGTTAGTCTCGCTTCGGGCCTTGGGGAGGAAGTGGATTATTTCCTATTCGGGTAGTATCGATTGCACATCGCTGGTTTGGTAGATTGGCTTTTTTGTATACGAAGGCTGTGGATCTGCCTTGGATTGAATGTACAGCCTTGATGGTTTGATTAGATGGAGGATTGACATATAAGCAGCTTGTTGTTTCTGGTCTTCATCAATCATCATCAATCAACTCTTCTACTTCTACTTCTACTCAATCCAATCCAATCCAAAACAATCAATCAATCAATCAATCAATCAATCAATCAATCAATCAATATCTTCATCTACATCCACCATCAAAAACAAATACAACATAATGGCCGCCGCAACTTACTACAGCACCCCCGACATGGTACATACCCCCCATCCTCAATCTCCAACTAACAAAACACAGTCCGCATGGGCCCAACCAACACACAAACAAGACCAACTCACCGACGAAATCGATGAACCGTCTAGTGGTTAGCCTCCCCGGGGCTTCACATACAAATCGTCGAAAGCTGATATAATGTTTTTTTTTTTTTTCAGACCGCGGCCTCGGCGATGCCCACACATGGCGCCAGATCGGGAAAATCGCTGTCAAAGTAGCCAAGGCGCTTAATGATGAGGATGATGATGATGACGACAGTGGAAGTGATAACGACAGCGATAGTGGAAGCAGCAGCAGTGATAGTGACAGCGACAACGAAGACGAAGATGAAGATGAAGAACAAGAGCACGAGGAAGAGGGAGAGGAAGAGAAAGAGGAAGAACACGAAGAGGAGAAAAAGGAACACCACTTTGCTGCTTCGTTAAAGTTTGCGGGCAAGTTGGATAAGCTTGCTCATAAGAAGGAAAAGGAGGCCAAGGAGGGGATAGAGCAGCAGCATCAGCATCAAGCCCAATTGCAGGCTCAGCAGCAACTTCAAGCTCATCCTCAGCCCTGTCCTCAGCCTCACTATACGGCGTATAATCCTTATGCGCAGGCTGTTCAACCTCAACCTCATCCTCACTATACCGCCTATAATCCCTATTCTCAAGGCGCTCAATACCAGCAAGTACCAAGATGCTAAACTAGATTATGGGGTGTGATTTGGCTTTCTTGTATGATACCATTTTTATTGATAAAGCGTGTTTTTGCAATTCATCATATTCATATTCTTCTATTTGATTGATATTATTAGATTGGATTTTACCATAGGGAGGGACAATACCTCTATCTTGCTGGTAAAGATGATAATGACTAAGAGTTCATCAGTTATCGATAGGAGATCTCGTATTGCTAGGCAGGATTTAATGCCGGTATAGTGTGCAGCTTATTTAACGAAGGGTGGAGAACGATTATCCCACATGTCTAACAGTAAGCAAGATCTTGATCATGCAGTAATCATTAACTAGACTGCTATATCGCCAATGGAACACAAAGGGGTATCGACTAACAAAGGGCATGTGCAGGATAACCATTCGATAGGAACCAAAAGGCTGAACAAACCAATAAAACTAACCAAACCAAAGATAAAACACCGCTAAATCGTTTCTCGTATCATATCACCGACACCGGTGTTGGGCAGAATATCCCCAGTGGAAGAGACATTGAGACCGTGTAATTGGGCATGTTGACCGCCTCAGCAATCTGGAGATCTCCCACAATACTAACCAGTATGTATGCCTCGCTCCGGCTGAGTCCCTTGGTGGCCACCAGCCATTGTATCATGTTTCGGACGGCTTTCTTGCTGGCCTCGGGCAGGCTCGCATCGATCCCCATTGCCGCGTAGTGGCCGTGGTCGGGAATCGGATTCCGCATCATCGCTTTCGGTGGTGTTTGGTATTGAGGTGCCGTCACCCACGGCTGGTTCTTGCATACTTCCAGTCGGAGCGTCGCCTTGACCACGGTCTCGATCGCTGTCCCGCAGACCTCCCCGTGTCCTTGTGCGGCGTGGCCGTCGCCGCAGCTAAACAGGGCCCCGCGAGTGTGCACCGGAAAGTAAACAACTGACCCAACAGTCAGGTCTCGACAATCCATGTTACCCCCAGCCGCTGTCGGGGGGATGGTAGAAAGATCATCGTCGGTTGCAGGGGCCACGCCCATGCATCCCAGGAACGGCCGCAGCGGTATTCGAACTTTGTCTTTGAACGTCGTGCATCCTCGACCCTCGTCCAGTTTCCAGATATTCAGTGCTGGATCTGGAAACTCGTCGGCCAGCAGCCCAAACCCCGGGATGATGGCCGACCATCCCCAGTCGGCAACTTCCAATCCCAAGATCTCGACCTTGAGCACGTCACCGGGCTCTGCCGATTCCACAAACACCGGGCCGAAAACAGGGTTCGCGATGCTAATGTCCAGCGAGGTGATAGTTGACGCATCGGACATTGGTCCAATCTGGCCATTGCTGCTGTCAATGGCATCGAAGGAGACCTGGTCCCCCGACGAGACGGTCAAGACTGGAGGGAGACTCTTCGACCATTGTAGATGGCCGTGCTTTCGTCCGACATGAAAAGAATTGCACTGTGAAGCTGAGCCCATACCGGAGCAGAATGGGCCAGAAGAGAGGGATCAAGAATCAAGAATCAAGAATAACAGTGGGGAGATGCAGCAACACACAGACAACAAATATGTTCTGGAAAAGAAGGATTTTCTCATGGATAAATTGCAGGATCAAGGGCCAGAATGCCGAAAGAGAAAATCCCGGAAGAGAAAATGGGAGCAGCTTCAGTATTGGACAGTCATGGCGGGCTCAGGTGTCAGTGTCGCAGTCCCCACACCCCGGAAGTTTGAGTGCCTATCTAGCTTCCTGATCAAGCAGGAGAGAGAAATAAAGGGGGGCCTTCTAGCAAGATGGGGAGCCGCAAGTCACACAAAGCACGTCGACTAGTTCGAGCATCGCCAGCAGGTTCATCCTTGACGAGGGGATGTGGGCGTCTGCGTGGGCTTATCGAGCAGGATGAGGAGATGTAACTTTGCTGAAGCCCAATCAGACTGGCAGGATGACTAAGACGGCCCCTCCAGAACAAAGAGAAATCTCAAATCATCACAGATACTGCACGCCTCGACGCCTCGTGCCACCAGAAAAACCAGAAACCCCGGGCTGTGCGAGCAGAGGGAGGGCCAAATAATTCGCTGCCGTGCAGACATGGTCGTGTTTCCAACGGGGACAAGTAAATTAATATGGACCCGGCCGGGTGTGGAGGAGAAAACGACCTGCTTGTTTGGGCATGGTGGTAATCTGGCATTTTTTACATACACTAACACTTACAGTATCAGGCTTATAGGCTATAAACAGTTCTCAAGAATCCTGTCCATCTAAGAATGCCACTAAACACGATCGATTATCACTTCCTCGCCGGCTCGCCGTCAGAGACGCTACTTCTTGCGCTATATCACCCGCCATCATTCCCCGCGTCGACAGTTTCATGATGTGATTAATCAGAGTCGCATCGTCGGTCGAGTCACTGATCCCATCTGACACAACAACAAGCAAGTAACGTCGGTCTGGCGATAGTTTGAGTCTCATCATATCCGGTTCGTTGGACAAAAAGTTACCCCGGGTTTCAGGGGCAGACGACGACGATGAAGCCCGCCGTGTCTTTTGACTCGTTCCCTCGTCTTCGATCGTGTTAATGGGATTCTTGTACTGCAGGTCACCAATTGCTCGCGACATGTTCAGCGCCCCTGTGGATAGAATGTCACCATCTGCCGTTTGAATGGGATGTGAGGGTACACACCTACACGGGCAGTTCCACTGCGCGTGTTGATAACCCCACCAGCCTCCTCGATTCGTGACTTTTCACTAGGAGCATCTGGTTTATGGGACTTCGTGAGACGTCGCTGGTTCACCCATGTTATCACCATGTCGCATCAACAGGCATATATGCTAACTTACGATATGACATGGACGCTCCGTTCTAGGGTCCCGTTCAGCTAGAATAACGTGAGAGTCTCCAAGGTTGGCGACGACCAAATCGCCTTTTGTCAGGTTGATAAAGCATAATGCAACAGTCGATCCAGAAACAGCAGGTTCCGTGGCTTCGTTCTTGAAACGATCGAGCAGAACGCCGTCTTCATCTGCCAGCGCACCTTTGATGGCCCCTTCATAATCGCCAAGGTCAAACTCTGGACGCTTCGCGAGCAGAAAGTGTAGGTTTCGACTGGCATGCTCTGCGACTAACTGCGAACCACTGTTGGGTTAGTGTAAGGTTCTTTTAGCTGTGGTATTGAACACTCACTGTCCGTCGTAAACTGCAAAGAAGGCAAGCTTATCCTCCGTTTTGGAAGGAAACTGATCCGGCAGGACTAATGTGCATCGATCTTCTTGGAATTGTCGACCTCCTTGAGCCTAGCATCCATCAGTCAATATCCTATACCAGCTCGAGTGGCTTACTTGGCCTGCGCCTGCATCAAAAAGCAGAACCGCATCTGATGTCGACATTAGAGTGTTCCGGAACATTTGCGTCCACAATATCCTCACTGCCAGGGCTATACAACAGAGGGATACAACAAGAGGCAGAAAAAGCAAGTCTCGATATTCTTCCATAGTTGCTGTCCTTGGATCTGGGTGATGATGGCTGACATCATGGCCTATTTATGCTCTTGAATGCTCCTGCGTCACGCGCTGCTCATCTATGGTTCTTTGCCATTATCCATTGATAGCCACCGATGTTGATTAGGTTTGCCAATGACATCTCGTCTGTTGAGTTCATATCTTCAGATCCTCAGTATGTTTGTAGAATAAAAAGATCACAGATCACAGATAACAAATCATAAATCATTAATAGTATTATCTGTAGTCAATGGTCAGTTGTAAATAAAGCGACGCGGACTAACTGAATCGAGTAATCGAGCAACTTCCGCCGCGGATTATTTTCTGTCGTCATGTTTCGCCTCGCTCTCTCCGCCTGATTCTCAATTCTTCTCCTTCCATCTCTCCTCTCGACTATCCTGGACTTGAATAGCCCGCCATGGGCTGGGTTGGAGTGGCTACACTCATTGCGACGGCATGTTTCGTCCTCTACCGTTATCCCCCTCGTTCCTGGCCGCTCGATCCCGAACCCTCGTCTACCCCTCGACCCCAACCGGAACCGATCTCCGAAAAAACCGTCCCAGCTTCGGGCGGAGAAGACGTGGAGGCCAAGAATGTGAAGCCGGTAGATGAGGCAGATTCTTCGCGTGATGGCGATGGAGAAGAGGCAGAGGATGCACAGTCGACACCCAAAGCATCGGCCTCGACGCCAGTTCTCCAAGTGCCAACGTTCAGCCTGGATGATAACCCACGCCCCACAACTGAACAATCCAGCCAGGGACTGCGGAATGATAATCACGCCTCGATCAAACAACCATCTGCATCTTCATCGTCGACTCCCTCCATCATGACCAACAATCCAGAGTCGCTAACTATGCCGCCACCACCGCAACCATCATCGACTTCCTCCTCGTTAATGCCTCCCCCTCCGCTCCCGCGCCTGCGCCCGACAGCCCAGCAAAATCAATCTCAACCTCGACCACAACTCCCTCAGTCCTCCTCGCTGTTAACCCCAGGACGACTCCCCCCTCGCCCCAGCGCAGGCAACTCCCTCCGCCCCCCTCCATCCGCTGCATCCTCCCTCCGAGCCCCTCCCACCAGCAGCCGCCCCCCAATGAGCAACAGCCTAGCCCCCACAAAGACCCTCAAACCATCCCCTTCGTCCAAAAGAGCCGTCCTCGAACCAGGCTTCTCTCCCCTTGACTGGGCCGCGCTCACCTCCAACCCCAAAAACAACCTGCGCGGGGCGAACCTGCCCCCGGGTCTGATCCGGGTGACGCCGTCGATGCTCAAGGCGCAGAATGGCCGAAAGGGCGCCGACGCGTGGACCTCCTATCAGGGCAAGGTGTTTAACATCCAGCCATACGTCCCGTTTCATCCGGGCGGGAAGGGCGAGCTGCTACGGGGTGCTGGGAAGGATTCGGGAAAGTTGTTCATGGAGATTCATCCGTGGGTGAATTGGGATGCTATACTGGGGGAGTGTCTGGTTGGGATTCTGGTTTCGGAGAATGAGGCTGCGGGTGAGAATAATCTCGATTCGATGGATTAGTCTCGCTTCCTCTTCTTTTCGTTTCTTCCCTGCACATATTATGTTCTCCCTGCTGTCTGCGATAGACTGTACTATACCCTTGGTGATATAGATACCAATACCCTAGAAGATACACATACTGTACAACATAATGATATTCTCACAGCATACCATAGTACATACAATCATGACCAATAATATAACAATATCCCGTATTATATCACATATCACATCTACAACTCATCCTTATCAACCCCCTGAATGCCCACCAACTCCGTCTCAAAAACCAACGTCGAGCCCGCAGGAATCGGCCCAATAGCCCGCTGCCCATATCCGTACTCGGGGGGAATCGTCAAAGTCCGCTTATCACCAACACACATGTCCAAAAGACCTTCGTCCCATCTAAACATCGCAATCGTTAGCCATACATTCATACTTCACTAAAAATATGTGTTGAAACTCACCCCTTAATAACCATTCCCGACCCAACTCTAAACGTCAACGGCTTGTTGCGGTTGTAGCTCGCGTCGAACTCGGAGCCGTCAGAGGCGAGGGTACCGCGGTAGTGCATGTGGATGGTGTCGCCTTTGGTTGTTTTGCGGGTGCAGTCGGTCGAGTGGGTTGTTTCGATGCCGAGTTCTGCGGAGACGGCGAGGGAAGTGAGGGAGAGGAGGGTGGTGAGGAGGGAGAAACGCATTTTGATTGTTAATTCTTTTGATTAATTGTGATTGTGGTGATAGGGGGGTAATGGTTGTTGATGGTGAGGTTGGGAGTAGGTTGTTGGAAAACGTGGTTAACTGAGTTGAATTGAAGCTCTGACCGGCGAGTGCTCGGAGTTAGCGGGCACAGACCTCCATCTCAACTATGTATGGATAACTACAGGCAACATACGAGTAATACGTCTAGAGTAATTTGCAGGATAAATATTAACGTAATGAGCCAGCCCAATTTTGATATCCGTCTAAATGTTCCTATATACATGAATCCCAAACAATAACATTAACATAAATTCAAGCAATTAAGCCCATTTACCCAGCAAAGCCATAAGCAAAGCGCCCAAGCACAAAAGGAAGAAAGCAGCAAGAACATCCCGAATGGGTGCTTTTCGCATGGATGTGCTGAACATGAACTCGTGGGCCATGAGTTCCACGAGAGCTGTGTAGATCAGAATGCCAGCGGAGATCGAGTCGAATACTCCGTTGACAATGAGGGTGGTGCGGCCCTCTGGGGGATAGCTGTTGCGCACCCCCAATCCGATAGCAATCGCAATTGGGGTGGAGATGCCATAGCCAAATCCTAGCAAGTAAGGGGTCAACCGCTTCGATCGGGGCCACGGGATCGTGGCCAGGCGAGACCCCAAACCCAGGCCTTCAAAGGTTTGGTGGAAGACAAGGACAATGTACAGCGTGACGAATTCCGATCCGGACACCGCCAGGGTCAATCCAATGAAAATGGAGTGGAAAATAATGCCGAATTCCAAAATGAAAATAGAGGTCAACTGGGCCACGTAGTCCTCGAGGGAAGTGTCCTTCTCGGCCATTTCGGCGTCATGGTGCTCACGACCGTGGCCCAGGTGGTCTTCGCCGGGCATGACTGTTTTAGGATCCACGGTCGAGACAGGGATTTCCTTTCCATGCGAGTGGTGGTCGTGTGCCAACTCATGGGCGTGACTTTCGCCAAAGCGAGCGTATCTCATAACCATCAACTCAACAAAGAATAGGACGACGATGGTCATAAGGACGATGCCCTCCACCCAGCTGTACTCGGTGATTGGGCCGGTCAGACATTCATTGGTCAATGCCTCTTCTGCAGGAGCAAGCAAATGAATAAAAGCCGTGGCAATAATGACACCGGAACCAAAGTACTTGGCGATGAAGAATGCCCATCCTGGGACACCCTTACCCCGAAAGCTGTTGGCAAAAACGGGGAAGACGGCGCCAAACATGGAGCCAACCATGATGACGAAGATCGACGAGATACGCAGACCCATGCGACCATCAAATTTGTTGCCTGTATCACAAGCAGGTGCATCCTCCCGTGGGAGGAGCGCGTGGAAGATTTCCGAGGCCATTATGGCGTGCGTTGGCGAGTCGACTGAAAAATTGAGGACAGGGTCACAACAGCACGGGCCAGTGAGAGGAGGGGAAGAAAAAGAAAAGAGAGGTCTGACAGGTGCCACGCAGGTTTCACGAAAATAGGAATGGACCCTGAAGATCTAAGAAAGACAAGAAAAGAGGGAAGATAGGATGCAGGCGGCTGAGATATCCGATATATGGCAGGTCTGCGAGCCTTCAAATAGCGCGAGGGCCAAATCCCCTTTTCTTTATGGGATCTTCCTCTTCTTCCCTGCTTTGTGTTGATTTCGCTCGGCGCTTATGGCGTCCTGTTTAGTGCGTCTCGCCTCGTGGATGTCGGTGGGCTCAGCGTCCTCAAGGTCCCCGGACGACGGTACAGACCGCGGGCAAGAACTCAAACAAGATGTTCTCCAGGCGAAACAGACGCAGGGATTAGGTGTCAAGCACGCTAAGCAGTCGTGGTCGGACCGTTTGATATCTTGGTATCGTGGGATGGGAGATGAGAGTCAAGCCAGCAACTCTCGATCGACCGATATGGTAGTAGCAGTGTAATAGCAGGCGAATAACTACCCGTCACAATCTATAGACACTGAAAGTAATAGAGGCCCAAAGGCAGACGTGGAGATGGTCGGAGGATGGCAGTCCATTGTGAGATTTTTTGATGGTTTTTCCAGTTGGCAGAGGTTGGCCGCACCTGGGGACCTTGGGAGAAAGCGGGCCTACCAAAGGTGGCTCGTAGACGTCAGGACGATAAAAAGGATGTCGAGGAACCACTCTGGAGGACCTTGGGGAATGCATCTCGCAGCCTCTGGTTGGCTGGAATAGCGGCTGTAGTGGGGTAGGAGTCACGTGTTCCCCGAGAACTGTTCATATTAAATCAACATGAGATCTTTGCGAGAATACACACACTTACCTGTTGGATATTGGATATAAATGTTAATAATCGATATTCTGATAGTGGATATTGAGTATACTGGCAATATTGAGCCAGCACAAGTAGCCAAGAGGTCATACTGAGAACATGAAGTCGAGATTTGAATTTTCAAGGGAAGAGTTTGAAGTGGGGGCTAGCAGAATCCAGCCAATCAGTAATCGCTGATTCAAAGCGGTGTCTTGGAGGGGTTGGCTGTATTATCCGCTTAGCGCCTTGGCGCGGTCCATCTTGACTTGTCGATATTCGAAGCATTAATAACGGTTGGCCTCCAAGGTCGACGGCCAGAAGAATAACTTCGCACTTGTTCCATCTCACCAACGCCATCTCTCAAAAATTCTGACGAATAACTTTCACTTGCTTCCTTCGCTTGGAATCTATCCAGATACTACAGCCAGGCACTCTGATTTCGGTGACTGCTTCGGTCGACGCACCGAATACGGACTACTGTCCTCCTATGCGTCCGATGCATAGTTCAAACACCCGCTCCATACAACCCCGCCATCGGGTGAGGGAGTATGCCCAATGTGATATCATCATCTGAGATCCAGCAAAAAGCCTCATAAGCCCTGTGGACGGTTTGAGGTTTCAATCTGTCAAGCTTTACTCCTCGTGGCCATTTACCTTTCCGTCCGTGCAGGCATTGGATGGTCGTATTGCATATTAGCCGCTCTATCCCCGGCTAAATGGTGACAGGGATATGAAATTGGATGTTCTGTGATGGGCAAAGATGAAGCTGCTAACTTTCTAACGGTTGTTGGATTGCAGTTAGATGACTGCTATGGCTGAGCAATTGCGGTGCCTCGTTTGAATTATTTCTCGGATCTCTCATGCTCATCTTGACAATTTTGCTTGGATGCTGGATGCAACTAGTCATGGACTCCATCGACGAGAAATTACTACGATCCTGTTCCACCGGTGATCTATCCTCGATCGCCACTCTTCTTGCCAATCACGCGCCTTCGTCCGAGGCAGTCCAGGAAATGATGTGCAAAGCAGTATATTCAGCATTATCCGATCAACCACCCGCAGACTGGCTAAATTTGTCGACTATTTACTCCAACGTTTCCCCGACATCCGCCTCTCAGAGGAAACCATTCGCTGGTCCGTCTACTCGCACTCAATTCCTCTGATTAAAGCTTTCTGCGCCAATGACCCCCTGTCTTGTACAGGGAGCTTCCTTGACGGTGATGGAATTCCACTGGTCCTCGCTGTTTCAACCTGTAGCTCGGCCGATTTTCTAGATTGTCTACTTCACCATGGTGCAGACCCTACATTGCCTCACGGTCGCCGGGTACCGCTCCGGCCAGCAGCGGTAATTTGCTACAAGGGTTCGATTGATGCCGTTGAAGTCTTGCATCGTCATAGAACCGACTTTCGTCACTCCCAGATCCTCTATGCGGCTATCGGTCGTGGATACTTGGAAGTAGGCCGATATCTATTAACGCACGGATTAACGCCATCAAATGATGATGATTTGGAAGCCGGGACTACTGGTCCTCCTACGCATCTTCATCTCGCTGCTAGCATGGGCAATGTAGGCATGGTCCAACTTTTTCTTGACCATGGGGTAGATAGGGATGGGGAAAATGAGGAACAGCATCAGCATATAAGGGTTATTGAATTACTGAATGCTAATTCATGATAGCAGTGTAACAAGGATATATATCGTTGAATTCTTGCATCGACATGGATGGCGAAGAACAGGCTGCGGTTGATGAAGGGGGGAAGAAGTCGGAAGCTGAAGAGATGGAAGAGAAAGTGCAGCGGGTGGGAGGCGATGTACAATTGGGCATATGGAAGCTACAAGAGTCGGCTTACCGGTCAAGTTAAAGAACCTACATTTCATAAAACTTCAAATTGGATGGATTCCAGTTTCCAATCTACGCTGCTTTTTATTCTGTCAGAGCGAATACTGTAGTCATCAGACCACATTAGCTTTAGATTCATCATAATAATTCAGGTATTGATATACAAAAGCGATTCTGTTGTAATACTGCCATCACTATCACACCCAGGCATTGGTCAAGCGCTCCTGCTCCATGTATAAGTTATAGATGACGGTAACTTCCCTTTATAGTGATTTATGAGGTCTCGGATGAGGCAATCACATTTCCTTATTTGGATGTACCTATAGGCAACTGAAGCTGGATCCGTTGACCCTTTTTGAGGCATCCAAACAAACATTTGTAAAGACAGTCAGATAAAAGAACATTTCTATTTAGACGGTTTTTTCCAACAAAATACCATATATAAAAAATGGAAAAAAACATACAACAGCAGGGATTCGCTGGTGGTCACCCACCCAACTACTAACCTGCCGGCGTGTGGCTTAAGTACGGCTGAGCGGACGGGAAGCCCTGTTCTCCACACCCTGTGGTCGTATGTACTTTGCTTTTATCAGTTGAGAAATATATAGGAATACCTTTTCCACTGTGATCTCAACAACGACTGCATACGCACAAGCTTATCTTCTTTTGCTCAACCTCACTCATCTCAAAGCTATTCTCTCTACTGCGCCTGTGTTCGCCAATATTTCCTCTCTTTCCTATTTTACTTTTTTGTCTTTCTGGAACCATGGGTAATAACATGGATGGTGGGGGTTGGTTGCATGATTGATGCATTTATACTATTCCCTATAGGACTGGAGTGGATGAAGCAACGGTATTTCCAGACAAACCCGAGATTATATTGTATAGAAGGAAGTTCGAGAGCTAACTTATGCTGGTTGTTAGCGGCACCTGGGCTGTCACCTTTACAGCATGCAATTGCTGCTGGTGTAAAATCAAACACTGGCAGCAGAGTAGCCCAGAACCTCGAGATTTGGACCCAGCTCTTGAAAGAGCCGTTGAGCGAGTTTTCCGCAGAATGTTCAAACCTGTATTATATCGAAATGGGGCCTTCCCAAGACCTCCCACCGAAATCAACCACTGAGGCAAAAAAAACTATAACGGGCAGTCTACGTCAACATCGAGAGGTCGAAACGCCGACAGAGCATGAGCGCCCAACAGGGTCAATGAGAATCCTAGCCCAATTCCATTACGAGCCAGATGATAAGAAGAGGCAATAGGAGCGTGCGTCTTCTTTTTGCCCGATGGATCGCTGTCCAGGGTTTCGGTCGTTCAAGTTGTGATGCTAGTGCCACAGATATATATCCCGCCATAGCGGTCTTTTATCCTGGTCTGTGATTCGAAGAAAAAGGCCACGACATAATTATCAACGTGGATTAGAACTAGCCATCCATTAAATAGCAGAGCATCAAGCAATCTCAAAGCATTCTATATTTCAACTGTAGGTAGTAGGTTGTATGAGGTCATGTGAGCTTACCCATACGATCTCGACCAAACCTTGGCGCAGAGCTCCAACCCCATCCCTCACCCCCCAGAATCAAAGAAACAATCACAAACCTCTGTTTTACCCTGATAATTAATTCTCACTGAGCTGCATATCGTCTCCTACTGAATCCAACACAGACATAAACATGGCCCCAATCCGCCGATACCTCCGAATCAGCAAATATTCCGTCCTCGAATGCCGAATTTACCTAGAGAACCCCTCTGATACACGATGGCTCCTCGATAGCAGAGATCCTGTCCTCAAGCGAATCTTTACCTGCATTCGACCATTGATCCTGCCTAAGCTGCGCGAAGAAAATGAGAGGTTATTTTCTAAGAAGAAGGGGAAGCCTGTTAAGGACGTGATAGCTGAAGGTATGCCATGGCTCATAGGACTCGAGCTCAGAGGGGATGAAGTTTTCTAACTACTGGTTTGATAGATGAATTCGAGGTGGCTATATTTCTTCGAGACTCGCGTACGCGCCATTCGCTCCTGACGCGACAAAAGACCTTCCAAGGGGCCGGGGAGGGATCGGGAGAGAATAAACAAGGGGGCTCTGCTGGGACTGCAGAGGCTGGGATCTTGGTCGAGAGCGATGATGACTCTGGGCCGGGGTTGGACGAGATCCCACAAGCTGGCGCTGAAGAAAACGAGACAAATGCCAAACGCCAACGACAAGCGGACTCGCCGGAGACTCAGCGCATGTCGAAAAGAAGGAAAGGGAAGGAGCCAGCACCGCAGGCCGATGAGGAAGAAGAGGCGGAGGACAAGAAACTGGGATTCAGGACCAATTATGAAAGTTTCAACATCTACGGCTGGGTTCTTTGTCTGCTTGTCACGCGCAAAGGGGAAAAGGCTCGAGCGAGAGCAGCGCCCTCGGAACCGAATCGCCAGGTTCTGATGGAGGAGTGGATGTCGACACAAGCCCAGGGAGGAGACTTGGGCGAGGAATGAAAGGAAAGTGGCGCAGCGCAGCATGACGTGCCTTATGCAACAATGGTCGGTATTACAAGTTTTCTCCAGAAGGGTGCCTGGAATGGCCAGGGTCGGGTCTTCTGGTCGTGGTCTTGGTGAGGGAATTCTTGAGTGCCGCAGCCAACGGTTTTGCCGGTTGGCAAGTGTCTGGAATGCCGGCGATTCCGATTTCGCAGCCACATATCCGGCTGACTATGTCGATGAGTCGACTATGCCGCAACATGCGGCTTATGCTTACGGACCATGATGGATGTACCAATACAACCAAGAGTACTGGCGTGAGAACCGCACGAGATGGTCATACGATATGCCGCAGCATTGAACATTGATGCTGGGAGTACAGAGTCACGCTGTAGAAGGTGAAATCCGAATGGCAGGCCATGGCCCATCGTATGATGCCAGGGTATACGACAGGGGCCGTCCAAGTCGATTGGAGACGAATAAACCCCCGAATTCCTGCTGTGTGACCGTGGCTCGAGTCTCGTGAGGGCCGTTGGAATCAGAAGGCCAACATCAAATCAAGGACGATGCTGTGTGATGTTGTACGAGGTCTGATGGAGTAAAGGAGTACGATGGAGACAGGACTCCATTCTGAAACTGGCCACATACGATAGCCACCCCATCCCTAGACTATATGTAGTCGATCTTAACACCAGCCAAACAACCCGATCCATACCCCTGGGAACACACAAGCCATCAGGAGTCAGCCCCTGGGCTTCCTGACACATGCATGAAGATCATGTTTAGAGTTCCGGCATGGTGCATTAACCTACGATCGGTATGCAAGTCATCTATGATGTCTCAAAGCATCGCATCACCATCGTCCCTCATCCATGGAATACACATGCTCATTCTTGTTGTTCCTACGGAGTTGTCCGTCTATCTCGTACCAGATACGACATCCGCAACACCGAAGAGGGAGCTAAAAACCCCGAGAAATTCCCGTTCTAGGCCAGCGGTCGGAGAGCGGGATGCGAGGCCGACCGATCAGAGAGTCTCAGACTGGCAAAGAGACACGTGCCCAAGTGGGCGGATTAGTTATCCAATCGATTTGATTAAAAAGGGCCTTCGCAGTCTTGACGTCACGACTGTCGCCAAATCCCGATTACTTTTACGGTATTGACTATTGGCGATACTTGATATGCATGTCTGCCTGGTCCTGTTCCTATTCCCTGATAGTCTGGTACAGAGCGCTTTGTAAGGCGTAAAGTACCCTTTGTAAAGTGAGAACTGGAGAAAGAAAGTGGATCGACTGCAGGAAGATGAAACACCGCGGTGGTTTTGCCGAGTTGCTCAACGTGAACGAACACTGGAGCCGTCCCTGAGACCAAGTGGTGCTAATTACTTACCTGCCGAAGCTGGTATACAAAGTACACTTGGTGCAGGAGGCGAAAAAAAATCAAGGTGCAGTAGTCAGGAACAGGATCAAGGTGCAGCGGAGTACTCCGGCAAGGCGATTGACTATTTCCCATAGCGGATGGAGACCAGCAAGTCAATTATATCATGACAAAACCTTGTCTGTTGTTGAAACCAACCAGTCTCGACCCAAATCAGAAACCGAAGCCAAATAGTGAATCAAAATAATCAATTTGAACTTTCTAACTGTGTCTAATTCTCAAGCTTCAATCGCAAACTTGACCGCAAATCCGCCCACATGATGGACACACACTAAGTAGACTCCGTTGCAAAGCGGAAGGGCCAAACTTTCCAACGGTGCGGAATGAACTCCTCCTTCTCCATTTATTTTCGGTGGAGTCCAATTTCCCGTTTGTTTTGTTTTTTCTCGAATCCCTTTTTCGCTTCTCCACTTGGGGCCTTTTTTTTTTGTTGCCATGTGTTTTCTTTCTTTTTGTTGAGTTTGATCGTTCCGTTCCTCTCGATCCATTCGCACAGCCACAAATACGATGTACGGTACGTACAATACCGTATTCTGGTATCCGATGTATCCATCCCCCTTTCTGGATTCCAGAAGCCTGGTCGAAAGTGAACAGCCAGCCAGTAGGCAGACTGGCAGACTTGGCTGGCTGGCGTGTTCAGGAGGTGGCAATAGAAGTATATTAAATCGACAGATGAAACCTGCATATCCATTGCGTGATTAGGGGTGATCTGAGTGATGTGTTGAGGAGTGACGTGCAGGATCAACCCACCCTGGCTTGTCATCTGCAGAAATATGAAGATCGGACGGGATGGAGTCTGCTGTGACAGGCTACAGCTTACAGGCAAGACCACAAGGCTACTATCATGATCAGCTATCAGGTTATCATTTGTCAAGCGAATTGGTTGGCTGGAGGATATCCCGTGTATTTGTCAATCGATTGGGTAGGATGGGCAAATCGTAGCGATATCATCATATCAGCCACACCGACTGGAGTCAACGCATCATTTCTCTGGGGCAAATCTGGTACACTACGGTCACTACGGCAAGAGTTGACAAGGGCTCCATAATTATCCAGAATGGCAGATAACGATGAGCACATTCTCCATCCGAACTGCAGAGACGATGCTGCCAATACGAGAGGTCATCTGCAAGGAGAAAATCGTTCTTGTTGGCGGACCATTCGCCTGAGGACGATTCCCCTGAAACATCCCTGTGGATGGCGTAGTGTTGTTGACCTGTCAGATTCCCCCCCATCCCTGTCAGTTTGGAAAGCCATAAAATTGTGGCATTAGGCAGACTGTATTTTTTATGGAGTCAGAGCACTTGGACGATTCCGGCATTCTGGCTGGGGCTAGGATCTCGTTACACAATATGATTTTATCATTTGACAATAGGAATCAACTGCCTGATCACCCCGTCATCCGTCAAACCCCGAATCATGTTACACTTTACAGTCTGACTCTCCCCTATCATCCTGACTTCCGATCTGCGAACTAGCCAGCCAGCACGTGTATTACTGCTATTACATCCTTTTTACACTTTTCTTTGCTTTTCCCTGCTGGCTTTGCTGGCTTGCTCGCTTCCTCTTTGAGTGCCCTGCGTCTTCTTTGATTCTGTCAACCACTAGTGCAGGAACTAGCGTAAGGCATTGACTCATGATGTTTAGAGATAAAGATACGGTAAAGGTAATGATTAATATACTGTATCCCCTCTCAAACGCCCCTGTACGAACTATGTAATTCTGTAACGTCTAGAAAAACAAAAGAAGAAAACAGTGGGGTCATGATTCTCCTCCATTCTTCCATTCTGCCCAGATGTGGTCCTTGCCAGAAGTCCATGATTCATCAATATTGATCAATAATCAAGTGGAACTGGAAAAAGGGGAAGTGAAAAACTTTGCAGCAGCAAAAAAAAAAACAAAAAAAATGAATCCCGGGAAGAACGACAAAGAGTGGAGCCCCGGAGAGCTTCTAGAAAATTTCCTTATGATTTCCGATTGGGGCGAAACCGTGTAACTTTGCTTACTTTACCAGTAAAAGTACGTACGGGCGTACCTAATCGACTACGTCAGATGGTCTGGTGGAGCTCTTTTCCTTTTTTCTTTTTTATTTTATTTTATTTATTTTATTTTCCCTTTTTCTTTTCTTACGCAGGGATGGAAAATACTGCGAATCGCTGCCATTCCATGCCCGGCCGAAATTTATCAAAAATACCAAGTGCTCGCTGTGGTTTGCGCTTTTCACTATAAGTACGCTGTCGTCCTCCATCTTCGATCTTCAACTTCAATCTTCAATCTGGTCTCCATCTATCTTGGCTATCTTGCTACTCCATTGACTATTGTCCACTACATCTACTCTATCTACATCCATCTGCATCTATATCCATCTACTACATCACAATGCCTTCTGTCGGTGGTGCCTCGTCTCAATTCCCTCCTTGCCCCGGTCCTCCTCCCAAGGGCCCTCTTCCTCCTCTGCCGAAATAAACCATGGCTATGTTCCCTTGACGACTTTGATGACCCCGGCGTTCTCGAGCCTTGCATCATCTGCCAAACCTTTCTCTCGCGATGATGCTCTACAACAACAAAAACAACTCTCGAGACGCCCACGACATGGGAGCTACAATCCTCCAAAACATGGATTATCACGATTTCAGTTTCTTCGGCTCTGCAATAATCTCGTTCGATCTTCCCGACTACTCTCTACTTTATGGGGATACTCTTCTCGGTTTTTTCTTTTTCATTCTACTAGCACAGCACGTCTTACAAACGAATGACTGCTGCGCCTTTATAATTCTACATGCGCTGGCGCATCCTTCGATTCCACCAAATCAACCTGTGTTTCAAAACAACCACCATATACCCATCGGCTTGCGCGGGTATTCCACGATTTAGTGGGCAACATGGGCAAGTGCGGGGAGGGAGAAAAGCAGCATGGATAATATCATGATTCAGAACATCCATCCCATATCTGCCAATGCCCCGAAGCTGAGCCCCGCGCTATATCAGAGACCATCTGACGATGGGGCGCCATGGCGCGATGTCTAGGTCTAGTGCCTGGTCGTCTGCGATATTATTCTTCAGCTTGTGGAGTTGCTTTTTCCTCGTGTTTCTCCGCACGAAGCCGATGCATTATCGGTGTCAGGTTGATTATGTCTTTTTCCTTTCTTTCATCTGTCTTATCTTTTATTTTCTTATTTTCTTTCTTTTTGAACCATGCATATGGGCCTGAATTGTTCGAATCAACGGCATGTATAATAGACTTAATATACCCAACAGAGCATTCGCTTTTGTTACCAGTGCTTTGACGCTCGGAATATGATATCATCAATTTACCACTACACAAACCACTCAACCCATCTGACTAGCTAGAGACTAGAGAGCCTCCCGGCGATTGAAACAGTCATGTAGCTGTAGGTTTCACCACGGCACTAGCGGGCCATGTACTTACAGGGATGATGACTGCAATCACTGTCTGTGCAAAGCAACTAGTTATTCCTACTATGTATGTGAGATGACTCGATGAGTTGATCTCGCGCGATTATTTCCATTTTCTTATCACAATCCCCCCGGTTTTTGCTTCCTGCCTTGTTTTTGCGGCCAAGATACGGAGAACCCTTGTAGTTAGTACTAGGGTAGGTAGTCATCATCAGCTGAGGCTGTGGCTTGGCTGCCTAGTTATATTATTAGATGCCTGATACTGATAGGCAGTTGATCTGATAGACTCATATCGGCCAGAGAATTGACCACATGGTTTCGTTTAGATAGCAACGTGGAGTGGAATGCTTGCCATTCGGATACTAGCTGGTAGTATCGCTGGTAGCAGTCAGAGATAGACAGCGTGGACAGAAACCAGAAACCGCCCAGGTGAGACATGCTGTACTTCATGCATTGAACATGCAAAATAGATGAAAATAATCTATCTCAAGTCCTCAACTACTCCATTAATATCATACTAGTCAAAAGGCATCGTTCTCACAATGCCATGGTAACATTCCGCCCCTGTACTCCGCATGTACTCCGTCGCTGCCAAAGTCTCCTTGACTAGCGGAAAACAGGGCGCAAAGCCGCAGTAAAAATAAATCCACGTGATAGCCGCTCAACAACCATCCCCAAACCAACTCTTTCTCCCCGCTCGCGCAACAATGGTCCTGGAGCTCCATGTTTGGGGTCCGGCGTTTTCGCTGCCGTCAATCGACGCTCAATGCCTCGCTACTATCACCTATCTTTCTCTAGTCCTCCCCAAGGACGCGTGGGTGTTGATCCCAAGCAGTGATCCTTCCGTCTCTCCTACCCGTAAGGCTGGCTCTCTCTTCTGACATCAGACGGTGTGGCTTGGGCAAAGTAAACTGACCACTAGCTTGGAATTACAGATGAACTGCCCGCTTTGAAAAATGGCGCGACCTGGGTTAGTCGGTTTAGGAATATCGTTGATTACCTCCGGCAGTATTCGGATGGTGAATGGGATTTGGATGCGGGTTTGAATACGCTTCAAAGGGCGGATAATATTGCGTATGTTGCTATATCTGCACTGCACTGCCTGTTTTAACGCCCTTTACGCCCGATGCTAATGCAGTTCATTGACTCAGCTTCTCCTCCTTTGTCGAATCCCGCGGTCAACCTCTCCTCGACCTCTCCCTCTACGTTACCAGCCGAAACTACTACGCCAACACCTCGCCCGCTTACGGCTCAATCCTCCAATGGCCCAATCAATGGATCCTTCCTCCGCAGCTACACACCGCCGCAAAAACCCGAACAGACCACCTCGGTCTCTCCTCCTTGGACTTGGAAGCCATCGAGGACCAACGGAAACGCGAACACTCGGCCGCCGTCGCCGCCGGCCATGTTCCTAAGAACTTCATCCCGAAACCCAAGGAGACGCCCACGGGGCTCCTGGGCAAGTCCTCGCAGCAAAACCAGTTCAAGCTGGAGGCGTTGACGGCCGAGTTCTTCGAGCCGTTGGAGGAAATCCTGAATGCGAAGACGTACTTCCTCTCTGAGGATGCACCTTCTAGCTTGGACTGTCTGGCTTTCGGCCACTTGTGTCTTGCGCTCGTCCCGGATCTCCCGTACTCGTGGCTCCGCGATGCTATGAAGGCCAAAGGCTCGCAGTTGACCACCTACACAGAGCGCATGCGCACCCGCTTCTTCGGCGTCGTCGACGTCCAGCGTGCCTTGGCCGGAACTTCCACCGAAACATCCCCCTTGCCCTGGCAAGCTCCCCAGCGCGCCAGCGTCGGAAAAGTAGGCTACACCCTCCTCAACACATTAGCAGACGCCACCCCCATCGTGAAAGACCTACGAGCGCAGACCCAAATCCGCGAAGCAGCCGAGTCGCCCAATTCCGGGCTGTCGGCGGACGAAAGCCAAGCGGTGTCTAACTATGCCCGCGGCCAAAAGAGGGATGTATTCGTCTCCATTGCGGCTGTTGCTGGCGGTGTCGCTGCGCTGGTCGGGTATATGGTTCACGTAGGATTGTTTTCTGCGGCTGCGGCAGAGGAGTGGACAGAAGAAGAGGAAGTGGGAGGAGTGGGAGAGCCAGAGGGGGGTCTGGATTTGAAGAATCTAGAGCATGTGGATATCTTATCTGCAGCTGCATCTGCCTTGTAGGGGGTGTTTTTTTGTATCTTACGTTTAGCATGTACTATCAATCGGATCATCGTCTCTTCATGAAATGTCTACTCCCGGAAGCACACCATCTTCACTCATCCAGTCCAATAATCACTCTACCAAAGAAAAAGAAAAGATAGCCCCAATCAAAATTAACACCTCCCCTCTCTAAAAAAGCAAAATAGCAACAAGTGCAAGAAGAAAAAAAAAAACCAAAAAAAAAAGAAATGGGGCAAGCCGGGCTTGAACCAGCGACCTTTAGATAAACTTGGAACGAATCCTGTTACTGAAGTTGACGCTTCAGTCTAACGCGCTCCCAGCTGCGCCATTGCCCCATAGTTGTTGAAATCGGCTCAGAATTGTGACATTGGAGGCTGGACTAGGTTTGGTGAGTTTTTGCATGTCATGTGGTGATGATGCGGGCTGGGTGAGTACGCACTGTATGTACTTACCCATGTACATGTGTGGTCGTTTGCGGGGAAATAGCGGAATTTACAGTACGTTTCCGCGGAAATAATGATATGGAAGCTCGTATTCGGTGAGGAATTCTTGTTTATGTTGATGAGATGCTTCGTATAGCCTTCAAGTTAGAAGGTTGGCATATTGGCATATTGGCATGTTAGTTCCTGGCTCGAACATAATGACCCTCGTTAGTGGCTCGGCCAAGCTAGGTGTAAATGAGACCAAGACAGCAGTTTACTAGTCTGGCTCTGAATACAGCCACCCAAGTCGATGGTGATAATAACCCGCTATCAAGAATCAATAATCAAGATATGGTCTCACCATCGCGATTATCGCGGGAGTGATGTGATGTGATTATTCGGGGAATGGATGGAAAATCGGCCCTGACCACATGTTAAATGATAACCAGCGAAGTTGGTTTGTACCTAGGCATTTCTGTCAGATTAGTGCCTGATGATGTCAGTCCAAGAATTGTACCTGATATCTGGATTTTGAGGCTAAGGATGACGCCGGGTATGTTTCATGATTTGAGTTTATTTATCATTGGTATTTACGCTTCTGACGCTTGCGGATGAGGTCAGGTAAATAAAATACGTCTAGTGGTGAAATGTTTCTGTGTACCTAGGTAGGGTAGTGTCTTGTATAGCGATGGGCAGACGATGCCGAAGCCGCCCGAAAATTAAAGACCGGTACCACGAACTGCGGGAAATAGATAATTATTGTTCGGATCATTATCGTGTGGCCAACAGATACATACGCACGACAGAAGCAACAATGTCGCTCGCTATCAAAAAGATAAGCAGAAAAAGAAAAAAGCAAAAAGTAATGGGGCAAGCCGGGCTTGAACCAGCGACCTTTAGATAAACGGATGTATTCCAGTTACTGAAGTTGGTTCTTCAGTCTAACGCGCTCCCAGCTGCGCCATTGCCCCAGAACATGAAAAATGGGTTGGGATAAGTCTTTTGTATTCTAGCTGTTGCATGGTCAGCATGTAATGCGTTTGGTCGTATGATACGAAATAGGGCTTGGTAAAATGCCTTTGCTAATTGATATAATATTCATGTCTCTCATCTGTACTGGCTTTGATGGCTTGCCCTCTGGCGCTTCGCTGGTTTGAGAGTATACGATAGTTGGTGGCTGGGTGTCTCACTATATATATTGTTGGTAGGAAAGGCATCACACCAATCATGTCATACAAGACTCATTTAGTAATGAAGAAACATTGCTCTACCAGCATAAACATGACATATCCCAATAAACAGCCATGAATCCACCCGTAACGACCAAGTTGGACAACGCTCAATCGACCATACCCTATAGTGGCCAAAAAGAAAGTCGACACTCATGGTTCCGCCAGTGGGAGATAGTGAATTGCTTCAGGAATCTTCAGAAATCTCTGTATACATCGAAGACAACAGAGTAGTGGATATTTGCGGTTCCCAGCATCAGGGATCATCATTGTAGCAGGACGAATGACTGAAGAGTCAAAGTCAGTCAGCCCCTGCTGCACGTATTCATGTTCCTTAATCACCACAAGCCAAGTACTGTGATATGTTCATTCTGATCCAGGAAGGAGAACTCCAAGATGCGTTGGGACAGGGCGCTTGTCAGCTCGCACGTAGGCACCGACCCGAAACGGCTTATTTGGGTGATTGGGGTACCGGAGACTGAGCGGGTTGGAAGACAGGCCCCCGGAAAAGAGTTCGCGAAGCTCGTCAGTTTCCTCAGCATCTTCCGAGGAGGGAGTAAATAAGTCGCAGATCTCAAGAACTTCATGGAGTCTGGACATCATAGGAAGTATAGCATTACGGGTAGTTTCATAATCAACATCAGAAAGTGTTTGTTCTGCTTTATCTCCATCCAATCGGTAGCCAACGAGATCTTGTTCAAACATATAGTTCAGAAGGGCATCAACGCGTCTCATTTGATCTTCCTGGTGGTGATACTGTTGGCTCCTCTTGGGGATGTGGACTAGACAAGCGCTGACTTGGTTTGGTATGCGTTACGGAACCATAAAGCCCCAGTTATCCATTAGGTTCCTGCGAGCCATTGTCGTAACCTCCACCTACATTTCTGAGCAAAGCAGCCGAGGAGAGCACTCGAGTATTCCTTGCTCCATGGAGATTTGTTGTAGAACATCTGTAGTGACATCGAACTCATAACTATATAGTGCATGTTCAGGGTAGATTGCCTGCTCCTCCAGCTGCTGAAAAGTGACATCGTCAGTAGCTTCTGGCCAACTTTCCTGCAGAGCCTCCCAGAGAGCTGACAGTTGTGCCTGGCCTTATTCACCTATTCTAGCCCGACGGCACGAGGTAGGGGGGTCCGAAAAACGTTTGATCGACGTGACGAACGCCTCGTGGGCAAGAAAGTATCAACCCATCGGTGGTGCACTGTAGTATCACAAGGTATTATATAGTTTAGAATATCTCGTATCCTCTGCAGTGACTTGCCACTTCTCCTGTCACTGTGCTGTCGATGAATTTGACATCTTGAAGTTCGTCGAAAACGTTATATATGGGGTCTTGTCTAGTGTTTGGATCAGGTCAATTTATAGGGCATTGTATATACATGCCTGACAGCAGTTGACTCTTCGCCCAGGTTGTAGATTGTCTATCAAAGCTTGAGTGAGAGAAGTCCCGGCTGCTATTCCCATCCCATAGCTGAGATGTTTTCATGCCTGGAAAGCCGGTAAAAGCGAGGGCATGGTAATGGTTAGTATGCCTAGTAAACGCTGACAGTAGAGGCACAACCTCTCAGATATTCTGTTCGTGGTCGAGACTGAGCTCAGCGTCATACAGTAAAAGCCCCCTCCGGCTGTAAATTCATGGCCGATGCGCCTCCCGAGTTTTTGTGCATGACCTGGGATACAAGACTGCAGGCTCAAGAAGCGTCGTTGTACGTTGAATGTTCGATAGCGAGGCGTACATCGCCTAGGCATTGCACAATAGATAAGAATTAGCATATCGAGCCCGACTTTGCGTTTCGGCAGTCAAGCTTACCAGAAAGGAGAATGGCTGCAGAGATGGTAGGATAATCGAAGCAGCGGCTTATCGTCTTCTGATTTTGTGACGAGGCAAACGAGGGCCCCCCCCCTGGAGATAGTTGATGAATGCTGTCAAAATTGGCTTCGTATAACCAGCTTGACGCGCAGACTGGTATTTACCATCTTCTAGTGTTCCTCAGAAGGAAGAAAGAGGCAGTTCTTCGCTGCTGGAAAGCCAGGCTGACACAGCTTGCTCAGGCAATAGAGTTGTCTTGAAACAACACAAGGAAAGTTGATGGGCTTTTTTAGGTGACTTGCATAGGCAACCTTTGCATTCACTCCACACTGTCATGCATGCAGGTTGGACTTTTCTTTGTCCTTAGAGTAGTTAGTTGTTCACTGCATTACTATACCATTTGAAGCGTATTTATCTTCAGGAATCGACTGGCCGCAGTATAATAGGCAGAGACAATACTGATATTAAGCTTTGGAGCCCTTAGAATTCATGGTCGTAAGAGGAAGATATCCAGATGGAAAGCAGATAGACTGGCAGAGTCATATTGTCAAGAAGGCTGATTATGTCAACAATTATGGGGCAATGGCGCAGCTGGGAGCGCGTTAGACTGAAGCGTCAACTTCAGTAACAGGATTCGTTCCAAGTTTATCTAAAGGTCGCTGGTTCAAGCCCGGCTTGCCCCATTTCTTTTTCTTCACTTTATCTTCCCTTCCTGGGGATTGACTGTTTCTTTTTCTTACTCTTTCACGCAAAAAATAATTATGACTTTTTATTGGTTGACATTAGAAGCACTATTTGATGGCTACTATGGGTATACTATCTACTTCCCGGTTAATCCTTAGGTAGGTTGCTCTAGCTGCTTTAGGGGTACTTACTATAGCCTATATATATTCTAGTAGACAAAAATATGATAAAGCCAAAAACACTTATATAACTCATCTAAATATCCCAAACTCCAAAACGTGTACCTAATCAAGTCCCAACATTCCCCACCACCACTCCTTACTCCGTTGACTGAATTCAAACAAGCTCTCGTCTTAGCCCTGGATGGCCGCATCCTGCTGAGCCGAGGGCTGAATAGGCATGATTTTGTTGAGATCTCTAACAAGCTCCCCGGCATCCACGGCGTCTTGTCTTCTCTGTGCATGAGTAGCTCGCATCCCACAGCTAAAAATCTTGATGATGGCAAGGTCTAACTGGGATATATAAGGGAGGGTATTGGTTTTCTTTGTTGCCGCAATTGTCATTGCTGTTTGGGGGACATATGGTGCCTTTTACTCCAAGTCAGTAGCTTGATTGATGTAAGATAAATTCATGGTGCTTACAATTTGGCCTGATACAAACTTGATGGGTATATCATTTGGAGGAGACAGGTGGGATTTGAATCTGAATTTGAATCGCATTTCTGCCGGTTGGGATAAGTCATTAGGATACACGACTGTGAGGCCTTGGGTTAAGAGCTCCGAGGCTCCGGAGGGAAGCTCTTCAAGGCGAGGACCAAGGTCGACTAGAAAATCCACCTCCTGCACGATCAGTATTAATCAAAGTTGGGTAGATGAAAAAAGAAAACGAACCCGTGTCTCTTGAACCATCGGCCGGTATTTCTTAACAGCAAGGCCACCAATAATCAGGATTCTGACATTTTGGAACTCCTCGATATCCTGGAGTCGGTGGATGACTTCTCTGGCTGCTACTTCTAGCTGAGGCTGGGTGGTCATGATGATGACGAGGAAGATGATATTGGGATTGCTATGTTGCTAGGATGTGTATATATAAGTCGGTCATTCGTCCTATCTCTGCTACATTCTCTTTGTTTTGGGGGTCTTAGTTCGATACAACCATGTCTAATATCGCAATACATCTCAAGTAGCAATACACTGGCTTTGATTTTCTTTTTCTTTGATGGTCAAATTCTTTGATTGTTTAAGACTTGAATATAAAGATAAAATTTATACTGAATGGCGAAGGAATTGTTTCAAATTGTTGCTCAATTCTACAAAGAACACATACCAGAACTAAACAAAGAAACAACAAAAAAGAACAATCTACAACCTAATAAAGGCAACTTCATCAACATCCCTTGGACACCTAGCATATCTAGCCCTAGTTGCCTCTTCCACATCATAGTCCGGCGATGGGGGAAGCTCACCACTTGCAACCATCTCCCTCCTCATCCGTCTTATCATGTTCCAAGCATTCTCCCCCCCATCCTCCACCGTGAAATAGTTATATCTATGCCAGATGGCCTGAAACCTCGGTGAGACGGTCTTTATTACATTCGTCTCAGGATATTCCCGATCCTCACAGAAAAAAATTAACCATTGACACCATGTATTCTGCAAACAGTTTGGCTGGTCAATATCGTGAACATTAAGCATCAACGTCGCCTCGGTGATGGTACTTGGATTGAGGATTTTAATCGGGTACAGGTCCATCCAGGGTCCGGTTCCTCCATAGGGGTGATAAGGTGGAAGTCGAGGATCGGTAGAGAGCATAAAATGGGGGTCGTTGTCTGGGGGCGGAGAGATGGTGAGGTCTGGGAGCCACCAGACGGTGCTTTACTTGGAGTAGAGGGATAGCTCAGTGTAGCGCTCGGATGGGTCTATACCCTTGAGATGGAAATGCGCGTCGGGGAGAGGCCTGGCCCAGAGGACGTCGATTCGGAGGCGGTCGCAGGAAGAGTTCCTGCAGAGACGAAAACCAGCGTCGTAGAGAGTTTCCCTGGCTGTAATAAAGAGGGGTGGATCTTATAAAATCTACTGCCGAGGGGCAAAGTAGCATATGTTGTACCCATGACGTTGATGCCATTGTATAACACTCGCTCTCTCACTTCTCACTGGTTGACTATTACAAAGAAAAATCATCCAGACACAGCTGTTCCTGAAGCCACTGGGTTGATCTCTATTGAAAAGTAAGCACATGCTTTTCATTCTGGCTTATAGGAAGACAGGAAAATAGACAACCCTACCCGACCCTCCGCCATGCAGCGCAAATTCATGCAGGCAGCTCGGAATCCTCCAGACCAAATAAAAAACCTCAACCCAAAGCTCTAACATACTTCTTCTATGACGCCTTGATCCGTCGACGCTGGACAGTGTTCTTCAACGCTCTCAACCATAGGAAACAAGACATGCCGTGATATATGGCACTCCGCTGAAACTCTGGGGAGAATACCCTGTCTTTCTCGACGAAGACGGCGAACACATTATTCATGGTGTGACATGTGAGATTGATTCATGGGAGGAGGCGATGAGACTGGATGCGTATGAAACTGAGATGTACTTGACGACAGGATGTTTGGTATATTTTGATGACGGCACACAGACCTGTGGGCTTGTTTATTATTGGGTTGGAGATAGAGCATTTCTTACGGATGGGACGTTTGATCTTAAAGACTACCTGTTGAAGAAGAGAGAGGGCGGCATATACAATTCAAAGTGAAATGGGCTTTGCATTCATATTTATCAAATGCAAACTCTGCTTAATCGCAAGTTAATCCTCCTTGGACCTTAAATACTAAAAGAAAACCACCCAAATATCAGTACTTCTCCTATGCAGCCCTCGCCTAGAACCTGGTCTACTCAATAACTGTGTTTTCGATAGCGCTATCCCAGCGGGCGTGATATTGATGACATTTCAAATATCCAAAGAAACCGTGGTAGGACGAGGATCGAAGCCTGTCCATTGACTCATGATAAACGTCTTATTAGCTGCATTATACAAAGCTAGTACGAAGCCAATCCAACCCTCCTTCACTCCCTATTGACGACCATTTGATATTATGTCTTACAGTACACTATCCCATTCGATTACTACCCAACGAATAAGAACCACCCCACAGCGGCATCTGACCCGTTTCAAAATAATTGATTGATTGATTGACTGCATGTACTGTATTGTACTATAATTACATATCACAGGAAAAAGGGGGCTATCCAACCCAGCTCATACTGTCACCCAGCACCGAGAACCGTGCTGGAATTCAATGCAACGCCGTGGCGCTAGTAGGTCGACAGAAAAGAAAAGGAGAAGATGGAAACACGACGAATGGGAAGATGGGCCAGAGTCTAGACTTAAGGTACATACGTACGCTAGCTTTGAGGTCAATATGCTCAATATAGCCGGTTTCAGATTGATATTAAGCCAAGCTAAATACTCCGGATTGCTAGCGTTTATAGGTAGACTTGGGGGGTCTCCTTTATCTGCTTGCTTGTTTGCTGTTGCGAGAATTTGTTTTGGTTCTAGGCTCTAGGGGGATGAGGTTGAGATAGGCATCAGTAGGAAGGTCTTTGGATAGATTGTCTGGGGTTGATAGATACCATGGCTGGAGTAACTAGAGTATGTAGAGACGGCAGGAATGCTGTCAGCCCTATCGGGATCACCCCTGGTCAACGTGGGGTGAGAGTGAGGACGGAGCGAGTCGATAAGATAATACAGAATGACATGTTATTACTCTTTAGTCAGATATAGGTAATAGGTATCCAAGTTAAATATTTTACTATCAACGTCTACTACACTGTACATAGCAGCAGTATCATACAACGTAGAAAGAATTGAAGAAGGAAATGACATGATAGTATGAACTAAGAAAATCACAGTAGCCAATGGTATAATGTATGTACACAAAAAAATAAAAAGTAAAATCGTCAAGGCCGGAAGATGATTGCTGCAGGGGCAGGCAGACCCTCACAGGCACACAAGAAAACACCTCCCCAAGCTAAGCAATTTTGCAAGGAAGGAAAGGTATTAACAGAAAACGTAACTAAACAACTAAGTAATCTAGTTGTAGTTGACGTGGACGGTGAGACGGACAGGTCCCTCGGAGATGGTACCACCAAGGCCGTCAACACCGGCCAGAGCACTGGTGTAGGCGTTGATGATCTTCTGGGCAAGGCTGCTGATGGTGGAGCACTTGCCGCCGAGGTGGTCACAGATGTTCATACCCTGGACCTCGAGACCGGCGTTCTGGGCAATGATGGCGGAAACGTCCCAGCCGGAGTGACCGTTGTTCTTGGAGTTGCCAAAGTCGAATTCACCCCAGGTGCAGGCATAGGCACCGTACTTGTCCTTGGGGATGTCCTCGCCCTTGGCGGCACCCCAGCCACCCTGAGAGTCATCATCGAAAGCAACGAACTTCTCCTGACCGGGCTCAAGGGTGAACTTCAGGGCAGAGTTTCCGTACCAGCCGTTCAGGCCTCCATCGGGGCCAATCTTGTTCCAGAAGACAACAGTCCAGGGGTCGGTGTTGCTACCAGTGAATCTGGCGACGTGCTTGTACTGCGAGGCCTTCTCGGGGGAGACTTCGATGATGTTGCTACCCCAGGGGCTTCCGACGTTGCCCTTGAAGAAGATGGAGTTGACACCACTGGCAGAGGTTCTCTTACCGAAGCCCTCGGTGCTGAACTGGCCATCCGCGGGGGTGGAGGTCCAGTCCGAGTTGCCCGAGGAGGAAGAGGAGGAGCTGCTTGGGGCGGCGGTAGGCTCGGCGGTAGCAGTAGCGGAAACGCTGGCGACGACGGAGGCAACGGGGGTAACCTCGGCGATGGCAGTGGTGGTGGCAGAGGAGACGGTAGAGGTCTCGGCATGGCCAGACCACTTGTTGACCCACGACTGCAGGACACCGTCGATGGTAGCATAGACCATGTCACCAACAGCGCGCTTGTCGTGGTGGTAACGGCGCTCATGGCCGTGAAGACGGCCAACAGCAGAGCCAGCGGTCAACGCTGTGAGCAAGAGCATCGAGTTCTTGAGCTGCATCTTGGAAGATTGATTTGTGCAATGATAAACAGATAGATAGGTTTTGGTAGGATTGAATCGAGGGTATCACGCAGTAACGACCCAGGGAACGCAAAGATAAAGAATGTCTTTAGTATAGAAAGAATGACTCGGAGCAATATCAAGATTGACGAAGCTCACGGGAGTAGAAAGGAATGTAAAGCGAACCCGGGGGTAGGAAGAAAAGGTTGGAGAAGAAAAGAAGAAGAAGAAGAGAGGAAAAGGCGCTGGGGGGAACAGAGGGGATAGATATGATTTGGGGCAAGGCAACTTACAGTGGTTACAGAAAGCGACTAGGAAATAATTAATTAAACGGAATAGGGGACGATCAGGGGAGCCCGGCGCCACTGCGCTATTTGATTGGCCGAGAGCGAGCGGCTGTCCCTGAGTGCACCGGCGGCCGTTGTCCCATGGGCTGCAATTGGCCCGAGTGGGGCCAGGCGGGCCAACCAGGGCCGGGGTCGAGACCCTGAGTCTTTTGGAACCAGGGTTGCCGATCGCTGTAATCCAGTGTACCGGTATTGTACGGGGTAAACAAAAACAGAGATATCGCAGACAGTTGTGCTGATATGGATGGGGTTATTGGCCAATATCGATAGATAGTCTGTCTCAGTCGACTGAGAATGTAGCCTTGATCAAGCTTAGATGCGCAGAGTAACATTCCGATTGATGGCATTCTGGGGTTCCTTACGGAGTACAGTACCCAACAATATCCCGCTCAAGTGATCGAAGATACGCAGTACAGCAGACCACTGATACGGACCATAGGGCTATTCGGATTCAATAATCGAATGCCACATTCCTACACGAGAAAACTCTGCCCAACATCACAGAGCATTCAATCACACATCAAGGCTTTATGCTTCAGACTCCATACAACGGCTGGTGGGTTGCCACATCAGGCCCGCCGACCCACGTGTCGACCCTTGGGTTCAGCCCGGGAAGCAGACAGAATGAATTCATGATGATGATTTGGCAGGCATGACAACCGGATTGCAAGAAACCATGAGTCACCTCTGTCTGGTTTGTTTTTCTGCTGGTCAATTGCAGATATTCTCACCGCTGGGAAAAATTCAATCGAAACGGGCCAATGGGAGTGATGGTAGATGCAGCAAACGTCGTGTTCCTGCAGGGTGATATTCCCTTACGGCCTACACCGTTCGGGTTCCTATGGTTCATCCGATCTGTAAGGTACCAGGCAAGGTACCTGATCATCATCCGATGCTCTGTCCATTTCCATGAGTACTTTTGCTCTATCTCCTAAGTAACTGCCAAAGGAGTCGACAGAGTGCTGACTGCCTCTATCACGCAAACACGCACGCACATTTCGGCCCCAAGGCCTAGCCAGCAATCGCCCCTCATGAATGGAGAAAATCAACCGTGTGGGGCGGGCGAAAATTGAAAATAAAGAATCCATTTTGCGAGTCTGTGTGGAAAAGACTGTCAGTGCGTTGGCCATCGACCTGTCCAAATCTGGATGCCCTAGAAACTTAATCCAATCTATTCTGGGCGTACACACATCGTAAAGGAAAAATAGGCTACTATCAGACCATCCCTGGAGATGAAAGCTATGTATATCCATGGGATTTGTTATTAATGAATAATAATAACCGTGACAATGTGGAAATTTGAGCAACTTGTGATTGTGGGTACAGACTCCAGAGCAATCTGAAATATTCCCTGCCTCTTGCTACCGCCTGCCTTATCCAGTCTTCTATCATCAGTTGGACTGTATCTTAGGTGTGTAGGTTAAGGTAGTCTGTTTGTTCTTTGGTTTGTAGGCTTTGGATATTCACTGATATCAGTAATTTGTGGTTTGCCCCCTTGCTGGGAGAAGAGATTAGGTAATCCATTACTGCGTTCTGACACTTGCCTACAAACATAAGGTTGTTCAGACTACAGAGTATCTTCATCGTCTTCTTCACTTCCAATACTTACTCTCCAGTCTCCGTACTATCATCAACATGGGATAAGACTCTGTAAGTCATGGCTCCAGCAAAAACTAAGCTTCGCATACTGACACAACATCTAGAAGATTACCATCGCAACTGAGGGATAGACCACAGACCCTGACGAACTTGGCAATGATGAGTGGAATGGCAAATACGAGGGCGGTCCTGGTAAGATTTGGCTCAAGATCTTTGGCCTTCCCGCTCCTCGACCTATCATGTGTCGTGCCCGCAAGACTGGCGATTGTACGGCCTCTTTACGTCTGCCAACAAGTTTTACTTCTATAAGATGATCAGGCTTGGGAGGTTACTCTGTTCTGTGGCTTGGATACGGTCATACAAGCTATAGGTGAGAACAATGAGACATTCCTAAAACTCAAGCAGAGTCAAGGGTAGATGGTGTCGACAGATCGGGCCACAGCAGCTCTCTCCGTTCATCTTCCAAGTCCCTTGGCATGTCATTTCCAACCCTATTTTCCGGGGGGTTTCGGCTGCGCATTCGAGAAAATCCTAAGAAACAGAAACTTGGCGCTACAAGCTCCTACATACGTGCTCGATTAGCTCTTGTTGGCGGTTAGCCAGAGAGCCTCTGATGCTTGCGAGCTGTTCCTTTAAGGACTCCCTGTTTTACGAGATCGAGAATCTTCTGCGACACAACAGTTCGCAATTTGCCGAAACATATCTGCCAAAGCTGATGAAGTAAGTTTTATGCTTACTTCCCTTAATGAATCTTTACCTTCGAAGTAAGAGCATGATTCCAATAGGCAAAATTTATGGCTCGCGCTTCAAAATGCTCTTCGTTGCCCTGAATACCAAGTCTGCGGAGCCTTCGAAGCCCTTGTTCAAACTGCACTGAGATGATCAGGCTTTATAGCGACAACATAGAATATGTCCAAAGCAGATTGAGCCTCCATTGAGGCATGTGAAGAATATTGATGTATTCTGTTGTATTGGTGGAACACACTAGTATCGACATCCCGCGGGACTCGTCATCTGTTTCTGACGATCCTCTAAAGAAAGAAAACGAGGATCACTTTCCAAGGCAGGTTAGCTATTCCTTTTTTCTGGCTTATCTAGCACAATACGGAAGACTATTTCAAGATCGGCCGGATGGTGTAGTTGGTTATCACGTATCGTTAACAGTTCAAACTGAATCCGATAAGGTCCTGGGATCGAGCCCCAGTCTGGTCATTCTTTTTTGCTTTTTATTCTGTTCTTCTACAGAGTAAATTAGTTAAAATTTTTTTTTTTTTTTGCTCTTCTTTTAAAAGACATAATAAATCATAAATTGTCTATGGAGTACTCAAGCTGGCTATTTCTTCAAATCGACTCCCCCATCGAATGCGCCCCCTCCTGCATCTGCATCCACCTTCATACTCTCTTCTAACCCACAAATCCGGAACATCTTCTGCGGCGTCAAATCCTCACTGAGCCCCGGCAATCCATCTTTCTTCAGTTTCTCCATCGTCTCCCGAATGGCTGTAAAAGCCGGTCCTAACGCCGCACATGGGAAGATGATGATACGGAACCCCATCTCCTTCGCCTCCGCAGAAGAGATACTCGGCGTCGCCCCATGTTCAACCATGTTCAGCAACAGCGGCCACGGCGCCAAGTCCTTCACGGCTTGCCGCGCCATCTCGCGCGATGTGATCCCCTCGAGGAATCCAACGTCTGCCCCCGCCTCGCGCGCTGCCTGCAGCCGCGCCAGGCTCTCCTCGTAGCCGTGTGTCTGCAGTGAATCCGTCCGGGCGATGATCACGATATCACTGCCCATGCGCTGTCGGGCTTGCACCGCGGCCCGGATCCGGGTTAGATAGGTTTCTTTGTCGACGAGGATCTTGCCTGAGAGGTGGCCGCAGCGTTTCGTCTGCACTTGGTCCTCGATGTGGAAGGCTGCCACGCCGGAGCGGGAGTATTGCTCTGTGGTACGGGCGACCATGATGGGGCCCCCGTAGCCGGTGTCTGCGTCGGCGATGACGGGGATGGTTGGGTCGAGGTTGGCGAGCATCTCGGCGTTGGCTCGCATATCGTTCAGAGTGCAGATGCCCAGGTCTGCTTGGCCGTGGACAGAGCCGGCCGTGCCAGCACCAGTCTTGGATGGTTAGCTGGTAGGTATACTCTGTGTCAAGGAGGGTAAACCTACCATGTACAAGGCATCAAACCCCACGGAAAGGGCGATACGAGCTGAAATACCATCATAGACTCCCGGTGCGGCAATAAAGGAACCGGGTTCCTCGAGAGCACGGCGAAGAGTTGTAGCTGCTGTAGTGATAGGCATGGTGTATGGAGATGCGGTGAGCTATCAGGATGAGGGATATCCAGACAAGGTGCGGGGGAATCCTATGCTTAAAAGACAAAGAACAGGAGTTGGAGCAACCCAGAGTTTTATACAACGTTGTGCAATTTTAAGTGAATAATGAATGAGTTCTTTCAACCAAATCCTTGATTTGTCCCAGCAACGCCGCTGGCAACCGACATCCGGCTGGCCGACATCGGATTGGTGGCATTAGATAATCGTGTGAGGGGATAATGGTGGATTCAATCAGACGACTTTATAATCTTCTCATGTGATGCTGTTCTTATTCATGGAGATACTGAAGGTGGTGTTAATCATGGCGATCATGTTCAAGGATGGAGGTTGCGGTGATATTGGAGGAGCTTAGCCACTACCTCATATACTGCACCACTCAACTACGACCATACTGAATGAATTAATTATATTGTGAGAATTATATTCTTATATAAATGATCCAACACAGAAAATATAAATTCAAACAATAAATGTAGGGTTAAAAGCATGACGTTGTGTTCGATTTCTACTGCCACTAGCGCCACCCTCGAATCCTCGAATCTTCAAATCCGCACTGCAACTTCGACTTCATCTTTCCTCCAACTCTCTCCTCACATCCACCTCCGGGCTTCTTTCCCCACAGAATGAGCCCAACGAGCATGCTTTCTTCATAGTATTTCTAATTTCCCTTTATTCTACGACCCCCTCGAATCCCAACCATTCCTCTCCATGGCGCGCTCCTCCATCGTCCAAGAATACGCACCGCCCGCTCCCTCCACCCCCACCCTCAGTCTCGACCAGAAAGTCACACTAGAGCGTCAGAACAATGGCATCACCCGTCCAAAAGGCTATCGCGTCTCCTGGCACGCAAACCCGGCCGTGGAACCGCACCATTTTGGCCAGTCGCATCCAATGAAGCCATGGCGGTTAACCCTCACCAAGCAACTGGTTATGGCCTACGGCATGCACCACGCCATGGATCTCTACCTGGCGCGCCAGGCCACATACGAGGAGATGGCTGAGTTCCACAAATCCGATTACCTTGATTTTCTGCGCCAGGTTATGCCCGGTGATATGGAGAACGCCGAGCAGAGCGAGAACATTGCGCGCTTCAACTTTGGCGACGACTGCCCCATCTTCGACGGCCTCTACAACTACTGCTCCCTCTACGCCGGTGGCACCATCGATGCCGCGCGCAAACTGTGCAACAACCAGTCCGAAATTGCAGTCAACTGGTCCGGCGGCTTGCACCATGCCAAAAAGGCCGAGGCCAGCGGCTTCTGCTACGTTAACGATATCGTCCTGGGCATTCTGCAGCTGCTGCGACACCACCCGCGCGTCATGTACATCGACATCGACGTCCACCACGGCGACGGCGTCGAGCAAGCCTTCTGGTCCACCGACCGCGTCCTCACCGTCTCCTTCCACAAATACGACAAGGACAATTTCTTCCCGGGCACCGGCGCCCTCGACAGCACCGGCCCCCAACACTCCCTCAACCCAGGCGCCCACCACTCTGTCAACGTCCCCCTCCACGACGGCATCGACGACGACTCCTACATCGAACTCTTCCAGAACGTCATCGGCGCCTGCGTAAACACCTACCAACCCGGCGCCATCGTCCTCCAATGCGGCGCGGACTCCCTCGGCTGCGACCGTCTCGGCTGCTTCAACCTCAACGTCCGCGCCCACGGCGCCTGCGTCGCCTTCACAAAAACCTTCAACCTCCCCCTCCTCGTCGTCGGCGGAGGCGGCTACACCCCGCGCAACGTCTCCCGTGCTTGGGCCCACGAAACCTCCATCCTCATCGACGCCCAGGACACCATCGACTCCAGCATCCCGGAATCAGTCGCGTTCCGCAATCACTTCGGCCCGGATTTCTCCCTCTTCCCGCCTCTCTCGGAAATGCGCAGACTCGAGAATAAAAACCCCCGCCCGTACCTGGAAAGCCTGATGGAGGCCATCCACGAACAACTCCGCTACATCAAGGGCGCTCCCAGCGTGCAGATGAGCTTCATCCCGCCTGACATCCTGGGTTTGCGCGAGGACACGGAGAAGGAAATCGAAGAGGAAGCGGCGATGAGAGAGGAAGATCAAGAAGAGTACGAGGGTGGAGGTTCGAGGGCGAAGAATAGTCGACGGAGAGAGTTGGAGCGGGCGGCTGGCTCCAAGGGGGAATTGTTTTCCTAGCCTGCTTCCCCCCCGCCTTCTCCCTCTTGTTTTCTTTTCTATATCTTTGGGAATCGGGTTCGGTGTTTGAGAATCATTCATGGCGTTGGTTATCGGGGTGGTTTGATTAAGGTTCTTTTTCTTTCTCTTTTTTCATCTATCTGGATGATTTCTAGATATCCCGTGTGGCAGCTGTATCATTGTACAGTAGTTTTCTGATATACGGCAAGTGGTTATCTTGGATAAACACAATATAAAAAGAATACAATACAACACTTTGGACAAAGACTAACATCATGAAATATAATTTTATATTCTAGCCACTGAAGACCTATTAGTTAGGCCAACATACATGAATATTCAATATATCACCCTTTCCCCAATGCTCCGTGACCGCTTTCCTCATGCCCCTATATCTTATTGTTCATTTCATTGCCTTTTTTTATTTTCAAAATCAAATCGGGTATCCAGCAAGGTGAAGTGATGGGAAAACAAATCGGTCAAATACGCTGTGTTGAACACGAAGGGGGGATCAAAATCCAAGACCGGTTCTTCTTTTTCCTTTTGGTACTCTACCCTGGTTAACAAGGGAGCTGCCAATGGGATGATGGTATGTCAGGGGAACTGACATCTACTTTATAATAAAATATCAAAAAACGCCGCAGGCTTAATGTGCAGAATTATGTGCCGTGTTGGATTGCTCACGACTTTTGCTTGTCCGCTGCGTCGACGAATTCGTCCACACCTGCAGTCTGGGAGTCTAGTCGTAGCACGGGCTCTGAAGGTTTGGGCTGGGCGGATGCCCCGTCTGCTGTCGCCGGGTTGGCGGAATCTGTTTTCGAGCAATCTTCTGGCTTTTGCTCCGAGTGTGGTGGGATTTGGAATTGGCCGGTCTCTTTTTGACCCGGCAGGATGGGAGCAATAGATGTGATCTGCTTAATGGCATGCTCGGGGTTGTGCGAGTCACTGGCGGGCATTAGTTTCATCTAAAAGCACATGGATTCACTGAACTTACACCTCTGCATTAATAATCCAGTCGAGATCCTCCTCCCCTTCGTCAGGGCCACCAGGGCCCCCTTTGACGTGACGGAATAGTCTTGGATGCCACTCTACACCATCATCTGCTCTCCGGGCGGCTTCTTCTCGTTGACGATCCTCGATCTTGGTCTTTTCATCAGTTGCCGCTTCGTGGTTTCTTGTGATGATAGCCTCGACGGTCTTCTTCCACAGCTTTTGCGATTCTCGCTCACCCTGCTCTTCGAGTGGCCGTGCCAAAGGAGAGCTGTGCTTTGCATGTGTTGCGTTGAAGAGAAGATCTTTTTGGTTGGTCTGATGATTGTCAGTTAAAGATCCACAGGAACTAAGCAAGAAAACCATACGTGAACGTTCTTGATGAACATCTCACCATTCCACAAACCCGAGAGTTCGTAGAATACCTCCCCCGTCTTCTCGTTCTTGATCGTTCCACCGATCGCATTATAGGTGCCCGAGAAGTATCCCTTGGTTTTGAATTCGATATCCGCAATCAGGTCGTTCTCTGGACATCTCACGTAGCTGTGGTCTCCAAGCTCATACTTCATCTTTCCAAAAAGGATGCCGCGGGCGTACATGTTGGGTTGCGTCACGATGCTGGAAATGGTTAGCTAGCCAAACACTATTTTACCCCCAAGGGTTTGTAGCATACTATCTTTCACCCTTCTCGCCTTTTCCTCGGTTCAACAATCGCAAAATGGCAATGCCCTCCATCAAACTTGCTGCCGAGTTTCCGAGGAACCGACTGCGAGGCTTCAATGTTCCATCTATCCGGATGTTGTGCTCTGGCGCCATAAAGAAGTAACTCGATTTCGGAGGGTGGTGGGATGTCTGTTCAGAGATGTAGTATCCTCGGGTGCCATCTTGGTAATCCCAGTAGGAAGTAAAGGTTTCTCCAAGGATGGGGTTCAACGGCTTCTTTACCCCTCTATACATGCCTCATTAGTACCGGAGCTCCCGGAATGTGAAAAGTAGAAGTCGACATACGGAGGTTTGATGTGCCATCCACTCAGGTAGAACCGGATGACGGAGATGAAGCGTTCTAGGGGGTCGTCGATGGTGGACATGGGAAGGAGGGTTTCGGGGTGTGCCATGAAGCTATAACACAACCATCAGCATGAATTTCCAAAGACACAGACAGTATGAAAGCCATTTCCTGGTCGACTTTCCAACGTACTTGGTGATTCTTTCCAACATGGACCGTGGTTCGAGGATAAAGGTAGGCAGCACAACTCGACTCAGATCTGCGCCCGGTCGCAACTGGGAGATGATGTGGGAGAGCACTAAATTGTAGATACTGTCAATATTCACCCATGTATATTTATTTTCTTCTTCTTTATCTCCTTCCCTCATGCCAATAAAGGGTAAACGTACCATTTCCCTGGTCGGCTTCCACAACCTCATCGTCCCCGCTCGTACCGACAGCATCGTTTTTCGGTTCATCAATGGAAGACCGGGCGCCTGGATTAAAGAAAGAGCCCCAGTCAGCAGACATGATGGCGGAAATATACCAGATATGAATATCTTTCCAGAAAGAGGGTCACAAATGGATGAAAGAGGAGGGGAAGAGAGAGAGAAAAAGAAAGTCAAGAGATGGAGGAGAGAGAATGACGTGGGGGAGGTGTTCTGGAACGGTATGACGGCAGAAGCTTTTCTTTTTTTGCGGGCACTCACTGGCAGCGCTGAGGAGCGACGAGCGGCGCCGGATGTGTGGAACGGATATGGGCATGGTGTTATTATTATTATTTTCTTTTTTTCTATCGGGTTTCACAACGGTAAAGCTGTCAAGGCTGAGCAGAGAATAATTGCTGCAAACGGACTCTGTCGCTGGGGGCTGAAGGTAATGATGTTCTCTCCTTTTGGAATTGCAGCAATTGGGAGCAGCTGACGGAAACGATGGCGAAAGGGTCTCGTGGCCAAGGACGAGTCCAGTTACTTGTAGGTATGATGAGGATTGGGAGAGAAAAAAAAGGGGCAATGACTCTACGATGATAACAAGAATAGTAAGAGCAAAAAAGGCAAATAGTCAGAGGATTGCCTTGATTTCTTTTTCTTTCTTAGCAATTTAATTAGGCGGTGGATTCGTTCGTCGACTATCACAGCGTGGCCTGGCGGGGACAGAGAAAAAAAGTGACGTTTGACCACAAAAATAGGATAGCAGTGCGTACTCTATATAGTGAAGAGGAATGGGCTGGAGGAACCATTCTGTAATGAACGGATCAGAAAGACGTTGCTCCTTTAAACTCTCATCTTGGGTTTATATCCACCGGCAATCCTTTCTCTCATGGTGGTGAGATCCTCACCGTCTCAACCCATCTTAGCGAACGTTTTTTTGCACTGGAGATGATCGAGAGGGGCAGCAAGGCTTGGCGGGTGGGGTCTTTTTCGATGTCATTATTTTTTATTTTTTTATTTTTTATTTTTTGCTTTTGCGAAGCTCCAGGGATGTCGTGGCATGATGGCACGATCTTGATTGTTTGGTCATGGTTCAATTGTATGTCATGCATTCGTATATATCCGGTCTACTGTCGCTATTGAAATCATCTAAACGCCTCGACAAATGATCTAGTGGCTTAAACGCATCCATGTTCCCTGCAAAGCAATACCTGTATTCGACTACACCTTTTCGATCATTGGCATATCCCCTTGGGTGATCTCCTTCACAAATTCCATGTCAGGGTTGTGGAGCATAACATGGAAATGCTCAACGGCATGGACGGACTTGAGGGACTTCCAGTTCTTGAACCAGATGACCTGTATTGACATCAAAACCAGATTAGTCTATCGAAATTCACCACACAGAAGACAATCAAGACAAGCCTACCTGATCAGAGGGCATCCGTGAGCAATATGTCTTCTTCACATAGTCATCAATCTCCTTTCTCGCTCGAGGCGTCAAGTCATCCGTGGCAGGGTCATCTTCCAGGTCGAACTTGGTCCATACCACCAAGTGAATGATGCCTGTCTCGACCGCGTACGGCCAATCGTTGTATAGAGTTTTGATATCCTCTGCAAAAAATCATACGTTAGATCAATGCCAATTATCAAGTATAGTTGCAAGGTGCATGGGTACGAACCATCGAATTCAAACGGCCGTCCCTTGGGCTTCAGATCGTTGATGTCCCCGTCTCCCCATCGCAGTCTCTCCTTGACCACAAACCGCATCACAGATCCATACTGGGCCTTCAGATATGATGTATATTCGAGATACTTTCGCAGATCGGTAGGGATACGTTCGAAACGGTCGATTCGGTTCGTCTCTGTTGTGGAAGTCCTGTATCAGCAACCTATGCTTTCGCCCCAGGACGCACACTTACTGATTATCTCCTTCACCACATCCCAAGACAGTCTCTTGGATTGTTCATCCGGGGTAGATAAGATCCCGATCGATTTGGCTGGCAGGTCGCGTAGAAAGCTAGGACATTCGGCTGGCCATTGTGAACGGGGGATATTGACGAGCCAGTACGGGAGGGATTCGGCGGTCAGATTATTCTGTATAAGATAGTCGGCCGGTTGATTTGCGTCGGAGATGGTTGTCAATTTCTCGTCGATCGCAGTGAAAGTCGCAGCGGGCGCAGAAGGGCCAGTGGAGAAGTTAGGCATGGTGGGTGTACAGTATAAGGGGCAGCGAGAGGAGGTTGAAAGAACGATAGCTCTGTCAAAGAAAGCCGACACAAGTCAAGAACAGTGTGAACAGGAGCTCCCCAGACGTTATTTAACTGGTCAAGCTATCAAACTGTCGCGCTGTCCTGTCGAGGCCCCGAAGCGGTCGGGGGTGGGCTTCGGGGGACGTGGCGAAGGCCCCATATGCCAGTGTCGAAGGATCGGCGGGAGAAGGACCCGCACGGTCAACTATATTTCGACCGTTTGAGAAATGATTGACATCGATCAGGCATCTCGACTTGAGGAGGATGGAGGAAGCTGGTCAGTTGATAGTTCGTGTTACTTGTGTTGATATCTTGCATCTTGGGTTAAAGAGGTAAACGGGAGTACATGCGGTGTGTCTCTCTCTGCTTTATGGGAAATGCAATGCTCCACTATGATGTAGGTGGAGCCCCTGGTGCAGGAAGTAAGCATATATTCGAGACAAGACAAATGCAATAAAACAACAATCTATTTAAAATAAACTGGACATTAATTGAAAATATTGATTAAATGTATACTGCATAACTAGAAAGTGTTCCTGCTTGCCAAGAAGCATCGTCTTTGCCCACCCGAGGCTTGTATAGCTTCATAGCTTTTCCAGAAACGCTATCAACACCATCAACACCAAGAGCACCAAGATTACCTCAATAAGAAATGACATTATTAAATATATCAAACAAAAGCTCACGACCAGGTCATATCAGGTAAACAGCAAAAATAAAAAGAAACCAAACACCAGGAGACCCTGAGGGGCACGAAGACTGGTGGCTCTACCAAAAAAAAGAACCGCAGGGCGGGATCGAACCCGATCCCTCAGGGCTCTGTTCAGGGGGACAGTCAGCTCCCTAGGGACTACCCGCCGGTTCACCCGTCCTGGATTCTGTGAGCAGTAACTGCTTTCGATGGGTTATCTGTTCACTTGGGCTAGGGTTCCTGCCTGGTTTGTCAGGCTAGAGCAGGCAGGCAGCATGGTATCCGATGTGATGTAGAGATGATGGATGATGTGGGCTCTATATAAATGAACCAGAGTTATACTATTCTAATAGCACTCAAGTAGTCGATGTTGATTCCTAACTAGGCTGTGATAGACTTTCTTTATATTCTGATATCCCAAACCCTAGCTAGAATGGACCCCTATAAGTCATTCTCTTTACGTTAGACAGCGGCCTTTTTTTCTAAATATATTTAGATAGACATCAAGAGAAGCCCATGGATGGTTATTTTTTGGACAAGGAAGTTATACTGATTACCATCCTAGAATTCCAATTTCAATCCCTTACATCTAAACTTCTTTTCCTTCGCCGTTCCATTATGATAGTATGAAGATCCAAATCGAACCTGCACAATCTTTATGTTGAGTATTAACTATAAAATGTTTTAGTATAGTAGTTATCTTATTGGAGAAAGATAAGAGCCACGTCACAGCGGCCGTGCAGGGATTTTGCAACTCACAGCCTTGCGACTTAAGATACATTACTCATGCCCATTATTTTTACATTGCCTTCTTAATAAAAAATTCTGACATGTCTGATCCTCTTTCTGTAACTGCCAGCGCAGCTGGCCTTATCTCACTTGGTCTGGAAACGTGCAAAGGCATTGTCAAATACTGCGACGCATGGCGAGGCTCAGATGAGGAGATCGCCAATCTCACCACCAAAGCCGAAGGACTTTCCAAAACGCTGAAACACTTGGATAGAATCTTGATTGAAACAGACCAGATAGACCCAGAGATTGCGAGTGATATCAGCGCAAAGATCGTCGCAAATAGAAGTTGGATAACAAAGCTGAACGAGAAGATATCCAAATGTGTCGCCAGTTCGCAAGATAATGGCAGAATCCAAACAACTGCGAGAAAGGCCATGTATCCTTTTCGGAGGGATACACTATTGGGAATGAAAGATATTCTGCATGGCTTGCAAATGAATTTGCATACAGCGTTCCTTGCGTGAGTCTCTTAAATAGTTTGTCTATAGGCTTCAGATTGATCGTTTGACAGAGCGCAGCTCCAGCAAGTATCAGCGCTTGCCAAACAGGAAGAGTCTATCAAGAAAATTGAGATAATCAACGCTATGATATTGGCAAAGATAGACAAGTTTGGCACAGAAATCAACCAGATGGCACTTCCATTTCCACCACAGGCTCAACCCAGCTCTTATGCAGTCCAAAGTCGAACACGGCGTTGCCCAGATACAACTTGCCTATGTCCACAGCAGCTTGATACCATCTATCAAATTCATATTCCATCCTGTCTATTTTATAAATCCCCTCTGAGCACCAGAGTTCTAACAAAGAAATTCACATTTTGCAGCCAGTGGCTTGGGCTTTCTGTCAAGGCGGCCATTTCTTTCGCAAAGGGATCAAGTGGTCTCTCGATTAGTCCTTTACTTCAATTCCAAGCAATTGTGCCGCATGATTCAGGGGCTTTTGGAATTGTTTCAAGACCACCACCTTTGAACGAGAAACCCGAAGCAGTCGCTCGTTTCTATGACTACATGATACATAATCTGCAGCAGCTATTCGATGAAAGAAAAGCAAGCCCTACTGACCGAGAAAGGAATGGGATGACCTTACTACACGTACGTTATTTGCGATAGGGATGATTACTGTGCTGATATCAATTAGGCTGCTTGCCGTATCTGGCACAACAACTCCCTGAGGAATCCATTCGTGCCGATGCATCAAGCTCGAGTCATAAGATATCTTGCAAGAGCAGGCTGCCCAATAAATGAAGTTTCAAGCTCTGGTTTGACTGCACTTGACCATCTCGTGCAGTTTAGGATTGATGCAACTGTGAAATGCCTTATTTTTGATCTGATAGACTCTGGTGGTTTAATCACAAGTCGCGGAGTTATTGGAATAAACCTGCAAGGAATGAAATACTACTTTTCCAAAAAGAATGAGGGTATAACTTCCCCCCACTTTCGAAGGCTTGTACTGACTTCCAAAGGGTTTCTTCTCCCAAATATTGCAACAGCCATTCTCTCTCACTCGGAGGCCGATCTCAGGAACCTCCTTGATTCAGGATGCGCCGACCCAAATGATCTAGTGAATGAGGCCACGTTAATCCAGATGTCTGCAGACTGGCCAAAGGGACTTCGTATTCTCTTGGAAGCAGGAGCAGATATCAAAAGCCCGGATTCACGGGCGCTTTCTTTGGCAATAAAATACGACTTACTGGACTCTGCCAAAGTATTGGTAGAGGCAGGCTGCCGGCTCCCTCCACATTACATTGCAGACAGTAGGTCCACCGATATGGAGACAATTCTCATAGAGACGTTGGTCTCCAGGCGACAACAGCTCCAAAGGCTTGCCCGAAAGATGTTATCGAAGCATGATCAACACAGACTGGGTTTGTCAAATGATTGCCTGCCCGACAAGCATTCCAGGGAGATATATAAGACTTTAATTACCCAGGACATTCTTGTTGATCCATCCCTAAGCCCTTGCTTTCCAGGATCTTTGTTCCATGTGCCTTACCTGAAAACCAACCAACTCGAAACATTATACAAAGCTGGATTTCGAGATATCAACTCAGAATTCCTCAGAGACACTCCATTAATGGTCCCGATTTACTCGCACTCAATCCAGTCCTATCTTGATAGAGCTTTGTGGTTAATTGGGAAAGGTGCGAGCATGCACGAAACTATACCAGGGCACAAAGCAACGGTGACTCACGTACTCTGCCTTTATATTGCGAGAGCTATTACAAGACCATTACAAGACAGCTTCTCACTGTCCAAACCTCTCTGGGAAGACTTTCGGCTATCGCTGGTAGCTGAAATCTCTCGCCTTGATCAATCAAGCCGTATGTTTCTCCGAGAAGTATTTATATCAGACCACACCGATGATTGCACTTGCTACTGCTCTATCGGAGGATGCTCTCCATTACACATGGCTTTAAGATACATGATCCAAGAACTGACAAGCTCCAAGCTGTCACATGGGAGCAAAAACCAGCCCCAGGTTCAGCATCGTCGCATCTGCGCCATGTTCGACGTTTTCATCGGTGAAATAAAGGGATCTCCTGAAGCTGACCAGAAATTCATCAGGGCTATGACATTTAACGGTTTAGAACTTACGCACACCTGCTGTCAGGTGTCTGGTTTTAATAAGCTTTGCCTCAAGCCTAAATGATAAAGAGGAGGCCGAGGAAATCCATGATGAGGAACGTTATTTACTAAGAGGGTTTGAAGAGCTTCTTCATGAATTCGAGATGGAGCACAAAAGACTTGGTATTCCTCTGTGGGAGTTTATACAACGCCACTGGAGTCCAAGGATGAGGGATTATGTCCTGTCCCAAGGGGAAAATGCCTCTCCCGATGCATTGTACATGATATTGGACTACGATGAAACGGGGATGATGGCCTCTGTATAAGCATCTTTGAATAAAATACCGTCCCTGCTGCCTGGTGAGATTATAATCTGCTATAAATGATAAAAAGGAGGTTTCATAGAAGTCCAGTGCGTAGAAAGGAGAATTTACAGCTCTTAGGGAAGAGATAAGATCTCCAGGGCGACTAGAAGGAGTTGGATAGTTGCCTTGAAAAAAAGGCCTTCAGCTTTCTATTGTTATTGAGACTGTCCTCATTATTCGTAACTTGTCAAGCCGCTGAATCCAAAAGAAACCTAATACCCCGCAATTTTCAAAACCTCCGGTCCATCTGCCCCAACGACAGACACGCCTGCCTCGCTCAACTCTCGTTTGGTCTCTTCCCATCCTTTTCCTGGTATGACGCACCGAGTTCCCTCCTCAACGACAAAAGTCCGATATCCAGCCTTGGCCGCATCAATGGCGGTGGCTTTGACGCAGTAATCACCAGCCAGGCCAACAATAAAGACATCGGTGATTTTGCTTTCCTCGAGAACTGATTTGATATCCACATCCACTGACTGGAAAGTGACAGCAGGATCGAGATTGCCAAACGGATCTCCAAACACAGAGTACATTTCCACTCGAGCATCCATGCCCTTCTTCACATACACGTCGATCTTGTCAGTATCGATTTCGGATATGATAGAGGCGCCCTTGCACCCCGCCACGCAGTGCACAGGCCATAGCAACTGTCGCTTCGTCTCAGACTGCTTTCCCGGGGCCGGGTTGGTCATTTCGATGAAGGATTCATAGGGTTTGTTGTTGGGCTCGGGATAATTGCTGGCGAAGGAAATGTGGTCCAACGGATGGTAATCCTGGGTTGCAATACGAACCACGAAACCAGGGAGACCAAGAAGAGAATTGATTACCGGTGCGATTGAGCGGCCTCCTTCGACTGCGAGAGAACCGTCCTAAGGAAGCCGTCAGCAAGATTGTCTCTGGCAAGCTTATTATATGGAAACTTACCGGTGGACAGAAATCCTCTTGCATGTCAACCACAATAAGAGCACTCATCTTGATATACTGGAAGATAGCTGTCCGAAAAGGGTTGTCTATCTATCTGTGGTATTGGTGTGTCTCTTAATAGAAGAAGTGAACTGCGGGTACATAATGACTCCGTTAATCTCGGTGGTCAGGTCTTTGCCGTGGTGTAATCACTTATGTCGTTCATGTCTACGCAATACTGATAAGAGCACCACGTGATCACCGCTGGTAGCTGCTGTACATACAATTTTATCTTCTATGGGAGATGGATTTAAGATAAATACTGCCAAACTACTCTGCATCACACTGAAGCACGTTGACAGCCAGCATAATTTCTTCTTTTTGTATCCACCGTCTTCGCTCATCTAAAACAGTTAGCTCCGTTGAGTGAGGGGCTGACTAAGCGCTCCTACAAAAACCCATCGCGTCGGATCTCAACAGACGTTAAAAAAAAAAAGTCTTCACTTTCTCAGGGCTGCGGCCCTTGTCCATCCAAGATTAATGACTCTGGCTCTGTCACAGTAATGATAATAACTACCCCTTAGATTACTCATTGCAGATAATGAAAGGTTCTTTTCAGGTATGTGGCTGTCTTTTTTCCCTTTCCCCTCAACACCACATATGATGAACCACTTTTATTGGAGCTGTCCTAGCAAATTATGCGGACAAACCTATTATACGCTTTTCATCTTTCTGAATCATGTCTCGAAATATTTTGTCTTGTTTACCACTCGTCAATTGGCATGAGCTCGGCTAACTGTCAGAAAAAGATATTGCAAGGAGCCAGTGATCACGTTTTCCAGCCTCCCTGATTTTTATTTTTCGGGGCCTGGACATAGCCCATTTTTCCCCCAAAACAAAACTCACCTTGAGCTTTTCTGCTCTGTACACTTCACACTTTAAAACAGTATGGCCCATGATCCACGACTCGCCAAGGCAGGCACTGCGACTCCGGATCCTCCGCCTCCTCCACCCCCTCCTCCGGAGTCTGCTCCAGCCTCAGCCATGACTGCGAGCTTCGAGACCCAGTCCGCGGATGCCACCGCACCCGGACAGTCCGACTCTTTCAAGCTCAAATTCTGCACTGTGTGTGCATCCAACCAAAACCGTTCAATGGAGGCCCACCTCCGTCTGTCGACGGCACCTTCCCCCTTCCCTGTCATCTCCTTTGGAACGGGTTCCCTAGTCCGTCTCCCCGGACCGTCCATCACCCAACCTAATGTGTACAACTTCAACTCAACCTCTTACGCCCAAATGTATGAGGAGCTCTTCTCCAAGGATGAAAGGCTGTACCGTAGCAATGGACTCTTGAACATGCTCGACCGCAACCGGAACCTGAAATGGGGTCCGGAGCGGTTCCAGGACTGGGTGCCCGGTGTGCCGCGCGTTGACCACGTCTCCAAGGGCGATAAAGGTGCCCTGGGGACAGAGGGAGGCGTGGTTGACATCATCATCACCTGCGAAGAGCGGTGCTGGGATGCCGTCGTCGACGATCTCATGAATAAGGGATCTCAACTCAACCGGCCCGTCCATGTATTCAATGTCGACATCAAAGACAATCACGAGGAGGCTCTGGTAGGAGGCAAAGCTATCCTTGAATTAGCCAATAGACTCAACACCGCCGCCGCCCAGGAACGTAAGGCGAATGGTACCGACGGCTGGGAAGATGGCACCGGCGAAGCCCGGAGGAGTTTTGACGAAAAAGTTCCTGATATCCTTGCTGCGTGGCAGGAGAAATGGCCTAATCTGCCGGCCTTGTGGACCTTGTCTTGGCTATAGTGCCCTGAGGACATGGCTACTCATAATTCTGGGAGGCGTCTGTTTATTCTTTTCTCTTTCGAACTAGCGATTAATACCCATGTGTTAAGAATATCAATCAATCAATCTTACCGCCTATCTACTGAACTCTTTCGTTTCTTGACCGCCGAATCTACGGTTTAAAGTCAGATGTAACAAATTCAATTCAATTGCCAGTGGATGTTTCCATGGCTGCATGATAATGGGTATCTCTAATAAGCAAAGCCACAACGCCAAATATAAACCGAAGATACAGAGAACATGGGTCAGCCCTCCAAAAGCTTCTCCCGTCTCTCTCTATACCACCGCTCAAGACACGCCCGCCTCTGAGCCTGCGTCATGCTCTCCACCACAAGCGCAAATTCCGTAGCATTGGGAAACCCAAACCGTTTCGCCATACTGCAAAACTGCCTTTTCATCACCCCCTGTGGTGGGTGGTACTTGAACTGAATAGGTCGACCGTCCTTTTGATGGATTGGGGGTCCTGTGGTCACGCCCTTCTTCCTAGTATTACTACTGCATGATCCGGTTTGGGAGTTTTCAAAGACTTGGATGTTAGCTTGATTGTCGTCTGCCAGTTCGGCGCGACGACTGAGACGTTCTTCGACGCTGGACGAGCCGATGACTTCGTTGTTGAGGTGGGTGTATTCGACGCCTGCGCCGGCTAGGATGGCCTGGATGGGATCGTGTTTATTGGGTGTTACTGCACTGGGTGTGGTTGTCTTCTGTCGAGATCTTGCATTTGGTGTGTCGGTTTCGCCGCAGATCATGGCTGCGATTTGGCTCATGACTGCGTCGTCTTGGTTTTTGGTCTTTGGGTCGGGGAGGTCGTCACCGGCGGCGGCATCTTCTTCGTCGATGTCGATGTCCATAACTTGGACGCCGGCTCTGCTCTCCGCGACGTTGGTCTTGTTGACGATCTCCCGAAGAACGATATTGTTGTTTTGGTATTCGAAAAGATTTTGCAAGCCGAAGATCTCGCCCTTTTGGTCTTTCTTTTCCTGCACACCGCGGAAGTATCGCCGTTCAGAACTGGCGTTGTACCCGATATTAGCCTGCTGCTGTTTGTAGATCTGGCGTGCATAGACGATTTCCTCGATGGTTCCGGCTGAAATGAGCCGGAAGACTTCCACGTCCCGGTGCTGGCCTATACGATAGGCTCGGTCTTGGGCCTGTAAATCATACGATGGATTCCAATTCGGGTCGACCACAACCACTTTATTCGCAGAGGTAATGTTCAAGCCAACTCCGCCGGATCTTGTAGAGATCAGGAAGACAAACTGCTGAGGGTCGGAGTTGAACTCATCGACGACTTTGGTTCGGTCATCGTAACTCATTGATCCATCCAAATAGCTTACATTGTAGCTAGTGTGGTGGAATAGCATTTGCAACATCTTCAACAGTCGCACGCTGTGTGAGAAGACAAGGACTTTATCCCCGTTAGCATGCCACCATTTGAGCAGTCGTCGGAGGACCTTCCATTTTCCACAGAACTCGGGGTTGGCATAATTCACGATGGAATCTCTCGTCCTATAGAGGGTCTCCCATTTATCGGGGACTGCGATCTCTAGCATCTCCTTGTCTTTTTCTTGTTTCTCGTTGGAATCAGCCCCCTGTGGAATGAGGATTGCGAGATGATTGCTGAGTTTTTGAAGAATAGCTATGGCAGGGAACACGTAATTTTGCCATCGAATTCCCGTTGATAAGTGTGTTCGACAGCACCAGCCCGCTTTCTTTCGTGAACCACAGCCACATAGTTCAGTGGAGTGCTTGATAGCATTGATGATTTCACTATCTAGAATATTCTCGTAGGCATCAGCCTGGGTGTCCGTGAGCGGACAGAAGACGACTCGATCACTCTTTTTGGGAAGCTGGTCCGCTATCAACGTCTTCATGCGGCGCAAGAAAAACTGCGGGAGAAGATTTTCAACCAGTTTCTTCGCGGTTTTGCGAGCCTTGCTGAGTTGATGTAGTGTGGCATCGTGGGATTGACCGATTCTCAGTGGTTCGGAGATAGTTCTTTTCCAGGTAGTTACTGGGCCCAGTTTTCCAGGGTTGGTCCAGTTCAGAAGTGTCCACAGCTCTTCATACTTGTTCTGAATCGCTGTTCCAGTTAGGCCAATCCTACAGAGCGAGTTTACCTCGTTCATGGCCTTTGTTGTTTCCGAGCTCCGTTCTTTAATGATGTGACATTCATCTGCCACTACACAATCCCACTCTACCATGTTTACCGAGTCTTTGTTGGAAAGGTACGTTCCGTACGTCGTAATGAGAATCTCCAGCCTACCGGATCTCGCTGCGTGCAAAGCCAGTTCCTTGTTATCACCGTGATAGGCATCGACATGCCACCAGCCCCAGCGAGCGAATTCTGATTTCCAGTTCTGTATCAGGGTGCCGGGGCATACGATGAGTGTCCTGGGGTACCAATCGTCCCGTCCACTGCGTCGCATTTTCCGCATCCGCTTCGCATCTCTCTCGTCACCAGTCTTTCCGTAAGCCGCTGTAAGAAAAGCAATCACCTGAACGGTCTTTCCCAAACCCATATCATCGCCGAGAATCCCACCGTTCTGATAGACAAAAAGTTCGTGTAGGAAAGCAGCTCCGTCGACCTGGTATTGACGGAGCCACTGAGCGATCGGGGCAGGAATAAGCCCAAGAGAATAGGGAAGGGTGATATCTTCGTATTTCCGACACGGCTTCAAGGTGTCGAAGTTGGGCTTTTCAGCCAGGTACTCGAGTCGATCGTCATCAGAAAAGTCCACTTCGTCAAAGTCGGGAGGTAGTTTTAGCCCTGATTCCTTGAGATGTTCCATCCGCCTTTCGAACTGAGAGCGGCGTCTTTGCAGGTAGTCGGGGAGAGTGTTCTCCATCAAATCATCCTCGGACGCCCCCTCCTCGCCATATGCTCTCGAGCGAAACGGTCGCCTAGGTGTCCTTGGATCTTCTCTTGGCCGCCGCCCGACTATTGCGTCTGCCTTTGCGATCTTTGCCTTGCGCGTGCCGCCTGAGCTTCGTTTGCGCTTGAGGGCTTTGCGGTTTTTAAATTGTTCGTACGCGGCTGCGCCATCGTTGAATGTGGCGTCGTCAGTATCGTCCTCGGATATTTCCACCACGGCGACTTTGGAAGCGAGAGGGGACGAGTTCTGCTTAATAGGAGGGTCTGATCGTGGCTCGGGTCTTGGCGTTGCATCTCTATCTTCGTAGACTTGGTCTCCATCTGTGTCTTGGTAGTGTTAGTCTGTATGTCTATCGAGAATGGCAGGTGCGGAGGCGCATACCGGAGATAGTTGCGGGACGCTGCTTCGAGGGGCGCGTGTAATCCAAGTCTTCATCATCCTCCGAGTCGACAGTACTTTCTCTCGAGTTTCGCAGCTCCCAGTCGGAGCCCATGTTGATATTATCCCGTGCCTTGCATAGCACAGGAGAAGATAGGGGGATGCTGAAGATGTTGAAGATGCGGAGGGCGGGCATTCATATGATCGATCCAAAGGCGGACTTCCCGACTGGGAAAAGAGCTTCTTCTTCTGCCAGAATCTGCCCGCCGTCACTAAACCACGAACCACGCGAGTATCGACAGACTCTTCTGCTCTGTTCAAATAAACCAATTGAGTTGTGATTGGAAAGGTCATCTGTTTTATAACCTTCATTATATTTCCGCCTAGCCCCTGTGTAACTGTGGCTTCCTCGTTTTGCAATTTTTTTCGTTGCTGAAACCCACGAGCATCACGCACGGTGCGGGGAACAACCGCAAAGATCATCTACAATACCTGATCATTTAACGAAAAAATTATCCTGCTTGATCAGATACGAATCGAATCTTTAGACCGCCATGCCTCTCGACACTTCTACGACGTATCCCCTCACCAAGCTGCGCCTGGACGGCCGTCGCTGGAATGAACTTCGCCTCCTCCAAGCACAGATTTCCACGAACCCTGCCAGCTCTGGCTCGTCATACCTATCAATGGGAAACACGTCGATTATGTGCTCTGTCCATGGACCGGCCGAGGGACGCCGAGGAGATGCTACCGGAGGTGCAGCTGGTTCCGCGGGGGCTGTCGTAGAGGTGGATGTCAACGTCGCAGGATTTGCGGGAGTTGATCGAAAGAGGAGGGCTGGAGGAAGTGACAAGTATGATATATATATTTATCTCTACACGTGGTACATGAATATCTTGCTGACTTTGCTTATTTTAGGCAATCATCGCGCATTGCAACAACTCTACGATCTGCCTTCCAGTCACACCTTCACACATATTTGTACCCACACAGCACGATAAGCATACATGTGTCGGTGTTGTCAGCTGATGGATCTCTCCTTGCTGCTGCTGTCAACGCCTGTACCCTTGCGCTGGTGGATGCTGGTGTCCCCATGCCCGGACTGCTCTGTGGCTGCACAGCAGGTATGAGTGGCAGCGCTTCGACGCCTCGTGATCCCAACAACGACGAACTTGACCCGCTGCTAGACATGTCGCTACCCGAGGAGCAGGAGCTCCCTTCGCTTACTGTGGGGACGACATCGTCGGTGCCGGTGGGGGAGCTTGCGATGGACGATGATGGGGATGAAATGAAGGTGTCGATGCTAATTATGGACGCCAAGGTGCACTGCACTTATATTGAAACCATGTTGGCAGTTGGGATTGACGGATGTGAGCAAATCCGCGAGATACTGGAGGGGATCATCAAAGGGTCGAATCGGGTAGTCATTTCTGGCGCAGACAAAGCATGATGATGGGGATTTGATGTTTGATTAAAAGGATGATTATGTATACCCTGTCTGGCGTAGAAGGAGTTTTTCTGCGATGCGATATGATGCCATACGGACGATATCAATTTCCATTATCCACCAGCCACCAAATGATCACTAAAAATGTGCTCAAAACCGCTTCAATTCCACGCACGCTAATTGGCGCTACAGGGATCACTGGCCTTAGGCCTCCCCACTCTCGGCCGATGATTCGTCGGAGATTTAATTATTTACCGGGTCCTCTTTTCTACCACGAGGCATTGTTCTATCTGTATCTGGTCGGTAATTATTCTATGCTATTGTATACAAATCAGGCTGGATGGCAAGGTGTGCGTTACGCAGTGTAGGATGTATACGTTTCCTCTGTATTACTTTTCGTACCTGATGATATCTCTTATGTACCCCCGTGGGTAACCTCTGTTTCTTTTTTTCTCTTTCTTCCTCTTCTTCTCCCAGGTCCTCCTTTCTCTTCTCCCTCTCTATATTCTTTCTCTTCTCCATCCCACCTCCCAGTGACAGCTTCGTTGGGCCCAGGAGATACCTCGCCTCGGGTATCAAGTGAATCCCCACACCGCAGTGATCACCACTCGGAAGCTATCACCTCATCTCTTCTATCCTTCTCCAAAAAAATCACAGGAAAGAGACTCGCCATGGATATGGATATGGGCACCATGACAGGAATGTCCACCATGACTGGCATGACCATGACTGCCTCCTCTACGGCTTCGTCGGCCATGAGCTCCAGCACATCCAGCATGGACATGGGAGGAATGGACATGGGCGGTATGGATATGGGCGGTATGGATATGGGCATGGGCGGATGCCAGGTCTCGGTACGTAGTTTTATTTCTCCATGAAAAGATAAACAAGCTAATTATATGACAGATGTTGTGGAATTGGAACACTATTGATGCTTGTACGACTTCATCTACCACCCTATACATGCGAAATGCGAAAATGGGAAAAAGATCCTAACAACAAATAAACAGGCTTCCTCTCCAAATCCTGGCACATCACTTCCCGCGGCATGTTCGCCGGCTCTTGCATCGGAGTCATCTGTCTCGTCCTCGCCCTCGAATTTCTCCGCCGTCTGGGACGTGAATATGACGCCTTCATCGTCCACCGCGCCAGACTCAGAAGACAGTATCTCTCCACTCCCTCACCCAAAATCATCCCAACGACCACCAGCAGCCCCGATTCCGAAGAGGAAAATCCAAACCCAGCCTCATGTTGTGCCAACGACAACGGTGACAAGGGCGCTACCGCTGCTCCAGTCGCAAAGCCTACGCCTACGCCTCTACCTGCTACGGCTACCGTCACTGATGACACGCCATTCCGTCCCTCCATTATAGAGCAATTCATCCGTGCCCTCTTGCACATGCTTCAATTCGCCGTTGCGTATTTCGTCATGTTGCTCGCTATGTATTTCAACGGGTACATCATTATCTGTATCTTCATCGGGGCGTTCTTGGGCTCGTTTATCTTTTCCTGGGAGCCGATTAATCTGGGCAAGGAGTATGTTTTTTTTTTTTTTTTTTTTTTAAACCCCTTCCCCCACGCCATGACTAACATTATCCAGGAATGATGCTCTTGCTGTGACTAAATGTTGCGGCTGAGGGGGCTTTTCTTTCTTCGTGTCCGTCTCCAGGTGAGATGGTACTTTTGTACCTAGCTTATTCTCTTCTCTTTCTTTTTGTGGGTTACTTTATTTCTCCGCTCGTTGCATGGGTACATATTTGCATGGGTTGCTTATGGAAATAATCATTTAATGGGTTAATGACAATGATTCACAGCTATTTATTCAATTGAATTGCCACAGGCAGTTTCATCCAGTATTGCAATGAGTCAATGTGATTATCGAAAGCTACAGCTTTCCATCTTCCATCTTCGTAGTTAGCAAACAAATGGAGCTGTCAAGGGTTTAGTTCTTTCGACACCCATCCCACGTGGGGTTAGCTCATCCACTTACCCGGAATACATGATCTACTCGTTTTACCTTGACTTTACAGAGAATCGATCTACTATGAAGCGGAATAGGAAACGGAATGTTAGGCTTGCTTGGCTACCATGTTGGTAGATAGTCTAGAGTACACCACGTATCAAAAATCTCCCGTCACCCAAAGCTAACTGCGAACGAGTCTACCATAATGCATCAAATTATGGCGAGCTGTTTACTGATCACCACCAGAGTTGACGATCTGAATAGATGCCTTGGGCTTGCCGCTGCCGCTGCCGAGAGCTTCAATCTCCTTGACAACCTTCATGGACTCCTCGTCAGCAACCTCACCGAAGACAACGTGCTTGCCGTCGAGCCAGCTGGTAACAACGGTGGTGATGAAGAACTGAGAGCCGTTGCTATAAAATTGTGGTGTCAGTAATGAAGAAAAAGAGAAAATAACGCATCAGCGAGGAAATACAAAATGGACTCACGTGTTGGGGCCAGCGTTGGCCATGGAGAGGAGACCGGGGCGAGTGTGCTTGTGGACGAAGTTCTCATCGGGGAACTTCTCACCGTAGATGGACTTGCCACCAGTGCCCTGTAGTAAAAGTTCAATTAGCCTTCAATACAACACCAACCAATGGTCACTGAACAATTGGTCCAGCGAAGCATGAGAGACTCACGTTGTGGCGGGTGAAGTCACCACCCTGAAGCATGAATTGGGGAATGACACGGTGGAAGCCAGAGCCCTTGTATCCGAATCCGTTTTTACCAGTGCAGAGCTCACGGAAGTTCCGGGCGGTCTTAGGGACATCCTTCTCGTAGAGGTTGAAGTTGATACGGCCAGTCTTGCCTATAAGGTACATACAGAGCCATGATTAGTAAAAAGCTCGACTGGAATTGAAGAAATTCGATGGGAGAAATTATAGGGGTTCAAGGCCCCAGAGGACACATGAGGTTTAAAATTTGCCGTGGATGGAGGGGTAATCGCCCCTCCATTTCTCTTTCTTTTCAAACGGCGATAGGATCAGAAAGAGGAATCAAACTTACCGGCGTACTCAACGTCGAAGAAAGCCTTAGTGTTGACAGACATTTTTGCGGTGGATTGATGGAAAGAACGGAGAGACAAGAAGGAAGATTGAGTGTTGCAATTGAGGATGGAAGAGAGGGGACGAAAAGAGGACGAGGAGCAAGGTGGGGTTGTTGTTGACCTCAGGCTTCGGGAAAACATTGTTGCTGGTCGGGAGGGGCAGAACTGAATGAACTGGACGGAAAGCGGGACAGGATACGTCAGCCGGGATGCGCCAAACATGCAGTATTTGGCCTAAGCGCCTCAGGCCGCCACTGGTAACGGTTTGGTTGGCTGGAAGGCCAGAGGACAAGCTGCCGCTGAGGCCCCGGGAGAGGGGGCTGGGAGCCACTCCTGCAAACCGGAATCGTGGAAGATGATGGAAGGATCCAACATAATTCTCTGATTCTAATTCAATTGGAGGGTCATTGTTCGAACTTACAGTTGAAAGCAGGTGGAATTGACAGCTGTGTTGCGTGGAGAGCGACGGAACCAGGTTTTGGACAACAACCTCGGAGACTCGAGAAAGATGGACCAAAAACACCAAGAGAAAAATAAATAAACCAAAAGAGGTATGGTACAGAGTAAGATTATATAATACAGTAATAAATAATTATCAGAGACCTGGACGACAAAAAAGAGACTTGAAAGCGACTTTTAGAAAGGCAAAGAAGAAAAATTTCTCGACACAAAAGGACCTCGCCGGAAAGCTGGGGAGCTTAGCCGTCTGGGGTTAGCTGGCTATATATCACGTGACTCGAGGTTGCCTCGGATGCGATATATGATGCATCGACTGCAGAATGATGATGTGCTTTATGACTCATAAATGATAATAATACTTATAGTAGAAAGCTCAATAGTATCAATTTCAAATCCATAAAACCATAATTCTTTCCATCCAAATTCAACTGGGGGGATTGAAGAGAAAAAAGGTAGTCGATATCCCCAGAAACGACAAATCTAATGCAAAACAAGATCAAACGAAGATAAACAAGGCATTGAATGGTTGGGTACCATGTTCCAAAGCACGCTAATCGAGTATAGCGGAAGAAGCGAAGAAAGAAATAATGATAAACAGAGAAGAGAAGGAGAAAACACCGGGTAATAAGAATACAATGGCCAAAAATTAAAGGGGGAATGAGAAATTAAAACAAATCAAATATCATGAAGCCCCACCCAATTCAACATAACGTTTCACGTGGTTGCTCATTGTCATGCATGATAGAACTGTATCGAAAGAGAAACAGTTACATCCAGCAGTAAGGTCGATACTGTCGGGTCAATTTAGTGTTTGATACAACAACGTCAAGGGTTATTCGGCTTAGAACCAAAAATAGCGAAGATGCAGAAGGTGGTATTCAGAGGGCAGACTACCGGAAGTCATCCTCATCCTCATAATTCGCCGGCTCCAAGCGTTGAACAAGCTCCTTGGTCTCCCGAGCAATCTCAAAGGCGATGGGAGGAAGTTTGTTAGTGATTTCTCGAAGTTGCTCTGCACTAAAGGCATCTTCGCCATCAGCTGCAGTTTCCACCAGACGGCCTCTGTGGGCATCCAGCGTCTGAATAATCGGCCCTGAACGCTCTCGAAGCGCGGGGTGAGCACCAGGCTTGTTGATCAAGTGCTCCGTAGAAGAAGCAACATTCGTAACAACAGAGGATATGGCAGACACATGAGTACGGACAGTGATAAGAGCATCTTCTGCGCGGATGCTAGCAACCAGGGCCTGAATTGATTGGACAAGGCCCTCGGTCTGATCCTCGACATAGAGCTTCAATTCTTGGAGTTCATGGTCTTCTGGTTGTACACTGTAGTTGAATTGCGTTGCGGGTTCTGGCTTGTTTGGTACCACATGTTCAGATGTAGTAAGATGAGAATTTGTCCGATCTCGGGACTGGACTGATGGTGGGCTGAGGGCACTGTAGATAGACTCATTGTTGCTTAACCTGCCCTGACTGGGAGTCACACTGAAGTAGTCGGGGGACTTGAGTTGGGTCAGGTTCCCCTCATCGTCGTCTTCCAGTTCATCCACGGGGGTGGCCCTGATTTTGGCAAGTTGGATAAGCTCAATAACTGCAGTAGACAGGTGCGAGGCGGCAGCATCCAGAAGAGACACGGGAGAGAGTCCACTCAAGCTGGCAAAGTTCTTGGAGGCAGTGATGAGATTGTTCGCGGTTGCGGAAACCTTGCGTGTGGCCTTTGCGTGAGTCTCGGGATTCGAAGCTGCTTCGACATCCTGCAAGACATGACGGACGGCCATGATGACCGGCTTGATCTGCTGCATGACCAGGCGATGGTCGTCAAACCGAGCAATGCGCAGCAGCTCGTCAATCGCTATCTGGAATTTGGTCACATGCACATCCTTGACCAGCCCGTCTTCATGCATGAGTTCGTTCTCCCGCGAAACCATGCCCACATCAGGGCGGGAATCAGAGATGCCAACTGAGGATGTCCGGAGGTGTCGTAGCTGTGTCTTTGCCTTGGCATACCGGCTCTTCCATTGCTTGACCTCCTCCTCCAATTTATGTACCTGGTTGGTGAGTTGCTCCTCGCGCTCCCAATTGGAATGGCTCTGTTCCGACATGGTTCTCATCTCCATGAGGAAGGTAGATGCTTCCCGTCGAACTTCTTCCGTCACATGCTGCTGTTCCAGAAGCTCGGCCTGCAGGTCCTTGTGCCTGATCTCGAGATCAGCAAATCGGGCCTGCAAGTCATTATCCCCGGTACTCTGCGCTGTCGCTTCACCGATCTTATCCTGCTCTGTTCGAACCTTTTCCAACTCGAGCTGAAGGGAACTGTTCAGATCCTCCGCCTTGGAAACTTTACTTTCGAGCTCCAGCTTGAGCTCTTCCCACTCCTCTCGCTTAGTACCGTTTACCTGTAGCGTTTATTAGCATACAAACCAACCAGTCGCGTATATCCTTCTGAGCGTGGGGACTGCATACCTGAGACTTGTCTTGGTCTTGATACTTGACAAGCTCATCATCCTTGGACTTGACCAACCCTTCCAACCTGTCCACTTTTTCCTGCAGCACTGACACTTGGGATTGCGCATCCGCCAACATCTTCCTCTCTCCATCGCCCAGCGTCGTTGTAGTTCCCCTTCGGCTTTGCAGAACGCCATCCAGAGCAAATGCATCGCTGCGCGCATCGTAATCGTCCTCCGTACCGGCCATATCATCGTCATCCTCGACCAAGGTACTCTTATTGGGAACGATTGTGTTGCTCTGGAAAGATTTGGGTAGTGGACCGTGATCCCCATTCACACTTCCAGCCGGGGAAGGCCCACCCAGAGACCCTTTCCGGGGAGGGAAAGCACCTCCCATGGGACTGCCGGGGCCGCCAGACGAGTAACCTCTCCCCATGCGGCTGGGAGGACCTCGTGACTGGGACCGTCGAGCTCCAGGTGGAGGGTATCCGTTCGGGCCCGGTGGACCATATCCATTTGGCGAGCGGCCGCCGGGGCTGACCATGCGGGAATCCCGTGAAGCAAAGTGGGGGAACCGACGCTCCAACTCACAGTAAACATCGGTGACCAGATCGCGGAACCTCTGATGTTGGAGCGAAGCGAGTCTCTGACGCGCTTGGTTGCGCTTTTCGTGGAAGTCTTTTCGGGGCGGAAGGAACGGGGGGATGTCCGGTCGTGGCGGGCCAGGTCTCCCGGGGGAGGGCATGGCCTGCTGGCGTCGGAGAAGCTCATCGTATACATCGGTACTCAATTCGTGGAATTGTGTGGGGGAGAGGCGCAACAATTTGTCTCGAGCCTTGTTCGGTCTGCTCCCTTGATTATCGCGATACGGCGCATGCAGAAACCGCTTCAGGGTCACATAGTGCTGTCCTAGAATCTCCTCCATCTGCTTGTATCGCCTACCCCGTTGGTCCGACAGAGTCCCATCGCTGGATCGAGCGGCGACCGAGCTGGGTGGGGATGGATTGCCCGAATCACTCAGCCGGGCAGGAGCGTCAGTTGATAGCGTAGCACCGTTTGGCCCCAAAGTACCGCTGGGGACGCCGGAAGTCGGGGGAGTAGCCAGATTGCTGCGATTCGAGAATGTTGGGGAAAAGGGCGGGTCGGTTTTTTGGTATTGATTGATCCCCGACCAGTCACTGCCATCTACAGAGACAGGCGACATGGCTCCCGAATGAACCTGCATAAGGACCGCAATACTGCAGCGGGATTGTTCGCAACGACCCTAAATAATCACTCAACGTCCCACAACTATGCGATCACCAAATCGGGTGCAATTATGCATTCGAATTTCCGAGGTGCGACAAGAGGGCCATCGACTGACGAGGAATTCGGACCAAGGTCGGATCGTAAGGTAGGTAGTTACGACGAGTGGAATAATATAGGGAGGTAATAAGCGATCCCAAAAGACCATACAAAGAAATCAAAAAAATATCCAGATCCAAATCTCCAATAGATTGGGGCGAAAACAAAAGATGAAAAAAAGGAGAGTAAAGAACAAAAGCAACTACAGCCGTAGAAGCGAAGAAAAAGAAAAAAAAAAAAAGAACAATCACCAGCACACACAAAGATTCCCCAGAGAAGAAAGTTGAAGAAGAGGAAAGGCGGACAGAATGATTCCCACCGTCCGAAAGAGTGGAGGACGGATGGAGACTGGGGACGGGCGGGAAGAGCGAGACTCACGAGACAGTCAGAGAGAGAAACAGAAACAGGAAACGAAGGGGAGATATTGACATACAGTCAGTCTTACTGACACTCTTACTACACAGTACTACTAAGGCATGTCCTGCTGCTAACCACTAGGTAATTAACATCAATCGGCCATTGATTTATTGTTATTGGTTTTATTTTTTCTATTCCTCCCCCTTTTCAAAGAATCATTAATTCCACCCAGGCCAAGTAGATAGTCAACTTCATATTTCTTTTTTTTCTCCCTCATCTTTTCCATCTTTTCTTTTTGCCTTTTATTGGCATTCTGGATGCTTTTTGTCTGTGTTGGTCGAGAAGCTGTGGCTGTGCGCGTAAAATACCGTCCCAAACCGTAAATACGGAGCAAGGGCGCGCCTGGAATTCCTCGCCCTTTTTCCCTCCTTGACATCTTCCATGATCATCCCAGGAACCGATCACACGCTATCCAATGAAATGGTCGTTGATTCCTGCATTGCATTTATTCAGCTTTCTTCGATTTAACCTGCAATATCCACTGGACAGGCTGCATCTCAACCAACTCTACCTCCATACTCCATACTCAATTCTCCTAATTTATCGAATACACCGCCAGAATAAGATGGCAAATTACGCCGTGCACAGAGTGGACCCCGGGAACCTCACTGGGCCGGTTCCCTCGTTCAGGAGTTCCAGCAGGCGCCCAAGTGCGGGAGTCCAGACCGTTGCTTGGCCCCAAGCGCGGCGTTAGTGGCGGTGCCTGAACTGTAGGTAATCGTCAGGGGAACCAAGTAGGCGAGGGTACAGCAAAAATAAAGGGTACAAAGTACAGACTACAGAGTAAAAGATACACAAGAACAAGATAATAGTAGTAATGGTTTAGATACATACCACCAGGATTAAGTTCTAACAATCTGTGTGCGTTGCTCATGCTATGCTCTATGCAGCCCTGGGGTTCATTGCCCTATACTCCTCATCGGGTGTGGTCTCCAGAGAGCCCAATTATTCACCCTGTACCCATTAATAGTAAGATAGAAACCACCCTAAAAGATCCCCAAAACTTGGTGGGACACCAGGAATATACAAAAACAATATCAAGAATGAATAGTCCGGGAGACTGACAAAACCAGTGCAAATCTCCCGCAGGGCCACAGGCCAGGAACCAGAGGGTATCATTCGAGTCATCCCATGGGAGGATGCAAGTCGGAGAAGCTTGCCTGTTCAACGACAATGGCCGTCTGCTGTTGCTTTCTTCTTATTCCTCCTTTTTCCTCTTGTTTTCGGTCTAATTTTTTTTTTTTTTTTTTTTTTTTTGTTTTGTTTTTTTGTCGGGCAGCGTCAATAGAAACCACCTCTTTGATGTCACGAGTTTATTTGGAGGCCAACTTGCGTGTAGCACCAACAGCGGCTGAAACAGGGGTTGCGGATCGTGTAGGGGCCGCACTGGGAGCCGCACTGCGGTTGTGTGCCATGTGTGCCCGGACAAGGTGGCCGGCGGCAAGTGCAGAGCACAAGCTCAGCTCTCCAGCAAGCACTGCAGCGCCAACAATACGGGCGAGCTGACGAGCATTGTCACCGGGGTTGGTTGGGTGAGAACCACGGACACCAAGCATCTCAAGCATGGCGGATTGTCCTTCAAGAATTGTACCACCACCAATAGTTCCGACTTCGATCGAGGGCATGGATACTGCAATCTGGAGGTTGTCGTTGATGCTGATATCTAATTAGTACAAGTTCCAAGATATGTATGAAGCCAAAATGACTTACTTTCTCATTGTCGTGATGCAGCTGCTGCTCTCGACGTTCTGCGCGGGATCCTGACCCGTTGCCAGGAAGATAGCGGTAACAATGTTGGATGCATGTGCGTTGAATCCACCCAAGCTGCCAGACATTGCGCTACCAATCAAGTTCTTGCTGGTGTTCAGCTCGACCAGGGCGTTGACATCACTCTTAAGCACACTTCGGACAACCTCACCAGGGATGATGGCCTCCGCAACAATAGATTTGCCACGGCCATCGATCCAGTTGAGGGCAGCAGACTTCTTGTCGGTACAGAAGTTTCCAGAAACAGAAATTGTAGCCATATCATCGAAGCCACATTCAGTGGACATGATGTGGAGAGCCTTCTCAACACCCTTCGAAATCATGTTCATACCCATAGCATCACCAGTTGTAGTCTTGAACCGAATGTACAAGTAGGTGCCAGCAAGAGCAGTCTTGAGTTCCTGAAGACGAGCGAAGCGACTAGTGGAGTTGAATGCCGTCTTCATGATGTTCCGGCCTTCTTCGGAATCGATCCAGACCTTTGCAGCGGCAGCCCGAGCAAGAGTAGGGAAACCAACGCAAGGACCACGAGTCATACCATCGCCAGTCAGGACAGTGACAGCACCGCCGCCAGCGTTAATAGCCTTGGCGCCTCGACTGGCACTAGCAACAAGCACACCTTCAGTTGTAGCCATAGGGATAAAGTAGTGTTGTCCGTCAATCTTCAGAGGACCAGCGACACCCAGAGGGAGGGGCAAGTAACCAATGACATTTTCGCAGCAAGCACCGTGAACAAGTCCGTAGTTGTAGTCCTTGTATGGGAGCTTGGAGTCTTCCAAAGAGCTTGTGACCAAAGAAGTAGCAGGAGTTCTAGACACAACCGATCGTCGAATCTTGACGGCTCTGGTGAAGGCATCAACGCGGCTCATGAGGTCCTCATCTTCCATTGTCTTTTCCAAAGCATATCCAGGGATCTTTCCACGCAGGGAAAGCTCGACCAGTTCCTCATCAGACAGGTGGGGAGCTCGTTTTTCCTTCAGCATGACTTCACATTCCTCAGCGGATCGCTTGGGGCCACCGTTCAAGTCGACCTTGGGGTAAACCTTCTTCGGTTCGACAACAGTTACCTTCGGGGCAGCGGGGGCAGCCTCGGGCTCCTTGATACCCCATCGGGCAGCATTGAAAAGATAGCCGTTCAACACGATACTCAGGGTCAGGGCAGCGATGATCCACTTGCTGAGGATTGGGTCCTCGAGGCTCTTCAAGAGACTTTCAATGACCCGGCCGCCAACGGCATCCAAAAATTGATCGGTGTACTCGATGTCAAAGGGTGCGTTGTCGTTAGGGGAAGCGTAGTGCACGGAGGGGTATTCCAAGTGGTACTTGATCGGAGGAATAACAGTCACGACAGTTTCCTTCATTTGACTCTTGGCAGACACGTAGACAGAATCCAAGCCATTCTCGGCAACCTTGAAGGGATCAATCGGGGTGGGCGCGAGAACATTGGAACCAGCAGACAGGAAGGGGAAGCCGATGTTCCGGACGGGGATAGCAGACAGGTTCACCAAGTTGATCAAGACGAGGCCACCGACCATCAGGACCTTAAATCTCCGCACACTGCTAGACTTGATCTTACGTCCGAAAATGCTAGCATCACTGTCATTAGGTTCGGATCCGGCCTGCGGCCAGTCGTTGCTCGCGGCCACGCTTTCAGCGACACTGTGAGTAATGCCATCCTCTTCCAAGGCCTTGCGGAGGGCAACATGGCGCTTGATGCGGTTGATCTCGAGCTTAATGCAAAGAATAGTAGTGTAGAGAGTGAAGAGGAGGAGACAGTCAAATACGAGGATCCAGGCTGCAAGGAAACAGAACTGTCTCAGACCACCCTGAACTCCAGAGGCAGCACCAGCGGTAAGGATGGCAATCTCGATGCAGTAGTCGCGAATAATCTCGAATCCCTGCTCCTTGATCGCAGTTTGAATCGAGTCTTGGATGGACTTGGGCGAGGTGGATGCAGATTTGCCAGCGCCGCCTTGGCGCTTGCTGCCTACCGCTTCGTTGAGCACAGCCCGGGTGAGAATAATGGGCTTCTCAAAGCCAATTGTGACAACGAGGAAGGGAAGTCCTTCCGACAGGAGAAGTACATTGATCGGGACACCGAGCTTTGTTGTGACCAGAAGGCCGAACAAAAAGGCAAACATGCCAGAGAGAAGAACTGTGGCAGCCAACCAGAAGTTTGAACCCAGGCGTCTCATAGAGAAGAACAAGGAGACGAAACTCAGATGCATCGAAGCATATCCGAGGGTCATGATCACAATGTCGATTGTCTCGGCATGCTTGATCAAGTCCACGAATGAACTCCAAGCATCAACCACCCAGAGCTTAATGGCGCTGCCGGATCCATAGGCAGGACCGCGGGCAGCTTTCATGATCCATCTCTTTTGCTCCACGGCATCTTCTTCCACGGAGGATTCTGGAATCTCCTGAACCGACTTGAGGAATTGTGGTGTCTGCTCAAATGGCACGGTGAAGGCGAGGTATGAGTCGTGCGAGAAGGGGGAGAAGAAGTTGGGAGTGTAGGGAACCGATTGGGCGGAGGCATTGGCAGGCACCAGGATTTCGTCCGCAACGGGGGCGGAAGAAGCCGACTTTGACGTGGAGTCCGGGAAAATCAATGTTGTCAACGCGAGGTGCTGAGCGACCTGGTTTTGAGCTACAATTAGAACGGAATACATGTCATATCAGAGGCGGGGGAGCGTACCGTGTCATCGTTGGGTGTCGAAGCATCCTCCACTTCCCATTTCCAAGAGGTACTCTCTCCCAAGCGGAGACTCCGACTACCCTGGAGCAGGGTGTCGACATCAACCTGACCAGCAACATCTTTCGGGTTTCTAACAGTATCGAAGAGACTTCCTTCCAAAAGGCCGACGTAAGTGGTACTCGCCATAAGGGCAATGACCACAATTGTATGAATTGGGTGAAGGCAGGCCTGGCGCGAGATGGCCTGCAGGCCGCCGGTGACCTGTCGCTTCAGCCATCCCGGCTCTGCCTGATTATCTGCGTCCGTCGAACGGAACTTTCTTGTAAGCATCGATGTAGCCATTGTGCTTGTTGAGGGTAGGGAGAGGCGGTGTAAGCCTCTCTTTTTTTCGGGGAGAGGAATTCGGAGGGCGGAGGTAATTTGTTGACGGTCCGCGGGATGAGACCCTGTCGAGGATACCGTCTGGGAAGGATGAACCTTCAATGTACCAGACGTCTTGTTTTCAAAGGCCCAGGGCGTAGAAGAATTTATCTCGCAGTCGACAACAACATGAAGGTCGAAGGATGGGTTCGGGGAGTGTCGAGACTCTAAAAAAGCTACGGTGAGTATGGCGGCGCCCCGTTGAGAACGATAAGCCCACTAAGAAAAAAAGGCGTACCTGATGGAGCAGAGCGGAGGATACACCCAGTCCTTTTGGAAAAAATTTAGAAACGGGATGACCCCAGGAGGACCAATTCGATATCCCGAGTCCTTTTTTTTTTGTCGATTTCCCTTTTTCTTTCAACCTTTAGGATTGGGGCCCCCTGAAGATTAAAGGGAAAACGAGGCCGTGTGCCACGGACGGGTGGAAATAAGTAAGCCCGACGCAAGACTAGTAGTTACCTGGGTTCGCCGCCCAGCTAAGCCACGCTAAAATAAAAAAGGGCTGATCGTTGCAGCCGACCGATGGAGTAGTGGACTGTGGAGAACAGGATGCAGCAGCAGCTGTGCAGAAAGAAGAGGCAAAACGGAGAGTCTGAGGGAATATATATGTACGCGGTATGGAGCTCAGAGCGAGGAGTCCGAGAAAGAGGAAAGGGCGGGGCAGAAGAAGAATAGGGAGACGCAGGACAAAGAAGAATTGAATTCTTGCTGTCCCGGTCGAATCTGGAATCTTTCCAAGGTTCAGCAATGGCACCGCTTATCGGTCCCAAGTTCGTCTAGCAGGACTAGTCGTTGGTAACGGAGCCGTTTGGCTTCGACTTCAACTCTGCTTTTTTGTTTTTATATCTATACTTTCTTTTGTTGACTACTCAAGGATCGATGCATGCTGACCATTGTCCATGCACGGACAGCTGTTGCGCTTTATCTCCCAATGTCAGAGTTATGGATCATCGCCATCGGATCATAGTGTTGTCAGCCAAGTGTAACTCGAATCTTTTGGGGTACAAGGGACATTCCAACTCTTGCAAAGCAGATAGACCAGGGAGCTCCAGGCCAGCAGCCAAAAGTCTTTATCTCGATATTATCAAGAGCCATCTCTATCTACTAGCATATCAATCCCTTGATCATTCTCTGGTAATGCTGCGGATGATTCTACTTCCAGTTTCTGATAAATACATGTAGTACGACATACATACCTGACCGCCACTAGGTCAATGGTGCAATGTGCTACTCTGTGCATATTTAGCATCCTATCTCCCCTAACGCTCTCTCCCAGTTGGCTCATACTAGCGTAGTCTCCATCGAGGCTCATTTGATGAATGATAGGTGCACCTCTACAGACCACCTAGAATTTTCTATTCCAGCCGACTACATTTCGGTGATCTCAATCTGATCGTCCAACGTATATACTACTTGCTACATACATCATCTGAACACTCTCTGTATGAACACTGTAAGCAATATGCAAGTTCCATGTACACCCGGGTGTACATGGAACTACAACCAACGACCTATCTCCAAGTATCTCTACTCCGACTCTCGGTGCTCTACTTCCCTGCTTGTCGATTACTCTTAGGTAACCTATATTGCAGCCCCATTTGAAAACCCGACAGTTCAGTTTTTTTCACCCCTCTCATTTTTGTTGGCTTCTTAGCTCGGGAAGTCGGGATGGTGAGGATGTGGCATTCATTCTTGCGGCTTCGGGGCTCGGTGCGAGTGGGACGCCCAGTAGCACTACGGACCAACTACATTCTGCAAGTGGCGGTCGGAATCCATGATTGTTTCGGAGATAATCGCATGAAGCCCACTTTTTCGCATCTAATCAAGGGATCTTTAGGTAAAAATGGACGCGAGGGAAAGCCCGATTGAAAAGGTGTGGAGAGAGTGCGTAAATATCGCGGTGTACCACGGCTGTACTAAGTACTGGGTAGAGTGTCTGAGAGTACAGCCGATGGACCAGGTCGAGAGGATCCTGTCTGGTACTGTCGAGGTGACTGGTGGGTTTGATTCCCTTGCGTAGATGAGTTGATTCTCTCCGCCACAGTGACACAGAGATGGTCTTTGGATGCAGCCTGCAGAGTCATCCGGATAATTGGATTTGAATGGAGGATTGCCTGTTCGATCTACAGTCTCCCTAGCTTACGATCCTGCATCAATGCAGATTCTGAGGGGTTCTCGACTATCTCTTGGTGATGTCCAAAGTACCTTCTTATCTCATCTCACACAGGCAAAACACTGGGGATAAATACCGGCATTTGGTAGCTATTTACCTAGGTATCCGGATTATGCGCAGAATCCGAGAGAAAACGTACCCCGTGAAATTCGGCTATAAGGGCTTTAGACTAGTGAGAAGAAAGATTGTTATCAGATGGAACCAAAGAATGGAGCCTTTTGGATGCTGGATCCAAGTCAACCACAGAAATGTCAAAGCGAGCCGAAGCGGAGTTATCAAGCGCACCAACATTTATTGCGGTGGGGAGCAATTCGGTTTGTGCACCAGCTGTACATACAGGATGGCGATAATAAAATGCTCATTTGGAGTTGAGTTGAGTTGGAGATGAAGATGGAGGAGATGTTGGAGATGTTGGAGAAGTTGAGATGGTAATAATATGCATTCCAACCTGATGCCTTGGATGACATGACATATATTTCCAGTGGAAAGAAAGCCCACACAAATATTATCACCAGGATTTTCTCCAGTTTTAATCTGAAATCTTTTATCTGATCCCTAAACAAGTCTTGTCTCAAAATATTCGCGCCGTATCCGCAACCCAAGGCGGGTCGGGTCCTTCAAGTGTTTTGTCTATGTCCATCCGGCGCCTGCACTCACGTTGTAGACGGAATTACCCGCCATCCTTTCAGCGACGACATCCCACTCTCCTCGCTCTCGTCGACTCTTCATCAATGCCTGCCACTGATGCTAACAATGCCCTGCAAGCGCCAAGTCGGAGTATTTTCTTGCCAATCGGTGCTATCCCTGGCCCTACTCTGCTCTTGCTTGCAGCCCAAACATCCAAGGTCTCTTGAGATCTCTGCCAGGTACCAGTAAGCGCCCAGTTAGAGATTGATCCGACCAGTTCCCATCTCTCTCTCTTCCTCTCTTGCTCTCCCTGTCCGCTGCAAGATCTGAGGATCTGAGCGAATCCCATGACGCCTGTCGCCCCTTCCGACACCCCCTCTCTGCAATGACCGGATTCTTCAGGGTTCTCACCACCCAATCCCAGACGGAGGATCGCCCTTTGAAGGCCGCCTTTGTAACAGATCCAGCAGCAGGAACCGCCTGGACAATGACGTGCAGTCTCCTATTGATTGGCTTTCGATGGTTGCTTTTCTCCTTCGATGGCTCATTTGCATTTCTCCCCCTCTTTTGGTGCGATATCTTTGGATACAGCCGCCAGATCGCATTGAATCTGCCTAGGTGCGCTTTTTTAGTACTCGCTTCTATTGTTGGTGGTTTGTTTCGAGTCATTCACCTGTAGATGATTGTCGGTCAGATGGTCCCTTGATCGGGGATCGATCCTTTTCAGCGTATGAGAACAATGGCAGACCTTTCTTTGTGGGTATTCTTCCTTTGGCCTTTGACTTTGGCGTCTTTATTGTATCAGGATTGCGGGCGCTCTCGGTGAATGGGATTCATTCAGTTTACTATTATCTAGGTGTTTATTCATTTTTTCTCTCTCTCTTTTACCGCTCAATAAGAACTATTGTTCCCATTGATGCCATTATCATCTCGTTTTGAAAGAAACATGCCTGCTTTTACAAGTCTTTGAGGATTTATGTTCATTCTTCTTCCATTTCTTTCAGGGTCAAGTCACTTTCCTTCAAGATCATACTGACTGCAAGAAATAACTACATTGTCTTGTCTTTGCGACTCCGCTGGCCGGCGTCCTCTGCTTGAAAAACCACTCTTTGCAACCTTTTACAATCTCCATTTCCTACGAGATCCACGAGAATTAGAACAGAAGACTTGAAATCATGTATATCCTGAGCAAAGCAACTCTAACGGTGCTCGTCACCATCCTCGCCACAACCGCCAACGCTCACTCCTGGGTCGAGCAACTCACAGTGATCGCTGCAAATGGCACCTTTGTCGGATCGCCAGGCTATGCAAGAGGCAACGTACCTCGCACAACCCCCGATTTTAGTGACAAGGCCATGACCTGGCTGAACCCGTCAAACGGGGGTACCAATCTCAGCGCAACCGACATGATGTGCAAGGAGACACAGCGGAAGCAGAAGCAGACGGATGGTAGTCCGCGACTCGAGGCCAGCGCTGGCGCGGCCATTGCCCTCCGATTTCAAGAGAATGGCCATGTAACTCTGCCGCAGAATCAGCCCGGGAAGCCGAAGAATCGGGGGACGGTTTATGTGTACGGCACGACCGAGCCAAAGGAGGATGAAAAGCTTCTTGATGTCCATAAGTCGTGGAATAAAGACGGCACAGGGGGCGATAAACGGGGAGTACTCTTGTCAAAGCAGAATTTCGACGATGGTCGTTGCTACCAGGTCAACGGCGGCAGTATATCCACGAATCGTCAGGCCAAGTTCAAGCACACTGCCAATCAGTTGATGGGTGCCGACCTTTGGTGCCAGCAAGACATCGCATTGCCTTCCAATGCGCCCACCGGAAAGCCATACACCCTCTACTGGGTGTGGGATTGGCCTACAGCCCCTGGCGTCGATCCGACTTATCCAAACGGCAAACCAGAGGTATATTCGACGTGTATGGATGTGGATGTCGTTGACAGCCCGACATCTCGCTCCCGTGTCGCATTTGGATATGACAAGGATCAGTCTTTGGACACGGCTGCAATCCCGGGCCAATTTGCGGAGCTCCATGGATCTGGTGCTTCTCAAGGTACGGAGGACAGTTCTTCTGCCTCTCCATTTTCTTCGGTTGCAGCATCACCATCGCCGTTGCCAACGACAACCACAACACCGCTTGCCGCTGGAGGCCGGAAGCTATCCCAGCCGACGGGAATCCCTTCGTTTGTGACCAAGATAAAGACCGTTTTTCCAAGCAACTGTCAAAATCAGCCTAGCTCTTCAGCCAACGCTTAGCGGGGCTCGTGGGATACAAGAGCTCAAACTCGTTGCTTTCCAACACATGTCGATTGCCAGACCCAGGGACTAGTATAGACGGAGTATCAGGAGTATAACGGTCAGATGAAAATGGTAGGGGGCTCATGAAGAGACGAAGCAACGACCTCCTTCAGGCTCGAGCTGGTCTCGCCTGCATGACGCTGTCGAATGCCTTTGTTTGTTTTGGTTTTGTTTTGGTCTGTGCTTGTTATGTCTGAGCAGTTGCAAGTGGAGGACCAATTGCCGTTGAACTTCCAAGATTCTTTGATTCGTGTGAATATTAACAATTAAATATCAGTTCAAATGCATCTACCCCTGCTTCCATGTAGAATCAACCTTGTAATTTGAAGCCATCGTGTATACAAGATTGATGCCTCGTCCAGATCGGGACTAGACTCAGGAAGCAACACCTGAAACACGCTAGGCCGTGCGTGATCTGGTCACGTGAGCCCGCCCGAGTCTTCATCCAGAGAGAAAAAGCATCAATTCCAGATCGAATGCAGAGAAACGAAAAGCCTCATCCTGCGTGTCATCCAGACAAAGACATTGACTCTGCATTGTCTACCTGCAACCTTCCTGTGTTCTGGGGTCATATACACAGCATTTCCCCCAGTGGCAGCACAGAACCTCTCCACCAGAGGCCCCCCCGACTGCGCCTCGTTGATCATTAACGCTTCAGTTAGTCTTCAGGTAGGTAATCTCCGGCCAGTCTGTCTCTTTCTCCTCCATCATCCTTTTTCAACGCCGGGCTGTGACTTTTTTTCTGTGGTCATATTCCTGCAAACAAATTTCCCCATCCCATCTTTTTTGATATATTAATCCTCCCCCACTGGCTTTGCCTCGCCATCAAGGCATCCTGCTCGGTTACATTACTTCTGACACTGGCATTTTTGCCTTTGGGTGCTATATTTAGAATATTGCCCATTTGCCCTCGAGACAACTCGAACAGCGCGGGACAAGAAACCACCTGAAGCATCACCCAACCATCCAACCGGCCCTCCTGCAAGTCACTCCACGGACTATTGGCCACCACCGCTTCCAAGATCTCTGTTGCTGTGCTAGAGTACTTCTCTTCGCCTGCGTTTGGTATTTTCTTTTATTATTTTCTGTGCTCTGCTCGGCCCGCTTTATTGAAATAATCCCGAGGTGTTCGAGATTAGCCACACGTACCTGCCCGTTCCTTGTCGAGTGCGTTTCAGCAGGCACATCGAAGCCACCTCGCCTCTCTGGCGTCTAGCGTCGCTTGTATATCAAGATTGTTGACTGTTGTTTGGGGGTCCTTTTCGGTTGCCATCGTGCTCGTTCTTCGCCCCTCCCACCGCCAAATACCGATCAACGTGGTGAAACAAGGGAGTTCGTCTACTGCCCCTCCACGCTTCGAGTCGCATGCCCCCTTCATCTTTGACTTCCACGCTTTCCACCCCTTACCTCAAATAATAATAATAATATCGTTGGAATTGTCGGCTGCAATCGAAGGCTTGTCTTTTGCTCACAGCTTTGTTGATAAAATTTGTGGGCGGGCGATCGCAATGCGAAACTAGGGCGCAAAACACGTTGCCGATGATCGATCAATCTCCCTAGCATTCCCTCCCAGAACTTCTCGACCCCCGAAAGCTTCTTGACTCAATCCCTTCCCGCATTGTGTGCTCGGGAAAAAGAAATCCATGTCAATAATCATGTCCTCTACTTCGCCGCCTCCGGAGCAAAGTGCTTCGCACTTGTCGGCTTTGCCACCGATCCTCACGGATGGAACCGTGAAGCGACCGACCTGTCAGCGATCATCGTCGTATGCGAAGGACCGTCTATCCACATACTCGAATGTTTCTTGTGCGTCGCAAAACCGTTCGCGTCCTGGGTCACATGTCTTCCCGGTATTTCACACCAGTTTGCCGTATGCTCTTGTCCGAGATTTTGCATACCCGGCAATCCATCCTCTTCACTACGGGCCGCTACCACCTCGTGCATCTGCCGTGTCAACACCAGCGAGTGAGCATCGTCGTCTCTCGGACCCCCCTGCTCCGTGGGACAGTTCGCGAGGCCAGTGGTCAACAGGACCGTGGAGCACTGAAAATAGCTATGGACACCAACAACTTCCGGCAATGTCCTTTGGTGACGGTCCCCCGTACAGCGAGGATGAAGATCTGCACAGCCCGGTATTTACTGCACCTCGTCACCGGAAGAACAAGTCGACAGGAACAGACTTGAACTTGAACGGACGAAGAAACAAGGCCCGTAGCATCGCACCTCCCGGCTACTTTACACCAGAAGTAGACCGTGGAACTTTGGTCAGCATGAATGCGGATGGCAGTGAGACCTATTATGTCAATGATGAAGATGCAATGGAAGACGGTCCTGGCGGTGAGCTCGTAACGTATTCCGCCGATGAAAGCAGATTCTCCCATATGGCTCCTGAATCATATGACAACCAACAGGGTTATGAACAAGACCCAGGGTTTGAATCGGAAGATGAATTCACTGGTGATCGGTATTCTCGTGATTTCCAATTTGCAGTTGGGTGTCCGGATGAGGAGATGAACGGAAAAGCCGTCGCTCTTTTTGACTTCACCAGAGAGCATGAGAACGAACTTCCGTTGACAGAGGGACAAGTCATTTTCGTGTCATACAGGCACGGTCAAGGTTGGCTGGTGGCCGAGGATCCCAAGACCGGCGAGAGCGGTTTGGTCCCTGAGGAATTCGTTCGTCTTCTTCGAGACATCGAAGGGGGACTGACATCTCTGAATGGTGATCCAAATGCCGACATGACGGGAAACAACACGCACCTTAGCCCGGAATCAACAGAGTCGGATCAAGTGAGCACACCAACTCAAAATGACCAACTTCCGTTGGGTTCGAATGGAAACTCTGCTCATTCGGTAAACGGAGAGACGAGAGACAATGATCACCCTGTCGTTGTTTCCTCTGGCGGTGACGAGTCCAATTCTAACACATCACATTTGCCGCATTCTCAAAATGAGTTCGCCACCCCTCCCATTGACAAACTCCCTGAAAAAAAGCCTGAAGATGGGAAAAATACCACCGTTTTGACGAAAACATGATACCTGTGTCCTTGATATCATGAGCAAACGACGTAACACGGGCTGATCGGTGTCACTTATGACACTGTCCACCGCCAAGTGGGAAATGCTACCACAAAAAAAAAAATCAAACCTCGGCAATGTCTTTGTTCAGGCTGGATTCTGGACTAATAGTCACCAAAGAGGGCACACCAAATCAATCGCAACTATAGCCTTGCCATTGATCCATTCAACAAATTGAAAATTTTGGGGACACGAGTGAGACGACTGATTAGGCTCCCCGATCTCCGGCGCAGATCACGGAAGCCGGTCACCCCAAACCAGTCGGCCATACGACTTTTGAATATCAATCACTTACATGATATAATATATTTCATGATCCATGGATATTTGTCTTTATGTTTGGAGGTCACTCACTATTGGAGCGTGAGGGGCTGAAACGAAAGAACCCGAGGATCTGGCCTGTGGCTAGCCTCGACCAAGTCCATGAGATGCAGATTGTTTTGTCCCGCCTGCTTGTAAATATGTTTTTCCATGTTTTAATTGCCGTTTTGTATTCATTCAGCGCCGGCGTCGGCGTCAGTGTTAGCATTATTCCTATTGATCATTTACATACATACCATTCTGCTATTTTCTACGGCTTTGTTTTGTCGCCCAATTGCATATATCCTTGGAAGAATGATTTACATAGTTATGAATATTTTTTTGTTCAAAATTTTGATCGACACGCTCAGTGTTGGCGCATGACTCTTTTGGGGCAACTTCTTTGTTGAGAACTGCACTACTTATGTATAGCTACTTTCGATTATTATTTAGTCAACTAAATTTTCATAGTGTATTGCACCTTTACTTCATTTCGGGTAAATCTAGGCAAAACATATTTCATGCCACGTTTTGGACAACCAACTAACCTAGCCATGTATGTTGATAGAGAAGCAACATAATTTTTTGTAAAATAAAAGAAAAGAAGGGCGTGATGGATGAGAATTTTTGCTCAAGAAACACAAAAAAAATACTATGGTATATCAATCAAACTAGAAAGAAAACAACAAAAAAAAAGTAACCTAACCCAGCAAGTCATCAAATCCCGAGCTACCAGTCTTCGCTGCCCCTTGCTGCTGTTGTGGCTGCTGGGGTCGACCCAGGGCGGGAGAGGTGGAAGCTGCGGGGGCACCCCAGATGCCGGCGCTGGCTTTCTCCTTAGCCATGCTGGCCAGGTTGGGGCCTTTGCTTGCGTTAGAGTTGGACTTTTGGATTCCGGCACTTGCGCTGGCAGAGGACCAGAGTGAGCCGAAGGCATCGCCGCCTGAGGACTTGGATGCTGCGGGCTTGCTTGCTGCCGTGGAGGTGGCGGATGTGAAGGAGGATGTGGAGGCGCCGGGTCTGTGGCCTGAGGTGCCGGTGGGAGGCTGGGCGGTGGTCGCGGTAGATACGGAGGTGAAGTAGTTCGGGGTAGCGGCTTGGAAGCCGGTGGGTTTGGGCTGGGCTGGCTTCTGCGGTTGCATCATGGATCCGCTCTGAGGGAACCCAGTCGAGGAGGTTGGAGATGCAAGAGTGCTTCCAGTCGGCGTGGGAGACATGGAGGTGAACCCGACCAAGCCGTTCAGGTTTGCACCCTGGGATCCAGAAACGGGCTTTGGTGCGACGAACTGAGTGCTCGAGTTGGTGCTGACGGTCGATGCTGGGGGAGGGATACCGAATTGGTTGGAGGACGCAGGCTGCGGCGCAGGTGTTGCGGACTGGAAGTCGTCAAAGTCATCGTCGTCGATTGGCTTGGAGTCCAGCACATCCAAGCCACTGCTGCCGCTGGCCGCGGGCTGCTTGCCGGCGGCGGTAGATGCGGTGGTCGTAGTAGTAACATCGTCGTCGCCAAAGTCGAACAGATCCTGCTCAGGTTCTTTGGGCTTGGGAGGTGAAGGCTGCTTGGTCTCACGTTTGGCTCTTGAGGGGCTAGGTCCACGTCGGGGCGGGGGAGTAGCATCTGCCTCGTCGTACTCGTCGTACTCATCGAACCGGTTGCCTCTCCGTCCTGAATCCTGGAAGTCGCTCGAGCCGCCTCCAAATCCACCCCCATCCCCAAAGACACCACCACTGTATCCACCAAAGGACAAGCTGTCGCTGCCGAATCCTCCGTACCGACCGCCTGAACCAGTCATGCCACTTCCGACACCCATGCCACCTTCAAAACCGCTGAACTTATTCCGGTTGGCTCTGGCCTTCTTTCTCTCCGAGCGAATCAAATCGACATCGCCCAGCAGCTTTATCAGCTCGGAGGATCGATTGCGCACGTTGATACCTTGGTCCTTGCCATTCTGGTCAATGAAATGGAACTGGCGCAGCATTCGGATCAAGGACATGTGGGATCGGGCATCGTCGACAACTCGTTCGGATCCATTCTTAACCAAGAACTCCAGAAGCTGGAGGCCCTATGTTTGGAACCAGTGTCAGCAGTCCGTAGTTCACGCCCGCAAATGCAAATGTATTGATGCCCAACTCACCTTATAGATCTGCCGCCACTCTTCCGCTGTCTTATCCGTAAATCGCTTGTAAATCATGGGCATAATTTCGTTAAGCAATTGACTGTCGCAGAAAGTAAGCCAACATGTCAGCAGAAGATTTATAGCAAAATACATAGGTGGCTTGTGACTGACTAGCTGTGAGTTCCGCTGGCGATCTCGTTCATCAATGTGGTCGAGGCACCCCACGGTTCATTGTTTGTAGCTTCTCGGACCTGTTCAAAATATGTAAGCGACCTGCGATATGCCCCATTTTCCCTTTCCACGATTATAGTTGTTTGCAAGGCGATATAGTGTGGACGTGGTCTTTGTAGAGGAACGGAAACCGGCGGGACGGCAAAAGGTGACACGAACCTTGGACTCCATCTCCGTGTAGTTCATAACAGCTGAAGGCGATGAATAGTTAGCAAAGAACAATTTGAAGATAAAACGAATCGCAGAATCATCATGCCCGATCGCACATAAAAAGGCATCACCAAGAAAGAGAGGGGGGGTCGCTGCGGGACATACCATTCTGCACTTTGCGGACTCCCGCCTTGAGATCATACAAGGTCAGGTTGCTGACCTGGTCTTTCAAATTGGAGAAGTCCATGGCGCAAACAACAACACGATTAGGGTCTTAATGCGCTTTCGATGGTGTAAGAAGAGACAAACCCCGATTTTCGGCAGAGTCTTGAGGTCGACGAGGGGAGACAAAGTCAGGTCCAAGGAAGATTGATTGATTGGGATTCCAGCTGGCGTTGATTCCATAGAGAGACTTCGGGGCCCGACGCCGGGGCAGTCACGTGGCAACAGCCCCTGAATAGTGTAAATGGATCAGTCGACGTCTACAGATTGCTGTGAATAAAGAGAAAGTAAATGGTTTATGTTGATTTAAATTGCTTTTCACCCACTGTATCCGCAAGTGTGTTTGTTATAAATGTGCAAGTCAAACATCATACAGTCAACACTACTCGGGGTAAATAGGTACATAGAAGACTCGTCTACATCATACTGGGTAACAAAAATTGATCGTGAACAAGAGTTTAGGGACCAGATCTCTTCCGAAGAAGGCAAAAAATCAGAAAAGAACCGAGCTAGTATGCAGTCAACAGGGTAATCATTTCAGGAAGCAAAAAACAAAGCAAGTACATTTGACAAATCGTCCACCACAAAGATCAAAAAGCAACAGTAAGGGGTAATCAATAGAAACAAAAAGATCATAAAAAAACGCCGGAAACACAGGTCTCAAGAGCATCATGCTGGATAGAATACCAGACATACCCGAAAGGTCATAAGAATGTAAAATGAGAAATGGGGGATATCTTCTGAAAGGTGAAAAGAAAGAATCGAAGCAAAACGGAGCTCCGTCAAGGATCGTCCGTCGTAATGTCGGTTTATTCGTTATAGAATTTTTTCATGATCAGATGGAAGAAGAGGTTGAGGTTAACTCGTAGATGCCCCTCGAAGAAGTCCAGGAACTGCAGGTTGTTGAACTGTGCCTGCAACAGATCATCCATCGGTATCTGGGCATTGGCACCAGGGACCATCATTGGGCCACTGCTACCGTCAATTGTGAAGACGCCGACTTCATTACTCGAGATGGTAAGGTCAACCCGGTCCCATTGTCGCTCACTGTATCCCTTCCAGTGAACAAGCACACCCCTGTCCGCAAGGTTGCGAGCGGAATACTTGTAGGAACCGAACTTGAATACCTTGCCCGATTTCTGCAGCTCACGCTGGTGATCCCACTGTTTGGTGAATGGCATGTAGAAACGTTTCTTCCCCTTTTTGTTCTGTAGTGTTATCATTGCCTGCTCAATATAGTCGTTGTACGTGTTCAGCTGTTGCTCGAGCCAGATAGCTTGATCGTTCAGACGTCCTAGCGTTAAGCGGGCGCTCTCCAGCTCTCGTTCCCGCTGAATCCTGCGTCGGTGCTTGGTCCGAATATCGATTGCGATGGCATTGAGGAGGTCCTGGTAGTGGTTATCACGACGGATTTTACCAGTCTGCTCAAGATGGAGAATATTCTCAAGTGCAGTCCGTTTAAGCTCCGAGTAGGTCATTGAACCAATATCAACCAAGGTATTGGCTTCGGAGTATGCGCCTCGTCGACTGTTGTTGGTGCTTAGTTCGTCGCGAACCAGCGTCATCCATCTCTCCTCGTCTTCTTCTGTAGGTGGCTTGACCATAACCTCCATCAGATTCGCGCCTGTCTGGACGCGAATGATGTAGAGGATGCAACGCTTTGTCTCCATGAAGAGAGCCTTCACATCAGCTTCCGGGTCTGCGTTTCTCAAATTAGTGGGCACCAACTGCGTATCAGGATGGATTTCTTACCTTCAACCTGCGCAAGCTTCGGATGCAAAGTCAAGCTTATTTCAGAAGAATTGACACTCATCAACTGGTTTTCGTTGGATTTAACGTTTCCAAGGTCTCGAATAACCTCTTTTAGGATGTCATCGTGACTCGGGCAGATGAACTGGATTTCTGAGGCCACGAGTTGATGGATGGAAAAGATATCCGTCATTTTGATGTAGAGAGTTGGTTTCGTTTTTGCATAAAGGTCGTTGAATTCGTCAATATCAAAGTACGATTCAGCATCCTGAACAGAAATCACTGGAGTCAAGTTAGCTTAAATGGAATAGATGCCTCGCTGGAGTGAGAGACTACTCACTGTCGCCCCATATTTGTCCTAGTCGTTGAATTGAATCCTCGACGTATGTGTTGAGCGGCTGCAGATACACATTCTCCGTACCAAAGAGCCTACCGGAAGCCACCTGACCGATGACCTTTGCTATTTCGGACAGGTTTCTCTTCTGCTCCTGCGTCATGCCCCGGTCGAAGACGCCGTGCCTCTCTGGCTCTAGGATGGCGGGCTGGAAGTAGTTTTTCCACACCCAGGCGCCGACGGTCTGCAAAATGAATCCAGGGTCCTCGCTAGGGAAGCGGGTGAGGAGGCTGTCATACATTTGCTGAGCAAAATACCGAACGCCGAAAGGCATGCGATATAGATATTCCTGGAGTGCAGCAAAGAGAGCATCGGCAATATCCCGAATGTCTTGAAGATGCTTGATGAATGTCGCTCTCGTCTCAGGGTCTCGGATTGCTTCTTCCCTGGGAATGTCAAGTCGACGACGACTACGCTTGCCAGTGCAGAGCTCTTCATTGTTGATAGCAGAGCGGTAGATCTGGATCGGATCACTCTCTAGATCTAACTCTGAGTTGTCGACGATGTACTCCCTAACGACAGGTCCTAGGACGTCACGCATGAACTTTCGATCCCGGGGAGACTTGATGTACGACGCGAAAAGCTTGTTTGCGAAAGAATTGCAACGCAGATATTCATGCATGGAATCGAAGCTTTCGATATCCTCCCGGGCAGAGCGGGCGAGAAGTTTAATGAGATAGTACTCCTCACGTCTCTTCTGAGAATACCCAAACAGCCCCATCATCAAGTGCCTGATTCTCTCATACTCTTTGTCGGCTGTCTTGATTTCGCGAAGTCTCCTAAAGAGCCGCGCGAGGTACTGTGATTGCGTCTGAAGGAGAAAGAATAACACTTGGTATTGTTCAAGCTTCCTTCGTGACTCCTTATTGAGCGCTTTGAGGTCGAACGGATCTGTTGACGAGATTTCGGTGTTGGGGAGCAGGGCACCAATGTGGAGACCAAAATGACTTTGATGCTTGACAACTTCATCAAGTGTAATCTTATTCTTCACCAGGAGGGCAATTTTGATGTCAAGCTGACTGATGTATTGCTCCGCGTTCTCATTTTGCCGAACTTGTTGGACAACCAGTTTTCTCGTTCGTTCAAACTCAATCTCCTCATCGAAGTCGAAGTCACTGTCATTGAGAAGATGAACAAAGCCTTTGACGGTTCCTACAGGAGGGTTCTTTCCGCTTGTGAGACTCTTGTAAGCTTGCCCTTGGATCCTTCCTCGGACAAAGCTCTGGGCCTTGATGACCTTTTCCATGTTCTGTCGGTAATAGCGACGTTTTTCTTCGAATTTCGATCGCACAAGATATCCTCTGATATGCGACTGAAGGTCTACAACGACATCCTCCTCAGCTTCTAGATCAACCAGAGTCTGGCCAACCTCCAATCGGATCATCATCGCTCGTGCTAGTCCCTGCAGTTGCACCACTTCGTCTTCACAGTCTTCGAGTTGGTTGAGTATTTCGCCAACGTCCATTCTGAGGAGTGCTGCTCGAGTAAGGGACTGGAGGCCGACGATCATATGTTCATCCGTTCGAAGATCATCTAAATCAGCTTCCAATTGCCTGCGGAAGATGACGCCCCGAATCATGGATTGTAAGTCAAGAATTGTGTGCTCTTCTTCCTTCAAAGACTTTCGCTGAGATTCCAAAGCATATCGCAGAGCCTGTGCCCTGACCACACTTTGTAGATCGATAAATGATGCTTCATGTCGCATTAGCTCGTCTCGTAGAGCGGAAGTGTTTCCCCGGGAAGCAGAACCGCGAATCATCGCTTGCAAAGCAACGCATTCATTTTGTGTCTTGTCCAGGGCTTCAGCCAACGAAGATTGTTGATTCCGGGTAGCCAAAGCCCGTGCACCTGCTTGAACGAGGATTATTGATGGAACCTCTTTGTCCAGCAGGCTCCTGGTTTGCGTAACGGATCCTCGAGTCAACATTCCTCGAATAGCCGCCTGTAGCGACTTTGCGTCGTTCCGCGTGCTTTCTATCTCATCATATTGCACATTCATTTGTTTTCGTTGAAGTGCGCCTCTGATGACCGCTTGAAGCATCTTAATAGGGCCTTCGGCGTTTCGCGTTTGTTCCTGCTGGGAGTGGACCTTTTGTCTCTGAAGGGCCCCCCTTATAGCCGCCTGCAACGAAGTGACTTGAGGCTCCGCATCTTTCATACATGCTTGCTGGGTCTGAAGATTCTGCCTTTGGAGAGCTCCTCGAACAGCAGCTTGCATTGATATGACTTGGGGCTCTGCGTCTCTCGTATGTGCTTGGTGGGTTTGAGCACGTTGTCTGTGAAGATATCCTCGAATAGCAGCCTGCAATGAGGTCACTTGGGGTTCCGCGTCTCTTGTATCGTTCCAGAGGTTAAAGACCACTTTGCGTTGCAAAGCTCCTCGAAGTGCCGCTTGAATGTTCTTGATGCCCGATTCCTCTTTTCTCATCTTACTTTGAAGACGATTTATCTGAGCCCTCGCTCTCGATGCTCGGACAAGGGTTTGAAGCTGCAGAACACACTGCTCCTGGGCCTCCCAGCTTGCCTTGTCACCTTGCTGCTGGGAGCGTACAAGAAATCCTCGGCAAGTAGCTTGCAGATTAATCGCGAACTGCCTCATGCTCAATCTATAGTCAATGATCTGGCGCGCCCAATCTCCACGCGCTCTAGATTGCAGTTCGACAAGTTGGGGCTCAAAGTCCCACAGATCATTCATCAAGTTGCCCAGCTTCAGTCTCAACATTGCTCCCTTAATCTGAGCCTGAAAGTCACTGATAAAGGCCTCATTTTCATGCAGTTCTCGATCGATTCGATCCTCTTCGGATTCCGGCTCGGGCTCCGGTTCAGGCTCTGCCCCAAAATTTGCAGCCATGCCTGTGAAGCTCGGCATGCTGACACCCGCCTTATCAAGACCCTTCTGCATTTGTTCAAGCTCGTGATGCTCAAACTCCAGTTGACCAACAAGGTTGCCCATTCGGAAGTCAAGCATGCCATTTTTAAATAGCAACCACGAGAGCGCATGCACACAATGAATTACTTTGGGGATGTTCTTCTTTTCGTACAGATCGATCAGTTCGAATCGGAATAATTCGGGCAATTCGATATCATCCAAAAACCGGAAGAACAAAGCTATGTTGTCCGAGTGTCGATACTGTAGTCTTGGGTGCTTGAAGATGCGTAGTGTGCGACTGGGGTACATTGCTTGGACGACCTCCGCCAGTGTCACACCATCCCGGAGGGCTTCCTCTAGTTGAACGATCGGCGGAATTTGCTTTTGAATGACTTCTTCGATCCACTCCTTCGCCTCTCCGATATGGCAAAGATACTCATATGCTTGAAGGAATTGCCGCTGCTTATCCATCCAGTTACCAGCTGCCCACGCCGATGCAGTCTTTTTCTGGGGGGATCGTGGGCTAGCACCTGCTACGGAATCAGCACGCTTCAACCTCCGCCTTCCCTGCAACCCAACCACCGAGGGTGTGGAGGTGTCAAGCCCGAATTCTTCACCTTCCCCAGATTGGGCGAACTTGGAAAGAGTGCGAAGATGCCCTGTTGATGATTTTTTCAAGGTTTCAAGGTCGGGAGCGGTCAAAGCGGTCGTAATTGGTGGTGGATTGGATAGGCTATGACCATGATTCGCCTTCAGTTGTGGACGATGGAGCGAAACGGCAGAGGGGGATACATGATGAGGCGAACTTGCCCGTGGAGGGGTTTGCGGATTCAAAGCTCTCTCGCTGAGAGGCCTAATATTCTCCCCATAAATGGGGCGCGACTCGGGTGTCGTGGGGCGATTTTCCTTCCAGTAATGAGACTCATCAACAGTTTGACTTCTTGAATGGCGAGAAGTAGCCTTCTTTGTCGCAGCAGCCGAGGGGTTGGGCGCCTGGGGAAGTGGTCGCAAAGAGCGCCGGATATCTGTATATGCTGCCCCAGCATTGGACCAGCTGCCCAAATTCGCGCCATCCCTAGCCATGGAAGTTGTGGAAGTCATGGTGTTTAATTCACTCTTTCCTCGTTTGTGGCCAATGCTGGGGGTGGACCCTATGGACGCATTGGAAGAGACTGTGCTCGTGCGACTCGGGGCGAAGGAATTCGAGGACAGGGAGTAGATGGAGGAAGTGGTCGATGCGTTCGAGCCATGGCGGAGAGGGCTCTGTGCTTGTTGTGGAGGGAGGTCCGTTTGGGCTCGTCGGAGGGCGGAAGGATTGCTTGACATCACTGAGGGCGGTCCGTAGGTAGGAATGCGACAACCGATGGAGATGGAAAGGCCTCGTCGCCAATTGGCCGCATACCTGCTTCACAGCTGAAGCAGTATTGTAGCCGGGCAGGAATAATTCGTATGCGCAATAAAGGCTTTGCGTCTGTGGAGTGCAATGGAATGCGGAATCAAGGGAGGGCTCGCATTGCCCAAATTGTGAGTTTAGTGGTAACGAGGGAGGGATTGGGCTGGAATCGGTTGATATAGAAACGAGATTGATGTAGATCGGAAAAAAAGGCCAGTTCCAGAAAGGTTCAGTGCTGCGAAATAAAAAGTCGATCAAAAAGAGATGAAGAAATGGATAGATCACTAAATGGGGCGAAAGTGACTTGCAGCAAGTCTTGTTATTTACAGCGGCTGGCAATGGCGAGGGGCAAACGTAGAACGGGCAAGCGCAGGGCAGGGACAACAAATCTCCCAATCGGGTATGGGCTGCCACGTGATTATACGATACTGTTACTTCACGTGATTGTATTACAATCCGATTTTGTCTCTTGTCAGGCTACAGAGTAAGGGTAGGTATCAGAGGAAAGATGAATTCAATCGATATTGCAGTGTAAATAATCCTAATCACGTCAAGTCCATCTCATGGAGAGAATGACAGGTTGTTTCACTCAGCAATGTGGTTGACGGATGGCAGATTACGATCTCCGAGGAAGAAGCGATTCACCTGTCCAACCATCGGTATGCTATTTTGGGCCTGTTTGGACTGCCAGAGCAGAGACACATTATTAGGTCGCCTCCAGGTTCCATGATGTGGACTTTTAGGTACACAGTAGTCTATTTTATCCAATCGTCCAGCTGTGCTTTTGGTCATTGGCTCTCTATCCACTATGCTTCATGTATTGACAACAAAGTAGTGCATACGTGGTGGTACGAAATCAATAGTTTATCCCCATATCCCCATCTCTACAGCGAGTCTGCTGTCCATACAGAATCTATTCATCTTGTTTTCTTCTGGTTATCAAGATTTTCTATTCTATACCTTCCATGTATCCATTGCATCATTACCAATATTACGGTCACAGAAACAATCGTCAGCTCTTACAATGCAATTGATACCACTGTTACACCACCACAAAGTATTCCAATTCAACTTCAATCAATAAGTAGTACGGTATCTCTTTGAGGATACCCTGAAATCTAGTGCGATCTGGGATCTCGACGGTCATCAATAGTCGCGATCGTGGGATCTAGGCCTCTACGCACGGAACCTGAACCCGGGAACCCCGCCAGATCACAGCAACAACTTGGCCCTGGCTCACTCAGCATCTATGATTTCATCGGCTGTTGACCAGTCCAACGACATCCTGATCAACAACACTTTTATATCTTTCCAACCCTGCACTAGGTATTGCAATTGAGTTAATCAGCAAAAATGACAGACTCTGAACCTCTCTACGTCTACAAACTCGTCCCATCCACCGAGCCGGTCCGAGAACCGCTCCCCGAGAGACTCCCCGTCAGTGAACTCGACCAGAACTCCGGATTCATTCACCTGTCCACGGCGTTTCAAATACCAAATACCCTCAAGTTCTTTTTTAAAGATGAGCCGCTTGTCTATGTCTTAAGGATCCGGTATGACCGTGTAGAACCGGATCTTCGCTGGGAGACGCCAGATGGAAAAGTGTGCGGACCCCGGCCTACGGAGGGGTTGTTTCCGGTATGTCCCTTCTTCTTTCTCTTGTGCTAATATACACTCACTGACAAACAAAGCACTTGTATAACGGTCTCCGGTTAGGAAAGGAGGAAGTCGACAGCGTTGCTGTGTGGATGAATGATGGCGGATGGGAAAAGCCTCTTTTGCAGGCAAAACCATGGCTTTTATACTAAACTTCATGAGAAAATCTCCTCTTTACTGGTTGAACATACAAGGCGGGTTTCTTATCCATTTTTATCAGCTGCATTTCACTGTTGTACTATTCTCTAGCATTCTGCAAACTACAACAGTAGCACAATCTCTGACAATCGATCAATCATTCAAAGGATAGCAATGCATAATTTGACCATCTGTTTATTTTTGTCAGTACACAAAGCTTCAAAGGATATCATAAGGTCAAAACTTACAGTAGAGCGAAGCATCCGCACTCGCCAGGAAGACAAAACTCGTCGCTACTTCACTTGGCTCAGCAGGGCGTCCCAGAGCAGTCTGTGCTCCCCAGTTCACCATCAGATCAGGCTCTCGAGAATCAACCTGAATGGGCGTGTAGGTGGCACCGGGCCTGGATAAATTGACTATGCGTTAGACTTCTGTTGTACACGTACATCAACACCAGAGCACTTACGCAACAGCATTCACACGGATTCCTTTCGGAACCAGATGCGACGCCAGAGACCTGGTAAATCCAACAATAGCTCCCTTGGTCGCTGCATAGTCGATCATGGTTCCTGAGCCACGGAATGTCACCACGGAAGTGGTGTTGATGATGCTAAAATCGTCAAATTTCAAGCAACTAGAATGGTAAACATTTACGCACCTGTCGCCCTTTGACATGTATGGAAGAGCGAATTTCGCCATAGCTATCATTTGGATAATATTGACGCGGAAGGTATCTTCAACCTTGTCGAGGTCAACATCAAGGAAGTCCTTGTACATGTATTGCTGCGAGGCATTGTTAACAAGGACATTGATTCTGCCAAACCTGTGGATCTTGTTAGATGGATCGTTCCCTGAATATCGTCATATAATGGTTATGCAATACTCACTTTTTGACATGCTCTTCAACAGCCTTACGGCATGTATTACGATCTGACAGATCTCCAGCAAAGAGATGGCAGGTTCTCTTTTCAGCCTCGATAGCTTTCTTCGTATCTTCAGCATCCTCCTGTTCCACAGGCAAATGGACGATGAAGATATCAGCACCCTCTCGTGCCATCAATATGGCAACCGATCGACCAATTCCTGAACTATGCTCGTCAGCACTTGATCATATCCGAATATATGGACAGGATGCATACTCTCCACCCGTGATGAGAACTTTTTTGTCTTTCAGTTTACCACAACCGGCATATTCAACGAAACTCCCGACCGACTCGAGCTTGGTTGATTCACTGGGTGGCTGCATGTACTTCTCCAGTCTGTGATATCTTGCTTAGTCTCATGGATGAGGTAAATGGATGCAAGTGTGTAGATGCTCTTACCCTGGCTTGTTCTGGCTCTGTGCCGACTGCGGAGCCTTGAAGGTTCCATCTTTGCCCATTTGAGACGTCATTTTCGGGCTTCGATAAATCAAGGTCTGAATCTGCTAATAGTATAAACGTTGCTTGAACAAAATACTGTTTCAAAACACGGGGTGCGTGGATTGGACTTGGGTTTATATGGTGTTTACGTGCTGTCACTCTGTCGTCAGAGTGTTGCAATAGCATATCGAATGTAGGGGTATAATATGACTTTCTTTGATAAACCATGAAGGCATAATTACCAGCTACTTTTGAGCATGAATATTGTATTATCTAGTAGTACTGAGGTAGCTTTGTGGTTTGTTGATTTCCTCCGATGTATATATTCTCGAATGATGTTTAGATCGAGATTGCAGATAGTAGCTGAGATTTCAACTTCTTTATCATTTATATCCCTTACAGTAAGAGAAGCATTCGCCAAAACAAAATGATATAATTACCTATGTGTACCTACTAGCTTCTATTATCTGGAGTTGTGCTCTAGCATCACGCACTGTATGCTACTGTAGCACTCTGCATGGTGCATAAGGACCTATGAGAATGCCACCACCAAAGTGAAGCCTAATGCTACCAATTCTTGTTGAACGCATTAGGACTAAGAATTGAAAACTCTTTCCAATTATTGATAATCAACATAGAACTATGTGGTATTCAAACGACATGTTGCAAATTCTTAAAAATCCGCTCTCAGAAATTATCAACGCTGATGTAAGCATCGCCCCTCGTCCGTCACCGCCTTGAGAATATCTCGTTTAGCAGCCAACCAGAGAGCGCAGCTCCCAACGGCGGCAGCAGCTAAACCCGTTTGGGTGATACCCGCCGGGATTAGCCCGTGCACCGATAGAAGTGTAAAAAGGCAATTTTTTTCCCCTCGAATTTTTTTCTTTTCTTCTTCTTTCTTTCCTTTGGGAAAGGAAGACTTTCTCCATCAACAGAACGTTTCTATCGCCGATCTGTTGATTACTTTCTTTTTTGATCTATTACTTTAATCTTCTCTACGAGTTACGATAGAAACCGTAGAGGTTTCATTCCAAACACAATGCCTATTTCCAACGGTGACTCCCTGGGCAGAGCTATGAAGGCGGAGTTCCAGGACTACACCAAGGCCCTGGAGGTCTTGGAGACCTACCCCAGCAGAGATGGTCTTGATGTTGACACTCTGTTGGACTCGGATAAGCACGGTGCATTGACTTACAATGACTTCCTTATCCTGCCGGGTTACATCGGTAAGTCGAGGATTTCCTGAACAATCTTTGCACCAATTGAGGTACTCATGCGGTTTTTATGACAGGCTTCCCTGCTTCCGATGTCACTCTGGACACCCCCGTTACCAAGCGCATCTCCCTCAAGGTTCCCCTTGTGTCTTCCCCCATGGACACTGTCACCGAGCACAACATGGCTATCCACATGGCCCTTCTCGGTGGTCTGGGTATCATTCACCACAACTGCTCTCCCGAAGACCAGGCAGAGATGGTGAGAAAGGTCAAGAGATACGAAAACGGTTTCATCTTGGATCCCGTTGTGCTGTCTCCCAAGGCCACTGTCGGAGAGGCCAAGGCCCTCAAGACCAAGTGGGGATTCGGTGGTTTCCCTGTGACTGGTAAGCACCTATCATTTCCTTTTTATATATTTCTTTACGCCTTCGTCATGTTTTGAGGATGATTTCCATCTTTTCCAATATAACTTTCGTTCCACTGAAGCGACGAAAGTAGCCTTGTGGAGAAACAGATTTGAATCTGAGAAAATGTGTCTTGCTGTTATTAATACCACATACTTGTCAAGTCCATGGCTAACTTTGGCTTGCAGAGGATGGAACTCTCCGCTCTAAGCTTGTTGGAATGGTCACCTCCCGAGACATCCAGTTCCACCTCAACCTTGAGGACCCTGTTACCGCCATCATGGCAACTGACCTCGTCACTGCCCCCGCCGGCACAACTTTGGCCGAGGCCAACGATGTCCTTCGTCAGTCGAAGAAGGGCAAGCTGCCCATCGTTGATGAGAACGGCAACCTTATCTCTTTGCTGTCTCGCAGTGACTTGATGAAGAACCTTCACTACCCCTTGGCCTCCAAGCTCCCTCAGTCCAAGCAGCTTATCTGCGCTGCTTCCATTGGTACTCGTGAGGAGGACAAGACCAGACTCCAGCTTCTCGTTGATGCTGGTCTTGACATTGTTATCCTGGACAGCAGCCAGGGTAACAGCATGTACCAGATCGCTATGATCAAGTACGTTAAGGAGACCCACCCTGAGATCGATGTTATTGCCGGTAACGTCGTGGTGAGAGAACAAGCCGCAGCTTTGATTGCTGCCGGTGCCGATGGCCTGAGAATTGGCATGGGTAGCGGTAGTGCTTGTATCACCCAGGAGGTCATGGCCGTCGGTCGTCCCCAGGCTCTCTCCGTGCGCAGCGTTTCTGCTTTCGCTGCCCGCTTCGGTGTTCCCTGCATTGCTGACGGTGGTGTCCAGAACGTTGGTCACATCGTCAAGGGTCTTGCCATGGGTGCTTCAACTGTCATGATGGGTGGTCTCCTTGCCGGTACCACCGAATCTCCTGGCGAGTACTTCGTCAGCAACGAAGGCCAGCTCGTCAAGGCCTACCGTGGAATGGGCAGTATCGCCGCCATGGAGGACAAGAAGGCCGGCAAGGGTGCAACCAACAGCAAGGCCAGCAACGCCGGAACAGCCCGTTACTTCTCTGAGAAGGCTGGTGTCCTTGTCGCTCAGGGTGTTGCCGGCTCTGTCCTCGACCGTGGCTCTGTCACCAAATTCATTCCTTACCTCGTTGCCGGTGTCCAGCACTCCTTGCAGGACATTGGTGTCAAGAGCCTTGCTGACTTCCACGAGGGTGTCAACAACGGCACCGTCCGCTTCGAGGTGCGCAGTGCTAGCGCAATGACCGAGGGTAACGTCCACGGTCTGCACAGCTACGACAAGAAGCTCTACGCTTAGGTTTATTGAAAAAACTAAACTCGGGTGTTTTATTTTTCTTTTTTAATTGTTAATGAGCTTTGTTCATATGTTCACACGATGATACGTGGTTGGGGTATTAGAGGTAAAAAAAAAATGAGGGATAGGAGTTCGATGTGATGTGGAATTGTCCACTGACGGGTGTTTTGTTATTTTTGTCTGCACTTGGTCCAATTCGACGCATCTCATACATAGCATGACTTGATGAAATTGAATCATTCAACACGACTATTTCCATTTCTTTCCAACTTGTATATTCGGTACCTTGAATTCTGCAGCCCAGAGGCCAGAGCACCCGGCGGTGGGCTAAACCAGAACCGGCAACGCCGAACGCGGGGTACGGCTACTGTAAGGACGAGCCTAGGTTCGCGTGACAACCACGGTTATCACCAGCAATCAACATCAATTGAGATTAAGAAATATCTAGGAAATTGTCGGGCTGTAGCCATATGAGAGGCATGACTGCATCAATTCATGTCGTCTCTCGTACGACCCGGTTAATTTACACCAATTCTGGACGGTTCCTACCACAGCTCTTTGGCCGAGGTTCTTTAGCCTCTCGCTCGTGGATCTTGAAGTCACGGTCTTCCTCTCCGCATGCTCCAGCACAAGTGTGTTCAGTACGTTTTTATTCGTCTGTATACAACCCATCTCAGTCTCCAAAGATGCCATCGGGAAAAGGCGATGGTTCCAAGTCGAAGCCGGCAACGCCCAGACCTAGCTCTAGGTTAGTTACTCCGCGGATACTCTGTACATATGACCGGCTAGAATCGCCATAGTCTACAATGGACAATGCCTACGCATTATAATTGCTGATAGCTAATACGGCAATCCAGTGTGATTCTAATCTCACCCAAGAATGAAATCCTGCTCCTTCACCGCGTCCAGACATCGACATCTTTCGCGTCGGCGCACGTTTTCCCCGGCGGAAACCTGTCGACCCAAGATGGAGATTGTCCACCTGCAGAAGATTTCAAAAGACATGATGATTCACCTGCATACCGACGTGCTGCGATACGAGAATTATTCGAGGAAAGTGGAATTCTGTTAGCCAAAGACCGCGTCTCGGGGAAGATGTTGGCTGTTGGAGAAGAGGAGAGGGAGAGCGGGAGACGGTTAATTCACCAGCAGGAGATAAGCTTCGACGAGTGGTTGGGGAAACTGGACTTAGCAGCAGAGCCGGATATAGGTTGGTTTTTTATCCCCTTTCAGGGCCAATTGGGTTCTTGGCTAATGGAGAGTGTTGTCCAACAGACAAGTTGATTCCGTTTTCACGATGGATCACCCCGACCAATGTGCCTCGACGGTATACAACGCAGATGTACCTCTATTTCCTGCCTTTGCCCGTCGAATCCGAGAAGCAGCTCCTAGACGCAATTCCCGCCGAAGGCGAACGGGAGGAGATACAGGTCCCAACGAGCGATGGCGGCATCGAAGTCACAGAGGCGAGGTTCCTGCCCGCCACCGAGTGGCTTCGGATGGCAAACAGTGGCGAGATTATCCTATTCCCTCCACAGTTTCTGCTATTGCATCTGGTGTCGGAGTTTCTGGACAAGGGTTCGCGAGCTGAGAACCCTAGTGCTGAGGATCTGGCACAGCGACGGTCGGAATTGGTCGAGTTTGTGCATTCGGGCACGCCACCTTGGACGGATAAATGCATCTCGCCAAAGATGCTTCAAATGACGCCTGATGGACGGGCTGTCTTGGCTTTGGATCATCCAGGACCGGAGTTGAAGGGGTCTGACAGACGCGGGGAGTCAGAAAGGGTTGTATTGGTACGATTCAAGAAGGGGGCTGCCCGTGAGGTGGAAGTTGGATGGAAGAAGGGCATCATGGAGGATCAAAGAAAGAGTAGTTTATGATTGTAAATAATTGCATCTCTACTTGTACACAAAGAGACACATCCACCAAATACAAGACAGACCGTACGTACCGTACCTGAAATCCTTATCAAGAATGATAGGGCACGTTATCGCCACACCAACCCACCCCATTCGGCCACGCGCCCACCAAGCCCTCGATAAAAGTCACATGACCCACACAACTCGTCGACCCAACTTTGTCGCCGCACCGCGCATTTTCAACGAGTCACCCGCCAGCGCAAACCTCTTCCCACCGTCCGTCGTCGACCTTCAAGACCTACAAAACCGCCGAAATGGAGAACGAAAAGGGAGAGATCGTCGATCTGTATGTTTGTCCAATGTTGAATTTCTGTTTTTTCCCCCGGGGTGTCTTGAGCAGAGGGAGGGGAGAGAGAAGGTCTAGTCCTGAGGTATCCGGTGTGATTTGTGGCGGCTACGAATAAAATAAAAAATTCAACCCGAAAAGCAAACTGTCAAAACGCGGGCAGGCCAAATCATTCAGCCGGATTCCTCAGGACGAAAGAATGCGAGGGAGGGGGGAATGGAATTTCAATATCAAAATTGAATATCAAGGATCAAGGAAACATATAACTAACATCTACCTCCCATTTTTACAGCTACGTGCCTCGCAAGTGCAGCGCCACCAACCGCATCATCAAGGCCAACGACCACGCCTCCATCCAGATCGCCATCGGCAACGTCGACGAGAACGGTCGCTACACTGGTGAGAACCAGAACTACGCTCTGTGCGGCTTCATCCGTGCCCGTGGTGAGAGCGACGACTCCCTCAACCGCATCACCCAGCGTGACGGTTACCTCAAGAACGTGTGGAGCGCCAACCGTGCCCGGTAAATTGGTTCGCCTAATGGTTTGATGGTATGTCTGAACTACAAATGTCTTTTAAAATAAGGTGGCAAGAGCTGGTGGCTAATATGAGAGACATTAGATGTTACCGTGAAGCTTGATGGACCGGACCGGACTTACGGGGTGGGAAGATAATTGAAAAAATGAATAAATAAAATTCAAATACCTTTTATTACTCCTAAAAATAAAAAAGGGGAACGAAAGCAAAATGGGAGTTTCAATTGCCTTTTTCCTTCTTCCCTTCTATCTTCCTGATCTTGAGCATGGAATCGATGAGACGACATGACCTTATATCCGTCTACGTCAACCACCTTATCACCTGAACTACACAATGCACAATATGTGGTAGAACTTGCTTTGTCCTGGCGTCGAAAACATTCACATTCACATTCGCCCCCTTACTTTTCCTTTTCCTTATATCTCTACATCTCTTCTTCTCTTTCCTTTCCTTTCTTTTCCTTACCTTTCAACCGGCACACAAAGCCTCCTCATTCACGGGATCGAATCGAAAGTCCTTCTCCCTCGGGGGAGGCGACATTCATTCGATTTCCCTTATTCCCTATGAGCGAGGAGGTACGGTAGAATTTCGTAAATTCACCCACAACAAGCCGAATATCAAGATAAAAAAACAAAACCCGCCTGCTGAAGAGCCACTTTTGCAGAGAATATGCACTGGGGCACAGATACGGGTGGGACAGTTCTCGCAATTATTTACTTTTGTCTAGTTAATATCTAGTTAGCTAGTAGAGATGGTTTTTTTAACTTGAATTGAAGTTTTGAAGTTTGATTTGTCTTGTATCTGGCTTCGCGTCTAGTGGTATAACTTTTCATTTCTACTCAATACCGTCGTTATCTTCCACGTAAAATCATAACTATTTAAAAAAGAAACCAGTGAAATCAATACATCTGGGTTGGTTTTTGTTCTTGCTTTTTTCTTTTTCTTTCTTATATCTATTCCATATATCTGTTCAATGGTTTAATCCTTCTCCAGTCTAACGGCGGGGTTGCTCTCAATGAAGTTGAGGTCGACCTTGTGGCCGAGAAGTTCACGGATGTTGCTCACTCCGTATCTATGTATTGTTAGTTGTTATCAGACCAGGGTGGGTGCGTGTGGAAACTTACTTGATCATGGTTGGTCTCTCCAAACTCAATCCCCATCCGTACACTCTCATGTCCTTGGGAAGACCCATGGGCTCCAGCATCTCCGGTCTGAACATACCACTGTTTCCGATCTCAACCCACTTGCCCAGACCGTCGTGGTAGCCGAAGATCTCCATACTAGGCTCGGTGTAAGGGTTGTAGGCGGGCTTGAAACGCAGCTTGTGAATGCCCATCTTTGCGAAGAAGACCTCCATGAAGCCAATCAGACCACCCAGGGTAAGGTTGAAGTCTGCAATGACACCCTCGACCTGGTGGAACTCGGCCAAGTGGGTGGCGTCGACAGCCTCGTTACGGAACACACGGTCGATACTGAAGTACCGCGCGGGCCGGGGGTTGGCGGCCAGCTTCTGCAGCATGTAGGTCGAGACCGAAGTAGTGTGTGTACGGAGGACCAGTCGGAGGGACTCGTCGGCGCTCCAGGGGTAGCGGTAGCCGATGGAGCCATATTTGCCCGACTCGTGGACCTGACGGACGTTCTCCCAGTATTCGTTGTAATCGATGGTCTTTTCGGGCGAGGCCACCGAGACGGGGTTGATGGCCTTTGGACGGTGGGGGTCATTGAGAGGATCCTCGCGCGGAGGGTCTGCCTTGGCCGGGTCGGAGATGTAGAAAGTGTCTTGGAGGTCACGGGCGGGGTGTTGCTGGGGCACGAAGAGGGCGTCGAAGTTCCAGAAGCCCGTCTCGACGAAGCGGTTGGTAGGCATCTCCTCGAAGCCCATCTCGAAGAAGATGTTGCGAAATTCCTGGCGCACCTTGTTGAGCGGGTGGAACGCACCGGACGGGGTCGGGGCACCCTTGGCTTTGAAGTTGTACGGCTTCAGCTGGGCCGTCTTCCAGGACCCATTGAGCAGCATCTCGGCCGTGAGATCGGTCTCCTCCTTGACGAACTCCCGGGCATACTTGGGACCCTTGGAGATCTTGAAGGTGATGACCTTTTGCACCGTGACGAGCTTGCGACGCTTGAGGTCGGTCACAGCCTTTTGGTCACCGAGAGTCTGGGTGTTCTTGACCGCCAGCAACTGCTGCTGGGTCTCGTCCACAATGGATTCGGCATTGGCCCGCAGCAGATCCTTGTCCTTCTTGATCCAGCCTCGCTTGAAGGCATTGCCCTGACCGACTTTGGCGTTATCCTTTCCAACAATCCCAGGCAAGTCGCCGATCTTCAACCCATCGATGGCGGCGAGAACGGCCTCGAAGACCTTCGCCTCATGACTGCCATTAGTGGCAATCGCTTCACCCTCACCCGTCAGGGCGAGAACCTCCTTGTCCATGGTGTCATACTCGACCATCTGTCGCGAGCCTAGGCGGTCGAGCGCACTTTTGATATTTGATGAGGGGATGGAGGGGAAGGCTTCGTTGGAGAAAATGGGCGCATCGGACGCGGACAGGGCGTCCAGAATCGGTTTCGTCATATCGGACGCCATGGCTGCAGCCGGATCGACCACAGAAAGGGGTCGAGAGTGGGAAGAGGAGGGGGGTGAAGGGGGGGGGTGCTGATGGCGGGGGATTTTATCGTTTCTGCCCACTTGGAATTGTGACTCTTTTGGGCGCACGTTTACTTTTGATGCGGCGGGGGAGAGTGACCAAAGGCGCCATCTCGTGACCTGCCCCGCCATCATGCTTTAGAAAAATATTTGAAGCATCAGAATCGACAGAAATCCAATGATGCAGCATTATAGCGGTAAAATGGATATTATTTCTTTAACCGTACTGATCTATATATACATATGTACATATATATAGATATAGATATATATGTTGTAGGTAGTGGATGCATACTCGGTACCCAACGTAGCATCAAGTATCCTAGTATCCTGTTATCTGCATGTCAAAACACTCGTCTGCCAAGACAAGTAATATAGGAATAGATGTTGGATAAAAGATAATCAGATCGAGTCATCAGACCTCATACATAGTGGCAACGTCCAGATAGAGTATTTTGGGTGAAGAGCAGCGGGGAATACAATACATTTCTTGAACAGATGTTAGACCACCTGATTGTATTAGATTGATTAAAACACTTGTATTGTCTGTATTCACTGTATTCAGAATTTAAACCCAATAGATGTATTAAATAAGAAATCAGATATGAATGAAATGTGCGCCTCGCAAATAATCAAATCCTGGTCCAAAAGGGAATGGGGTCGGTGCTGTCATTGGCCGGATGGGGTCAAGTGGACCCGCACGCGACTGTTCGGTCTGGACGCCGTCGATGGAATCAAAAGATGGACATGGATGGGTGTCAATGTCATCACCGTCTCTCCAAGTCATGGATTCCCATGTTGGACGGAGAAATGCGACATGAATCATTAGACCCGGCAGCATGGGACCACCCGAGGAAAAGCATCCAGTGGTCAGAAGATCAGAGATGATCTCTGGAGAGCCTCGACCGGGGATGATACCTTAAAATCATCGTAAGACAGCATCAGCTGGAGCGGTCTGGGAAGAGGAGGACTGAAAAGCGATCCCACAAAACAAAGAAAGCAGCGGCCATTTCGATGACGATGAACGATGTAGATGGCAGGTAGACAACACATGGTGAGAGAAAAGACCGACTGGGGCAGGACATCCACGAAGGCTACGATCGCCACTAGTCCAAAGGGCGATCACCATAGTTCCAACCAACTCTTCAGGATAGTAGATGGTGGATGAAACAATAGATCAACACGCACAAACCAGGATGGATTTTCTTTTTTTCCTTTGCTTTCCTTTCCTTGCTTTTCCTTGCTTTTTTTTTTTTTTTTTCCCTTTCCCTTGCCTTTCTTTTTTCTTTCCTCTCCCTTCTCTTTGGCTGGCAAAATGGATGTGTCATGTTATTATTTTCCTCGAATGAGTCCAGCCCAGAAAAGAAAAGAGGCACTTTCAAAGTCAACCAGAGAGAGCCAGACCCAAGGATGCTGAACTGTCCTACATTAGTAGATATCACATACCATTTTTAATTAATCTACTTGAATAACTAGATATGTTATATTATATAAATTTAATACTTGTATGTACTGTACATACCAGTCTAATATAGAAGACGAGTTCAGAATCAACCTCCCGCTTTCTTTTTCCGCTCCGAAAACAACTGAAAGCAAACAACAAATCCTTAGCAGCAAGAGAATTAATTAATCCTAAGAATAAGAATCATAATAATATTCTGTGTGTTCAACAACTGACCTTCCAACCAATTACCGCTGCCTTCCCCTCCTCTTTCTTTCCATTCCTCTCCTCCCCATCCCATCTTCGTCCATCTCGATCATCTCCGCCCCTTTCGTCTTCGCTCTTCAATTCTGTCTGTCTTATTATTCCCTTTCCATCAAAGCCCCTCTACCGAACGGCCCTCGAACGTCCGCCTTACCCTTTCCCCCCCATCTATCTCCGTCATCATCGCTACTATCATCATCACTACCGTCGTCATCTCCTCCATCCGATTCTCTCCATCTCATCTTCCACCTCTTTCCTCTCCTCCCCCCCCTGCCTGAGTAATCCAGATCCTCATCCACACCACCAACCAACCTTGACCTTTCCTCTCTGTCTACCGCTTCCCTCTCTCTTTACCTCTCATCCTCTTGCTTTTCTCCCCTTTCACCCTTCCTCCCCGCTAGAAACCTCTCTTTTTTTTTTTTTATTCTTTATTTTCTATATTTTCTCTTTCTTTTTTTCCTTCTTTCCCCTCTCTCATTATTCTATTTTATTTGTTTTTTGATTTTTTTTGGTCCCCCTTCTCTAATTTTCTAATTTTCCATTTTCCTTTTTTGTTCCCTTACATTTCTTCTCTCTTTTTCTTTGGCCGTCCCTGTCTTTTACCCACAACACAACCATCGACAAAATTTTTTTTCCCTCTATCTATTTTTTTTTTTTATAAAAAAAAAAAAATCAAAAAATCGTCAAAAAATACAACAAATAAAAAACCATCTCGACCTTCTCGACCTTGTCTGTCTTCCTCTCGACTCTCTCCACAAGACGCCCCATGTCGTCCTAGCAGATTCATTCGATCATTCGTGTTAGTAACACGGCTTCCCGTCAGGTAAGTTCGCCGTTACTTTTTGGGTCTAACAAACACCCCCCATCGTTCCTTCCCATCGTTCGCTCTTCGTCCCTTCCCTTCTCAACCTTTCCCTTTCCCTTCCCTAACTTCCTCTCTTTCTCTCCCAAAGCGTGCCCGTTTTTTCGCTCCTCCTCATCCTCTCCTCCCCTCCTCCACCCCCATCTTCCCTCTCCTCTCCCCTGTTCGCGATCCTCGAATTTTCTTTTTTTCTTTTTCTTTTCTTTTTCTTTCTTCTTTCCCTTTTTATTTTCTTTCCTTCCTTCCTTCCTTTTTTCACCTTATTATCTTTTTTTTCCCCACGGAATTTTTTCTCGCTCTGCTTCTAATGATATAATTCCGCTACCCCTCCAGCTTCAATTTTTTTTCCTCTTTTTCTTTTTCTTTTTTCCTCCTTATTCCCCCCCCCCTTCCCTACCCCCTCTATCTCTCGATCTGTACCCGTAAACGCTTTACCTATGTCCAATTTTTGCTGAGTCGCTCAGGGCAAAATGGCTGGCGCCGACGAAACGCTCGCGGCCGCTGCTGCCATTCTTCAAGGTCTGGCTCGAGAAGTCCCTGGCATCGGCTCCTCCTCTCCTCCTTTCGACTTTCAATTCTCCCACCCTTCCGCCAATGGCTGCGAGACAAAACATGCCAAACTACCTGGGCAGCCAAGTCCGGCAAAGGCGGCTTTTGAGAACGAGCTGGAGGCTTTAGTCCGCCGTGTACACCATTTGGAATTCCAAGCTGTCAGTCACCAATCATTCCCCGGCATCCCCCAAAACTTCATTCCGTCTTCCTTCAGCCCCAATGGGAGAATGTCTGAATTTCTCTGGTCCTTTGGGCTTTCTCGCTTGTCGTCCCGTGAAGATTCTGACTCTTCTCCCACCATACAGCAGCAAAATTCACATCCTCCCCCGCGAACAAAACGAACCCCCTCCGGATCGGATGGCCGGGGCCCCGAGGACGAAATTGACGGCGATGAAACCGACGAAGACGAAGAAGCGGATTCGGGAACTCGACTCGTGCGCGAAGAGGACATTAGTTACCTACGGAATCATGTGCAAAAACAGGCGGAGGAAATAAGTTACCAGAAGGACATCATCGCCCAAGTCCGTGACGAATTACAACAGCAGGAAGAACATACAAGACGGGCTTTGACCAAGGTCGAAAATGAGGATGTGGTCCTCTTGGAACGAGAGCTACGCAAGCACCAGCAGGCCAACGAGGCTTTCCAGAAAGCTCTTCGGGAAATCGGCGGGATCATCACCCAGGTCGCCAACGGTGACCTGTCCATGAAGGTGCAAATCCATCCCCTGGAGATGGACCCCGAAATCGCAACTTTCAAACGTACGATAAATACCATGATGGATCAACTACAGGTATTTGGTAGCGAGGTGTCTCGAGTCGCACGAGAGGTCGGTACAGAAGGCATACTAGGTGGCCAGGCTCAGATCACGGGGGTCCATGGTATCTGGAAAGAACTTACGGAGAACGTCAACATAATGGCCAAGAATCTCACCGATCAGGTGAGGGAAATCGCGGCGGTCACCACCGCCGTCGCTCATGGTGACCTGAGCCAGAAAATCGAAAGCCGGGCTCAGGGTGAAATCTTGGAGCTTCAGCAGACAATCAATACCATGGTTGACCAACTCCGCACATTTGCAACAGAGGTGACACGGGTAGCGCGCGACGTCGGTACGGAAGGTGTTTTAGGGGGTCAGGCTCAAATAGAAGGGGTACAAGGCATGTGGAATGAACTCACGGTAAATGTCAACGCTATGGCGAATAATTTAACAACACAAGTACGGGATATTGCGACAGTCACCAAAGCCGTGGCCAAGGGTGATCTGACACAAAAGGTTCAAGCCAACTGCAAAGGAGAGATTGCTGAATTGAAAAACATTATCAATTCCATGGTGGACCAACTACGACAATTTGCTCAGGAGGTCACAAAAATTGCTAAGGAGGTCGGTACAGATGGTGTATTAGGTGGTCAGGCTACTGTCAATGATGTGGAGGGGACATGGAAGGATTTGACCGAGAATGTCAACCGCATGGCCAACAATTTAACCACCCAAGTCCGAGAGATTGCCGATGTCACGACTGCCGTCGCAAAGGGTGATCTGACCAAGAAGGTCACGGCTAACGTCCAGGGTGAAATTCTGGATCTTAAAAGCACGATCAATGGCATGGTGGACCGACTAAATACTTTTGCATTCGAGGTCAGCAAGGTAGCTCGAGAGGTCGGCACAGACGGCACGCTGGGAGGGCAAGCCAAGGTCGACAATGTGGAAGGGAAATGGAAGGATCTCACCGACAATGTGAATACAATGGCTCAAAATTTGACATCCCAGGTGCGAAGTATATCAGATGTCACCCAGGCCATCGCCAAGGGTGACCTCAGCAAAAAGATTGAAGTGCATGCACAGGGAGAGATTCTCACCCTCAAGGTTACAATCAACCACATGGTGGACCGACTGGCCAAATTCGCAACGGAGCTTAAAAAGGTCGCACGCGATGTCGGTGTCGATGGCAAAATGGGCGGCCAAGCGAACGTCGAAGGGATAGCGGGAACGTGGAAAGAGATCACTGAGGACGTCAACACCATGGCCGAAAATTTGACTTCACAAGTGCGTGCATTTGGCGAAATTACAGATGCCGCAACAGATGGCGATTTTACCAAGCTGATCACCGTAAACGCCTCTGGTGAGATGGACGAGCTGAAGCGGAAGATCAACAAGATGGTGTCCAACCTCAGGGATAGTATTCAACGAAACACTGCTGCCAGGGAAGCCGCCGAATTGGCCAATCGAACAAAGTCCGAATTCCTGGCGAATATGAGTCATGAAATCCGAACGCCCATGAATGGTATCATCGGAATGACGCAGTTGACGTTGGATACGGATGACCTCAAGCCTTACACACGAGAGATGCTGAACGTGGTTCACAATCTGGCAAACAGTTTATTGACCATCATTGACGACATACTCGATATTTCGAAGATCGAAGCCAACAGAATGGTCATTGAAAGCATCCCATTTACCGTGCGTGGAACAGTCTTCAATGCACTCAAAACCCTGGCGGTCAAGGCAAATGAGAAGTTCCTCAGTTTGACTTACCAGGTAGACAACACAGTGCCTGACTATGTCATTGGAGATCCTTTCCGTCTCCGCCAGATCATTCTTAACCTGGTCGGCAATGCTATCAAGTTTACCGAGCACGGAGAGGTCAAGCTCACAATCTGCAAATCAGATCGGGAGCAACCTGCTGCCAATGAATACGCCTTTGAATTTTCTGTCTCCGACACTGGTATTGGTATCGAGGAAGATAAGCTTGATCTCATTTTCGACACGTTCCAGCAAGCAGATGGTTCGACCACGAGGAGGTTTGGCGGAACAGGTCTTGGTCTGTCCATTTCAAAGCGCCTGGTAAACTTGATGGGTGGTGATGTGTGGGTCACTTCCGAGTATGGTCATGGCAGTACATTTCATTTCACCTGTGTTGTGAAACTTGCGGACCAATCCCTCAGTGTCATTGCCTCACAGCTCGTGCCTTACAAGAACCACCGCGTGCTTTTCATCGACAAGGGAGAAAATGGTAACCAAGCTCCCAATGTCATGAAGATGCTGAAGCAGATCGAACTCGAGCCGTTAGTCGTCAGGAACGAAGACCATGTTCCACCGCCCGAGATCCAAGATCCGTCCGGCAAGGAGTCTGGTCACGCCTACGATGTCATAATCGTGGATTCGGTTGCCACCGCTCGGTTGCTGCGGACGTTCGATGACTTCAAATACGTTCCTATCGTCTTGGTTTGTCCCCTGGTCTGCGTAAGCTTGAAGTCTGCTCTGGATCTCGGTATCAGTTCCTACATGACGACACCATGCCAACCGATTGATCTCGGCAATGGTATGCTACCTGCACTTGAAGGACGATCCACACCCATCACCACGGACCACTCTCGATCATTTGACATTCTCCTCGCAGAAGACAACGACGTCAACCAGAAGCTGGCTGTCAAGATCCTTCAAAAACACAACCATAACGTCTCTGTTGTCGGTAACGGCCAAGAGGCTGTAGAGGCGGTCAAACAGTGTCGCTACGATGTCATTTTGATGGACGTCCAGATGCCGATCATGGGTGGCTTCGAAGCCACTGGTAAGATTCGAGAATATGAGCGAGATAATGGCCTCACTCGAACCCCCATTATTGCCCTCACGGCCCACGCCATGTTGGGTGACCGAGAAAAATGCATACAGGCCCAGATGGATGAGTATCTATCGAAACCTTTGAAGCAAAATCAAATGATGCAGACAATTCTCAAATGTGCAACCCTGGGTGGTTCGCTTTTGGAAAAAAGCAAGGAGTCACGAATCTCGAGCAGCGGCGAAATGCATCCGGTCCATCAGACCGGTGGCTCCGAAAACAAAGGCCAGCAGCAGCAGCAGCAACAACAGCAGCAGCAACAGCAACAACTACAACTACATCGGCCGGGAATGGAACCCCGGGCCATAACTACTTCAGGGCCTATCAGCCGTGGTAGCCTCGCCAGTCCGAATGTTGAGAAAGACGAGGATCTTTCCATGGAAAGGGTAAAGCGATAAGGATGATTATCCCTATTTGATATCCAAAACATTCTAATTAAGGTTGGCAGGCACTGTTGCGATCAAACAGCTCCTGAGGCGTTATACAGTTGTCGTTTGCTTTTGTCTTCCTTTTCTATCTTCTCATCATGCTTCCGTTTTTATCTTTTGTCGAGTGGCTTCGATGCAAAACTTATACCCTTTCTTATTTGCGCGCCTGTAAGAAATGTTCTTTGGCATGGCGGCCTCCATTGGTCCCCCCTTTATTATAGGGGAATTCTTCTTGATTCTCATGTCTTACTGAACAACCCTCTATATTTCCTTTCCATCATCTATCCTCAACTCTTACTGCTTTGCATTTGTTGTCGCCGGTATCATGTCGACAGCCGAACTACGGCCTCTGTTTGTTGCCCATATTACATTCTGTTCTGATTTCGGTTGTTACCTTTTTTGCTATGCCAGTTCTTTTTATCATCTGGTGTACGGTGTTTGGCGCATGGAAACATCAGGCGGGACGTTTCTTTTTCTCCCATATAAACCTGTGGCTTGGGAAATGAAGACATACATGGGCGAGTTGAGGCAACGAACGGTGGAATATATACTCCCCCGGGACAGTTGCAAATTTATATTGCATTTGTGCACCTGATCTGGCCGGATTCTTATTTTTCTCTCACCTTTTCCTTCTATAACGCATCACCTGCGTCAGATTCTCTTCCTTTCCTATTTGTATTGTATTTAATTTTTTTTTCCCTTTTTTATATAGCAGCTGAAGCCTTGGGCTTGGAGTCAGGAAGTTCCAAACCGGCTTTTTGGCGTGTACGAATCGTTCTCTTACTCGGTGGACGGCCTACGCGATTCCCGTCGTTACCGAGAAAATGCAAAGACATCACTTCATGTTCAAGGATGTGTAACTGGGTTATGAGATATGATATTTTAATATAATGTACTCGCCAAATATATGGAGAAAGAGGTAGGCAACAGGGGTAGCCAGGAATAAGCAGGTTCATTATCTTAATCTAATTAATGAGAGATACTACATATATTAATAACCACAAGAAACTCAGAAGCAAATAAACGATCAGCAGCTTTTTGATATAAAAGAAAATACCCAAAAACGCTCGACAACTAGACCAACCAGTCCCATAAGCACAAGCCAACCTAGGCCTCAAGACCAGGTATAAAGATAGGCGCTGCCCTCTTGGTCGGTTTCCCCGGCTTTGTGATATTAGGCATCGTAACGTTCCCGGAGACCCCGGAGCCGTCTCTCCCCCCAGGGATTCCAGGCTGTCCAGGGTTTCCGGAATTTCCACTGTCTCCGGGGTTTCCAGGATGGTTAGACTGGCCGTTATGTGGAACGGTGATATTCAACACACCCCTGCCCTTGTTGATACCCCGGCTCACCTTGACAGACCGGACGGTATTTGGTGTGGGTGAGGCCTCGGGCGACGAAGGCGGGGAGAGCGTTGGTTGTTCGGTGGGGGATGTTTGTGTGGTTATGCTGGTTCTGCTGGTAGTGTGGGTTATGGGAGTTATGGGAGTAACGGGGGTAGTGCGGGTAATTGGGGATTGGGATGATATGATTTCCGATGTCTGAGAGATACTGCTTTGAATTGTAGTGTGTGGGGATGTCGATGGAAAGTGGATTGGTGAGATGGTGGTGGGATTTGATGGGATAGAAGCAGTACTGGACGGGGTTCCTGGATGGACTGCGCTTGAGATAGACGTTGAGGAGAGGGTGGTACCGGGGCTTGTTATTCCCCCGGGGGCGGATGCTGAAGAGGTACCGGTGGCAGTAAGGTGAGCACTGGTTCCAGTGCCAACTGCTCCGGCGCCGGCTGTGGATGAGGTTTGTCCTGTTGCTGTTGCGGTACCTGTGGCGGTTTGGTTGGCGAATGTCGGGGTACTGGTATGCAGGCTCGGTGAGGTGGTCGAATGGACGATGGTGCTACTTAGTGGGATGGTCACTGTGGACGATGTCTGTCCTGGGGCGCTAGTGCCGGTTCTAGCACTGGTTTCTGTTCTGGCACTGGCAGTTGTTTCTGGTCTAGCAGACGCCTGAGTCGCTGAAGTTTGGGTACTCGAAGCAGATGCACCAGCTACGCCCGTAGCGCCCGTAGCGCCTGTAGTGCCTGTAGCACCACCTGCAGCAGTTGCCGGGGAAGTAGCTCCCGTGGGGCACGAGGTCACGGTGACAGTGACTGTCTGCTGAATAGACGGACAAGGAGGACAGATCGGGGGGGGAGGAGGACAGGACGAAACCATGGGGAACGGGAACGGGGTCGTCTGAGGAAGGATGGAGTGAGTGACGACCATGGGCGCAAAGAAGAATTGGAATGAAGGCCTGGAGGATGCAGCCGCAGCAGCAGCAGCAGCTGCTGCTGCTGCTGAGGCCGAGCTGAGATGGATGGTCGAAGTAGCAAGGACCGACCTTGAAGGACTGGCGCTTGTCTCCTCGGTCGTCTCCTGCATCAGATTGCTGGTGGCAAACGCTGGCAGTCCCGGGATGGCTGCGGCTTCGTTGAAGAATGTCCACGAGGCCGCAGCTACAGCCAGAAGTCTTTGCAGGGTGTGCATCTCGAGACCTGACAGGGGTATTCCGTATAGGGCGGGATGCGGATAAGAGAGTAGGGGAGGGGTATTTGGCGAAAGAAGTGTAGAAAGGTGCAAAGGAATTGGGGTAAGCACCCATAGCTAGAACTTATGTAGTTAGAGCTCAATTGAGTGATGATTCCCGTATGTCATAAAGCAATTGTATATGCATAAGAGGGGTCGGTACCATTCGGAAGCAATTAGCCATGGACAAATGTGAGAGCAATCATGGTGACGCTTGAATAGTTTAACATCAGCTGGGCCTAGTCAAATCTTTCGAATTGAGGAGCAGTCAGTCTCTTGATTGAAGCGATCATAATCGCAAAGAACCTTGGACCTGTGATAGAGGTCGGTGAGTGCCTTGGACCAAAGAAATACCGACTGACAGAGGAGGCAGAAGAAGATAGAAGAAAGCATTTCATATGGACTTTGGCTTGGTCGAAGTCTCATCAATTTATTCACCGACCTGTCTGTTGCTGCCCCTGATGACAAGATCTCAGCACCGTTAGTGGATTGATCCAATGAATTACACAAGCAAGTACTCAGGACGCTTAAGACACGTTGTCTTGCATCTCTATCCCTTTTGATTCCTTGGTTGAAGCTGCCTTGGCTTGAAAAGGTCCCAGGGAACAGGTGCTGATGCGTATATCGGAGGTGACTTCCGTCAATACGTCTGAATCATATCATTATTTCTGTTTGTTGAATCCAAAGAGTGTATTATTGTATAGATGATCTATGCCCAGCATGCTTTTAGAATGCTTTTTCTATCATATAATCCATGGCCGTTGCCCGTAAAAATTTAATCAATCCCTTGGTCAAAAAATTCGAAACCAAAAAAAGACAAACATTAGAACCCTTTTTTTCGTTTCTAGACTTCCGAAAGTCTAAGTCATGTCGAGTCGTTTCTCTTGAGCCATTAAATTGTGATGTTGTGATATATATATATTTTTTTGGCTCCATGTTGAAATGGTCGCTCCTTTTTGAATGAGATGGTGTTAGAGTCATGACCTCAAAATTTGCCAACTCGGTTCTTCGAGGTTCGAGATCAATTTTAATAGATTGCCCATGGTTGACGCCAACCAACATGAATTAACTTGGCTGCGGTGACGCATGCAAGGCCAGCAGCGTAGCAACAGGTTGTGAATGCTATCAGGCCCCAATACTCTCCATTGCAGCGAGAAAGGATCTCGCCCGCAATTGGGATACCTGTGAGAGTGCTAAAATATTGTTAATTCATGTTCAAAAACAAGGGGAGAAAGCAGCTTACCCAAAGCTTACGATAGTGTACGCTGTAGCGTAGTATCTCCCATAGTTCTCGGTCTTACAAAGTTGTCCGATACAGACAGGTGTGAGGCTGATGTTGCTGCCACTTGCGAAACCAAATACAACGCAATAGACGATCAACAGGGGAAGGTTGTCGCCAGCGGGGAGCCACAGGCAAGCGTTACAAATCAAACAAAGAGCGACTGTCGCAATGAGGGTGTTGAAACGCCCTAGAAAATCGGAGAAGAAACCGGGGAGCCATCGTCCAAAGAATGAGCCAACATTGAGGATGGCCAGGATTTGGTATGAAAACTCGCGCGAGACACCGTGAGCCAAAGCATATGAAGAGATATAGCTGAGAGGAATGAAGAGACCCCATTCAACAAAGAAGATCCCGATAGTTGTGAGAGCGAACTTGGGTTCACGGAAGATGCGAAAGTCTGGAAGGACATTCTCCTTGGAAGCCGGCTTTTTGGGGAGTCGCGATCTGATCAGAATAGTCGCAGTAATGACTAGAACTAAACAGATTAAAGCCACCGCCCGGGTGGCCCACGCGAAGCCGATTTTGGGGAACATTTTCTCCAGAATGAGTGGAAACACGACACCTCCAACAGAGCCACCGGTTGCCGCGATGCCCGTCGCAACACCACGTTTCTCGTTGAACCAGTGTCCGATGGCTGATATGGCGGGGGTGAAGATGAGCGATGCTCCAATACCCCCGGTGACACCCATTACCAGCATAAAATGCCAGTATTTCGTACAGAAGCCAATGGCAATCATCTGCACTATAACCAGGATCGAACCAGCGAGGACGAGGAACCGAGGACCTTTGGCGTCGAAGATGGGACCAATCTGCACGCCACAGAAGAAGGTCAGGAAGGCGTACATTCCGAAGATCCATCCATTGCTACCGGAAGAATAGTCTTTTAGTTGGTTCTCTTCGATATAGGCTTGAAAGGTTCCAACACTGTTGACCAGACCGAGGGAACCAAAGAGCCCCATGAAGCTCCCAAAGACGACCAGCCACGCCTGGAGGCCGCCTTCGGGGTAGGTGTTTCCATCGGCATCTGTTGTCACTCGACTCAGTCGGGCTGTGTGGGCAGAGGCACCCGACGGTTGTCCTTCATCAGAGGATAATGACCTCCGCGGACCATCTTCGGGCTCCTGGCGGTTTTGATTCCATTCCTGGTATGATGAATCGACTCGTTTCTCCGGATCCGGGTCAGCCACCGTTTCCTCGTTCGGGTCAGCATGATGGATGGATTGGATGTCAGGCAGTGGAAGGGGAGTACTTTGGGAAGCGGGGAAAGTGTCCCCGCCAGGGATTCTGGTGCCTGTCGACATATTATGATTTCACCCGGGGATATTCTCCGTGTACGGAGAAGGTGCAAAGGAGCCTTCACACAGAGACAGATAAAAGTGTGGACTATGTGGTAGAGAGAATAAAGGACGGAGAGAAGCAAAGAGCGGTCTGTCGCGATGAGGGGAAGCAGAAGCAGAAGCAGGCGTAAAGCAGAAATGCCTAAATGAAGACCCTTTGGTGGAGGTGGAGAGAATTTCCCCATGCGGAAAGTTTCCGATTGGCAAATCGAGCTTTTTTTTTTTTTTTTTTTTTTTTTTTTTTTTTTTTTTTTTTTTTTTTTTTTCTTTCAGTTTTTCCGAGGCAAACATGAGACGGGAGACGCTAGACAAGAAGTGGAAGGTCGACGGTGTATATAAATACGATGAATAACGTGAATACTGAAGCTCAGTTATGAGAATATCAACAGGGAGACGGTGGGCATCGACAATTGAGTTGGTTCCTGAACCATATTCTTGCTTCTTGTACAACATCAGATCGAGAATGCAAGGGGAAATTCGCCTTTCCACGTGGATCACTTTATCTCAACTGCAGAATCGACGATCATCCAAGGGATGATGAGATCGAGTCTGAGTGCAGTAGATGGTTCTCAAGCTTATCTTCTAGAATGTTGTTCTCAACTCTTCTTGGAAATAGGCAGAGGACGATTTGGATGGCATGTGAATATACCTTCACTTTTGGCTAACCATGGACGATGAAGATCAGATCTACAGTTAAGAACGATATCAACATTTCTTTTTATTCTGATTTCTTTCATCGTCTTCTCTCTTTTTCTCTTCATCATCTTAAGTCTGTCTTGTGCGACAATGATGAGCGACATATATCATGCATGCCACTGAAAGTCGAGTAAAAGTTCTAGAGAAACATCATAGATACTGGGATTCTGAACTTTCTTTGACTTGCTTTTGTCATATTCGATGACGACAGATATTCGATGCATGTTTTCAGAGTTATGAGAGGTTTAAATATCGAGATGTCGATCGATACTGCATGCGTCGGACAATTGTTGGGAGCCCGAGTCAACCAGACCATGCTTTAAGACAACAGAATACAGAACAGCTGCTATTAATCATAACAATAAACGACAGAATAAAAGATAAGCATAAGGAACATAATAATATGTCGCTGTGTATCAGTCGGAGTTCCGATCAGCGTTACATCGCCCCTTCACCTCCTCATCTCCTCATCTCCCCCCGAAAAAGCTTAGCCTTCCAAGCATCACACCATGCACGATAAGTCCAGCCGAGATAGATGAACCACCTGTCTCTCTTCATATCGACCACAGCAACATTAATCTATCGCCATCATGCCGTGTCACCCGGCTTCTTTATTCTCCAATCAATCATTGATTGGACCTGCAGATACCACCTTGCACTCCCAGCCTGGTCCGCTCTTTTCCCCGCCTCTCTGCTTTCGGGTATTTTGGAATTTCCCAGAAGAGGAATCAATAATTTCGACTTCTCCGACGCATTGATATGATCGACCCCATCAGTAGTTAACCGATAGTATGCAATGTCACGTTGGACAGAAAAAAAAGCATGGTTGCGCTCGTCAATAAATGATTCGACTTTCCCCCCCTGAATCGTCTGTGAAGCATCCCTCTTTGCCACTCTCAACCCTCCAAAGATGTTGTTCCCCTCCCTCTTGACGACGGCCGTCCTCGCCGGATCGTTGTTTTCGGACTTCGCGTTTGCCAAACATGGCCATTTCGGCCAGAAAACCCGTGATCGTCGAGACGTGAGCAAGCGTTCCTCTCCCCCGAAACCGAAGCCACACTCGGACCGCAACAACTTTCGCTTCTTGAAAGACAAGACCAGACGTATTTATTTAGCCCCTCTTAAAGTTATCATGGACAAGCTAATGATCTGTTCATAGCATTCCTCGTGGATAGTTTGCCCGACGTTCCCTTCGACGTAGGCGAGCTCTACTCTGGCCTGGTACCGGTCGACGAACACAACAGCTCGAGGTCCCTCTTCTTCGCGTTCCAACCAAAACTCGGAGAACCGGTGGATGAGGTCACAATTTGGGTCAATGGAGGACCTGGCTGCAGCTCCCTTGATGGATTTTTTCAGGAGAATGGCAGATTCACCTGGATTCCGGGAACCTTTGCCCCAGTTGAGAACCCGTACTCATGGGTGAATCTCACCAATGTGCTGTGGTAAGTTGAAGTGGCGCTCTTAGGGGTTAAATTTCCAGATAGCTAATTGTCATTAAACAGGGTTGATCAACCTGTTGGCACTGGCTTTTCCACCGGAACCCCGACTGCAGTCTCACAAGAGGAAACCGCCAAAGACTTTGTCAAGTTCTTCAAGAACTTCCAGAAGCTCTTTGGCATCAAGAATTTCAAGATCTACGTTACCGGCGAGAGTTATGCGGGGCGGTATGTCCCTTACATCTCCGCAGCGATGCTGGACCAGAACAACACAGAGTACTTTGACCTCAAGGGTAAGTCGATATTAGCATGTATTAAAAAGAGACGTTTATTCTGATAAACATAGGGGCCCTGGTCTATGATCCTTGCATTGGTCAGTTTGACTATGTCCAGGAACAAGTGCCTACCTACCCATTTGTTCAGGAAAACGCCAACCTGTTCAACTTCAACGCCAGCTTCATGTCAGAGCTTGAGTCCTTGCATGAGACCTGTGGTTACAAAGACTTCATCGACGAGTATCTCGTCTTCCCTCCCTCCGGGCCCCAGCCACCCAAGCCCTTTAGCGAGACCAGTAAAGATGATCGTTGCGACATCTTTGACAAGGTCAATGACGCAGTCATGGTCCCGAACCCTTGTTTCGACGTTTACGAAATCAACTCGATGTGCCCACTTCAATGGGACGTCCTTGGATTCCCCACGGCCCTCGAATACAAAGCGCCAGGCTCAACCGTATACTTTGACCGCCCAGACGTCAAGAGAGCCATGCACGCACCCAACGTGACCTGGGCAATCTGTTCCGAGAATCCCGTTTTCGTGGGCCCTGAGGGCTCCGGCCCCGAGGGAGAAGGAGACATCTCCGCCAATCCAATCGAGACCGTCCTGCCACAGGTGATTGAGGCGACGAACCGCGTGCTGATTGGCAACGGCGACTATGACATGATCATCATCACCAACGGCACGCTGATGTCCATCCAAAACATGACCTGGAACGGCCAGCTGGGCTTCCAGTCCGCACCGGAGACACCCATTGAGATCGACCTTCCTGACCTCCAGTGGGCCGAGGTGCTAGAGCAGAACGGGCTCGAGCCTTCCACCCAAGGCATTATGGGAATTTCGCACTATGAGCGTGGACTGATGTGGGCGGAGACCTTCCAGAGTGGACACATGCAGCCCCAGTATCAGCCCCGAGTGGCATACCGCCACCTCGAATGGCTGCTGGGCCGGGTCGACTCACTGTAAGAAGCTATGTTATAGAGGTTGCCTGAAAGCTAAAGAAGCTAGGGGGAAAAGGAATCAACGACGCCGACGCCATCAAAACAATCGGGATGGCGGATAGCGTTTTTTTTTTTTTTGTATGTATAATGATGATGTTCACACAAGGCCCCGTACCTACAGGATTTAATTCCCTATTCGAGTAAATCTATACAATGATATTCATCAACCCAAGGCTTACCGGGGATAAACCAAGAAGACAAAAGAACCAATCAAATCAACTGCTTATCATTCAGCCTTTCCTCTTAACAGTAACAGCCGGGCCACTGACAGGGATCACGGTACCGATTATTGATAAGAACAAAGTTCAGAATTTCAGATCTTGTGAAACACACGAAAGCACCTCGATCAAAGTAGCAATGATTGCGCTTGTTGGATTTGAGACAGCATTGAGTAATATCCAGTGATGTCCAGCTTGCAAAGGTTATTATCCCGGTGGCAATGAGCGATTTTTACTACGGCTTAAGGGACACCTACTTCCCTATCTAGGTATGTGCTTAGTACGTAGTGTTTGGTAGTCAGTAGAGGTGCACTGCAAAACTTATAGCTGAGACAAATTTTTTTTTTTTTTTTTTTGCCTTTTATCTAAATTACTATCTGCATTATGACACCACACCGTACCTGTGTGTATACCTATCACCATCCTGAATCTTCCATTACAGTTTCTGTCTGCTACCCTTAGTCTTTTCCCCCGCAATCGCAGATCGTCCAAAAAGCCACGTGCATGATCAAGAAAGAACCACTCAGAAGTCAGATGAATCAGATCGGAGGTAAGGGGGGAAGGAAATGTGCTGTACAATTATAGTGGTGGTGGTACTGCGACATAGGAGTACAACTCTGTACAACCGGAGAAAACAGCCTACTAAGCAATTAGCAGTTAGAACGGTACATACCAAACACCCATACCAGAAAATGGTAATCATAAAAGACACAGCTAGGCAGGATCAGGCTAGCCGGTCAGAAAGAGGAGCCCCGTATTTTGCCGAGGATTTAGCAGCGCAATCACATCACTGCAGCCTAGGTTTCTTCTTGGACTTAGAGTTCTGAGACTTAGGCGGCCGTTACTGGATATGTACTGATTACACGAGGGCCATACATACGATACAGGTCAGGTGCTCGGCCGGGGAGGACACTTGTCCGAATGCGGAGATGATGTGCTATCATGCCAAGCTCCAAATGACGATCGAACGTCGAAGCCAGTATTGCCGTAGAGGATCTGTGAGCCGAGTCAGTCGGCGAGCTCACGTTTTTTTTATTTTTGAATTTTGAATTTCTGCGTATCGTATCTGCGGTCTGAGTGCAGGATGCATGATTGCTTGTGTCACCATGAATGTTGTCAATCTGGTCTTGCCAGTTGTTTTGCCTCATGATTCAGGAAGGTTATCGAACATTGATGGAAAACCCTGGTACTGATTGAAATCACGTCAAAACCGCTGACCCGATGACGTAGCGATGTATAACTGGGCACGTGAACTTTTCACTATTTCACCATCGCAGTCAAGGTTATGTCCGGTTTGAAGCCGATTCTGAACTGCGTTTTGGTCGACCTTAGTTGGACGACTGACTATCGCTGCAATCGCAATTTGCGGTGGGCCTGGGGCCCGCATGGCAGCCAATGCGGGGACATGGGTGCTATCAGACGGCCAGGCTGATTTGATTTTGGATATCTCGTAGAGTTTGCGAGCGTTGATTGGGTTACTCCGGGGGATTATTTTGCCTCTTTTCTCTCGACGGTGTGCTCCTGTACATCATATTGTGAGTTCGTATCGACGGTTCTTGACCTACGGCCAGGATCCGACAGATTTCATCATCTACTTTGCCTAACCCGTCTGGCGCAAGATGAAACCCTTAACCCAGGTACCCTTCGTATGATGGCTTGATCCATGCCAGCAGGCTAAACCCAGAATGTCAGAGGCTTTTAGCCACGCCTCCACACCCGCATGTGGCAGCCAGTCAGCGCTCCGCTACACCTGCAGCTAGCACAGGTCGCTTTCGGTCGGCAGTGCTGGGGGCGGACCAATTGGCGGGCCGTGGCTTCGACCCTTGTCGGTGTCGTCGACCATGTTATCGGTGGTATGTGACTAAATTGTCCTATCTATCGTTCACTCCGTACGGGACGATGGTTTTAAGATCGTGCCCTACCCTATAAGACAGGATATTATGATAATCTCCCCCCCGTCTGCTTCTTTTTCCCTAATGCGGAATGTAGGTGTACCTATGACAGCACCTACCTTCTAGTGAAGGCGGCCAATCTAACTGCCCCCATAGGCGGAAGAGCCATGGACAGGCCGAGAAGCAACCCCGGCTTAGCTTGTAATACGTTACCTACTAAGGTATTATTACCTGGAGATTACACCCGCACTTGGCTATATCAGGCTTAGTGTGATGGGTCATTTCTTAGATTACGGCTGCTCCGATGCATTTCATTGGCAGGTACAAGGGTGGAAATGAAGAGGGAACCTAAAGAGAAAAAAAAAAAAAAAAAGGTTAAAAAGAGGTGTGATTGTTGTAAGTTGTATGTATGGAAAAAGGCAAAGCAAAAAAGGTAAGGGAAACAATTTCCCATCCAGATTCAGGTCTTGTCGTTGCCTTTCTTTTATAGGCCTGCAAATCCTTCTTCTTCCTCTTCCGTCGATTTTTCCCTCTATCGTCGCCTTTTCGCTTCATCTTTCTCGCTCCCCTCTTCCTCTCTCTCCCCCTCCCTCTTCCTTGGGATCTTTCCGATTCTCTGATAACATCCCTCAGATCGAGGAAGCATCTTCTCCTTTCCGTCGGGAATTGTGGTTTCCTGGCCATCTTTCCTTTTCCCTTTCCGATATCTTCTGATATTGATTCAATTCTGAGCCTGGTCTCAGTCTCCTGTTTTACATACCATACCATTTTGCATGCTTCTCTCTCCAACTAGTTCAACAGATTCAGCAGATCTCAACTGTACGACGTGCTTTCAGTAGCAGCAACAACACACCAGATCCAAGGCCGACGCAGCAGAGTCCCTTGCACCATCATCGACGATATCCATCGCAACATTGACTCGTGTCCGATTCTTCCAAAATCTCTCGGTATTCCATTGCGCCTTTGATCGTCCCTGAGCGACACTTTCTTTGCTTCTTCTTCCTTAACGGCCAGCTAGCTATCTTGACCCCCGCAGCAGCTTACCCCACGATTTCGGATTCGGTTCTACGATAGGATCACCATCTTCCCAATTGCGACAATCTCGACAGTAGACCATACCCTTGCGCAAGGCCTGCAGTTTTCTACCGGTCCGGTCCATTTACTGACGCTTGCGCCTTTTACCTGTATACGGTTACTGCCTACCTACTACCTGACAATTGACCCAGCACGCACCACTCATCCGTTTCCCTGCGCAACAGAAGGATCCTTTCCTACGGCCACGATGATTCTCAATCCGTTCAAACGAGACCACTCCAACTTCCCCGGGGTTGTTATTCCCCTTGCTGGTGCTCCTGCACCTTCACACCCAAGCGACGCTCCCGAAAGCAAAGTCCACCCAGATGACAAGCCGGATGAGAAGAGCCTGAGCAAGTCTCCTTCCGAGGAGCACGGTGCTGGCTCGTTGTCTGAGGACAATACTAGCCCATTGACCCTTGACGCTCTCCGCGCAGAGGTTGAGGCGGATCTAGTCACCTCGGGCCATGACTCGGCGTATGATCGTATGTTCCTGCTGCCTTTCCCTTGGGATAGATTTTTTGCTTGATCGCCCTCCCTCTGGTCTCCCCTACTGGACCTGACACCCCCCCCTTTTTGGGTATTCGTTTTGTCGATTCGAAATCTGATTTATCAATAATTACAGGCAAAGCAAAGGTAATCAACAGAGCCATCCAGGATATGGGCATGGGCCGTTATCAATGGGAGCTGTTTGCTCTCTGCGGATTCGGTTGGCTAGCGGATAAGTGAGCAGACACTTTTTGTCCCCTCTGTCCAAAAGAGAACCACCTCACTAACATGCATTTCTTTTTCCCCTTCATAGTCTTTGGCTGCAGGTAAGAGCTTCATCATGAAAGAAAATAAGACCATAATGCTAATCACGTGTAGGGAGTTGCCCTAACACTGACCCAAGTGGCCTACGAATTCAACGTCGATGAGAATCGAGTCCGTTTCACCACTTGTGCCCTGTTCTTGGGTCTGTGTATTGGTGCCTCGTTCTGGGGTATTGCTTCGGATATCATCGGACGTCGCCCGGCCTTTAACCTGACCCTTTTCATCTGTGGTGTCTTTGGTATTGCTTCGGGTGGCGGTCCAAACTGGATTGGGTGAGTCCATCTAATTTGTTATCCCCTTTGGCCCAGGCTCATAAGCTAATCGAATCTTGAATGTAGAACCTCTGCCTTGTTCGCTTGTCTTGGTCTCGGTGTGGGTGGAAATTTGCCCGTCGACGGAGCGCTCTTTTTGGAGTTCCTGCCTTGCGCCTCGGGAAATCTTCTGACCATGCTGAGTGTGTGGTGGCCCGTTGGTCAACTTATTTCCAGGTAGGTCAAGCTTGAAAATATCTTTTTTTTAAAAAAAAAAAAAAAAAAAAAGACACATTCATCGCTGACATGACATCTAGTCTGCTCGCATGGGCTTTCATCCCCACCTACTCTTGCTCGAGCTACGATACCTGCACCAAGGAAAATAACATGGGTTGGAGGTACTTCGTATACACGTTGGGTGCCATCACCTTTGTCATGTTTCTTTGCCGTTTCTTCCTATTCCATCTGTACGAGTCGCCCAAGTTCTTGCTCTCCAAGGGTCGCCAGGACGAGGCCGTTGCTGCCGTTCATGGGATTGCCTACAAGAACAAGACCCAGACATGGCTCACCAATGAAATCCTCAACGAAATCGGTGGCTACCCGGATGACACCCCCGAGCAGACCCTCAACAACAAGCAGATTATCCAGCGTGCTCTTTCCAAGTTCTCTCTCGACCGTGTTAGACCCCTGTTTGCAACCAAGAGGCTAGGTGTTACCAGTACGTACCTCATAATCCTGTCGGACGGGAAATCAGCTAACCCTTTTCAACAGCCGTCCTCATCTGGTTCTGCTGGGCTACTATTGGCATGGGATACCCTCTGTTCAACGCTTTCCTGCCCCAGTATCTCAAGAACGCAGGTGGCGACTCTGCCACCGATAACTACACCGTCTACCGCAACTACGCCATTACTTCCGTCGTCGGCGTCCCGGGCTCCATCCTGGCTTGCTACACTGTCGAAATCAAATACATCGGCCGTAAGGGTACCATGGCTATCTCATCCTTGATCACCGGTGTTATTCTCTTCTGCTTCACCGCCTCCACAGACTCGGACATCCAGCTCCTCTGCTCCTGCCTCGAGGCCTTCTTCCAGAACATCATGTACGGTGTCCTTTACGCCTACACCCCCGAGGTCTTCCCCGCTCCAGTCCGCGGTACCGCTACCGGTATTTCCAGCTGTCTGAACCGTATCGCCGGTCTTTGCGCTCCCCTGGTCGCCATCTACAGCTCTGGCGCCGATCCCAACTCTCCCATCTACGCCTCAGGCGCTTTGATCCTGGCTGCCTTTGTTGCTATGTGTCTGCTTCCCATTGAGACAATGGGCAAACAGACCCTGTGATAGAATTGTTTTTTTCTTGGACATTTTACCGGAGACAGATATATTCATCTTACCTGCCTCCGCCCCATTTTTTCATCTTGTTTCATATCTTTTTTTTTTTTTTTTTGTGTTTTTTAAATACCATTTCCTCATTTTACCTCTTGCTGTTTCACTGCCCAAATACTTGCTTTTGCGGTATGAAACAGCAAAACAACAAAAAACAAAGCACATATACTTCTACGTGCATATTGCTATATACTTACATGTTTGATCTTCAGGACATACCACACCCACACTTCTTTGGGCCTGTCTGGTTAGTTGGCCTTTTTTTATGATTGGATATGATATGATAGAATTACCTCTACCCTACCCCCTTTGCTCTGCAGGATAAGGTATTGACCCATTTCTTGCCTTGTTTATATGTTCTGTACATATATACCCTCGCTACGAACCCTACCTATGCATTTGGAAGCATTTATTTGCCTTCACTCTTCTTTCTTGCTTTGCTTGTATCTCAGCGAGTGAGCGATGTATGTTATGTTCTTATCGATTAAATTCAAAATCTACCAATCTTGGCTTTGAAGTCAAACTTGTCTTTGTATATGAGACGATCTACTTGATCTAGGTTTATGATAAATAATATACAAGCAAGCCTGGGTACCAACCCCTACAAACATACACGTGACATAATGTGAATAGAAGCAAGCAAATCAGACCAGCCTGACGCAAGCAAAATGCAATTCCTTAAAAAAAAAATCCCAGACCGTAACCCTGATAACTGCCCAGATATTCTCCTATGCGTAGATGCATAAGCATAAAGAACAAAGCAAAACAAGCAAAGCGCATATTTCCAGCGCATCATAAAAACCATAACGCGTGCCAGACCGGAATCCCAAACATCCAAACATATAATATAGACAAGAAATAAAGAAGCGGCCACCCAGGTATTTCAAATCCACAAGTCATAAAGGAATTCGTGTACTGTCCTCTCAATTCATCAAGTGATATGAAACTGCAATCTTAGACAACCGGTTGTTTTTGCTGCCGTTTTAATCGCTTTTCCAACAAAGTCGCACCGTCCAAACTGAGTTCAAACGGCTGTTTCGAACTGCGGGCGATGTTCTGTTTAGCTGCTGCCGCCACCGCAGCGCTGTGCTGTCCATAGCCACGGGGCTTATGTGCCTGCCTTGCCTGAGCAGCATGGCTGGTATGCGCGCCCAAGTTGGTAGATCGTAGTTTAGCCTCCATGCCCGCAACGTCACTTGCTTCCTGCGAAGCTTTAGGGATCTTGGCTGGAGGGTTGTTACCAGATTCGGGAACAGGAGCTGCAGCATCCTCATCGTCGGAATCTTCGTTGAGCGGATTAAGGGCGGTTTGAAATCCAGTTGTGGGGTTAGACCCACGGTACCCTTGCTTGAAGTTCTTGCGACGTTTGCCTTCCTCTTCTTGTCGGTGAACAGCATAACCGACATCAAATACTTCCCTCAAGTTGATAGCACCAGGGGACCGGAAATCCAACGGACGATCCAATCCTGCCGAAGGAGGATCTAACCTGACAGGCGCATCAGTCGCAACGGCATCCAAAGACAATTCTTTCTGGCGTGCAATTAGCGGTGTCGCCAGAGGTGGTGCATCGGCGGCAGCCTCAGTAGCATCGTCAGTCTGGCGAATCCATGGGTGTGCGAGGAATTCCTTGATAGTGTATCGCTTATCAGGGTCGACAGTCAAAAGATGAGATACCAGATCCTGAGCAGGCTTGGAGATGTCATCCCACCAAGGAGACAAAAATGTGTACTGTCCACGAGCCACCTTCTCAGTCAAGACTTGAATACTCTCATCGTAGAAAGGAGGGAATCCGCAGAGGAGAGTGTACAGAACGCATCCAAGAGCCCACATGTCGACACCTTTGGAGTACCGCTCGTCTTTTACAATTTCTGGAGCAGTGTACCCCACGGTTCCACATGGAGTCATGGTCTGGTTTTCCCAAATTACTTTGGAAAGACCGAAGTCCGCAATCTTAATCGTGCCAATACCGCCAGCCCCAACGCCAGGGATAAACTCGCCTTCGTCTACCTTGTCCTCGTCCCCTGGCTGGCGGACCGGAGGATTTTTGCTCGGAACAAAGTCTATTGGGTAGAATAATAGGTTTTCTGGTTTGATATCACTACACCATGTTAGTCAATATTTACACCAATGATGTTACTGAGAAAGATACATACCGATGGACAACACCCGAGGTCTCGTGTAGATATTCGATAGCCTTTGCAACCTGAAGGATGACATGGCGACTGAGATCCTCACTAAAGTAAGTTAACCTCACAATCTGGTGGAATAGTTCACCCCCGGGGCAAAGTTCTAGAACAATATAGTAATATTGACGAGACTCGGAGAATTCGACTAGCTTGACGATATTTGGGTGATCGATTTGTCGCATAATTTGAACCTCTTTCAAAATGTTGGCCCGCTGTAAAAATGTTAGTTACTGTCACCTTTAATTGACAATGAAATAGTGATGAATGAAAAGAAATGGCAGTTGTGGTGAGCAACAGCAAATCCATAAATTCAGAGACCTGATGGAAACAGTGATATTAAAAGAGTTTCTCGCACCTCCACATTTTTTGGTTTCTTCCTAAAATCAGGATGAAGTGCGTCGGTCTAATATGGAAGAAAGCGAGACAAATTGGCTTGAAAATTCCCCAAAAAAATCCAGGACAGAATGTTGCAAATGAAATTGAACATATGACCAGAAGCGACGGAAAGAAAAAATAAAACATTCATAACAACCTACCTGATTGCTATTCATTTCGAATTTCCGCACGACCTTGATAGCCACTTGGTCATACTCCCCAGTACTGTCTTTGGCGCGATAGACGTTGCTGAAAGCGCCGTCACCCATCTTCTCCACGAGCACCCAGCGTTCTAAACCGGGATACCGGGGCATTTTCGATCTGTTATGTCTTTCCTCGGCGACGATCTTTTCGATTTCTACTTCGCGCGCCGCCCGCTTGCCCTGGTGATCAGGGGACTTTTGAGTAGGCTGCTGCTGCTGTTGTTGAGCATGGCCATTTCCAAGTCGGCTATCGAGGGCGTCGAGATTCCCAGCGGCGGGAGGATAGGCACCCTGAGGCTGAGGATGCTGCTGGGCATGGATGGCAGAGACGTTGGTCGTGGGCTCCGCATGGGGCGCCACCAGGCGAGCCTGTTTGCCATGACGTATGAAGTTCTTGAGGTTTTGGATGGTGCTCATGATGAGTAAGCAGGAATGTGACGAGGATTACTGTACTCAGGGAAATAACGTCATAAAGTCAAGAAGATAGAAGATTAGGCAGGCAAGCAAATAAGAGAAGAGCAGAATCAAATGAAGAAAAGAGGGATGGAGGGAAGAGGAAAAAAAAGGAAACGGTTGCCTCTGGTGATGATGACAAGGTTATTTTTTTTTCTCTTTCTTTCTACCCCGCCAAGCTCCGATGATATTAGATGAAGGGGGAAATTAGGCGACGGTCCGCCTAAATTGAGTCTTTTATCCCAAAAAAGAGGAGATGACAAATTCGGGGGAGCAGGTGGTGAAATTGAGAGTCACACGAAGGGGATGACGGGAAGATGAGAATAATTAAAGCACGAGGAGAGAAGAAGAGATGGTGTCAAGAAGGCGGAAGGAAGCGTCAAAAAGGACGTTAGATGATGTGGGGATGGAGATAGAGTCTGAGACAAAGAAGAGAGAGAGAAAAAGATGAGGAATGATGCAGAGGAAAAGGGGGAGGCAGGACTTAATCTGCAGACGAAGAATCGTATGAGGTCAGATTAATCATGATAAAATAAACGTTAAGGAAATGAAGGGGAAAAAGGAGGGAAAAAAAAGCCTATGACGCCGTGGGATCGGCGGGTCGCGATGTCATCTTCTTTTCGCTTCCTTTGTCTACGGCACTAACAGCCAGCAATTCAGAACAATTCTATTCCGCTCATTATCCAGGCCATGCTATGGACTTTATAAAACCTGTTCATCCCTCGCTCTTCATCTTCCCCAGATGAACCTCCCCGTTGCTTCTTCTGGTCTGTCCATTTCCACCAGATTCATGGTCGGGGAGGCTATGACTCTGTCGTCACTGTGCCGCCACACGCTGGATGATCCACCCATGTATGTCTTGTCCATTTTGCCATGTTGATGCGGTTATGTTTGTTCTGGATCTTGTTAGAACCGAATATGAGAGGTGGCGGCCTCGATGAGAGATAATAATAAACATCCAGAATCACCCAGAAATTGAATGCATCGTCTGTTGGCATCGGGTACAATCCCTTCGTAGGATACTGTGGAGGGTCTCAAAAGTAGCAAATTAAGGGCCATTCCATTCGTCGTATCATCGTTTTCATCATACTTCAATCTGGATATACACAGATACCCAGTTATCTTGGTGGAGTCGACAATCGTCATCGTCCGGTCAATGCCATCATAACCAGGTTATGTAAGGCAAATTTTGCCTGGCTTCGGAACTCGAAACCATGGGATGCAGTCCTGGATTCTTGGAATTTTGCATTTCATCCCCTGGTTTCATTTGTCCCTTCGGCCTTCTCCTATGGGCCCTAGGGTTCTTTATTTGCTTTGGCACTGTTCGAGCGTTGAGCCTGACAATCCGGCTGACCTGGTTGATCAACCAATGCGACCTGCATGTCCCGTATGTACCGCGTATCCATGCATCAAGGATCTAGCGATCTGGATGAATCGCATGGGATTCACAACCGATCCAACGTTGAATGCTGTGCTCGCTGACCGTCCAGTGGTTGTTGAAGAGTCCTGGAGTCATCGTCTGGATAATCGTCTGACCATGGATTGGGCGATAAAAGAGACGCCACTCCCGAGACACACAGCCATCCGCTGTAATATCCATAATCAGTCGGCTGAAGGTTCCTCCATACTTTATGTGTTTTGGCTTGGTTGTATCTGGATGCGATCGTTGACATTGATGCAGTGACCACTGTGTGCCTGAAGAGTGGACGAGTGGCTCCGATCTGCATTATTCCTGAATATCGGGGAAAATCATGACTGGGAATTACCCCACATTGGAGAGGCAGATAAGCTACTTTCCTAGATAAATATCCCGTTTGGATTCTGGAACAGATCAGTCACTCAGCATTTGAAGCGTTTCAGGATGCGTTTAGAGACGGTGGAATGGGGATCACGGAATGGACACACAGAGATGATGCGTAGAAAAATGCACCATATTTGAGATGTTCTGGACGAATAAGCATGCAGTCTGGAGACTCATCTCAGGCATCTCCAGTATTATTTGTTTGAAATTGCGGCTGCGATGTGATGAATCCAATAGCTGCTTGATGCTGAGAATATTGGCAGGTGGTGGTGTTTCAAGGTGAAGACGTCGAGCGTTACTGGCAGAGCGTGAATTTCCCCCTCCATTGTTCTTCTTATCAGAGTCTTTCTCTTCTCTCTTCTCTCTTCTCTCTGCTCTCGCTCTGTCTTGGTTGTGTGCATGGCAGCCCAACTGCTATTTATTTCATCATCAATAATATCTCTTTGGGCTTGTATTTAATTGCCATCACCACTTTACTTGGCTCTATTCGCCTCACTGGCTTCGCCAACTCGACGGCTCCGCACTGGGTGCGCAACGTGGAATGTCAGGCTCTTGTCCGCCTGCCTCGTCATCGCTGCCAACAGTCTTAAGAACCCATTCTCTGCTCCATCGTGTCTCGCCCTGCCTCCAGTATTTTCTATTTGAACGGCCTATTTTTATCGCCATCTGGCCTCTCTCTGTCTTTTTGATGGGATCAACATACTTGTCCCTTAGTTATTAGACGCGCTTTGCGACGTTTCACTCTCACCGGCATATCCCGTTCCCTTGCATTCCACTTTTCGTTGCGCGTCGTTTTTCTCCGTGTCTCTGTTTGGTTTTATTTTCCTCTTTTACTTCTTCATTCTCCCCTAAAGAATTACGAAGGCATCGTCCTATCGGGGGTTTCCATCCACTTGTCATTCTTGGATGGCCATGCGTTGACTGGGCCGACCAGCCTTCGGATCGCTCGTCCCACCTTGCTGTTATACGATGCCTTGATCACCGTCTCCGTATTTATCATAAAAACCGTTTGAATCGACTTTTCTGCCATGTTATTACCATCCTCATACAATTTGATTGATTAGAAGTGACATATTCGGTTGTTTTCTTGGTACCTCACGAGACCCTCAGAATGCCCGCCGTTGAAAGTCCCGACGATTATCTACAATATTCATCGGACGAACAGCCACGTCTCAAATCCCATAAGGCTCTTCCACGGAGGAGAGAGATCGATCCACAGATTGAAGTCATCCGAATATTTCATTCGATCCAAGATGAACATCATCCTGCGAATCACCCCTCCGCCGCGAACGGCCCGGCCCTTCCGTTGACCCCTCCCGGTGCCGCTCAAGAAGATGCGACTGGTGATTTGGAAACGCCCAAGTTTGGCTCATACAAGTCGAATAACCCTTCAGTCGGCGCAGTTACGCCTCAACATACTCGTCCCCCGACTCCAGAGATGACTCCCCCGCAGCAGCCACAGATGGTTTCGTTAGACCGCCCATTTCTGAACCAGTTTGGGCAATCGTTCTCCTCGTCTCGGGCAGAATCCTTCCAGACTGCCTTGGAGATGATATCTTCAGATGGTGATGCAGATACTCCCGGCCGTTCTCCCTCGTCAGTGTTCCAACCAACAAGGCAAAATTCACATTCACGAAGAACAAGATCGCTTCGGAAGAGCGAATACCCTTTGAAGCTCAGCTATAACAGAGATGAGCTGCAGTACGATGCCAGTAAACCTGATTACGATCGAGAATGGGCTACACTCCCAAAGGCACATTATCAACCAGGGGAATCTGCCATCGCTTCTGCTCATAAACGAAAGCCTTCGCGTGATCCTTCCGAAAGGTCTCGCGGCAAAGTGGATATGGATGCACATCAACAGGAGGTCTTTTTATCTCGTGAGGGAAGCTTGCGCAGGCGAACAAAGGATGTTCATAACCTCATGCCTGGCTTATCAATCGAGCAGTTTCGCGAGCAAATCGGTTGGCCCAACGCGGAGAGACACATTGAACCGACTGAACGACCAGAGTCTCGTAGATTATCGAGCATGTCGACAACGTCGACTATCGATGCCGTGATTGTAGACTCTCCAAGATCAAGCAAGCGGACTCTGCGGCATACAGAGAAAAGGGTTTCTTTACGTTCGACTAGCTCGCCTATCCCCAAATCAGAGCGTACATCTCTAGTTTCGGATACCGATTCGCAGCGACGCCTGGTACATAAAGCCGCGCGTATCACAGAACAAGACCGCAGAAGTGTAATGTCAGATGCTTCTTTTGCTGAAAGCACTGCTACAGGTGGAACACACTCCCACGTGGAAATGGTTCCGGTCGTCGTGATTCCCGAAAGGCGGTCGTCGCTCAAGTCTTCGGCCTCGAATAGCAGAAGCCACTCCACTGCACGTTCACAACGGTCGAGTCGACGAGCTACGAATGCATCTAGTAGCAGAAACAGCTCTATGGACCGCCAGAACAGACACGCTGATTCCGATTCAATCCGCCACGAGGCAGATTCTAGAGGTCGCGGCTTTGGCGGACCGGTCATTCCTCCGCGTAGCTCGTCGTTGTCCGCACCCACGAGTAGGAACAACTCACGAGCGCCATCCCTGACATCCGAGAGCCTACACAATCATACTTTGGCGATGGACGTCGAAACGCAAAAACGTGAACCGGAGAAACCCATGCCTGAACCTCGCATCAACCTGCCTGCTCGTGATCCCCCCAAAAAGTCTCGCGAAGCCCGAAACGTTCAATCCATCCTGATCGGTGTCGAAGACATGGCCAATTTACGCTCTTCCTCGTTGCCATTTACACCATGCTCGATCTCATCGTCCTCTCCAGGGCCTATAGAGATCAACGAAGCTATAACTGTGAGCTTTTTCCCGCACAACAACAAATCGCTTTTGCTCATCGATCAACAATTACAGCCTGACCCACGGGCCGCGCAAGCGCAGCAACCCGAATACCGCAACGACGTGAACAAACAACAGCCTCCAAAGGTGCTCTCTCCAGTATCTCCGCTGTCTCCAGTGTATCCAGTGTATCCAGTGTCTCCGGTTGACATGGATTCCTCGTTGAGCAACCCTCGATCTCCGCCAGAACCTCCCGTCTGCACCGTCGTCCCACCCACGCCCGAAAATGCATCAGAGCCACCTAGGGAATCGCCAGATGATCAAGAGCAAAACGGATGGTTTCGTCGGTTCGGATCTATTCGCCGTGCGTGGAACCGACCTCGACCCGAGTCCTCCAACTCAATTCGACGGACATTCTCCACGACAACAGCGAAGAACCGCAAAGCCGGAAAAGATCTTGACAGTAGACTCCATCCTTTCTGGCGGCCACGACGATTCTGGAACGATTCTCCTGACTGCGAGGAGGGCCCACCCCATGGACAAGAAAATGAGCCTAGTGCAGGGAACCAGGAAACACCTTATGTGATTAGCAATTCGTTAGGAATGCCTCAGCAACGAGTTGTCTTCGACGGGCCTTCTCTCGGACGCCAAAGTCCAGAAACAGCCAGGCCCAGGGAGAGCATGACCGTGCACTCCAATATAAGTCGAAGCAACCTCGTCGCAAGCAGAGTGTTCAGTCCTGATTTCTTTCACTCGGCATCGCCTCTTCACCAAAACCGTTACCAATCTCTCTCTCGGTGGGGACTGCGATTCCGCTTTGTCAAGATGCGCAATTTGCGGAAGCGCATGAGGCGTACGATCCAGAAGCGTAGGGAAGGGAAGCAAGAGGCAAGGAGACAGAAACTCAAGCAGAGCATCGTCGTCATGGGCTCGGGTACCCTGAACAGGAGTACGATGCAAACTTTGGGTTAATCCCCGACTGAGAATCGGCTTTGATGTTTCCATTTCTTTATCTGTCACACGATTTTCATGATTAAATGATGTTCGCAAGCTGTTTTGATTGGTGCTTTTTGTTTTTTTTGTCTGCTCTCTTCAAGTTACTGTACGGTTTATGATGATTTATGATGGATATGATATCACCTGGAAACTCTTAAGATTATGACTAGCATGAAATGAAAAAGCAGGAATGAGGTTTGAGAAACAAAACCCCAGCCATCCTATTTGGCTCCCAAGTTTGTATCATAATAAAACCCTTAGTTTTGAGACATCCCATCAAATCCCACTTTGCCCAACCAACTCCAAAAACCCTCCCAAACAAACACAAGACATCAATCACCTCATCTTCCGAACCGCCTTCCTCCCCTTAACAGCCATCTCCCCAAACTCCTCCTGCCCTCTCATCCTTCCTTCCCCCTCACCCTCGCCCTCCCCACGACCCAAACCCCGCATCTTCTCCCAAACATCCGGATCCAGAAATGGCTGCGGTGCTTTTGAAAGGTCAACCTCGACAGTCTTGATTCCTGCGTTGCTAGGGGTTTCTCGTGAAGATGAAAGTTGGATGTCGGCGGGGACGGAGCTGGGGTTTATCACGGTTGGCTTTGATTTAGTGGGAGGGTGTAAAGGGCGTTTGGAGGGTACAAGGAGGGTTTGTTTTTTGGGGGGAGGGGAAGGCATTTTTTGTGCCTCTGGTGGAGATGGTGAGGTTGTTGTTGTTGTCATGTGGTGGTGAGGATGGTTGGTTTGGGGGAAGGGGTGACGTAGGTGTGTTACATAATCGGCTCCTCTATGCTAGTTAGTGATTAGATAGAAAGGTGGTTCTCAGTATCAACAGTATCATCAGTTCATTGACTATGTAAAGTAGTAAAGCAACGAGTAGTACATGGTATTCGTCAAATAGAAGAGCCAAACCCCAGACTCCAATCCGGGACCCACCGCTAGACGTTAACAGCAGCGAGTGAGCCCATTAGATATAGTGATACAAATACGTGTCATGCAGCTTGGAACAAACGCCAGAAAAAGAAAGACCGCGGATGAATTATATCCGGAAGATTCTTCATGCAATCCCTTGAGTATCGATCCCGGAAACAGTGGAATAAGAATATGGCAGATCCACTAGCCCGTCAAGTAACCAATTCAACGGGTCAAAAACTTCATAATTGGGTTCCATGAACCCACTTGGCAGCCCTCCAACTGCACTGCCAGATGACACCCCTAGATTTTGTGGAATCAAGGGAGCAGGGGCTAGACTAGGATCTCCAACAACACCGGGCGTCGATGTTGCGGTACGGCCTGGGCCGGCCGACGATGCCGCTGAAGAGTCGGCAGAGAGATCTGGGTTTGTTGGATTCTTAAGATAGGCTACAATTTATAAGGGTCAGTTTCATCTACAAGATGAAGATTATTCAACGTACCCTCGATATTACGGCCCTTGGTCCGAGTATCTTCCCGCCATCGCCATACCGAGTCGTAAAGAAGTGACATGCTCATACGGCACCGGACTTTCAGCATCAAGGAACCATCGATCTCGGTATGATTGGCTGTTGAGTCTTGTTGATGGGTTGACGCTCCAAGCCTCCACATTTGGGCTAGCACTTCTGCCAACCGTTCGGGCAGGTCATTGCTCGACACGGAAACACCCCGGATAGCCCAAATAGTTCGATTAAAGAGATCCTTAGTGTAGTTCATATCAATATGAGAAGCAAAAAAGCTCTTGCAGAGCTTCAGTAACGTGCAGCCCCCTGCAACCATCATCTGATAGATATAGTATGGAGTATAGGACAATACCGGTCCGACCCCCGTCTCAAGATTCATAGCAGCTTCGAGGAATGATGTAGTTGCAATGTATAGGGAGAGCAGACGCTCACGATAATCTCTTGCCGTTGGGTCATCAAAGAAAGCTGACAAATGAAGGTGGAGATTGGAAGCGCGGAGGTAAAGATTCGTAATACCTGAAAACAATATTAGATATGACTTCTTGGGCTGCGTAAATTTACTAAAAGAAGCATACAGTCATTCTGAACTTTGAGTGTCTCTTCAAGCTCATCGAAATCCCGTGACAGAAACGAAATTAATGATGATCTTTCCTGATCGCTGCACAATCCAACCGGGTCTCGCCGGTTAGTGTAGAGTGATTTCGTTACCTTGTCACAAAATTTTTCGACCTCCAGTCTGGGCTTGATGCCATCAGGGAGCTTGAAGTTTGGATCTATTGAGCCACTCGAGGACAATGTCCAATCATAGATAGTGGACGGCGGCTGGCCATAACCGGTTGCAACTCTGTATAAGACTTGTTAGATTTGAGGTTTGGGAAATTCTAAGGAGAGACATACCGTTGAGCGACAATGTTGCAAACAGCCCATGTCCTCACCTTATCTCTCAGTTCCTCTTCGATTAGTTCCACTGTGAATTTACTAAAATCCTGAGTATGGGAAGGCCGGTGAAGGCCCAGTTGCATGGCAACTTGCATCATCATACCACACAGCATGAAAGTTGGGTCAGTAGAGGTGCTACTCGCGGGAAACGGCCATGTGCAAAGCAAACAAAGAGCTTTCACGACATGGTAGCTTTGTGGTATATCCGCCAATGTACTCCATACTAAGCGTGACACCGGGCCAGCAAGTGAGTTTAAGAGGTGCGAGTCGGTTTGATATCGTCTGGCGCCGACGCTAATAACAGTCCAGAATAGTAGTGGCGATGCGGTGTAATAATCCTCTGGCGATTGTTCTCGGTCAAGGAATGGAAGGAATGGGTCGTAGAACATGAAGAACCTTGGGAAAGTTAGAATTTCATCCAAAGCAAAAAAATCTGGTCTCTGGAAGCCTTACAGATCGAACAACTCCGCCACTTTCTCTGGCACAACCACAACATCTTCAATCCGTTTCACCTGTTGATTGCCATTTCTCATGTAGTTGGAATTATCGAATCCTGAACGCAAATCAAGCAGCGACGCAACAGCTTCATGAGAACCCATGTACTGGTCAGAGGATATGGCGGAAGGTGTCTGATAAACTCCAGCTGGACTGACTTGGCTGGAGTCTTGCTTGGGTGTCAGTTGGGCTGAATGCAAAGACGGTGGTTGCTGCTGCTGAGAAACAGACACGCCGGAGTTCGTCTGGTTATTGGCAATCTGCTTTCTCAGCTCAATTATCTCTCGCTCCATCTCAGCATTCCGACTGCGCTTCCCCACACGTTTGAAGTTGGATTCGATTTTACAATCAAGTTTCAGGCGACGACATCGAGAGCAATCCATCCAAGGGTCCTGCGTCACATCACACCGGAGCTGCAGTGACCGAAGAAGGTTAGTCCATCAGTCCACGAGGGGTAAAAATGACAGTTCCTCCAATGATGAGGACGCGAACTATATGAGCTCACCTTCTGCTGCCGACACTCATTGCAGGCTCGTTTCACTGGCTGTCTCTTCTTATCTTCTCGTGCATCAAGATCCTCGATGTCGTCAATGCTGCCGGGGGAGCTGTCCAATCCCGCCATGACAACATTGCGCTTTCTAGCTTGTCCCAGACTGTCGGCGCCGACAGCAGCTGAGACGGATGGATGGCCGGCACCTCCCATTACGGGGCTGGTGGCAGCAGAAGCATTATTCCCTGCACTTAGCTCCAGAAATTCCCCTTGCGCTCCTCCGCCTCCGATTCCGCTCGACGATCCCCCAAGAGGCGCCAGGCTGGGTGCGTTGGCGATACAGGCGATCGATAAAGCTCGGAGGGGAAAAAAAAAAAAAGTCAAAAATCAGCCGCACCGGTTTGCAGCGTATGAATCACAGGCGACAAAACAGAAAATGCAAGGAATAAATAGAATCCTTGTAAGGTTCTAAAAAAATATTTTAAATCTGATGGATCAGCCCAAAAAGTAAGCTCAGTCAAGCATCGATAGCTGCATCAGGCCCCTCAACGATGGATGAGTAACAGCGGGGGAAGAAAGAGAGGCAGTCCGATCTCGCTGTCACGTGCTCCAAGAGAGATGCATCACGTGATTCCATACGCTTAGTTGATACCTTACTCTAGCTGCCCTAGCTGCCCTAGATGCCTGAGGATACAATGTTTCCATATGTTACACCGGGATTTCTATATCTTTTGCTTATTTGCTGACGGCCAACGATCGTCCAAGTCACCTTAATGCATCACTTATCCCGCTTACAACTGAAAGCTAATGACACATATCAAGTTCCCAACAAGGCTGTGCTGTCGCCCAGTCGCTCAGCCTTGCATATCGGCTCTTCAAATCTTTGTCACCGGACAGGAAGCCTCTTCAGCCTCATCGAGAATGTTTAGCAATCTCGATCATCATTGGAAGTTTCAGAACGACCTAGTCATTGATTGGTCGACTGATGAGACCACAAGACCTCTTCAGAGGCTGGAAAATGGGCAATTGTTCGACATGCCCTGCTTCGCCTCTGACTGGCTGGATGTCATCTTGGATCAAATACAAATCAACCTGGGAGCCCTGGTCGAGTCATCTTACTGCTTATTTAAGAGACGCTGTGCACTATTTCTTCCAGCAGTGATTGTGTCTTTGGCTCGAGGGTTTGCTTCTATTAGACACTTCGTCTTTAGTACATACACAAAACCACCCATGCATCTTTGAAATATCAACCCCCTTTGCAATGGTCTTGACATGATGGACGCGACTCCTCAAAGGCTGAATACAGATGACGTCTCGAGCAATAATCCTGTTCCAAATGACGGCCCCCCTGCCTACGACGCGCTTGAAGAAGACATCAACCCCCCAGTATATACTCATATCGAACGACCACCCCTGCCCATTCGAAGGTTGAACCTCTCTCGCAGTGCTGGATCACCTGAATACAGCACAATCACTCCAGGCCAATGTGTTGCGCACCTCAAGTTTGTAGCTGTGATTTCGGATCTACGGGACAGCATAATCAGCAACGACGGTCTTTTTGGTATCAACGATAATGATGCGGATGACTTTCTAGAACAAAAGAATGAAGCACTTGTCCTGCTCAGAGAGAAGCGGTGGGCTATATATACGGCAAGGGCTGTGGAGCGTTACACGGCTTGGTGGAACAACTACGTCCCATATTCCAGTCCGCCCCCGAAGCTCAAAGATATTGAAAGTAAGGAATACGGCAAGATAACAGAATGTGAAACTCAAGTCCAATGGTTCCAAGAGACTATGCCACCTCTAGGTGAGTAAGAGCTTTGATAGTATGGGAAACAATACCTTTGGTTTGTCTTGGTCAAGTAAAGCGATCATTTATTAACACTTATACCTACTAGATATTCTTATGGTATGGCATTCACACATGCTTAATCCGAGAGCATTTCTGGAAGACTGCATTCGATACGGCAAAATGAGCCTCTGGAAATCTGGCTTTCCTTGGTTGGCCATTGACACATGTATCAATAATCGCCTAGAATATCAAGTGATAGACGTTGCGAAGAGCTTTTTCAAAACAACGACTGGCTTGGAATGGGATAATACCCATGACTCGCCGAGCAAATCTGTGGATTGTCCTAGTTGCGAAGAGTCTGTATCTGTCCCATGGACTGCTGGAGGAGTCTGCGCTTCGATCCCCCAGATATTCAGGTCTTTTCACGGTTATGCAGACAAGAACTTCTCAGCCACTTGTCCTCACTGTCAAATACAGATTGATCATGAACTGCTTAAAGTCGCCAAATTCAGAAGAGATGTTCGATTATTGCTTGAAAAGGACTTACCAATGCCAGGAACATTTTTTAACCTGAGAGGCATCCCAGAAAGTCACAATAGTGGCTCGGGCTGGTACAACCGTCAATTTCCAAATCGGTTTCTACAAGCAGCAGGCAAGCATATGCTTAGCACCATACACCCATGTCTAAATCAATGCAAAAATATGATTGCGTTACGCGACGAGTTTGAAAAGACATTCAAAATAGAAAAAATCCGCCGAGCCGCAAACTGCGGTTTTCGAGATTTTTCTGTTCGACTAGCAGATAGGATGACCTTTCGACGGATGATGTCCCGCTACTGGGACAATGAATCCCCATTTGCTCTCGACCTGGTTGGAGCCGTCATTCGCCAGGGAAGCTTTATTCAGAAGATGGACAATATCGACTGGTTACACTCGCCAGCACTCCCGGAAACCATGTCTCGTCTCGTCAAAAAGTATTCGATTTTCTTTGCAATCATGACATCGGCGCCGCGGCGTATGGCCGTGCCAACATTGGATGTCGATCTGGCCTGGCACACTCATCAGCTTACACCGTACCGTTATTTCCAATACTCAATAAATGCCTGGAGGGCAGGCTACCCTCCGATTTTCATTGACCATGATGATAAGGTAGATGAAGTCAAGCTTTCGGACGGCTTCGAATGGACATCCAAGATGTACAAGAAGTTCACAGATGGCGAAATCTATAGTGAATGCACATGCTGGTACTGCGAGGCCGTTCGAGCCCCCGACCTCCGCGACGGCTTCTTCGTCTCTTCTAGCACATCCAGAGCCCGCAAACTTGCTGCTGAACTTCACAGTCGACCTGACATCTCGCCCAACCCAGACAAAAACGCACACATCTCCGCTCACAGCGCAGTTCGGGCACAACTTCCGTACCATCCCGCAGACATCAGGCGCATGAAAGCTCTGTATCTCAAATGCAATTATGAGAAGGCATGCCGTCGTGCCCAGAAGCGAGGCTCGTTGAGCGGGAAGACACCCGACCCGCCTACAGACAAAGGGCGTTCAGAAAGTAATGGTAATAACGATCCCACTTCAGCCACAGGCAGTCGGAGATTTGAGCCAGCTTTCGGGCCCCAGATCTGTGTTGGCGCCTACGCGGCGAACCCGACCTGCATGAGTCTTGCCCCCGGGAGTTATGGAAATTGCGCCGCGGGTACATGTGGAGGCAAGGTCGCGGCTGGAAGCTGTGGTGCAATGGGATCATATAGTGGATCAGCAGCCTGCGGAGGCGGAGGAATAGGTAGCTGTGGAGCATCAGGTAGTTGTGGAGGAAGTGGTGGTGGTTGTGGAGGAGGCGGCGGGGGAGGAGGAGGCTGTGGAGGCGGAGGAGGTGGTGGTTCTTGACTTTTACTCGACATAAGTGATACTTTCCTGCATATGGTACCCTATGGATCTGTCTCTTCATCGGCTTCTGGCTTTCGGGTGTATGTGCCTACCCCCGGGCAGAGTCTAGCCGGAATGAATGGCCATCAATCTTAGAATTTATTAGTGCCATAGACCAGAAGATGAAGTTAAACAGGAAGGAATTTATGGATAATTCCACCAAAACAGCACCTTCAAAAACTTCAGAATAGGAAAGCATGCCCTTAAACCTGGCTTCGTGAATAATATTCTCCTGCATACATAGTATATAGGAATGCCAATTTGTCAATGTGGCAAGCAGGTATTCCAAAAACAAAAAGAAAAGGCAATTTTGTTGCACAGAGATAGACCAAAAGAAATATTCGTATATTCGTGCAGCACTAACATTTACATTACGACGCATCTGCGACTCTTCCTGCTTCTTTCATAGATAGTTCGTTCATTCCACTCCTCGATCCGCCTTCGCCAGATATCGTTCGACGGGGTTGGCGACTGTGAGTTTGTAGGATCTGTAGAAACTCGCTGACCTGGGTTCATTCTTCCAATATCTGAAGGCTGGGGGTGTTCGTTTGTGGGTCTATGTGGCCCCGTCCGCGACGCAATAGTTGGCACTCTGTCTGGTACAACATACTCACGTTCCGGGACGTGCAGGAGATTTGGCGACGAGATGGAATATGAGTGGTAATTCCTTGATGCACCATCTGGAAGCGGGGGAATAGGGGGCGGCCATTGCATTGACCCTCCCATCATGGGCTGATCAGCAGTCAGGCGTGCAGGTTGGTTTCCTTGTAACAGCACTGCCTGGGGAGGAACATGCTGAATAGCTTCGGTAGCTGATGATAAGGGGAGGATTGAGTTGGACTGTAAAGGAAACTGGGCAACATCTGCGAATGATCCTCCGGGGGTGGTGGGTCTCTCTTCTGGTGACTGTGCTCCGAGGGATCCCGAGGCCCTCCCAACAGGTATAGGGGAGTGAACAGATGAACCTCTTCTCCTCTGCGGGAGACCATTTGTTTGGCCTTGAGTTCGGTCATGAGTTTCAGAATCTCTAGTGTTCCTCCTTATCCGGGAAACCAATCTAGACCCGGTGATGGTGTTCAGTCTTTGAATGGCGGGGCGGGATCGAGATCGAGAAATGGTATCTTGGCTCCGGCTGTCTAGGCGAGTGGTGTGAGCTCTTCGAACAGGAGAAGTTTCTTCGTCAGCCGTTTGGACAGGAGCCGTAGTTGGAAGAAGGGTTCTTCTAAGAGATTCCGGCAGTGGGACATCAGGTTCGCGGGTATATGGCGGTGGGGGTGGAACCCAGTTATCAGCGTCACTCTCATGAGGAATCTGTTGTCCAAAAGGAATGCGGTTTGCTTCAGGCTGAGGAGAGGGATTGCGACGCCGACGAGTAACTGCCGCTGCGGTGGCAGCACGCTGCAGCGTATCGCGGGAACGTGGCTGGGTGTTATCATAAGGGGTATCTGGAAATGCAAGCGTATCGCCAAAATCAAGATCATTATTGGGGGAGCTGGATAGGGTAAAACTGTTCCTGCGAGTATTGAACGGTGACACTTTATTCCTATTCAAAGCTGCAGCTGGATACGAATCCCTAGTGGCAGCTCTTGCTCGCTGCGATGTGGTAGTCCCACGGTGAACACGAGTTCTTCTTCTCTCCAGCTCAACCTCGGTGTCCAGACTAGAGTTCGGTTCTCTAAGCATCTTAGGCTCTGCCTCTCCAATTTCGATGTTAATTTCATGTACTTTGCCGTTTTCCGTGGACCTCTCAAAGTCCAGGATGAGCACTCTTCCACCATCGACTGGCACGTCCTCTTCACCAATAGTTGGGGGACTGACACCACCAGGAGCTACAGCCACCAACCTAGAGCGTCTGGCCTCTTCACTGAACATGATGTTCGTGGGATGCACCCAATGGGCTGCCGTAATTCCAGAAATGTCGGTTACCTGATGCCCACGAATCAAAACTTTTGGCTGGCCAATTGCTCGCTGTAAGCGCACAAAATCATCTTGAGGTGTAAAAAAGCCTTCCATGGGGCGTTGACTAGCGGTCGACGCAGCATCGGCTTCCATAGTTGGGCTCATTGCGGGGGCAACATCAAGGCGGTCGGGTACACCATATAACCAAAGACCACCGCTCTGAAATCCCAGTGCAATAAGCTCGCCCTTACTGTCCGCGGTAGGCATAACGATGGTTGAAGAATCTTGGGGCCCGTTACTGGCCAAGGGGGGCACGAAGTATGTGGTGCCCGAGTTCACACTGTTGGCCCTAATTGCTTTGAATGCCGCCGTTTGTCTATCGTAGCCCAAAATCCAGCCACCCGCATCCTCCGCATGCACTGGTAGCAGGCAAGCGTGGCTGTAGCCGCGGATTATGTCCGGGAAAAGAATCTGTGTTGTCCACATGCGTATCTCAATGTCCCTCGAGGATGACTCGCCTTCGGGTTCTGTATAAAACGGCACTGTGATGGTTACTACATTGCTGTTTCGACCATCAGCAGATGATCCAAATAGCATCTCCCCATCACAAGAGAATGAGAGATAATCGACTCCAAAGCAGCGAACGGCTCTTCGCTGAGTGACAAGTGCGTCTTCTCCCAAAGCATAGACTTCGATCATATCGTCATAGGCGATAGCAAGAACACCGCCAGTTGGAGAAAGGGCCAGCGATCGCGGAACATCATTCAAAGCTAACCCTTGTATATGCTTTGCCTCCTCATTTGAAAGACTATAGATATTGACTTGGTGCCTTGAAGATACAACTGCAAGGAGCGATCCATCGTCTAAAATGGTTGCGCTCAACGGACGTCTCCGTGTTTTGAGTTCATGCTTCACCATGGCAGGTCCAGATGTTACATCGAGCACAATGATTCTCGACGAACTCAAACAAAGAATCATTTGGCCCCTGGCCGAAAATGTGAAGCGAAAAGCTTCACCTTGTGGAAATGCTGTAGAAGAGCTCATCGACGTTGAGATGAGCTTAATGAGAGTTTTGTGGGGTCTGAGAAACACATCGAATGTATTTCTACTAATCTCACTAAAGAATTTGCGCTTGAGGGAACTGAGGCCTCCCAAGCCAACCGGGTCTGAAATGACCTCCTGGGTCATGGAAAATGATGGACATCGGGATAAATGATAAGAATAAAGGAGTAAAGAATCCGATACATGCCTCCAGTTTCGATTCAGCAGGACCAGAGATGCGAATGTATTTGGATCAACGAGATAGAGAATGCTACGTAGCCGGTTAAAACTGGTCGTATCCTTGATACGGGCAACATGGACGATATCACTGTAGAAATATGCTCCGACAATGATGCGCAGTCGCTGTTTCTGGACAGAAAAAATTAACTCACTGTTCAATCACATTGGGTGGCAATCGATTGAAAGACGACAAGCCCTGCTCGTCATTCTTGGTCGGGTTCTCTTCCGAGTATTCGCATTGTCGCCTAGGTGCTGCATCGGCTAGCTGCTCCGAGTCGTCGAAGGAGCTATTATGCCGCTCAGCTCTCAGCGACCGCATGTCATTCTCCATGACCATCAATCATCACCACTGTTTAATGTTACGTCTGCTGGGAGCAACGAGCATATCTGGATACGATTGTGTTCATCGACTAGCGTTCAAGATGAAAGATGATTATCGTGAGATTCAAGAGGTGCGAGAATGTGCCCCCGAAAAAAAAAAAAAAAGAAAGAAAGAAAAGGCGCGTAGGAAGATTGGAAGCGCCGCCGCGAGAAACGGTCACTAGTAGTGATGCCCTGTGGCTGTGTTTCTGGCTCCAATGGTAATGCAACCGTGATGCTACACCTGCGCATGAAGCGGGGAATTGTTTCAAGATGTATGTAATCGGATAGAATTGATCGACAATAAACGATTCCTACCCTGCATATTCGAATCAGCCCTGGATGGGCCGAAGAAGGACGACGTCGAAGCCCGCACTGGGGGGAGAACGATCGGAGTAAATGGAAGCGGGATATAAATAGAGCGAACGACCCGTGACTTTGACTGACAGAGGCCAAAGCACGTGGATGGACTGCTGAGTCAGCATCCCCACATTTTAGTCCTAGTTCCGATAAGAATGAAGAAACCTTGTGGCAGTCATCGGTCCGCGAAGTCGCCAACGCTCTGATTGCTGCTGAATGCGTTGTGTTTACGGAGTCAAGGAATATGGTGGGCTCTGCGCTTTCTTGCGATTCGCGTCTCTGGCTTCAATGTCTCCATTGACCATTCTCTAGTCGTCCCCACCCCCTCATCCCTTCTGATAACAATCGTCGGCTCTTTCTGAGTTTCCGGACTGTCAAAATCGCCATCCATTAACATTGCGCGCTTTTCAATTGGACTGCACCAGCGGGGTGACAGCTATTTGGAACAAAGTATCACGTTATTTCGTCGTTTATCATGCCACCTTCAACTATTCAGGACGGTTCAACCTCGAAGCTCCCCTCTCCGGGATTCAACGCCGGCGCACGACCTTATAGGTCGCACAAAGTCAGAGCCTGCGATTTATGCAGGAAACGCAAATCGCGATGTACGGTGGATATCCCTGGTCAATCATGCCTCTTATGTCGGGTCCAAGGAGCGGACTGTCATTATCAAGAGGAATCTGGTCCTGAACAGCCAGCTCCCAGTGCGTCTGAATCTAAGAGATGGTCCATGGATCAAGTTGGGGATAACCCTCCTTCGGGCCAGAAACGCAAACGTACATCAGATACCACATCTCCTCCCATGCCAAATACAGATCGCCGACTCGAAAAACCCGTCGGTCTATCTCGGACGAGTTCTTCCGGAGACGGCCGAAGCGACACCCGGCGTCAAACAGTTGAAGACCCGCATAATGAATCAATGCTCATTGTTGGCCCAGTTGTGGCGGATGATGCACAAGTGATTGAGAAGTTCATGCCCCCAGAGCGGTCTAACGAGTCTGTGGAGCCAACTAGCCATCCATACAACGTCTATTCAAGCGACCCAAGAAAACCCATCCTTTATACGACTGTCTCGAGGAGGAGGCAGGGTATGCGAGTTGGCGTTCCTCCGGGGGAGAACCAAAAAGAAATCCTCGAACAGATACTCGGACCTTTCAAGCATGACCTAGTAAGATTGTATGTGCCACATGGGTCCTAAACCAAATTTCTATATGGCATTCTAACCTTTTATTTTTCCGCCTTCAGGTTTATAGACAGATTCAATGTAGCATTTCCGATCTTTGATGGCGAAAGTTTCTGGGAGTCGTACATCTCGGATTCGCCAAGTGAGCCACCAGCATCTTTGTTATGTCAGGTATACTCGATGTCGTTGGTTTATTGGAAACATACGCCCAAGCTCGCTTGTCACCCTAAGCCGGACGTTCGATACGCTGTCAACATGACCGTGGCTGCTCTCCACGAAGAATTTTCCGCACCTGGCTTATCGACAATAAGTGCCGCTTTGATTGATCTTACTGGACGACCCATATTCTCGATGACTGGTAATGCCATCAGCTGCGGCCGACTTATTTCACTTTCTCACTGCCTTGGCTTGAATCGCGACCCCAGTCACTGGAAACTATCTCAACGCGACAAGAACAACAGAGTTCGTCTATGGTGGGGAGTTGTAATACACGATCGTTGGTAGGATCTTGCCTATGTTTCTTGAATCGTTTTTGGATTGCTACTGACCCATTCGATAGGGGAAGTTATGGCCATGGTGTACCCCCACAAATTGCGAAAAACCAATATGATGTTCCCCTTCCTACTATTGATATCTTAGTCCCACAACACATGCGCACCACCGAGCGCGTGAGAGCTGCACATTGTCACATCGCCTTATGTCGATTGACCGAAATTCTCGGTGAGCTTTTGCCACTTGTTTACGGTCTGCAGCACAGATATCCACGCGAGATATCGAAGAAACTCAGACAAATCCGAACGGATTTGGATATGTGGGAGGACTCTTTACCCGATTGGATAAGGACACCGATAAACAACAATTCCGAGGAGCGAATATCAGGGATAAGCAGTCTGCAGCTCTCTTTTCTTGCTGTCAAGATGCTTGTTAGCAGGGTGGAACTCAATGTAAGTTGATATCACAAATCCGCTATGCATCTCATGTGTTTTCTTACCAGTCAAACTGCAGGAGGTCAATAGTGCGGAAACGGATAACCCCGAAGCCCGCCGATACTTCCAAACGGAATGCCGCAAATCGGCCGAGGAAATAGTACGATTCATCTCGTGCTTACGGAAGGAAAACTTCAAGGAGTTTTGGCTTTCATGTATGTCCAGATGCCACTTCTACCCCTTGATCTTTATCTGATTATTTCTACAGACAGCGCCTTCCACCTCACATCAACAGCTACCCTACTCGTTCGCTGCGCCCTAGAAACCACAGACACCGAGGTAGCCCGGTCATGTCTCACCAATGTTGAAAATTTCCGATCCATTCTCCGCCGTGTGCGGGAGGAAGAGGACTTCGATTTAGCCGACATGTGTCTGGACCACTGCGAACGAATCCTTAACAGACTCCCTGGCAGCGACAACAGCAACACCGATTCAAACTATAACGGATTCGGGCTAAATGATCCTCGTCTCGTGAACCCAGCCGCGATATCGCTACCAGAAACACAGACAAACAACGACATCGTTGATGACATGATGTCTATATCCGGAACCTTTGGCACAATGGATGGATTTCCATTCGATATGACAGGAATCTGGGATGTTTCTGTCTTTCAAGACGTTAATCTCTAACTTAATGGACGTTTGTTTTCTCAAAGGAGAGAAGATGGAGATAAGATATGAGTATGGACATTTTGGATTATACCCGGGCCAAGAGAAGCCCACATCTATAAGGCAATTAGCTATATAGATAATGAAGAAGTTTTGATACATACTATGACCTTCTGGTTCCGTTATTTGTTGTCCCTCTTCCGACGGAAGGTCGGGAAAAGTTAATTAAATATCTTATCACTAGGCTTATCTATAAACCCAACATGTTATTGCCTACTATTTTAAAACCGTTTAACCTCTTATTCGGAGCTTATAGGCACAAAACAAAGTCTCTTATTGGAATAGGGTTACTATGATACTAGACATGAACAATATATATTTGGCCACCCTATAGCGGCTTCTACTATTCATTATCCAAAACACAAGGTCAAACCCACTAGTAATGACATTAAATGTTATTCAAATTTATACAGAAACCAAAAGAACAACCCAACCGCTATTTTACAATCATACTGAATGCTCAGAGCCAAAGACACATCTAATGATAACCCCCCAAAACCGTTTGCTGATACATATTAAAGAATGGAGAGAAATATAAAAAGTTTCAGCTCTGCAAGCGCCATACCCTCATGATGCAATCAGTTACTGTTCCTTGTCGCCAGCACCGAACATGCTGGTGAAGGAGCCCTTCATGTACTTCATCTGTTCCTGTCGGGCCTTCTCTTCTTCGGCGGCCATCTCAGCCAGCCACTTCTCACCGTTCTCACGGATTTCTCTCTCGATCAGCTCATAGTTCTTCTGTCCACGCTCGTGGATCTGGTCCCAGAGCATTTTGCCCTGGGCCAGTCCCTCGGATGGACTCTGTTCGCCATCCAGGGTTCTGCTGGACTTCACTCCCAGAGCAGCGGCAAGGGTACCCATTCCGCTACGAGGACGTTTCTTCTGCTCCTCGGCAAGTTCCTTCTGGAACTTCTCACGCATGATCTTCTCGCGCTTGGCAAACTCCGCCGGAATAAAAGTGCCGTCGAAGGACTTCAGCACGGGGCGCACATCCTCCACACCCATACCAGCCATGTATTCAAGGAAAGGAATCAACGCAACCAGTGTCTTGTCCTTCGAATCTCCGTGCCACTTGTCAAGAACAATGGCGTTCTCGGGCTGCAGGCGGGCGTGTTCCTCCTTGGTGTCAAGCAAGATCACCTTCGAGAGGTCTCGGTTCAGGTACGAAAGATCCTAGAAAATCCTAGTCAGTGCTGCGTTCCACGAATTTCCATTACGGGTCTGCCTTACCTTGATGTATTCTCCGTCCTTGTATCGGGTAGCTTCCCGGAACAACGGCCAGCGGATAATACGGTAGGGGTCAAGCTTTCGGAGAACCTGATCCGCCATCATACTTGGGACACTGGTGAAGAGAACGAGTTCGTAGTACTGGTTGAGATAGCGAAGGAAGTAGTCGACACCAGGTCGTTTGGCAACTCGCCATCCGTGCTCACGGCTCCATTCGCTGTGCACAAGCAAGTCTTCCAAACTGAGAACCAAAGTGTAAGGCTGGCGGAAATTGGGGTCTTCATCGGGAAGCAACTTAGGGAAAGCCGGGTCTTTGTAGTAGCTGGTGAAGTCGCCCATTCGGGCCTTGATGCGGTTGTAGAGGAGTCCTGGGCTCCAGCCTGATGGAGTATCCTTGTGGTTCTTCTCTTCCTCCTCCGTTTCCCAGTTTCGCCCCATGTAGGCTGCTCCTCCGATACCTGCAAGCAAGGTGAGGGCGTACATCAATTTGGCCATACGGGCCCTGCGGCGGTCCAAAGAGGATTCGTAACCATCCTTGGGGATATCGCCCCGGCCATCATCATCATACTCATCGGAACGAGAAGGGTCCTCTGTGAGATTCAGACCGGTCGCCCCGGTTTGCTTTGCGCGGCCTTCGAGCTCTGCGAAGAGTGTCGATGGAATACCCTGTGTGAGGTCGGGAAGCGGTTTACGCGGCGCACTCTTTTCGGTAGAGGTAGAGTCCGATTCAGGCTTCGTGAAATCATGTCAGATCTATTAGATCAAAATGCACCGACAGAATATAGACTTACAGCTTCGGAAGTTTGAGAAGCAGTGTTCTTTTGCGGGTCGGCAGATGTGTCGAACTCAACCTGTTCCGACGAGTATTGTTCGGGCTTGGGGGTTTTGACAGAGTCGGGGGCGTTGTACGGAGCCTCGGGCTTGGTGTTCTTTGCGTACCATCGGGAATGTGAGACCGGCAGGGCTGATACACGGAGAGTAGAGGCAAGGATGTTGGGCCTCGTCAGAGGCAATACGGCACGGCTAAGCATGATGGAAGAAAGGGAATCTAATGAGAGACAAGAAAGAACTGTATACTCATGCTCTGCAGAAAAGAGCACCAAATTGGAAAGGGGGAGGGACAATCCAGATAATAAAGACCGGCGAGATCTCTAGGACTGTCTGTAGTCTTCTGCTTCAGCGCTCGAAGATACTGGAGTTTATCACCTTCGGAGTTGAAGCTCCAGAAAAGTCGAACTGCCGCTTGTCCTCGCAGGCCGTACGGCGGGCGACTCGTACCCACTGCGCACTCCGGTGCTTTAAAAACCCCCGCCTTCTACCAGTTTCTTTCCTCTTTTCCTTTTTTTTCTCCAAGTTATGAAAGTTGAACACCCAGACATTAATTTGACCCTTCAGGCCTTCTTCTCCATGCATGCCGGGTTGTATTAGCTGGGGAGACCAATGATCCCACTCCCAAGAGCCGCAGCGAAGGCCACCTCTGATGCTGCAGCCCCGTTCGTGGGACACAAATCCTTATTCTTTTGCCCGTTCATCTAAGAAAATCGTACGTTCAGTGCGCCAGTGACTTCTGGTGTTATTGTTAATCACTTGACTCGAGTTAAAATGCAACAATGGAATGAAGCCGCTTGAAAATAAAAGGCCTAGAAACGTGCTGTGTATTCTTTTATAGACCCCCTCTTCTATCATTATGACTTCTGAACTTTCAGATGCCCTGGAGAAGGTGACCCTCCAGGACCAACGTGAAGAGGAAGGCCAAATCCAGCAGACTGAAGAAGAACAAAACCAACCAAAAGCAAAAGCGCCTCTGGAGCCTTTTCGATTCTTCGATCTTCCCTCCGAAATTCGACTGCGCGTGTACTCATTTGTTCTTTTCACCAACAATCGCAACAAGACTTTGCGGACCAACGGCAATGTTGGTGCCTCGTCGAAAAATCAACTCGTCGCCCCTCTATCGCACCGCATCTCTCTTTTTCTAGCCTCGAGTCGCCTTCATGACGAAGCTAGCGATGTATTCTATTCCACTCAAATCATCCGTCTGTTCCCGGTCCAGGATTACTCCCGGGTACCAACAGTCAGAGTCTTGCCAGCACGGTACCGACCTTCCATCACGACCATCGAGCTGATTCTAGGCTCGAGCTGGACAGCACCTCCGAAATCATGGACAGTGGATAATAGTCTCGGGCTGGAGGATATGGTTCGGGCGCGCACACTGAAAGTGTTTACCCAATGTGATCCGTCGCAACCGTTTTTCGAAGGCTTCCGCATCTCAAAGGAATACTATACCCATTTTTCAGGCGATTTATTGCAGCAGGTTTTGATCAGAATGCCAAACCTGGTCCAGGTAGAATTCGACGGGTTTCCATCAGTCCGCAAGAGTGGACCGCTGATGAGCCGGCTGTTAGATGAGGCGAGAAAGGCTAACAAGAAAATCCTCTGGGGCCCCGAGCGAGGGTGGTCGGATTTGGATGATGACGAGGAGCGCGCCTATAACTTCGAGGGATTTAGACTGGTGCATGAGCGGAAACAGAAGAACGCCTCACATCGGATGATTACGCCGCTCAATACATGAGCTATCCAATGACTTGGCCCTTTTCACTAATTTTACTATGCCTCTGAAGGCTAAGATATCTCAAATCAGCGCACACGCTGACTGGTGTACTATAGTATCCTCCGATGCATGTCACTGCTTGTATAACTGAGTTGAAGCAGCAAAAAATTAAAATTCATATCCTTTCAATACTTGAATCATATTACTGAGTAGGAACATAGGACATACTCCAAGAAGTAGAATAGAAGATCTGCCCTCTTTAAGACATTGAAACATCATTCGTCTATGTGGATTATATCCAGTCTGATACCGATACGGTAAATAGCTTTGTCTCCATACATCATGTCCCTACGAGTATAGAACAACTGTAGGTTAGACCTTTTGGCATGGGATAAAGAAATGTAGTCGCAGATCATTCTCCGTACGTCCTGCTAGTCATCTATAGCTCCTCGTCCACATCCATGCCGCCACCGTTCTGGGCTCCTTTTCCAGCCGATAACCGTGCGACGGAAGCGTCCTTGTCAATCATTTGTCTTGAGACCGCAACAATGTTGTCTTCAATCAGTTCCTGGCTCACATCTTCGATGTCTGTAGAGCATGATTAGCATCCGTCGCGGAAACAAGGCATCGGGATTAAAAGAACGCGGCAAGGAAACAACGTACGCTTCTTAGGATCGACCTTTCCAACATATCTTGTCTTAAGTTGGTCTTTGCTCAGCTCTGTCTCCTCCTTGACCCGCTTTTCGTAGCCTTCGGCGAGGCTAACGAGCTGCTTCATCCGCTCAACGTTGTGCTCACCCTCCTCATGGAAATCGTTCATCTGCAGTGCATCGGTCCATACTTGCTTGTGGAGGTTCATCAGCATGTTTTCCTCCAGGCCCGTCTTGCGATAGTCAATCGCAATACTGTAGTAATGTCTGTTCAGACCGTGGATGAGCGCCTGGATCGATGGCTTGTTCAGGTGGCCCAAGTTAGATGTCGTTTGGCGGGGCTCCTGGCCCATGACGACGGTCTGGGGCTGGATAAGTCGGAAGGCATCGATGACAACCTTGCCCTTGACTGACTGGATCGGGTCAACGACGACGGCAACGGCACGGGGTGTGAGCTGCTCGAAGGACTGCTGGGTGTTGATGTCGACGGAGGAGAGCCAGCAGCCGAAACCAGGATGAGAGTGGTACCAGCCAACAACAGTTTCCGGTCTATTACAGAAAGAGCTTGTCAGTATATCACGAGCGTGAGAGAGAAAAATGGAAGTTCCCCGTTCAAGCTTACCGTCCCGTTTGTCTAAGCATCTCCATCATCTTGGTTTGGAAGACAGGGTCCACAGCCTCGACACTGACACCAGTACCACTCTGAGGCATAGCAAAAACATCAACCACCCGAACTGTGTACTCATCCACAAACTCGCCCAGCATCAATCCCATGACTTCCATAGGCACACCTGCCCGACCATGCCTTAACATCTTCAGCAAAGCTAGCGACGAGATGTGAACGGTTTCGGAGTTATCGATCAGGTTGGGGGTATCCTAAAAAGATGAACCGTCAGCTATAACCATACTAGAAGTTTTGCTTTGAAAAGAAAATGTGCTCCTGTGAAATAGAAGACAAGACGTGTCTCGCAACGTAATGTGGTAAGATTGCTGAGGCTGGAGGGGCATGACTTACACCACCAGGAGCTGCGCTACCCATGCCCATGCCTTGGGCAGCCTGGAGCATTCGGTTGAGGCGATCCATGGCTAGTTAATAGATTCGAGTAAAGGAAGATTAAAGAGGTGGGGGATAGCTTCCTAGTTGGAAGCTCCGACTGGAGGAGTCGTGTGTCAGAGGTAAGTCGTGACGAGGAAAGTCTGAAGTCAACTCTCAGAAACACAACCAGCAACTGATCTTAAATATGCCAAGAAATGAAGATCCGATGGATCGTAGATGAACAGAGAAAGATGGCTGGAGGCGCAATGGATAGCAAAGGAACAGTGATGATAGTTCATCGGGAAGTCTGGACGTGGCCGAGCTCTGCCATCCTGACGGAGGCGGTGGGCACAAACCCGCGCGCCAAGGGAGAGCAGCTTCTCTCACTCTGTGGCTCCCCTCTGCCTCTGCGGCCTTTGCTCGGCCTCCCCTTCGTTTCCACTTCTTCTCTCGCTCTCAATTCACTCGGCGTCATGGGAATGCGCCCCGTCTACAACACCCAATTTCTCTGACTGACTGGATTACCGGAGCGTTTTTCTTTCCTCTCGTGATTCTGGATTCTGTTTTCCATCCTTTTGATCTTTCTCGTTCATTATCTCCAGTTCTCTTTGGTCTCCGTTCAACTAAATAATATCTCCAATACGCTTCGACTTCCTGGACTCCGTACCCCCATATATATCCCGATATCCCCAATTCTGAGTGGCATTTTCTGTGCAGTCCTGCACAATATCATTCACCATGACGTCTTCTTTTGCTCCTCTTGACCCGATCAGCGTGAACGGGAGCGCTGATCGCAACAAGAAGGTCGCCTACTTCTACGACTCGGATGTGGGCAACTATGCCTATGTCTCGGGGCATCCCATGAAGCCTCATCGCATAAGGATGACACACAGTCTGGTCATGAACTATGGCCTCTACAAAAGCATGGAGATCTACGTAAGTTGTCCTCTTGGTCTTATCTCAAAAATCCTTGCCGCCGTGCGCCTTATGGATTCGTCCCCCGCTAACCAGCAAATCCTGTAGCGTGCGAAACCGGCCTCGAAGTACGAAATGACCCAATTCCATACAGATGAATACATCGATTTCCTTTCGAAGGTGACCCCCGACAACATGGATTCGTTTGCGAAGGAACAGAGCAAGTACAATGTCGGTGATGACTGTCCCGTATTCGACGGTCTTTTTGAATTCTGCGGTATCAGCGCTGGTGGAAGCATGGAAGGCGCTGCACGGCTCAACCGGAATAAGTGCGATATCGCTGTGAATTGGGCAGGTGGCCTTCACCACGCGAAAAAGAGCGAAGCGAGTGGTTTTTGTTACGTGAACGGTAAGACTGGGCTTGTTTCAAAGATCAATGCGGGAAAATCGACTGACATTCCATTTAGATATTGTGCTAGGAATCCTCGAGCTTCTGCGGTTCAAACAACGAGTCCTATATGTCGATATTGATGTGCACCATGGTGATGGTGTTGAAGAAGCTTTCTACACTACGGATCGTGTTATGACTGTCTCCTTCCACAAGTACGGAGAGTATTTCCCCGGAACTGGTGAACTCCGTGACATCGGTGTGGGACAGGGTAAACATTATGCTGTCAACTTCCCGCTCCGTGATGGTATTGATGACATCTCATACAAGAGCATCTTTGAGCCAGTTATCAAGAGTGTCATGGAATGGTATCGACCAGAGGCCGTGGTTCTCCAATGTGGTGGTGATAGTCTTTCGGGCGATCGTCTTGGTTGTTTCAACTTGAGTATGAGAGGTCATGCCAACTGCGTCAACTTCATGAAGAGTTTCAACCTGCCAACCTTAATTCTGGGTGGTGGCGGTTACACGATGCGTAATGTCGCACGAACCTGGGCTTTTGAGACCGGAATTTTGGTCGGAGATGGTCTAGGACCTGAGCTTCCCTATAATGATTACTATGAGGTTGGTTGATTCTTCTAGTGCTGTCTGTGTTGATCTTTTCTAACTGGTTACAGTACTTTGCGCCAGATTACGAATTGGATGTACGCCCATCAAATATGGACAATGCCAACACGAAAGAATATCTTGATAAGATCCGCACGCAGGTCGTCGAAAATCTCAAGCGGACTGCTTTTGCACCTTCAGTACAAATGACTGATGTTCCCCGCGATCCTCTTGTTGGAGGTATGGACGATGAGGCAGATGCAATTCTTGATGACTTGGACGAGGATGAAAACAAAGACAAGCGCTTTACCCAACGCCGCTTCGACCAATACGTCGAGAAACCCGGGGAACTAAGCGATAGCGAGGACGAGGATGAGAATGCAGCCAACGGCGTCCGTCGCCAACCCAACGCCATCAGACGAAGAAACGAGGCCAACCATAGAAACCTTGGCGTCGATTCTGGGCTTGACAGCGGGATCGCAACGCCTCGAGATGAATCCTCGATTGCCGATGAGGAGATGGATACTACAGCTGACGCAAAGATGGGAGAAGCACCAGAAGCCGAAGCTGAAGAGCGTCTTTCGCCATCTGCTGCTGAGCCACCATCGAGAGCTGAAGAGGCATCTGCTGCCGAGCCTTCTGAAATGGCCGTTGACGGACAAGAGCAGGGCGCTTCTGCTCCCATTTCACGCCAAACCTCTCCTAAGGTACAGGATGAGGACACCACGATGGAAGATGCCGGCGCACCTGAGCCACAACCAGAAGAGCCAGAAGAACCGGCCCCAGCCCCAGAAAAAAAGGCACAGAGTGAGCCCCAGGAGGGAGAAAGTAAGCCAGCCGACGAAACACCACAACCTGATAAAACCGCAACAGAACCCTCATTTCCTTCTAAAGCCAAGTCTCCCAGCAAGGAAACTTCCGGGGTTGGGCCAGCTGAGACAGCTGGTGCAACAGAGGGCACAGAACCAACGAAAACAACGGAGACCGGAGAATCGCAGGCAGCAGAAACTACCGAAAAAGCCCCTGAAGCCCCCGAAGCTCCTCAGACCACCGAAGCCGCGAGGGATACCCAAGCTACCGAAGCCCCTAAAGATGAATCAGCACCAGTGAAGGCTGAGCAAGAAACCTCAGAAGAGTCGAATTCGAAACAGCAGCCTGAGGAGCCTGCAAAGAATGAAGAATAGTTTCAGTACTGATTCCAGAAGCATTTTCTTCATTCTCGGTTCCTGGCGCAATGGACAACGGCAGTATGGTGTTTCGGGCCCGCGAAATTTTTACATCATGTTCTACACATGAAGGTTCTATCTTGCTATGTGTTGGTTTTTTACGAGAAGGTTTTTTTGGTGCAAGAAAATTCAATCTTTCCCGGGATATCCTACCTTCTCTCGTTCTTCTTTCTCTTGTACTATGGTCTTCCTCGATGCAAATGGACGTTTAACGTTACTGGAATATTTATGTGGTCGCATATGTATCTGTTTTATTTTCACTTTATACTAGAATCAATGGAAGTAGATATTTCGAAGCAAGCTTCGGATCATCAAAAACTTGGACTACATAGTATGTAGAATGGTAATCCAACTGTCGCCATTGCTTGGTGTTGATCAGTGACGTAAAATGCCCTGTATATTACCTAATCTACGCTAATACCCTAATAGCCTAGCGTTAGGGCATCTCATCCAGCCCAGCGCGGGTCCCACCGACCAATGGAAAACAGGCGCCAAGATTTTGCACACCACGCACACTAAGCGAGAGCAATTCGAAACCCGAGCCGCCGTGTGCAAACCCTCGACGTCGCCAGATCCCTTTCGACCTTCGTCGCCCAATTCGCCCTTTACCAGTATCCGACACGTTACGTGATACCTAGCCAACATGTCTAAGAGAGGGTGAGTGCTTGAATTTCTCCAGAGTCGTCGCGAGCATGGCGTTGCCCGGGAAGAGTGCACAGTTGGTGGTCCGTCAGAAAAGGGTATGAGGGGGGAATACATTTTGCTGAGAAACGATACGGCCACGAGAGGGGAAGGAAAACGTGCTGGGAAGCTGTGCTCGAAGACGGGAAATTTTTCGAATGATGCGAAGAAAAAATTAACTTTTATATGAGCGATTGCTGATGGTTTGATTTTTAACAGTCGTGGTGCTGCCTCCGGCAACAAGTTGAAGATGACCCTTGGTCTTCCTTGGTACGTTGTGAACTCCCTACCTTACCATCGAACACACCATTTCGACTCGTCTTGATATGAATATTCTGTCGAACGGAATCGGAAAATACAACATGTCCAAAGGATCCGACCCATACACCCATACGAGAACCAACACACGTCCCGAGATCTGACATATAGCTAACCGTTTTTGCGTCTTATAGCGGTGCCGTCCTCAACTGCTGCGACAACTCCGGTGCTCGTAACCTGTACATCATCTCGGTTAAGGGTATTGGTGCGCGCCTGAACCGTCTCCCCGCTGCTGGTGTCGGTGACATGGTCATGGCCACCGTCAAGAAGGGAAAGCCCGAGCTCCGTAAGAAGGTCATGCCCGCCGTCGTCGTCCGTCAGAGCAAGCCCTGGAGAAGACCCGACGGTATCTACCTCTACTTCGAGGACAACGCTGGTGTGGTGAGTGGATGATAACCTTGGTTGCATTTTGATGGATATTGGTCCGGCCTGGTCCTGCTCGATCTACTCGTTTGAGTTGATCAGATGGACCATGGCTTTGGAGATGGATCCATCATATCAGAGAACCGATTAACTAATAATTTCAAATCAGATCGTCAACGCCAAGGGTGAGATGAAGGGATCCGCCATCACCGGCCCCGTCGGAAAGGAGGCTGCCGAGCTCTGGCCTGTAAGCTCCCTCGCTCTTTATACATCTCGAACGATTTGCTAACATGACTGTCTAGCGTATTGCCTCCAACTCCGGTGTCGTTATGTAAAAGAACCGTTTGATATGGAAAAGCAGGAAATGGAGAACGGAACGATACCAGCTGGGATTTTTGGGTGCATATGAAATAAAGAACAAAACAAAAACGAAAAAGGGTCCTCTTCCAACTTTAGCCGCTTACATTTTCCCTAAATGACGTTTTTTTACCCAACCCTTTTTTTTACTCTTTTTCTTTATCTAAGAAGACACAAGAACGGCGCGACTCGGAAATATTAACGCAAAAAACTTGCAAAATACACTTTATTCAATGCTCCATGCCCAATGATTGTTGCTTGGCTAGGCGGATTCTGGTGCGGAGGTCTCTTATGAGATGAGAATGAAGACGAGATTGACGGATTCGATGGATCTCTACCATTATTCAATTGATGAACTCGATGACACATATACTGATGTCCTTGTCGTGCCTTAAGATGTAGCTGGATGTATTTTACTCAGTATGCTTGACATGATCTCGTAGATGGAGTATACTGAGCGTCAACACTTCACCTTGTTCCCAGTTCATTCGCCCCTTGAACTCACAACTCATGTCATGGCATGGCACGTATTTGTACAACCTGGATTTACCGGCCGTTTTAGTCCTGTTTACCCTCATTGAAGAGTCACGAGAATATAATCTAGTGGCCTTGCATAGAGAACCATCTAAAAACTAATGCAGTATGTATACCTTTCTCCAAAAGGTCCCAGGCACATGTATGTCGTCATAGTAATGGTGTAGTAACACTGAATACATTGCAAGCAGAATACAATGTAGACCAGCTTCAGAGTGAAATACCATATATTGCTGGATACATGGCTATACTTGATAAAAAATGTAAATGCATTCGCCAACTCTGTGATATGCATAAAGATTGCTGTGCTACTAGACTACTAGCTCTCCAAAGAAACAAGCTGGCCCAACCTCCTCCCTCAGTAATTGCAACAACTCCGCCACCTGACTATCCTCATGGTAGGCCTCATTATACGTAATTCTCACTTCAAGCTGACCAGCAAAAGTCTGGACGGGGACGAAGAGCAGCGGACTTGTAACCAAAGCGGTAACTGAGAACTCATCCAGTTTTAAAGCACCGCATTTCTTTTCTGGGATTATTGGATCAAGATTCCCAATAGAACTGATCATGATGGAATGCTGCACGTTGTCACCAAGGAAGGGCGTCATCTTTTCACAGTGTGGTATATGGGCTGCCGCTCTTGACTCTTTTTCTTGAAGGATAGATTCATAATGATCTTTCAGTGCCGATGCCGTGTCATAGAGGTTATTGCCAAGTTGGATCTGGGAATACCAGAACGCTACGCGATAGTCGAGAGCCCGGTGAGCAGCATTAGCTGGTGTCCCGTGGCAGCGATCACGGAGGTTGAATAACATGAATGAAGTATGGTTCTTTGTTTCTTGCTCGGGAGTGATGGCCAGTTTTTTGGCTGCGTGGAGCATTGTTGCATGTATAAAAGGTGCTAATTTTAAGCCCGACTTCCGGGCTCGGGCAAGGATATTGGCCGTCTCAGTCTTGGTGAATCGAAGACGCTGCATTCGTGTATCTCTGGGGAGAATGTTGCTGCCAGCATCGTCTTTGGTAGGCATACGGATGGCCTCGTCCGTTTTGGGATCCGGTAGTTTGGCCCGCACGCTTTCCTGCCATTCTGCTGAGAGTTCCGGCATGTTTGCTGCTACACATGTGCCTAGGGGTAGATTTTGAATGTCTTCCCTAAATGGCCGCTCCCTGTCTGATCTGGTCGTGGCCGACATCAACCGTCCCAGCTCTACCATAAAGTCCTGGGATAAAATAGCAGTTCCAATCCCATCGGCATAGACATGGGGCATCCGAAAGACAACTCTTTTATCCTCTGGGATATAGGCCATCATGGGATGATCGCAACGGTCGATAACCATAACATCCTCCGGGCAGCTAGTAGGGGTAGACCGGGACTTTTTGACAAGAAATGTCTCGTCAGCCCATTGCTGCAATTCCTCTTCGTTTCCTGGACTTTGGTAGATGAAGTTATCGCCATCGTATGTAGCAGCAAGCAAAGGGTGTTGGAAGCGCAGGTTCTTCCATGTTTCTTGCACAATGCCAGCCAGGGATGCTGGATCTTGGTCAAAGTCAAGCTTCAAGCCAGCTAGGATGTCAAGATTGCGATATCCCGGAGGACCACCTCCTATGCAAAAGGTATCGGCATATTTTCCCAGGGGATCGACTGGTCGCGTGTATTCATGGCTGTTTGTCTGACGCCATTGCGAGAAGGGAGCTCTCGCAGAGAGAGAAGTGGCAAGGTTTGACTTGTTGAGAATGGATCGGGTCATTTTGAAGAGGAAACTTGCGTTAATGAGGCCCATATTGAAATCAGAAGACAAGATGGGATATAAATGTTACCCGGGACAAGGCTCTTTCCATATATGGTAAGACCCGAAAGGATACAACGTCGACAAGAACAGTATCACATACAAGCAAGGCGTTGCTTTTTGTGCTACCCTTGATAACCTCTTCACCAGTTGCACTGCATGTCAAGCAATGCTGGTTCGTCAGATTGGTTCTTAGGCATTCCCTGTTCTGTACTCTATACTGATATCGCCCTTGCTGCTGCCGTGGATCGTGAGGAATCGATCGACTCTTCAATAGAGTATCAAAATAGCCCGAATGGCAGTCTTGATACAAAATACCTGATATATAAGGTAAGCAATTGACTGTAAACACCATCAAGAGGGCAGAAACAGACCATAGCCACTCACCGAGTATAGATAGGCTGTAAGATACTTTACGGAGGCAAGATAACTGGAATGTTCAAATCATAACCAAGAAAAATACTATGTCACGGGTATCTGGATATACACCAACTATGATTTCACATCCTTTGTCTCCTTGCTCCCACTCTTCTCCTGTCCAACCGAATCAGCCTTCTCGGCTCGATCCAACTTCGGCTGGGGTTTAGGAGAGTCTAATGCAGCCAAAACAAGATAAACCAAAAGAACAACAAAAGCAACAAGGTCAATTACATGTACCACCCACCAGATATGCTGTACTCCGGCCGCACACATTGTGATTTCATACTTCCACTCGTTGACTGCCGGGTCCGAGTCAAACCAGAGTGAAAGCAGCCCTGCATTGCCGCCGAATTCGCCCATCATGGAACGCAGAGTGACCTCGCGGATGGACGGGGTGTCTGAATCCGAGCTATTGTAGGAATTGTCGTACCGTCTGGCATTCCATTTCCAAGACTGGATCTGTTCGTAGGTTGGTTCTTCGCCTTCTTCTCCTTCCTTGCTCTCAATCAATGGATCGGTTTTGTTGACGAAGTGAACGACATCGCAGCCGGTGTGGTCGTGTCCGGTAAGAATGAGTCCGTTGCGACCCCGTCCACCAGCTGCGGCGTTTTCATCGCCACTCAGCCCAAAGATGCCCTGTAAGACTCCGTTGGCACTGAGATAATCGCTGAGATGGTTTTGTTCCCGTAACCCGCCCTCCTTGTAGCGAGGGACGCCGTCTGTGTCGCCTTTCTCGTCATCATTTTCATGATACGTAAAGTAAGGACCGTCCGTACAAATTCCCTCCTCCTTGTGCAGAGGAAGATGTGTAAGAAGTAGTGTAAACGTCGTACGGTCCTCAACGGGATGGATACGCTTGGAAATCAACTCGTTCAGATAAGCATAAGTCCGAGACTGAACATTCTCGGACAGAGCCGGCGTATCAAAAGTCAAAGTGTTGAGGTTGATGATATGCAGCGTAGGCGTAACCACAGAGGAAACACTGCCATCACCAGAACCCCCCTGCTCCATGGGCGGTAACTGAAACCGGATATCCCAATTTGTGCGCCCAAACACACGCTCAAATCGTTCCATTCGTGCCTCACTCACATCCCCGGCATACCCAATATCATGATTGCCCGCAACATTCATGATCCTGCGCGTCCAGGCAGAGGACTTTTCATTGGCAGACCCCAACATCTCCAATGGCGCGACAACCTCGCCTGTCTTTTCATTACTATCACCACCGGTGACAGTAAGCTCCTCCTCAACTCTTTCCCCGCCCCGAAACACCCTCTCCCAGAATCTACTCCCGCGCCGCTCGAATTCTTCATCCGTAACCCATTGGCTCCCAATCAAATCGCCCAGCACCGTAACATGCGAGGGATGACTCCACCAGTGTAGCGTGCGATATATATGCGCGAGGTAGTAATCGTTACCGAGCAGATCGACCCGCTTCCGCACGGCACGAAGGGAGCGGGGGATATCTTCGCGCGCAAAGATGCGGAGCGCGGTCAAGACGGCGGAGAGGACATTCTCGTAGACTGGAGATTCGGACTCGGACTCGGACTCGGGTTCTTGTTCTTCGATGGACGAGGTTATCTTGGCCCAGTGATAGCGGAGGCGAGGGAGGAGTTCATTGTTTGGGTTTGGGAGGGAGCTGTCGCCTTCTAGTTGGGGGTCTGCGAGGACGAGGAGGCGGAAGATAGCCGGGTCGGAGGCGGATTCGGGGGCGACATGTTGGAGGATGGTATTTAGGAGGGAGTTTGAGGTTGTAGATGAGGTCTGGTTGTTGGTTTTTGGTAGAGGAAATGCGCAGCCGTGGAAGAGGGGGTAGAGGTAAAGGTACAGGGAGGATGCTATCGCAAGTGGGAGGAGGACAGCGAGGAGGCGGGAAAGAAGCGAGCGGAGGGACATGGAGGATTATCTTGGAGTTGAGCTGGCATTGGAGTCGTATAATATATAGGATAAAAGAGAATATAATATCAGTATTTTCGTGGAGACAAATAAAAGGAGAGACAATAATGAAGGAAGAGAAAATGTGGATTTCTGGCTGGCCCCGTGCTTGAAGATCAGCCGCCATCGCCAACTGCAACGATCGGCTTCAAGGTTGCTATTAATACTCTTGATATTTTCTTGATGGAATTAGATGAGTGTGATCACCACCCGGCTATTATTATGATTATATATGAGATATCTCCAAAAGGACTCCTGGTACGGAGTAGATGAGAGCATGGAACATGGCTATACGAAATCAACACTCATTTAAATACCTTTCCCAACTCTCATGAACATGGCTAAAAATCTTTGATCCTCATACTATATCCATATCCCATTGTATCCATCACACCCATACCCAGTGAAGAAAGAAAAACCGAAACAGAAGGGAGGGTTAAAAATAAAGATAAGTAAAAGTAAAAATAAAAGTCCGAACGAGGGGTATATCACATAAAACGCCAAACAGCCGAGGAACCTGTCGTCTTTCGACAGTGTAAGATGTAATTCGAATCAAACACTGATGCCCACAGGTAATCGCTAAAGCTCAGTCACCGGTTACTTTGATTCGGCAAGAGCTTCGGGGAGCAAAGATGAGGGGCCAGTGTCAAGACCACCCAGTGGGTTAGACGGCATTTCCTCGGAGACACCATCACCAGCAGCAGTTTCTCCATCAAGGCCAACGCCCTTGATCATCAAGCCATCTTGGGCTTCATCTGTTGCCGATGCAGCACTAGCTCTCTTGTCCTCTTCCTCAGCAGCCGCTTCTTCCTCTTGGTCCTCCTGTGTCGTTGGAGTCGTCATCAGGGCAGGCGGCCGCTGGTTCATTAACCGCGCTTGCTTGAGACTAATCGTCTTTTGCTTGTTGGAAGTCTCGACCGGGACGTCCATGTCACGGTCAATGGTTGCCTTCATCAAAGCTGCCATCCACAAACGACCTTGCTTGACGTTGTCGACCTGGAAGTAATGGATCGCGGGCTTTGTGAATTGAACCGTGCGGGTAGTTTTGGGAGGCACAAGCTTGAAGAAGAAGGGCCCTTCAGCTTCTTTCTTAGGAGCGCGAACGCTTTCTGATGAGTTTTTAGCAGACGAGGGCTCAGGCTGCTGCGGGTTAGCAGGAGAAGTCGGCGAGGCCGTGGCACCGGTTATTGTCGCATGCAAAGTGACGATAGGATCATTGTCAGCCCGAAGCACACGATGCGCGGTAATGTCAATTAGACCCCTCTCCTCGGTGTCAGTTTCCGAATAGTAATAGGAGAGACGACGACCGCGTAATACAAATAGACGAGGCTTCCAGGTCGTCATCAAGTTTGAAGATCTCTTCTTCATCCATCCAGAGAAATCACAGCCGTCGATCTGTTCTTGTGGGGATTTCTTCTCCAGGCCTTGAGTGTAAGCGCTGGTATCCTTCTTGGATTTAACAACACCAGCCTTGACAGACGCTCTAGGACGTGGGAAGGAAATTCCCCCCTCTGCAGCCTTTGCGGAACCATCTGTGCTATGACGTTCGGAGCTCTTGGAAGTTGCTGAGGGTGTAGTCGACCCGGTCCTAGCTGACGAGGGATCGGTTTCCTTAATTGGCGACACAGGAGGAACGGATGTGTCAACCCCCTTACCTATAACATCAGACATTGCACGGAGGCCAACCCCACGACGGAACTTAGTTTTTGCGTTCTTAGCCTGCTGTGGCATGGGAGTAGAGCGGCCTGGGGATTCAGGCTCTCCTTTGTCTGCCTTCTCTGATTTTCCAAATGGCGTAAAAGACGAAAAGAAGCCAGAGGTAGGGGTAGACTTGCTCCCTGACGGGGTAGACGATTGTGAACGTTGAGCAGATCGGTCGGTGATGCGTGTGCTGAGACTCCTTAAACGGCCTTTGGTTGGTGGTGGGGGTGCAAACGCCTTGGATCCGTGTGAAGCGCGGTCAGCAGCGTCTCGGATGGAATCAATGCTAGCAATCCGAGAATGCCGCTTGCTAAGACCGAGCGAGAAATGCTCATCGGTGTAACTCGATTTCTGAGAATGAGTAAGGCTTCCCATATCTGAGCTACGCTTCTGCAACACCCGTCTGTTTTTCCGCGTATCGCCCTCTGGCCCAGAAAAGTACCCTCGGTCCAAGTCATCGTAACGGTCGGTCACAGAAATAGCAGAATCAGACCCATCGGCACCGCGGAATACGTGTTGGGGGAGGAGTGTCTCGGTAGGGGTCCCAAGAGAAATTCCTGGACGAGATGGTTGAGTGCTGCTTGCCATTGTCCAACCTCGATCGAATGATGGCTTCCTCTGGTGATAGGGATACGAAGAGTCGGACACGCCTGACAGTCGATTGGTGCCGTCCATGGATGAATGGCGGCGGGAATGGTTGATATCCCGAATGGAGGCGGCGGAAGGCCTTCTAGCAGTGCCCATGGCGTATGAATTGTGCGAGCCTATAGGAGAGCTGGTCGTGCTCTGCATGTTGCTACTGACAAGCCTCGGATGCTGAACGGGGCCCGAGCTTCGCGCCTGGTGAAAGCTTGCAGACTTGTCAGAAAACCCTAGGATGCGAGGAAGGAAGGCACTGTTTTGACCGGCGCGGCTGAATGATCGCTCTTCAGGACCAGATAAACCAGTGGAGCCTCGAGGTGAGTCTTTCAATCCCTTTATCTCTTCCTGAAACGCTTTGATTTTGTGCCAGGTTTTAAGCCGTCGTCCCATGACACCAAAATCGAACTCCTTCATAAAGAGGAAGTCCTGATCCATGTCCAGCAGCACATCTCCAGTAATCTCCTGTTCTTCGAAGATGTCGCAATGCTTCGACTCGATGGCTAGCTCCCGACAATGCTTTGCGGTTTCGGTGTGATTCCATTTACGCACTTCTTCTTCTGTAGGCTGGTTTTCCTCCTCCTCATCTGTTTCGTGTCCATTGATGTAGGACATACGGTGACCAAGATGGGTGCTGTACTCGCTAGCGGAATCGTTTCCGGCTTTGGATTCCTGAGGGGCAACACTGTGACGTGGAGTGCTCAGGTCAGTGATATGCTCGTCGATAACGCTCAGGGTTTCGTTCATGACTGGGCTATCTTGGCCATTCAAGTGGCTGTCAATGGACTGTCGGAGTGAATGCTGAATGTCCAGTGTAGTAGCGGGGAGCGGGGAGGAGCTCGACCTTTTGGGCGAAGGAAATGCGGGATTCGACTCCATTTCCGGGACATTAATATCAGAAGCGCTAACATGTCGTGAGGCTTGAGGGGTGGTTTCTCCGCTTTTAGGTGATGTGATCGGAGGACGCGCCTCGGCTGTCGCACTTTCGTGGTCACTCTCATCGTTGCTGTGCGAAAGCGAATCGCCCGACTCGAAGGGAACATCGGTTGTTTTTCGAACTGGGATTTTCGGGGTCGCAGTAGTGTAGACTGGAGTCTGGATTAGCCGCCCGGTCATAAGTCCCGGTGCAGGCAATAAATTCCCATTGACATACCTCCCGGGAAGAGCCCTGTTGTCTCCGTCTTCACATCTTTCCCAAGATACCATCCATCACCAAATCCATCATCCAATTCCACCAATTCAATTTTGTCTCCACGTCGCAGTGTAAGCTCATCGGCTCCTCGTGCATCGAAATCATCTATAGCGACATCATCGTCAGTATCTTCAATTGATGACTTGCGAGCGGGGTCATCGAGCCGCGACCGTAGCAGGGATTCGTCCGGGGCATACGTACGAACAACTAGTAGATAGTCCCCCGGGCCAACACCGCGGGGCGGCGTTGTAAGAGCCATAATAAACTCTCAGACACTGAAACAATGGGGTATCGAAAAGAAGGCGCGAGTGGGGATGGCCGTCAAAGGGGGCGGTGCTGTAGCAGTCGTTGTAGCGAACGGTTTGCGCAGGACATGGGGCCTGACAGCCCTCACGGGTACAAGAGAAGATCGATGACCACGAGGGTTGGCCTTTAGGGTCCCTTTGAAATCTCGATTTTTAGTGTCTCAAGTCCAAGGTTGGCCGGAATGCGGCTGGGGAGAATTAAAGAAAGTGAGTGAGTTTCGGAAGGAGATTGGAATGTGAGTGATGCGATCAAGAATCCAGGCCAACAAGGGCGCACCGGGTTAAAAAAAGGACGGCGGGGCCGAAGAGGAGAAGGAGGGCTGGAACTGGATCGCTTGCGTTCTCGAATGTACGGTCGAACCGTTGAAAAGAAAAAAAAAAGAATAATCAAAGGATGGATGAGATATCTGGAAGTGGTCTGGCTAAAGAAACAAACGAAATTAGACGAAATTAGAACAGAGATTAAACAGTATTGAAGCCAAAACAGATCGACGAACCCAGGGATGCTGCAGGTTGAATGAAGGTGGAAGATTAAAGGTCGGTCAAAGAACGCTGCACACGGCGGCAAGGCGGGCGGCTGCAACAACGAATGGACTGGTTGTGGCAATAGAAGCGAAGGAATGTTGGAATACGGACGAAGAAGACAAAAGAAAGGCCGTTGAGGCAAAAAGAACAATCTTAATTAATGGTGATGGAAGCAGGGATGGAAGGATAGCGTGGCGCGTGCGACGTCAGTAGTAAGTAGAGGGGGGTTTGGGAACAATGTCGTAATAGGTGGGTTGGATCAGCGGTTAGGAAGAGACCAAGATAGAAAAACAACAGTGAATGAGTGAATGAAAAGAGAGGATGGAGAATGGAAGATGGAGAGAGGAAAGATGCGAGTATTTCAGTTGCTCAGTTGGCAGAGCAGGTCGACAGTGACTGGAGCCAGCAGAGTGAAGAGGGGATACTTCATCGAGAACAGCTGTACAGAGGGTGAAACATGATGCCCTATGAATCTCACGAGAATTGCCAGTGGAGGGCGAAGGAAAGGCAGTCAATGGAAGAAGAAGAAAATGAAGGACAGGATGGACGATGATTGACGAGAATGTTGGTGGTTATGTACGTTTATGAGTGGCAGCTTTTTTCTCTGTCACCTGGAGTTTCTGATGTAGAACATTATTTCAATATTCAATATAGCTTCATCTTATCCAGAAGCATCGGGCATGATCCTGCAGATGCCGTACATGCACACTAAGAGCCTAGGATGGACTGGTATCTTTGGCCGAGTCTGATCCATCGACAATCGTTGTCCTCTCTCTTTTACTATTTTGCTCTCTTACCGCTGTGATGGGAGGGATCTCCATGCGATCAAAAGTACTAGTTTGGATGAAGCCATTGATAGTGTTGACTTATCGAATAATTCTCTCCACCCGGCGGTTACCAGTTCTTATTCTATATATATCGAATAATTGACCGACAAATTTCCATCGACAAATTTATCTATCGATTTTTCTTTCCAGTCATGGTCAACTATCGTAGTCATATATCTGTCTGTCTATACTCTTCAGTCTTCACTTTGTTAGATAACCTCTCCATAGTCTACTCCTAGAGTGTAGTAAACCATTAAAAAGATTCACAGACTACTGAATGAATAAGATACTATTTTATATTCACTTCAACATTCACAAACTAAGACTAATAAACACATAAAAGCCTGATAAAAATACTATCCCTGTTCTTTGTCCCCCACGCGCTTCCTAGCAAAAACGCAAACAAAATCCCTTCAACCACCGCATTAAATATCTCTCCACTCCCTTTGTTCTCTCTTTTCCATCATTAAATCATCCGATTTAAACGATTTTGAGGTCGACCATGTTGTCCCTCCACGATGAGCCCTCCTACTCGTCCCCACTTACCTGATCCCAATTCTCTCGCCGATCATGTCGAGTCGTCAAATTCCACTGCCAGCATTTTTCTAGGCGGCGTGCGGAGGAACTGGATGCTGGATGCTTCTTCAAATCCCACGACCTCCACCTCCACCACCGCGAGTTATTCTCCTCGTTCTCGTAATCAACATCTTCACAGCCCCACTGCTCCTCCTCCTGTTGCTTCGTCGTCTGCTACTACCAACAACGCGTGTCCCCCTCAAGGCATGCGAAATCCTCCTCCATCCCGCCCACCTCGTTCTCGTCCTTCTGCTGAGCGCGTGCCTTTACATCGCTTCCAGGCCGGGCCTCCGACGGTCTCCGTGCCTGCTCTGCCTCAAAATGCCGTGCGTGAGCTGCAAAAGGGTGTCAGTACCGCGACAGGTGAAGCCTCTTTGATGTCCCCCGTCACCCCGGGCGCTACTCTTCAGCATCACGATGCGACCTCGTCTGGACCACCTGCTCATGCTAATCTCCCCAATACGACTACGATCTCGATAGACGAGAGCCATCGCGCAAATATCGCTCAACAACCCGCTTCGCTTCCTTCTCCTGATCCTAGCACTTCCCACACCAGTCCGACTAGCATCGTCGAAGGCAATGGTGACCATCCATTGCACGCCGTCCTCCCCTCCCCTACGATAAGGACAGTCCAGACTCAACCACAGTCGCGGATTTCACCCCTGACCCAGCAGACCGCGCTTCCCAGGCCTGACAGCAGGGGGCTCAACTCTCCTCATCATGGAGAGGGACAGACAACGAACGGGGCAAACCACCCTACGCCGCCCGATGCTGCACGTCCTGTGGCAAATCAAGCACCAGATGCCATAAACGATACATTCTGGGCGTTCTTAACGAATAAACTGGATACGTTCGTCGCCAGATCTAATGGAGAAATGGCCCTGTCAGAGACGATAGAACTGCCCCGAATCCGCCTATTACGTGACGCCTGCCACGGGCAAGATTTGCTATATCTGGCACTTCACCAAATATATTGCCTTGCAACGTTCGCACCTTCGGAATTGGCCAGGCTGCCGGGATTTGGGCCACAACATTCACCTGGGCTCGAAGTAGTCAAACAGCTACTAGTGGATAATTCACGACTGTCGGGTGACTTTTTAAAATGGGCAGTTCACTTTCCTTTGCCATTAAAGCAGATGTTGCAAGTCCCTCTGTATAGTGCGGCCGTCAAACAGGCATCGCAATGCCTGGTTTTTCTTTCTGAAAGATGGGGACCCTTTGAGGCTCAAGTAAGACTGCGCGCCTGGCCTCCGTTGATCGACGAGCTTGTCGTGCAGTTTGGGATCACTTCATCAGTACTACTTTCTATAGTCTTTCTGGCAATGTGCCGACGCCTTCATGGGCCCCAGCACGAGATGCGGTTGCGAAGCCTATTCCACCAGAACAAACGAAACTATGACCGTCGTTTTGATAAATCGCAGGTTGTCACCAATGACCAGATGCAACGGGAAAATGACATTCTAATCAAGAATTTTCGGGCACTCAATACAATCCCAGTGCAGGTTGCGCAAACACCCTCTCCGTCTATGGCACCTATGCCCCCCACGGCAGTCTCTGCTCTTAATAATGGAGGTCAAACAATGCAACAACCAATTCACAGACAGCCTCCAGGACCTATCCCCAACCCCCGTCCTCCTCATATGTCAGCCTATGTCGCCAATAGACTTCCGTCAAATGCCCAAGCGGTCTATCCAAACCAACCCTCACCAACATCCTGGCAACATCCCCATCTCCAACACATGACTCAACCCCCTATCCCGGTTCGAATGACCGTGTCACCAACGATAAACGTGAACCCCCCACCAGCACCATCCCAATCGCCAAACCAACAGGCCCAGGCTCTGCCCACTCGGGTAACTTTGCGCCCAACAGAGCTGAACCTAAACCAACAAAACATTCCACCAAACCATATGTATCCGACTTATGTTCAGGGCCCTTGGCCACAATCCCCGTCCCACCCCCAGGCCCATCCTCAAGTTCAACCTCACGCCCGGCCTGGTTCTCAACACCAGTCTCAGCCCCAGCCCCAGCCTCAACCCCAGGCCCAAGCTCATCCCCACCCTCGGAATCGTCCGATGGCCTACACTAGGTTTCTGCCTCCAGCTGGCTGGCTTCCACCAAATGCAGCTCGGCCCAACGCTCTTCGATTAGCCATTCACCAGGCACATCTCCGAGATCCATTGCAGAAGTTATTGTGTCAAGAGCCAACTGCAGGAGAAGAACCCGAATTATTTCAATACTTGAGCTCATTTATATTGCCACCTACGTTTCTGGGGCGGGACCAGTGTGCTTTCAATTGGCAGTTTACCCTTTCAAGTTCCGACTGTGCAAGGTTTCCCCGTACTCACCCAAATGCAATTGGCCAACGCGCTACTCGAGTCCTCGCTGAGGGATGTCGTACATATCGCCTGCGATGCATTAAGGTGTCTCCATCTGCGAAAACTGTTGAGCAAGAAGCCTGGAGCACCGCGGATGCCGTATGGCCAAGCGTCATATACATATTTGTCAACAACTCTGAACTTTATGTTCGACGCAAGGTTCATAATGGAAAAGACCTGCCATTGGACATCACGGATTATCTTTGTGAGGGCACGAACAACATCTCCATGCATTTCATACGCAGCATGGTTGAAACCAAAGATCTTGTATATGCATTAGGGGTTGAAGTCATGGATGTTTCAGGGTTTACCCAGGTGAAGGAGCTCGCTCGGACTGTGTCTGCTTCTGAAACTCGTGATCGTATTCAAAAGCGCCTAAACTCCAGCGCTGCCGATGACGAGCTGAGTATCGTTAACGATGATCTTACCATTAATCTTGTGGATCCTTTCATGGCTCGAATTTTCAATATTCCCGCCCGTGGTGGGAGCTGCATTCACGAGGAATGCTTTGACCTCGAGACTTTCCTCAAAACCCGGGCTTCAAAATCCGGAAAGGGTCCTATGAAGGATAATTGGAAGTGCCCTATTTGCGCTGAAGATGCTCGTCCTCAGCGGCTCATCATTGATGGCTTTTTAGTTGAAGTTCGTGCGGAGTTGGAACGCACCAACCAGCTGGAAGACGCACAAACGATTCTAATCAAGGCGAATGGATCCTGGGAGCTGAAATCCGGGAAAGACGCTCACGATAAGGAGGGTGAAAATGAGCGTATATCCGGCAGTTCCTTGAAACGCAAACGGAGTGGGCAGGGCTCGGGCTTTTCCCCAGCGCCGCAGAGGCCCAAGACCGAAGGACCGGCTGAGACCAGTCTATGCCGCAACTCTCGTCTATCTGAAGTTATCGAACTGGATTGATAGCTTGAGCATGAGGGCTCGATCCTTCTTTTTCTTTCTACCAATCCTCCTTTCGAGTACAGTACAGTGTTCACACGGAGTCCTCTTTCTTTTTCTCATGGATACGGATAGGCGTCTTTTGATTTGTTGATTAAAGCACGAGATACCCGAGTCTGCTTGCCGCTCAGGATTTGTTATTATTCATTTCAATTATTCACTTTGGTTTTTCTCTTTCTCATTCATTCACTCCTCTCGTTCACTCTTGGGTGGATCATACTTTTATATTTCTTATGCCTGCATCTTTAGACATTCTGTCCTAGAGCATTATGGTGCCTGGGTTTATCACGCACCCGATATAGAAGTTTTCATGGTTATGTACAGATTGCTCAAGTCCTTATCAACAAGAATACCATTCATGAATTATGCTGACTGGCCTGTGTTCTATTGAAATCATCACAACTTCCACTCGTGCGCATTATCCAACCCTCTCGTCCCCGAATCATCCCCCAAGGTAAGATACCCACAAATCCTCCCTTCTGGGTCCCATTTGCGCCGAATCGCCATCAACCGCCGGGCATTATCATCCGCCCAGTATCGGCTCTTCCGGACCTGGAAATCCGCATCCCCCAAATACGAACCGACTGAATGCCTCTCGACCTTCTTCATGGTTTCCCGCACCCACGTCTGGCATCTCACATCGTCCTTTTCATCCTCCCAGACTGTATACAGCGCAAAGTAATGATCCGATTGCATGCTGAGCGCCATATCAGGCAGCTTCCTCCGGCTACACGGATTCATCGGATACCACAGCGCAAACGCCTTCTGATGGGGTAGCGTAGTGAATGCCTCCTCCAGCACGTCTGGAACATTCGCTTCATTCTGAATATACGCATTCTCAGCACAATATCGATGCATCTCGGGGTTTGCCTTCCCCTGGTTCACATATTGGTTCTCGAGACTATCTTCCTGGCAGAACCACTCCGTGATGCAACCTGGGGGTCGTGTCTGCTGGGCTGGACGAAGGGCGTTTTCTGCTTCGTGGGGATCGTCTTTCATCACGACGAAGAGGATGAAAAAGTACATCTCCTCTGAATTGTCGGGGGCGTAGTGTGCTACTGCGGCGATTTCGGTGTCTTGGTCAAAGGTGGGTGTAATAGAGAGGATCCAGTTGAAGGCTTCTTTGTACTGGCGGATGGGGTAGATGTAGCCCGATGACCGGAATCCTCTCTGGGGGTAGGGAATGAGTTGGAGGTGGAATTTTGTGACGATGCCAGGGAAGCCTGACATTTTAGCTTGATGAAACAGTTGAGATAGATGGAGGGGAGTAGACGAACCTGGTCCTGCTCCTCGAGCTGCCCAGTAGAGATCGCGATTTTGCTGCGCATTGCAGTGAAGCAATTCCCCCGCTGCAGTGACTACATCCACTGCTTCAACTCGTTCACACGCCCATCCCCAGTTCTAATTCACCATTCACCACTCATCAGCAAACCATACCCCAAAGTACAAAAGGAAAAAGTGAAGGGTATCCAAACCCGACAATTCCACCCCATCCCCCCCTGCAACAAAAACCCCCCCAGCCCAACATCCGGACAATGACCCCCCGGAAACATCATCCCATACTCCCCAGTCAGCACCCCATTAATCTCCCTCCCCGTGAGACTCGGCGATGCCCTCGCGACCCGATTCTCTGCATCGACCTCGAGGTGCTTATACCCGCCCAGGTCGATGAGGATGGAGTGATCGCGCACACTCCACGCGGCCCAGGAGTGGCCGCCAGAACGTACTGCGACGCGGCATTTATGTGCGGCTGCAAGCTTTACGGCGGCGATGATGTCCTCTTCGGTGGTGGGTTTTGCGATGGCGATGGGGTAGCGGGGGGGACGGCGGTGGTTGAAGACGCGGCCGATGCGGGCTTCTTCGTAGGTAGGTTTGTCTGTGGAATTGCGCCAGATGATTTGCATTTTGGTGAATTAGTATGTTGATTGGAATGGATCGATTGAATTGATACTATCAGATGGTAATCTGATTATTAGTGCTGCATCAAGGGTACTATTCACTGAATATATACAATAGTCTACCCCGCATCCAGAAACAGTATATAGCTTCAATAAGATGGTGAATAGACCCATTCAAATAACTAAATCCCACTCCTTGTCTTCCTTCCAACATCATACTTCACCCAGTCGATCAAAGGTAGACCACATTCCGACTGCATGCGTATGCGTCATGGGTCTGAAGTTGAGGCCGTCGGGAATCCCGAATTGATCAACCTGGCTCAAACTTCAAACTCGGAAAGTGGAAGGCGAAAAGTTGATCTTGTCCTATTTGTGAGATCTGCTGGCACTCTGTACTCTGGACAAGGATAACCTCGGAAAATGATGACGTTCAATTCCGCTGAGTCAGTTCGGTACGTGGAGATGGGATGGAGATGAAGCATTTCAGCGTGTATAGGGTAGAATAGGTGTCGTCATCAGACATTACTATCTCTGGCGCTTCTAGATCCATCAGATGAGCAAGTGAAAAACAATAAAATATACTCACTTCCCATCTCAATCTCACAATGTCTCCTACCAGTAGAATCACCCTCGTAAACAACCACCTCCAGCCCAAAATGTCCACCCACCAACAAACCCTCCTTAACAAGGTAGCCATCATCAGTGGCTCCTCGTCTGGTATAGGCGCCGCCATCGTCCGCGAGCTTTCCCAGCGCGGCGCAAACACAATCGTCAACTATCCCTTCCCCAATCTCCAATCCGAAGCAGAGAGGCTGGTTCCCTCACTCCCTTCACCCTCCATCGCCGTGGAGGCAGACATGTCCACGACCAGCGGACCAGAGAAACTCGTCAACGCGGCGGTCTCGAACTGGGGAAAGGTGGATATCGTGGTGAATTGTGTTGCGCTGGCGGTGAATAAGCCCTTCGAGGAGCAGACGCTGCAGGATTGGGATTTGTTGGTGAATATCAACGGGCGAGGAACGTTCTTATTGACGCAGGCTGCTTTGAAGCATTTGACTAGGGGCTCTGGGAGGATTGTCAATATCGTGAGTATCTCTGGGCGGGGGCCTCCTCCGAATCAGACGATTTATGCTGGGACGAAGGGGATGGTGGATTCGTTTACCAAGTGCTGGTTTGTTCCTCCTGTGTGTCTTGATGATTGCGTGGTCTAACGGAGAATAGGGCAAAAGAACTTCCTCCCAAGTATGGATGCACTGTCAACGCCATCAGTCCTGGTCCTACCAAGACCGAGGGCTTTGCTGCTGCCGGAGAAGAGCAGATGAAGACTCTCCAGCCGATTATTGACCAGACACCAGTTGGGCCCAGGATGGCAGAGCCGGATGAGATTGCTTTTGCCGTGGGGTTTCTGTGCGAAGAACGGGCTAGGTGGATTAATGGAGCTCATATCGTTGCCTCTGGAGGGCTGTTTATTGATTAGGATGGATGATACAATAGTATATTGTCAGAAAGCCTCTTTTATTCAAGGCAGAATAAAACTATAAATGCTAAGGGGTAACTCTATTAAAAACACAGAAGAAAATCGTTTTCACCAACTTTCCAAGATCCATCATCCAGACGGGATATATCTCGTAACATGGTAGATGCAAGTGAGCAACAAGGTCCAGACCCGCTGTTCAAGAGGACAAAAATGTCATGTTCAATCATGTTCATCCCTCTCAGGCTTGGATCTGATATGGGTGCTCTGAGGGATTGACTTAGTGTAATCCCGACGCCTTCAATATGGCATACATGCTATTTACCTGGATCATTACTTCCTTACTCGTCTGGCATGACTGACCAAATTTTCAATCACACCCTCAAACGCCTCCTTTTCACTGACAAGTCCATCTCGTCGCTTGAGCCAATACTCTAGAACCGTGCTGGCTCGAAGTGTGACTTGCTCCAACTCTGTGACATGACCTTTTAGTTCGGGTTCAGTGAGCCCACCCAACGCCGCATCCGTGGTTGCACATAATCGTCGGACCGCAGATAGATCCAATTCAGGTGGTGGTGCATCGCGACGGCGTGACGTTCTCGATCGACTTGCTGTACTTGACGTGCCAGCGTTCTCAGGGCCACCTTGCAAGCCATCTTTTTTGGCTTGACCTTGAGGGCCGTCAAGGCTAGTGCTTTCTGAGCCGTCCAGATTGATCGACGGCAAGACGAGCTTCTTTTGTTTTGACGCCGGAAGGATCTCATCCAAATCAACAGGAACCCCTAACGATACCAGGAACAGTCGGCGAATTCGAGACTTGACCCAATTCTGGGGTTGCAAGGGGGGAGGCGCAACAAGTTGGGACCACAAGGACAAGGAACGTTCGGTGCTGAAGATGGCAGATGAGTTCGGAATGGGTTCAACCGGAGGTAGTGAGGATACGTTTTTAGAGGCGGGGAAGAGATCGTCGAGGGGAGACTCCAGGGCAGCAAAGAGGTGGGGAAGAGATCTAAAGGTATCAAATTCTACAAGAGGAGGCTGCAAGCCATCAGCATCATAGGTTAGGCACGGGGGACAAGTCCACCTACGACTGAAGGAGGGGGAGGTTGCGGAGGATTCACGTCACCCTGATCCATGTTCTCGGAATCAGCGATCTCTCCTTCCTGGAATCCATCGTCAAAGTCCCCGAAATCGTCATCTCCCATGTCGTCTTGTTCTTCCGCAAAGTCATCAAAGTCATCCATAGGTGCTTCATCCTGGGAGGGCCCTGGGTGGGTCGCGTTCTCTGTGTCAACATTGCCAGCATCATCATCGTTAGAATCATTGTGATCGTTGTTGCTTTCCGTCAAGGATGGCTGATCTCGGTTTTCTGGGCTATTTGACAGCGAGGTCGTCGAATCTGAATTGGTCAATCGTTCCCTGACATCCTGTGCTTATGAGGGTTAAAGTAAAAGGCCTTACCTGGGACATCCTGGATTGTCTCAGTCGAATCCGGCAAAGCATCGCTGGGACTTCTTTTATGCGCTCGCTGGCGTGGCTTTCCATCCTCATTTGGAATGGAATCGACACGCGAAAGAAGAGTTTCCGGCACATCCACATCCGCGGCGTTGGGCTCACTTGCTTCCGCACTGGGTGACGGCGGCTTGTCGTCAGACTCTGGAACCGTCGTCACAATATCAGGCACTGCGTCTGCCTTGCGCTGTTCATATGCAGCTGTTCCCGGGACTTCGCCATGTGCTGGTTCGCTGGGATCGATCTTTTCGACAAGTGTTCGGGGAATAGCCCCCGGACTTGGTGAGCGGCCCTGCGACCCCGCAGCAGAATGGCTTCTACTGCGCGAGCCCTCGGGGATCACTTCAATCTCATCGGGGACAGCATCCTGTCCTCTCTTCTCATACGCAGGGGTCCCGGGAACGTCGCCGTGGGATGGATCCTCGTCCACTTTCTCGACCCGAGTCCGCGGGACAGGGGATGTGCGACCGGAAGGCGAACGGGAATGAGAATGTTGATTGCCCTCAGTGGCGTCTGAGAAATGTTCTTCGTCGCTATTAGACGCTGTTAAGCCACAGTGAGTCAATTGCTCAATTGGTCGTTAAAGGGAGATATCCAAGCCATACCAGATTCCTGAACCCCGATGTCTTCGCCCTCGAAGCTCTTGCTTGGTGGCTCCAAGTACGGACTGGACGGACGGGAGTGCCGCTCCGACATTAGGACAAGTCAATATGCAAAAGGCAGGTCATGTAGACCAGAGTAGTAATAATAAATAGCAAGAGGTGTTGGTACAGACAGCAATGAATGGTAGAATGTATGGATGACGATGCTGTTGTCGCTCTCTTGGCCGGGTTCGATCCGAGTCCAGAACGCATGCCTGAGGCACTTTACATTTTCTGCCTTAGGCTGCAAAGCTAGACGCAGCCGCCGAGCCAAGCGCGTTTCCTTTCACTGAACCTTTGGAATCGGCATCATATCATTATCATCATCATTATTGAATAGTTGCTGGACGGATTGGGCTACATTGGTCCAGCACAGTCTCTTGAATCGCAGACCCAGACTCTCCAGGTCTTTTTATCCCCGGGCGCAGTGAGTTTTTCCCCAATTGTTTTCGGGCGCCGTCCTGGACTGACCGGTGTTTTTCTTTTTTTCCTTCCCACCAGGGCAGCCCAGTTGATTTCTTTCTCGCCTTCCCTCACTTTCCAACGCCATGTCCGGTACCTTCTCTTTCGGCGCTCCTGCCTCTAGCGGAGGCTCTGGTGGTGGTCTTTTTGGTTCTGCCAACGCCAGCAACCCTTTTGGTTCCAATCAGAGTAGCTCCAACACCGGTTCGGGAGGTGGTCTCTTTGGAAATGTAGGAGCGTCGACTACCAGCGGCAGCTCGACGCCTTCGCTTTTCGGAACAGCTCCTGCAGCAGGAAAGAGCTCCCCTTCGCCCTTTGGTACTGGTGCCGCTGGCAGCAGCACTCCTACGTCCGGATTTAGTTTCGGTGGTGGTCAGAACCAGTCGGGTGCTGCTACTCCGTCCTTGTTTGGCACCGCATCCCAGACCCCCAAGTCGAATGAAGCTTCTTCAGGCCAGACAAGCACTGGCGGACTCTTTGGAAATGCCGCGAAACCTGCAGGTGGTAGTCTGTTCGGCAGCGCGGCCACTCCTGCCCCATCTGGCGGGAGCCTATTCGGAAACACTTCCACCACACCTGCTGGCCCTCCACCCCAGGGATCTTCTGCTCCTCAGGGACAATCACTGTTTGGCCAGACTGCGCAGAAACCGGGCGGTCTCTTTGGAGGCTTGAACACGGGCTCTGCAGCTTCAACGACTCCACCTTCGACTGCGACAACTTCTTCTACTACACCATCGCTCCTTGGGGGAGCCTCCCAGCCGCAGTCGACCGGCGGTCTCTTCGGTTCGACCACACCAGCACAACAAAAGCCACTATTCGGCGCAGCGCCTTCAGCACCAGCGGCACCAGCAGCACCTAGTGCAGGCGGTTTGTTTGGAGCTGCCAGCAGCAAGCCGGCGGAGTCGACAACCCCCACGACTACTGCGGACAGCGCTGCCAAACCACTATTTGGAGCCGCAGCCCCTGCAGCCGGGGGTGCACAAAGCACTCAGGCGTCTTCGCTCTTCAAAATGCCATCTGCTGGTGCTGACACCGCGGCAAAACCTGCCTTCCCTTCCCTCGGCGCTCCCACGACCACAACCACTACTCAACCCTCATCCGCAACTCCTGCCACATCGAATGCTACCCCACAAAAGTCTCTGTTCCCTGCCATCGGGGGCACCACATCCTCTGCCACCCCATCATCTACACCTGCAGCAGCTCCCTCAGGAGGCTTGTTCTCCGGTCTTGGTGCCGCAAAGTCTACAGCGACAGCCGCTCCGGGTACCGCAGCCACCGCGGCCCCTACACAGCCTGCAGCACCCGCTGGTGGGCTTTTTGGGAAGCCTGCTGAAGCAGCGCCATCTACACAGGCCCCAAGCACCACCGCTACCACTGCTGAATCCTCTACAGCTCCTAAACCAACACTTGGAGCCCCATCAACCACATCCACGACAACGGGTACAGCAACGACATCGGCAACCGGAGCTACTGGCCTTGCTGCATCGACAGCTGGTCCGACACCCCCCGCGCAGTCTCGCCTAAAGAACAAGACAATGGATGAAATCATCACCAGATGGGCTACTGATTTGACCAAATACCAGAAGGATTTCCGGGAGCAGGCCGAGAAGGTCGCTGATTGGGATCGTATGTTGGTGGAAAATGGCACCAAGGTCCAGAAATTGTATGGCAGTACTGTCGATGCGGAACGTGCCACTCAAGAAGTCGAACGCCAGCTTGCATCCGTGGAAGGACAGCAGGAGGAGCTGAGTTCGTGGCTCGATAGATATGAGCGCGAAGTGGATGAGATGATGTCGAAACAAGTCGGGCCTGGCGAGGCTCTGCAGGGACCTGACCAGGAGCGTGAAAGAACGTATGTATCTCGCATTCTGGTATACTGTGGGAAAAGGTGTGCTAACATTGTTAATAACAGATATAAAATGGCCGAGAAGCTGTCAGAGCGCTTGGACGAGATGGGCAAGGATCTGACTAGCATGATTGAAGAGGTCAACGGCGCCTCTTCTACTCTCAGCAAGACAAACAAAGCCGATGAGCCTGTAAGTATATTGTTTTTGTGGAGATGTTCCTGCAGAGACTTGGGTGCTAATAAGCGCAGATCTCACAAATTGTCCGCATCCTCAACTCGCATCTGTCCCAGCTGCAGGTTATCGATCAGGGTACGTCCGAGCTGCAGGCCAAGGTCAGTGCGGCCCAAAAGAGCGGCCAGACTCTCTCTTCCCGATTTGGCAATGGCTTTAGCAGCTCCGGAATGGGTGTTGGAGGCAATGCCGCTGATGATTTCTACCGCTCGTACATGGGACGGCGGTAAAAAGGTGCGGCGTATGGTTTTTAATGACGAGGAGAAAGGGATTTATCTAGATGATTGGTATGGCAATTGTATTATCGACGTTAAGAAAGTAATTTACCCGAGGGTATTTGTTTTATCTTTTTTGGGAGGCCTTGAGTTCTTGATTTCCGACTTTGCTCTGAATTAAAACTTGTATACTGTAGGCATAGTAATGTGATGCGAATGATGGGAAAACCAACAATGAATACGATAGCATGCACTAGCATGTCTTACTAACACGAAAACTGTATCAGATGGAAAGAGGGTAGGAGAATGGAGAGTGTCTAGAATTGATTATATTGAGAGAAGACCATATTACGTTCATTAAATCAAAGGAGCTGGCCCGCTATGTCGAATATAATACAGGGGCTGGAATGGGGAGCTTAGTTCTGTTCACCACCTTGTTCCTTGGTAAGTTCGTCACTGCAGTAATTAGCTATAAATCCGGTATAAGGTGATTAGGGAGAAAGTACATGTGTTTATCCAAGGCATCCAAGTGCTGGCGCTGCTCGCCGAGCTTCTTTTTCAGAGCACGGAGCCTAACCAGAAGAAAAGTTGGTTAGTATCAAGCCATCCACTAGATATCTGACCAAGCATGTGATACGTACTTCTCCATCTCCTTCTCCCTGATGTAGAGACCCTCTTGGGCGGCTTCACGGCGCTTGAACTGGTCACTGGTGACAAAGTCAGCCACACCATATGATGATGTCATTGGGGGTGTGCACATCTCAACAAGACAGAGCACGTTGAGGGAGGGGAAGAAGAGACATACGACTGCTGAGAGCCACCAGGGCTGGGAGCGCCAGTGTCACCTTCACCCATTCTGGGGGCGAGAGCAGAGAAGGATCGGTTGATGACGGCCCGGTTGGCAGAGGAGAGAGGTCTGGTGATGCTTTGACGGAACATGATGTGAGAGTTACTAGATGATCGTGCTGGGAAAGAGTAGGAGTAGGCAGTAAGTTCAAGATAAGAGTTGGGAAAGGTCGATGATGACTCGAAGGTCAGGTCGATGGACACGAGATTATTATTATGGGAAGTCTAGATGAGCAGGCCCTGGTCCTCGTCAACAACAGCAAACGGATCCTCATTGCTGGAAGCGTCGACGGAATGACGACACGCCGGCCGAAACAGACATCATGTGATGTGTGGGCGGGCTGAGGTAAGCAGGCTGTGTGATTTTCGCACAGTCAATTTACTAACTAGAAGCGGGACGAAAATCGACCATTGCCATGATTTACAGGTGGAGATGAGGCTGGGAGATGGAGTGGGAGGAGGCGAATGGAGTCATATCCAGCCATTGAAGGGATACAGAGGATTTATGTAGCTGTATAGCCGGTCTAGGGTGGTAAACTACCAGATGAACAACCGCCCCCTTATTTTGCATGGGTCCATTTGGGTCCTGCGGGAAGATGAACATGACAACCAAGGAACGTCTAGTCATCGCCAGCAAGATCCGTTGATCAATCTATTTTCAATAACGCTCCCTTAACTCATGAAACTAATAAATAACCGTGATTTCAAAACATGCGCAAAGGAGGGAGCCTCTTGGGATTGCGCGGGACGATTGGCGGGTGTGAAATAGGGATGACGATGGGCGGCCCACCGAACCACACAGAAGAGAGAGAGAGAGAGAGGAAGAAGAAGAAGCAAGATGAAGCTGAGGCATGACAGAACAGCAAGGACAGCAGATCGGGGGAATTATTATCGATTATTGAATCGACGAAGAAGCAATAATGGGATTCGGCTTAAATATAGAACGCAGTGTATTTTTCTTCTGGCGTACTCGAGTAGATAAATTCTTGTTCTGTCTGCTTCTTTCGGGCTCCGCCTCTCAACTCCCTCCACCAGCCAACCACGTCGCTTCCCCCCAACTCTTCCCCCTCCCCGTCTTTCGCTCTCTCGCTGGCGGTCGTCCTTAGGCGTTCTGACCACTCGTACTATCTGTATCTCCCTTTTCCCACTCCCCCTCTACTCTCGACTCTCCCCCTCTCCTCACTCTCTCTTCCTCTCCAACAAAAAAAATAATACATCCCAACTCTTCTTCTCTTTCCCTCCCCGGATCTTCTTCCAACTCTCCTCCATCTCAATCTTCTTATTCTAATTCCTTCCTTTTCCTTTTTTTTACTCCAGTTTAGTCAGGTGAGAGAATATACCCCCCCTCCCCTCCTCCCTTTCCCCCATCACCAACCGCAAAAACATCTGGGGCATCTCGCGTCGTCTCGGAGATTCGGCCTTTTTTTTACCTTCATTATATATTTTTTTTTAATTCTTCGGGATCTTCGCTTGATCTTGTTACGATCTTCACCTATCCTTGATGGTCTTCTTGAGTCTTGCTTTTCTGTCCTTCGTTTATCGTCCGGGTTGCCCTTGGAAATACCTATCTGCGACAACATACATGGCTAGCCAGGCAAAGGGGAGGAAAGACAGTGCGACACATATAATAAAATGGATGTTTAACCAGGACTTGAGGGTCACTGTGGCACAATTCCTCCCGCCTGGGTGGCCTCCTTCACTGTCTATGTTTTGGGGGGTGTTACTTGGAGGGGCTCGACGTGATCGGACTTGATACATGTCGTGTTCCTTACCGCCTGGGCTTCCACAGCCTCACTTTCTGTCACGTCCATGTGCTACCCGATTGAACCACCACAATTTTCATCCATCACACTGAAGGGGAATTAATTAAGGATTCGGATAATTGTTGCTAACGTCGTGTTTATCAGAAACTTCTTTCACAATGGGTCACGAAGATGCTGTTTACCTGGCCAAGTTGGCCGAGCAGGCTGAGCGCTACGAGGGTTCGTCATCTCTTTCCCCCCCTTTACCCCTCCTCACCCGCCCAACGCCATGGTACTAACAAATTGCTCCAGAGATGGTCGAGAACATGAAGGTTGTCGCCTCTGCCGATGTTGAGCTCACCGTTGAAGAGCGGAATCTTCTGTCCGTTGCCTACAAGAACGTCATTGGTGCTAGACGTGCGTCGTGGAGAATCGTCACCTCGATCGAGCAGAAGGAGGAGTCGAAAGGCAATGAGTCCCAGGTTACTCTCATCAAGGAGTACCGTCAAAAGATCGAGGCCGAGCTTGCCAAGATCTGCGAAGACATCTTGGAGGTTCTCGCTAAGCACCTGATCCCCTCTGCCCAGAGTGGCGAGTCCAAGGTCTTCTACCACAAGATGTGCGTCAATTCTTATCAAAATGGGCTGATATGGTTTGGGTTCTGACTTGTTTGACAGGATGGGTGACTACCACCGTTACTTGGCCGAGTTCGCCGTTGGCGACCGCCGTAAGGGTGCTGCCGATGCCTCCCTCGAGGCCTACAAGAGCGCCACCGAAGTTGCCCAAACCGACCTTGCCCCTACCCACCCCATCCGTCTCGGATTGGCCCTTAACTTCTCCGTCTTCTACTACGAGATCCTCAACTCCCCCGACCAGGCTTGCCACCTCGCCAAGCTTGCTTTCGACGATGCCATTGCTGGTAAGTTGAAGTCAACTAGTCATTATTACGCACCAGAGCTAACGTGCCACAGAGCTCGACACCTTGAGCGAGGAGAGCTACAAGGACTCCACTTTGATCATGCAGCTCCTCAGAGACAACCTGGTAAGATGCGAAATACCATTCAATACTCGACAAATACTAACATCATTTAGACCCTCTGGACCTCGTCTGAGGCTGAGCCTGCCGCCGAGTCCGGTGCTCCCGCCGCTGAGAAGAAGGAAGAGGCACCCGCCGCCGAGGCCGACAAGCCCGCCGCTGAGTAAAGAAGAGATAATAAAGGATTCGCGTCCGAACATGGATGGAGGGACTAGACAGGCCTCTTTATCGGCGCAAAAGGGCAAGAGTGACAGAGAGTAAAGAGGAAAGGAACAAGAGGCGTTTTCATTGCATTGTCTCCAATGCTGTCTAGCGGGAGTCTCTTAACTGAGAAGCCCGCACGGACGGACGGAGACTCAGCTTTTGCGAATGCTTTTTGAATCCTTGCATCTTCTATTCGGGTTTCATATTGCTTCCTTTAGGCGTACCTGGTATTGCTGGTGCACGTGTTCGCCATTTGTGTTATTTTTCTTCTTTTCTCTTTTGTTTTTTTCTTTACCATTTTGCCTATTGCCTCAACTACCCAAAGAATACCTTTCCCTTTACTCGCACTCTACACCAGTCAAATCAGTTACCCAAGACCGTTGACTATTGTCTCGAATTTTGTCTTGGTTTTTTTTTATCTATTTTGTGCCATGCGTGGCGTTTGATTCTCCACCTTAGCTCGAGTTTAGAAGTCAGGCAGCAGTGGCTTATCAAAGAAGTGAAAGTTCAAACAAGCATCATCATGGCACTTCGTAGCTGAATCAACATAGTAATTAGACACTTGACTAGATGAGGCATCCACCCTAGAGCTGTCAATTCATTGCAGACAAATCACGAGTCAGCTCTACCACCGTCAGCCTGTATGAAATAAAGCTAAAATATTAATTTTCATGAATCTCCGGTAGATCCATCGATCACTGAGTGTAATATCCGGGGGTCATATAGTTGGATATTCAACAAAACCCAACGCCATGACTGGTGTTGGCTGGATGGGAGATGGATACTACTTAAAACGATAGACAGCCAGAGAACACAGAATGTATATCAGATCTGGGTATATCAGTACTTAAGGCTGTGACTGATCTGCGAATGAGTACTTAGAAAAAGAGTCATACTCTTTAAATGGTTTATGAAAGTCAGAAAATGTCCCCTGCCTACTCTATTTCTAATAACTAAAAAATAGAGACTGCTCTTAATATGAACATCAAGAGAAAAGCGTCAAGTCCTACTTTTTATGTACCCACGATTAACTAACTAGCCAGGAATAACTATCTAGATAGAATGACTCGATGCCTAATCCCTTTCTATATCTATCCTTACTAGCATTGCTAACTACTAGGTATCATCGTCTAACATGTCGAAACAACATAACAACCAAGTAAGTAACTAGAGAAGCAACTTTCCAGGCAGTGCTGACAATTGATATTAAGAGCAGGTATAGTGTTTCATTTATCTACATATACACACAGTATCATAAGGTAGTCATTATCATATACGCAATGTCTTGAAGATATCGATCAATCTGTCTTAGCCAACCTCAACAATATGAACTTACTCAAACAACCCAGCCCACCAATTAATCACTCCCCCCTCAAACCAATCCTCCCAAAAACGAAACAAAAATAAAACCAAAAAAAGAAGACTCTCCGGGTAAATCACCCGCTGTATCAAAAAAAAAAAAAAAAAAAAAAAAAAACAAGCATCATAATTGAGACATGAAAGGATCGACAACGCCCACGAACATGACAAGGAAGTTGGGCCAACTGTACAGTAGACTTGACTTAGACTAAGACCACAAGACGGAGATTACACCGCTACTTCGACTTTGAATTTATTTCAGGGTCCATTCCATTTTATTCCTTTACCCCGAGCCGAGGTAATTAAATTAATCAGAGTAGACCTAGGATATCATATCGAATCCAACATAATACTATGGAATAAGGATGAGGATGAGGATAGATGAGTACGAGTAAGCATCTTGAGTGAGATAGAGTAAGCTGGTGGCTGGTGGAGAACAACCAACGCCACAACGTCACTGTTGACTGTTCCTGTCAGATGATATCACCATATTGATTGTTGACTATTGACTCTGTTGACGGATCTATACGGACTATACGAAGTACTGTAAACCACATGGATATTTAACATGTTTAATTTGCTATCGCTCGCTTTCTGGGTATGGCAACGGTAAAATGGTCTTCAGAGCCAAACGATAAACAGACAGAGAAATCGTCGAACCTGGACGAGACAAATGTACAGACGAAAAATACACAAAACAATAAAAACAAACCTCATTGTCTGCTCCGTGAAAATGCTTGCCCGCCATTTTGTTGACCATGACAACAAAAATGTGTCCAGTGCGGCTCCAAAGTCATTCCAAGTCTAAGTGTTCCCAGTCCCAACGCCGAGCGTGCTATGCCACAAAAATACAGATGACCTCCGGTGGATGAATGATAACGCCAAAGGACATATAAGAGATAAGAAAAGAAATTAAGAAAGCCCCAGGGTCAGTATGAACAAAGAAGCTAGGCCGCCAACGGAAGTTTGCATGTTCGACTTGGGGTCGGATTGGTGCGAGGCGTTGTCATGGTTGTGCGATGTTTTGCCGGATGATCAGCCAGCGGGATCGATCTGGGGATCGTGCATCGAAATGGTTGCCAAGGCGTGGGGGGAGTCCCTGGGTAACATCACACGGTATGCCATGATGTCACAGGGATGACTCCCTTGCCTTTTGAGCATCATATGAACATTCTCCATAAACCGGGTGGGAGGAAACGTGGCAAGGGTGTATGTAATGTAAACGGTTGAATTATAAAAAAGGAAAACTGTGTCACAAGTTTGAGGGTATTGAACGATGTCAGGGCGAAAAACTCGTTGCGGTGGCCAAAACGCAATCAATGGAAGGGTGTAAGATTGACAGGTGTAGTACGGGGGGGATGGCCACTTGATAAATTGCTGCAGATGCCACTTCCAACAATGACTCCTCCAAAGCAGCAGTGGAAAATAATCCCAGTCGGTGCAGGCAGAATGCATGTGATGGCGGTTCGGAATCATCCGGTCTGGGTGGAAACACGTTTGGTCGTATGGCAGGATGTGGCATGGCTGATGATGGGGTAGAGGAAAATAAAACGACTGGCGTGATCCAACTGAATATACTATCCCATTTCTGGCGCCTGTTTTCTCCGATTCGTCACTTGAAAGCAGCGTGATCCCGATTGTGCCTCGATTCTACCGCCTAGGACGCTGAAGTGGCGTTGGCGTTATTTCTGCGACTTTCGGGCCTTGGTGCTGGTTCGCGGCAGATCGCTCTTGGTCACATTTCGAGTCAATCCACCAATGTAATCCTGCAGGAACTTGTTCTCGCTTTCCAGCTTGTCGTGATCCGATTTGACCGCCTCGATGCGCTCCGCGAGAGCCTGGAGAGAGGACTGAAGGGCTTTGGCTTGTCTAAACGAGGGGATTAATTTCGATACAACTTGTTTCCAAATGCGAAGGAATACTCACTCCTGCAATGTCTGACGTGCCTCCTTGCCCAGGCGCTCCAAATCAGCCGAGTTACGTCGGGGACTCATGGCACGCGCATCATCCGGGGGAAATTCCTCCTCCTCGATTTCGATCTCAGGGTGGTCTCTTGGAACTAGTATCGACGCACTGGGTTTTCTGCTCGCCATACGCGGGCGCTCGGAACGGCCTCTACGCTGTTCAGTTTCGGCGTCGGATATGGAAGAAGAGGACGAGAGCGAAGACATGTGGGCGCGACCGGCGTCGTTGGGCTGGGGTAAAGTAGGAACGGGATCGGAGCCGTTCATATTGATATCTGAAGCCATAATGTTGGCGGGTTGTGTGGTGGGATTTGGCTTTGGGTGGTGGCTGACTAAAAAAAAGCTTTTGGAGGTTTGTTTGTGGCGGTTGTCGAGATCCGAACAAACAACAACGATATAGAATCTAACGACCACGATCACTACCTCTAGCGATGCAGGCCTCTGCAGTTCCGCTGGAGGTAGCTACCGGGGTCGGACGAGGTTGAAAATAATCCAAAGTGATTTTTTAAGAAAGGAGTACAGGTTTCCCTTAGCCGACCAGGGGAAGGGAGAACAGGAACGAGGGGAGGCGAGTTTGGTGGGTGGTGGAAGTTTGGTAGTGGTTAAGAAAAGGCGAGTCCCAACTTTGAAGAGAGGGATGGATGAAGCAATTCCCGGAGACGGTTTGAATTTATTTTGAATTATAATTTTTCCCGGAAGAAAGCTGAACGAGAAAGCCAGATGGTGTGGTTTATCCGAAAACGGGCGACACGAAAAGAACGGATCAAACCGGGGGGTGAAAGAGGAAGAGGGAGAACAGTTTGACAAGGGATTAGTTACTGCTGGTATAATTTGGCGACGATCTGAGTCGAAATGAAAAGAAATAAAAAAACGATGAGGATAGAAAAGAAACGGGGGAAGAAAAAAAAAGAGGGGAGAGAGAGAGAAGAGAGAGGGCGAGAGGAGAGGAGAGGAGCAGAGATGAAAAAGGACTTTTAGTTAGTGTTGGGTTTTAGTTTGAGAGGAGAGGCACAGAGCAGCAAAAGAGCAGCAGCGAGAGGGACTCGTGGCCGCCACTTGGGCGTATCGTCACGTACAGTACGGCTCGGTACGGTACGGTTCGGTGAGCGGTAACGGCCTGGTATTGGTTACGTCTTAGGCGGGGAAAGGGGGGCACTGAGAACTACACTGCCTACAGTACACTCATTCATATTATTATTACATATATCCTTATTAGGGGAGTAGTATTACTATGTACTCTGTAATCTGTATTCTAGTTGAAGTCTGTCAAGACCAAATTTGCATCACAAGCCCCTGATAGACGATCCATTCCCGTGGATTTTTGTTCTTCGACGGACTAAAAGGAGGTGAAACCCGACAGGGATGCGCCGGCGCCGATCAGCATCGGAAACATCTCTCCACCATCCTGGGTGAAGATCTCGATATGTATTGATATTATTATTCGAGTGCAGCTGCATTATTCTACATCACGCATGCTATGTAGAGTTCGAACACGGAGTTGCTACCACTTGGTTTGATGGGAGCATCACACATCGCCGCAGAGATGTTGTTACTCCTACACGGAGGTTCGTTGTATACGACTCCGACCGTGGAAACCCCCCCAAACGGGAACCGAAGCAAACAGAAATTTTCGACCCGATGGCGCTTGGAACCAACCATGGCCCTTGCGCTGATCAAACAGTATCTGAATTTGATTGAATATAGTAATAGAAGAGAAGAGAAGGAGGCAAAGACGATCGAAAGAGGCAAAAAGAGAAAATAGCAAGAGAAAGATGGAAAGTGGGATGACGGCATTTCAGCTTGATCTGTTGATGATCGGTTGGGGGCACGTCATTGCCCCCGGTACGTCATGGGCAGTGTAGAGTCGATCAGGAATTCAGGGTAAGTCTTCTTGATCATCCTTGACTGATATTTCATATTTTGAATCATATGCAAAAACAGAGACAAAAGTACGATCATGCTTATCCTCTGTCGAGTCCACCAGTCGAATGCGTTCCTGGCCTCCGCATCAGGCGGATCGCGTGCATTCATGACTCCAGTCACTCCACGTCTGTACTCTGTACTGTTCACTTTCTCATCATCTTCATCATCTCATCATTGTATTCATCTTCATATTCAAATAAAAATAGATGATGAACTGGATGGACAAAACAGAAGATGAACTGGCGCGTGACTGTAGCTCCACAGACGGAACGGCAAAAGGAAGAGCATCCGCAGCGAATAAAACCGGCTCAATAGCCTCAAATCACCCCAAAGCAGAGAGTCGGACTGGAGAGATGTACAGTACATAGTAGTACAGTAATCTGTAGCCCAGCAAGTGCCGATCTGCAGTCGGCTACCAGTTCCTCTCCACCAAGACCCTGGGTGGCTTCATCACGTTCCACGGTCGGTAAAATATTAGAAAATAAATACTCCATGTTATATCCATGGATACCAATCCAGTATCTCCTCCGATAATACTGATAGTCTGATACTCTACATAAGATACAATCATACACCAGGGTCTGAAGGATGATAGTCGGCACTTGTCCGAATATTCGAGAAAGCGACACAAGCGCAGCAAAGAATCGACTATTCATTAGTTTCTGTTTCAGCTGCGAATATTTCATGCCCAATGCACTCTTTCTCTTTCTTCGCCAGTCGTACAATCGGGCAATAATGCAGCCCCCGTCGACCTTCTGGAATGTTTTAATTTGATTTAATCGGACCCGGTGTGCAGGTAGACAGTTAACGGTTATCCACATATTATTATTATAATAATATTAATTTTAAATCGTTATTAAATATTATAATGTATCTGTACACCGCTGTTCCATCCATTCCGGATAAAAGAGAGGCCCATGCTAATGCGTTGTTATACCTTGCTCTAGTTCGTGGAGAGTAGGCATTACAACATCCCATCCCATCCTGTCTGTTTCTTGATGACTTGTTTTGTTTTGCATTTTCTGTCGCATGATCGGACTTTCGGGGATCATCGCCGTCTCTTTATTAGTATTGATATTAGTCCATCAGGGGGCTTTCTAGTGGTGTGGTCGTCGTGGATAGATCGGCATTCTTCTTTGTTGGCCGTCTTCAATAATCGGTAATAGTCTCTTCTTTTTTTTAATTAAATATTTATATTCTGTAGTGGGCAGTAATTCGTTCTATTAATCTATTACATGGAGTGCATTAGTATATCTACTAATCAGTTCATGCGGTTTCACTCCATGCACACCCTTGCTGGTCTCTACTTCATACATGAATACATAGTAACCTCGGTCTCATTATTCATTGCATTGCAGTATAATACTACTTCACCATCTACAAGTAATCCTCAGCTCAATGCATGCATCTCACCGCCAGATTCTAACCTGCAGCTATCGTAACAATACATATACAACTCTTCCGGATTCTGCTACCACAGCGCTGGCGTCGTCTCCCACTGGTACAATGCTCGCAGCACTGCAACCCCCCCGGATTGTGTCTCCACTGTGCGACCTCCTCCTCGATCATTGACGTCCATCTGGTTTACCCCAGACGTCCTTGCTCCTTCGGTCCCCGACTGTGCTTCCGTCGGCTGCCTCCCCCGTCTGTCCACGCTCTCAGGTCGTCTGCGCAGTGCCCCGAACAGCTCTTCTGCCCCCTTGACTCTCCCGCCACAGTTGCGGTAATCCACTGCACCAGCTGGCAGAGGACTGCTCTCCGTGACCAGGGTGGACGCGGGGTACTGCTGACCCCACCACGCTCCAAATTTGCCATCATTGTCCAGGGTCACCAGCGCTGCTTCGGCATTGTGTTGGATCCAGGGTCGATATCCCCGGCACCGACTCTGGTGCAGATCATACACAATCTTCCACTCACTCTCCGAGGTCAGGTTCGCATAGGCGAGAAACCGCTCTTCCTGCGGCCGAATCGCCCGACAGAACTCCGCGAGGTGGTTGAAGAATATTCCCTTGAACGTGTGGCCGTCCTGTGTGCAGGTACCGGCCGAATCGCACGCTTCCTCCAAGACGCCGCCGCGTCCAAGACCTGACCATTCCCTGCTAGACTGGTCGGCCCACCCTGTGGCCCTGATAACCTTTTCCACAAGCTCGTGCCCATCACGCAGATAGTCATAGGAGGCTGTGGCCAGCCAAAGCCCCCTTAGCCCACTGAGAATCACTCCCTGGTTGTATGTGTAGACCATCGTGTTGAGCTCGTCGCACTTGCGTGTACCTGGTTTCTTTATGTTCTGCCAGCCATTGATGTGAAACCCGTCTGCATATAAACCACCAGGACCTATCATTTTGGAATTCTTGAGCCAGTCATATCCTTTTTTGGCAGCTTCCAGATGGGTTGGATTGTGCGGGTACTCGTCCGACGATACATCCACATTCACCATGAATGGAAAATCAATCGAATCTCCCGGGTGGTACAGGTACATCCCGATACTCGCTGATATCCACAACTCATTCGTGATAGCATTCTTGTATGGGGTCAGATACGGACTCCAGATCATGCCACCATCACACAGAAAAGTATCCCACCCAAAAGACGCAAGCTCGTAGAAAATCCGCGCTCGATGAGCAGCAGGAACCCGGAGCTGCGTGCCATGCCACGCCTTGTCAGAAGTCAAGTTGGACTCGTAACGCAGATCTGAATGCAGAACCTGAAACTTGATACTCTCCAACCACCCCAGTACAACCCACAGCATATCATCATTAGCCTGCGTCCTCAAGCTAATAGCATTTTCACCAAAGTAGAAAGCCGACGTCTGATCGAAGAAGCGACTGACAATGTTCTCCAACACCACCTCACCCCGCGCCATCGTCGTCTCCTTCAACTCCCGCTCTTCATCACCAGATAGCTTCGCAAACGCCGTATCATTCCCCGACGAAGTGAGCGAAGAAAGCGTAGCCGAAACCTGCGTCCCGACAACCGCAGCCGTCCAGTCAATACTAGTCGGCCACGTACCCCGCCATAGCTCAAAATAGCCATCCTGCATCACATTCAGCGCGTGAAGCAGGCTCTTTAGCGTACTCGAGTTCGAGGGGACGTTGGCGTGCGATGGGTCGATTTCGTCGAGCACTGTCTGCGCGGGGGAGTCGTGCGGTGACGGTGCGAGGACATTTTGAGGAGGATGCGCCAGCGCATTTGCCCCAGAAGAGATCGAAAGAACGTATAAAGAAAGTGATATAAATATAGACAATACCATGGTGATGGCTCTGTCAAGCACAACAAGACTGCCGGGCGTGCTGGAACCCGAAGGTGGTCGCGAAGTGTTGTCCGCGAACGTTGATGTGTCGCAAGAATCAGGCCGCAGAGGACCGACTCTCCAATAGCATAAGGATAGGCAAAGATGGCCTGTAAGGCGATAGATAGGAGAGAGAAAAAGGCGACCTGCGTCCAATTGAGGGGGAGGGGGAGGATGAAAGAGGAAGAGGCGAAGAATGCTGAGGATAAGAAAGTCAAGCCTGACGGAGCTGATCCATACTTATTCTCTCCATGCGGGGAAGTTACAAGGCAGGCCGCAAACGGATGACCCACCATATAGTTTGTGATATTGACATATTGATTTAATTTTTTATATCGACAATGTTTGTCTCTAAAGTTGATCATGTGTATAGAATAAGACATTGCCAAGTTTCATCAGGTCTTATGATTTATCGGGGGATATCTTGTCATGCTACAAGACCAACAAGAGACAACACCCTCTCCATACTACTCAAAGAACAAAGACGGGTTACAATCGAGATCATCAGACATTATCACACGTCTCTTAAGATAGTCTGAAATGAAGATAGAAGAGAAGAGAGCCATGTTTCCCTCTCACAAGAGACCATCCTCCTACTCCGAATTGTGACTCGCTTTAAAAGCGCAATTACGCAAAATCAATCCTAAGATCCTGACAGTTTGGGGAATATCCTGATTTTGTAAATCAAATGTTCTGTTCTAGAGTCAGTTAGCAAATATCGTCAGACAGAATGTGATGTTAGAGCAGACATACCACATTGTAAACAAGTCACGGCGCCGACATATATCTCTCCTTTGACTCTCATCCCCCCAGAAGAGACAATGCCGGCGACACAAGCCTTTTATAGCCTCATCCATCCTTCTGATCAACAATGAAACCCATAATCCTCAACCTAAACAGCCGGGAGAAACAGTAGCCGGACCGGTCGACAGGTAACAGCAACCACAAATAAAATGAAAAGCCGTTGCTTTTTTGGGATGGAGAAAGAACCATAGACAATTAATCAATCAATCAAATTTCATGCAACAAAACACCCTCATTAAAATTTATTCCTCTAGTCTCTCTTGTCAGCGCCGGGGCTGCGACTCCTCTCGCGACTCCTGCTGCGGCCTCGTCCTCCACGGCCGCCGCCACCATTTCGCGGTCCTCCGGCTTTCCCTTTGCCTGTCGGGGGAGGTCGCACAAAGGCGTAGTCGACCTGGATTGTTTGGTCGAGGAGCTTGGCTCCGTTGAGGGCTTTAATGGCTTCCGTGGCTTCGGGGAGGGTGCTGTATTCGATCAAGGCGTATCCCTAGTCTAGTTAGCATTATCCTAGCACTTCTACAACAGCAAAAGACTCAAGATTCAAGACTCAAGCTTGACTCAAAACACCCAGAAAGCTCAACAAAACACACCTTAACATAACCCGTCCGACGATCCAGATTCAAATTGAAATTCTTAATCTCCCCATACTCAGCAAACAAATCCGTCACGTCCTCCTCAGACGCCTCCTCGTGGATATTCGTCACAATCACAATCCACCCCTCGATGCTGCGCACCGCGACAGCTCCAGCGTCCGTCCGCGGCTCAAAGCCAGACTGCGCGGGGGCACCTTCACCTTCAACTTCAACTTCAACTTCGTCCTGGGCGACGGGGGGGTCGACTTCCATTTCGCCGGACATTTTCGTTTTCGTTAATTAGGAGTAAGTTTATTTTGGTAAGAGGTATAAGGGGGGAGGTGAGATTGGGGAGGGGCGCGAGTTTCAATAGGCCTTGGGGCTTTTGTTCTCGCGATGTCCCAGCATCACCGAATCTGGGCGGTGTGATTACGTAAGTATTTATATGGACTACAAGTGACGAGGATAAGAGGGACCTAGGGTTATATAGTGATTTTACTGTTATTATCTGGGTGTTTATTGGTTTATTTAGAGAGATATTAGTTAGCTGGATGAGCATGCTAAATATTGTGATTTGTGTTGACTGTACGTTAGGGAAATGTCTATCAACTCATACTTCATCTAGAAATTCAAAAGAGAAGTAGAGAAAGTGCGAGTATATATACAACTCATAGCTATAGACTTTCAAATGAAGAAAGATGAACTATTTTGTTTTAACTGTTCAAAGCTGTAGTGACTGAGGGAAAAAGTGCTCTGCATGGCGTTGATATAGCCCAAATAAAAGAGAAAGAGTTAGGTCTATCGATCTGGATATTTCGATATTGCATTCTCTAGACAATATTTAAGATCTTCTACTTTGTATGTATGCGTAGCTTCTATATATCTTCATCTTCATGTAGTTATCATATAGCCCATAAAACTAATTTGAGCAACCTCAACCCTAACAGAGAAGCTGATGACATATTGGCAAGCGAGAAGAAGAGCGAGTGAATGTATACCACGGAGCTTTCCATGCAAAGAGGGAAAACTTTTACATCTAGAGCCAGTCGATCAGCAGAGTAGCAGAGCAGTGAATAAAGCCAGTCACCATGAGCTCGCAACACTGGACTCTCAACAATTCCAATTCCAATCTCAAACCTACCACCAGTATTCCACTCAATCCAAATCCTCTTCAAAGCTCTTTTCAAAAACGTATTGAACTTGACACAAATACCCAAAGATGCGCTGGTGAGTACCTACTTGCAACTAAACACCCAATCCCAACTAACGATATCTGATATCAGCGACGACCCCAAATGCGGCTGCCAACCAGCGCCCAAAAAGCCACTCATCCCCCCCGCAATCCAGATGTACCTTCGCGGGCCCGAACCAGGCCAATTCAAAGAACTCCACCAAGAAGGCGCCGAGATAGACATCATCTTCGACTTTGACGAGCACCTCATGGCGATCCGCGAGACGATCGAAGACCACACCCGCAAATACACCTTCAGCAGCACCTACGTGCGACTGGGCGTGCACAACACGCGCTTCGTGAATCTGCAGGGGCTAGCAGATAACTCGCTTCTGCTGACGCTGCGGATGAAAGCTTCAGCCTGCGCGGAACGGGGCGGGGGGTTGCGATTCCGTGAGAAGGTGAGCGGGTTTATACCCGAGAAGAAGAAGAGTCGGTTGCGGTGGGACTTGTACATGTGTGACTGGCCTGAGAGGACGATTCAGGTGCTTATCCCTGAGGACCGGACGACGGGGTGGAAGACTGTTGCGTTGGTTTTGTTGGCGTTTCAGAGGGTGACGATGGAGAATTGGTGTTGTTTGGTGAATATGAAGGATGAGCCGCCGATTGCTGGGTTGGACTGGAGGGAGATTGAGGCGGATACGCAGCTTGATATGGAGAAGAAGAAGGGGGGTGATTTCGCTGTTGAGGAGGTTGATATTAAGACTTGATCTTGGGATGGGGGAGACGCTGCGTTGGTTGGAGTGAAGAATGGCTTGCTTATGAGGGATGATTGAATCAGAACAGAGTATCTTATTGGGTGCATTGGTCTAGATTATGATTCACGAATTCGAAATACTTCATCTATAATTGACAATTCGTCTATATTCGCTGTAGTAAGGAACTAGCGTCTATTAATGTGAGTCCTTGAAACAGTAAGACAAGATCGAAATGACACTCACATCCAGATAAATAATCCAAGATTCGGTTCATTGTACATCCGCTCAGAGATCTCTATTAGGCCAGACATAGCGCCAATAATGCTGTCGCAGCAGCTTGACCGGGCCCTTAGGTATACACTTGTTTGCTAGAGCCATTGCAGACTGAGTATAATCGCCCTTCCATCCATGAGCGACAGCATAGTCCAGAAATATTTGCATCAACTCAGTACTCCAATTTGTCGCAGCCATAGCAAAGATAGTGTAACCATTAACCTCGATCAACGGGTCACCGCCATACTCGAGTAAAATCCGAACACCAGCCCTGCCCACATGACTTGTGGCAAATTCCAAGGGGGTTGACCAGCCGAGGTCTTCCTGGAAGTTTGGATTGCCACCGCGACGTAGGAGAAGCTCTAATGCGGCTTCAAAGTTAGGCTGATGTTTGAATTGGACTGTCAATAGTTGTAACAGAGATCTGCCACTTTGACTCGAACACGGGCATATGGTGTTCGCATCAAAGCCTCTGTCGAGAAGGAGTTGGAGAGCTGGGACATTTGCTTCAATTGCGGCTTCTGATAGCGCGAGTCCGGCCTCATAGGCGTCGGGAGGCTCATGGTTGACTAGCATCTCCACGATGGTCTGATAGCCTCTCTTGACAGCGAGTGATAACGGGGTTACGGTTGACAAGATCTTCATAGACCACGTTACTTCGAACTTGGCGTTGGCACCGTGATCCAACAACAGCTTTACCACGGCCGGATTGCCACTATCTACGGCCGAAATGAGTGGTGAGATGTTCGAAAAGATCGAGTCGATGAATTGAATCTCAGGTCGCAATCCACGTTCCAACAGTATTCGGACACACTCCTCAGAGCCACTCCTGGCTGCGGGGAAGAGCAGCCCTTCATCTTTGACTTCCACTTTGCTGAGGTCAATACCTGCATTTTCATCCAGAAGCAGTTGGAGCACTTCTGGACTACCACTTGATGCGGCGGCGAAGAGTATCTGCTGGCCTAGGCCATCTTCGGGATACGGGTCAATGCCACGGTCCAGAAAGAGACGAACAATGCTAATATGGCCTCTTTTTGCTGCCCAGAATAAGGGGGTGAATTTTTCATATTCTGATGCGCGGTCCGGGCCCTTGTGTGTTGGATCAGCGCCTTGATCCAGCATGTGCTTGAGTTTCCCTTCCAGCCCAAAGACTGCCGCTAAGTTCAGTATGCGGGGAATGTCCCTATCCCCAGCAGCAATTTTGGACTCCAAATCCATATGGTCCAATAGCTCCTCGATGATAGTAGGACAGCGACATTCTGCCACCTGCAACAACAGGAGATGGGCGTGAAAGGACAAGAAGTTATTCACGTCGGGGTGCTGTTCAATGAGAAACCGAGCCACAGCAACATGGCCCGGCGTGATATCTTGAGGCGATGGAAGTTGATGATCTCGGATCACAAAGCCCATGTCAGCGCCTGCGTTGACCAAAAGTCGCACGACATCCAGCTGGCCATTCTGAACTGCCCAGCTGAGCGGCGTCTGCCTAAATTCTCCTTGAGGCTCGTCAAACTTGCAACCCTTTTCCATAAGAAACTCGAGAGCCTCAACCTGGCCATGTTCAGCTGCAAAAGAGAGCGGGCTTTTTGTCCAAGGACCACGTGCGTAATAATCCGGATTCGCCCCCTTGTCAACCAACAACTGCATTACATCGAGATGGCCATACTGCGCAGCCCATGACATTGTCCCCCGTTCACTATGACTCCCATTCTCGTCCGGGTCAGCATCGTCAGCTGGTTGTGGTTTCGCCCCATACTCGAGCAACATGCGGACAATCCGCACATATCCAAATCGTGCTGCAAGAGACAGTAGTGTGTTATAGTTGTATCTATCGTTGAATAGGGAATTGTCATTGTCGGGCGCAGGACCATTTGCGTCAGCCCCTGCCTCAAGGAGCCTTTTTACAGTGTTTTCCTGGCCGTGAGCGATGGCCCATTCCAATGCGGCGCTTGTATCGCGCAGAGCGCTTTGGCGATAGAGATAAGAGTCACTTAGCCATACGAGGCGACGGCTGGTTTGGGAAAGTGCACTGATTTCGCTGTCGTATTCGAGGTTATCGGCGATGCACTCTATGAGTTCGTTTGGTAGTGAGAGGAGGGACATTGTTGTGTGTTGGTGTTGTTGATGGAGAAGAAAAGTTGATGAGTTGTTGCTGCTCTTTTGGACAGGTTGCGAGGCTGTGTTGGAACCAGCCCGCCTCATCTCAGATTGAATCATTTTTGATCGAGCTGTAATTAAATCAATTGATGACAGTGATGTTGGATTTACTTGAATACTAATCAGGGTGTTTTAGGATATGCAAAGAAGGAAATGGTGCCCCGCTTATCCCCTCATCCTGCGGAAAGTATGAGACAATCTAAACAAAAGGTAGCTGGAATGACAAAAATGAGTTTTTTTGTTATGGTCAATTCTTTTCAAAAATGTATACTATAGCTTGCATCTATGCTAGACATTGACACCTGAAGTAATGGTTCATTGAAGAATGATGGTTCGGAACTCTGGACGTGCCTCCACCCATTTCTTGAGATAGATATCTCCTATCCCAAGGCGACGGGCAATATTGGTCTCTGGGTCTCTTTCGATGAGCATAACATTCAAATGGATTGCATCGTGTCCCACAAGTTCCTCGTGCTCACTCTCGTGCTCAATAAACGGGTAGGCTTTTCCATGCGGGTGCCAATAGAACAAGGTATTCATGTATCTTCTCTGAGGCGATAGCTTGGCTTTGGTGTTATTCAGTTGAGTGGAATCCTTATATTTCAACTGGCAGGCCTCACAAGGAGCGGTGTGAGCCATTGGAAATTCTGGTAAACTGTCTTTTCCCTTAAGACATAGACACCCAGTAAGGTTCTCATAGTCTATTGAATAAAAAGGACTGCAGTAAGCAAATTTTCTGGGCTCTTCCGGAATGGAAAGCAAGATGAACTCAGCCAGGACCCCTTGGCGCATTTTCTTGTTGGATTGGGGTATTTTGATAGTACCTGCAAAACTGCCATCACTTGCCCGGATCCAGAAGTCAAATTCTTTTGCATATGAGACTTTTGAGGGTTCCAGATGAAATGATGAGGTATGGGCATGGACTAAAATAGATCCAGGAATAGATGCTGCACTTTGCTGGTCATCATCAGAAAAAATATGATCATTTTCACGTCCACCAAAGGCATCTTGCCAGAAGGCATCATACGTAGGCCATCGCCGGACTATATCTCTGAAATCATCGATCGAGGAACCAAGACTTAATTCAGCAGGAAATCTTCTTGGAATACAGCCTTCCAACCAAGCAAGTAATGCTGACCAGGCGACATGATTCAGTACAGTGGAATCATATTCGAATTTGTCGTCGTCACTGCACCAACCCAAGCCTTGAGCAGGAGTGCAGATGGTGATGCCTGTTTTGGACCCATGTGCTGGGATTGCCCACAAAGCAAGACCAGCTTTTGCCGGAGAATGCCTGACAACACCATCGCAGGAAGCCCATGACCAGGAGGGAAATCCATCTCTTTGTCCTCCTGGTCCTTCATCTTCAAAAAGGGATGGAACCCAAGAAATCGCCTTGTGGATATGATGAATCGGGAGTCCATAGTAGGTATCATCGCCATAAATTTTCTGTAGCACTCCAGTAAATGCACGGATAGTGTCACTGTCATAGGTAAGGATTCTTCGAGTATAATGAGTATGTGCCTCCCAGAACCTGTCCATTGTTGGCAGACAGTCTAGGTCTCGGCTTATCGACCTAGGATTAGATTCGGAATGTACATGTCTCCTTTCTCGGTGCGCATAATAAACCCCATATTCTGTGAAGAACAGGAATTGAGATGAGAAAATGGCCTCTTGGAATGTCCAGCCACGGGTGGACCATGCCGAATGATCGATAAAGCGACGCAAGTTTGGTCTGTCCTCAACCAGGAGCACATGGCCAATCTGAAGCCGTCGATGATTCCAAAATCGAGGGGAAGTCACTCCTGGCAGGCCGTAATACGCATTTTCCCCAGCGAGAGCAACCAGAGTGCAGGTGGCATGCTCGTATATCAGGCCCATGCAGTCGATTTGCTGCTGGAGATCATTTTTATCGCTCTGATTGATACACAGCTGATCAACCCACAGATATCGGACCCCAAACTCTACACATGCAACCATAGCATCTCGAATGGTCACTGGGAGATGGCCTTTGTTGATTTTGCCTTGTTGTGGCACTTCCACCGCGGCGCCCCCAAAGACATAACTGAGAGCGAAATATTCACAATTCTCAGGGGGTTCAATGAGCAGGTTCTGCTGAACATCGATGACTCTGAATCCATTCGGTCGCCAGGAATGGCTATAGTGCACTGCCTCTGTTGGTTCGATCCATGAGCACACTTTTCCCCAGTCAATGTATTCCTGCAGCTCATGTGGTGATTCAAGTACTGGTGAATGCAGTTGCGAATCCGGATCTTGTAGTGACTCGTCCATCTGGTCTGATTGGGCCCATGCATCGATGTAAATCACTTCTCCATCGACCCGCCCATGTGCACCAGTAATCGACAAGTCAATTCCGCCTGTCTTGGTCACATGGATATAATCCAAAGTCTCAAAATCCGTATGAGTTTCAATAGCGTTACTGATGAATTGACAAAGCTGGCAATCAGAACTTTGCAATTCATAATGACCAACTCGTCTATACAAATAGGGATATTCTTTATCGCCATCCAGTTTGCAACAGAAAAGTAGATGCTGAATCCTCAAGTGGCGGCAAAAGGAACAGAGTGAGAGATGCTCTGTTTCCACTGATGAACACCTGGCGCAATCATCATGAAATAGATATTGATAGAAGTCCACATCTTCTTTAAATACGACCTCTGATTCGCAGAATTTGCAAGCGGGGTCAAGCTCTTTCTCCTTCTGCAAGATAGATTTGAGTATACTAGGGGGGCTGTTGATCATTTTAGAGCAATATCGCTTGCTTTTTTTTTTTTTCTTTTTCGCGGGAGCAAATATGGTGAGAATGTCGGAGTGAAGACTTGGACTTTTCAGCTGAGTGATTATGTCTGTTGATGAGTTGTCAGGCTGTATATTGATGCACAATCCCTGTATGTGATGGGAAACATGATTGGGCGTGGCTTTGGACTTATCCCCACTCGAGGCTTCATCGTAGAATAGAATAGAATAGCAGGATGTTGGCAAAATTATATAGTATGCACCCGTTGAATTACTCAAATCTTCTTACTAGGTCTCTGATCGAACGGGAGCCAATTATTCCTAAATCTGTCCCTCACCCACTCATTCGCCGGAATATCCAAATCAATGCTCCCCTCCTTCTTCCCATACCCCATTCGTCTCAAAAACGGGCTATCCATCGCCTTCATCTTGATTTGATCACTTGGTAAGACAAAATACAGCAATCCCAGTCGATCAATGCAGGCTTGGTCTTCAGGCGGGGCAATGACACGATGCATTCCACCTTTGAAATATCCATTCGTAAGTAGATGTAGGATGCGAGCGATGTTCACGGCGACCACGCCTGGCTGGATACGGACGTGTTCCCAGTCGGATTCGTCGGTTTTTTGGACCTGCAGTGCTGCAACGGGCTGTTGGAAGACGAACGTCATGGTGCCTTTGTCTGCGTGGCCCTTAATATACGTATTCTTGAATTTGGTGTTTTCCTCTCCCGTTCTTGCGTGGTACTTCATGTACCGCAGTGAGCTATCGCAGTTGGATTCGTAGAGATGCCCCTTGACGAACTCGTCCTCGTCGTCCAGTTCCAAAATGATGGCTAGCAGTTTGAGAAGCTTGTGTGCGATATTTTCATGCATATGACGGTGGAATTTCTCAATATCGGCCCAGTACCGCTTGATCACCTCGGGTTGACTGCGTTGCTTTTCGGGGATGAATTTGGAGATGTTGTACGTTTCAAGGTTGTCATACAATCCAGGTAGAAGTTCAATCGCGCCAAGAGGTCGGTACCCGTTGTAGATGCCTTCTTCCAGTGGAGCACGGAACTTGAGGCGTTCTTCTTCAGGCAAAGAGAAGAATTCTTTTGCAATGGCGAATTGCTGGTCGATTTGTTCTTGGGTGATGCCAAAGTTGGTGATGTAGAAAAAGCCTATCTGACTGATCAGCACATATGGGTGTAGTATCAGGTAGGAGATGTACCGGTTTTATGAGCCGTCTCTTTGAGTTGAGCAGCCAGTCTCTCCTTTCCTCCTGGCCGATCGAAATCGGCCATGTCGAGGGTGATTAAATCGGCATATTTCACTATCTCTGGTTAATTTATATTTATCTATCTTATTTGTATGGTACTTACGCTTGTGCTTCGTCTCTGGGGGATGGACGTATTTCTCCAGAGGTTTTTGGACGGTTTCTGTTGGAGCGGCCATATTGATATCAATAACCGACAAAGATGAAATCGCTCAATCCAGGCTGAGTCTACCGAATAAATAGACAGAGCCAATGCTCGCTTGCGTCAGCCGCATATTAGAAACTTCAGCTGGAATGCATTCAGCTGATGGAGGTGGATCTGATCTGATATCATTGTCGCGATGTTATTGGCTGACTCGATAGTATGAGGTTCAGCTCGCCCGTCCCATGAGTTGGCCATGCCAGCCCCATTGGTCGACATACCCCAACAAATTCACGTGACATATAATCCACTAGACCGGACTCAGTAACTCAGCCATAAGAGGGAAAATGCGCTGAAAATAATAAGATAGGTTAGTTATATAGCAAGCCTTGCGCAACGAAAAGCAGATCAGGCCAAAGTGAAAGGCGACGAAGCTCGACGCTCGCTATTTGCTGGATATAGTACCCTGGCGGATGCTCATTCTACATAGAGCCAACCCGCATCGCCGGTACGGAGATTCCTGCAATTGATCTTCCTCATCCTCGGACTCCGTGAGATTAGTGTCCTATCGACTGTCTTCAGTGCTTTCTCTATTAGTAGTCACTGTCTTTGGGTGGCCTGTAGTCTGCCTTTCGAGGATGGCGAGCCATGGGATCAAGATATCACGAAGCAAAGAATAAAGCGAGCCCAGGCCCGGATCTCAAGTAGAACCCTAGGCATTTGGGTGGAAGGCTACCATTTATACTGATAACCTCGAGAGTGAGCCATTACTGGCGTCCTCGTTCAACCGCAGCGCACTGAGTAAAATGCGAAATGAAACATAGGGTACCTATGTAGGCGACTGAAGATAAGTCTTCGCCTAGGGCTGGCTCACGTGCATTGGCGCGTGGATATAAATTCCAGAGTGAGTGGCGAATTGGCAGCCAGTAGTTATCTTAAACAAATTAATATAGCGCAATCTATTTTCATCTTGAACAGACCCAACTGACACTAGTTTTGAAGTAATAACACGTTCCTGATTCCTTTGACTGCATCCTTTTCATAACTCATTCTAATTCCGATTAATAATAGAAATAAATCTCAATTTCTGTGCTGCAATGGCAAAAGCTTGGCGGTGATAGTCGTGCAGAATCAAATGAGACATTGTCCATACTAGTTTTCCTTGATTTCCATGATTTTCACCGGATAGACCCGGCTCTTCATTCCGAATCTCCAGTGATTATCTTCAGCAACCGATTACAGTAATGGTTTGATTCTCCAGACTTCTATCTCTATATACAATCCTTTGTACCATCCAAGTTCTTTTCAATCTCTTCCAAGGTAGCATCCGGTTCCTGATATTTAGTCCTCGATCTGATTGGTGTTGATCCTCCGTTGGGTGACACTGGCTGGGGCAGACTGCAGCGAGCCAATCACAGCCCGGCAGACCCTGGCAGACTAACCAACGGGCCAATCAGCGGCTTATCATGACCTGCAGACCCCCGCCTCCAGTTTGGTGCCAAGACACTTTTACTGGTGGATTTAATTGTTGTATCCATCTTTATCATGGGTTCTCTCAATTTCTTCACTTTTATTTTATTGAATATTTTATTAAATAATATTTAAACAGTCATTTAGATTTTAAAATATTCTAAATTATGTATTCAAGGGGACAATCTTTCTAATATTTCCAGTCTGGAGTAAGGTTGAAGGAAGACATCAGCAAGGCGATCTAGTCCTGGTGTCAACCTCATGTCGTGCCTTGCTTGCATGTAACTTTGGATAGGGCCAACAAGTCATAACAATCACATTCATTCATCTCCATAATATCCATAACGTCTATAATGCCATCGTCTGTCGCAGAAACTAATCGAGTAGTTGGCAAATTGGCAGTAAATATAGAATGGCGCTGCCCTATAGCCTAATTGTGCCTCCGCAAAATGTCTCGCCCTGTTTTCCGGCTTTCCGATCCATGTTTTGTTTTCCTTTCTTTGTGTGAACTTTTCCTCCTCGTCTTTCTATCCTCGACTTTCCCCTGTCTTTTTTTGCCTTCACCCCTCTTTTCCTTCCTTTCCCTTCCCCCCTCTTTCTGTCACTCGTTTGGGTCTATCTCTGGGCCGTTCACTCACTTTGTCTCTGCTCCTTCGGAACCAATCCCTCGTTAATTTGCCAATTCTCCTTTCTTTATCGACCTTCCCCGGCTCTTCAGACTCGCTCTTTATTCTGACCCGCAAGTTCATTAATCTAATTTATTCCTGCCTTTAATCTCTGCTGTCTCTGCTGTCTCTGCTGCATTATGAGAAACATTTGAGTATCAATTTTACGTCTGAACTGTGCTCAATATCGCACATCGCTCGCTACCATCCAGCCCTCTACCCAACTTATAACTCACCTTCAGTCACCAAATACCTCAGGTATCTCTGCATCATGTCGCTGTACATGCTTGCCATCTCCATGCTTGGCCTGGCAGGCCCAGCATTGGCAGCCAGTACAGACGCATGGAAATCCAGATCCATCTACCAGACCATGACAGATAGATTCGCCAGAACAGACGGGTCTACAACACACGCCTGCGACCTTAAAGCAGGCTTGTACTGTGGCGGAACCTGGAGAGGAACAATCAACCAGCTCGACTACATCCAAGGAATGGGCTTCGACGCTGTCATGGTATCCCCCATCATCGAAAATATCGAAGGCCATGTTGAATACGGTGAAGCGTACCACGGCTACTGGCCGTTGGATCTGTATTCGCTGAATTCGCACTTCGGGACGCATCAGGACCTGCTTGATCTCAGTAACGCTCTTCATGACCGTGGAATGTACTTTATGATGGATACGGTGGTGAACAATATGGCTTTTATTACGAATGGGAGTGACCCGGCGACCAGCGTTGATTATTCGGTGTTTACTCCGTTCAACAGCTCGAGTTATTTTCACCCATACTGCAAAATCGACGATTATAATATCTACTCCCTCGCTCAGCGATGCTGGACAGGTGATGACGTTGTCCCACTGCCGGATCTGAAGACAGAAAATACCGAGGTTCAAGACATGCTAAAGACTTGGGTCAAAGACATCATGTCGACCTATTCAATCGACGGGATACGACTCGATGCAGCCAAGCATGTGACGCCAGAATTCTTGCCTGTATTCTATGAAGCCGTCGATTCCTTCATGACCGGAGAGGTGCTCGACGGTTCTATCGAAAATATCTGCAACTACCAAAGCAAGTACATCGAAAGCGTTCCAAACTATCCCGTCTACTACGCCATGCTGAAGGCTTTCACTCTGGGCAACACCAGCGCCTTGGTCAATGAAATCGAGGACATGAAGAATGCCTGTCCTGACGTGACAGCCCTGGCTTCATTCTCCGAGAACCACGACGTCCGTAGATTCGGCAACATGACAGACGACATGGCGGTAAGCATCATCAACCCTCACCAGGACAGACAAAGCCAAAGCTAACCCGCACCCCAGCTCGCCAAAAACGTCATGACATTCACCATCCTCTTCGACGGCGTCCCCATGATCTACCAAGGCCAAGAACAACACTTCTCCGGCTCCGACACCCCCTACAACCGCGAAGCCGTCTGGCTATCCGGCTACGACACCAACGCCCCCTTGTACCAACTAACCGCCAAACTCAACAAGATTCGCAAACACGCCATCCACATCGATAGCAAATACATTACCACCCAGTCTTACCCCATCTACCGCGGCGGCAGCGAAATCGCCATCCGAAAGGGCGTCGAAGGCCGCCAGGTCATCACCCTCCTTTCCACACAGGGCGTAGCTAGCACCCAGTACAACCTCACCATGCCCGTAACCTACAACCCAGGCACCGTGGCCATGGACGTGCTCAACTGCGTCAACTACACCGTCACCGATGCCGGCGAGCTCACCGTCAGCATGGACAAGGGTGAGCCTCGCGTTCTGTTCCCGGCTGATTTGATGGCTGGGAGTGGGCTGTGTGGCTTCGAGGCGAAGAATGTCTCCTACGTCTCTTTAGTGACGGGTAGTGCTTCGTCTGCGAGTCGGGCTTCGCTTGCCGTCGTGGTTTACTCGGCGCTGATATCGTCGGTTGTTTCTGGGTTGATTGTGTGGATGGTATGAGGTGGATGATGGTGTTTTTTTGTTTGGTTCTGATCTGGTCTTGTTTCTTTTGATTCAAGAGGCGTACTGGGGGGTTTGTCTGATACTCTATCCTTTTTATATTATATCCATTTCTGTTGTATATATTCTTTATCTATTTATGGCATGGCTTTTCATGGTCTACTAATCGGCACGCTGAGGAATGCTAATCTGACAGCTAATATGACTTTATACATATATACCAAATAATTTTACGTGAAAGTGAGAGTTCAGAATTCATGTAAATTGGTTCATTTGTTCAGAGTGGAGATTAATTAGCTCCAATCGAAAACTATGAACTAGACCGTCATCCACTTTTTCAGGATGATCTGATCTGCTCGTACCATCGGGAGGAGCGATGTGAACTAGGTATGATCCCGGTTGCTGAGTTGGCGTCAGCCGGGATCAAACAACGCTTTGCAAAATATATACATACAGAGCTAACGCCATTCGAGAGTTTAAAACTCGCGTTTCATATTAGTACACAAAGGGGAAGCACAAGATAAGCAATGTAGAATATGCATTTCCTTCCAGCTCGAGAATCGTTCATGTTCGATAAACAGTGACCAGGGGGTAGGTATGGGGGATCATTTCTAGTCGTTTAGATGATTGTTGATCCTCTACTTGCGGTTGTTGCGCTGCATGGCCAAGATCTGGACCATACGGACGAAGATGTTGATAAAGTCCAACTCGAGGCTGACGCTCTCGTTGACAACGTCACGACGAACCAGGCCACGCTCAGCCATGCGGGCGTGGTGCAGGACCTTCTGGACATCGTAGAGGGTGAAGCCACCGAAGACAGCGAGACCACCGTACAGCCAGATCTTCTCAGACCACATCAGGGCGCGAGTGGCGGTGGCGGGGAGAACCATAGGGGCGAAACCGGAGAGAGCGACAATGGTGACACCAGCAAGGAGAGGACCACCGAGGTACAGGTACTTCTCCTGCTTGGCAGTAGCTCCGACGAAAGCAATCGAGCCCATCATTCCGACAGTGTAGAGACCAGCACGGGCAAGGAGAGCCGGGTGCATGAACATCAGGGGAGAAAGAAGAGCAGCCTGAGTAACGTTGAATGCAGTCCAGAGTCCATACTTCATGACGTAGCTAATGAAATGTTAGTGCCGTTTCAAGGTAAAAAAAGACATATTTCGGTACTTACTTGTCAGGAGACGTGTAGAAAGTTCCGTACATAGTGCCAATGCTTGCAACAAGACCAAGACCAACAACCGCCCAAGGGTTCATGGCCATCATGCGATACGAGAATCCGTTCGTGTGCAAAGCTCTAGCAGCAATACCAATAATACCAATACCAAGTCCAGTGTGCAAAAATGTGTCGTTCAAGTAGCTTCGCTCGTAGTGGGGCATGCCGCCATCTTCTCTTCCCTCACGGTTGAAGATCATGTTTGTCGCGAGGATCGTTCCACCCACAATGGCCGCACCATAGACCAGGCGCTGGGTAAGGTTGCCACCCTGCGCAGCTCCGTAGGAGGGCTGCATGTAGGTCCGTCGGAAAGCATTCTGGAATGTCTGTCTCGACTTGGCGAAGATGGATGACGAAATGGGACTGGTTGGCTTAGCCTGAGAAGGCTTCAAGGGCGAGTTATGGATGAATCGAGCAGTGTTTGTAGATTTGGGGATTTGACGAAGCGCCGAACTAACGGCGAACGGGCGCCTGAGAAAGAAAGCCATGACTGACTGACTGATGAAGTTGTCGTGGGGAGAGTTGAAGGAGAGATGGAGGAGGCTTAATAAAGCAGAGCCAGCGAGGCGCAGATGATATCAGCCATTCCGGGGAGTCCGCTACGGGCGTCCGAACGTTCGAGAAGTGTAGTCACGTGGGTGCAGCGCGCATGCTTACATAACGGATTTTCGGCGATAGCGGGGGAGGGGAAGGGAATTAAGGATTATTGCCGTTGACGATGATGGTCATTCTCGGTGCTTGACGATTTATCTGCGAGGGCTGTGAATTGAAATTTCGAGAATCGTTACTGGAGATTTCTGATTATCCATCATTGCTTGTGACTCAAGGCCATCTCAATTGAACCCGCGCACATCTTTTCCCACCATGTCTTTAGAAACCATAAACCTCCCTCACCTGCCATCCTCTTCGCCAGTGCATGTTGCGCTTTATCGTGACTTGCAAAATGCACCAGCTCTGAGACAGCAGCTGTTGGCAGGAAACGCTGACTTTGAATATGCATTCATCGATGCAAGCATGGTATTTAGAACCTGCACCAGGCAAGCAAGCAATAAGTCTAACCAGAAATAAAGGTATATTCGAGGGCACATGCTCTGTCTGCAATTTTTAGAGCTGTGAACGATTACTTTAACGGACGTCTCAAGTCGCGCAATGTCCACTCGGAGATTGTCTTCTCATTTAGTGCCGCAAACAATGTGAGAGCGCATTAGACAACTCACTTTAACCTTCGCTAATGATATACAGATTGCCGATTCTTTCAGAAAATTCGGTATTGCTGATACAACAAAAGATCTACTGGTTGTTAAATTCTCGGTAACTCCTGAGGTCACGCATGAATCAGTCGCTGCGCATCTGGGACAGTCCGTGGAAGGCTCGCCCGTTCCTTTCAACGACGAAACACTATCTGAAATCTCAGACGTTGGAAAGATCAAGAAAGCTTACAAACTGGGAGCCTTGGCTACTCCTTCGAAGGCTACTCCCAACGGTGCCCAAGATGAAGAAAGGCGACGACTGGAGCTGTCTTTGATCGGCGCTATTGCATTGCGAGGCGCAACCTAATTTTACGACTTGAAATCGTTCCTTATATATGACGAGCATAACCTACATGAGATCGGACACGGTTCATCTGAACTAAGCTTGATCTTGATTGTTCAGATAGCCTTTTGGCATACTCGGCCTCGAAAGAGCTCAAAAGAGTACTTGTTGGCCGGAAGAATTGCGTTCCATGACCAACAGTCCGCTACCAACTAGGCTGTCATGGATCTTCTTACTGGTGCGAAGCTTATACAAAATTTCCTCTGAAGCTTCGAGTCAACTTTGATGGATTCAATCATTGATCCAAAGATACTAGGCGACCGGAAAGGCGTCCAATTTTGCTGCTATTGATGGCTACAATTGAAATACCGGCTGCTTTGAAAGAAACTAAATGTACATAGTACCTTCATATCCTTCAGCGTTAAATACAAAAAGCAGACATTAAAGAAAAAAGAAGTTTTGTCGCACTGAATTCCGGCCGTTGCCCTGCGAACCCATAGAAATGTCCCAAAGCGGTAATAGTGAAACTTTGCCAAGACAAAATTCGCGGAATCGCCGTCATCTTCAACTTTCTTTCCGCATCTTTTCACATTGAAACAAAAGACAATGAACTGAATAAAGGACATCATCGACGACTCTGGAAGGGCTATGGATGTCACTGACTTCAGCTATTTGTGTTGAGAGCTTCAAGAAACGCCCCGTGGCTTGTCACCATGGCCGCCGCAGATGTCATTGTCCTTGATTCTTCTTCGCCAGACAACCCTTCCTCTCGTCCTCCACCACAAGCCCCATATAGCCCAGGAAGGATATTTGGACTATCGCAATACTCGTCTCCGCCCTCATTGATATCGCCATCCCTGCTATTTGAACCCTCCTCGCGTTCCAAATACTTCCCGGTTGAATCCCCGAAAGACGACGGAAAGTCGCAGAACAACGAGAAAAAGGATAGCGAAAAACCGACCAAAAAACGAGCCCCGAACACAGCCAAGAAAACCGAGGACGGGACAGAAGACAAACCGAAACGGGGAAGGAAGAAAGCCACAGCCGACTCGCAGACTGTACTTGGTGTTGCAGAACCCAGTGCTTTAAAGTCCAAGGACAACGCGCCAAAAAAACCCGCAGGGACAAGGAAGAAGCGCACGGAAAACACGGGCAAGCGTGCTGAGACTAAAAATAAAACTTTGACTGGAAGGGTTGCAAAGGCGAGTAGTGTTCAAACGAAAGAATCTGGCAAGAAGGTTGCTGAGCCGACGCCACCAAAATCCGCTACGAAGGAACTCGATGATTGGGGAAAGGAGGGACTTAGACTGGACGCTGCTGTGAAGCGAAGATTGGACTGGACACCTACGAAGGATACTACCAAAAAAGTGTTTGAATTGGATACCGAGTGCGACGCAGGCGATAAGTTGGAACCGACCGGCGTGCGCGGTTTTGGAAATTTGCTGTCTGAATACAACTTCAGTGGAACTCCTTGCCCCCTTGAAAATCTTCAAATGGGCGAGGGTGGTCCAACAAAGCGAAGACGGATAGAGGTATGGCTGACCGCTATCCACAACATTCTTTGACCTGATTCTGATATTTGCACAGCTTGTCGATCCGAATGTCTTCCCTCCTACCAAATCCAATACCCCCGACCATACAGACAAGGCGCCAAGAGAGAGTGAACAGCCATCGGCACCACAAACCGGAAAGAACACCAAGAGACAAACAAAGAAGACAACGACTCTTACGGCTCGCATGACAGCGCAATATGCCACTGATGATACAGAAAGCTTGGATACCTCGGGAGAGAACACAGCGGTGGAGGACACTGGTAACTCTAAGCCTAAACGTAAAAGCAGAGCAAAGGCGAAGCCCCAAGAGCCGGAGTTTATCGTCTTGTCGCCAGAAGCTGCTGTCAAGTCTCTCGATGACCAAGATCTCATGTTTGGCACCTGCAGCCAGCTGGAACGGGAGGATTCGCCAACCATGATAAGAGACATGCAAACTGCAATTCATGCCTCAGAAAGCCACATGGTATCAGAGAAAATCCGTCCCAATGAGGGGACGAGTTCAAGATTTTCGTCTGGTTCAAGTGTATCACGCTTCAGTAAACCGAGAAATTTATGGTCCGTTGCTGCCAGGGACACGGATGGATCACTACTCGACGTCGAAGTTTTGGATATGGTAGACGTGTCGGATGTATCTCAAATTCCTTCTAAGGATGATACCTTGCAACATAGCCAAAATCAGGGGGAGAAAGCATTGGACTCAACGGTGATTGACAAGAAGCAAGATGATGAGCCCCCGAAGGAAACATCCAATCCTAGGGAGGAACCACCTGCCATTGCCGCTTCTGCGAGACGTAACAGCGAAAAGCCGGAAGAAACCAATGCTTTACCTGTTCAATCGCATGCGCCAATGCCACAATGGAGTGGCTTCACGGATGCTGAACTATCTAAGCAAGTTGCCTCCTACGGCTTCAAGGCAGTGAGAGGCCGCAAGAAAATAATCGACCTGCTCCAAAAATGCTGGGAGTCGAAGCACGGTACAAGCACCAACCCTGATGGTGATGACAGACAGAGCAACCCTCCTGAGACGCTGGTGTCGAGGTCCACTTCAAAACAGCCAGAAATGACCAAGAAAAAAGAAACGAAAACCAAGCCATCTCAGAACCAAAAACCAAAGTCTCAACCAAAAGCGCCTTCGGATACAGCGGCGGTAGCTGATGCACCAATGATAGCGGTTGCTAGGGGCCGCCAGAACTCTTCTCGCCCGCCAAGTAGGTCAAGCAATACTGCTGAAACAAAGCCTGCTACGCCACAGAAAACAAAGAAACGCCCATTGGCATTTTCATTCCGAGACATCGAAGAAATCGAAGATTCCGAGGAGGAATTCCTACCTTCTCCGAGCCAGATACAAGATTTATATCTCGACCATAACAACACATCTACCCAACCTCTGTCGCTCTCTGCAGCTCCTTCCACCCCGACTCGCGCAGCTCCAAAATCGCAACCCCAACAATCTACTCAGGATACCTCCCCGCAAACCAGCCTCCCTGACTTGGCTTCTCAGATTACAAAGGCTGTGCGTATGCAGCCTCAATTACCCTCCATCGATGGCCAGAAACGTCTTACCTGGCACGAGAAGATCCTCATGTACGATCCTATTATCCTCGAAGAATTCACTACCTGGCTGAACACCGAGGGCCTGGGGCTTATTGCAGAAGATAGAGAAGTTAGCGCAGAGTTCGTACGGGAATGGTGTGAAGGCAAAGGCATATGCTGTTGTTTCTTGCCCAAGAAAAAAGAAACTAAGAAAAGAGGAAGAGGCAAGAAGTCCAAGTGATGCAGTCTTCTCTTTTTGCTTTGCTTCGGTTTATCTATTTTGGTGTATAATATGCCTTTTTTTATTTATTGCAGTCACCGTTTCCGTGCTGCATGTTTGGTTTTGCCCAAATTTGGAGTATAGGTACTATATTTTTGGTCGTTTTATCAAGGCGTCTTTGGGGTGATGGGTTTTGTATACATATAGAGATACCCTTATAACTTGTACAAATGTTGATAGGAAAGAATAATTCCTGCCTTTCGGCTGTTGGATTTTTGATATCATTTTGTATAGTTTCAATATCAAATTATTACCTTTAAATAAAGAGAAACAAAATGGGTCTAAGCTCATTTCTAAGATACTATTTTCAGTAATGAAATGAACATCAAGGGAAGTCTAGAAGCAGACAATGTAGTTTCAATGAAAACGATTTTGTTAAATAAAAATTAGACTGAAATAATCACAAAACAAATATCTGCACACAGAGAAAACCACACACAAGGAAAGAAACCAAAAAACAAAAAAAAAAAAAAAAAAAAAAAATTCACAGAAAAAGCAAAAGACAAACGACTCAACTCCCATCTCGAGTAATACCGTCGACTTTAAACTGAACACCATGTTTTTGCCACAGCGTCATTAACCCACATGGATGCAAGAGTCGAATGCTTAACCATTTCTCGTTCATTTTCACCTTTGTTTTATACCGTTAGTATATAATCTCTCATAATGGAAATCATGGACTCGGGGGTGGATTAGGCGGAGAGAATTGCGGAAACTGGGCATATAAAGATGGTTGGTAGGGTTGAGAAAGAAGACTTTGAGGATTAGTAGTAGTAGAAGGCTGTTGTTGTGTAGGTTGAAACTGATGGCTTTGAGAATCTTGAGCAAGCTGGGGATATAGACCGGTCTGACTGGACAGCAGGTTTTGAGGGTTGGCGGTATTAGATGGTTGTTGCTGTGTAAGTTGTGTAGTTGGGGGTTGAGACTGGGGGGTTTGGGACATCTGCGAAAGATGAGGGTATATGCCGTCCTGGGTAGATTGACTAGGCAGAAAATTCTGGGAATTGATGGTGGGAGGTTGTTGGGTAGGCTGTGAGGCTTGGGGGAACTGGGGATATTGAGCTTGTTGGTAGGGTTGCGAAAGGGGGTTATTCTGAGAGTTCATGATATTGAAATGTTGTTGAGGGTATAGACCAGTCTGAGCAGGCTGGTTTTGCGGATAGTTCTGGGGTTTGAAACTGGTAGGATGCTGTTGGGTATAAGGAAAGTTTTGTTGGAGATGAGGGTATAAAACGGGGTTGGTGGTAGTAGAATCTTGCTGCGCAGGCTGAGATGATTGGGGCTGGGGGTTTGGGAGGAGTTGAACATGAGGGTATAAACCAGTCTGAAAAGGCAGACTAGACAGAGCATTCTGAGAATTGGTAGTAGATGACTGTTGGGTAGGCTGAGAGGACTGGGAAGGCAAAAGGTATTGAGGAAACATGGAAGTTGGAGTAGGAGCAGACTGGGGAGGTTGAGGTCGCGGTTGCGTATTCTGAGGAAGTGTAGGGTATTGAGGGGTTTGGGGAAACTGGGGAAGTTGAGAAGTAAAAGGGTACTGAGAAGAAATAGGAGGATAAAGAGGTTGAGTAGAGGGTGAGGGCTGGGTTTGGGTGATCTGAGGGGGCTGAGATGTTTGGGTATTTTGGAGTTGAAGATTCGCAAAATGTGAATTCCAAAATCCAGGAGATGGAAGGCCAGTATTTACCTGAGCGTTTGCTTGATCTGTTCCCTGATCAGCTCCGTGATCATTCGCTTTGTTCGTCGTTGTCGCTGTAGTCGCTGTAGTCGCTGGAGGCGCGGTCACAGAGTCTTGAGGATCAAGTACTGGCTGCTGGTTAGAGAGGGGGGCAGTTTGGAATGGGAGCTGCAATGGCGGGGACAAGGCAGTTCCACCAGACACGCTGGGCAGAGCGGGCAAAGACTCGTCAGACATGCCTGCGAGGGCATCATCAAAGCTCCAGTTAGAAAAGCTCGATGAACCTACATCTGGCAGGGGAGGGAAGGAAACATCCCCAAGAGGCGCGCTTACCTTTGGCTGATTGCTCTGGTCGTTATTAGCCTGTCATTTGTAAAGATTAGCAGATTTCAATCGATGCAGGGAAGGAGACTCACAGGTAGCTCGGGATACGTGGCTCGATATCTTGCTAGCTCATTGTGCAGTTGCTCGTTCTCAAGCATCAATCTCTCGTTCTCGGCTTGCAATCTCGCGTTTTCTTCTTGTGCTGCTTGTAGAGCTCCGCGAGGTGCAGACACTCCCCTGATTCGGTCAACCATTTCGCAAACCACCCCTGCTTTAATGCAATTTGTACATCCATTGGGTCCCATATCGCACCTTGCCTTTCTGCCCTATAGACATGTTAGCAAATGAAAAAGAGAAGGGGAAAGACATCTGCACGGAAATAAATCTTACCCTGCAACGGTTACACGCCTGGCCAGTTCGCCTGGAAGTCTTCACTTTTGTCTCAGCCCTCCTATTATAGTCCTCTATTGAACACTTGGCTCTCTTTGGTTTATTTGGGTCTTCTGCAGGAGGGTTCGCATGGTCAGCTGCAATGGTAGCATTGTCGTTGTTATCTTGAGTAATCTCACCAGTTCCAGCTGGCTGTGCATTGTCTGCTGCTTGGGTCGCAGGAGGATTTGTGAAGTTAGCTATGTTATTGCTGGTGTCATTGTTATAACCATTCGGTTGAGCAGTCTCACCAGTTCCAGCTGGGACCGTACTGTTAACTGCTGTCTGCAAGTCAGGGACAGCCACAGACGCCGAAGCAAACTGTACGTTGTTAGTTCCATCGCCATGGTTAGTTATAGGGTTCTGAGGCTGATTGGCGTTGCTGTTGCTGCTACCATCACCGTCGTTGCCACTGACTTGATTGAACTTGCGCTTGGTTCCCGCCATTTTGATAAACCCAAGGTACGCTTATCAGGCCACGGGGGTTTCCGTTCTGTATGGAGGTCGAAATGGTCGATCGAGTATGGCAGGAGGGTAAAGGGGTATGCCGATTGAGTGATGTGATGGGAAAAATGAAGAGACAAAAGGTTGTCGAGGATATGAGATAAGAGAGAGAGGGGAAATATCCGTCGACATGCAGGATAATGCCTCTTATATGTCCCTGTGGGAGTCCTCCCACCACTCTCTGCAATATTGCTCATTGTAAGCATTGTTTTGGAAGACAAAAGAACAGAGCAAGGCCCAGAAGACTTACAATGGCATCCAGTGTAAGGATGAGAGACAATGGTGTCCGAGTGTCCATTCTGGATACCATATGAAAGAACCAATGGTCATTCTTTGGACTAATTCTTCATGTTTTCTGCAACCACCTTCGAGTTGTAGATGGCAGGACAATCGAGGAGTCGAAAATGAAGCAAGAACAGACCAAAGAAGATTATTGTACCAATGCTTCTTTGTTTTGGGTCTAATAATTACTTAGTCTGACGCTTTCGCGAAGGAATTGAAACCCACCCATTATTATGCCGTTTCTCTTTGTTGCTTTTGAATGATGCAACAAGCGAAGAAAGGCAGCTATAGAGGAACAATGATTACAAGCCAAAACGAAACAAAGGCCCGAGACTTTATATTCAAAAATCAACGAAGAGACACTAAGAAATCAAAGAGAAAGTGTCCAAAACTTGGCCTCTTCAATTATCCCTGGGGTTAAACAGCGCTGAGCGCCCCTTGAAACTTGATAGAGACCGGTAAAGTCTTTCTATTCAGATACGAAGGTATCTCCAAAAAAAAAAGGAAAAAGGAAAAAGGGTTAAAAATGAGCATCTAAGATACAAGAATCACTTTGAAACCGAAACCAGCTCCGACATGCTATGTGAAACGAGCGACCAAAATCCAAATCCTTGAACGAATTGTACTGCCATATGCTTTGCCTTCAGTAAAACTCCTTCCGTGCCCAAGCATCCATAGAAACTGAATGAAAAATCGTAAAAGCGTCCCAAGAAATGCAAAATCCCCAGTTCCAATCTAGCCGGGTAAGACACCGAAAAAGCGCAGTAGAACGAAGTAAATCAGATGGCACAAGTTGCTTCCAGATATCAATCAATATGATGTCAAAGTCCCATAACGGTCATCAATCATGATAGACTGGAGGGTAACGAGAGTGAAAAGCTTTGGAAGGGAGAAAAAGGCGCAACTCCCCAGAGATAAAAGCAGAAAGCAGTCGGAGTGATAGTGAGGGGGTAAATACAGACATTATGACAAAAAAGATTAGACAATAAATATTTCGAAAATGGTAAGCAGAAACCGCCCATGTTTTGAATGGTGCGGGGAGGCGGGGAAAGCCATATTATGGCGTAGGTGATAGAGTTCATATAATGTGTTGCAATGATGCACTCAATGGTCATCGAGAAGGTGAGCGGTTTCTCGCGACAGTGTCGAAGCGGATTTTGTTTTGATATCTGATAGGCCCATCATCTTCCAGCCAGGGAGTGAGATTTTTGCACTGGCTGACATCAAAGGATTCAAGCTGGTTACAACCATCGGCTACTGCCTCGACTCCGATGCCAGTAACCCGTACGCAGCCACGGACAGACAGGTGTTTGAGATTTAAGAGATGAAGACCAATACTGCGTAGTGAAGGGTCGGAAATCGCAGAGCCACAGAATGACATACTGAGATGCGTCAACTGAGAGCATTGGAGAGCAAGAACTTCCGTTGCGGTATCTGAAAGTGCACAGCAAAACGACTGTGATGGTTAGCCAATTCATCCAGTGGGAACTTCAGTCTAACAAAAGACGGGATACTTACCAAGTCCAATTCTTGCAGTTGCTTGGCAGCATTTGTCAGGTACACAATGGCGTTATCAGTCAAATATGTGCAATCCGCCAAACAGAGCTTCCGTAGCCTGGAGAATTGGGCATTTCCCCAGTACTGGAATCCGTGGTCTGTGATGGTAGTACAGCGTGTCAAGTCCATCTCCTCAATTCTAGAGGCGGCATGAGACGCAATATGGTGCATGGAGCGATCCGTGACATGTTTGCAATAAGACAGTGTCAAGCTCCTCAGTTCAGGGCATCCGTATACAGTGCCAGCTGCAGTCTGCGTGGTAGGCTTCAGAGCTGCCTTGCCTGTCTTCCCTGACTCCTCGGCTGGCTTGTGCTGTCCAGGTGCGACCCAGCCAACAATTCGAGCCAAGAGCGTGTCTCCAACTTTTCGACAATTGCTCAGATCGACTTCCTGCAGATGGTTTGCTTTGCCAGACATGTCTAAAATGGCGGATGCAGTAACGTCCCAAACACTTTTCATTTTCCAACCGACAACATTCGGGCCACATGTAGTGGCCAACTTTGTGAATCCCTCATCGGTGATATGGAAACAATTACTGATGTCAATATAACGCGGTCGTTGCCCGACAAATGGACAAATGATTTTGACCAGAACTTCGTCGGTGACACTGCGATTGTACATGCTAAGATCCAGGTTTCGAAGCAGGTCAACAGATTTACTAAGAATATCTGACCAGTGAAGAGACACGGCCCGGAGGCGTAGGAGGTGGTGAAGATCCAACTGCTGGAAGATAGCCAACAGAATGCTGTCAGGAAGAATACCGCGGTTGTCATGTCGGAAGGGTCGCTGCTCTTTCTGGGGCTGCGATAGGCCGTTGGTTTCAGAAAGAGCAAAAGAAGAGCTGGCAGAGCGAGGTTCAGACGGAGGTGATGGTCGCTGTTGCTCTCCAGAAACTTCTTCGGGGGCCAATGGGGCTACTGACCCGCGTCGGCTTCGAAGTCGAACCTTGTCCAACCCGACGTTAAGATAAGGGTCTGGATCCGATGGCCGCAACACAATGTTATGGTCATCTATGCCGTTGGGCTTATGGGAACTGTCTAGTTCAGTTTCCGTGAGGGTCAGGAGAGGCATTGACTGCCTTCGAGAAGTAGAAGCTTTGAACTTGTCGTCGATAGTCAGTTCATTAATGGATTTTTCGGTGTCCGTTGCCTCTGACATGACGACATCGCCGTCGGAGGCCGACTGGAGCCTCTCTTTGGCGGTGCTTTCCACCTGTTGGCGAACATCCTTGGGACACTTTTCCCAAAACTCGACGAGAACTTCGCCACTGATCATGAGACATTCGACAAAGCTCACCGAGCGGACAGTTGCTGTCCTGCGCGGTGCAAGTGAAAGACTCACGACCTCTCCGAAATATTGCCCTTGTCTCAAACGAGCTTTCACCTCAAATCCGGGGTTTTCAATATTGGCTGATTTACGACGGTTATCATTGGGGTTTGTTCGCTCGGTAAGAACTTCAACTTCGCCGCGCACTATGAAATAAACCTCGCGACCTTGTGAATCCTGCTGAACGATGTCGGTGAAGGGAGGGTATGATCGTGGTTGGGCATTGAGGCCCAGAAAGTGAAGGATATCGGGAGGCAGGCCAGAGAATAAAGGCAACTCTTTAAGCAAGAGACGCACATTTACCAGGCCATTCGCGAGGGCACTCGATGAAGCTCCATCGGTCAAAACGGGGCTCGGGGACTTGCGTTTCTTGTTGACGGTCTTGAAAGTCGGGTTTTCTCGCTCGGTAATGGACAAGTCTCTGGAAAAGCTTTCTCTTAGTCGTTTTGAACCCCTCCGTGCAGGAATCACGGGGTCGAGGTCGACTGCTGGAGCCGATGTTTCCTTCTTTTTCTTCTCCAAAATCATCAATCGTTCTTGGGCTTCATCTCGAATTGCGCGTTCAACTTCAGGAAAGCGAGGAAGGATATTTCTGAAATCCTCTTTGGTCAACACTACAAGCAAGCATCTTGTTCGAGCGATAATGGTAGCCGTCCGAGGCCGGTCCATCAGTACACCAATCTCCCCAAAGAATGCGCCCGGCTTGAGTTCTGCATGAATACTTTCACCATCTCGGGAGGTGACGGAGACCGCACCCCGGACCAACCAGTATATCGCCTTAGCCTCATCGCCTTCTGTCAAAATATAATCGTTCGCGGAGTGCAGCTGAGGACGAAGGTGTTGACCGATGTTGATCAAGAATGACTCCGGGGTCGATTGGAAGAGGGGAAACGAGCGCAGTCGGTCGACTAAGTCCAGAGGCAATGCCTGGATATGAGAAGATGCCAACGGAGACGGGCGGACAGGACGATTGGGATTTGTGATAGAATCAAACGAATGGATCAGCGATACAGTGTCGGAGATGGGCGTGACCGCCTTAGTCCCTCCACTGGCCCTATGACGCCGCATGATGATTGATCGCGTTCCCTGGCGAGAGAAAGAAAAAATTGGTGTTGGGTTCCAAGAGACAGCATGTAGTTCGCTGGTAAGCGATCAATGGGCCGATGACGTCGACGAGAGCAGCAGAGTCACGGAGCTTTAAAAAGCATTTCCAGAACCGGGGAGGAAAATAGGTTTTGAGGCGGGAAGAAACGTCAGCAGGCGATCATCGGAGGCAGTTAGATACGGAGCGAGGTGGGAAGCGAAGGGAAATATCGAAGGCAGAGGGAAGAAAGAACAAGGTCATATGCGATACTGTAGAAAAGCATGGTGGTTAGACGAGAAGCGACAATTCCAACAATCATCCAGCGTGGAAGCGGGGAATCACAAACGTCAAATGCTGGTCGAGCTCCACCACTTCGGCAGGTTAAGTAATAAGGTGTAGGTTCCGAGCGATGGAACAGCCTGGGAACAGCTAAGGAATGCGGCCAATCAATGGGGGAGGAGGGCAGCTCGGAGGGGGGTTGAGCAGCTCCTGCACCCTCCAGGAGCGGTGAAATGGTGGTTGTTGGAGGGGGAAGAGTGGGAGAATTCGGAGGAGTAGAGATGATGCCGAATGCGTAGAGGGTTGGCTGCAAAAAGGTGCTGCGATGGAGTTGGTGTTTGGTGGTGGTGGGGGGCTTTTGGGGGGAAGAAACGGAGTGGGCGCAACACCGCCGGTCTGCAAGCAGTGCTTCTTTTTTTTTTTCAAGCGGTCTGCCGCAACAGATGGGCGGAGAGATAGGTAAATATCTTTCCCTGGCAGCAATTGATACGGGTGAATTTCTCAGTTAATTCTTTTTATTCCCTTGGATGGAGGATTCTGTAGTAACGACAGAAATAGAACTGGGAGAGCAGCCGGACTTGGGATGATTCACCAGGAGGGCAAAAACGACAAAGAAAAGAAGAGGATAAAAAGACGGTGGCTTCCTGCAGGGGAACTGATCTAATCGTCTAATACTACTTAACTAGCTAGCTAGAGATAAAATACATCAATGACTGTCTACACTGCCCACAGCCAAAATCAATATCATCATCATCGCCGGCTATTAATAGTGATGATGCATTCCGCACAGCTCTCCCAAGTGGTGTGTGACAGTACCACGAATCGAATATGAACCTGTTCCTACATACAGCCCTAAAGGATAAAAAGGCTACAGAGTACATATAATCTGGCAGATTATTCCCTGGCGATCGACCGATTCCATCGAATAATAATCATGAATGGAACTCTTCTGTAAAGCAAAACTCCCCCACTGATGCTGGCCGCGGGGCTGCGCAGGGGCCACTTGGAGTCTTGGATGGCTTCCAAGTCCACGTGCCCGCTTGCAGTGTCTCTCTTTCCAAGGAATTTGGATTCTTGATACGAGAAATGGATTTAGTACAAATGTTTGATTTGAACTTCTTCGTGGATGGATTGAAATTAGCTAGTCTATAGTGACTGTCTTCCCATCTGATTTATATTCAGTGAACCTGAAGCTCATGCGGGATAGCAAAAGCTCATATCTCCAGGGATAATGACGTCCTGAAAATAATCCTAGGGGGACCGGCCCCCTTTTCAATCCCCTTTGCCTTTCGTGGAAGGACTTTGGAACCTGGCCTCGGTGTGTGTATATACGAGTAGGGCGAAATATATAGTCGAGGTAAGAGTGGAGATTATGTGCCGCTTCTATTTCAAACAGATCACGAGGTAGGCCGTGTTCTGACAATCCGGACCCCTGGTGTTGTCATCTCAAGGCCCTGCCCCTGGATTGTGATTGGGCCATCTTGTTGCGGTTGGTATTTGGCCTGGGCTCATGCTTGACACAGTGCAGAAAGCTCGGAATTCGAGAGGTACACCGGAATCACGCAAATGCGTACCACAGAAGAGGTCGTTCGGAGATCACTAACGCGAGATGTAATCTCTTTTGATCTCAAACTGAACCACCATCCTGGACTCCCGACCGACGGTTTCCTAATAAGAAGTCGATATATGCAGGTCGGTTGCCCTTGAGTGACTCCAGGCCATCCTGCATCAACCCGTAGGCCAGGGAGAGTTTCAGACCAAGCTTAGTCGTCCGCGCGGCGGTATACACATCATGACGGGCTAGAGAAGATAATCGGTTAGTTCTGTCTGCTCCAATATAAGTGAAGGAACATACCAAGCAGGCTGTAGATCCCAGAGAAAGATAAGCCAGCTGTAACTGTAGACAGAAAATCCCTCTGGTCATGCCGGGCATAATCCACCGCCTCCTCAAAGAGACTGAAAGCCAAAGCACCAGTACCAAGTTTGAGACCCATCTTTGTCCCTTCTTTCACACCTCCTACAATCGATGTGTAGTTCTTTGTCTTGTGATACTGAAACCATCCGCTCGATGTCGTGGGGAAACGATGCGCGTTCTCTGCGCGAAACTTGTACGAAGCTTTTTTGCTGCCATGGGAGGAGCCAATGGCCATACCGACGGTAAACGCGGAAAATGTGGTATATGGGAGACGCTTTCTCACTTCCATTCCCAACCGTGGAGGGGAGTCAGAATCGAAGAGTTTGTGCCAATTGATGATCTTCAGCAGTGCTGAGTCGTGAGGGCGTGGGCCCGACGGTGTTTGCTGGGAGTTCATGTTTGACGGTTGCTCATATAATATCCTCAGATAGGCAGAAATAAGAAAAGAGTTGAAATTTGAATAATCCACCCGTCGCCAGCTGGCTTGAGCTCTGTAGAAAGTGTAGTCTGTTGTCTGGAAGGGTGTTCTTGGAGTTGGCGTGAAATCGCCGCGGAGATCGAGAACAAATTCTCCGGCTTCCCGACTCACCTAACCAAAGCTCCCCGCCAAAGCTCATCTGAGAGCCTCCACATTCCAGATTCTCCAGCCCTCAAAATGGTAAGAAGCTTTTGATTATTTTGATGAAATGATTTATTTTAACTAAAATGCTATTCACAGTCGAAACCAGACCCTCTGAGCTGGACGCTCTTGTTCAAAAAGCACCGAACCACCGTGCTTCTCATGCTGTCGCCTAATGAATCCATCAAAACCGCCAAAGAAGCCCTCCTCAACGCACTCAAGTCCCGAGGACTGACAGATATCAACGGCGAATCCATCCCGGAAGATCCCGCTCAAGTTGAATTCGGTGTGGCAGTTGACAAGAATGATTTAGAAAAGGGCTGGACCATACTCGAAGTTGAAGCTGGGAAGAAGACCGGCTCTGCCAGCCTACAGGCGGCCGACCTTCGAAACGGTCAGCCCATCGCTTTCAGATTCCGGGAACGCAGTGAAACTGAGAAGGATGACCTGGATATCGATAACAAGGATCCTGGTTGGGATATTGTTGTTCCTAGTCTTGACGATGAGGAGGAAGAGCAAAGCTAATTGTGACTTCCTTCCCTTCTCTCTACTCTATTTACGGCGCAAGGTTTAGTGGGATGCTCAGATGAGACATACATACATTACGGCGTTCGACATAGTATTGCTTTATTAGGGGGTGTCAGAAGAGCTTGAATGATAATGTGACATGTTATGACCCAAAGAAAACAAAGGCATTAGGTGTGGCGTGGCTATATGTTCATCGCTCCAATGTATGATCCTCTATCCATCTTGTTGACCTGGAAGGTTTCAGTAAATAGGCATCTCGAGTCCTTCCTTGTCTTGGCCACAACAAGACCGCTGACCTCATTAAATGCCTATCATCTATGCACATGCAAAAGTAAATAAGTAATATCATGACGTCGGGGACGTGTGGCTTTATCAATAGTCTGGTTGATTGATGCATCACAGAAATTGATCTGCGTGACTGGAGTATAATCTCATGGCGGTGAGGCGATCATGCAAAGGGGGAGGGGCTTGAGATGATCAGAAGATCTCGTCTAAGATTCATTTCAAAGAAAGGTGTGTGTCTATTGGCCTCATCTTCGACGTTGGACAAAGGGATCATTTGAATGAATGGATATCGATTCCAAGTCCAAGAATATCAGCCAATCAACGACTGCTCGTGCGTGGGCATAGCATAGAAAAGTCGTGGTGTTTGTTCATCACCCTTGAAAATCCGCCAAGGTTGCTCGTGTAGCCTAAACCCACATCTAATCTCCCTATCGACACGCGGCGCTGGTTGCCAGGAGCAACAGGCGTGCCAACACGAAACCATCAACAAGTGTGGCTTGAAACCGACAGATGAGTTGTAACTCAACAGGGAGCAAAGTGTCTCTGGGGAATAAAAAATCAAGCAATTAAGGTAGGTCCACAGCAACATTCCTCAATCTGCGACTTTTCTGGGTCTATCGATACACTCTTATCTCCCATCCCATCTATCCCAAATCGCTCCGTTTTTTCGCCCTCACCATCGGAGGTGCTGGCGTTGACTGGGTGTTTTCGACAACCACCGCCCGCCGCACACCCCCGCGTCCGAGTCTTGCTTTGGTATCTTGTTGAATCGACGCGACGACTTTTACCGGTTATCTATACGCATCATGGCTGCCTCGAGCGGCGCATCCTCCATCACAGTCGCGGTTAGAGTGAGACCGTTTACGATTCGAGAGGCAGCTCAGATCTCGAAATGTGAAGATGGGCCCCTTTTCCTCGGCGACGGATCTTTGGCTGGAGCGCCTACGCCAAAGTTGAATCAAAAGGGAATTAGATCTATCGTCAAGGTGATCGATGACAGGTGTCTGTGAGTAAACCGGATTTGGTCGTTTTTGTGTGTTTTGGACAGTGAATTGACTAGTTTGAAGTGTATTCGATCCTCCAGAAGACAGCCCGGTTCAGAAGTTTTCGAAGAGCGTCGTTCCTACCGGCAAGCGAGTCAAGGATCAGACTTTTGCTTTTGATCGTATCTTTGATCAAAATGCCTCACAAGGAGAGGTGTACGAATCGACTACTCGAAACCTGCTCGATAGCGTCCTCGACGGGTACAATGCCACAGTATTTGCTTATGGTGCGACCGGGTGTGGAAAGACTCATACAATTACTGGCACAGCACAGCAGCCGGGTATTATTTTCCTTACTATGCAAGAGCTGTTTGAACGGATCGAGGAGAGATCGGAGGAAAAGTCGACGGAGATTTCGCTCTCTTACCTTGAGATTTACAACGAGACTATTCGAGATTTGCTGGTTCCAGGTGGAAGCAAAGGTGGTTTGATGCTTCGAGAGGACACAAACAAGTCTGTTTCTGTATCTGGACTGTCAAGCCACCACCCGCAAAGTGTGCAGCAGGTTATGGATATGATCATGAAAGGCAATGAATGCCGCACCATGTCACCAACAGAGGCAAACGCTACTTCGTCGCGATCGCATGCTGTTCTTCAGATCAACGTGGCCCAGAAAGACCGCAATGCCGATGTTAACGAGCCCCATACCATGGCCACCCTGAGCATCATCGATCTTGCAGGTAGCGAACGCGCAAGTGCCACCAAGAACAGAGGCGAGAGACTTTTTGAGGGAGCGAACATCAACAAATCATTGCTAGCGCTGGGAAGTTGTATCAACGCCCTCTGCGATCCTCGGAAACACAACCATGTACCATATCGGAATTCGAAGCTTACCCGTCTCTTGAAATTTGCCCTGGGTGGTAACTGCAAGACAGTCATGATTGTTTGCGTCAGCCCATCCAGTCAGCATTTTGACGAAACCCAAAACACTTTGCGCTATGCGAATAGGGCGAAGAACATCCAAACGAAAGTTACGAGGAATGTTTTCAATGTTAACCGCCATGTCAAGGATTTCCTGGTGAAGATCGACGAGCAAATGGCACTTATCAACGAGCTTAAGGCACAACAAAAGGATTATGAGAAGGTTGCTTTTGCAAAGTTCAAGAAGCAAAGCGAAAAGAAGGATGCAGTCCTCCGGGAAGGTGTTGCTCGCATTCGAAACGCCTACGAGCACACACTACCAGAAAGACAAGAAAAGACCAGCAATATGCTTAAATTAAGGCAGGTTAGCCGCAGGATCGGACTATTGTCTTCCTGGATTGCTGCTTTCGACAATGTGTGTGAGAGTTGTGAGGATGAAGAGCCCCTACCGAATCTCCAGGCCATCCGCAAAACAGCACAGGGTATCCTCCTCGAGTTGGAAAGTAGTAGACACCACTATCGTCAGCGACTGGCCAAAAACAACTGGGATCGAGGAATTAACTCCGCTGTCGAAAATGCCATCCGTCAACTCCAGGATTTCGATATTAGTGACAACAGTGATCTTGCCAACCTGAACCGTGAAGCAGAACTTCTCAGGGCGAATACAGAACGCGAGGCGTTATCTGCGGTAGCAGAGCAGGACAAGGCGGGGGATGCCGCAACCGTGCAACTGCTCCTTCAAGCACAATTTGAGACAATCATGGCCGTCCAGAACATCATGCACATGAGCGAAGATGAGGCAATCGAAGCCGGAAAGAAGATACTCGCGAAAATGCTCAACTCATGCACCAACGCCGTGACCAATGTTGTCAAACCAGACGCCAGCTTAGCGCCAGCTCCAACCTTTAGTCCTAGGAAGAGTCCCTCCAAGCTTTCCTCTCCCAAGCCGAAGAAGAGGGTGAGTCTTCTCAGTGCACCAGGTGGGAAGGCATTGAGTGCCCCTATCACATTTGCGCCACCTGCAGCACCCCCCTCTCCTGTGAAGGGATCTCCTAGGCGCCGAAAGCCCACTGTCGGAAGGAAGAGTGTTAGCTTCTCCCCCAAGAAAGCTCATGTGAAAGTACCAAAGAGAAGTGTCCGGTGGAAGGACGATGAGCAGGATGGGTCCCTTGCCGAGTTTCAGAGAACGCCACAAAAGCCAGAGACTGTCCTGACTATTCCTGACCGCGAAGGAAGCCCCGTTGAGCCAACGCTGCCTAGAGCATCTCCTATTCCCCGGGGAATCCCAGTGCCTAGCAGGAACGTCAGCCCCTCAACAGGGCTGGGCAGCTCTCCAATTCCAGCACCAGCTTCAGAGCCGACGTTGAACATCCCGAAGAACAGCAGATTCGCAGCTGGCTTTTTGGCAAAGAAAAACAGTGCGTCTCCGATTGCGCAGCCTTCGTCGAGGCTTTCCCTCTCTGATAATGAGAACTCCCCTCTTCGTGACATCGAAAACAGCAGCTTCCTGAATCGCGCACCTTCTGAACGTCCGTCTAGAATGCCCGTCCGAACTTCGAGTGGAGGATATTCGAGCAGTCCGATCTCCGATAGCAAAGACAACTGGAAAGCCAGCAAAGACGAAGCCATCAAGATCAACTCCGCAATGAGACGCATTTCTGGCGGTTCGTTTGGCCTTGGACCGTCGGCTAACGCCCTCCGCATTCACCGTCGACGTAGCCCGACATCTGGGTCATATGGAAGTCCTCCCAATGAAAACCACCATATGAACACCATGTTCACCGCATCTCAGGCACGACGAATGGTTAAGGGTGACCGAGAACATGAGGTTAAACCTAGGGTCTTGAGCCCTCGAACCATTCCTGTCATGAAAAATACTGGACGACGTACCACGTTTGGGGGCAGGGATGCGATCAGACTCAATGCGATGGCAACTCCAAGCATTGACCAGAGCTTCAATGTACCTGCTGGAAGTGCATTCCAGTAAATGAACTAATTTTGTGAATTTTTTATTTTCTTTGTCTTTTTTTGGGTGATATGGGTACATGGGAAGGTGTTCCGGATGACAGATACCACTTGCTTTTTTCATGTTCAAATATGGCATACTCAATATGCAAACCATACAACTGGTTTCTGGTGCATTCAAAGATTTTCTCTTCTTCTTTTTGGGTCATACTCTCTGGTCAGAGATGGTTGGAGAAATTCTGATGCAGTTCCTTTCTCCTTTCGATGTGAATGTTTTTCTTTGTATGTGACATCATTTTCGGGGCCCTGTACAATAACAGATTTTACTCAAAGCCTTTAAATTAGGCTGTTTATTCAATCTTTTTCCTCTGTAAAAATAAATCATCGCTCTGCATTACTTTGTGGACTAGCTGCAGCTGAAGAGTTTGGTGTGGATAAATCTCCCCGCATTTCTAGAAAAGCCCTCGGATGACGCCACCGACTGAAGCTCTGTTGACATTAATTAGCAGTTTAACGATCTTTATGATCTAATCGGCTTTGTCTTCCGGTTTCCTGCATTCATTTAATTGTGCAATCCGTCTTGTTCTCGTGTCGCTTGAACTGGACTCTGCTAATCTACCCCTCATATTCCCTCTGTCGTTCTCCCCCGCAAAGATTTTTTTCCTGCGATAAGACAAACAGCTTCCTTCAGCCCCTCCAAATATTGCGTCAAAGGCAAAACCACCCACCACAACGCTTCCCTTTTCTTTTTGAGTACGTATAAAATTCCAAATGACTTTCGCCGCATCCGCGATTGGGTCGACCTTATTCCCACGCTTTTTCCGCCCTTTCTCGACTAGCTCACCCTTCCTCTCGTTGACACCTGAATCCTCCTCCCGGAACATGTCGGACAGCACGGAAAAGGCGACAGTGGCCGCTGGCTGCTTCTGGGGTGTTGAGCACCTGTATCGCAAGAATTTCGGTAATGGAAAGGGTCTTCTGGATGCTAAGGTTGGATACTCTGGTGGTGAGACGTCGGATCCTTCGTACCGATCTGTGTGCTCCGGAACGACTGGACGTGAGTTTTGCCATTATTCAAGTCCTACTGATTTTTTTAATTTCTTTTATCTATGAATCCTGGTTCTGATTGATTTGTATAGATGCCGAAGCTCTCCAGGTGATCTATGATCCTTCCATCGTCAGCTACCGCCAGCTTCTCGAATTCTTCTACCGCATGCACGACCCCACAACTCTTAACCGCCAGGGTCCCGACTTGGGCACGCAGTACCGCAGTGCCATCTTCACACACGGCGAGGAGCAGGCCAGGATCGCCAAGGAGGTCACAGACAAGGTGAGCAAGGAGTGGTACAAGCAGCCCGTCGCCACTCAGGTCGTTCCTGCGGGGCAGTGGTGGAATGCAGAGGACTACCACCAGTTGTATTTGAATAAGAATCCTTCCGGCTATGAGTGCCCGGCTCAGTATGCTCGCCCTTCCTGTGGTTTGAATGGGTGGGTTTTGCTAATATGTCTTGTACAGCTTTGTGAGGAACTTCCCTCCGCTTTCCGCCTGACTGGATGGTAAATTATAAAAGAAAATAATGATTCTATTCATGGGGACTGGCCAAGATTTAAGAATGGTATTTGATTTTGGTCATAAAATTTGAGGCCTTCTTCTGGATTTTTCTGCTATTCTTTGGTAGAAGTAGTCTATCGAGGGAGATATACATTATCGGAGAAACTTTATAATATTTTATGTACCGCCAACCAAATATTGCCTCAAATGCGTCATAAACCAAAGCCCGGGACACTAATTCATTCCCCTTAATTGCCCATTATGAACCACTTTTCGTCTGAGCATTGTCAAGGAACTGTCAGCGAGAGCTCAGAATAGAACTTTCCAGCAATTCCGTGGTGTACCTGAACATGAACTCCACTATGTCTTTGATCTAAATACCATCAGGATCGACCAGACTGCATGATAGCCCACTGATATTGCTCAGATAGCAAGCATTATTACCCGGGCGTCTAACACGAAGCGTGTTGACATCACTTTTGCTCCAATACTAAACCAATCATAATTCCAATTCCCACCTGTTGTTGACGATTGTTTTCCAGAGTGTATTTAGTCTTTGTTAAGCATTCTTTGAGACTTTAAGGTTGGCAATAAAGGGTGGATCCATTATAAAGACAGGCAAACAACTGCAAGTTTACAACCCGGGGACAAACTGGACGAGGTTGAAATATTAGAAGATTTCTAGAAGACAAAGAAGCAGTTTGGGAGCTTACAGACTCTTCTGGACTATGTTTCAATTGATCAGAGAGCACTCTGCAGAACATGAGAAAGAAAGCGTTACGTTAAACAAAGGATGGAATAGCTGTGTTGGAAAACTTCTAGAAGTAGAAGGATATCAAAAGGCATTGCAAGGAAGCCAATCCACCGAGTCAGTTTGAAGAGAAATAAACTGCGAATCGAAGTGGTGGTTTAGGTGAGGGCGTAGTGGTAAAGAAGTGAGTTGCGAGCAAGAGTAGGAAAGCCCCAATCGATATCGACATGGAAAATAACATCCCCTCCCCCTCCAGCCCCCAGGACAGTCTTCGCTCGCTTTCTCTTTCTCCTCTCACTCTTCCCTCTTTCCTTTCCCCCACAACACGCTTCCTCAACCCCTCAATCCCCTCCACTTACTGCTTCATTCTTCCAAAGAACGTCTTCTGGAGAAGAGCTTACTGGCAGCTTATTCCTACACTGTCAAGACTTGTGTGGACATCCCAAATAGAACAGAGCAGCCACAACACGAAGGCCTTTCAACACGCTCTGCAAGCTGCCCGTCTGCCATCGAGCCTATTCATGCTGTGGCCCTGATTTCTCTCATTGTCCACAGACCTTTATTTAACCATACATCTGTTACTTCTATCTTTATTATTCTTCTATCTTCACAGAACTATTTCTGAGTTTCCTTATCTTGGAATAGGGTCTGTGACACATCAGACATTATATTAAGGCTCGTCCAGAATCCAGCCAGACTGTGAGTGAGATCAATCCCTTTTATAACCTCATATCGTCAAACCTGTCTTAATATTGGAGTCTGAATCAGTCCCCTCTGTACCTCTCTTGACGAAATTCCCCAGCAAGGTATGTGTACCCCTCAGGCTAGGGCTTTTCCTCCCCACGTCTAAGTTGTCCTTAGGGTCCGCCGGACAAAATGACTTACTCCATCGACGGGGTTATGGCAGAGACCTTAAGCCACCTTAACCGCATTTCGTGCCATGTGAGCAACCCTGATGAGATGTATTTAACTGAGGTTTCTAAAATTAGTTAGTTCCGGAAGCATGGGCAGTACAAATCTGCCAACGAGCTCGGAAAGCTAAGCATCATGATTGTCAATGCATTCTCCGAGGGCCTTGAGAATATCCCTGCTAGCGAGTATGCACTGGACCAATTGGTAAGTTCTTGTCCTCTTTCTCACGACCATGAAGCTAAGTGGTCTCAGAACGATGGCAGTTTGAATGCCAGAGCTCAGCCTCTTGCTGCCCAAAACACGATTCAGAAGCAAGCCGTCGCCGCTCTTATGAACGAGGTGGAGAAGGAGAATAGGGAGGGCGTTAGCTATAATGGTCAGGACAATGCGTTGCAGAGAATCCAGCTGCATGGTGGACAGCCCCCGTCTGGAAGCTGGGCTCAGGTCGCCGGTTCGGTCACTCAGTATATGCAGCCTATGCCGATGAACGCGCTTTCTTTGTCCAAACAGAGCCAGAACAGCGATGATGAGGAGGCTGAATATCAGATGCCACTTTCAGGAGTTGCACTTCCTTCCCTGTCCCCGGAGCTCCCGGAGGCAAAGGCCGGCATTGTTCGAATTCATGGAAAGATATCCAAGGATATCATCCAATTCATCACTACCCGGATCCATGAGGGACCATTGCAGGATATTCGCATTGAGTCCAACGACAGGACCCGCATTACCTTTCAGCATATATCTCAAGCCTTGGTGTTTTTGAAGTCCAACCAGGATATGGAGCAGATGCTGGGATTTGGACGTTTTGGCAACGGATATCGCGTTGAACTGGCCGAGATCGTCGATTGGAACGAAGACCATCGTCGCATGAACCAGCCTGTCCGCGAGCGTCGCCGTCTCTCCTTTGCGAGAAAGAGACTGTTTGCCGACAACATGTCTCCAGAGAAATGGAAATCGGACATTCGCACTCTGGCCGGACCAGGAAACATTGATTTCCTGTGGGTCTTCAACTCTGGTAACGGTAAGTTCTGCATGAGTATTGCCTTTAGATACACGATGCTGACAGGATATAGCGACTGCCGTCTTCACGAGCACCATTGTTGCTCGCAAAGTTTTGGAAGTTTTCAACAAGTGGAAGAATGGCCGAAACGTCTACAACGGAGTTTCCGTGACCTTTTCCTCGGATCCCTGCGAAAAGGAGTTGGTCTTGGTCAAGGAGACGACCCGTCCGGCCATTGCCAAGAATTTGGCAAAGAGGTCCATCCGTTGAAGCGTGGCGTTCGCTAGATGTCAAATTGGCGGTGATCTAGCCGCGACATGTGAATAGGGTACATTCGTATGTGCCCTTGAGAAGGTTCTATCCTTCTATCAGATGGGAATGGCGAATAGGAAAAGAAGAAAATAGGAAAAAAAAAGAAAAGGTTAAAAGGGAGGAAATGTTTCGGTTCAGTTGGAAGTGTACGAGATGGTTTGAGACTCGAGGGCCATTGAAACAACATGGCAGTAAGCATGATCATGCTGTCATCTGCCATGGTGTATGGCCACGGTTCCAGGCACGAGTCAGCTTGATTATTGCGCCTGGCTTAAGGGATATGGCTTTTTTCTTTAATTTCTCTACCATGTCGGAAACGTGACGATTGTTTAGGATCCACGGACGAGATCGGTTTCTTTTGTCTACAACGTCCACATAAGAGTACAGCAATGCAAGATAAAGTTTACTAGCAATTTCTCGTTATGCGTAGCTTATTGCTATCTTCTAATGTAAGGGGTATCAAATGCGAGTGACTGGTTGATATAGCAGCTGCAATACTTACTCCATACATAACGGCTTGTAGATGAAATGATTTTGCACTCGCAGCATGCATGCATCCATCCGTAGACGAGATAAAGACCTACCAGTATAATCTTATTTGACTACGAAGGCATCGCCCTCATCTCCATAACCCCAACCCCCAATGGCCCCCTTTCATATCACCCCAAAAAATGAAAAGCCACCCCAGCCCCAGCATCAGGCCAGGACGGTTCCTATTAGCCCCAATAATTTGCCAAAGTAATACCCCAACACCCCCAGCGCAGTCATAATATCGAACCCACGACCTGCCTATAGCAGTTTCCCTCGTGATCATTCCCTGTGTTTTGCGTATGCACAGAATGTTTGTTAGTTTCAAACAGGGCGTACTCGTTGCGGATGGGGGGGGGGGGGGGGGGGGTTGGTTGGTTGGTGTTCTCTGGTGGAAGAAAAAAGACGCCGGCATTCTTAATCAAGATGCACAAATTCATTTAATCAGCAAAGCACTGCAGCGCCATATGTAGAGGTACTGTATGTAAATGTGGTGGCCATGATACCATCCAACCTGCCATGATATCCACGTGTAACGGCTACTGCATACTGTACATTAGTGACGTCTATCAGACCAGATCGATATGAGCTGTTACACAGAGCTGTTAGACCAACGTAGATGGCTTCTTGGCAGGCGTTGAAGGGTTTCAGGTGAATATGGGGGTGCATAGACGTTGTCCTGTACAGGATGTGGAGTTAAAACGGGGATGGATGCAACTGGTTAACAAGGGATATTGCACGCATTGATAAAAGCTTTCGAATAGAATAGTTTTTGGCTAGTTTAATCAGGACAAAGAGATGATTAATATTCAATTGATTGTCCGTAGTTGTATGTCAGATAGTCGAATTGGAAATAGGCCTGGAAAGCTTCTGTCCAGGTGATGGTTGCACTGATGGATCATCATGATTGTCTGTTGTAGTCTGTAGATCAAGGATTATCATAGGAATGGGGTGATGAACATCCCTTAGATTGGGGTAAAATGAACTCCGAAGAAGGAGAGGGAAAGGGAAAAAGGAGGGATGAAAATGAAATTACATGCTGATCAAAAGGAGTAGTAGTAGTAACATGATGCTAAACTAGTTATCCGAAGAAATGGAGATAACTACATATGCTGAAGATCGCTGCCTGGAATCAATACCTCAGGCAGAAAAACAAGGCTATCAAAGGTAAATTTCCCGTCTCTGGATTCGCATTGACCGCTTTGAAATGGGGATGTTTAATCTTGTTTTTATTTTTCTTGTTTTGTTTAGATAACAATGTTTGTCTTCTCCCCCTTGCATGATTGTCTATCAGATAGGGCAAAAACAACAGCATAATCTACGCATAACCAAGGCATAACCAAGGCAAATACAGGATATCCCTCAAAATTACCCAAAAGAGTAAGATTCGGACGGGCCGTTGCGAGCGACAAGAAAGGAATACATAGGCCAAGGATAATTCAAAAGAGAGGGATTTTCCGGGCTTTGGGCAGAGTGGCACGAACCGAGAATACGCTAAATACGGTACCCACAGATACCCATAAAATTACCCAAATACCGGGGATGAATGGCAGGCGGAAAGTTTCGACGAGGTCGGTTAAGTTTAGGCGGACACGATCGACAGTGCAGAAAAGAAGGGAGAATAGGGATAGACAGCATAACTGGGTGGTGCTGTGGTAACTGCGATGATGCAGTTGAAGACACCAGAAAGTTGGAAGAGTATATAGAAGATAGCTAGAAGAAGAAAGAAGAAAAGAAAAGAGAAAAGAAGGCAATTCTCCGAATAGTGGCAAGGTCTAAAAATACAAGAGTGTCAAATATCCGAGGTCTTGTACAAGTCACACTGATGGCTCTGGTGGGACTTTTTTTCTCTTCTTTTTTATTTATTTTTTTTTTTATTTTATTACTATTTTATTTCTTTTTTATTTTTGTTTTCTTATCGCCACCTGCACTGGTATCTCATGATCTCACCATGAATGTTCAAGGATAGGTGACTGACAAGGCAGAACGAGGGCGTCCCTTTGGGATCATTGAGGGAACCGCCAGTGTCTTGGAAGGAAAGAAAATGATATCAGATGGGGGAATTGAGTCCGTGAGGCAGAGAGAAACCCATATTTCAATTGGCCCACAGGCGTTCATCGAGTCCAAGACATGAGATGACACAGTCAGTCCGAGTAAGTCTCGAGTAAGACACAGTCACAGGCACAGTAGATACCCCGTACAGTCATACTACTACCAAGACAACTACCAAGACAACTACCAAGAAGCTAAGGCCTGAAGACTAGGAGGATAAGGAAAGACCAAATCTCAGAACAGCAAGAACGATATCCACTAGTGAACCTATCCTGCAATAACGGCCAATCAGCAGGTATTCTGATTGGCCCTGAACCCTGACACCCATGCAGCCAAGGGCACTAGGGCGCAGTAAACTTTGGGTGGGGCAGGGTCTGGTCCCAGTCAAGGGAACCAGCGTCAGCCCAGGGACTCGTGCTACCGTGGAACTAGTCGATTTGTACATGCATATTCTTATAATTCCTGCTCTCCCCCATTTCTCTTTTCTCTTCTATCTTTTTATTCCCCGTAGAGAACCTCATTCTTTCCGGAAAGAGACTGTATCAGAGGCATCATACACACTCCTTCGGTCCTCCTCTCGCTCTGTCTCTCAGACCCCCCTTTCGTTCTCCTCCCAGGCCAATTCCCTTCATTAATTGGTATGTCACATTTCTTCATCTCTTCTCGTCCGGGGTCTAATCAATATATCGCAGTGCCTACACACGTTCATCCAACATTCCTTTGCGGGTGACTTTCGTTTCTTCATCGTTATATATTGTTTATCGCCTTCCCATCTGTACATATCCCCCCATCCCGCTGTAATCCCCTTCAATTCTCGTCAAGATGGTGCGCCTCGCTTCTTCGCTCTTGTTGGCCTCCCTGTCCGCCTCCGCTTGGGCGGCTGCCTCGTGCAGTTCGTCCTCGCAGTGTCCTGAGGATAAGCCGTGCTGCTCTCGTGAGTCCACCTTGTTTTCTAATTATAAGTCGTTTCATCTCGCCTTCCGTGCTCGCCACTAATCACATCCAACCCATCAGAATACGGAGAGTGTGGTACTGGCGCCTTCTGCCTGGGAGGTTGCGACCCTCTTTCTTCCTTCTCTCTCGACTCCTGCGCCCCCGCCCCCATCTGCGAGGACAAGAAATACACCTGGGATAACCTAGACAATGCCGCCCTGAACACCAAGTTCCTGGGAAATGCCTCCGAGTCCGACTGGGTCTACAGTGGTTTCCCAAAGGTCAAGGATGGAAACCTGGATATCACCATGCCCAAGGAGACTGTCGGTACCCTCTTCGCCAACACCCACTACATCTGGTACGGCAAGATCGGTGCGAAGATTAAGAGCAGCCGTGGTGCTGGTGTCGTCACGGCCTTTATCTTGCTGTCCGATGTCAAGGACGAGATTGACTACGAGTTTGTCGGTGCCGACTTGGACAATGTCCAGACCAACTACTACTTCCAGGGCATTCTCGACTGTGAGTGATCATCAACTTGGACTATGTGGCCACATGCTTATGAATTAATTAGACAACAACGGTGGAAAGTCCCCTGTTAAAGGCGGCACCTACGATGACTGGCACTACTACGAGATTGACTGGACCCCCGACCTCATCACCTGGTCTGTGGACGGCAACTCTGTTCGCACCCTCGAGAAGGCCAAGACCTGGAACGAGACTGCCAACCGCTACGAATTCCCCCAGTCTCCGTCTCGCATGCAGCTGTCTCTCTGGCCCGCCGGTGGATCGTCCAGTGCTGAAGGAACCATTGAATGGGCCGGTGGAAAGATTGACTGGGACAGCGAGGACATCAAGAAGGACGGCCACTACACCGCTACCTTTGGAGAGATCAGCGTTGAATGCTACAAGCCCCCTACTGGTGCCGACATCCAGGGTGACAAGTCGTACATCTTCACCAGCGACTCGGGCACCAACAACTCGATCCGCATCACCAACAATGACACCGTCCTCGCCTCCATGGGTGCTACCGGTCTCGACATGGACGTGGGTGCCGACAAGGACGACTCTTCGAGCACCTCTGATGCTTCTGGCTCTGTCCCGACTAACCAGGCTGGCGGTTCTGGCAACGCCCCTGGCTCTAGCAGCTCGGACTCGTCGAGCAGCACCACCAGCGGAAAGGAATCCAGCAGCAGCGGCGCTACTGACACGAACGCCGCTCCTTCCCACAACGAGCGCGTTCTCCAAAGCTCCCTGTTTGCCGTTCTGGTTGCCATGGTCGCTTCGATTATGTTGTAAAAATTTGGCTTTTTTTTCTCTTTATTTTTTTTTTTTATATCTTTCTCCATTGAACATTTTTTCACTATCTTTCTTTGGATGCCACTTTGATCTCTGGATGATTCCAACGCATTGTTTTTTGTTCTATACCTGGCGATTTCGTCACTCATGTCTGGTACCCTCCATTCTTTATCTGGACGTTTGATGCTGCAGTAATGATATGCAGTATATACCATAACCATAACCATAATCAATGAAGCAGTTTGCTGCTTCCCATATATTCTTCAATCTCACCTGACTTTTCCCACGTGGGTTATTATCCTTCGTAACAAAGATATCTATCAGCTTGCAGATAACAACATGCAGGGGTAACAAAGAAATTTATAGCATAGTACTAGCAAGTTTTTGAAAAAGTAATAAAAAAAATGAAAGAACTCACAAAGCACCTTTCGTTACAGAAGTTAAAATCCTTATTCTTACTTGCATTACATGATGTACGCTCATGCAAGCCAGTATCTGAAAGAAGATCAAATCTACATAATATGATACATGGGACGTAAACTACATTCACCATTATATTCTCTCTAGAAAATAGGATGTATGTAAACTCATCCATCCATACCTTATACTACTCAACTCACTCCCTAAACCCAAAACCCAAGCAAAAATCCTAAATCCTAGATACAGCACCCCAAAACATCAAAGCCCAAATCCAAAACTTCAAAAAGAATGTGCTTCTATATCGGCACCCACCACCCCGAATGCGGGCATACCGATTTCACCCTCTACGTCTTCTGCCGTTCCCTGCTTGACCAACTCACCCGCATCAACGATGCGGCGCAGCGAGCCGAATTCGATATACCGTTTGATCCGCCGAGTTGCGAGCCGCAGGTTGGGGTGAATGTGATACGGTGGGAGAGGGGGAGGAGTGGGAGTGGATGTTGTTTTTGTTTATGATTTGTGATTGTGATTTAAATGTATTCCATGTGAAATGTGGAATTATGTAATTTGATATTGAGATTTCATGTGCAATAGATATGTTCTGATGGTCCTGTCCATAACGCCTGTCTGTAGAATTGAGGTTCGTTTAATTTGATATTCGGGTGGATTTGGTTGAGTGGTAGTGGGTTTAGTGGGTTTAGTGGGTTTAGTGGGTTTAGTGGGTTTAGTGGGTGCCACCGCATCCGCAGTCTGATTCGGATCGTTTGAATTCTCCGTGGTAGGTGTCTAGACCTACGGTACGGAAGTCCGAGCCGAGAGGGTCGCCCATCCAGCTGAATGGGGTTTCGGCCTTGACGGAAGCGTCGGCGTTGTCATCTGGGGCAGGGCCCGTTGAGACGGGGGACGCCTGGAGGAACTTGGTGACGTTGTTCAGGTCGAGACTGAGGTAGTTTGCGATGAAGTTGCCGATTTCGATATTCTCGTGGTTGCCGACCAAGGGCCAGGCGTGCTTGGAGGAGGAAGCGTAAATGTTGACGTCGACGCCTGGTTGGGTTAGTTTAAGATGGGATAGTTGGTAAGATGACTTACCGGAGTGTCCGTGTGTCGACCATCCGATTTGTGCTCTTCGGCTGAGCATGTCCGAAAGTACATTACTGGACGTTGCTAATTGGTGAGGAGGGTTCAGGACGGCGTCCACCTCTTCGGCTGTTGCATCGGTGATGCCCATTGCCTCCTTTAGAAGACCCTTGACGTATTTCTTCTGCTTCGAGGAGTCTTTCTCCCCGGTCAAAAATTTCGAGAGCTTGCTGTTCACAAACTCGACGGAATGTTTGGCATTGGCGAGCACATTAGGAAGCCACTTGTACTCGGGGTAATCCGGGCTCAGTTGGCGTGCGGCCGCCAAACCACCAGTTTCGTGGTCAGATGTACTCACGACGACACCAGGGGTTGAGTCGTTTTCAAGGAACTCCAACACGGCATCGAATGCTCTGTCATACGCCATGACTTCGTGGACCTGGGCAGCAGGGTCGTTGGCATGACCCGCATGATCAATGCGAGATCCTTCAATCATCAGGAAGAACCCCTGCTCACTGTCGGCAGTGGCCTCGCTGAGTGTCTTCAAGGCAGTGCGCGCCATTTCCTCCAGGGAAGGATAGACATCCTTCTGGGTACGACGGTCAATCTCGTAGGGAATGTCCTTCTCAGCAAAGAGCCCCAGCAACGGCAGCTGGGCTTCCGTTCCACCGTTCAGCGAGTCAAAGCCAGCCCGGTCATTGATGTAGTTGAATCCATTGTTCTTGGCAACCTCAATCACATCCCGGTCATCGCCTCGACAGCTTCCCTCTGTCGAGTTGGGCAGGAAAAAGCACCGGCCACCACCGAGCATCAGATCAACCACCCGGCCCAGTGGGTATTCTCCAACCTCCTGCAATGCAACTCTATCCTCGTAAAAGCGCAGGTTGACATGCGAAGCAAACGCAGCAGGCGTGGCATCGGTAATGCGGGTCGTCACGACCAACCCGGTCTTGTAACCGGCCAAAGCAGCTGCCTCGAGCACGGTCCCACAGGGTTCATGCTCGGGTGTAACCGAGATAGCATTGTTGTAGGATTTCAGGGCACAGGAAAAGGCCGTCGCTCCGGCCGCCGAGTCCGTCACAAGGGTGTTGCTGGACCTCGTCCTGGACGTGCCGATGTAGTGCTGGTCCAATACGAGCGTATCGTCAATCGGCAGGCCTTCCGTCAATTGTCTAAAGCTGCGAGTCATGGTCAGACTGGCAGGACCCATCCCGTCGGACACCATGAAGATCATGTTCCGCTTGCCCGCGGGCTTGCTGCCAGGGCCCCAGCTCGGTTTCGAGGCAAGCTTGTGGTTTCGGCTCACTTCATGCTGGTAGACGACGGCGAGGACGATAACGACAATGGTGGCAATGATGGCCCAGGCAAAGAGACCGATTTCTCGCCAAAAGGCCCAGCCGCGTCGTGGATGCGTGTGATGGTGATGGTTGGTACGTTCACCGGTGAGCAGGGCGTCTTCTTCCTCGGCCCGCAACGATGCGCGGTCGGAGGAGGCGCGAGGAACCGATCGTGGTTCTTCAGATGACATTTCAAACGATCCTTGACTCATACAAGGATTTCAAGTAGAAGATAGAGATGGAAATGATGAGATGGAGCATCAGACAGGGTCCGATGAGGTCGATGACGATAAAGAGCGATCGAACTAAGCGATAGCTGAAGTGGAGATGCCGCTTTGGGCGGAGTAGTTAGGCTTGGCAGCTCACGGGATATGTCACATGGAGACGACATTCTTTCCGTTCAGTCATGCAAGAATTCATATTTACGAGCTATGGATAGTGATTGCAGTTGATTGGATTGGCAGAGGCTATTCAATTGGCTATAGACCTTTATGGTCCTCATACATCGAATTGGAGACTAGTTGGTGATGGATATCCCCGCAGACCGCCAGCCGCAGAGCCTCATTTGTTCCAAGCCTCCCATATTTTACCAGATATGTTGAAAGCTCACATTCTAGATATCTTCCCAGCATGCTGCCGTTCTATAAACCCATTAGAACCCGGGGCCACACTTCCACGTGCCAGATTCCTTCGATTCACTGACAAAGGTCATCTCACCAAGCGCAAACTGATTCAGCCAGAAGCTACACCACTGGGATCGCGAACGGCGACGAATTCAAATTTAAGTTCGGGTTCAATCCAATGGGATAATAATATATACTTGGAGATTGCAGATGTGGACTTGTTGTTTGGTTGATCGATAGGCTATGGATCGACAGATACATAGGTGGCATAGACAAACATCGAGTCCAAGCATTGGATGTTGCGATATACACTACTCCATTAAAAGGCAACAAATATGAGACGATACATGAGCGTAGATTAGAAGTACATAATATACATACAGTCATTCCTCAGGCAGAGCAAGATGAAAAATATATCACCTCCCCTTGAACCCAATAGGAATCATCGCCGCCGCAACCTCCGAAACACCCCTCTCAGTCGCCAACAGATTAAACTGAGCAGCCGCATTCCTCGTGTCCAGCACTTCAACACGAACACCCAGCGAATTGATATGTCGTTTCGTATCGGGCGAGAGGGGAACCATCGTAGCTCCCATTCCGATAACCAATAGATCTGTATTACGTTAATTAGCATGAACTCTCCAGACGCGCATATGCCATATGCCATTGAATAAGGGAAACCTACCCGGACGCGGCCACACAGCATTCAACAATCCCCAAACCTGCTCATCAACCTCAAACTGGCCCTTCTTATTCACCATCCCCATTTTCCCACCCGCGGTGACCTCCCACGGCCGCCAGGCAAACGCCTCACCACCAACTAACAACAACCCATCACCGCCCTCAACTCTAAGCCCATTATCCAGATGGAAGCCATCATCGAGCGTGGCCTCAATGGCTGTCGTCGGGGGTGGGACACTTCCTAGCACATTGAGCGCGGCGAAGTCCGTCTGGGTGCTTTCATTTGAGGTCGGGCCGCGATCGTGGCTGGTAGGCTTTGCGGAGTGAGAGCGAGGGATCATCCGTGTTGGGCGGGAGACGCTGGTAGTATTGTGGCGGCGGGAGGGGAGGGTGTTGGAGATGGCAGCGCATGGTGAGGTGATTCGTGAGATCGGAGTCGATGTCCGGAGAGAACCGCGGAGGGTTGCGGTGGAAGTTGTTGAGATGGAAGTGCGCAGGGCGCGTAGAAGCTGAGGAGAAGGAGTGTGCATTTTGTGGGTGGCCTTAATGATGATGATAATATGCCTGGCGTAAAGTTGAAATATTCTAAGATGTTTTATTATATGAGATGAACAGGAAATCTGAGGAGATGATGAAATGCAGAATATGGAGATCGAGGCTTGGCGGTTGGCAGCAGCCAATCAGAGGCCAGCCAATACAGAGCATCCGAGCTGGATTCCAGTATAGGAATAGTTCATAATGATGATAACGATAATAATAGTAGACTGTAGTATAACAATAGGCTGTAATATTCATAAAGAAGCCGAATCATGCAAGGCAATGGCTAAGCACTGTTGAATATGAGGCTGTGCTGACCAGGATTCTTGGTTTCGCATAGGGCTTTGCTTCGCTTTCGTTTAGATCTTAGCTTCATAGTTAGTATACAAGATTGTGTATATAAGACTGAATGAATCCAGATAGATGCAGTATCAATCAATTCTTTCTTTACATATCTTCTCATTCATCAACATCAATATTATCTATCATCTATACAAAATGAATACCCTCCTCCTCGCCCAACTCATCATCTACATCATCCTCATCCAACCCATCACCTACATCACCTACCGTCACGGTCTACACGGCCTCCTAGGATGGGGCTATCTCAGCATATTCTGCACCCTCCGCATCGTCGGCGGCGGATTGGGTTTTAATAGAGACAGCACAGTCGCATATATCATCAACAGCGTTGGCATTTCACCATTACTCCTCGCTGTGGATGGGGTTCTGCATGAAGCGTATGTCCCTCTTAAGACCTATCTCTCATCCACATATATATATCTAATAATGTTCAGAAAAACATACCGTAACCCACACCTCCACAAAGCCTTCCACTGGGCTTTTGTCATCATCATGCACATGACAGTCATGGGAGCAGTCGTGGTAGCAGCCAAAGGAGCTGCAGGGCTCGCGGGGAATAATCCCACCTCCACCGATACCAACCTATTGCAGGCTGGAATCGCTATTCTCGAGACCTGCTGGGCTATCTTGGTTATTTGGGCTCTGTTTGCGCTGCTACCTGCTCAGCGGGCGAAGAATGCACCGGGGTATAAGGAGGGGAGTACTGTATGTTGCTTAATCCCTTGATACTTATCGTGGATTATAAGGTGATATGCTAACGCAGGTTATCAGTTGTTATATGGGTCTCTAATCGCCTTAGTTTTCATCGGCATCAGAGTCCTCTACGCCCTGGTCGCAGACTGTACGCAAGATGCAAAGTTGAATCCCATGAGTGGTGAATTGGCTATTCGGGTGGTTCTGGGTTTGATTTCGGAGCTTGTTACAGTTCTTGTTTTCATTTATGTTGGTGTTCGGACGTTGGATGTCAGGAAGTATGCTGGGGTGGATGCTAGGAAGAGTGAAGATAGAAGTGTGGAGAATTGGGCGTGAGGGATTGCACTGTCTTTTTATTACTGCCTTATCTTTCAGTATAGCATGCTTGTTTTCAAATTATATAGAATAGTTAGATAGAATATAGACATGAGACATGACTGGGTTTATTGAGTTATCATAGTGGTAGTGTGTTTGATAAGTATATGGCTTCATATACTATCTCTAGCTACCTACACCATATCCGTAAGAACAACCTTTCCAAAATGTGACTGGCTCCAGAGCAAGTTGAATGCGTCTTTGAGCTCCATCAATGGAAACTTCCGAGCATCAAGAACAGGTTTAATATCATGCATTTCAATAGCCCTCGACATGTCCTCGAACTGCTCACGATTCCCAACCTCAATCCCACGAACCGTACAAGCTCGAAACAAAGGCTCCAAACGAGGCCCTCCACTCAAGAACCGCCTTCTCCCCGCCCCCCTAACAAACTGGCAAAGCAACGACGATGGCACCATCACTACCCACGACCTCGACTGGCTTACTCGCTGCGCTGCCGGCGGCTTCTCCATGGTAATCACCTGTGCCGCACACATCCATCCCCACGGACAAGCATTCCCTGACCAACTGGACATCCACGACGACATCCATCTCCCGGGGATGCGCCGTCTCGCCAACACAATCCGGCACCATGGTGGAATATCTTCTGTCCAGCTGCCTGGTGGGGGGTGCTGGATGCTGGATGTGATTTTGTGATGCTGGGGAAGGTGGTGATTTTGGATCCTGATTTTCCTAGGCGTGTGGAAGTGGAGGAGGGAAAGGGTGTTGTGCCTGGGCTGCCGGTGACTGCGCAGTAGTTGAGGGGGCATTCTGGGTTGGGGGAGAGGTTTATTGATTATTTGAGGACTTGGGATGAGTTTGCGAGGGGGTAGTATAGTAGATAGTTAGATTTAGGTAAATGTTAGTGTGATTGCCATCCGGATGAACAGTACATTCTATCCCTATATACGATTCCACTGCCTTGATTTATAATGGACAAAATAGCTACTCCCCATGCTGGAAGGCGAGTGTCAACTATTTCACTATAGATGAGAGTACTACTACTCACGGGGATAAAATTAGACGTTCAATATATCCAGCGAATATTAATTTATCAGAAGGGGTTTGCTATGAAAAAAAAGAACGGCATGTTATAATGGATTAGGGTTAGTCGGTACTTTCTACTATGTAGTATAGAGAGTTATCAATCGGATCAACACAAGGATTGATTCCCTTGGGTCGATCGACATTTGCCACGCGTCTGTCGATCGATTGTGGGTGTTCTAATTGACTAGTATCGCTGTCGATCGAAGGCTTCACAAAGCTTGGGTTGAAGTCACTAGGTACCTAGGTACCTACAGTATGTACAGCCGGCTTTCTCAGCAAATACAATCATACGAAGCATTTCTAATTCAGATCCAACTCAATGTCCATTAGGTAGTCTAAAGTAGTTAACGTATTCGGTATGTTTTTGTTTTCCGTCTTCCAAACATCCTGGGTCCCATCGAACTCGGCTGCTTTCAACGGCAACCTTCGTGTTTGCGTATGAAATGAAATGAAGAAAATGATGACAGGAGCATGTGTCGTACCAGTCATGATCGCCTGAACGCCACAAAAAAAAAAAAAGAATGGGGAAAAAAGACAAAAGTATCCCAGAACAGTTCGTGCAAAACCCGAAAGAAAAAGACAGTGAAAAACGAAACATGGTATTTCCTCCCCTCAATGCCATAGCACCGTATGCCCGAATATCCTCCGCTCCATTATCATTTATACGTATGGGAAATCATATAAACGGGAAAGAAAAAAAAAAAATCAATGAAAGAGATTATTACTTGTGTCTTTCTCAAGACGCGCATCCAAGTCTCAGTGCCCTTCAGGGCGGCTGACTGGATGTCCTTGGGCCGCGTTGTGGTTGTTGTGGCGGTCCTCGTCAGACTGGCTGGAACTGTCATCCGCATGCCCCGCAGAAGATGCACTGCGCAGACGTGCAGCACGGTCCTGGAGCACTTGCGCCTCGGCCGCAGCCTTCTGTGCGCGAATCTGCTTCCGCCACATGCTCGCATACCGACCCTTCATGGCCAGAAGCTGGTCGTGCGTTCCACTTTCGGCAACCTGGCCTTCATGCAGCACCAAAATGCGGTCTGCGGTAGTGATGGTACTGAGTCGGTGAGCGATGACGAGCATTGTACGACCATGGGAGAGAGTGGAAAGAGCTCCCTGGATATGTTCCTCTGTCTCCGTATCCAACGCGGCAGTGGCTTCATCCAGAAGAATGATCCGGGGGTTCTTGAGAATGGTACGAGCGATGGCCACCCGCTGCTTCTCTCCTCCACTGAGCCGGAGACCACGCTCTCCAACCTTAGTCTGGTAGCCGTCGGGGAAAGACATGATCTTGTCGTGAATACTAGCCGCCCGGCAGGCCTGGTGAACCTGCTCTTCCGTGGCGTGTTGGTTTGCATACTTCAAATTATACATCAAGGTCTCGTTGAAAAGAACCGTATCTTGTGGCACAACTCCAATGTGCTTCCGGACCGAGTCAATAGTAACATCTTCCACATCGTGTCCATCGATCCGAAGACACCCCTTCTCCGCATTGTAGAATCGGAAGAGCAAGCGGAAAACCGTTGACTTGCCACCTCCGGATTCACCAACCAAGGCGGTGGTCGTACCGGGCTGGCAGTGGAATGTAAGACCATTCAAAGCAGGCTTTCGAGCATCATATGCGAACTGGACGTTTTCAAATGCGATATCGCCCTTGCATACAGGCATGGGAGTGGCAGATGGCTTGTCGACAACAGTAGGTTGCTCGCGGAAAAGCTCGAGTAATCGCTCTGAATTAATCATTGCCGATTGAATAGAGCGGTAGAATGTGCCAAAGAAGTTCAATGGCCCTTGAAGCTGGGCCATGTAGGTGAGAAGAGCCACGAATTTACCCACATCCTGTTGGCCAGTAGTAACTTGGTATGCAGCGATAAAGCATGTGATCAGCAGACCAAGCATGAAAACCGTGTTCTGGCACGTGTTCATCAAAGTCAGAGAGAACAAAACGTGGTATTCAGCGCCCTGGAAATCAGAAACGGCAGTCCGGTATCTGCCGAATTCGTAGTCTTCGGCATTGAAATACTTGACTGTCTCATAAGAGACCATCGAGTCGTTCCTGAGATAATGTTAGTCAATATTTTAGATAAATATAGCACGTCCACTCACTTGACAGCATCTTCCTGTCGCGATGCGTTGACCATTTGTCTTCGGATTGACGCTCTCCACTGGGCCATGCGAACGGTGACATAGAGGTAACAGAAAGTGACAATCGCAACCACGAGGGCATAGTATGCATCAAAGGCCACGAGGAAATATCCAATAGCGACACAGAGATCGATCAACATCGGAACCACCTGGAATGTGACCTGTTCGAGGAAAGTATTGATAGAGCTTCCCTTGCTGAGGGCAGACAGGACTTCTCCTGTCTTCTTGCCCAAATGGAAATCCAGACTGAGCCCATGGACGTGTTCAAATGCTGCAGTGGAAAGCTCCATGTACGAATACTGACTGACAGGAATCCATAAGCTGGAGCGCAATGAGCCGATCAAGCCCTGGTTGCCCTGGAGCCAGCGGTAGAAAATGTACAGGCAAATCTCCAACCAAGGTACACGGAACTCGCCACTTTCCTTGGACAAGATGTTGGTGATGACTCCGACTTGGTATGGGACTAAAACATTGACGACTCGCTGCGAGAGAATCAAAAAGAAACAGACGACGACGACGATTTGCAGGCGCCGAGACTTGGACGGCCACAGGTAAGGGAAGAACAACGAGTAACCGCTGAGGTATTCCCACCAGCTGGTCGATGGAATGGTGGTTGGTCGAACCCATGGATCAGCTGGCTTGGGAGGCTTATGGTTAGAAGCACCATTCGTGGAGCCATAGCCATTTCCATTGGCAGCCCCTGTTTCCGCACTAGAAGGGTCAAGCAATCCAGTGGACTCACTAGGGCCGCCATTGACGTGATTACGGGCAGCACTTCGCTTATGGGCCTTATAACGGATCGAGGTGGCCAAGTAGATCACAGTCAGGGCCAAGAGAACCAGAATACGCAGGCAATTGGAGAGGACCTCCAATGATTCCCATAGAGTGATGCTATTCCGAAGTTGGCCGCCAATTGGGTTTCCAACAATCGGCTCGTGATGAACGTTTGTGTAGATCGAAAGGGACGCTCCCAAAATAGCCAATTCGAAAGGTATCGCCACCAACCAAGGGACAAATTGGGCGCATGTAGGCGAAGGGTTTGTATCCAACAATGAGACAAGAATAACGGCGTGAACGAAGAACGATCCCACAATGTAGATCTAGTAACAAATCAGTTGCCTATTTTCCCGGAAACACCTGCCAATGGAACTTACCACGACCGACTGACCACACCACCAATGGTCCGCCCTAGCCAAGATAACATGGACGATGTTGATGGTGGCGTCCCCAAGCAGGGTCAAAAGGACGCCCGCCGCGAGCCAGTTGAAGAGCAGCCTGATCCTTGGAGAAAAGCGTTGCACTTCCTTGATCACGGTCATCATACTCCGAGACCGCATTGGCAGCGGTCTCCCCCCCGGGCCAGTCCGCACAGCATTGTCATTTTTCTTGACGCTCTTCGCTGCCAAAATGGAATTGGCAACAAAAGCAATGACAAAGACAACCAGGAGACAGATGGGATAACTGGTGCGAAGATACACCAGCGATTCACGAATGGCGTGGTGTGAACCCATGATGTAAAAGCCTGGAACCAAATCCTCCCACGCACGCGATAACCAACACAATTAAAAGACCATCAATTTATTTCCCATGACACAGCCACCGTAATAATCCGAACAACCGAGGGGGCGCAAGAAGCGTAGATATAGACGGACGCAGGCAAGACTCGACTCGGAAACGACTGGGAGGTGAACCATGCACTGAAACAATAAACAACCGATCAAAACCCGGTCGGGACGTGGGGAGAGATCAATGTCTCTGATGAATCTTCTCTATTCCGGGAGAAGAAATCTAAACCAAAAAAATAAAAAAAAAAAAGATCGACCAAAAAATAATGATTTTGAGGGAGAGAAAAAAAAAAAAAAGAGAAGAAAAAGAAACGGGAGTTGAATAAGTACAAGGAAAGGAAGAATACGGGAAGAGGAGGATTAAAGGGCTATAAGAGGAGAGCAGCCAGAACGAGGGGGAAAAGAATCCCAGACAGCACACTCATACGAGGGAGTGCAATAGATAGAGAGAGAGAGTAAAGAGTAGAGTAAGAGTAGAAGTAGAGAAAAGAAGAAGAGGAGGAGAGAGCAAAAAAAGTAAAAAAGAAAAGAGGAAGAAAAAAAAAAAAAAAAGCACGAGAGAAGTGTGATGGTTGGAGAGGAGAATTACTAGTAATAACTTTAGCCGTCGAAGAATGACGGTGTGGATCAGCAGCAACTCAAAGCATGGAAAATTCGGCCTGGAGGCGAAAAAAAAAAAGCAAGAAGGACGAAGCAGAAGAGAAGGAAGAAGAGAAGAGCTGGTTTTTTCCCCGAGAGACTGAATGTCAATGTAGGTGATTCTTCACTTGGGCTCTCTATCTGCAAATCGGACTTTTTCTTGTTTGCTTGTTTCTTGTTTCCTTTTTTTCTTTTTTATCTTCTTGTCTGGATGAGACTATTCAGGTATTCAGGTTTACTGCTAGTATTATGATTATTACTGATTAGGTTTGCTTTTCAGCTCAACAAAACCAACACGGGAATAAAGCAAGAAAGACGAAAAAGCAACACCAAGGATAAAAATACAAACTGACACTTTCCTCGAGCTGACTGGCCTGAAGGAATCAAGCCAGAGAGGTTCGTACCCGATGGACAGGGGCGTTTGGTGGAAGAACCAGAACGGAGGTTCTCCACTGGGGAAGCTATATTCGATGATCGTGGATCGATGACGATACCCGGTAGAGAACGGAGTATTATTTATATTAACATATATATATATTAGATAAACCACAAATCGAGAATAGCTGGATACTATGTAGAGTAGAGACAAAGATCTTAAGATAGATCGTAAGATCGAGGCCCCAGCTGTTTTGCTGGGAATGGATCCCTTGATCGGTGGCTGAATGCATTTCCAGGGGCATCTCAACCATCCATGAGGATATCGACAGAACATCCTTTCATCAGCAGGCCAGAGCAATTGGATGCATCCAGGCGGTCTCTGTGCCACCTGTGATTCGTCCAGATGACACAATACAAATATAGTACACCTCCAGAGCTTCTGTCTGTCCGTCGAACTCTGTATACTCGTAATATCACATCCAATGCAGATGGCGCTACCAGTCAAAATGATGCATGCATATTGATCATCCGGAAATCTTCTTGCGTTGGACGAAAATCAGAAGATCTCTTGCTCTTTTCAACCTTCTGGCCTCTATCTATCCATGGCCATCCCATCCACAGTATCCAGAATATGAAATATCCATCTATTACTGCTCTTCCATGTACTCCGTAGTATACTGTAGCTATTATAGGTAGCTAAGAATAATTCCTCCACCCAAAACCCACCGATCCGATCGATTCCCCCAGCCAAAACAGGCCCATCACGCGTCCTCGCCACATTATCGTGACTTTTGCCCTCCTCCTCACATTCCTCTGTTGCTACGTGCATCTTCTTTGCAGCTGCAAGTCTACGGAAAATACAAGACAAAAGTCACAAAACGAGAGGAGAGAAAAAAAAAAAAAAGAAAGAAAGAAAGAAAGAAAGAAAGGAAAAGGAAAAGGGAAAAAAAAAAACACTCTCATTCTCAGCCAACCAATCCCAACTCCGCCTCCCCCCTTTCAAACCTCCTCTTCTTCCTCTCTCCTTCTCTCTCTTTCCCCCCCTCCATTATTTTCCCCTCCCCCAGATCCTGTTCTGCCTTCTGCCATTCCATCCCGGCGGTTTTCCCAGGAGATGGACCGATCTTCATGGGGCTGACTGGCACAACCTCTCGCTTGAGTTGAACGCGTCAGAAAATCATGGCTGATTTCTCGCGTCTGCCCACTCGAGGCGGCTCCTCCTCCTGTTCCTCTTCCTACCACTCCAACTCCTCCCCGGCGCCTCCTCCCCCTCCTCCGCCCGCACCGCCGCTGCAACAGAGGTATTCCAATCGTGCCGCCAGCGCTTTGGCACGATTCGCCCAGCCTTTCTTTTCCGGGTCGAGGCCTCCTAGTCCACAAACTTCAGCTGGGATTGTTGGTTCTCGTGCCGATCTCTCAGCTGCTCCCCGGTCTAACCGGTCCAAGTCATTGTAGGTCCCTACTACCCCTCCATTCCTTTCCCTTCTCGGGTATATCACCTCCTCCCATCACACTTCCTAGCCCCCAATTTGTATAGTTTCCCATCCTTGTAGTTACATCTCCTTACTTATTCCCCACTCCATATATCCTCTTTTTTTTTTTTTAAGTCTAACCTTCACCAGACCCGGTGCATCCCAAACAGTTACTCATAAGACCGGCATCCCTATTGCTGCCTTGGATATCTCTCCACAACGTACCCATGCTGTCATCGGAGGTAAAGAGATTCTCAAGACTATCCGTGTATCACCTGCCCATTCGTCCGAGGAATTCAATCTTCGGAATGCCATCATCAGCTACTCCTCCACCCATCACGTTGGTAGTGGACTCTCCGCCCGGCACAAAGACCAGCTGACTGTGAGGGATGTCAAGTGGTCACATGGCAACTATGACCGGATCATCGCTACGGCGGTAGCTAATGGTCGCATTGTTGTCTACGATTTACACCGGACTGGCCTAGAGTTCTGCCGGTTTCAGGGACACAGCCGTCAGGTGCATCGGTTAGCTTTCAACCCGCATTTCCCAGCATGGCTGCTGTCGGGGAGTCAGGATTCCACCATTCGGATGTGGGATCTGCGAATGGCTGCCTCGGAGCGTGGTGTGTCGACCTGTGGAAGCAAGGAACTATACAATGGCAACAGCGATGCTGTTCGGGATATAAGGTGGTCGCCGAGTGACGGTGTCATGTTCGCAACTGCCACAGACAGCGGTGCCGTCCAGTTGTGGGATTACCGTAAAACTGCTGCTCCGTTGCTGAGAATTGCGGCCCACGACCGACCTTGCTTCTCAGTGGATTGGCATCCCGATGGAAAGCATATCGTCAGTGGTGGCACGGACAAGCAGGTCAAGGTCTGGGATTTTTCCTCGTCGGCCGAGCGAAGACAGAAACCGACCTTCCAGTTCCGAACCCCCCAAGCTGTACTTAATGTCCGGTGGCGTCCTCCGTCCTGGGCCGGAGAATCAGGTTCAAGTGACTGGCAATCATCTCAAGTAGCGACTTCCTATGACAAGGAAGACCCGCGAGTGCAGCTCTGGGATCTTCGACGACCCCATATACCGTTCCGAGAATTCGATCGATACGACACGTATGCGGCAGACTTGCTCTGGCATTCCAAAGATCTTCTATGGACGGTGGGTGATGCAGGCGCATTCACGCAGACGGATATTCGGTACGCGCCGCAAGTGGTCAACCAACGGCCGACCTGCTCAGTAGCCTGGAGTCCCAATGGTGAAATGGTCGCATTTGGTCAAAAGCGCCCCAGACGGAGCACCCGTGGTCTCAGCACCACTGAATTCCTGGGCTTTCAGGACGACGAAGGCAGTAGCGGTGAGAAGCTATTGAGTCAGAGCCCGGCAGACGATATCCTTGGCGAGCCCCCTCTACCGCCCTCAATTCGTCACCGACACAGTAAATCAACCAGCGCTGCCCGACCATCCAAATCTTTGGGCAGTACTCCGCCTGGTGCACCAGACTTTACTCCAGTTCTCGCACTGGACAAAGCACTGGCCAAGGATAAAGCTCCCGGTTCACGTCAACTGGGAGCTGTTGGTACTATACCCGGAGCCACGATGGATCCGGTCCTCTTTCGATATCTAGCCCGCCAATATTCGCCACTGATGGAGGACATGGCTGGCAAACGAACGCAGGTAGATGTGTTGCGGTCTTTGCTGGAGTCGCTTGATCACAATGCAGAGCACGCGGAAAATGCTTCTCAGCTTAAATTAGCTCAAACTTGGAGAATCATCAAATTTGCCGTCGTTCAAGAGCTTCAGCTCAAAGCGAGAGAGCAACGCCAGACTCCCGAAAAGGGAAATAGCAGTGTAAAGAAGAAGATGTCCAAAGAGGGCCTATTATCGGAAAAATCCCGCCCTTTGGAGGATGGCAAACAGGACAAGATGAAAAAGCGGTTATTTAAAGGAGTCATGGAGACGGAAGGGCAAAGAAATCCGTTGTCAGACACGGAGAGCGCTTCAAACATGACTACCCCTCTTGCGCAACCATTACCCGACTCCCCAGTTGGCTCTTTTGACAGCACTGACTCCCAGATCACGTCGTTGAATGACGATCTAGCTGATATCCAGCCCCTGCCCCCGTCAGTTCTGAGCTCCTCAAATCAAGGTACCATGAGCTCCAATGGTTGGTCAATGTCCGACGTTGATCCCCGTCCTGTAGCGCAACTCCGGCACCGCCAGTCCAACGGCAGTGAACCTGTACCCATTCCGTCTGACAGCCTCCCGTCCGACCAACTGCGCGGATCAGTGCCACCAGAATTACACGGCGATCAAAGATCCGCGCCTCGAGCGATCACTGGAAGGGCAGACTGGCGTGACATGGGGCAGGAGGACTTTCCAAAGGAGGGTTCAACGGATTATTATGATCAGAAGCTAGAGGACAAGAGAGCGGCCATTCGTGACTATAAACTCTTTCCAAAGAAGCCCTTGTCACTTGAATCACCCATGGATCCTACTAAGGCTGCTGGATTTCACCGGCATGGGTCATCAGAAAGTTTCCCAATGTTTTCGGCCTCTACAGAGAGTTCCCATCCTGCGAAGTCAACTGGGGCTTCATACACCTCTAATTCGAAGTTGTATGAGGCTTCTAATATTGCTAGTCATAATAGCATAGAAGGTGGAGAGGTAGATGAGAATGGTATAGAGGCTCCGCTCTTAACCCCGGGGACAGTACAAGATGGGGTTGAAATACGGGGCGGAGCTTCCTTTGGAGAAAGCCCTCCTGATACTAATCATGTTCACCTCGAAAGGCCTTCTAGTCCTCCTCCACTCTTGACTGAATCCAGTCCTATCAAGACACTGGAGCAGGAAGCCGATTCTCAAATTATCGACCCCTCGTCAGATGTGCAGTCAACTCATTTTGTAATTCCTGGGACAAATGAGGACCTCTCGGGAGTGACTCTTCCTATTACCCCTGATGTGACTGAAAACAAACCCTGGAGTGTTGAAGTCTTGCTGAAAGAGGCAATCAGACACTATCATAGTAGCAGTCAGGCTGATATCCAGTCTGCTGCTCATTTGCTCCATAAACTACACGTTCTTTTCCAAGACTGTGAAAAGATTCTCCCCTTTGAGGATTGTGAAATGATCTTCCAGACCTATAATGAACATCTCCTGCGGCAATTCATGTACGTTGAGGCGGCTGAACTTCGGCAGCTTTGTGTCCCATCTTACCCATCGGTTTATGAATACGCGCAGACGGACTCTTTCATGAATGTGTTCTGCTTCACCTGCAAAAGACCATATGAGAATCCAAGGCACGATAACAGTCGCTGTCACCGCTGTAACACACCTCAGGACCCTTGTGCTATTTGCATGAGTGTCGACCCGCCTCCTGAGTGGGTTGCGGAACATTCTGCTGCACACGCTGAGCAAGAATTAGATTTCGAAGCCACGTCTAATTTACTATCATCGCGATCCTCAATTCGGACCGAAACTATCCCCGAATCCGAAGTCCAGCGATTGGATGGAGAGAGCTCATTTGCTGCGCCACGACCCAAGGGCTCCGCTCTCTGGACCTGGTGCCAAGGCTGCGGGCATGGCGGCCATATGGCCTGCATCAGCATATGGCTGCAAGATGTCTCCATAAGTGAAGGTGGGTGCGCCACCGCTGGCTGCATGCACGACTGCGGCCCTGGACCGCGGCGCGAGCACAATCGTACGGCCACGCAAGAGGAGTCGAAACGACGCGATTCCAGCGGCCGCAAAGCCGGGGTAGGATTTGTGAAGCGAGACCCTTGGTCAAGAGGGGAGAGCAAGGCCGTTGAGAAAGTCCGGGGCATGCTAGGTGTCGCATCAGGGGGCGCAGCAAGTGCTTCGACGACTAGCAGCGGCGGTGCCGGCGGGGGATCATCTGGTATGATGTCGCCCAAGAAGGTGAGACTAGTTACACCTAGTGAGCAAGGGAAACGACGGGCTACTCGTACTAGTATCGGAGGGGGCAGTGTGCTAAGCGGTTGATTCTGCCGCCCCAAATTCTTTGGTATATTTTTATTTAACTATCTTGATATGTATATGATACCACTCACTGGGCAAGGGTAAGGCGTAACCGGGGATGCTTAACAGATACCAGGAGGTTTTACGTTATCTTGCAAATCACGTCATAACTAGAATAATAATAATTCTAATCACTTCCAGTGTCAAAGCCTTGGTCCAAAACTATGCATCTTGAAGGGTAATAGGACAATGTATTGTAGATAGATCTAACCCCAAAAGAAATACCTAGAAACATCAAGTATCTAAAACTTCCGCTTCTTCTTCGCAGGAGCCTTACTCTTCGCCGCAAGTTGTCGTTTCAGTTCCTCTCGCTTCCTATCCGCCCTCTCCTCCTCTGTTTCCTCTTTCTCCGGTTCCGCAGGCACAGGTGGTGCCCGTGCCCTCCGCACAACAGGCGAAGAAGACCTCGATGGCGCAATCTTAGGTTTCACCGAGTCACCCACAGAATCAGGAGATGTTCGTACCTCGTCTTTCACCTGTGGCTGTGGCACTGTTCGAGTACCACTACCCTGGCTGCTTTTCGCGGCCTTGCTGCCACCACCTATCACGCCGAGTTTGCCTGTTCGTTTAGGCTTTGGTGGGGGTGTCGCTGCGGGACTCTTTTGCGGGGTGGGAGATTGAGATTGAGGTTCGGACACGGGTTGTGGTGGTGGTGGTGGTGGTGGTGGTGGTGGTGTAGCTTGTTTTTGTTTTTTCTTACCGCCTATCAGGCCTAAGCCGCGGGATTTCTTGGGTGGGGGGTTCGCGGGTTCTTTGTGGGGTGGTGATGATGGAGATGGAGATGGGGATGGGGCCTTTGGCTCTGGTTCTGGTTCTGGTTCTGGTTCTGATCCTGATTCTGACTCTGACTCTGTCTCTGTCTCTAGATCGTCTGTTGGTGGTGGTCTCTTTGGTGGTTCGGGGATAAGATGTTTGGGTTCTGGGGATGGTGAGGGTTGTGGTGGTGACGGTGACGGTGATGGCGATGGCTTTTTGGTATGCTTCTTTCCCCCAATGACACCGAGTCCTTTTGACGGTTTTCCTTTGGCTTTTTGGGGGACTGGTGATGGGGATTTGCTTATGGGTGCTTTCTTTTCTGTGGCAGGGTGGGTATCTTCATCGATACCTTTTGACTGCTTTAGTCTGGGTGGTGTCTCTTGTCGCTGGGAAGAGGTTATTATATATACGAAAGTATTATATGGAAAGTTGCTCATACCTCGAATTCATCATTTTCAGTTTCTGGGGCAGTGTCGGTGTCCATATCCAAGTCATCATGGGAGGGTTTTGGTCCCGGTTTCTCCCTGGGTTCTTCTTGTGCAGGGGCGATTGTAGAATGATTATGCTCTAAAAGATGTTCCCACCACTTATCAGGTGCTGGGCGCAGTTCTTCCTGCTCCAGGTTGCTATCAGATCCTGTCATCTCCGCGAGAAGGTTGGCAGCAAGGCCAGAATCAGAGGATGATTTGCTGCTTTGGTTGAGCCATGACTGTTCGTCAAACGGCGCAACGCCTTTGATGTATTTCGATGCTTGGGATAACGTAGAACCCTTTCGGGCTGTACGCAATCCAGATACACCAGGAAACACAGTGCTCAGGTCCACGCCCATGGCCTCGATCTTATCAAAGAGTTTCCCAAGGACCCAGTCCTTTTGTTTAAGCTGGTCCAGAAGAGACCGTTGGCGCAAATCCCAGCCCGCCTCCTCTCTTAGTAAAGGTAGGAGTAAATGGCTGGTTGAAGAGGATTGTGATTGTTTGGATAGATACAATGTCCACTTGAGAGGCTTCAATGGAGCAGGTAGTTTGGTTGATACCATTAGTTCTAGCGAATCTCTTGTCGATCCATCATTCAATATCGAACTGCTTCCAGGAGAGCCCTGTAAAGCGTCTCCTATCTTCTGCAACAGCACTTTGAACTGATCGAGGTCTTCACTCGGGTCAATGGTGGTGCCATCTTTATCGGCTCTCTTCAGAACCTCGCGGTGATCCAGACGCTCCGACCAAATATAAGTGAGATCGGTAATGATTACCTCGTAGCCCTTTGCCGTTGGAGCGTATTTGCAAAGAAGTGTAGGTATTTCATCTTTGTGCGAAAGGCGCAGCCTCTCCCATTTGGCCGACATTCTCGATAATAGAAGTGTTGATTAAATTAAGTTGTCAAAACTCTCCAACTTGATCGCTTTTCAGCTCATCGATGCCTAATGCACGTGCCACCGCGGAAGGTTTGCCGCCCGCTTCACCTGCCCTCTTCGGGAGCTCACTTTTGCCTTTGCGCGAAAGACCTCCAACATGCAAATCATCGCGACAATCCTCCAACATCCAACAGCCCTGCGATTTCGGTTTCCATCCAGGGTAAGATAAAGAACCGAATTGCTTGAAAATGTCGTCACGTATCCCCGACAGAACAGGTTCGAAGCGAAGCCGGTCTCGCTCTCCAACTTCATCATCTTGGCGTCAACCCCAGAAGCTCCCCCGCAGGTACGATGAAAGGGACCGCCGACAAGACTGGGACAATGGGCAAAGTCGATCGTCGCAGGCTCCGCCCCGGAACATGAAGGACCAAGTCCGCATCAACCAGCTTCAGGAAGACGAACAAGTGCGGGAATGGGTGGCACAGGAAGACGTCTTTGTTTTGAAGCAGGCCAAGAAGAAGGCAGAGATTCGAGTCAAGGAGGGCCGGGCGAAGCCGATCGATTGGCTCACGGTTACTCTGCGAGTGATTGATCCTACGAGGGATCCTTTGGATGATGAGATTGCAGACTCGGATCTTGATTTGGTGAACCCGGATGGTGTTTTCGAAGGGCTATCCCAGACGCAATTGTCGGATCTCGAAAAAGACATTGATACATTCTTGAATTTGGAGAGGAATAAGCAGAATACAGAATTCTGGAAGGTATTTGGCGACTATTCAAATGTCTAGGGATCAGAGCTGACCATTTGCCCTTACAGACAATGAAAGTCGTTTGTCGAGACCGCCAAAAGACCACCGCTCCCGAAGGACGTGCACTCAATTCCGTCGCCGCTGATATCAACAGACTTCTTAGCCCTAAATCATATGAGCAACTGCAGAGCCTTGAAGTTCAGGTCAGAAGGAAGTTAGATTCCAACGAGCCCATCGATACCGATTACTGGGAGGAACTTTTGCGCAGTCTTACAGTCTGGAAGGCTCGGGCTAAACTGAAGAATGTGTACCATGCTGTCATCGAAGAGCGTGTTCGGGGACTACGCAAACAACAAGCCGTGGAAGCAGAGTTTGTCCGGAGCAAGCTGGCTCCTCTTGCGCCGGTCATCGAGACGAATCCTGTTGACCAGGATGAATTCAATGGCCTTGACCCCGATCCGTTGTTGCAGATTCGCCCTGAAGATAAGGTGTTGGAAATTGTCGATGAAAGCGATTTCTTGAACCAGGTGGTAAGTTGTGTTGGAATTCCATTGCCTTGACCTGTCCTAACAGTATCACAGGCTCGTGAGCGTCAAAAGATTGTCAAGATGGGCTTTGTACCCTTGCGTCAACGACATGCTGAAAAGCCATCAGCTGCTCCGGTCAATCAAAGCTCGAATATGCCAGTGGCCAGTGCCTCGACCCGTTTTTCTACCATTCCAAACGAAGACTTCTCCCAAGCAACCAAGGCTCTTTACGAAAGGGAACTTGCAAAGGGTGTCAGCGAGAACGAGGAGATTTTTACCGGTGAGGAGGCAGTCAGCTCCAACTCCCATCACCAATGGGCCGGCAAACATCGGCCTCGTAAGCCACGTTATTTCAACCGAGTACAAATGGGCTACGAGTGGAATAAATACAATCAAACCCATTACGACCACGACAATCCACCACCAAAGGTTGTACAGGGCTACAAATTCAACATCTTCTATCCTGATCTCATCGACAAAGCAAAGGCTCCGACATACCGCATCGAGCGAGAGAACGGAAGAAAGCGCGGTCAATCCTTTGCGGCAGCGGGTGAAGAGGATACTTGTCTCATCCGGTTTATGGCAGGACCGCCGTATGAAGATATTGCATTCCGAATTGTAGATAAGGAGTGGGATTATAGTGCCAAACGAGAAAGGGGGTTCAAGAGTACTTTTGATAAGGTAAGTCAGATCTTGGTTAATGATATGATTGGCATGATGATACTGACTCTTTATTAGGGAATTTTACAACTTCATTTCCAGTTCAAGAGGGTATGCGGTCCTTATACAATGGAAGGGAACTATGTGCTAACTGCTTTTTTTAGATTTACTACCGCAAGTAAGAATCAGACTCGATTTCATATTTATATCATTGGAGCCATTATTTATTCTGTCAATACAAAAATATGTATTATCTACGGGCATGAAACATGAAACTACTATATCTTGCTTTTGAATTTAATGCCATGAAACTTTGACCAGTTTCCTATAATCTATCACATGGATGTTCTTGCAAGTAAAAGGGAAACACAATATATTTTCTCATCATCTCCGAGTCAGTCGGTATCGATATGATCGAACAACCTGGACAACCTGCAACGACAGCCTGCAAAGTCCATTATGAACTGGTCTCTCTCTAAGCTCTATCATTCAGCCCATTACATCGAATGACCACGGTCTGACAGGGGATCGCACTTGATGCTTATTTTGGGGCATAATCACAAGGTGATCGAGCATGATCCATGGCCCCATGGGTCGGTGGCAATATTTATATCCTGCTTCTAAATAAATTGATTATGTCACTGATTGTCAATCTGATGATGTTCGAGTGATTGGACTAAATATATATTTGGGCAGACATACTGCCGATCTTTGCCGCCCAATATTCTGCCACTTCTTACCGCCTTCGTGACCGCCAACAAAGAAAGTCAAATTTCTCCAAGATTCAGGGCATCCATAGTGTACCAAGATTTAAATACTGGATGATATTAAATAATAGATGCTAAAAGGGATAGCCTTTTATCTAACTTGTTAAAATATAAGAGTTAAGCCAGTTGTCAGTGGTGTATACATGGTGGATCTGGTTAGTCATCAAGACATCCATATCAAATGCCAAGACCCGTGAACAAAGAAAAACATAGGACACAACCAACCTTTAAACAGCCCTTACAGCCTCATTTTTTGGACTATTTTCATTATAAGAGTTTCAATGGGTCCAGCAAGCTTGGAATTATAGGTATCATTTGTTATATATATAAAATTTGAGCAGAATTGATGAAGTTACTTGTTCTGGGCTTTTCTGAGCAAACGGGTGGACAAAAGGGTTTAAATAGCTCCCTTTTCCCGCTCCCGAACGTCTTTTTAGCACCAAACATGAGCAAATTCCATATTGAGATAAAACATCGATCCTTGGGGTTTAAGAGGTAAAATGTAGTTTTTCTTGATCTTCAAGTTTTGCTGAATCAATTAAGACAGGTTATAGCCCCTGCAAGTAAAGAGAAAAGACATAATCAACTGAACAGATCAAATAGGGAAACAAAGAACTTGATATCAAACCATTGACTAAGCCAAGACTAGCCCAAACAGGCTAGCTCGCAACCAGATTTCCAAACAGAATGAGGCCCTGCTCTGCTAAATAATCCTGCTAGACTCTCTCCCATCAGCAACCCCATATCCTGCCCTGGGTTAACTCTCTAAATTAATATCTCTTCTGCTTGAGGGGCTTTTGACAGCCTGCCAGGCCTCTCAAGATGGTTATCGACCTGACTATGGACTCGGATTCCTCTGAGAAGGTGAGTGTGTCTTATATAAGCCTCCCTGCTGTACTGCTGCAGTTGTGTTTATCTCTGCCCTTACTCCCCTCTACCCTTTTAGCCCTGAGCATTCTTATCTTAAGGATCTTCCCGCATTTTCTATCATTGATGTCACCACTTTTATGGACCCCTTTTGCTTTTTGCTTTTATACTTTTTATATGCTACTTTCTTTTCTTTTTTGCCCCTGTCTTTTTTCTGTTACTCCAATCGGAAATCCCATTCACTAGTCTGGACGTGTCAGCTGACCAACACAGTCTCAACCACGGGAAGCCACTTTCATCACTAATCTCACTCATCGGACTCCATTGTCATCTGGCCCATTGAAGAGAAAGCCAGATAGACCCTCTAGAGAGTCTTCAGTGGCATCTGCCGTCCCATTCCCCCTCACCAATGGCAATGGCATCAGCAATGGCAACGTAAACGGGTTGACCAAAAATGCTGCCCTGGGACCCCGAACACCCAGTTTAGCACCCCGCACCCCAAGTCCCAAGAGCAGCTCAGGGGGTGAATTTAAAGACCACCAGGCCAAAGCCATCAGTGTCGTGATCCCGTCTCCATCAAGGAAGCTGAAAAAGGAGATCGAAAACTCCCAGTGGGCGAAATCTCCCCGTGCGGTTACGCCAGAATTGACGGGCTTGTCTCAGAAGTTCTACCCCACGGACGACTATGAGAGGAGAGCCCTGAAAGGCGCGTACCCGCGAGCTAAGAAGGTTCGTCGCGCTGATGTCCCTCTCCTGCTTGGCACTCCCGGTCCGATTTTGGAGACTAGACCCAGGGTGCATGCGCAGCTGCTTGACTCGCTCAAGAGGAAGCTTTCGTTGATTGAAGGGCCTGAGGTGACGCTCGCGCCGGGTGATGATAGTCTGCTCGCTGGGTTCGCGGCGAACTTTGAGTTCATTAATACATACAAGGTCCGTAAGGGGGTGTCGCCTGTGCCGGAGTCGTTTAATGCGGGCTGTGCTTGTGATGGGGTGTGCAATCCCAAGCATTGTACCTGTCTTTCGGAGGAGATCAACTCGGATGATAAGATCATGCCCTATCAGCAATGTGAAGATGATAGTCGGCTGTTGGTGCTTACGCCTGATTTCCTCAAAAGAACCTCTATGATCTACGAGTGTAGTTCGCGCTGCAACTGTAACGACAGGTGCTGGAATCACGTCGTCCAGCGCGGCCGAACAGTCCGATTTGAAATCTTCCACACAGGTAACCGCGGCTTCGGTACGTCTATATAACCCCCTCAACTGCTATACATAAAATATAAAAAGTATTAACAAGAACAAACAGGCCTGCGCTCCCCAGACCCCATCCGCGCCGGCCAATTTATCGACTGCTACCTAGGCGAAGTCCTCACCAAAGAAACCGCCGACGTGCGCGAAGAACTCGCCGTCTCCAACCACCACAGCTCCTACCTCTTCGGCCTGGACTTTCTCGTCGACGATGACGACATCTACGTCGTGGACGGCCAAAAGTTCGGCGCCCCAACCCGCTTCATCAATCACTCGTGTAACCCCAACTGTCGCATGTTCCCTGTCTCCCGCACGCACGGCGACGACAGACTCTACGACCTCGCTTTCTTCTCCCTGCGTGACATCCCGCCTATGACGGAGCTTACGTTCGACTATAACCCCAACTGGGAGGGGGGGAGGAAGGTCGACCCGAATGCTGTCAAGTGTTTGTGTGGGGAGAAGAGGTGTCGCGGCCAGCTTTGGCCTAATCAGCGGAAGGGGACGAAGTGATCTCTACCTCTACTTCTACCTCTACCTCTACTTAACCTGGTAGGCACCTGGTACTTAACTACCTAGGTACCTACCTACCTTGTCTTACTACAGAGTACATTACAGTACAGTACATATTCCGGTTCCGGCTTTGTTCCCGGGTTCGGTGTCGGTTTCAGCCATGACGTGCCCATGCCATGTACAATATGTATGCATTTGCATTTGCGGATTTAGCAAGCATGGACTTTTGATTGTTTGAGTTTTCAGCGGGGGTTGTTGGGTTTTTTTGTGTTTTATTCATTTTCGGATGGGAAGGAAATTCGGATGCATTTTTTTTTTTCTCTTTTCTTTCTTTGCTTTGTTCAATACCCAAGCATTTTTCAGATATTCTGTTTTAATTAGCGGGTGGTTTGTTTGATAGGTATTCGGGATCTGTTAATAATAAATTCTGTAGTTTACCATTCTGGTAGATATGAAAGATGATATGATCAAAAGCAGACAGTCAAACAAAAAATGGCTTGACCTGACCTGACCTGACTTGGCTTAAATACAAAAAAGAAAAACATGGTGATACCGGATCTCATATATTCATCCGGTCCCCAATTGATATCGAAAAAACCACCCAAAATCCAAAAGTCTATAGTAAGTGATGATGAAGAATGAGATGATAGTAGTAGTCAAAAAAAAGAAAAAAAAAAGAGAAAGCCAACCAAAGATGATAAGAAAACTCCAAACCCATATATCCCGGAATATTTCGCACGTATTAACGACCAACGGAAAATGATTGTTGGTTTAATGTTGAAAATCAGACAAAAGTCCCACCCGTCATCATCGCATTTCATGGGCCCGTAGCGTAGCTCATGCGTGATGTATAAAAAAGAAAAATGAAATGAAATGAAAGGAAATGAAAGGGCGAAAAAAAAAAAAAAGAAAAAGGAAAAGACAGATCATGCCCTCCCTTCCATCACCTCAAATATCCCACCCATGATGACTCGCGGCTGCGACGCTCGAGACTGCTGACTCTGCATGGACGATCGATCCCCCGGGAAAACATTCGCGTTCAAATCCATAGGAATGCTAACGGGATCCACAGGCCGGGGCTCCATGAGGTCCAGGCCCTGGCGCTCGACGGCATCGCCGTCGCATCGGGAACGTTCCGCGCTCAGGGCGACTTCAGCCTTGGAGGGCCTGCGACGAAGGGCGAGGAGAGAAGATCGACGGAGAGAGAAGGAGGCGGCGCCTAGGCGAAATGGACTCTGGCTGCGACTGCGGGAATCATCTGGATAGCAGCTGCCGGGGACATTTTGGGCATGGCTGCGGTGGAGGCGGCGGAAGGGAGAGGTGGGAGAGGAGGTGGGACTGGTGGTTGTTGAGCTGAAGGGACTGATAGTGGAACAGTCGCTGGCCGCGCGGGGAGCGGGGAAGGAGGTGTGCAAGGAGAGGCCGAATGGCGAGGTGGGTGGACTGTAGTTGTTGTGGTTGTTGCTGTGCATGGTTGAATATGATTTCTCTTTTGGAGGCTGGGGAATTGGATTTATCGATTGGATGGATGTGATGTGTTCGATTTGGTGTGTTGTCCTTGAAATGGACTGCGAAACGAGTAATTAATTCCCAGCCCGGTTGTTTCGGGGGATTTTGTGGTTTTGGAATTGGCAGGGGAAGACGCAGAAGCGCAACAGTCGGAGTATTTTCTCAAGAGGACGAGAGAGAAAGAGAGAGAGAGAGAAGAAGAAGAGGAAGACACCAAGGCCTGTCTGGGATGAGATTAAGTAGGATGAGGTGAGCAGACTAGCTGCAGGAGATATAGTAGATGTAGTGAGGAAAGATGGAGAAGATGAGATGAGGATGAGGATGAGGATAAAGAAGAAGAGAAAGAGAAAGTCAGCGAGAAAAGACGATGACGACGGACAGAGGATCAAAGGGAGTGGAGCAGATCGACTGATAAACACGGGGGAAGAAAGGCACAAGGCAGAGAGTGTCACAAAGGCCAGCCGTCGATAGAGAAACAGATAGCGTGGGATTAGTCGATCCAAGGAGTCCAGGGATCCTGTGCGATGATAAATAAAATAAAAATAAAATCAAATAGCCTCCGCCAGGCGATGGATTTGATTCTGTCTTAATCATTCAATGCTTCATCCTGAGACAGTTACAAGTGGCGTTGCTGGACTGAACGCAACACCGTCGGAAACGGGACAGACCCATTGTCACAGACAATATCCACTACGTCTTCTTCGCCGCTTCTTCGTCTTCTTTGCGCTTCTGGCCGGCGTCATCATCAGGGGGAAAGCGGACTCCACGCCAAACTATTGATTTGGCGATGGAGCCACTGTCGCTGCAACCGGCTGCGATCGACACGCCAACTTCCCCGCACATTTGGCGATGAGAACGCGTCAAGAATCTTCACTTTTTTTTTTTCGTTATCAGCTGAAGAATGCCAGATATCTCGCATTCCTCGTCTGAAGAAACAATACATTGCTGCTCCTGGCCTCCTTTTCCGACTGCGTCCATCCACTGCAACCCCATCATCCCATCATCCCATCGCACCGCATTCGGTCGTCCTTACTGAGAATCATCTCCTGGATAGGCTGCATTCCAGATCCATCAAGGCATAGTTTATCGCGATATGTAGGCACTTTCAATCCTTCAATGTGGTGTAACAAGGATATTCAATCATCGCCGTCACACAAAATTGATAAATATCTTCATCAGGGGTCCTCGAATTCACGCCGCTTGCGATGCAATTATGCAATGGTCTATATAACCATAAATCAAGGCCAAAAAGTATCATGACAAGAAAAAAAAAAAAAAAAAAAAAAAAAAAAAAAAAAAAAAAAAAAAAAAAAACCGCTGGGATATACCATGATATAATACGAAAACAAAATCTAATCAAAGAAAAGGAAACAAAAGAATGATGATCCACCAGCTGGACAATCCAGCCATGTCTACATCAATCCTGGATATCATCATCACAACATCTCTCATAAAACCTCGCCCACCCCTTTTCACTTTTTACATCGCCTAATTCGACCGTCGTTGTGTGAAGCTACGTCGGATACTCTCACCCCAGGCGGAGTTATCAAACGACTCCATCACATCTTGCACACTCATCGCACTGTTCTGTCGCGAATGGTCTGCTCCTCCCCGCGTTTCTTCTAGTTCAGGTGGTCCGTCTCCATACGATGATGTCGTGTGGGCCCGTTCCCGCCGCGGCGATAGTGACGGACTGATGCTAGACCACTCGGTCGATGGTCCGGCCACGGCCATGCGACCAGGTTGGCTCGTGTCTATTCGCGGTAGGCTGCCCACCCGTGATGTTGGGCTGGAGTTGCCTCGACTGCGCGACGATGGCGACAGCATGGGTTGTGATGGATCCTCTTCGCTGTTCACTGTTGTTGCATCAGGTGCCTGCGTCACGCCCGCGTCGGCTTGGTCGTCATGCTGCGCGCCATCCACAAAAATCTCCGGTACGGTAAATTGGAATTGAGGCACCCCACTCATCCGCGCCGACTTCTTGTGGTCGACCCGTCGGCGGAATTCGCGAGACCAGTACAGTGTATCAAAGAAGCCAATTACTGTGTTGCGGCGGACAGCTTCTTCCACGCGTTGCAGTCGCGCACGACGGCGCAGGAATTCATCCAGCTTCAAACTCTTGCTATCGCTGATGACATTGTAATGGGCAAGGATCATCAGGCAAGAATGGAAAGATATGCCTCGGTCAGGGTCTGCAGACACTAGCACTTCCTCATAGAAGATATTCAGTCGCTGTCGTCGTTCACGAATCGTTTCGACTGGAAGGTTCCGCAGGGCTTTGGATAATTCGTCGAGATCAACTCCCCCAACAACCCTCGAATGTGGACGCATCGATTCACGAGGCTCGACTCTGCATCGTTCCAGTATGCTCCGAGTCGTGAACTCGCCATCGTAAATCCGCATCTCAAAGATGCCCGAAAGTTCCTGTCAACTGGTTAGCCGTCTGGAACATTCAAAGACAAGCGCCGCACTTACTCCAAGCAATCTGGGAAACTGGTCCTTGGAGATGAACCCAGTTCCATCCGGATCATACGTAGCCCATGCCTGTTTGAAACGGCGAATATCCTCCCGACTGATCACGTATAGCCCGCTGCTTCTCTGGTACACATACGAAAAGCTCTCGAAGATCAGCGACACAAACAGAGAGACAAAGATGTACATGCTGATGATGTTCCAGGAGATAAAGAGCGACCGAGCCCAGGCTGCACTGCCACAATCGTCCTGCAGAAAATCATCATTTCTGGTGCATATCGGCGGTACCATGGTCGCAAAATCTTCCATGAGGTCGTTCCATCCCTCACCACAGCTTGTCCTAAAAAGAAGAATAAGAGACCTTGGGATATCCCTAAAGTTAATATCGTTGGTCTCGTTTTCTCCGAATTTCGTGAGGCCAAACGTTTGGTTCATTGCGATTGCGTAGACAAGGAACAGGACAATCCACGTAGCCAGGAGGTTCCCAATTGCCGTAAAACTGGCAGCCGCCGTCTTGAACAACTGGTCGAGCTGGTTGTTCCGAGGAATAAGCAAGAGCGTAATAGACACTAAGAAAAGCTTGTTCAGCTTATCAATGGCCTGGCTATTTTTGATCACGAAGCTGAGAACGGTTGCGACCATAGTTCCAGGCACGGCAATTAATGAGTATAGATCCCAAGAACTCCGGCTAAATCGGTGCCAGCCCAATCCAGCCATTCGGATAATGACATTGGCCGAATACACGAACGTGAATGCGAAAAATAACGCCGCTGCCAGGGAAAAGAAGCTCGGTCAGATAAAAGACAACCACTGGATTTTAGTGGGACCAGACTTACATCGTATCAATTCCCAGATCGGGGGTTCGGAGTAGTATTCCAGACACAGCAATGTGAGGTGAAGCAAGAGGACGATAGTCACAAATCTTGCCCAAGGGCCATGTTTCTTGACAGCGACCCGATAGCACCACTTCTTCCACTGCCTGTTCTTGGTAAAGAAAGAGCGTTTGGATGGTGATATTTGCCGAAGAAGCTTTCGCAGTTCGAGCCATGATCGTTGTTCGGCAGTCAGGAAAGCGACACCAGTCTGCTCCGTGTAGTTACGCATGAACACAGATACGAACAACGTCAGGACGAAGACGCTCCCAAGCAGGTTGAACACGACGAAGAACAGCCCATTTGCGGGTGCCGTGTAGTCCTCAGGCTGCTGGCCTACTCCGGTAATGCCCATTACACTGTCTTGAACGTCAACCCAGCCTTCCTGGGACACAATCTGGAAAAGAATAAAAAGGGAGTCTCCAAAGTTGTCAAAGTCGTATGGCGGATTTGACACAGCGCGTGGAGAGAGGACATCCCAATTGTAAGGTGAATTCTTAAACTCGTTGAGACAATAGTCCAAGTTGCCGGAGAAATCACCGTCATTGCATTGCATCATTTGGCCATTGAACAAATTCACTCCATAGATAGCGAATGGAATCAAAAAACTCAGCGAAACGGCAGCAGCAGAAATGACTTTCCAGCCTCCAACGATGATCACAGAATGGAAGGTATCCTTGGCACTGTCACTGACGTTCAAGAGTCTCAGTGCTCTCAATGCTTTGAATGCCCCGATTGGGCGAGAAATCCCCCAGTCATTATACAGCACGCTGCCAACACTGATCCAAAGAGTGACCAAAACGATTCCATCGATAAACCCCCATGAGCTGCGGAAGTATGCGTTGGGAGTCCAGAAGAAACCATCTGCAACCACCTTGATTGTTGCCTCGATTGTGAACAAGATTGCGAACCCCATGTCGGTGAATACAAACCAACTTCGGTTCTTGTTGAAATGTGTCTGTTGATATATCGGGGTCGTCACGCACGCAAGAACAACCATGGCAACGATGGCTGCATAGATGAAGGCAGAGAAGGTATACCACACAGGCTTGTATGGGTCCACACCTTCGACCCGCTGATGCCCACGACCCGGGCCAACTATACGCTGACAGAGTTTCCGGAAGGGGTTATTAGGTGCAAAGAGGAACAATGACGTGTTGTAAGTTGGGTGTTTCACAAGAAACTCCCGTTGCGCCCGCTTTCTTTGTTCTGCAGCCGACACAACCTCTCTGGCCATTGCCTTTGGATCCAGCTCTTCATATGCACGGGAGAATTTCAATTTGGAATAGAACGGATTTGGTTCTCGACGCATAACTTTCGTTGAAGCCGATGTCCACATTTTGGATACCCAACCTGGTTGCTGAGCTGTCTCTTCCGTCGTTGCATCTGGAAGCACGCTTTCTCTTCTATTGCTTTCAACAGGTGTATCTTGCTCATCAAGAAAGTCCTGGACAACGGCATCCTTCAGTAGCATTTCCAAGGCCGCTGGCCCATGATCCAGGGGATCTTTATAGCGCTCTGTATCACGCCCCAGCATGAAGATCTTCGTAAGTGACAAGTTTCCTTGCGACGGCCCATTCACATGTTTCTGCTCTAAGAATGCTCTGACTTGGTGAAGTCGCTTCTCATCTTCTGATACATCAAAGCTCTCTTGAATGACAGCAATGAACATATTCAAAACTATGAAGTTAGCCACAATGAACCAGAGTATTAAAAAGGTCGCAGAAATCCATGAGGTTTTATATCGAACAGTGAGTGAAGTCGCATCGTACAGTATGTCCGTCCAGTTCTCGCTCGACAGGATTATGTACATCCCAAGAAATGCGTTGTAGATGTCCGCAAATGTTATACTGCTACTGGCGTCATCTTCAAACTGGCCGCGGAAAAGCTGAGTTGCGAATATAGCCGCGAGGAATGTGATCAGAAACACAAATGCTATGAGGTTTAGTAAACCAGTTGCATTTCGAAAGACAACTGTAATGAGGTTCCTGGTAACCGGAAACGCCAACACAACCCGATACACCCTAATAATCTGGAAGAGAGTGAGAACGGAGTATGGGCGCCCCGAATCTCTGATGGCAGGGATTTGGATAATGCAAGTAACGATTGCAAGCCCCAAATCGAACCAGTTGCGGCGTTTCTTGTGAAATCTGCGCCAATCAGAAACAAAGCGGAGGGTGATTTCAAAAAGAAGCACAAAGGTGACGACGATCTCAGTGTCAAGAATTAATTTTTTCCGACTATCTCCCATGGATGCACTTGTCAAGGCCTGAATAACGAGGTCGAAGATAATGACGCAGACCCAGAACCACTCGGTTTTGTCGTACAACCGTTTGAGGGGGCTCATTTTGTCAGGAGATACATCCTCCCTATCAATCGTGTCGATCTTCTGGATAGCAAAAGCACTTCGTTTGCTCTCTTCTCGAATGACCTGGAAAGTGTGTGTAATAACTGCAACCAATAAGTTGACTAGCCACAAACTTAGAATGAGAAAACCACAAGCGAAGAAAAGCGCAGCCGGAAGGTAGTCACTATCAGTCATGTAGTATAGGAGGTCCGTGAATGTGTTTGAACTCATGATGACAAAAACGAGTTCCAGCGAATTCAATAAATTGTCAAAATGCACTGTCCCACCGTAAGGGTTTTCGCCTTCCATACATATAGACCCTTTAGGGCAGATGTACCCCTTTGGACTATATCCGCTCCAGTCACCATTGTCTCTGAGCCAGGGCATTTTCGTCCCGTTGTGCTTGTCAAGGTATCCACCACACAATTGAAGACTATCCGAGTCATTCCGAGTATAGTTGCTTTTATTATCTGGGTCAATCCATTTACAAGTTCGTTTGAAACTTGACTTGAAGCTTTGGATCCCGATGATGGCAAAGAGCAGCCAAAAGAAACATATAAGGAAGGCAACATGGACCAGCAGGGGAGCAGCCTTTTTGAGACTCCGAAGAATGATCTGTTTTTTCCCATTAGCCTACGCACTCCGCCAGCTTCGTTCTTTGACTTACAGAAGTGCCATTGGTAAGTGCGAGAAGACGCAAAGATCGAAGGCAGCTCATCATACGGAAGATATAAAGCTTATGGTCATTTTCAATGTTGTTAAAAGAAATAAAGAATGATATCCAGAATGATATCACGGCGATAAAGTCGAGACGGTTGAAAGAGTGCCGAAGAAATGCACGATGGGCGAGTCTGACACGGCGCTTTTGTAAAGGGTCATCGGCCGCTTGTTGTTCTTGCTCCATTTGATTCAAGCCACCCGTGAAGGTACGTATGATTGAAGTTTGTGGCTCGGTTGGAAACACCGTTGATACCTTCTTCGAGAATTGCCGTTGGGGTGCGATGAGATTCTTCCCTTTTTCCGCCACTGCTTTTCTGAAACCACTCGACCGGTCGAGAGTACTGTACTCGGTAGGGTTGAAAAGTAAGCCCGACACCAGTATTTTCGCTATGAGTTCAAGGGTATAGATAATGAAAATAGCAAAGTTGCAATAATCAATGGGAGATGTGCCCCAACGCGGAGGCTGTTCGGTATGCTTGACTGCGTCGGACGATTCGACTGCCATCAAAATCGTGTGGATAAGGATTACAATCAAGATGAAGGGCTCTGCGAAAGGATGCACCAGTATATCACAAAGCCAGACTCGGATGAGATTGTCTGGCCCTAGAATACCGAGAGACCTTCCCTTAAACGGATTATTGCGTTCTCTCCAAGCTCTTCTTGATGCTCGCTTCGTACGTCTGTCATCAGGAGGTATATCGTGAGCATAATCGACCATGGCAGGAAGCGACGGAGGCTCTTCCATTCGTGCATTCTGGTAGGATTCCTCTCTGCGGATCGATTGTTCAACAACCTCGGGTTCGTTACTCAGATTGACAACACGCTGGGACATGGACTTCATCATCGAACTAGCTCGCTGCAGGGCAAAGCCAGAAGCCGAAGGTGATAAGGAACGTGACCTATCCCCAGCACTACTGCTGCCGCGAGGTCTGCGACCACCCAACCCGCTCTCTAAGTGTGGTAGATCATCGCCCAAACGTGCACCAGTATGATCGCCATCAGCGAAGTGAACGGAACTATGCGCACTGCGTTGCCCATCTTGCGGCGTATTGGAGATGTTGGAGGCCCCGCTTATAGGTTGGAGGTATCTATTGTCTGTCAACGGAGCAGTGTCCTCGTCTGCGTCGGGAGGTGAGAAGTAATTATCAGGCTCATGGGAGCTGGTAGCACCCAAGGGTATGCTGTCTAGTTCCGACGTATCGTCGTGGCTTCTTGTCGGTTCGTTGAAGCTGAGCCCAAAGGACGACATTGCCATGGCAAAGGTCCCCGGGTCCTCAACTAGAGGTTCGTCATCGTTGTGGTTGGAAGCGTGAAAGTTTCTCGCTAGCGTCGACTGCTCAACAGGGGAATCCTCCGCGACTCTTTCATAATTTCTCAAAGATCCTCTCCCGATAAACGACCGTCTCGATGGGAATCTGCTCCCCGCGCTGTCCGAGCGCTCTCTGCCATAGTCCTCCGCAGCCGCGATATCGGTCGATCTTGAGAAATCTTGTAAAGGAATTGAATGGTCCGGAGGGAAGGCGTCTTCGTTATTGCCGCGATCGTGGCTATTCGAAGCCATCGTAGGCAAGATTGATGTGCTATCCGACCGCAGACATCGCAAGGCGCGGTCTTTAGATTCTTCGGCGCAAAAGGCGCAAGAGCGCGTCGATAAGAGCTGATTTTGGCGCGGGACTTGGGGAGAGGCTCAAGACCGGGCGACAAGCCTTGGGGGGTAAGATTCAATTATGGAATTGCGAACTCCCGGACAGCCCTACGAGCGAAATATTGAGGAAATCCTCCGCCCGGGGGGCAACCTATCGTTCCCCAATCGTAATTTGACGGTATGCGCAGGCGGAGCAGCAACCACAGCCTGCACTAACGGGCAAAAACTGGGGCTGCGCTCTACAGTGGCAGTTTCTGAGTGGTCCGTTCAAGGACCAACTGGAGAGAACGTGATGGCTGACAAACAAAACACCACGAAATAAAGCAAGGACGAATAATGACGGAGTAGCACTGCAGTACGGAATGTTGCTATTTTCTTATGCTATGTACATGTCTCCTTCTGGTAGAGATGCTTATGCATGTCATGGGATGCTGACTTCGGGCATATTTCCTTCAGTGTTCCTACATCATGGTGGGCAACATTGCGTAACTACATAAATTGCTGCTGCCTTCTGGTACCTTTCACTTAGCGTGTTCCACCATTCCAAAAATAGCCTTTGAAGAAACAGCTGGACGTTCATACACTGGACTACTAGAGGGCAATGCGGCATCACAGATCATTTTGGAGATGAACAATAATAACTAGTAGCTGAGTACCTTAGTCACATTATTGAGACAAACATGTAACTACCTAGATTCAATCGGTCTCCATACGATGTTCCTGATCCGAACCCTTTTCCTTGACATGGTTCCGAACGCCTTTGAGAAAAGTATCAACAGCATCACCTCCACCGAGAGGAACACCTCCCCTACGCATGAAACCGCCGTTTTCAACTGGGATCTTGAGGGCCTCGCTGATACTGGGTAGACCACCATCTCTTAGTGCCAGCGTCAAACTTGCAAGGCTCTGCGCGAATTGGGGAGAATGTAGAATTTTCTTAACAATAACCTTCTTTTGGGAAAGGTCAAGAGAGCTCATGGCTGCTTCTGCGATCTCGGAGTTGGTTTCAGCAGCAGACACGTCCTCAACTTCTTGGGCCAAGAGCAAAAGCGCCGGGGGTAGAAAGCTCAAAAGGTTGTCGACAGTTTTGTTGTCCGCAGACTCAATAAAAGGCAGTGTCGAAGATGGTGTAAGAAGATCTTGCAGAGTGGTAAAAGGCCTCTCGGGGTCCTGCTGCCGGTTTTGACCCCCTCCCAGTGACTGCAAAAAGCTCTGTACAACCGACGATGGGTCCGACGAATCACCTGCTCTGTTCGAGAACAAGTCAGTTTTGGTTGTGTTCAAATTTAGAGCAAGTGTGAAGCTTATAACGGGTGTGAGGTTCTTCGAAAAAGTAGAAAGCAGAATTGTGGATAAATCTTGACATATAGCAAATATGTACTGTACCTACGCTCTTCCACCATCGGCACCACCCTCCCTCGATTCTTGGCCTTCCTCTCGGACGTCCCCGCCCGTGGCATCTGGGCCTGCTCCTCCACTGTTTCCTCCGTGGTTGTGGCTCGAGTCATGGTCCACGCCCTCTACATCCTCCATTGTCTCATCATCATCGCCACCAGACGGACCTCTCGGGAGATTGGCGATTTCATGCTCCACATCCACTTCTTCGCCCTGCAGCAAGGTATTGACAATATCTCCTAGCTTCAAGTCTCTGGGGCTGAACCAGCTAGGGTTGCCGCTCTCGTGCTGGGTTCGGGACTGGAGCCAGAAAAGGTAACGCTGGGAGCTCGAGGAGAATCTCAACACATAAATGCGACCGTTCGTAGGTGTTTCCTTGCCACCCGGCTGGTATGGTGTAAAGCTTCCATCCGATGGAACCATTACCAAGTCCAATTCAGGCTCTGTGTGGGGTGCACTCCTTGGGCGCCAGCAGAAGTGGACCAATTCATCTTCCGAGTAGAGGTAGATGTAGCCGGGAGTCGACTTGGGTTTGACAACCGGGTTTGCGCTTGAAGCCTGTCAACATGTAATGTTAATAAAGGCAATTTCAAAGAATTCAACGATGGGTTTCCCAGAAATGTAAGCCGTTCAGATAGTTCTGAGCCAGTTTTGGTTGGAACCCAGAGCGACAGAAGAGTAACTCACATCCAAGTCGCAGATACCCGCTTTGAAAGTAATGATGGGGGTTAAGGACATGATTACGACTATATCTGGCAAAGAGAGTTAAGAAGCGATAAATTTAACTCCCGTTTCTCCTTGGTCGTCGTGATGGGAAGCCAAGACGGGGTCACTGGTGTAGTTTGGTCGAGTTGTGGAAGTTCAGGTGAGGCGGGATACGTCAGATTCGGCCTTTAGCCAGTGTTTTGCTGGGGATCGCTGGAGCTCTGCTAGGTTCTGCGCTAATGGTCTCTACGCTCCGCCTGTGTTGTGGCCTCAGGCATGGAGGCGCTATCAGTCGCTCCAAATCGGCACTAGCGCCTTTCGGTTAACTGATAGGGCTCGCGTTCCCACAAACCTCACGATTTCCCGCCCTAGGCCGCAAGTCGACAGTCACTCATCAACTCCAACAACCACCCGCCGTCGACAACCACCACCCCGGCACCAGCAGCCAATATGTCGGAGCAGACGAAGCAGTTCGGAAAGGGCCAGAGGACCATTCCCGCTCAGAAGGCCCAGAAATGGTACCCCGTTGACGATGAGTCGCAGCCCAAGAAAGTCAGTACACCCTGTGCCAGAAAAGCAATTATATTGGAGGATGGAGATGCATTCCCTATGAATGAGTGCGACAATTGCGCCGGCCAAGGAACCTCAAATTTTGGTTGATCCAGGGGCCGGTGTCGATGAAACATGAGTTAATAGGGAATAGCATGGATTTGAAGACTACATTTTGATATTGGAATCGCAAAACTATTTGGGAATATTGAAAGAAGTCTGACATGATTTTTTTGTGTTTTCAACAGGTCCGCAAGACTCTGCGTCCCGCTAAGGTCCGGGAAAGCCTCCAGCCTGGTACCGTCCTGATCCTCCTCGCCGGTCGCTTCCGTGGCAAGCGTGTCATCCTCCTCAAGCACCTCGACCAGGGTGTTCTCCTCGTTACCGGTCCCTTCAAGATCAACGGTGTTCCTCTTAGACGGGTGAACGCTCGCTACGTCATCGCCACCAGCACTCGCATTGACATCAGCAGCGTTGACCAGCAGACCATCGAGAAGGTCTCTGTCCCCGACTACTTCACCAAGGAGAAGAAGGCCGAGAAGAAGACCGAGGAGGCTTTCTTCAAGCAGGGAGAGAAGCCCGAGGTATGTGATACACCAACTTTTTTTTGAGGCAGGCTTTGCGCAGCCTCAGGGGGAAAATGGTTTAGCAAGTGCTAATATAGGGTATCATCAACAGAAGAAGAAGGTCGCCAGCGCCCGTGCCAGTGACCAGAAGGCCATTGACCAGTCCATCCTGGCCTCCATCAAGAAGGAGAACTTCCTCGGCAGCTACCTCGCCACCACCTTCAGCCTCCGAAACGGCGACAAGCCCCACGAGATGAAGTGGTAGATATGTGACGCGGCGGCCGCGGGTTCGGTAGTTATTGTGGAGGACTTATATGAGGGTCGGCTATAATGCAAATGGGCATCCCATTGTGGGAAGCGTTTGCAGCGTGAGGAGGATTGGCTCATGAAATATGTAACTCGATACGGAATCCGTGTTTTCTTAGGATTGCGGTTAATTCGGAAACCCGGTTGTCATTTCTTCACGAACAGTCCTCCAGCGTGGCCGATTTGCAGGATCTATTAAAACAAAAAAAAGCCGAAATGTGAAAAAGAAGAATACCTGTCCAGCATTCACATGCCCTCAGATCGTGAAGCTGGGAGTTTTTTTATGTTCAGTACCTATGATACATCTGCAATTTCCAGGTTCGGGTGGTTAACCAAAATTGGGAATAAGTTATTGTTAGCTTGTGTCTGGGTAATATTCTACATGTAGATGGGCCATCGTACGTCTTATCGTGGCCACGAAGTTCATATCTTCGATTACCATATGCACTTGGATAGCCCCATATTATTTCTCCAAAACCATCCCATCTATCATTATCATCCCCCCACCCCCATGGGACGGATCTATACCTCCGGATCTGATACAAGTACGTAGTCTTATTCCAAAACCATTGATTGTCGTAACACACAAGACAACGCCCCAAAGTCAACTATCTTACATTCAACCATTTTACAGAAGATATAGATTCAGTCCATATGCGCACATTCACCTAGTAGAAATCCTCGTCCCTCCTCCTTCGCCTCCGCTTTCTTCCCTTCCGTTCCTCCTCTCTGATCCTCCTCTTAGACGCCTCGATCACTCTTTTCACTTCCTCGTCAATTTCTTGTTCCTCAATCTCTGCCTCTGCATCATCCACGATATTATCGCCCACAGCACTGTTGAAAATCCAATCCACAATGCCCCATGGCCCGAAATTCCCTTCTGCACCGCTAGAGAGGTGTATTTCCGTACGGCGGGCAATGCCTCCCAGAAAGAAGCTGGTGGGCATTATGGTGTAACCAGAGAAGGCGAACGTTTCTTCGATAGAGATTATCGTCAGGTAAAGAAGGTATGTGAGCATATGGAAGCGGAACAGCATGGCAGGGGCAAATGTTGGGATGAAATTGAGCAGCAAGTACGCCATTGGGTGGTCGTAGTGCGCTGTGAGAGGAAAGGGTGCCTGCAACGAATGATACCAGCTTTGGTGATGCTTTGCGACAGAGTACCCTTGAGAATGAAGGCAGTAACGGTGGATTATGTATGCCAAAACCTATAATGCGACAAGTAAGTCATTTTGCCATCTCGAGAATAAAGGTACTCAACGGAAAGACCGATACTCACCTCCCTTCCCAGTGTCCCGCGCAACAAATCCTTCACAATCTCCCATGGCATGGGTAGCTTCATTGAGACCTTCAGGGCACTTTTCGTTCCGAATACTTCAGTCCGGACTTGTTCGATGGCGACTTGTATTGCAATTCCCATCGCCAAATTAATGAGCGCCCATCCTGCAACTTTGATCTCTTTCCATCGGATCTTTCCTCGCTTGCTTCCTCCCGGGAGGCCAGCTTCGCCCTGGGCTTTTAACACCACAGCTGCTGAAGGTGTCAGGATATCGAAGAGGAAAAATAACAGCGACGGTAGGACAAAAAAAAGCACTCGCACAGCCAACGTTCCAAATAATTCAACCCGAAGAGGTGGATGAGATAGAACGAGGGTGGTCCATGTCATGTAGAAAAATACCAAATTGAGACTCGTAGTATAGGATGAAAGCGTGGGAAGAAGAAATAAAGACAGGACTGGTATAGAGAATAGGGCGTCCATTGTGCCGGTGTGGACGCGGGGCAAAGCTCTATCGCCGTTCTCTTAGCATTTCTCAAGACGAGGTTAAAGCCACATCTGCTCAATCCCAAATAAATTCCAAAAAAATCATTCAGAGATGTTGGGAATAAAAATCGACATGGATGTGTGTGCCTAACCAAAAACAGCTGATGGACAGCTCAGATGGTTAGCGGCATGACCACAATCGCCGCGTGCGTCGCCAATGCCAACCTACGTCACGCCGTCAAACATCCAATTATTTTTCATGAAATTATAATTGAAGAAAACACTAAAACTATTCTTGTGATTATCTAATATACTGCGCATAAACGAAAAAAATGTAAGGATTGAAATGAGGGGGTCGGTCGTGATATATATAGTATCCATTATCGCAACAAGATGCAAACTTAAATACCGTTGAAAAATAGATTAGATTCCGATGGACAAGCAGAAAAAAATTACGGAGTAGGCATATAGCATGGAGGATACCATTGATATGATTGTGAACTTTTAATTTTGAATTCTTTTTTAAGATGAATAGGACTCGCACGCATCAAAATCAAGAACAAAGAACAGCATGGGTATTGTCCCCATGGAAGACATAATAATGGACAATTAATAATAGGTCAAACGAAGATACTGTCAATACAGCACTCAAGGGTATCTAATATTTACACCAGCCAATGGGCCATGATAATGAAACGAAAAACGCCCACTATGAGGGTGGTGCTGGAGGACCGTTCTTGAAACCCCAGTTCCGCGCCGTCTTTCGAAGATCGGGAATGATGTGCAAAAAGACCAAGTTACTAAACCAGCTGGTCAAGGTATCAAGGACCATGGAGTTCCTAGGGCTCGGTCCAAGGGCAGTGCCTTTCATAACGTGGCCCACGAACATGGTAGTTATGAGATAATCGCCTCGTTCCAGAGCTTTGATGGAAATCTTAGCAACCTCATTTGGTGATTGTGGCTTATCAGCCTCCTCCAACTTCTTGGTCAATTCCGGCTTCATCTTCTGCTCGTTATCGAATCCTGGGCTCAGAATACCCATTGGGAAAACGGTATGGATCTTAACATCGGCGGCTGGGGCTTCGTGGCGCGTTTTAGAAATACGAGAGCCATTATACATTTCGACTTCCTGACTCAAAGTATCGGACAAGGAGCGAATCGCGGCCTTCGCTGGGGAGTATGGGCCATAGCCGGCAATTGGGACGAAAGCGAGAGTAGAGCAAGTAAAGATGAGGTGTCTCCGCGGTGTTGGGGTTTGCTGGCTTGGTCTAACCGGGACAAGCCACTTTCTCAATGTCGCATGAGCGGTATTTGCGGCAGTCCAGTACACCGTATCCATTTGGTCCTTCAATGTCTGAACCGGCGTGTCGATGAAGTATCCAGGGTTGCAGTATCCCGCGCAGCACCAAACAACGTCAGGGGGAATTCCATTATTCCACTCGGTGACTTCGTTAATAACTCGCTCACACTCCGCAGGGTCAGTGAGATCGGCACTGATGTAGTGGAATTTCTGCTTGACTGGGTTTGCAGCCAAAGCCTAAAAGTAAAAGGCCCCATTAGCATCAATGAACGCGAAGAGTGCGTGAATGAGGCAACCAACCTTGACGCCTTCAATAGAAACCTGGAGCTTCTTGAGTGTACGTGCAACTATCACGACATTTGCGCCTTTCTCTGAGAGCTGGCAGGCAACGGCCTTGCCCATTCCATCTGAACCGCCGGTAATAACAACAGTCTAGAATACGAAAGTAATCAGCAACTTGTATACGGTGCGAATGCCATGGATAAATACTCTGCCCTCGACAGGGAACTCATTCCGAGACCCGAAACCGAACATTTTAGCGACTGTATATGTGAGAATCCCACAGAGAACTACTGAGATTCCTAGCGTCGTAGAGGATATGTCATGTATAGGGATAGAGGATAGTAGGTGATGCATGAGGAAGAACAAAAAAAGAAAGATAGAGAAAAAGTACGAGGGAGATTTTAGAAGAGGACAAGAAAGAACACCTGCCGGGGTCAATTGGATGGGTTTCTCCTGCACTTTGAAGTTGTTATCCAGACATCTTGGAGAAAGAGCGTCCACTCACCACTGGTGGGCTTACCGGATGATACATAGATACCGCCAGCTCTGTGCTTATCTTACCAAAATTTCGTTGTCCCGTCGGTAATAACATGTATTATAAAGCAAAATATGCAAACAATCCTGATACAGCCTAGCGCGTAGAGGGCGGTGAGAGGCTCTCCCAAAATTTTATCAAAAGTTTATCAAATCGTCCGATCCGGCCTGTTAAAAATCATACGATCATCCCATTGAAAATAAAAAGGAAGCAACTATGGGCAAGAAAAGAAAGGCTGGTGGCCGCCCTGCGGCACAGGCTCCTCAAACTAAAACCAAATTTGATATTGAGGAGAGGTTTGATGATTCGGAGGATGAGTTTCAAACTGGACGCGATCATATCCTACTGGACGAAGAGCCAGATGCAAAGAGACGACGGAGGGTTGCAGAAGAAGGTTTGTACTGCGCATCTATCGATCAATACTCTACCGATATGTTTCTGACTAGATGTTTTTTATAGAGGAAATGATTCAGCCGTCCGATGAAGAGGTAATGGGCTATGAGTCTGTGGATGAAGACGATCTGGATGACGAGGAGGACTATGATGAAAACGATGAGGAGGAGATGGGTGATGTTCCAAAGTCAAAAAACTTGCGCCGTGGCGACAGTCCTGTTTCCGATGACCCTGAAGACGAAGAAGGCATTGGCGCTTGGGGGTCCTCGAAGAAAGATTTCTACAATGCAGACCAAATCGAGACCGAGGCCGATGCATTTGAGGAGGAGGCAGAAGCCAAGAGACTCCAGAAAAAGCACCTCCAAGCGATGAACGAAGCAGACTTTGGCTTTGATGAAACCGAATGGGCTGAATCCGGCAAAGAACAAAAAGACTCGCAAGAGGATACTGGTGTAGTGACCGAAGTTTTGCCACAAGTGGAGATTACAGAGGACATGAGCGCAGATGAAAAGTTGAAAATACTCAAGTCGAGATACCCCGAGTTCGAGCCATTGTCGAAAGATTTTGTCGACCTTCAATCCACGTACCATGAACTGGAGCAAGCCGCTAAAACTGCAGAGGCGAAAAATTCTACAGAAGAAGATTCGGACTCGGCACCCAGCGCTGTCATCAAATTTCGCGCACTGTCGACTTACCTTGGTGCGATCAGCATGTATTTCATGATCCTGACGTCTGCCGAGGATGCAGCGGGAAAACCTGCTCCCTTATCACCAGCAGAGCTACGAGGACATCCAGTCATGGGATCTTTGGTGAAATTCAGAAAGCTGTGGGAGACCGTCAAGGACCTCCACATACCCGATGTTTCGAAGACGGAACCTGCGAAGACGACTTTGACCGATACTCAAACCAACGGCACTGCGCCATCCAAGTCAAAGAAACCCGCCAAGAAGACTAAGGAGATCCAAGAACCCAAGCAAAAGAAGATGTCCAAAGCACAGCGTGCCGCAGAAGAAGCACAGACAGAGGCAGAAGCCCGCAGGGCAGAGAAAATGCGCGAGAACGAAGCTAGCCTGGCGGATCTTTCAAACCTGGTTTCGGAGCCAAGCAAGAAGCGGAAAGCACAGAAAACAAAGGCAGTGCCTAAGGATGATGACTCTGACTTTGGCGACGAAGATGCTCTTACTGCTAAGGAAGCGGAGGAGAAGGCGAAGCAAAAACGGTCTCTCCGATTTTACACTTCTCAAATTGCTCAGAAGGCGAACAAGCGCAGTGCTGCAGGCCGGGATGCTGGTGGTGATGCAGACTTACCGTATCGCGAGCGTTTGAAGGATCGCCAGGCTCGACTGAATGCCGAGGCTGAGAAGCGTGGTAAACAGAAGCCCGGGAAATCTGAAGAGTTGGGCGGAGACAGTGATGACGAGGACTACCGGGTCGCCGATCAGCTCAGAGGTGGTGACAAATCAGGAACCGACGATGACGAGTATTATGACATGGTTGCAGCACGCTCGAAGCAACGCAAAGATGATAAGAAAGCACGTGCAGACGCCTACGCAGCCGCAGCCCGTGAAGGTGGACATGTGGAGGTTCAAGAAGAAGTCGGACCGGACGGCAAACGAGCCATTACCTACCAAATCGAGAAGAACAAGGGTCTTGCGCCCAAGCGGAGCAAGGACTCTCGGAACCCTCGTGTTAAGAAGAGGAAGAGGTTCGAGGAGAAGAAGAAGAAGTTGGGCAGTGTTCGTCAACTTTACAAGGGTGGTGAAGGTAAGGGTGGATATGGTGGTGAGCTTACTGGTATCAAGAAGAACCTGGTTAAAAGTGTCAAGCTTTGAACGAACGTTTGAAAATACCTTGGATAGATGTATTTGGGCGTTCGATGCGTGCTATAAAATGGGCTTTTCTGTGTACATATATAATTTATTTAAAGCTACAAATCTTGATCAAATCCGCAAAACCGTACGTCTGTCCACTTTAAGCAACCTGCCTTGCAGCGTTTTGAACTCATCAGCATCAACTCAAGACATTGAAAAGCAGAATACTGAGCCGCTATCACGAAGAGCATTCAGAAATATGGCGGTATAGTGCCGATCTGCCCGACTTGTCGAAAAGGCTCTCGAGCAAGTCTCTAGGATTTCCAGAGCTGCCATGACCTGACAGACCAAGGCTCAAGAACCCTCTTGCCAAAGCATCCTTTACGAGTCAGTATACCACGAACTCAATTCGGCATCAACAAAAGAGGCTATATTACCGCTTCTTCAAGTGCTTGCGTTTCCTCCAATGACAATGTGGCGCAAGCAGCTATCAGGTTCTCCCCACGAGCAGATAGAGCAGCGAGTTCATTTGCACGAGCAACGATGGTTGGGTTAATCCCATTCATCGCTGCACAACTGCATCATATATACATCGTTAGATTAAGGCCAATATCTTTTGACAGCCAGTTTAGACACGTACATTGTACCGAAACTCTTATCGCTGCGACCTAGACGGAAACTGCCCATGTATGACTGATCAGCTCGTGAATCATGGCTTGCAGTATTTAGGGCAGCCAAACTTATATAGATAGGTGATCTGGTCTTCGATTTGTGGGGACTCTTCGCAAACCTGAACTTCCATATGGCCAAGTTGCAATTGGGGTCGAGGATTGAGAAACCCATTTTCGAATATCTCGTGGAAATGCGTTGCAGCTATGACCTTTGGTGCTTTATCAAGACTCAGGAGGTGCTCGAGGATTCCACAAGCTAGCCCAATGCCATCTAGAGCAGGCCCAAGGTCAGACTAGGATCAAAACAAGGGGGGGCACAGTGTGAACAAACCACTCTCGTTGGTTCCTTTGCCAAATTCATCAACTATTAGTAGACTGCGGCAGGTTACCTGTTTCAGGTCGAGAGATATTTGTTGCAAGTCGTTCATGAATGTACTCTGGGTCTAAAGGAAAGTAAGAATTCCATGCCAGTGATCCGGGTGGTCTATTTTTCATATGTACCTTGGAGAGACTTTCTTGGGTGTTCATTTTCACAAGTATTTTGTCGGTGATTCCAATCTCCGCAATTTCAGCAGGAACAAAGCTGATGACCCCGAGTTCATAATCAATACAAATCCGAGTGGTCAGGTTCTTGCTTGACTTACCTTCCAACTTGTGCGAGATAGACAATCAGAGCAACCTTTGGTCATGATTAATCGGGCACTACACGCATGGGAAGCTCCTCACCTGTTTCATATAGACACTTTTACCAGAATAATTTGGCCCTGTTAACAGTAGCATGCTTGGACCATCGGGCTTCTCTCGTCCTTCGGGTTCATCTTCAGATGTCTCAAGAGAAATATCCAGGGATCTTGTCTCCAATCCGCCACCCATCAATAGTGTATCATTCGGAACATATGAAGGTACCGTCAGCTCCTGGAGAATATGCCTTGTGATATGTCAGTATACGTTAGATGCTTTTGAAATGTCACTGAAATTACCGCCCCCCTTTTATTTTGATGATATTCTCTTGCGCCATCCTGGGACGCACGAGTTTGTAGAAACTCGCGGCGTGGGACATTGCAAGAAGACTATTATATATGAGCATTTACTTCCGCCATACTTCTTTAGAGAACTTACCTGTCAATTTGGCCACAGATATCCGATGCTTCTAAAAGCATTTGTTCATGTTGAAGCACCCTTTGAGCGAGTTCGTACACGATTTCGATCTCCTTCTCTATAGAATAGTTAGTGGTAATAGCAAACAGGAAGACTATTGTCTTTACCACAAATAAGTCCATATATGTCACCTAACCTGTCATCCATCTCTCTCATTCGAAAGTCCTTGAAATATGCTCGATTTTCAGTGACGAATATGAGTTCCCAGTCTTCGTCGGGGCCATTAAATGCCGCTTCACCTCCATCGTTTAGTGGAATTGCGATGTTGAAGCCGAGTTGAGGGAAGTATATCACGTTCACATCAATGTCAAGGCTCTCCGGGATTGTAGTAGCAATATCTATTGCGACCTGCTTCAACAGACTGTTCAAGCCGTCATAGCTGTCTTTCATCCTGTCAAGTTCTCTATCCAGTCCAGGCTTTACGACTGTTCTGCTTTGTTCCTCGGAACTATCAATGTCGACCTGAATATCTTAGTTTGAACTTTTCCAGATGAAAGGTTGATATACTTACTATTTCCTGAATCATTCTTCCAACCCTGTAAAGCTGAGCCGATTCAAGAATGTTGATTGCCTGGTTTCATGTTAGTAACTGAGAAGTGACTGCCTCCGATGTACTTGCCTTTTGGCAGAGAGCTAACGTGTTAACACCAGAGATCTCTCTCAGGGCATCATGAATATCAATTCCATAAAAGGCAAACTAATACCAGAAATAAGCAGTTACTCGCTATAGTAAAATTGCAATTTTGCCTCACAGCCAGCAGCGTTGCCCAGACAGTGGTTTTGAAGCCAGTTATCTTTGCACTTCCGGTACTGACACCTTTGCGAAGGTTGATCATGACAGGACGGAGGTTTTTTATATGCTTCAGACTCTTTGATATCTTCTCCAAAGAGTTATAATTATCAGGCCGTAAAAAAGTGCCAATGAAGTCGTGTCGCTCACAGATAATTCCTATATCCACACTAGGGCGAAGGAAATCTTGCCTAAGTCGATTCCTCCCTTGAGGAGTGCATGCGAACCTTTGAAATATACCGTAGACCGATAGCCCTTCTTTCGAGGATGACGATTTCTTCCCAGGCCCTTGGTTGAACATACTAGGGTGAGATTCGGACTGTATGATCTGAAGACATTTTAACGTGTTTCCGTTGATGTACCTGCTCCTTCGTAAGATCTCTTTTCTCGGCTATATGCCCTGGCCCCGACTCACATAGTGCTCTTCAAAGTGAGCATTTCAACAGAGCTAACTCTGAAGGTATCTGAAGATCTTGACCCAGAGTTTGGCTCTGCAGTTCTCCGCCTTTGTAGGTACGTGAGGATAGCACCAGCACAGCCTACTGTTATGATGTTTTCCATATCGATTGAACTGGACATGTGTAACAGCCTTCCTTCCTGGAGTGTAAAGCCCAAACTCTCAGCATCTAGCTGCTCGGAATCGAGTAACCCAGTATGAGGCACCAAGAACTGGATACGTTGCTCGTGTGTCGAGGATATCTCCAAAGCCACCAACTTGTTTTTGGCATTGGAGTAGCTGAATTCTTGGGACGGCCGGATATCGAGCTGGTATGGGAGGTAAGAAAGAGAATCTGCGAAGGAGAAGGTTAATCTTATGCCAATACTTTTGTGTGGATATGATTCTCACCGTCTTCTTGCCCAAAATTCTGGCTGCCTCGCGTGGTGAGATAGTCGACACGAGCAGAAGTCAGGAGTACGGTAGGCTTGGTCTGTAGTATCACTGAAAATCGTCAGTACTTTCCATAATAAGGAGAGGCAGGTATGGAATGAACAGCTATCTATCATCTCGTTTCCAGCAGACTTAATGTCTCCCAATAGATAAAGCTTTTCTTCCTGGGCCGAGTAATAGGAGCAGCCAACGGTGCCGGAATCTCTCATGTCGATAGCCACTATAACTTGCTCAAGGTCATCGTCAGTAGATTGCTCTGCCACTCCAATGTCTAGCACAGGTTCCAGAGTGCTGCTCGGTTGTATTTCCCTTGACCCAGAAGATTTTTGGGAAGCGAGAGAAGAGTGTGAGACACTGGGACCCGGTTTCGAGGATGGAGAACCATTGTTGTGGCTAGACCTGGGGTTGTAAGACCGAGGGGTAATGTATGGATGATAGCCTTTCTGTTTGCGGACCTTCATAGAGGATCCCATGATGCCCTGAAGGATAGGCCTGGGAAGGATGTAGGAGAAGCTTGTCAAGTACGTGTGTCGTGTTGAGGTGAGATCTCCGAGCAGTTGTTTACCCCAGACCGGACTAGGTACTACTACTCTAGCTACGCAATGACTGTAAATTACCAGAACCAAGTCAAGCAAAAACCTTGATATAGAACAATGTCATTAATATTTCGTCAAATAATCATTCATACACTTATGATACAGAGGAGAGAGATGCTATATATTACACCAAGAATTGGGAGTGTCACGCAGAATGGAGAACCAGCTTACCAAATGCACACAACTGGATATTTCACATAACATCAGAATATAACCAGGAGTCTTCGCTAAAAATTTATTTTTCTTTTTTCCTTTTTCCTTTTCTCTTCTTTATGCCTCTGCAGGAAGTGCAGTGACATCAAGCCCAGTCTTGTCGGCGTTGAATGAGACACGAGCAATTTGTCCAGAAACAACTTGACCGCGAATGATCTTGTCGGCCAGCCTGTTCCCAATTTCCTTGGAAATCAAGCGGTTAAGGGGACGAGCGCCGTATCTGGGATCATAGCCCTTCTCACAAAGCCAATCCTTGATCTCGTTGTCAACTTGAAGGATCATACGACGATCATCAAGCCTCGACTGAAGTTCCTTGAGTCTGATATCAACGATGTCCCTAAGAGCTTCTCGGGAAAGTCTCTTGAATATTATGAACTCGTCGATTCGGTTAAGGAATTCGGGCGGGTATGCAGCTTGCACCACATCCATGACAGCCGATTTACTTTCAGGCGAAAGTTCATCATCTCCATGATTCTTGTAAGAATGCAGGGGGTCGGCACCGACAAGGATTTCTGCCCCAAGGTTGGATGTCAGTACAATGAGAGTGTTTCTGAAATCGACTTTGTGTCCTTGAGCATCCGTGAGAAAACCCTCATCGAGGACTTGCAGTAGCAAGGCAGAGATATCACGATGGGATTTCTCGAACTCATCGAACAACAAGACTGCATATGGTTTGCGCCTTACGGCTTCAGTGAGTTGACCAGCATCGTCGTATCCAACGTAACCTGCAGGAGATCCAATCAAACGACTGATTGTGTGCTTCTCTTGGAATTCACTCATGTCGAATCTCACCACAGCAGACTCAGTAGAAAACAGGAATTCGGCCATTTTCTTGCAGAGTTCTGTTTTGCCCACACCGGTAGGTCCAAGGAACATGAAAGATGCCAGAGGTCGGTTTTGTCCACTAAGACCTGCTCTCTGCATTCGGACTGCGTTGGCAACCGCAGTGAGAGCCTCATCCTGTCCACGAACCGATTGGCGGAGCGTGTCTTCCATGCGGACCAGTTTTTCAACATCTCCGGCCATGAGCTTATTGACGGGTATCCCGGTGGTTCGTGAGACGACATTTCCGATATCGTCAGGGGTGACGGAGTCATGGATCAATGAGGATCGCCCGTCTGACTCTTTTTCTTCACCTTCCTTCGGGAGTTTGGCTTCCAGGCCCGGGAGTGTGGAGTATCTTAGCTCTCCTGCTTTCGCAAAGTTTCCTTCTCGCTGTGCTTGTTCAAGTTCGAACCGAGCGCGCTCCAATTCTTCCTTTGTTTGTTTAATCTCATCGATTTCCGACTTTTCTTTTTCCCAGACTTCAGTCAGCTTCGAGGCTTCATCTTGCTTGGTTTTCAATTCCTCCTGCAGCTTTTCGCGTCTTTCGCGACTGCTAACGTCTGTTTCCTTGCGAAGAGATTCGAGTTCAATCTGGATAGTCGTGATGTCGCGGTCCAACTCTCTGATTACATCGGGCTTCGACTCCTGTTGTAATCTTAGGGCCGAGGCTGCCTCATCTACCAAGTCGATGGCCTTGTCGGGCAAAAATCGGTCTGTAATGTAGCGGTTGCTGTAGGTTGCAGCGGCGACCAAGGCACCGTCGGTGATTCGCACACCGTGATGAACTTCATATTTGTTCTTGATACCACGGAGAATAGAAATTGTAGCAGCAACAGATGGTTCGCCGACTTGAATAGGCTGGAACCGCCGTGCTAAGGCAACATCTTTTTCGATCATCCGATACTCGTTCAAAGTGGTGGCGCCGCAGCACTGCAGCTCGCCTCTCGCTAGCGCTGGTTTCAGGAGGTTGCTGGCATCGATGCTGCCCTCAGCCTTACCCAGGCCAAGCAAGGTGTGAAGCTCATCGATGAAAAGGATCACGCCACCTTGCGCATCTTCAACTTCCTTGAGAACAGCTTTTAAACGTTCTTCGAAGTCACCTCGAAACTTTGCACCCGCGATGAGAGATCCAAGATCCAATGAAACAACGCGCTTGTCTTTGATGCTTTCCGGTACATCTCCTTGAACAATTCTTTGTGCCAGACCATCCATGACCGCAGTCTTGCCGGTACCTGCGGCTCCGATGAGGACAGGATTGTTCTTCGTGCGCCTCGATAAGATTTGGATTGTCCGATGTATTTCAGAGTCTCTCCCAATGACAGGATCGAGCTTCCCGTTCTTGGCTTTGGCAGTAAGATCAACGCCATATTGCTCCAGCGCCGGTTTCTCTGGCTCTCCTCCTAGGTTCATCCGGTGTGTGCCTCCAGGAGGATGGGGTCTTCCATTTGCATAATGACGGATGGATAAAGCCGGTTGAAGACCGGCAACCCTGGTAGTTTGAGTTGGTAATAGTCGGGTTTGCAGGGGGAATCGCAGTCTCGCGGAGGAAGGGAGGATTCGATTCGATGACGATATTGTGGGCGTTCGAAGAAGCCGGCTTCGAGCGAGTTGCAGCCTTGATGCCATGGCTGTTTTTAAGCCTTTCGAGGCAATATGTGAGTATTCTCTCGTGCGATATAAACTGGAGGTGTCCAGGTTGCAAGCTCGCCTCGCCGGGAGTCAATTACATGTCTATATAGCCAGTTGCTCGCCAACGTCGGGATGCTTCTCGAAGGATCCACACCCAAAACGGCTGTGAGTGGCGGAAGCTCCCCAGAACATCGACCAAGCTCCGTCACCTTCCAGATCACGTGCAGCCCCATCGAGGGGCTTTGGCGCTTCCGAAAAAAATTTACCAACCCAATTCCCAGGACCCTCTCCTTTAAAATCTTTTGGACACCTCACCCCCTCCTCAACCATTTCTTTTTCCTTTTCTACACCACACACACTCTTCTAATCATCTTTCACAATGGGTTTCACCGACTTTGTCTCGGAGGCTGGCCTCACCCGTATGTCCTTTATTCTTGTTGCTTTTTATCCTTTTCTTCTCCAGGCCAATAACTAATAGTGCCCCTCAGTTGCCAACAACTTCCTGTCCACTCGCAGCTACGTCGTTGGGTAAGTTCAAAATTTTTTCTTTGGCATCTTTTCACACTCGACCGTCCCTTGTATGATGAAAACAATTGGTCCGTGTTTAGGAGGCGGATTAAGACCCCGCTGCACGACTACAACACAAGCGATTATTCGCACTTCTGATCTCCAGGAGACACTTCTCATTTTGCCATTCTACAAAAGAAACTTGTGATCTTGAGAATATTTGACACTAACTAGTCAAAAGTGACGCTCCTTCTCAGGCCGATGTTGTGACCTTCAAGGCCTTCTCCGGCGCTCCTGACGCTGAGAAGTACCCCCACGTTGCCCGCTGGTACAAGCACATCGCCTCGTACGAGTCTGAGTTCGCCTCTCTCCCTGGTGACGCCTCCAAGGCCTACACCACCTATGGCCCTGAGGCTACTGAGCTGCCCACCAACCCCAAGGACAAGCCTGCTGAGGAGGACGACGACGATGTCGACCTCTTCGGCAGTGATGACGAGGACGAGGAGACCATCCGTGTCCGTGAGGCTCGTCTTCAGGAGTACAAGGAGAAGAAGGAGAAGAAGGGACCTAAGCCCGCTGCCAAGTCCCTCGTGACTTTGGAGGTTAAGCCTTGGGGTAAGTATTCTGATCGCATCTTCATATGTGCGCTTTACTAATGTTTTACTTTAGATGATGAGACCAACCTCGAGGAGCTCGAGGCTAACGTCCGTGCCATCGACCAGGACGGTCTTGTCTGGGGTGCCAGCAAGTTCGTCGCTGTTGGTTTCGGTATCAAGAAGCTCCAGATCAACTTGGTCGTTGAGGACGAGAAGGTCTCCACCGACGAGCTCCAGGCCCGCATTGAGGAGGACGAGGACCACGTTCAGTCCACCGATGTTGTAAGTCAAACCGATCCAACAGGAATCTGACTTTAATGCTGACCTTTATTTTCCCCAGGCCGCTATGCAGAAGCTGTAAATGAAATGCCTTTTATGAAGAACAATGGCGTGATGTTTTCCACGGGAATTATAGTATTATGAATTTAGAATTCGACATGGAGTAACTTCCAGTCGTTTTGATGAAAATCAAAATTAGCAAAAAACAAAGAATACCCACTATTTCCAAAGTTCATCGCTCTTCATGACTTTCACGTATTTTAACCTGCCTTGGTGGGATGGATTATTTAAGTCACCTATAAGTGGCTCAAGTATTGTGGATGCCCAATCTGCCAGGCATTTGGTGAGGGGTTGGTTTAGTGCATAATGTGGTCGTACCGTCTCCCGTAGTCACCGCCGACGGCGCCGAGCATGCAGCTAGCTGTGCTGATATCAAACGGCCAGGCCGGTAGGAGAGCGCGCTCCAACAGCTACAGCCATCAACACTTTTACCTTCTGATCTCATTGGAAGAAAATCGTGCTGTGAACTATACACCTCTTAATTGATAATCCTCTACCATCATGACATTCATATCCCGTCTGGTCACATTCTTCGGGCTTGTCCTGCTCGCTCATGCGTACGTTTTTGATCTCCCTCTCCTTCCTGGCTAGAATCTAGCCTTCCGGTCTACACAAAGATATACGCTAACTAGGAATCATTCACAGTGGCTATTCCGCACATGAGCACACAGTACTTTACAGCAACATCCGCCTATCCTCCTCCACCGCCCTCCCCCATGACATCGTCATCGAAGCCCTCGTCTCCCTTCTCGTCGTCTCAGCAGGCCTCGTCCTAGGCGCAGAAAAATTGAAGCCAATCAGCTGGAGCGAATGGGCCGGGCAGATTGAGAGAGAGGGCGGCACAAGAAACCCATACCGTCGACTTGAAGAACGTTATAGCTTTTGGGATATCAGGGTATGTTTTGATGCTACTGTGTTCCCGTCTTTGTTATTGGGATTTTTGACGACTAACTTCTTTCTTCTTTCGATGATCAGGCTAAGCGAAAGGAATTTGCCGACTGGGTTCGGGGCCAGGATGCCATTGCTATGGCGAAATAGGATACAACAAAAACGGGATTGAGGTGACTTTGTGATATAACTGTATATTTAGACATTAATGGATGAGTGATTCTGCTCTCTGGTGCGTCTATTGATTTTCTTGATGTGGGAGGCTTTACGGAAGCTTTGGTATGGAGTATCTCAGCAATAGATTCCGGAGACAGTACCCCGTACTGGCGTCATGTGAACATGCTTTGAGATTATTGATGGGCAGTGTACTCTCTACGTGGGCCACTCTGCAACCGAGCAGCAAAGAGGATTTTGGGCAGGTTGCTTATGGAATACTGACTGGCAACCCCTGAGACTCAGTGCAGGTACGGAGTATGGTCGATGTGACATGTTATTCAATATTTAATAATGTGAAGCATGGATGGCGGAAGATACTCCATAAGTAGTCCAAATATTAACTGCCCCCCTTGTGGATTCTAAAGCAACAATGGAGGATGAGTTGATAGCTCCAGCTCATCACTCAATCATACCAAATAAACGCACATATTGAAGTCACTCATGATCTGACGAGATACAGCCGAAGAGATTCTAGCCCAAAAACTGGGCCGTGTTGATTCAGCCACAGCCCGAACTAGGCTGATTTGTTTTACAATTCCACATTAAATACTGTGGTTCTAGACTGGAAGTTCGTGTTCCACAGCATGTTATAATTCCCGCTTTTTTGAAACAGAGGGACTTTTCTGTCTACTTACGGTCAGCCTCGATTTATGTATGTCAGTAGACACAATAGCATTTGAAATATGTGAAGTAGGTAGTGGCAAGGAATGAATCTACACGATACCAGACAGATTGTCGAAGATGTTTCACTTCCCCAGAAGACGGGATGTTGTTCAATACTATTTTTGTCGCCAAGTTTCATTGGCCTAGTTCCACCGCATTCTTTACATCTCAGGCGAAGAAAAATAAGAAAAGGAGGTGGGGGGAAGGCTTCGGTTGAGGGGAGGGGTAAGTTGCAGCCAGTCGTGATCCTATTCCGATGTGGCTCTCTTTTCCCTTGCATGATTTTCTGGATGGTTTATTAATTGCCTCGACTGGAGTAAAGTTTGGCTTTGAACTTTCGTCCTGGGACTGGTTTTCGAGTACGCAGTCTGTAGTACAAGCTTTCATTCAGTTTGATTCTGTCTATCTGTTACTGCCAGCTATTCTCATGTCTGAAAATATTCAGACTACCACGGCATGCTAACCACGTAAGTAGGCCAAGATGTAACAGAGAGACACAAGCTTCTAAATAGAGACCCTGTTGGATGTACTTACTGTCGGCACTCGAGAGCAGAATTTGCATGACTCGTGGGGTTAGACTATCCAACAAGAACAATGACTTGAAGGATTTACTGTATGCACCGAATCTAGCACATACATACTGTCTGGACGATCACGGCCATTTACCCCATTACCAGCCAACTTGGTTGGCCTGACATGTTAAAAGCATTGATCTGCAGCCCCAGTTGGTATTTAATTGATTTTGTATCTCGAGTGACTCACCACTACAGGCCTAGGTAAGCTCACGAGGCATTAAGATTTTTCGCATACAGGCGTGGGTACAGAAAGGGCAAAAGCTCTATATATATAGACCACATGAACGGGTACAAAGCCAATAAGCAGCCATTTGGAAGGCAGGAAGTGTAGTTAATATTGCCCATGCAGACACCTTAGAGGATGAACCGTGGCTGGCGTGGTCATCTGGTGGTTATCAATCAGCCTGTATTGCGTATGCTTCGTACGTGGACGGCCGAGGATTGAGCGGTGCCTGTCCTGTCTGTCTTGCTAGGTTTCTCCCTTGGCAGTCTGACAGATGGAAGTATTCTTCCGTCAATGCATCATATTCCTAGCCTCTTTTTATTGCTTTTTTCTATTGCTTCGTTCGTGGAATTTATTACTCATTTCCGGCTGGTTTATTGCTTCCTTCAGCCTTCCAGGGTCCAGGGCTTTCATGCTTGGTCCACTGTGGGGTGAAGGAAGAAGAAGATAATTTCTCTCTACCAGGATTAAAAAATAGAGGCAAAACTGAAGAAAAGAAGATGTTCTCTGCTGGTGGATGGGCTGACACATGCTGGCGAGTGGAGCAGCACAACAACAGCTGATGATGATGCCGACGATGCTGATGATGTGCTGTGGCCAAAGATAGCAATTCCGTTCTCTTCTACCCTGTCATCTCTCTCCCTGTCAGACAATCTCGTTAATTAGCTGTTTCTTTCTTGTCAGAAGAAAGGCTCTCTCCCTTGGCAGGTGGAACCTTTGTACGAATTTGCGATCTGTACAGCGGAACGGGCAGGACTGATGCATACACATCGGAGCGAGTCGAGGCTTTTATTTGGCCATTATTGATCTTTTATTTGCTCGCCTTGCCTATTTATATACCCCGTCGGTCCTAGGCTCCCGGTGCTGCTGTATTTATTGAATCCTCTCTCACCTTTCCCTTTGCTTTCCTTCCCTTTCTCTTTATCTCTCCCATTCACCTCTCCCCCATCTCAAAATAAACTTGACATTCTTCTGTCACCTTATCCTCCACATTCTTGCTATCTAATCGATAAGCAGTACCTATTCCCATACATCCCCGGAAAAATGCACTCTTCTCTCCTCCTCCTCGCCTTCTCGGCTTTGGCTGTTGCCCAGCAGTCTTCTGCTCCTGTGGTAAGAATACCCGTCTGAGCCTTGACCATCTCGCATTGAAGCATCCTGACCACTCACTTCATAGGAGAACCCTGCTGTTAGCTTCGCCTCGGAGACCAACACCTTGGGCGTTGTCACCGGCCAGCCTGACGCCGCTACCTCGCAGGATGCTGCTGCCACCTCGCAACCTGCTGTCGCAACTTCTGAGCAGCCCGCAGTCTCGACCCCAGCGGGCGAGACTGGCGAGTCCAGTACCCTCATTCCTGGATCTAGCTCTGGTGCCATTTCTTTCACCACTGTCCCATCTAGCAGTGCCTCGGTGACCGGATCTACCAGCGCCTCTGTCAGTGCGTCGTCTTCTGGCATTACCTCAACTTCCACTGCCACCTCCACCTCGACCACCTCTTCCTCAACAACTTCCGACTCCAGCACCTCGTCGTCCAGTGCCAGCAGCACGTCCGGCACTTCCACCTCTGAGGCTGCTGCCCCCATTGCCACTGCTGGCCCCGTTGGACTGACTGTCGGTCTTGCCGGTGCTGCTCTCGCTGCCTTCATGTAAAGGATGGCCAGTGATTCTGCATGCCAAACTGAATTGAGCGACTTCTGTCAAATACCCCCCTTCGATGGAGGCAGTTTTTTCCGTATCAATTCAAGTCTGGCAGCTAATTTCGTACTTATGAGATGAGAAATATGGTCACGCGGGTTTTCGATTCCTTGTTTATTAATGGGAAACATGTATCACTGCTGGGATGGTTTTCTTTTCCTCTTTTAAAAGAACTTGACCGACATGAGTGCGCATATGCATGATTGATGGCATTGCTTATTAGTATTAATGTAATATCTGGTAAATAGAGCATTGGACCATATCCACCAACGTTGCATTCTTCTCTGTAAATGCTAGAACAGCTCAACAGGGCCTTCCCGTTCCTAAACAAAGAAACATTCGACTGTCTCAATAGACACTCGACTCGATGATCGACGTAGTGGGGTCCTTTACCTCCCGTCCTTGGTCTCTGATTTTGACATTCGAGTGAGACATGGTTTCACTCCTGCCTGTCTGCTGTCAACCAAACCCCGTGACCACCATCTGACCAAAATGACCAAAGTACCTTACATAATCAATTTGCTTTCCTAAAACGCGACATATACGCGTCACAGTCACCTGACCCTTACACCGCGTTTGTTTGGAGGCCGCATCGGGCCTAGTGCGCGTTTTGCCAGCAATCACATCACCACAACAAAGAACAACGGGGCAACCGAATCTGGCCGGCACAGCGCTGCGATCGACGCCATTCTTCAGCTTCTTTGTGTGGTACGGGATTACGGATACTATTTTGAGGACATTGCGAGTGATAAGATTGTTTCATCTATTCGGACTCTAGAACAAGAAAAGTTATTTGTCTACTGGTTGATTGGGGGGTTTCATATTCACCACCACCTCACTGAATTGAAGCTTGCCAGTTTCTCTAGTTTCAAGTCTTCGGATTTCGCTTTCCCCAAATTTCAATTTGGACTATATCAGTCCCAGACATCATGGTAAGTTTGCCTTTCCTGTTTTCAAGTTTCAATTCCATGCAATTCAATGCTAACATCGTTTCTAATTATCAGCCTTCGGGTTTCAAACGTCTCGCAGCGGACCACGCCGCCTTATACGACTCCGAACTCCCTCCCAACTATCTCTTCCCCTCAGACGATGGAGCCGATGACCTCACGCAACTCACTACCTTGCTGGCCGGGCCGCAGGGGACACCGTACTCACAGGGCTTGTGGCGATTGCATCTTAAGATGCCCGAAGACTACCCCAAGAGTCCGCCGAAGGCCTCATTCAAGACTAGAATATGGCACCCGAATGTGGAAGAGTCAACGGGGGCAGTGTGTGTTGATACGCTGAAGCGGGATTGGAAGCCAACGCTGACGTTGAAAGACGTATTGATTGTGAGTTTCTCCGTGTTAGTGGGGGGTTGGTCTGGAGGGACAGAGGGCTAATGATGTGTTTCGATTTAACAGACAATTTCCTGCCTTCTTATCTATCCGAATCCTGACTCTGCTTTGAATTCGACGGCTGGTGCTATGCTACAGGAAGATTATGGGGCGTTTTCCCGTCAGGCTAAGTTGATGACGTCTATCCATGCCCTGGTCCCCGCGGAATTGAAGACAGCGGTGATGGAGGCAAAGCTTAGAGGGGAGGATGCAGGGACAGTCATTCAAGAACAGGAGGAGTCTCGCTCATTGCGATCACACAAGGGAAAACGAGTTCAATCAGTGACGATGAAGAAGAATACCCGGAATAATAAAAACCAACACGATGACGCAAGCACCCACCAACCACCGCAACCAGAAGACCAAATGGATGAACAACAAGAACAAGACATGGCATCATCAGATGACGAAAATGAAAACCCCGGAGGCGGTGCAAAAGAGAACGACCCTTCATTGTCTCCCCTGCCAGTCAAGCTTGCGCCTCCGAGTCCGAGGAAGAACGCCCACGGTAAACGGCCATTGTCTGTTCTTACAATGCCGGTGGACTCGGACTATACAACAATGGAGGTAGACGATAATGATGTAGACGGCATGACTGCCTCTGAGAAGAACATCGCCGCCAATTGCTCCCACGAGGATCGTGACCCCTCACCTCTTAGAAAGTCTCCGAAACTCTCCGTCCTCGATAAAGGCATCAATGCTCACCCCGGACGACCACGGGATGAAGTCAAGATATTCGAAGACATCCCCGACCTACACCGTCGAACCAGCGGAGACGGCAAGGAAAACCGCGGCGCTTTCACAGGCCCAAGAGACATGGCCATAGCCACCAAGAAGAGCAACCCCAACTATCCTCCCACAATCCTCGCCCCATCCACATCCGCTACCGCTCCATCAGGCTCCAAAATGGCTAAAAAGCCAGTTTTCGGTTCACGAAAGGTATCTTCCGGTTCTACAAAACCAAAAGCCCGAATCGGTATCCGCAGACTGTGAGCTACAGCTTCAGCTTGATCTTCTTGACTTCATGCATATCATTTCCCATTCATTATTGCTTCTAGCATCACCTTCACTTTTTTATACCTTCTTTTGCTTTATATTCCTGCATTTTTTGGCTTGGGGGTCGGCGTTCGCTTGGGACTGGGAAGGGGTCGATTGATCGACTTTCATGACTTTTCTTTTTGAAGCATTATTACAAGGGTAGGAGCTTTGGGCCGGCCTCTTGATTTGGGTGGAAAAATTCATTATGGTGTTATTCATGGTTTTCTCGGGCTGGGATCGATTTATTTTACTAGAATAGGTTAGGGAGACTGCCTAGTTATCAAGATCCAATTCAATGACCCTACTGTATATGCCTACATGGCTGGCTAGGAGATACAGATTACTTTTAGTAGAGACAATACTCATGAACATAACAACATTGATTCTTCTACGAGCTATCGCAGCAAAGAGAAGAATACAATCATCTGAAGCCGCCTGATAAAATAAGCTATGCAAATATCTAAGATTAATGGACAAATTTTCTGCCAAGGTACCATTCGTGATAAGCTTTCAATCCACGTAATCTGCAACACCATTCCTATCTCACCACATGATTCTCGTCATCTGTACAAGTGGCTCCTGTCACCAGCACGCATGGCGAGATCAGTGTACATAGGATCCTTGCCCATATGCTCGTCTTTGAACTGATATCGATGCAAGGCATACAGATAACCCATCCACCAAAGTGATCTTGTATAATAAAGTAAAACAACTCAGTATCACGATGGAACCCTAAAAGGGCTAAAACAAAAACACGCTAGGCTGAATCAAGCAATATCGCCAGGCAAAAGAGGAGAGAGGGGTCCAAAACGACACACGTGAGGACCGATTAGGGTGAGGTGATATAATAATATGTCCGACTTGCATGGCAGCTGATGTATCCATGCCTGCACACTAACATTTAACCTGCCAAGCGAGAACAAAACTGTATTGTAAACAATGCAAACATATATCCGAAGAAGTGAATCAAAAGCTCCAGACCCTCTACAAAGCGTAGGGGTTCACAGACCGAATAGTGAGACACCTAGGAATTAATGGTTAGTATAGAGCATAGGATTTCAAGACATGAAAGGAACTTACGGTGGGCTCTTGCTCAAGTCGGTCTTGAGAATAATTGGAACTCGTGTCATTTCAGTGACATCTTGGATGTATTCGCCGCCATCCTCTCTAAGCTTGAACAAGCGCAAGTATTTCTCCTTGTTTGTCAATTTGGCTTCCGGAGCGTCGCCCATGCTGGTTGCAATCTTGGGGTCGGATCGAGTACGGTGAGGAGCCTGCTGAAGATGGCCGTTTCGTGTTGGCGAAGGTGGCATGCTTTGAGTAGAGCGGTCGGCAGCAGAGTTCAACGACACACCAGCGGCCATCTCAGTGGCCTCCGAGATGTCATCGTCATCATCGAAAAGAGCATCAACATCATCCGCGGACATGGTGCCAGTTTCAGTCTGCTTGCGCATCGCCTCATCCCTTTCCCGGGCACGCTCTCTGGCTGCCTCTGCTTCGCGCGCGGCAGCCGCTGCCTGAGCCGCACGAGAGTTTGCTGGCTTCGGACGCTCGTCCTCAGGAATGTAAGCGGACGAAGGCACACCCTTCTCCCAGTAGAGCTCCAGAACACGCGAGTCCTTGCGATACTCGGCCTTCTTCAAGGGCAGCTGGTCACAGTGGACACGCTTCTCGAAACCGTACTCGGGAATCAGGACATCGAAAGCCGACTCGTAGACGCAGAGAACGATACCCTCACTAATCAAGTCGCCACCAATGTCTTCCCTCTTCCTGTCCATGTTACGGCAAGCCTCGATATGAACACTCTGTTCCTGAGCGTTGTGTGCAGAATCCTTCTTAGTGTTGCAGAGATCTGCCGTCTTGTTGAGAGACTCCAAGTCGTCCGAAAATTCAATAGTGCCGTCCGAGAGAACTGCTTCAAGCTGACGGTGGACAAGAATATCGGCATAGCGGCGAGAGGGGTTGGTGAAGTGGGTGTACACGGGGAAATTGAGGGTGAAGTGCTGACGCTGCTCATCCTGGACAGTGCTCGACACGTAGTATTTCGCGCGCTGCATGGCTTTGACAAGAAGAGTTTCCATCCCCTGTGGCATGGTGTTAGATTGGGATAATACAATTCTTTAAAAAGGAGCATAACTAACCTTGCGCACATCAACATCTTGCACTTTGCAAAGACTGCTCTGCAAGCTCCCGCTGCTTGCAACGTCAATGTCATATCCAAGTCTGTTCATTCTATCATTGAACAATTGGAGACGACGGGAGTTTGGTGGTGTCTGGCGGCGAAGGAAGGCCTTGTCGGGCATGGCAGTGATCAACTTGCGAGCCACGAAGAAATTGGCCTTGTGGCTGAGTTCCTCCACGAGCTCATGGGCGGCAGAGGAGTCAAAGATGTTGTTTTCAACGGGTACATTCTCGTCGTCCAGCTGGTACATGAGACGCAAAGGTGGCACATCCGTAACGCGGTTGCCGAATCTTGCCTCCCGGAACTTCTTCGCGATAGCCTAGAATATCGATTTTAGTAAACGTAAACTTGGGGGTGTAGAAAGGGTGGAATGAAGGGTATACTCACGTTTAACGCCCGGATGTTGTCAGCAGTGACGCCTGCCACTGGAGAATCAGACTGTCCTTCGATGACAGAATCCACCTCATCATAGCTTAGTCTGCCCGAGCTCTTGACAACAGCCTTGCCGATCCACACATCATCGTCGACAGCGCCGGTCTGTGGGTTGGCCTTGAATACAACACTAACCGTCAGACGATCCTCTCCGGGGAGCAAAGAGCAGAGCTCAGTGGAAACACGCGTTGGCAACATATTGACAAGGCGGTCGACCAGGTAGACAGCAGTGCCACGCTTCTTGGCTTCCCGATCCACCAGAGAGTTGCCCTTAACAAAGTGAGCAATATCGGCAACGTGGATACCAATCTCAACATTTCCATCGGCAAGCTTTTTGATGTGGAAAGCATCATCGAGCTCCTTGGTTCCACTGGGATCAATGGTGAAGGTTGTTTCTTCACGGAAGTCCCGGCGCGAAGCCAGAGCCTCACCCTCACTTGAGACAGACCAGTCTTCCCAGCCAATGCTCTTAAGAACAGCGTCGGAAAACTCATCGGAGCCGAAATTGTTGTCTCTGAGGAGAGCATCAGTCTCCACTCTGAGGTCGCCCATTTCACCCAACTGCTCGACAAGAGTACCAAAGGGATGCAGAGAAGTGATTGGCCATCTCTTAATGCAGGCGACGAAGATGCGGTTGGCATAGTCTTGGTGTTTCTCGACAAAGTCGCGAGGCGCCTGCTCAGTGGGAATGGCGATAAGCGGAACGCGCTTGTCTGTGGGCTTAAACCAGACAATCTTGGGCTTATCCTGGTGACGTTCCGAGTGGTGACGGCCATGACCGCCATCTCTGGCCTGCCGTTCCGCCTCCTGCTTCTCCTTCGTCGCCTGGCTACTGGGGCGAAGGAGCCCGAGAGTTCCGGAGAACATCTGGCCTGCAATGCGTTCAATTACAGCCACGATGTGGCCGGCGTACAAGGGCTTCTGCTCATCGCTGATCTCATCTTCCTCAACCAGCAAAAGGCTCTGACCTTCGACTTCGACATCATCATTCTTCTTCTGCGTAGGTCGCTGACGGAGACTGCCACGGCGACGGATGCTGCCGTCGGGGCCAACCTCTTGACGATCTCCGTTGGCGCCCGAATCCGACCGGGATAGCTTGTCATTTCCAGCATTGCTTCCAGATCGAGCATCGGTGATGTCCTTGCGCTTCTTCTTTTCCTCCTTCTCCTTCTTCTGAGACCATACCTCATCAACATCCAGAAGCTCCACAGCAACAAAGTCACCTTCGAGGGCACGGTTGCGGTCTTTGCTACCACAAATGAAGATATCCGCATCCAGATCACCAGTAGTGACGTAGGCATCGGATCGGTTCTTCTTGTTAACCCTCAGGATACCGGCAACCAGTTGACCGTTGCTCAGAAGAGCCGGCAAGTTAGCTTGCGGAAGGTAAGGAGTGAACAACGTCTTCCGCTGCTGTTGCTGTTGCTGTTGCTGCTGCTGAACAGACAGCTGTGGGGGAGCATGCTGACTGGCTTGGAGGCCGCCAAGGCCCTGTCCGTTAAGCTGTCCATTCTGCTGGAGTGCTTGAAGCTGTGCAAGCTGTAGCGGGTTCAGCTGCTGGCCACCAAACATTTGCGGGGGAGCCATGACAACTTGTCCCTGGGGAAGCTGAATGAGTTGAGGCTGACCAGGGTACTGGAACTGGCCAATGGAGCCGACCGACTGGTTCATCGATCCGCGGGAACGGTGACCGGGTTGGAAGCCGCTACCTTGCTGTCCAAAGCCCTTCTGCTGATCCTGGCCCTGGTTCTGGTTGTTGGGCTGGCGCCAATTACTGTCAAAGTTCCTGGACGATGAGCGGCCATGGCCTGGCTGACTGCCACGTCTCTGGTTCTCCGACTGGCCACCGAGACCTCCATCATTCGATTGCGGAAATTGGAAGCCACCTGCTCCGCGGCCGGACATGGAGCCGCGGTTGTTTCCTACGGCCATAGATTGGCTACGACCGTGGCCACCACCAGCCCGAATGTTGCCGGCTCGGTGAAGGCCAAGTCCCTGAGGTGCAGGGCTGCTGGAGGTTGGTTTGTCGTCTGAGCCCGATGTGTTTTCCGAGTTGCCACCAGCACCGGGGCCAGGGAATTGAAAACCGGAAGCTGTCCTCTTCTGCTGAGCGAGCTCTGCAGCCTTCTTCGCTTCCGGCAGGGCGAGAGAATGGCGGCGCTGGTGACCGCCACCAGGAGGTCCTCCGCGGCCACGGCCATGGTTTCCATTCTCATTCTTTTGGTTACCCTGCTGTTGCTGGTTGTAATCATTATAACCCGAGGCTCCCGAGGATGGAGCTGGAGGAGGGCCCCCCATGCCAATGCCTGGGAGAGCAGATTGGTTACGTCGGTGGGAGTGTTGGTTCGGAGGGTTCATCGGCACGCCAAGCTGTTGCTGGGCCAGTTGGGGAAATTGAAAAGCGTTGATCTGAGGAGAAACACCACTCCCCATAGATGCACCGCCTTGGATCGAGGGAGGGAATGCCGAAACCTGGCCCAGCTGCTGCGGTTGTAAGAGACCCATGTTAACATACTGTTGGTGCGTCGCTGCGATTTGTTGTTGTTGCTGCTGAAGCAGTTCAATCTGTTGCTGTATTGCCAGTTGTTCCACTGTTGCCATCAACCGTCAGTAAGCCATATCTCGACAACCAGGGAAGGGGCATCATCATCCAGCACATACTCATTAGGGGAGTCAGCTCTGATGGACTTCTCCTGTGAGCTATATGGAGCTTGCGACCAGCGGGGCCGGGGGCCCCTGATTGGCCTTGTTGATCCATCTTCCCAAACGCGAATCAATTTGGCTATTTGTACCGAGTAAATCCTGTACAAGGAATATTGCTGACGATTTCAAAAGACGGGCGTCAACCGGGGGGGAAAAAAAGAGTAGTCGGATCACGCTTTTCTTGGGTTACTCGGAACGCAGACCGACCGAGGATTGCCCTGTTGTGAAACGTGTTGGAAAAAGAACAAAGACGGTTCGTACTATACTAGATAAGACACAAAGAAGGATCAGTACTGTGAGATGAAGGATTGAGATGAAGTAAATTGAAGATGAGAAGGAGAGTTGAAGCAGTTGAAGGGAAAAGAGCCAGAGAGAAAAGAGGGGAAACAATGGGCACGGAAGCTGCGATTGCCCCGTGCGAGTGACATCAACGAAGATCGATGGAATGGAAGGCACAAAGAAAAAAGGGGGAGGGGAATGTCCAACTATCGAACTGTCAAGACTTTGTTGAGAAGCCTGCAGTCCAGGACGAAGGGCTTACCTTTAATCAATGACAGTCAAGAAATGACGTTTTTTTGAGTACAGGCTGGGAATTTCCCCTTTTATACGAAGGAAGCGGTGACGGGACGTTCGTAAAAGAAGCGTCCGTTGTGGAGTAAAAGCGGACTATGCAAGTCACAAAAAAACAGGATTGAGTCCTGTTTGATTGCCTCTGGATGGAAAAAAAAAAGTCAGAGACCGAACGAGAGGATGCGTTGATTGAGGGCTGGATGGAGATGAGGTGAACGGAGGGAGAGGGGAAAGGCCGAGCAGGGCGGATGGGGGAAGCTGTCGACCAAACAGTGCATACAGGGTAAAACCACGAGCTTCAGGAAAGGACGACTGCGTTTCCGGATGGATAGGATTGCTCGACTTTTTTTGCTCCTTGGATGTTTTTTTTTCTTTGTTTTAAACGAAGAAACTATTTAATTCTAGATCGAACGCACGAGATGACGGTCTCACGAGTCGACAAGAATGGGGAAGAGGTAGGGTAAGGAGCTGTTGAGTTGGCCTCTTTTGGTTTTTTGGGATAGATTTCCCCCGGAGGGGATGGTGTTGTTTCAGTGGAATCACAAAAAAAACAAGATACGGAGGCTAAGAATAAGCAACGACGTATTATCTGACCACGAGGAGAGAATGACAGTAATAATGATAATATAAATAATTATCTGAAGGAATGATGGGGGGGAGAAGAGAGAAGAGAGAGGGAGATAAAAAGGTAAGTTGTGGTGATGATGAGGGGAGGAGGGGGGCGGGGGGAAGAAAGAAAGGCGGAGGAAAGACAAGGAGGCCGAAGAAAAGAGAGAAGAAGAGAAGAAAAGAAAGAGAGGGAGGGAAAAAAGAGGAAGCTAGAGATGGCGATTGAGAGGCAGAAAGATCTCCTAAGCAATAATAGTTGCAGCAGCAACAGAGGGTGTGGGGGAGAGAGTGATGTCTCTCTGCCTGTACGAATGGAAATATAATACGTCGGGCAGACGACAGGAAACCAGAGAGAGCCGGGGATTTTGCAGCAGGAAATCACAGCAGCGGTAATACAGAGTTGCTTCTAGTCCCAATTTAACTTGTGACTATGGATTGGTAGAGCCAAAGCTACCAGATCTGGTGCTTGGTCGCAGTCGGATACGCTGGTTCACCTTTTGTGGTTCTCCGGTTGACATTTATATATGACGAGAGGTGACGCTGAGATCCTTCATTCTTTAGCCGCGTACATCCAACTTGCTATAAGCAGCTATGGGCGAAGATGGATGACTCCATGATAGGATCCCAACAATAGCATATAAAATACAGAAATACCAATACAGCCCAATAACAGTGATGCGCCCGCGTGGTGGGCGGCGTCCGTCTAGGGCGCTTTAGGGGATTTTAGGCTGCCCGCAGTTGGTGTTTGGGCGAGCGACCGGCCCAATAGTCGCTGCTTTGTGGTCTCCACGGCCGTTGAGTAAACCTGTAAGGAACTGCTCAAATAGTGCTTCGTGTAGGGAGGAGAGAGAGGGATTAGAGTATAGAGTGTCAGCTAGATGATCTGATATTTTTTTTTGTCTTTTTCTCTGTTCTATTCCACTCTGATCCTCCTGGATAGCCCACTAGAATCTGCAGATTCATGATCTCCAGGATGATGTTCATCATGATGCAAAGCCCCAGAGCTTCCCCCGACCGATGAGCCGAACCCAACAAGGGCCGCCGCCTTTTAGTTGGCCGTGACTAAGGATCGGCCGCCAAGTCCCGTGCACAACAACAGACCAAAGGACGAGGAAAGCTTTGATCGCAGAGGCCTCGACTGTCAACCACCGTCGCTCAATTGACCTGCGTTTCTTTTTTTTTTCTTTCTTGGGGGGTGCCGTCGTTTCTTTCTTGTTCCTGGATACCTCTCTTTGCTTGTTTGGAAAAAAAGGTACGTGGCTTGGTTTCCAGTGTCCCCCGACTGTCTTTTTTTGGTCCCTTTGTTCCTCGTTCGACGGCGAGAATTAACCGCTGGCTTGGTGTTGACGGTCCACAATAGATGTGAAATGTCTTGAACACACTCCCTCCGTCCTACGCAATACCATTCCGACTTCCCCGTGGAAGAATATCCAGCCTTCTTTTGTCTCCTTTCTCTCTTTCCGGCAATCCCACCCCGTGTTTATGCGCTGTCACGTTCGAAGATCTACATCGACTCGTCTAGACGTTGACCGACTATTTACTTTTGAAACAGTCGTCAAACAGTTGAGGCTGGACCTACTGAGCTGGTGAGGCTCACTAGAGCTGAAACTGATCTCAGCAAACGCCGTCTCCGGAAACCAATCCGATACCCAGAAACCCATATCCTCCACTCGATCTTTTGCCGAATGGCCCATGAGATAAGCAGTTTCCGTAATTAGGAATCCTCACATCTCTACGGTTCCCCACACCTCCAACCGATCCTTTGTTCACCTCCCGTGCGCAAATTTCTCCTCCACCCGTTTTCGTCGAGAATTACACACGCCATGGGGAGACGATTGAGCTATCCCTCGCAGCTGGACAGCCCATCGAAGCAGCTGATCCTTGACCTCACCCGAGATCTCGAACAGCTCCGAGTCCACAACTCCGAATTGAAAAAAGTCAAAGCATACGAACGGAGATCATTCTACGAAAGTCTAGACCGAGTCGAACGGGAAAAAGAAGCCCAACACAATGCAGCGCTTGACCAAGTCGCTGCTCTGCATGGACAGGTACTGGAGGAAGCAGAGGAGACCTTGAAGGATCATTACAGAGCAGTGGAGGAAGAAGAGCGACGGGAACGACTGCGCAAAGAGGAGGAAGCGCGAAAAGAGAGGGAGCGGATTGAACGGGAAAAGGCAGAAAAATTGCGCCGCGAACAAGAAGAAGCTGTACGGCTTGAGGCAGAGCGCAAAGCCAAGGAGAGGGCCCAGGAAGAGGCCGAAAAGGCCCGAAAGGCAGCACAAGAGGAAAAGGAGCGCAAGGAGCGGGAGAAGCTTGAGGAGGAAAAGCGAAAACGCGAAGCAGAAGCACAAAAGGTTGAACAAGAAGCAGCAAAGCGCCAGGAGGAAGTTTCGCAAAAGGCTCAGGCCGAGCAACAGAAGCGGATTGGTGGTGGCCGGTTGACCGAACAAGAGATCAAAGTACAACAACGATACGTCGAGTTGCATCAACACCTCAAGAGGTTTAGACAATATCTCAAAACCGAGAGCAAAACCAACCCAATCGTCAAACAGAATATGGGAGACATGCGGCGGTCTATTACAAAGTGTGTGGGTCAGCTGCGTGAGGGCAAGGGAGCTAACAAGGCACAAGTGAGTATCGCCTCATGATTTGACAAAGTGTCCATGCTAATGCTTGATACAGTTACAACAAATCAAAACCACCCTCGAACAAGCCGCCTCAATCCCGGAGCCTTCGGTTGATATTCGCGAATTCTTAGCGTTCCCGCCTGAAAACATTGCCAATTCCGAGGATAATAAAGTGCCGGCGCTCCTGATATACGCTCTGAACATATTTTGCAAGTGCTTAATATCGTCTCTCCTCACCGAGGCATCGATCAACCTGGGCCATGCGGAGCCCATCGGCATTGTGGCTGCCCAAATATTCTCTTCCGACGCATTTATCTATAAGGGCTATCATATGGTTGATATTCTCTGGGCCAAATACCGCGTGGTCTGTCCTGCTTTGTGGGGATTCTATGGCAACGAAAAAACCGAATCTGGCAGGCGCGCTTTGGGTTGGTGGCGGGAAGGGCCAGATGGTCCTTTTATCAGTGAACAAGGCCATGCAGACCGCATGACGGCCCTGGGTGCTGGGTATGCCGCCCTTACCCTGAGAAATTTTGGCAAAACGCCGCGCAGGAATCCGTTCCCCAATACTATGTTTTGGTTTTCCATGCATAAGATCTTATCGTTACCCCCCAGCGAACTTCAAGAGACACATATCTCGTTGCTTGCTGCTATGCTACGGTCCTCTGCTGAGAGGATCGTGGGTTTTTTTGGACACATTGGTCTGGCCTTGATGAGGAAAGCAATTGTCGACGTACCAAACAACGCTCCCAAACAGAGCATGGGTGTTAACAAGCTAAAGCTCCTCAAGGACCTTTACAAACGAGAGAAGAACATTATCATATGAAGGGCGAATGCCCACCTCACTCTCAAGACACCGCATAGGGAACAAAGGCCCCTGTGTTCCGTCAAGGGCTGGTCTCTCCAAGAGCAATCGACATGGTACACCAATCGAGCTGTTGAGACGAGCCAATTTGCTTTCGATGTCCAACATGCATCACCTATTGAATGTGGACAGGTTCGATCTGTGTTGGAGGACAGACAACCTACGATATTTAAGATTTCTCAACGCCACATCTGGCACCTTGCATCAAATCAAGTTTCTCAGAATTGACTTTATGGTGCGTTTCTTTCTAGCTCAGGCGCTCGCACCTGGTAACCTTGCTTCTGTCGAGTCCATCTCCTATTTTTTTCGCCTCATCTAGAGTTTTGGGATCACACCCGAGGATTATGAGGGTGGTTCGGGACGCATACAGGACTAGAGATGATATACAGCCATTGGCAATGATTTGAATAAGAATTATGATTATGTAAAGCTATTTAACTAAAGCATCAATTCGCTGCTCAGTCTTCAAGTAGACTTGGACAAGCATTCCATTCCTTTCAAATTAGACCAATCCTACAGAACCCACTCACTGCACTGAAGGCGCCGTAATGTTTCCCGATTTTCGACCGAGAATAACCCATCTCCTCACGCCATCAATACGGAAGCTATTGTGGTTACTCTGTTTAAAAAAAAAGAACTTCTGATCTCTTGTATCTTTAAATTGAAATAGATTTCATTCGTAAATTCGTTGTTTGGACTCTGACCTGAAACTTTCAGAGTAAGCAGGAATGGAAGCCGCTTTGAGAATATATCTTCAGAAACGAGAATCATGTAATCAGAAGGCTGGATAATGTAGATCATAAGAGAAAGCCACATAATGTAGAAAAAAAAACTCGAGAAGACGACGTCTTGAATCTTAATCTGCCTTGCTAAGTTTAAAACAAGCATGGTGCGCGACAGTCTGATTGATATACACTACACCACACGTGACCTTATGTCCCTAACGGGCATCATTATCCAAAAGCACAACACCAACCCGGCAACACGACCAGCGATCATGACCTCATTCGAGAACCATTATGGTAAGTGAAGCGTTGAGTCTCTGTGCACTATGTGGAAATATGGTGTCTAAAATCAACAATATTGGCTATAGATGTCCTTTCCATTCCGAGTCTTGTTTTGCAGTTTGTGCAAGTAACACAGAGCATTCCAGCACGTTTGAAAAAGGACACACAGCCGTTATATTCAGCGAGGGGAATTGAGCAAAAGATATCCAGCGATACGTGAATGGATATAAGATACGCTTTGACAATCGATGCAAATCGACATCAAGATTTCGAGCCAGAGAATCCCATCACATCACACAATGCGCCGCTCCGCGTTTCCGCTCGGCACACTGGTGCCGAGAATGTTGCTCAAATTCGGGATCTGGATGCTGTCCCTTCACCCTTTTTTCCTTTTTTCTCACCATCGATAGGCATCAGAATCATACGGTGAAGCACTCATATATGTGGTGTTGTGTGCCGACCTCCGGGGTGCCGTGATGCCCGGGTATCTGTTTTTGGGTTTCCCGGACCGAGTAGATGCTTCCCTTTGCAGCGGACGATCCACTCCTACTACTGCTGTGCTATTTCTTTGACTACTACTTTTCTACGATTTTACTTCTATTGGAAGTAGATTTATCGATGGGTGAAATGGCGGCTTTACGTGTGGATTCAGTCACACGCAAGGGTAAGCAGAGCTGTTCTCAACATACTTCAACTGTCCATCTGGCATGGTGGCCTGAAGACCTCTTCTCATCTCAATTGGCTTCTGATATATGATACACTTGGGATTGGCAGCTTGTCCTACCCTCATGGTGACACAAACATACTAGTGAAATTTGATTCGCCCTCAGCACGACACACGACATCAATCCCTTTGTACCAGGGGAGAGGTTTTTTTTTTTTTTTTTTTTTTGGATCGTCATCATACACTATATAACCAATTGATATATCCCCGATATTCAGCGGAACTATTCAGACATCTGCTGCACCTTGGATAAAGAATTTCTCCCACATGGCAACGACACTTCCATCAGAGCTTGTTCAGTTAATCCTTCTCTTCACCGATGCGGAAACATACCACTCAGCACGGGTAGCATGTAGTCATTGGCGACACGCTGCCTCTGTTCCTTTCATGCTGAAGACAATCCTGGAACAAACACCGATGTCACTACCCCCAATCCACCTCGCTGAAGAAGAAGCATGGAATACATCTTTCAACCAGATCGCCAACCTCAACCTATTAGGGCAACGTAATCATATCACCAAAACAGTCTCAAACAGGGAAATACCCCAGGGATGCACCACCACCACAGCCCTAGAATTGTCGAGCGATGGCAAGAAGCTGGTGGCATTGAAAGGAGCCAGGGTGATGATTTTCGACTTTGGGAACGAAAGCCATCATTTCGAATTCGCCCTCGCCCAATCCTTATATCCCCTCTGGACGAGTGTGTGCCGGGCATTGACAACAGGCGGCATGGGCGGTTTCGCGGTCAACCAACGCTCTGCGAAGCACCAACTTGCAGTGTCGACAAATGGAAATCTAGTAGCTGTCGGACTGGGCAAGACGATTCAGATATACGACGTTAGCAGCAAGGAAAGCATCGCATCCCCGGCGGAATACATAATAGGTGAAAGCGAGGCAGTATTTCTCTCGACACCGGGTCCGAATTACCAGGAACCAGACGGCGTCATCGAATCCCTCGAGTTCGCGGACAACGACACATTACTTCGAGTTGTCACTGGCAAAGAAACTACGGCAAATAGACCCAACCGGGTACAATACCTAGGAAACCCCTCATCAATGACTAACAACCAGTCTGGTCTAAACTATTGGCAAACAAACATCAACCGCATATACCTCGATTCTTTCGCTCTAGCCCTCTCATTCCGAGAACACGACGACGAAAAAACAGCCTTCAAAGGACTCCGCCTGCTACCACAGACCTCCCACCAAGACTCACAACAACCAGCCCCAGACAGCAGATTCTTCATCTCAGCCCTCCAAACAACCGACACAAACGAATACTGCATTGCCCACGTCCCCATCTCCACAACTCCCCAAACAATCACCATCCACCACCGCCTCCTATCCAAAAGATCCTACATCGGCCCCCAAGCCTGGAATAACACTCACCCCCTCGACCAACTCAAACTCATGGAGACCATCACCTCAGACAAAGACATGATCTCGCATAACCTCCACATGGCCGAGGACCGATGGGACCATACCAACCTGCCCGCCGCGACAGTCTCGTGTCCCGTGATGGCCGCTTCGGACGATCAAAAGTTAATGGTTGTTTATGAGGCTGGTGCGGGTCATTCGTATCGGTTTTCGATGGGTGGTGCGTTGTACGTGTACAGTCTTGAGAGATATACACCGGTTTGGTGCGGTGGTGAAGAAACAATATCAGCATCGGCTTTAACGGATGATAAGAGTACCGACTCTCTCCAGTCTTGGTCTTATCTACTTGATATTATCGATGTGGATGTTGATAGTTTGCGGGTACAAAAGACTTCATCACTGGAAAGTTCACGGCAAGGAGGGAATGGTTACCTCAACTCATATACGGTTACAGCGGTGACTGAAAAACAGGTGTTGGAGTGGCGTTTGAATTAATCTTAGTCTTAATATCTTTAGCGCATATTTCTTTTTGTTTAATCGAGGCTTGGGACCAAATTAAAAGACTGAAGAGCTAACCCCCTCGCATATTCCCGAATCGATTTTAAAGAATGTATGTTCAATTAGAGAAGGTGTCTATAAGATACGCTACCTAGATAAAATCACATATGCTGATAATGACAAAATCAACGGGGGGTATGGCATGAAAAAGTCTTCACTTCAAATGCGTTCATGTGGTGCCGCAATGAAACACTACAGAAGCAAAAAGAAATACAAGAAATTATAAAAAAGATAAAACGTCAGCAAACGACAGAAAAGAAGGGAGAAGAATATATCAAAATATTAAAGTAAAGAGTGACCGTAAGTCGATTAATTAGTGAACACAGGGATGTAAGGGGAATTGTACAGAAGATTGCCACAAAATCAACAAGTGGTATCAGTATCGGCTGAAAGCACAGAAAATATGTATGTCAAGATCAAGGGGAAAAGATCGTAATCGCACTGCCATCAACGGTGAAAAGGGGGTGTTTGTTCAAGCAAAACAATCGAAATATGTAAAATGAAACCAAATCGAGAGGGGGAAGTTCAGATGCACCATAATATCAGATCAGAATGCTCATTCGTCAATAGATTTTACGACGAAATATCAAGAGCACTTAACGGAAATAAACAAAGGGAGAAGTTAAGATATTTGTGGCCCAAAAGGACCGTCTCCTGTATCTTTGGGAGACGCGGAGACTAAGTCACCTGCTGTGCTCTCGCCATCGTCCCCGAAAGTGTCTTGCTCATAGTTGGTAGGCTCAGCGTCATGGTCATAGCTAGACTTTCGGAGGAGCGGCGGAGTTGACGGGGGTTCGGGTATCGAGCTTCCTTGCCGCGCGGACAGCGGTCTGGGAGTTGAGTTGAATGACCTTAGCGGACGGCCTTCCGATGACCGTCGCCATGCTGGTCCCGCAGGAGACTTTCCATTTGACGGAGCCTGTCGAAGGTTGGAGGCCGGAGGAGTCAGAAGTCCTGACAAAAAGGCTCCTGCATTGCTTGCCTTGGAAGGGGTCTGCTCAGAATTGTCCTTTCCTTTGCGCCAGTTACCCCATGCGGCCGCTGCTGCGAGAGGAAGAGAACGTGGCGATGCGGTCATTTCAGAAATAGACGGGAAAGACGGGAAGCCTTGGCCAGAAAGAGACCTCTCCCTTTCTTGCTGTTGCATCTGCAGATTGGCCCTCAGGCGAATAGCAGCGTCGCGCACAGCATTGTGATCAAAGGATGGCTGTGACACAGTCTTGATGATGTCCTGAAGATCATCTATCCGGACACCAAGGAGTTCACGCAACCAGTTGATTTCTGTGTCTTTCTCATTGAGCTTGTTAGGAGCATCTTTATCAATGCTTGAGACTTCTTGCTCGAGCTCGTCGATGCGGGTCTCACGTTGCTGCAGCTGGTCTTGAAGAACAAGGATGGACTCGCGCAAAGCTTGAGGAGAGATCTTTTCGGGAACAGTAGATCCTTTGTCGAATGACATGGATGGCGAGCTTGCGTGTGCCAGAGCAGGTGCACTGGGGCCTGTCTTGGCATTCTGAGCTGCTTCAGCGGCTGCGCGAGCAGCAGACTTCGCAATCTCGAGTTTCTCTTCCAAATGGTTGACACGATCCTGTAGGTGCACCACCTTCTCATCCGACAGAGCCAACCGGTCCATCAGGTGAGCCTCACCACGTGCTCGGTCCTCAGAAGAGTTGTGAAGAGCACGGGCATGGCGCTCCCGAAGGTCATTGAGGACACGCTCATGCAGACTTCGGTGGTCCTCAATGGCAAGCTCCTTCGACCCAACAGCCGCAGCCACAGCAGTGGCCTTGGACTCCTTGGCCTCCTCTAGGAGCATTTCGTACCGCTCCTGGGATGTGTCGGCATCCAGTTTAACGCTGTCCAGTTGACTCTGTAGGCGGATGATTTGTGTTTCCAACTCGGCCCGGACGATGTTGACTTGGCTGTTGGCAGCCTCGAGATCAGCTTCGAACGAGGTTCGGGTGCGCTGGATCTCAACTCGGCTACTCTCACGGGCCTCGTTGAACTCACGCTCGAAGCGAGCAGCCTTAATTGTGAGATCATGGTTTTCAACTCTAAGGTTGGCAACCAGTTCCTCAAGCCGTGCATTCTCCTGCTGAGATTGACCGAAGATAAACTTCAGCTTGGCCGCCTCTCTTTCCTGCTGCTCAAGCTCGGCGATGTCGTTATCGAGTTTCTCACGCAGCTTGACCTCACGTGCGTAGGATGCTCGCAGCTCGTTAAACTTGGCAATGTGCTCCTCTTCTCGTCGTCGAGAAGCTGCCTGGTCACGAGCAATATCACGAGTTACATTCACCATCTCCTCTTGAAGACGGTCAAACTTCTCGGTGAGATTCTGTCGGGCGTTCATGCCGTCTTCAAGGCGCACCTTGAACTGCTCAATATTGCCACGAAGGTTCTTATTTTCCTCCTGCGATGCTTCGGCTACCTGTTTCCATTGCTCGCTTTCCCGCTTATAATGATCGCTACTAACACGGTGCTCATCAATGGTGCCCTGGAGAGAAATGTTCTTCGCAGAAAGTTCGGTGAGCGTAAGCTTGAGTGTCTCATTGTCCTGGTTCACTGAATCGGTTTGGGATTGAACTTTCTCGAAGTAAGGAAGCTTCTCCTCCTTGAGGTGGAGAAGACGAGTCTCGGCAGATTCAGCAGCTTCGCTGTGACGAGCAGCATCCTCCTGGGAAGCCTTCAACAATCCCTGGAGCTCAGCCATAGAATCCTGAGCTTCCCTGCGGAGCTTGTATTCTTGCTCGGCCCGCTCGTCAGCGAGTCTCAGCATGCTCTTCAAACCATCAATCTGAAGCATAAGACTGTCGGCACCAATTTCATCTGCTTCCGAGGGGCGTGCGTTCTGCTGGCTCAATTGAGTTGAGATAACCTCTTGGATGGTAGTTTTCAGATTCTCCGTGGGGTCTTGCGACAGCTTCTGTGTAGTAAGTGCTTGCAGCTCAGCAAAGCTTTCCCGAAGCTGCGCTAGTTCAGTGGCAGTTGGGTTTTCTGCCACCTGGTTGGAAGAATCACGGGTCTCTAGCGCTTCCAAGAGAACTTTCTTAAGCTTATCAAACTTTCGATCCCGAGGACGGATGGGAGATCTTGCTCTGTACGACTCGTTCTCGTCATACTCATCGTCCTCATCGTCTGCATCGCTGTCTTCAATCTCAGCGGAGGTACTTCTGTGGCGCCATCTGTTTGGAACACCTGAAGCAATAGATTCCACGGCCTGTTGAATAACGCCCAACGCACGTTCAAGGGGAGATAGACGCTCATCGACTGCAGAGCCAACAAGGTCGTTGACGCGACGGTCAAAGAACCTGCTTCGATTCGCCAGCTTTTCGTCCTCGCCAGAAGAGATCACATCATCCCAATCACTGATATGGTCATTCTCATTGATCAGTTGCCGGATAGGCGAATGCATGCCAGAAATAAAACCCTTTTGAGGGGAGGCAGAAGCCTGGGAATCAGCATCGAAATCTGTTGTAAGCTTTGGAACATTCAGCATGTGAGGGATTAGTCCCCTGCCTGGGCTGGGGCTAGGCGCTTCACTTCTTATCTCTGCTGGAGCATGTTTCTTTTCCTTAGATGGAGCAACAACGGAGTCCGGCACTCGTGTCTTGGGGTGGGGCGTGCTCAGTCTCTCAATTCCGACATCCGAGCCATCATTCAGCTGTTCCATGACAGCATTCAGTTCATCCTCATTAAGAGACTGCTGCACTTCGTCGCCCGACACGTGCTCTGACTGAGGCTCTGTAGCATCTGGCGCATGGTCCTTGATGTCGGTATTGTCAGACTGGGCAGGTGGAGGCGGCAACGGCTTATCCTTAGACAAAGTCGGGGGCGGGCTTGCAACAGCGTAGCGAGAAGCCATGAGGTCATTCTTCTTGATTGGCTCCTCAGGGGTGGGTTTGGAATCTTCGACTGTCGTAGGCACAAACTCGCGCACGGCAGGCTTGAACTGGAATGGCTGGGCTGTCGCGGAGAGCATTGGTTTCTTCTGAGAGTCTTTCGAAGCCTCTTCTTCGGTAGGCTTGTTCTCTGCAACAGTAGCCGGCACCTCATCTTGCGTAGGCTGTTTCTCAGACTCAGGTTCTTTTTCAACAGCCGCTTCGGACTCCGGCTGACCCTGCTCTGGTAAGTGTGGCTGGGCCGTTTCGCCCTCATCCTTGGTCTCAGCAGGCGCTGCCCATGTTGATGCCTCACTAACAGGTGTAGCCTTTCCATCTCTGTCATCGGGGACCGGAATTGGTTTCGCATCTGGTGTGTCAGTTTCTTTCTCAGGGGCTGCGTTTTCTTTGCCTGCCGCCGGAGGTTGGGACGGGTTCGAGGCGTGGGATGCTTGAATATTTTTGGTTTCCGCTAGAGCATTCGGAATGCTGACCTGAGTCTCTCCATCGGAACGCTCATCACCACGGCGAGCGCGCTTATGGCGATCCGTAGGAATAGGTCGGCCATTGTCATTCTCCACTTGTGGTTCATTCTCATCCTTGGTTTCCTCATTCTCATCGGGTCGCACGATGGGGATTGCTTTGGACTTTTTGGATGGTTTAGAGGCTTCGGAGTAATCAACATCCCCAAAGATCTTGGTCTTCCCACTCGGTGGTTGTTGGGAGCCATCCGAGGCGATGCTACTGGATGGATTGAATGCCGGAGCGGCAACGTTGAAGGAAGCGGAGGAAAACTTGAATTCACCGGACCCAGCATTGTTCTGGCCATTCATACCGCCAGGAGTAAAGGCGGGGGCTGTAACATTGAACGAATCCGTTTGAGGGAGCGCTGGTTTGAAGCCGGGCCCTGCAGCGAAGCCAAAGCCAGGCTGCTCCATTCCAGGAACCTGGAACGTGTTGTTTTGGAATGGAAAGTTCTGAGATGCAAACGAAGCCATTGGATCGAACTCCTTCGCTTCCACGTTGAAGCTTGATGACGAAAATTTTGAATGGTGTCCTGGAACAAAGGACCCATTACTTGGCTTCGGTTCATGCCAAGGGATATTGTTTGCAAGCGGTCCATGGTGAGGTGTTCCAGTAAGACTTGGGTTGGTATCAATGTCCGATCCCTCATGGCCATTATCACCTGCATAGTTCCCGCCGTAAAAGTGATGTGGGTCGTGAATCGGGTGATGATTGTTGTCTGGAATGGCCCACCTCGACTTCAACATCTCAGAGCCATGTAAGTGACGGTCATCCTCCTCGAGTTGTCGTTGAATTGATGCCTCCAAGTGATAGTCGGATTGAGCGATCTGGTCAAGACCTTTTTGAAGAGTCTCGCTTAGGTTGTGGCCACGGCTATGACCACGGGGCGTAGGATGAGCGATTTCGACATTAGATGAGTGGAAATTGTCAGGTGTCTCAGTAGGAGTGCGGATAGGGCGCAATGACTGGCCCGCAGCGATGTGGTCTTGCGTGTCATGATTAAACCTGCCATCAAAGCCGTCTTCGGAGGGGCCGGGGCCATCGTTCAATCCTGGATGGAAAACGCCGTGTTCATTCATTGGAGACACCGGTGACAACATAGAGGTCATGTTCGGCAAAGCACCAGAAAGTGCCGAAGCGGCACCGGATTGGCGTGCGTTGAAGAAGCTTTGAGGGGTGAGAGAGCCCTGTGCAGGAGGTGTAGGCTGAAATTGAACGGGATAGCCACCGAGAAGGTTCTGATCGACCCCAAAGAACGGTGGCTGGACGCCAAATTGGGAGGCAGGGGAAGCCAAAGAGCCAATGCCGTTACTGCCAGGGGCTGATTGGTTAAATTGCGGGGAGAAGGGATGATGAGGAACACCGAGCGGGTTGCTAGCGGCTGATGCTGTTGGGATCGGAGGGGATGATACAAGGCCGGGGAAAGGAGCCATTTGATTCATGGAAGCAGCAGGAGAAACGGAAGGTGGTGCCTCCTCGTCGCCCAACGACACTCCAAGAGCTCGTAGCTTCTCTTCTTGGAGGAAGTTGACATAAGCATCCCATTCTCCTTTATTTGGAAATCTGACGGTATAGTTTTCAATTTTCCCGTCCTGCAACTCGCTGGAATCAGGGAATAGCGGCCGACTTGCACCACCAAGGTTGATACCTGCAGGATCCTCAGTCGTGGAAACATTGAATCCGCGAATATCATAACCTTCATCCTCCCAGCTTTTTAACCGTTGTGCCATGTCTGCACGGGTCAGTAGACGGTATCCAGATTCCTCAGAACCTCTGTTATCCTCCATGGGGAGCGCGATAATGCACGCTTTCCCACGCCAAGCAATCTTCTTTCGGACCGGTCGAGATGGTTTGTCCATTGCTGGCTTCTTTATGGGTTTGGAGTTGGAAGCTTCGGAGGGTTGTGACGGCGAAGGGCCTGCATTTTCGTCCTCTACTGGCGGTGGGGGTAATGGCTTCTCTGTCGGCGAGGTCGTTTTATTAGCCCCCGGCTCAGGTGGGAGCGGTGTGTCTTTTGTTTCGGCCATGGTTATGGGCTGAGGATCCTTGTCGTAAGCAAATCCCCAAAAGTCCTCTTGCCGAAGCGTTTCCGTTCTCTTGTGCAGATAATCTTTGACTCTCTGAGTAGCGGCACTCTCGCCTTGACCAGCGACCTTCCTCCGATTCACAAAGTCGGCTAGAGTTGGCGTTCTCAAGATATCCTCTTCACGGTTATCGTCTTCCAGACCAAGCCAGTCGTCAGATGGGTCGTCGGCGAAATGGTTTTGCGCCGTGAAAAATGACGGGGCTTCACTGCCAGAGTCGTCACTCAGCCAATTGCTCTTCTCAGTCCTCGGCTGACCGGAAAGATACTGATTGATCCAATCCTGCGTGAAATCTTTTATAGACTTTCCTCCTTTTCTCCCCAATAAATCTCGTACGGGAGAACGATTGCGGCTAACACTGCGCAAATTCCTGAAAGAGGTGTCCGCAGCGGATGGCCTCAGAAACTCTGTTTGGTTTGTTTCCGACCCGTGATAAATACCACTGCGTATCGAGGTTGGAGAACTTGCTCCCGACTCACGATCGATACTGGCGTACTGACTCAGTGACCACGAAAGCCTTCGAGGACTGGGTGCAGCATACGGAGAACCCCAAGCCGTTGTGTAGTAAACACTGCTCTCCGCTCTTCTATTATCCGGGGACGACGCCAGCGATTCCCAGGCACCCTGGTATCTGGGCAGAGACGGGAGGGCGGCAGGCGGATTCGGGGTTACGCTGAGGTTGCGGGGAGGGTTCTGCGAGCCAAAGGACCCAGTGGCCGAGCGACTCGACGCTCCCGGGGACGTGGGACACGAAATCAATGGTGTGGCCAGATATGAATTATCACCTAGGTTGTGCGCGTCTGCGGGTTGAAGCGGCGGAGAACACGCCGAATTGGCGGAAGATGTGGACGGATCTAGATTTGGAAAAAACAGACATGGCAATTTAGCCAGAAGAACCATATAATCCCATAACAACAACGATGGCAATCACAGCAAACCGCGAACGAGAGGATTGAAACTCGAATTGCGGTGGAATTGAATAGAGTTATAAACCCACCTTCCGTATCGACACCTGCAGCAAGCACTTGCTTGCCGCTCCCCTTATCGTCCAGAATGTTGAAGCATGGAAATTTAACCAAGAAATATCAAAGACCACCTTGCAGACAACCTTATGATCGGCACACGGGGGAGGGGAGGCGATAACAAGGTGCAGGCTGACGGAACCGAGGCCGGTTACTGGAAGCGTAACGTGCTGCCCGGTCTTCTTTTCAGGGGAAAGAAGATGGCGAAAGAAGAGAAGTCGACGGCTCGAAAAACAAGAGAGAGAGGTCAAAAAAAAAGAGAGATCACAGACACCTAGGGTATGCGGAGACTTGGACCATGGCGCAATACACGAAGGACAGCTGGATCGAGTTTGGACGATGAGGAAAGAAATCGAGGCTAAGGGGAGCAAGACGGCGAAAAGATGTTATTTTTCCTATTATTTTTTTTTTTTTAATTTCATGTCATGACACGGATCAGCAACGAAGCAGTACACACCCTCGGACAGTCCAGTGTTGAAGCGCTGCTATCATAGGCGGACGAACTTGGACGGCGGCCGTTGGGGAACGGGGCATCGGTAATATTACGCAGGAGATACCAATAAATACGACCGCTCTCTACTAGCAGCAGTTAGTAGACCACCAAAGGAGCAGCTGAGGCCTTGACCGCCATCTACGTCAAAGGGAATTAATTATTAGTTGACCCCGTAGCAGGTACTATGTATGTATGATGTATGTACTAGAGGTGTACCGTACCACCAACATACGTCAGACCTTGCTTGCATGTGTCTTGTATATGCAATTGATTCTGGAGCAGATCCTGAATTTCATGCAATTGCCGTGTATCACGCACTCCGGAGTTGAACCAAGCATTTCACGGGGATTGCCGCAACCCCATACTGTAAACAAAGGCAGTCGACGCGCTCCTGGGTCGTGTCTTCATTCAGGGGTAAATGAGTCTGAGAACCACGGTTCTTCAGTGGCCATTACCATAATTTACCGTACCTGATTAGATAAGCAACTCTGTTTCGGAGTGAATTAATGATCTCAGATGTACGAAGGGGTCTATCTATCTATAGAAAGTTCTGTAACGGATTTACTGATAAGATCTGCGAGTTCGATATATAAAGGTGACAGAAGTACCCATCAAAGACACTATGTTCATGATTGATCTGCTGGTGTTATAGATACAAGAAGGACGAAGAAAAATGAAGTCAACGCCAACGGAGGTCTAACGTAATGGAAATTTGGGCTCGATGGAGAACACTCTAGCTGGATGGGCAAGTGGTGTCGAACTTGGGCACACGCTTGTCAGTGTAGAGACCCCAGTGCTTCTCGTTCATGACCTGACCGTTGTCACCCTTGCTGTCGGGCTTCCAGGTCTCGTCAAAGGCCTCAAAGTAGAAAACGTCAACGCCCCAGGTGAGCATGGCGCAAACGCCCTTCTTGTAGAACTCCTCGGCGTTGTCATTGCCGGCAATGGAGTCGCCGTAGTTGGAGCCGCCATCTATGTTCCCGTTAGTACGTCTGTTTTTCAAACCGATACAAAAGCGAATCCAATGTCTCACCTGTGGGCCAGCCAGTCTCGCCATTGCCAAAGCGGATGTTCTTGGCGTTCTCTTTGGCAACCTCTTCAATGTGGTTCTTGGCCTGCGACATGTCGTCGAAGTAGGTGTTGCTAGCATTGCTAATCTTCTGATCCTGCCAGTAGGCGAATCCGTTCGCAAGGCTGTATATATCGTTAGTCAAAGTTAAAACACAGCGAAAGCCGCGCAAAACATAGCAAAATATTACTCACAAGTAAGTAACGCCTCCCTGAATGATAGGGTCGGCCGATCCATCAGCAAACTTGTTCCAGCTGTCGACGGTACCAACAAGAGTGTTGGGGAACTCCTTCTTGACCTGATTGATGCGGTTCAACAGGTCCGGAGCCTTCATGTTACCACGGTAGAGGACCTCGGAGCCAACAGTGATAGCCTCGACAACATCCTCGTTTCCGGGGACAGACGACTTGAGTGCCTCGAAGTCGGCATTGAACGCATCGGTAGTGTCGGGCCTAAGTAGCGAACAAGTCAACACCAGGTACCAGACGAAACTCAGCATAAAGGTATTTACCAGACAGCCAACACAACCTTGAATCCCTTCGACTTCGCCGCGGGAATAATGTTCTTGGCTGTGTCACAGTTGCTTGCGGAGTAGGTGCGGACCAAAGTAGTCAGATCCTTTAGCGCATCGAAGTCGGCTTCGTAATCGCTGGTGCCTTTGCAGGAAGCATCGGTGTTCTGGTTGCCCAAGGCCAAACCGAAAGCACCCCGCTTGGAGCCTGCCGCAGCAGTGCCGGCCGCGGCCAGCATGAGAAGCGCATTGGTGAGACGCATTTTCAACGGGGGGTTAGAGTCGGAGATGAGTGAGAAAGAGGGGATGGTATGGAAAGTGATGAAAGAGTGATACTCCGGTCCTTATAAAAAAGAATGGCTTGACCAAAAGTACAAATTGATCGAAAGGGGGGGGGCCCGGTTTATAAAAAGAACGAAAACCTGAGGGCAATAAAAGGAAAGCAATACCAACGACCGTTTGTGTACGTCAGTCGGGAAAAGAGTGGGAGTGTTGTGGAGAAGGAAGAAGAGAAGAAAATCGCCTCCTGGAGATGGATGCTCGATTTCTGCAGTGAGACACCCTGTAGCATCCGTAGCCAACAGTACCAAACCAGCACACACACACACACAACAAGCGGGCAAGGGTCTTCCGTCAGCCTTGGAGAGCCAAATAATTTCCTCCGTAGTGGCTGCCCTAGCCAGTAAAGATAGCAATGGGATTCGCTCCGGACCCTCCGATGGTTCCACTTGGGGGGTCTGGGCTGGCGGGTTTAAGGGGGTGTGAGGGTCGGGGGGCAAAATTCCCAGTGGAAAAGGACCCGGCGATCCCTATTAGCCTACGGTTAGTGCGTTATTCGTAGGGGTCCTTAGGGCGCTGGGTGAAACAACCAAGGCCCATGCACCAGTCAGCGGGAAAGGGTCTGGACTGCAGTCCTTCCTGGCTCAGAAAGTCCAGAACAACAGATGGACATTTAGGGGCACCGACTCTACCTGCAAGGCTTCTATTGGGAACTAGTATGGAGATGATCGATCGATAATTGATCATCTTTCTATTTTAAAGTCATAATACATACATATTTCAACGCAGTGTGCCCCTGTCTAATGGCGTCGACTTCACGACCTCTCCCAATTCCACCTGATAATGCCAAATCACCAGGCAATTCTTACGTGGATAGCGGGTACACAGTCATTCGCAAGCAAGAACTCGATATCAAAAGTCAATGATGTCACAAACACCCGTTGACGAATCCTCGCTCTCGAACCTTGGGATCGGAACCAGTGGAAGGGTGAGTGAGAAAAGATGGAAACCACGCACAGCGCCCATTGTTCTTCCTTCCAACCGATCCATCCCATTTATTCTTCATGCCGCTTGATGATACATTCCTAATCCGGGCGATTAGAGAATGGTCTCGAATAAATCGAATAACGAACCTCTTAAGATCCCTCACTGTTGAAAAAAATTTTGACTTCTCTCGATCTTTCTAGATTGCTTAGTTATCGATAACCGATTTTGCCTGCTCGGGCGTGATGTTGCGGCCGGTCTTGTCATTGAACCGGGTACTGATGGCGAGCCAGCGGTCTCTTTCCCACTTGGCTGCTATATTGTGAAGGAGAACCACGTCTTCGAGCGTGAACTCCTCGTCGATGTAATACACTTTTTTTATTTTTGGCGGAGGGCCGTTGCCTTCATCATCGATCTACCGGAACCGGGCTGTCAGTGTTTCATGGACCAAGAACTCGAATACTCAATCGTATAACATGATCACTCACATCTCCTGCAGTGACCAATGGATTCGAAAAAGAAACATGTCGCTTTGGTTTCTCTTCAACCTTGGTGGTTTCCGCATCTCCTTCAGGACTTCGATACTCAACATGCCTGGTCGATTCTGACTCTTTAACCTTTCTCGACTTCCCATATAAATTTTCGCTCCAGTGCTCCTTGACATCTTCAATTGACCTATCCAACGTGACAGCGATCTGGTTCCATGGCAGCCTGTACGCCCTCAACTCCCGGAGGAGCTTGTCTTCTTCGGCCGACCACGCGGGAACAGCATCGCCGACTACGATAGAGTTAGCGTGGCTGGTTTCATCTTTGAATAAAGCCTCAAGATAACCTTTTTTATGGGATATTTTGACTTCTTCGCGATTGCCAGGAGAGCTTCCTGTTCCTGGGATCTGGGTAATGGTAGGTGGTTGTGGTGAGGATATACCGGATTTGGAGGCTTTGTTTGTCTGCTGGAAGAATCTTCTGTCAGCCCATGCCAAATAGTCTCATGTAGCAACCACCAAGAGGCCGTACCACCTTTGTAGCATCGCAATCAAGCCACTGTTCGCAGGGGGCTTTGTTGGCTTTGAAGAGGGAAGTCAAGGGAACTCTGTAAAACTTGCCATCCACAACAAAGACTGGCATATTGGTTGCCCTAGTCCTGTGAAATAGACTTCTGGGGTGGTATTTCAGTGTCTTTCTTGATAGTGTCACAAGAGTGTAGCATAGGAAGGATATGATGGTTGCTGTTTGCTATATGATCCAGTGCTGGTGGGTGACATTGGGTGGTTTCCCTAATTGGCAACAGGGAGGAGGCGCCCAGTAACTGGGCTGTTACCACAACAAAGCTGAATGCTTTATCGATCACATCAGTAGTCAAAGCAATCAATTCATCCTTTCATGATATCAAGGTACAAGGTAGGTAGCCTTGATATTATTAGAGCCAATTCTGGTTTGCTGCTAATGAGGATAGCAGCAGTAGAATGATTATGTTTATGTAAAGCTGAAAAAAAATATATAGAAACAGTCCACAAATATCCCAAGAACAAAAGACAGCAGAAATAAAGAGCCCTTCGCAGTTGTTCATGGTATTTCCTCTATCCCAACTCCTACTGGATTGTTTAGGAGGTGGTCCGAGCGTCTACAACCTCGAGAGTTGAACGGCGGCGAGTTGAACACCTTGCGCGTCGGAACCGGAGATCAAACCGTCTGGCCTCAACGCTCACCACCAACCGAAGCCCCCTTTCCTGCCCTGACCCATACATTTTTCGGTTGAGGATACGATTGCAATTAAAAAATTGCACCCCACCATGCGACTCTCCGCGACAACCTTGCTGATCACCGCGCTGGGATGGATCACAGCCGTGACAGCACACAACATCCAGCTCCGGGCGCACTCGAGAGAATGCTTCCACGAGTCGCTGCACAAGGATGACCGGATGACTGTTTCCTTCCAGGTCGGTGACCGGGAGTTTGGAGGCAGTGGAAACCTCGAGCTTGATTTCTGGGTATGATTCCCTTTTCCATCTCGGGCATTGATGCCCGGAGGGTGTCCAAGGTCAATGGGCCAGCGCCATAACAGACAAATTACTGACTACTTTCTCGCTCTTACAGGTCCAAGATCCCGGTAACAACCGCCAGTACTTCAAGCAAGCCATTTCCTCCGACGATTACTCCTTCACTGCCCACCAGGACGGCAAATACGTCTACTGTTTCAGCAACGAAGGCTGGACCTCGAACTCGAAAGAAGTCTCCTTCAACGTTCACGGAATCGTCTACGTGCCGGAATCCGAGATGTCGCAGGATCCTTTGGACGCAGAAGGTATGGTGGAACTTGTTTGTATGCCAGGGAGCGCCCGCAGCTGCTAACGTGTGCTTTTCTACCAGTCCGCCGACTTTCCGAAGCCTTGACCCAGGTTAAGGATGAGCAGAGCTACATTGTTGTGAGAGAGCGAGTACACCGGAACACTGCAGAGAGCACCAACGCCCGTGTCAAGTGGTGGAGTATCTTCCAGCTTGCCGTGGTTATCGGAGAAGGTGTCTTCCAGGTTTGGTGGTTGAAGCGATTTTTCGAGGTTTGTTTTATCACCTGATCAGCATCGAAGAGGATCTTACTAATGCCTTATCTTTTAGGTCAAGCGTGTTGTCTGATTTACGAGCTTTACCATGGAAAACGATACTGGTGCCTGATGCGGGAGGACTCGTCAGAATGACATAGCAGAAGGTTTTCCTCCTGTCATGGGGCCATACGATGCTTCTCTGGTGTAGTTTTAGAAGGATATTAATTATATGAATTCATGTACACAGTCACGAGGTTGCATTAGCAAGGTGGTTGATATCTCCAAAAGCTCTATAAAAGCATACAATGATAGACAGACACTGGATGGTCGCTTCCTTCCTAGGAATGAACCCGGGCCCTGAAACTAGGTACCAGGTACTTGCCCCGCATTGCCGGAACATCTGATCATCATCTCCAAATCGCATCATAACCACAAACAATCCTTATTGCAATCGAGTCTACAAACATTGTCCTATCCAGTCCGATGGCAACTAAGAACCTCGACTCCTTCAACACTACCTTCCACTCATTGGACGAAAACAATGATCCGCTATTCTACGTCTGCTGGCGGAGACAGTCATGCCAAGGTTGTTTAGCAGGCGATGCACCTTGTAGTTGGTGCGCTATCGTATGTCTCTCATCTCCAATCTCCATCGATACCCACCGTTTATCAAACCATCCAAATTAACTAAATAGTCATCCACCTGCGTTCCTAACCAACACCATCTCCCAATTTTCTCACCGTTCCACTCTTCCAGCATCTGTCCTCTACCAACAGAGCAGTGGGAAATTCGGGCCTTGCCCTTCGGATGCAATGTTAGCACCATCACCCTTCTTACGGCAATAGTATCTATCCTCGGAACCCTGGCTGCTATCGGAATAGGGTTTTTTATCAGCTGGTTCATCAAAAGGGTTGGGGGGTGGAAGAAGGCAAAAAAAAATAGAGCACGCAGGAATACAGCTTCTAGACGAGCGACGGATGGTAGCAGCGCTGGTGGTGATGAGGGTTATCTCCATATCGATGATCCCGAGAGAAGACCGTTGCTGGGATAGATTGATTTGGTCCGTGGGTGTTTGCTTATGAATAATGTTATTGACAGTCGATTCATCATATATATAGTATGGTTTTATGGCTATGAAAGAAATGATCCTTCCATTTAGCCCTTGATGGCCTGTCCAACGTGATACTCGACAACCATTGGCTTGCCCTTCTCTGTTCTGAATCGTCCTTGGCCGACAAAGACGCGGTTTTCGAATTCCTTGTAGCGTTCATCACCGGTCTAGAATTTGTTAGTGGGTGTCTGTATAGAGAGTAGTTGTATCTTACCTCGAATGTGAAGTGGGTGACTAGAAGAAACCAGGCCTTGATTAACAATTCAATTCAACCCAGATATCAGAAACCGATACTTACAAGAGTTGCCAAATGGAGTAGCGCCATCTGCGGCAGTGCCACCGAAAACAGCCTGCTCGGCAGGCCCCATGGTGACAACACCCGTGTAGTTCACATAGAGAAGCTGAGAATCGTCAGTCTTGCTATCATTGCAGTAGAATTGGAAGTATGGTGGAGATAACATACAGCGTCATCCTTGGTCCTATATTCAATAATCAGTTAGAAAAATGCCTAAACTACCCCTCAATCCAAACAGACGGTTCACCTACTTCACAACTCCATGAGCATTCAGACGGAGATGCTTTCCATCGGGGTCAGCGTGGATGTAATCATTTCCAACACCGACAAATTCAGCATCAATGGCGGGTTCAAACCCAGGAGCACTCTTCAGAGTGCCTCCTGTCATGGGCTGGGAGGGTTAGCGACTGATTTAGGTTCCATCCGTTAGTGGGGGGATGAGATGTCAAACTCACCACAACCTGCAGCGGTTGGGTCCGAGAAGCGCTGCCTTGATTCATTGCCGTGTTAGTTTTGAGGTCATTGGGATTTGAGATTATGAAGCATACCAACAGGCAGGGGAGCCTCAATGATGACCTATTATGGAGAGACGGTTATTACTCTGTGTGCGAAGTATTTATGGTTCTAGTGACTACTTACCGCGACCTTGAAGGCGGGCTGGAGAGAAGGGAAGTCAGACATGATTGTTCCTATGATAAGAGAAAGGTCCGTAGGTATGAAGTTGTTGGGCAAGTTGAGTCAATTGAGATGGTGAGTTATGGTGGTGATCACTATCAGCCCCGCACTATGAGGGGCAGTCCGTCTGTGATTTAGGTGCTGGCTCCCCTGCTGCAGAACTTGCCTATTGCCTAGCTATCTATATTGAGTAATTGAGAGATCATTCATGGATTATATGGTTAGATAAATATGATAATAATAAATATTACCTATTAGAGACTAAGTATGAGTACATATTTGTCGTACCTGAGTGGACTCATTTTAGAACAAAATCATCGTGCATCTCAATATCAGCCAGTTCATCCATAATAGTACTAACTACTTAATTTTAGTAGTTATTAAGAATATTCTTACATAATATCGAGTAGTAATTGTAAGCTGAATCCATATCATATGAGCACCGACGCCAAGCCCTTTAAAACTCCACCGCTAGATCCGAGGGTCCTCGCTCCTTGCCACTGAAAGCGACAAACCATTTCAGCCGAGGAGCCCACGTGGAGGCATTCTCGACTAGCTGTGGTTTCTTATATTGGCCTGCTTGATGCACGAGAGACGAAACGAATGTTAGGTTGGAACCTAAAGGGTCATCATTTGTCGATCCGGGGAGACTGTCATTCCTACAAAAGCCCACCATGCCACTTCTCCATTCCTCCATGGAATCCTTGAATATCCTTCTCCCAAACACTGCAAGTGTCTTCTGGCACTTTTCCTTATTGGGCGGAATCTAGTCGCCGATCAGCAGTGGAGCCTGACAATTGATTCTTGCTGGTCATTTGGTGACGTTTTGCTGAGCCGGGGTTCCTGATACTCCAAACACCGGTACATTTTGCTTTCTGACTTTTTCTTTCTTTCTCTCCGCCCATTCTCTGATCTTTTATGATCATTCTTGTCATTTAAAAATAAAGTCTGGTCTCCCGCGCGGTCGGGGGATCTCGTGCTTGAGACAGGAAAAAAAAAGCATCCATGACTTCAATTCTGCTGGCTTTGGCCCTTTGGACGGCCAATGCAGCCGGCGTTCCCGTCGCAGAACAACTGCCGTTAGGCGTCGGTTCAGGCAGTGTCGCACAACCCTCACGAGGGCTGACTGGGAGGTTCCTGCATATCACAGGTATGCAAAATGATCTTGACCCACCAGATGAAATATCGTATGCTAATCTCTGCACGCCTAGACCTCCACCCAGATCCTCACTATGTTCCCGGAACTTCTACAGATGATGCGTGCCACAGGGGACATGGCTCCACTGGATACTTTGGCGCAGAGGGATCGGAATGCGACGCACCGCTCTCTCTAATCAATGAGACATTTCGCTGGATTGAGAACAACCTGAAGGGCAAGGTGGACTTTGTCATCTGGACCGGTGATTCGGCGCGCCATGACAATGATGACGATATTCCTCGAACAGAAAAGGAAGTTATTCAACTGAATGAAGTTATCGCCCAACAATTCATCAATGTGTTCGCTGTGGATGGTGATGTGGTCGACAAGGTCCAACCGAATCTCGGCCTTTCCATCCCTATCATCCCTACCATCGGAAACAACGATGTCATGCCACACAACATCTTCGAAGAGGGCCCTAACCGATGGACAAAAGAACTCTCCGAGACTTGGAGCAAGTTTATCCCGGAAATACAGCGCCACACTTTTGTTGAAGGTGGCTGGTTCACCACCGAGGTGATCCCTGGCAAACTCGCCGTCATAAGCCTGAACACAATGTACTTTTTTCAATCCAACAGCGCGGTCGACGGATGTGAAGATAAGTCGGAGCCGGGCTATGAGCATATGGAATGGCTGCGTGTGCAGCTCAAGCTGTTACGGGGGCGCAATATGAAAGCCATACTCATGGGACACGTCCCGCCAGCTCGGACCGGTTCCAAGAAGAATTGGTATGAGACATGCTGGCAGAAGTACGCTCTCTGGAAGAATCAGTACCGGGATGTTGTGGTTGGGGATCTTTATGGACATATGAACACGGACCATTTCATGCTCCATGATAATCACGAAGTGGAAATTGCGGATATCGGTCAGAGTGACGCATCGAGAAGCTCGCAAGACAAATTGCCAAATAACATCTCCATACAGGGCACCAAGGAATATCTGGATAGTCTTCGAGACCAATGGGCTGATTTGCCATCACCACCATCGGAGATACTCTCTCTCGATTCTACAGATGACTGGTTCCGAGAGGATGTTGCTACATTTGGCGACGATGCTCTTGATGATCCAAAGGTGCAGGGAAAGAAGAAGAGAATGAGAAAATTCCTGAGAAAGATCGGTGGTCCATGGGCTGAACGCTACTGCGTGTCATTGACCATGTCCAGTTTGGTTCCGAACTATTTCCCAAGTCTCCGGGTGGTAGAGTACAACATCTCTGGTCTAGAAGATACGCCTACGTGGGCCGAAGTCGGTTCGAGCATGTCAATTTCTGATTCGTCCTACTCCGACGAGGATGCGGAGGAAGAATATTCTCACCAGGCAGATCAGCCTCTGGACGAAGAGGGAAAGAAGAAGAAAAAGAAGAAGCCGAAGTTCAAAGTCCCAGAGCCCCCCTCAGCCACATCTCCCCCAGGCCCTGCATATTCCAACCAGCCATTTACATTCTTGGGATACACACAATACTTCGCCAACTTAACGAGAATCAACCGTGAATACGAAGAATTGTCGGCAAGTACGTCGAACACAGATAAAAAGCACGACCTTTTATCTTTCGAAGTCGAATATGATACCAAGAATGACGATGTCTACAAGATGCAAGACCTCACTGTTCGCAGCTTCTTCAAACTCGCTAGTCAGATTGCAGCAGGGAGCTCGAATGCAGACGACATATCTGCCGATGGAAAGAAGAAGAAGAAGAAGAAGAACAAGTTCTGGAGAACGTTCCTAAGTCGAGCGTATGTTGGGTTTTACGATGACGACGAGCTTAATGACCTATAAAAGGGCTTTTTGATATGCTCCGTATACTGCGCTAGTCCCAGAAGGCTGGTCCTGACTTTAAATTGGTTATTTTGACTCACTTGTGACTGTTATGATGTTACGGAGCATTACCCTGTGTATATATATACCCGATCTATGGTTTAGACAATGACCCAAGAAAAGTATTGATAGAATCCCATTGCCATTATTCTTTCTATCTATTCTCTCATCAAACAATATCCATCCCTCCGTATGATCCCGTACCTTTTTTTTGCATGTCCAAGCACAGTGCGACATGATTCTGGCGGTGAAAAGCCGCGGTGCTTTCTACTCTGTGGGGGTTGGTACCCCGAAGCGCGATAATGGAGCTATTAACCACGAGTAGCAGGGGTATGAGAGGTTGGGCAAAAAGTAAAATGAAGCTACCACTTACGGTGTACTCCGTAGCAAATACATATTAATATGCAGAGTATCTCACATCAAACAGAATCTGATCTGTCAATAAATGCTTCCTGGTCGAAAATCCAAAATTGTCGAATGATGAAAGCGGCCTCATAAGCGGTCCGAAACTGCCGGCAGGATGGCCTTGTCGCGTCGACTGCGGGTTTGTTATCACCGACCGAACCCCTCTCTCTCTGTGCTACTACGGAGTGCAGAGTGCACTTGTTCCAAGTCCTGTTGATCATTTATTATCGCCATTATCGCCATTATTATCATCAACTATTAATTTCGAACCGGACTGCCCAGGCCTGCCTTGATTTCGTGGGATGGGTTCCCTAGCTTGCCACGCTGGCAAGCGGCTGCTAGCTGTCAATCGGGCCTCCGCCCGAGTTAATTCATGCCGCCATTTCCCCCCAGGCTAAATCGCTAAAGAACACCATGGGCGCTGGGGGGAGGGACCGTTCCGGGGGGCGGGTTGGGCCAGCCCTGACCCAGGCATTATAACACTCAATTGAACCATGGTCGTTGAAGCAATTATTGCTGCGATTATAGCTGCGATTGACAGGATGGCTGGATAATTGATCCCCTATCGCCATCGCTTCCAATTCAGTTTGGATCGCAAGCTGCAAGGCAGGAAAATTCACCCGTTCGGGCCCTGAGCCTCTCGGTCTGACACGTATGAACGAGACTAAATCAATTGATGCGCGGGGCTCTCCTGCAGCAAGCACAGCACAGATTCCAAGTCATTTTTTAGGACTCTTTTTTTTTTTTTTTTTTTTCTTGGGAGTCGGCGACACTTGCCACCTATTTTAATTGTGATGTCCCGTCTGGTCTTCCCACCCCGCCCTCGAGGGAAAAAAGAATTGAATGATCTGATGGCTCGGACTACTGATGTGAGCAGAGAATCATTTCATCATCCGTAGTGAGGGGAGATTCGTCGGATTATTATTATCTTCGTTTCTTTTGCAGGTTGCTTTTATTAGCACTACTGACCGCCGAGTTTTGGCCTTGTTTCTTTTTCTTCTCTGCATTATTCTTGAATCATCAGGGGCCGCCATTGTGCAGATTAGTTTTTTTCCCTTGCATCATTGCTGCTATTGTTTCCTCAGTGCACCGACTGCAATTGAACTGTCAACTCTACCCATCAATTGTGATCTGTGCTGCCTTCTTGACTTTCGCCTTTAGCTTATCCTAGGGCTTGGGTTTTGCTATCATCCGCCATTGTCAGCGGGTGCGCTGGCAAGAAGCACAGACAGACGCCTTGCCGCTCCCAATTGCACACGATGTATCGAGACTGCCGACTGCTGCCCGGCCACGAGCTCCTCGTTCTTCGTTTTCCCGTCGACTGCTCCCTTCTCCGTGCCTTGCGTCGCTAGCCTTCCTGCTGACATTTTGGCCTACCTCTGGATTGAATTGTTTCGACGACCTGGGGTTCGAACTGCAAGCGCATGACCGAATCCGCAATTGCTGCAGGACATCGCATTGCTTAACAATTGCTCAACATAAACGAAACTAACGACCGTTTATCTTATATTTTCTATTTTTTTCATTCTAGCTTGGCAGAACTGTGTTTTCGAGGTCGCATTTCCTTATTGAGACTGTACAACACAAACCCACCAGCCTTGTGGTATACCGAGGTACCCAGCCCGGCGAGACTTTTGTAATATACCACCCGATATTGGGGAGGCTTTGTGAATTCCGATCAGTTCGGCGACGATATACGGAGTACTCCCAAAACTATCAGAAACAAAAAAGGAAATCAAGGCTGAACGGGGACGGGCTTTTCCAAATTGAGTCTGGACCTATTAGACGCCGACATCGAACATACATTCGATTGCATTGCAGAGCCCGAATTAGCGCTTGGCCTGGGAGCATGAGAACGTACTCCGTACAGCGTTTGAAATAGCTTGGCTGGAGGAATTGCAAATTTTTGTTATTCGTTTGCGCGCGCTAGCAAGGTAAGCTCATGGGCCTTTAACGCTTGTCTTGTTTCACCTCATTCCCGTCGGCGTCGATATTTATTGAAGTGCAATCGAAGCATGGTCACCATGTCCCTGCTTATAAAAATCAGATTCCGATTGTCTTGCGGAATGATCTTTTACACTTTTTGTTTCGGGGTCGTTCAATTAGCTTTCATACATCTGTTTTTGTCCAATGGACGTAATCAACATGGCTGACTTTCAGGATTTTTGGCCCATAATAGACCCTGAATCACTGGCTGTGTGGATGGCCTCCTCCGAGGTGGACCAGAAGGCCCTTGGCAACTTCGCTGCCATGACCAACATCAACAACCCTTTCCTGTCGGCGATGTTATACAAGGTCTTGGGGTTATCTGTTATGCTGTCGAAGAAACTTCTCCGTGCTCGTCGATTACGTCGTCTGGATCCTACTCGGGAGACGAAATCACTTCAGTTGTACCATCATATTATATGGCTTTCACGCGAGGGTCTCTTGCTTTTAGAGGGGTTTGTCCTCCCCATGGTCGACACCTATGTGGAACTGAAGGTTCTTGCATACAAATTACGAGCGTCATTTTACCACATATTCGTTCTATTCCATAACCAGCCTGCTGTTCACAGTCCAGGGATTGTCAATCTTCCGAGCAATACTGTATCGAATGGTGACTCAGATCAAGTGTCACCTAAAGGGTCGAGGTTTTCTTTCAAGCCAAGGCCCGACATAATCATTCCTACGCAGGACCAAGATGTGTCTGCAGCAGGTAACACTACTCAGCGCCCACCGGGACTTGCACCTGTTCAATCATCGAAACCAGCGTCGTCTTTCCTTCTACCCGCACTCGACTACACGCCAACTGCAACTGCATGTTTCATTCATGCCGCCGTGCTGGCCGAAAAGCTTCTTCCTGGCTCCCACCCTCTCCGGCTGTCCGTCAAGCTTGAATACGCCGCATATCTCTACGACTGTCTCCACGACCCAACAGCATGTCGACGACTGGCCAAACAGGCCATCGCAGATGTATACAATGCGCGGGAGGGCATGGATGACGAGAGCTTCGAGGATGCAGCAGAGATTGTTGGAGTTTTAGGGAAAATGGTCAAACGTAAAGGGAAGACGAATAGCAGTGGGGGAAACACTACATCTTCGGGCACAACACGCGGCGAAAGCTCCAGAAGCGAAAACAGTCGAACACCACCGCCAAAACAGACAACCCACGAGGTGCCAGCGAAGACGCGGCCTAAAGCTGGTGGTGAGGTGCCTCCTGCTGTGCCAAGTCCGACCATGATGAATCCTATATGATATTGATCCATGTCCCGATAATGAGAAATGATGGGAGATGTTGTATATGCCGATGGTGATTGTCAATTGGCCTTGGTGACTTTTGCATTCTTGTATCTTTTTTGTCTATGGTTTTTAGGTTGTGAAAAGAGCAACAGGCTTACAGGGACTGGGATGCTCATACCGTGTATCTATATACTGATTGGATTTGATATATATCAATCATGATGTGCTTATCACTCCATCTTGGTCCACTGCTTTTAATTAGGCAAGATGTCAGGCAATAAGGCACAGCATAAGGCATAAGGCATAAGGCATAAGGCATAAGGCATAAGGCATAAGGCATAAGGCAACAAGGCAGCGATGACCCCTTTTCGGTATGGATGACCGTTTTCCGCCTAGTGGCTGACGCCCATACGGTACCGTACGGTAAAGACAGGAACGTGCGACCGTCGATCGACAAAAATTTCCAGGAGCACAAAACAAAAACCGCCCGTCGAAGCTGTCGGTCGGATATCCCAAACAGGTGCAGGTCGAGGATGGTCTGATCCTGATCCTCTGGAGGTTATTTGGTTTTTTTTCACCCTCGAGGTCTTCCATCTCTCTTTCTCCTCCTCCACCGGATATCGACTTGGCAACCAAGACCAATTGCAACGTTGCGTCTTCCCTGGTCTTTTACGTCATCCAGCGCTTGCTGTTCCCTGCAGCTCCGGTCGCGTCAAGCAACGCCCAGAGAGCCTCTTCGGTCATTATTGCCTGCGCCTGCTTTTCCGCCCCTCCTTCTCCTCTATACTCGGCCTGCATTATCTCCTCGTCAACCCCGCCATCCCGTGGACAGAAGACACGAGCTTGTTTTATATATTTATTAATTTTCTAGATTTTCCTGTTTTTTCTTGTTTGCGTGTGCTGCAGATACTACTCTCTCGCCTGACCGACTGACGATCGCGCTGAAGTTCCTTCTTTCTCTATACAAAAAAAGTCTTGACTTTTGCGCCTGCATATCTCCATCTACTTAATACCGGCCAACCCACCTTATCTTCCTTCCTTTTTGCTCCTTCGGTCCATGGCAATGAAGTTGTCTGTACTCAGCGCCTACAAATTACGCCAGAGTCCTCGCCGACTGTCATAATTTGTGTTGTCCAGAATAACGATTTTTCGGCGCCGAGATCTATGAGCGTGGGACGATGCGGTCCGGTCTCCAAAAACCCGGTGCTATCCCGTTTCTCGCTCTGCTTGTCTTTTCGCTCCTTAGTCTGGTACCGTCGTTGTCGAGTCAATGGGAATTCAATAATGTGAAAGCTGGGTATATCGACTATCGTCCTAATGAGGTTCGACGTATGTGCATTCGCCTTCTTTCTTGTGATGGCTTGATGGGCTTACAATTCTCAGACCTCCCCCGTATAAAAGATGAACCTGTCACGGCCCGGTCGAGTGTACGGGCAATAGGCCAGTGCCAGCCGTGGCTGGAAGGCTCTTATCAACCATGTTCCGATCGGATACCGCGATCACAACAACCTGCGATAGACACACCTCCCCGGAGCTCTTTTGAAATTGCTCCTATCTTCGATCATACACCGCCGACATCCACCTTCAAACAACCTTCTTCTCTCACCAAGGGCGTTCGCGCTTTCAAAACCTTTTTCATTCAGCAGCTGGATGACTATCGATTTCTCCGGCCCTTCTCTACTCGAAATGTCTCATCCGTGAAGACGGGAATACCTCGTCCCGCTTCGAAACCGACCGATTCGTCAGCGGCACCCGTGTCTTCTAGTAATGACGAATCCCAACATAGATCATATAACAAGAATTACGCGACGATATCGTCAACAATGCAGGGAGACCAAGACTATGGGCTGCAGACTTTATTCCGTGATACTTGGCAGCAGGTCTGCCATGCGGGCATTGACCTCTATGGTCATATACATACACCCATACGCCACTTCGGATATTTTACATCACAATGCTCTCGCTACCTGGGATCGACTGTTGGTCGCGATTCGCTTCCCATGACTCCCACTCAGCGATATGAGTCGGCTTCATCAAAGGAACTGGCAGTGAACGGCAGTCGCCTCCAGCCGAATTTGCAGCCTACCGCTACACCGGGAGATTCCATGTCCACGCAGACCCCCAATGCAGCGGCGACACCTGCAGAGCAGTCCAAAGTTGCTGGCGTTGGCGGAAACACGGAACAGATGCGCAGTAGCTGCATGGCCATCGTGATCGGCCTGGTGGTTGGGATTATGTGGTTCTAATTCGATGCTTCTACCGGAGATCTGCACATGCCTTTTTTGTATCTTTCTTATTTTAAATCGCTCCATGGTTGGCGTTGATTATGCACATACGGCGATAGGCGCGAGTGGTCTGGGATCTTCCACGAATATCGCATCACTGGCTCGGGTTGTTTCTTACCTGGGAGGGTCTTTGTTTTTTACATAATTGCTTTTTGTTGCATTCTTGATTCTTGTTTATTTCCCGGTTGCATGCAACGTATCGGGCGGGTTTTACATATGCTTCCTCATTCCTGTGGACAGGCTGGCGTTTGATTCTCTGTGCGGCGATATTGAAACTTTGCATGTAACATTCTTGAGACCCTTGATGCCTGTTACGAGTTGATTATTGAATCGGTATTTTGGGGGGGGATGTAAGTATATTGTATGGAAGGCTCTGGCTCAGCCTCCAGCGGACTATAATACTGCCTCGAGAGGTGAACCAGCACGGTCAGAGAGGCAGCCACAATACTCATAATGTCTGTTTATTATGTCTGCATCTGACAGGTACAGTCGCCATCCGAGACATGGTATAAATAGAATGAATTTGATTTGATTGAAGTCTCAACTGTCCACGCAACACATGTGCTGATCTGCTTGGCTGCGTCGTGGTTGTTGTCGGACGAGGCGATCTACATTATCTACACAAAACATGAGCAATGTTGCTGACCGCTTGTACAATTCGTATGTACATACATGTACAAAAAAAGTGTTCGTATGATCGAATAAAACTGTCTATCTATCCAAATCCAATCCCCCAGATAGAACATGTAAGATGTTGAATCAAGTGCAGCACAGCTACATCCACCTACACTGCAGCCAGTTCAATTCGACGCCCAGGCCACGTGATCACAGCGCCGACGCGTGACAGCAACACCACCTCCCAACAGAAAGCCGGCGTCTGACTGTTGCTCTTCACGAATCACCGTCCAGGATACGAAGCTTATCTTTTTGATTATTGTTTGTTTATTTATTCAGTTTTGACTAATTGGGTTTATTGTAATTTTTGGCCTCTTCTTTGTATGTTTGCCGACGGGTGTACTCCGTAGCCCGTGAGTGGAACCATCCCTGCCTGAGGCGGATTTGGCAAGTGTGGATGGAATGATGAGATGTGGTGATCAGGTGAGTTTGAATTGAGAGTGAGATGAGATGGAATAACATATCTGTTGATGAGCATGTTGTTATATTGGTGTATTCACCGCTAATTCGGACGCAGTTGATCATTTACTTCATTTCAACTCAATTCATTCATCACTTTCTTCTTAGTATGGTCGTCGACCAAAGACCAGCCTGCACTTCTTGCAGAGCGAAAAAGAAGAAGTGTGATCGAGGTCAACCGTGTATGAACACTAATACATCAATGTATACCATTGTTAGTCGACAATACTAACAAGATGTAGCATGCGGGCGATGCAAATCGCTAAACCTAGAAGGCGAGTGTTTTTACAAACCCGGAACTGGGGCTACAAACACGCCTGCACCATCGTAAGAAAACCACTCAACCATCTTCATCTTTCGTTTGGAATTGGGACAAATTCTAAGACAGGATGAACAGGGCCCGGAAACGGCAAAAGATCAGCCATCCACGTTCACTGTCTCATTCTCATTCTTATCCTTCCCAGCGTCCTTATCCGACGCCGGCGGTGGTGATTGCTACGCCTTCTCGGGGGTTGCATAGTGAGGCTGTTGATTGGAGGAGGGGGAGTATTGAGTTGGGGGATTCGCCTGTTTTTCGGCTTGCGCCTGTTCCTGCTCGCGCGCCTGCTTCTGAGCCTAGGTCTGGTTCGGAGGTTGGGGAAGATGGTGCTGAAGATGTCGAAAATGCCGAAAACGTTGAAGATGCTGACGATGCTGGAGACGTTGGAGACGCTGACGATGATGACGTCGAAAACGGTGAAGATGTCGAAGATGTCTATAATGCTGTCTCGCAAGAAACAGCGGGGGATGTAGAAGACGCAGAAGATGCAGAAGATCTTCAGTATGATGAAAACGCCGAAGGCGCTGAAGATGTCGATGAAGTCGAGGGAAGCGAAGAAGAAGAGGAAGGGGAGGACGACGAGGAAGCCGACAATACCGACTCACAAGAAACAGCAGAAGAGGCTGCTAACAGTCAAGCAATTTCAGAGTTGATGAACGTTGCAGGATCAGTTGGAGATGTTGACGTGAATGGCCAAGACCATGACCAAGATGAGCCTGAGGAGTCGGAATTGACAAACCAGACATTTGACACAGCTGTGGTTTCTCAGCGGACACCCTCTCCAACAAGGGATGGCCGTATGTCGCATCTGAAAAAGTTGCAGACAGAGGTGGACCGGGGAACAGGCAATGTTCAAGAAGAAGAGGCACGGGCAAAGACCCCCCAAGCTGATTCCGAGGAAGTCCTCTTGCCATCTACTGGCGATCGGGTTGGCCTGGCTCAACCGGTGCATTTACCAAAAGAGCTTGCAGATCATTTGGTTGCTATCTACATCACGCGGCAACACGTGGATCTACCAATTTTGAATCTAACCGAGTTCAAATCGGCGTATGAAGCGGCCAGAGCCGATGACAGCCTGACCACAGGGTCAACTGCCTTCCATGGGATACTTTGTATCATATTTGCGCTTTCGAGTCTAACTATAGACACGATCAGTGACCAGAAGAGGCAATCCCTTTTCAACCGAGGTCAAAAGCTCACCAATGTCTTTGGTAGTCGGGGAACCCAATGGGTGATGATGCAATCTTACATCTTGCAGAGCCAATATGTCAACGCGACAGGAAACCCCAGATTAGCGTGGGCATTTATCGGTTATACAATCAGCATGGCGCAGTCGCTTGGACTGTTTTCTAAGACAATAGGACATGGTGTACGTGAGAGACGAGACAGAGAACTCGCACGGAAGATTTGGCATAGCGCTGTAATTATGGAGCGTATTCTGGCATTGCAGCTAGGTATATTACCTCGAACCTCGAATGCGTTTCAAATTCCTCTGCCATCTCACCTTGACGAGGACTATGTTGATGCAATTTCCGGTGAATTGTCTAAGACGAAAGATGACCGGCCGTCGGTAGTTGAGTTCATGACTGCTTCTGCTAGGTTGTATAACCACGTGGAAGAGATTATGGGCTTGGAGGAAGAATTCCGACTTCGCGCCAATGGTTGCTCAGCGAAGAAGCTGTTAGCATTTGACATGCAGCCATTCCTAAAAGTGGACGGCCTCTTATACGACTGGAAGGTATCGTTGCCGTCATTCCTACGGGTGGATGGGACTGGAGAAGATCCGGACGATCCGATTGTGCTTCGACAGCGAAATGTTCTTAGGATACGATATCTGTATATCCGCCTACGGTTGTACCGACCATTTTTGATTCTCGGACTTGCTCTTTCGACTCAATGCAACTGCCGATCTAAAACACCCCATCTTACCGGCGAGGACTTTACCTCCCCAGACTCACCAATAGCACTGGGCTTGGTCCGCGACGCTTCGATCAAGTGCGTGGTGGCTGCTATTGAGTTGGTGAATTTGCTCAACCGATACGAGTTTGGCCTCTCCAACGAAGACCGCCCCAGCCCTGTCGCGGAATACTGGGAGAATGTCGATTATCTATATGCCTGTGGGACGGTTCTCATCGCGGCACGATCATGTCCTTTCCTGTCGGGGGATAAACCAAATTCGATTAGCAGGAAGAGACTTGACTGGGTTTGGACCAAGATCAAACATCTCCTTAAGCATTACGAAAAGAAACGCCGAAACAGTCGACTGAGAAACGTTGCGCAGTCATGTCTCCGCATTTTGGTGATTCTCTCAGAGACAGAATCCCTCTCGCAGCTGCTGGACGAGCAGATGGGGAATCGACTCTTCCAGCGAAGCGAACCAGACACACCACGGAGAAGCAGCCACGCCAGGAAGAGAGTATCCGATGCATCTTGTTTCATACTCGATGACGACGTGATCCTGACATCTCAGCTCCCCCAGCCCGGGATCCAAACCAAGGGGACATTTTTCGGCTGGATCGAGAGTTTACCTGTTGATTTGAGCGATGAGCTATAGTTATACCCACTGTATTGATAATGAATCTACTCCTTTCTGATGACCCTAATACATCGCCCACCCCCCCGTAGCCGCAACAACCTGCCCCGTAATCCACCGACTCTCCTCACTCCCCAACCAACCCACCACCTGCGCAACATCATCCACCCTCCCAATCCGCCTCTCCACCGGCGTCTGCGCCTTTTGCATATCCACTATCTCCCCCGGAATATTCTCCAACATCTCCGTCGCCGTCGGCCCAGGATTCACCTGATTCACCGTATGCCCGGCCATCCCCAACTCCGCCGCCCAAGACCTCGTCAACCCCTCAAGCGCAGCCTTAGACGCACAGTACACCGACATGCGCGCAAACCCGCACCTCGCAGCCACAGAACCAATATTGATGATCCGACCCGGCGCGCGGAGATACGGCAGCACAGCCTGCACCATAAGCGCGGGCGCGCGAACGTTCAGCTCAAAGACGTAGTCGAAATCGGAGCCTTCGATGTCGGGGATAGGCTTTACCAGTTCGACAGCGGCGTTGTTAACGAGGATGTCAATGTGAGGACCGAATGCGTGGGTTGTTTCGTGGACGATTTGCGTGGCGGATGAGGGGTTGCGTAGGTCGGCTTTTATGGCTATTGCAGATGTAGAAAGGGATTGGATTTGTTGGATGAGGTGGTGTGCTTGTTTTGTGCTGTTGGAGGTGGTGTATGTAATTGCTACCTAGGTATATTTTGTTAGCTGGTTGATTATTTGTATAGAGGAAGGATGGATACCTTTGCCCCCCGTCGGGCGAGTTCATAGGCTATACCGGCACCAATACCACGGGAGCTACCCGTGACGATGGCGACTTTGTCTTGGAGAGAGTGGAACTGGGCGGTCATTATGGAGCCTCAATTGATGATGTGATTGTTAAGAATAGTTAGGATAGGACAGGTGAGGAGCTATATATCAAGTACGGGCTACATCCGACGGAGATAACAGTAAATAGTGGTACACGTATCGGATATTGAAGTCCACTTTTTTATATACCATGTAGACGGTTGAAGTGTAGTTTAGCTAGGAACTAGACTTGTTATCCTGATTTCCAGTTAAAAGGAATGCATTCCCTGCTAGATAAGTCGATGGATTGATGTCATAACGGAGTTTGGCTCTAAACTCCACCATTGATGCCTACATGAAAGTTACATCCGTGATTCGTATATAATATGAATCTTAGAATCTCCATACACCAAGACCAAATTGCCAGACGATCATTGATGCCTCAATAATACGATCAATTATAGGGTTTATTGGATACTGAGTCCCTAATTTCTGGCTTTTTGACACAGCATGTCGATGATAATTCAACACTCTCTAGACAGGTGTTATATAACCTTATCTTCCCTTTTCTTCACCAGTAGATGCTACGTCAATGGATAGTCACCAATTGGTGGATCATAAAATGATAATAACTACAAGCATAGTATATAACCCCCAGCTGGTAAGAGAATAGTACATACGACCACAGGGTGTGGAGAACAGGGCTTCCCGTCCGCTCAGCCATACTTAAGCCACACGCCGGCAGGTTAGTAGTTGGGTGGGTGACCACCAGCGAATCCCTGCTGTTGTATGTTTTTTCTTTTTCTTGACATAGTATTTTGGTGTTTTTGGTGTTTCTGCAATGAGGCGTGACTTTTAACTCACGGTACTTACCTAGGGTCCAACAGCCTCAACCAAAGAACATATACAGCATTATGATCAAAGAAAAAAACAGGTATATAATTGATGCTATAGACAAGATAAACCGACTATCTCGACATAAACCACTCCTGAGCAAGATGATGCAACTTCCTTCGATCAGTCTTATTCGATTTCGTGCGCGGAATCTTATTCACGAGAATAATCATCTGCGGAATCATATGCACGGGGAGATTATCCCTGATTTCGTCCTTCATCGCCTCGGCCATCTCATTCACCCGGAGGACATCAGTGACAGGGAGGAAGGTGATGGCGTCATCCGACGTAGACGGGACAAGGTTGGTCGGGTTATCAGCTAGATAGAGGAAAGCCACGAGCTGGGGATGATGAGCCCCGTTGAAAGCGCCGAGGACGTCGATGATGGCAAAGTCGCCCGGCGCGAGGGATTTGCGGAGGACGTATTCCACCTCTGTGGATTCGACACGACAGCCGTTGAGCTTGAGGAGGGTATCCTTGCGGCCCATGTGCTCAACTGTGCCGTCGTGTTTGTAGCGGCCTAGATCGCCGGAGCGGTAGATGCGGGTGGTGGCGGCGCGGGAGGGATGCAGATTCGCAATCCACTGTGGGATGGGGTCGACGAAGCCGACGTGAGGGTTTTGGCAGAGGTTATCTAGGTAGCCGCGGGCGAGATGGGGGCCTTCGATGAGGATTTCCCCGATGGCGCCGACGGGGAGGGGCAGTTCGGGCGAGATGGGGTTTGTGATCCAGATTGCGCCGCTTCTGGGACGGCCGACAATGGCGTTTTGGCCTGGTTTGGGGCTGTCGTTGAAGGCACAGAAGGTGGCTGCTTCGCCCATGCCGTATTGGTTGAAGAGGTGGACGTGGGGGCCCCATCTGGTGAGGAGGTCGTTGGACATGGGCTCGCCGCCGATGTGGACGGTTTTGAGGGTCGGAGTGTCGTCGGGGGTGAATTGGATGGCGAGGGTGGGTGTGAGGAAGGTGGTGTTGGCTTGGAGGGCGTTGACGCTGGCCACGAGGCTGGCGATGGTTCGTTCGGGGGTTGGGACGCAGCAGCAACCGCCGGCGTAGAGTGCGGTTAGGTAGTCATTGTTGCTAATGTCGAAAGCGTAGTCGTCGACCTGAAAGACTCGACTGTGGGGATCGAGCCCTAGGACTTTGTTGTAGTCCCGGATAGCAGTGGCATATGATCTGTGCTCTTGGATGATGCCCTTGGGTTGACCGGTGCTTCCTGAGGTGAAGAGAAGCAGACAGGCATTGTTAGGCTGGACAGTCCTGCAAACCGTATCCGGAGCTGCAGGCAGATTGTTCAACATCGTAGCCGAGATGGCGATCACAGTCGCAATCATGGGGACGTATTTACTCTGGAACTTGGGCGAGCTGAGCATGATCTTTGCATTGACACGACGAATGACGGACTCGAGGAAGATGGGTGGCTCAGTGGCATCGATCGAGATGTAAGCACCGCCAGCTTTTAGGATAGCCAGACGGGCGACAATCGCCCAGGTGGACTTTTCAAAGCAACTGATAACAAATGTCTCTGGAACTACACCAATGCGAACGAGGAACAGAGCGAGTTTGGAGCTCAACTCATCCAGCTCACGATAGGTGAGATCACCGTCCCATGAGCAGACGGCGGGAGCATCTGGGGTTGACTGCGCATGTCGTAGCACCACATCATGGAGCAGGACCTCATACGACTCGGAAATCTTATGAGTGTAGCCCTGGATAAGCTTGAGATCGTGTGCAGAACAGAGATCCAACTCTTCCAGCGATTGTAGAGCGGCCGAGTATATCGAGACCAGTGCCTTATCGAAGGTATACAGTAGACTGGCGGCAAAATCTTTGGTGATATCAGGAACGGAAAAAGCCAGCTTTGCGTGTAGTTGGTCAGTTTGCTTTGTGATATCGAGCATGAGCTTTGTCTCGGAGAGCTATTTCGTTAGCCTTATCAACCAGATGGAGATGAGAGGCAGTACCTTTGAATTGACGAGATTCACGTCCAAGTCGACCGGGGAATCACCAGAATAGCGAAGGGCAGACGTGAGGAAGCGTTTCTGCGTTTCCGGCGCCTTTCCCTCTGCAGTAGAGCGAGAACCCGACAGGATGAGACAGACATCCCGGATGAGGTCTTTCAAGGGGGTCTCAGGGTATAGCTCGAGGGGAACGACGCCCGTACCCGGCTCAAAGGTATCGCTGATGTGACAGAGATGGGAGTGGGAGTCGAGATAGATGACTCGGGCAGGGGAGAAGCAGCGGATGGTGAGAAGCCAGGCGATGGACAGGATGGAGGAGGGATTTAGATGGGTTGCAACAGAGCCCAAGTAATCCTGGTACCGCGAACGGATGGCATTGAGATGGTCCAGACCAGAGGAGAGGAGCAGGTCAACAGAGTCGCTGGGGGAATAGTAAGGATCCGTCTTGAGAGACCGGGAGATGGGAAAGTCGGGATAGATGTCAGTCTCGATAGCGGGGGCCATTGTGATTGATGGATAATGTAATTGTACTCTTTGTATTGCCTATATTATCTCAACTGTGATAGCTACGAGGGTATTTAAGCAACATCTCAGTGAATTGCTGGTGACAATCCGCAGTCACTGTCTGCCACACCATCCAGGCAAAAGTAAGCGACTTTCCTGGTCTATCCTAGCTGTCAGTAAGTCTCTTTGGGCCTGGTGCTCTCCCATCCATGGTTCCAGCTCGCCATACAAATAGAGCAGCCAATCATATTACAGATAATTCTGGACCCACCTGACAGACAGGGCCCACCCAGCGGGGCGGAACTAGCTGAAGCTGACCAATCAGCCAGCCACAGCCAGCGTAGACCGCTCCCTTGCATGGGGTGGATGTTCTGATTGGTTAGCCAAGACAAACAGGGAATCGCGTGGGGCGAATCGACTCGATCTTCAGATAGACAGATAGAGAGACAGATACAGCGGCATTGTTGATGTTGTGATAGTGAGGAGAATATAGGATAGGATACTTGGGAGAGGAGACTAAGGTAGACGGAGTAAAAGTGCCTATCAGAGAGAGACGGAGAATAACGAGACAGGAGTAGGCATGTCATAATCACACTGCATGACGAACAGACTACAGGCCAAATTCAGCTGGAGAATATTTCAATCCTGGCTGAAATGAGGAGACAAGATAGACAGTTTAGTCTATATCAGAGACCATATAGCAATGCGGAGGAAATGCAGTCAGCGCGAACCGGATCGCCAAAACAAGCGAGGGCGCTGATTGGCCCGTGCCGCCATAGCAACCTGTCTAGTCAGCTTGACAGCTGTACGCCTCTCCACCGTGTTTTTCAGACTTCATCTGTCTCCCTCGATGTTTTTCTTGCTGAACATTCTCAACATCCACATGAATCGCTCGTAGAATGGGCGTGGTATATAATGTGAGGTCCTCGGACACTTTTACGCTGCTGGCCATGTGCCTGGCCTTGTTCACGGTATGTGTGCGACTGGTGACTAGTGGCTGACATCCCTGCTAATCGTGCGGATAGGATACTTTTGTCTATGGAGTTGTAGGTGTCGCAATCCGCCCGACCTGCTTTGGCTGACATGATAGATCATTCCTATTCTGCCTTCGTTACTACCCGATCGGGGTGTTACAACGGATCAGGGTACGAGACTCGCCCACTGTGGGTGATACATGCTAACCGAGTGTAGTATCGAAATGGACTTCAATTCTGCTGGCCAGCTATGGTGGTGCTCTTCTTGTTAGCTCTCGTACGTCATGTGTGCTTGCTTACTGTGGGTGTACTAACAACACCAGCAATCGTCAGTCTGTGCCACAAATCCCGATCGCGCAGATTCCCATTAATCCTCGGCCTGCTGGTGATTGCCCTTGCAACAGTCCTGTTTCTGTTCGCGTATAACCCCCTCCTCCTGGTCGTGGCCAGAGTGTGTCAGGGATTATCCGGAGCTGTCGTGGGGGTGCTCGGACTTACGTTGATCGCGGAATCGGCCAGCCAGGAACATCTAGGGATCTACATGGCATATGGGTCCATGGCCCTAACAGGTGGGATGATATGCGGGCCCGTCATGGGTGGGATATTGTAAGTAATGCACAACTAATTTTTAAAATGCATGCTAATCGACAGATTTACCAAATTCGGGAACTGGGGCACGTTTGGCACCCCCATCGTGCTGTTGATGATCGGTATTATCTTGCCGATGCTGATCGTCGAGGATGGCGTAGAGTATCCGGCTGATAAGGGGAAACGGCGTGTTTCGAGTGTATATTCTGAATCCACAGATCCCACGGAAGAGTCGCCGTTGCTGAATGGGATTGAGGAAGTGACACGGTTGAGTGCCTATCATTATATCCACCCCGTTTTGCTGGCGGTGGTGTTTGCCGTTATCACTGCGTCGTGTGTGCTGTCTGCGTTTGAAACGGTATGCTTTCATACTCTATATATGAAATGATGCTAATTGATTTAATTGATAGACTCTCCCGCTGTATGTCATGGAGACATACGGCTGGAATAGCATCGGAGCAGGATTGATCTTCCTCCCTCTCAGTCTGCCCAGTATCCTGACTCTCCCCGTTGGCCAAATTGCCAGCCAACTGGGACCTCGCAATGTCATCACGATCAGCTTTCTCCTGGTTACTGGTCCAATGATTGCACTACGATGGACAGAGAATATCGTAAACCACACCATCCTGCTGGTCATTCTGCTCTTCATCATCGGATTCTGCATGACAGCGGTCCAAGCACTCACCATGGCCGAAGTGTCCTACACCACGCGGATGATAGAAGCGGCTCACGGACTAGATGAAGAAGAAAGTAATCGACTGGGCCGTGGATATGCGCTGTGCAACATTGCCTTTGCTGAGGGGCAATTCCTTGGACCCATTCTAGGCGGGGTGGCTCGCAGTCAGTTGGGGTGGGGAGGAATGACGATGATACTTGGGATGATGTGTTTTGTAGCGGGAATACCGACATTTTTCTTTCGACTAGAGGAATTCGATGAGGACGAAGAGGAGGAGGAAGAAGAAGAGGAAGAGGAGGAGGTGTGAGTGAGAATGAATGTGGGCTGACTCGGATGGCGTTTCTCCACTGTTTCGGGTAATCTTAGTCGATCTGTTTTATCTTTCTGATACATCTACGGGGTATTATTCTGCAGTAATCTATATGATCATCATTATTAATAAACGAGATTTAGCAAATGACGAGCACTGTTCTGCTGACTGCATATTCTATTCCCAACTGCCGTTGTTCCAGACTGCGCCCACACCAGTTGGTCGATCACCACACTACTCAGCTTAGTATATAACCCACCGTGATCCTTTCATCTAAACCATCATCACAAACACAGAACAACAATATAAATACAACAATCAATCACCATGAAGTGCCAACCAGCCATCACCACAGTCTCTCTCGGTCTTTCCAATCGCTTCAACATCCTCGACAAACTCACCCAAGCTGCCCTTCACGGCTTTTCTGCAATCGAACTCTTCTACGATGATCTCGAAGCTCTCGCCTCTTCACTATCTCCACCACCACATTCCTCTCCCCCCCTCCGCCATTCCCTCCTCCAAGCCGCGCACCAAATCCGCCTCCACTGCGACGCCCTCAGCCTCACCATCCTCAACCTCCAGCCCTTCCGTTTCTTCGAAGGCCTCGTCGACCGCGTCCAGCTCGACTACATCCTCTCCCACACCATCCCTCTCTGGATAGACATCTGCCATATCCTCGGTGCAGACACCATCCTCGTCCCCTCCAACTTCCTCCCCTCTGACCCCTCCACCAACGCCCCCCGCACGGTCGGCGATCGAGATATCCTCATCCACGACCTCCGCCAACTCGCTCTCCTCGGCGCCCAATCCTCTCCCCCCATCAAGTTCGCCTACGAAGCCCTCGCCTGGGGCACCCACATCAGCACATGGGAGCAATCCTACGACCTCGTCACCGCAGTCAACCACCCCAATCTCGGCCTCGCCCTCGATACCTTCAACATCGCCGGCGCCATCTACGCTGATCCCACCGCTGAAGACGGCCGGACCGTCAACGCAGAGGAAGCCCTATCCGCTTCTCTCCACCGAATGAAAACAACACTCGACCTGTCGAAGCTCTTCATCGTGCAAATCGCAGACGCAGAGCGTCTCACTACCCCGCTTCGTCCCGGCCATGCGTTCTACGTAGAAGGGCAACCAAGCCGCATGAGCTGGTCCAGAAATACGCGCCTCTTCCTGTGTGAGCCGGAGCGGTGCGGATATCTGCCTGTTTTGGAGATTGTGCGCACTCTGCTGGACATGGGCTGGACGGGGTATTTGGCGTATGAGATCTTTTCGCGGACGCTGGCTGGACCAGATCCGTCGACGCCTGCGGTGCATGCTGAGCGTGCGCAACGATCGTGGGCGAGATTATGTGATGCTATGAATTTTACTGATACCAAGGAAAAGGAGGATAATATCGTATATGAACTCCCCGGTAAAGCAATGGATCAGATCTACGGGGGTGGAACTCCCAAAGTGACTGCTTTCCGGGCTGACTTTTAGACATTTATATGGCGTTGGAGTTTGAATTCATCTACTACTATTTATTTATCAAGATATCTACTTGAACAATTTAACAGTCTCATTCACACTCTCCACCTCCAACCCCAAAAGCCCATTCCCCAACTTCTCCTCCTGGACATAATTCGACCTCAAACCAGGCGTATTCCCAAAAACAGTCGCTTTGACCAATGCAAACGCACCGCTAAAGTCGCCTTCTCCCAGCTTCTTCAACCCCCCACTAACCTCCGCTTCGCTGGTTGTTTCGATCACAGTCCATTTGGCGTTGGTGGTGTTCACCAGGGACGATAGGATTTCCTTCTGCGTCGTTTCAACAGAGGCAATGTATAGGTACTGGTTGGCAGTTCGCTCAGGATGAAGCAGGACAGAAACAACAGCCTGACCGAGTTGCTTCTCATTGGTGAGAGTAAAGCTCTTCTCGCCTCCATCCCAGATGACAGCTGTGCGATTGGGGATATCGAAGCCGAGGAATCCATTTCCCAGACCCTATCTCATAATCAGCTCTGCAAATCATCACAATAACGGGCACAGAAAAGGTATACAAACCCAATCAAACAACCCCGAACACGCAATCCCCGTCCAACTCAACCCCTCCCCCTCCTTGAGCCTCAAATACTCAACCACCTCCCTCTTCTGCCCAAACAGCGGCAACAACCCCAGCACCGCTTCATTCTGCGAACTCACCGAAAACTCGCTCGGGATGAACCGTTTCACGCCGGCATGCACGGCAGCGTCGATGTATTTCTGCTGCTCGGTGAATGCCGTCGCGCCGACGGCTGAGATGATGGTGTCTTTGCCGGTGAAGGCGGCGATGAGGGAGGACGAGAAGTCGGTTTGCTGGATTGTGAGGGTGATGTTGGGGGGTAAGGTTGGGGTGGGTGGGGGTTCGTGACGGGTGAGGAGGGTGATGGTGAGAGGCAGGTTGGAGGTTATGAGAGCGTTGAGGATGATTTTGCCGATGTTGCCGGTGGCCTGGTTGAAGTTAGATTTGAGGTATATATATTGGTGAGGACTTACGCCGATGATAGCAATGTTTGTGAGAGACATGTTGGTAGAAGATTGATTGTTCTGTCCGATCTGATCTGATGATTCTACTCTGAACTCTGAACAAGCTTATTTATACCCATCTCTCTGTATCAAATTTCATCATCACATCTATAAACCACCGCTTAGAAATGCGGACCTCCCTCCGTCCTCCGCTCCAGCCAATCAGCGCCCTCCGCCCCAAATCGCATCATTCTCACTCCGTCATCTTATCACCAACATACTACATGTATTAACAATCAAAAATGCCTCGCATCACACCCGGCCGTTCGTGTCTCGAATGTCAACGGAGAAAAATCAAATGTAACCGAGCTGCTCCGTGTGGGTATTGCGTCAAAACGCGGATTCGGTGCGTTTATCCACCAGGGAGACCGGGGATTGTGCCGACGAATGGGGATGGGGATAGAAGTGTGATTTCGCGGATTGAGGCGATTGAGAAGAGACTAGTTGGGTTTGAGAGGGGGTTGGAGGGGATAAGGCGGTTGGTTTGTTTATCTTTCTTGACTAGTTATGGATGGTTGTTGATGTTGATGGGATAGATTGAGGATGGACGGTCGGATGGAGTGAGGTTTGATGAGCCCGTATCTGTATCCCTGCATCCGTCTCCTGTTGTGATGTCGTTTCTATGGCAGACGTATCTTGAGACAGTTGATCCTGTTTTGAAGATATTCCATGTCCCGACTGTGCAGAGGCAGATTACGGGTGTTATGCGAGGGAAGAGTGTGGATGGGCGGATGGAATGTTTGGTTTTTGCTATCTATTATTCTGCTGTCGTTAGTCTATCTGCAAAGGGGTGTCTAGATGAATTGGAAGAGGAAAGGTCGGTATTGTTGAAAAGGTATGTATTCACTCACAGGGAATGAAATATAACCTGACAGTCTAGATATCGAACTGGATTCGAAAATGCTTTATCCAAAGTCGATCTTGCAGACATGACAGTCTTACAGGCATTCGTTCTCTACTTGGTATGTCATCTACCATGGGTTGAACGACACTGACAGTGTAGATCTGCGGCAGACGAGACGAACATGGCCCTGATGTTTCTGCTCGACTCAAAACTGCCATCGACGCAGCATTTAAAATCAATCTCCACCATGAAGCGTCAAGAGTATCCCCATTTGAAGTTGAGATGCGCCGTCGACTCTGGTGGCACATTTATATTCTCGATGTGCGTACAGCGGAAGATACTGGATCTGAGCCGTCGATACTGGAATCGTCATTCGATACTCTACTTCCTCTGAACATCGACGACGGTAGCCTCCACCACGACATGGGTGAGCCAGTAGGCAGAGTTGGAAAGACAGAAATGCTGTTCACTCTGGCCAGGTTCAAAGTCAGCAGTTTTGCCCGTCAGGTGGTCTTTTCCGACCAATTCTGTCGTGACAATGGGTATATGGTTCTATCTCCAGGGCAGAAGTGCAATTCCATCGATGAGTTTCGACAACAGATGGAAGACGGGTATCTCCGTCACTGCGACAAAAAGATCCCATTCGACTTTATCACCGTCGCTGCTACTCGTCTCATTCTGGTGAAGTTGAAACTGACCGTCACCAAACAACGCACATCCCAGAACAGTCTCTCTCAAGGAAACTTCCAGAAAGTCTGCGTGGAAGTACTGCAACACGCCCGGAAGCTGCGATTATACGAGAAAGGTCAGCGATGGTTATGGCTCTTCCAGACATATGTCGAATGGGACGCATTGGGGTATCTGCTTATCGATCTCTGTGCTTTTCAAAATGAAGCAGCATGGTCTGTTGCCGACGAGGTATATCAGTACTGGAAGAATCACGACATTCGCGATCAAAGATGGGGGCAGATTGAGGAGTTGTACTCACAGGCTGATGGATTCCGGGGGCTACGGCTGGATAACAGTGCAGGCGTGAGTCCGTCCAGTCATGACAATTTTGATCCCTCTGAGTCTATGGGAGAAGCACCAGCCTCTGGAACTGCGTGTGAATGGAGTGTTGGCATGTTTGAGAGATATTTTCAAGTTTTGGACACGCAGACGACGTGGCTGTAATATAGACCGTCTGGGGTTTAGGATGGCTACTTTGGGTCAGACCAGATAGACCGATAAGCGATAAGCGATAAGCCGATAAGGATATACAAACACTCTTCATTCACTTTCTGTCCCCAGTGTTCCTCTCTTCTCTTTTCTCTTTTTCTCTTGCGTTTTTGTCCAGCTTCAAATTCTTCTGCATCTCTGGCAACTGCTAAAGCTACTGCCCACAATGCCCTACTGCGAGATCTGCCATTACCAGTGTCAGGGCTCAGCCGATCTCAGAAGCCACCTTAGAGACTACAACCACTGGATTTCTTGCGAGAGTTGCTCCCGTCGGTTTTATACCCAGCGCTCATGTGACCAACACATGAACGATACAGACCACTGGGCATCTGAAGAGGAATGCGAATATGAATGCGAGACATGTGACTTTGAGTTTTACTCTCAAGACGAAGCATGCCAACACATGGATGCGTTGGGACACTGGGCAGAACGGTATGAATGCGAGACCTGTGAGCGCGAGTTTTTCACCCAGTATGCTGCAGACCAACACATGGACGCTCTGGACCACTGGGCGCCACCTGAGTATAGATGTGAGACTTGTGACCGGGATTTTTACTCTCAAGAATCAGCGAATCAGCATATGGCAGCTCTGGGGCACTGGGCACCAAAAATCCCCTGCCAGACATGCTCAGAGAAGTTCCACACCCAGGATGCTGCGAATAGCCATATGAAGAGCTGTGCCCACTACCGCCACTTTTGCAAGGCTTGTAACTGCCACTTTCAGAGCCAGAAAGATGTCCAAGCTGTAAGGCTTTGTGCTCCTTTGAATGAATTGATGCTGATATGCAATTTCCATAGCACCTCGATTCGGAAACTCATCGTCCAGCAAACATCTCCTGTCCTTTCTGCAATAATAACTTCAAAACCGCTAGTGACATAGTCCAGCATCTCAAAACTGGCTCCTGCCCTGATGTCCCCAAATCGAACCCCGAGACCACCCAGCCTACGACCTCTGAGCCCAAGTTCGAAGAAGTTACCACCAAAAAAGAGATCGAACAGAGAGAAAAAAAAAAGAACGCTGAAAGCCCTGCGACAAATGAGGCGGACAAAAGTCGCTGTTGGGAATGCTCTCTACGTTGTGGGCAGTCCCGGCCCACAGAAGATGCTGGTAAACACCCAGAATCGCCTGTACAGAAAGAAAAGGAACATAAATGCATCAAGGGCTTCTGTGAAGAAGATTCTGCGGTGCTAGCTAAGGTTTCGAATCATCTCGAGATTATCGTATAAACAATGCTGCAACACGTGGGAATTCGCAGACGGAAGCTAATTCTGTCTCATGATATTTGGTAGTGTGAATGAATGATGTGAGTTCTGAAATACTTCGTGTCAAGAAATTGTCTAACCCATCCGCTAGCTACTTTATTTTTTGATCCGATGTGACCGGCTTTACGTTAGGATGTCTCAAATTCAGGACGCATGAAGAAAAAAGACAACCGAAATACATTTAACATTGTACCCTATCAATTGCTAATCTCGCCAATAAGAGTTGATAATAGCAGACTGATTCTGTCTGACCACCGGAATATTATCCTGATTAGTGTCTACTCCATCTCCATTTCATGCAGCCAAGTCACACTATCACACTCGGCTGAAGAGATAGCGGAGTCCCGACGAATGTATACTCAGCACGTTTCTCCAATAACGCCTTTATCTCCGCACTTTAGCTCGCTATTTTCAGCAAGTAAAACTATGTCCCTACCAATCAAGCGAGTGCTTTGAAATCATATAAGAGTCTGTCCCTTGTTAGTGTAAGTAGACACCAACATGGATTTCTCAACCTCCAACCTGTTTGTCTTGAAAGACAATCCATTCCTCACTCTCTGTGTTATCCTCGTCTTGACCATCCTCTACAGAACCATCAACCAACGAAAGCTCCCTCCCGGCCCTAGACCCCTCCCCCTCATCGGCAACCTACACCAACTCGGCGACAACCTCCCCGACACCCTTCTCGCGTGGCACAGGCAATATGGCCCGATCATCAGCTACAAACTCGGTCAGCAGCGCGCGATCAGCATCAGCTCGCACAAAATCTCAGTCGATCTCCTGAGCAAACGCAGCGCCATCTACAGCAGTCGTCCGGATTTTGTAAACGCGCGACACTCGACCCACGGACTCAACATGGCACTGATGCCGTACACGAAGCAATGGGAGACGCATCGTCGGCTAATCACCCCGTTGGTGAATACGCAGAAATCAAACGAGTACCGGGTGCTGCAAGATGTGGAGAGTAAGCAGCTGCTGAGCGATTTGATGACCAACAACGACTTTAGTTATCACTTTATGCGGTATACAGCGAGTTTGGGATACACTTTGCAATACGGAAAACGGTTAGAGGGAGAGGAAAATAATTTTGAGATCATGGAGACCAGCGCCATCGTTAAGGAACTCGTGGAAGCGTTGACGCAGATCGGCTTTGGGATTGTTGAGCTATTCCCAGTTCTCGATTGTCTGCCCTCGTTTCTGGCGCCGTGGAAGAAGTTCGGAGAGAAGTCGTATACCCGGGCTGCTACATTTTACCAGGCGAATCTACAAAAAGGACAATCGAGCTCGAATTGGAACTGGACGCAGCAGATCTCGCAACTTCCGGTCGCGCAGAGAGTGTCATCGACTGATCTTTCATTCCTGCTGGGACTTACGCTACAGGCAGGCGTGGAAACGACGGTGAGTGCGCTACGCGTGTTCATCAAAGCAAGTCTCCTGCACCCGGAGTGCGTGAAAAAAGCACAGAAAGAGCTAGACGAAGTGGTTGGCCCAGACCGTCTGCCTAGTTTCGAAGACTCTTCCCGTCTTCCTTATATCCACGCCATGGTGGAGGAGGTTCTGCGCTGGCAACAAGTCGGACCGATTGGCATCCCACACGCCACCACCGCAGATGATGAATACATGGGCTATCACATTCCCAAAAATACAGCCGTGATTCCCAACAACTGGGCCATCGCATTCGATGAGACGACATACCCGGATCCGTATGCATTCAAACCCGAACGATGGTTCGACGAGTCGACACCCTCAATGAGCGGGTTCGGATATGGGCGACGTATCTGTCCTGGGAAGCAGATCGCCCTGAATACCATGTACATAAACGCTGCGAGGATTTTGTGGGGATACAATATTCACCATGTGTATCGGGGTGGAAAGAAGGTAGAGGTTGGTGCGTGGGATATCGACCATGGTTTTGTTTCTGGACCGAAGAAGTTTGAAGTCGATTTTCAGGTTCGGAGTGAGCGGCACCGCGAGGTTATTGAGAAGGAGTGGATGAGCGTGGAGAAGGATACGGATGTTCTTCTTCAGGGGTTGAGAGGTAGATAATCGTACTGCCGTACTTGAGATAGTACTGAATACCTTGACGATGGAGATGTCAACAGTCAATTGACTTTCCTCAAGTTAATATCCCTTCCAGAATCTAGTAACCATCCCGTCGATCAGTCTGATGTCAGCAATAAGCACTAAGGCGATAATTAAAGTTGCATTGGCACGAAACAGTCAGCTTCATAACTAAATGAACTGCTGCATTTACATGCATAAAGATGTCAGATTAATGAGCTTGTTTATCAGCCAGATTCTATTCCACATCCATGTCAATCAGCATGAGTTTTTCAAAACACTCGACCAATCCTCCTTCTTCATCCATTCTTCAAGAGTAGTCATCGGACATTCAATTCCAGTCTATACAGTCAGTCTATATCATAATAGTAGCTCATCACTCACCTTTTGTATATCCTCCGCCATCAACAACCTCTCTCCCCCATCATACCCCGGATCACTCGAATACAAACACATATCGCCAAATTCACGACCAAACTCCTTATCTAGTGTGTTGTTAATCACTTCCTGCAATGATACCTGCCGATAACGTCCTGTAACACCAGTAACCGCACTCCACAGCCTCATATACTCAGTCCAGCTGCACGTACTCCCAGCAGCCATGTATGTCTGCCCAGGTGGCATTTGCGACACGGCATAGACGAAGCTTCCAAGATCTGCATTAACATCGAGATGAGGGACTGCTGCGTCGGGTGTAGTTGGGAATGTCATTTCAAAGCCATCGCCCATCCTCTGTATCCATCAGTACGATCCACCAAAATGCAAAGAAAACTACCGTAAAATAAGCCTCGGGAGCAAGTTTATAGCTCGACATGAAGAAGCCAGTCTGAACGCAGGACATTTTCCCCGCTAGATCTGGATATTTAAGGCGCACGTAATCTGGGAAGACTTCTGCTTTTGCGTCAAAGTGATACAGCTCGTTATACACTCCCTGACTGCATTTTCTGGCGTGGCTTAGTGTCGATACGATGAACCCGTTGTCGTCGAGAGTGTCGAGTGTAGCAGCTGCATCTGCGATATTCTTTCCCTGCTGGAGCTCGACATCATACGCGTATTGTCGACAACTGATCCCCCTTTCAGCTGCGCGTTCCCGACAATCAGGTCTGACGAATGGTTCCCAGTAGTTTGTGACGCTGAAGATGATATTAGCTCCGTTAAATGCAGCGGTCAGGGTTGATGGATCGTTGAGATCAGCATAGATGACTTCCACCCCCTGCGCAGACAGTCGTTGTGCAGCTGGTGAAGAGGGGTTTCGCGTTAAACCTCGAACATGGAATTTATCATCTTGGAGAAAGCGAGAGGCGACAGAGCTGCCTTGGTTTCCTGTGATGCCGATGATGCCGATGATTTTGGGCATTTTGAGATATTTGAAGGGGGAGAAAGTGTGTTACCCCGCGTCAGCAAGGCATATTCGGCCCATCAATTTATAATCACCATCCAAATAGAATATAAATAATAGAATATCATATAAGATGATCGGCTCTGAATAAGATTCGAAATTGAATGGATTCATAAATAATCATCGCCCCAATCCTGCACCACAAGGCAATCCGGCTTATCCTGGGGCCGAAAATAGCACAGCCTCAGCCAGCTTTTAAAACATCATCGTTCCCATTCATTTATTTAAGGCCCTTACTATAGTTTTATTCCATTACTTATTATAACTATATCAAAATGAGGTGGCTACTCGCATCCATCCTCACCTTCACCCTCACATCCGCCCAACAATGCTACTTTCCCGACGGCACCAAATCCAACGACGTCCCCTGCAGCTCTGATAAATACACGCATTGCTGTTCGGCAAACGACATCTGCCTGACCAACGGACTCTGCTATAGCGTCAGCCACCAGCCATTCGTGCTCTCCCGGGCCAGCTGCACCGATCAGAATTGGGGGTCGAGTTGTCCGCAGTATTGCTATGGCTGTACGTCCTCACCCACTCTATACAACTATACAGTAATTAACGATGAACAGCACAAGATAACACCGACGGCGGCTGCACCATCACCAACCTGCGCTTCCTGCACGGCATCTCAACCTACTGCTGCGGCAACCCCGTGGTCGACCCGAAATACGGCAACGTCAGCTGTCTGAACGGCGAGGAGCCCTTCACCATCGGTCCAGCAGAGATCATCCCGGGACGGGCAGGACTGTCCAATCTAACAGCGAAGTCAACTTCATCGACGAATTCATCGCATGCAAACACGACATCGTCATTCCCCATCCCGTCTGGCGTCTGCGACAGCGAGAAAAAGAAGAACGTCGCCATTGGAGCAGGCGTGGGTGTCCCGTTGGGCGTGATTGCACTGTCTGCGCTGCTATGGGGATTCTGGGAGCGAAAGCAACGGGCAAAGGAGAGGCAGATTGAGCCTGCCTTTGCGCAGAAAGGAGCGATTCCGTTTACTGGCGTCAACAGGAGCAATGAGTATGGGATTAACCGGGGCGGTGGGTCTGTTGCGTCCAGCAGGTCAAATGCAGTCCCAGTGAATACATTCGAGGGATTCAATGGCTTCCACGCCGTCACTGCACCCAAGGAAATTGGCGTTGCGGTTGGAGGAATTGCACCGCAGAGTGTCTTTATGCCGCCTCCTCCAGTCGAACTGAGTCAACCATCGCCAAAGGCAGAGCTGGATGGCGGAGTGAGATATATTTAATTGTATATACCAATTGTATAGTGTATTATATTAATCAAAAACAGCCTGGAAGATCTTATAATTTAACTCTCCCCTCGTATCCAACACGGCAAAGACAATCTCCTCAAACACTCCCCTCCACTCGTCTTCGTCCAGCACTTCCTTGTATATCCTGGCGACTTCAGCTGGAGGATTCCTAAACGCACCACAGCCCAGTGCACCAAGCACACAATGCGATATCTTATTCTCCGCCAGCACGCGCAGGATCTGGCGTATCTTATTCTTCACTATCTCAACATCACTCGCATTCGCTACCCCATCATCATTAGCATCGATTATATTCAAGAAAGAAAGCAAAACATACCATACTTCCCACCACCGGTAACCAACGGCCTCCTCAACGCAGCCATACTAAGAACATCCACGCTGAACCCCTCATTCTCCCCATAAACCGGACACCCGGCATCCACCTCACCCCGAAACACATACACCCCCGACCAAACAGCCCCATACACCGGCAGCGGATAGTAGCGCTTATACAGCGTCGCGGCGAGTGTGCTCCGCAAACACAGCGCTTCTTCCTGGGCCAGTGCGCCGTTCAGCCAGCCGCCGCCGGGGTTCTTTTCGCTGGCCATGTTGAGGACGGCGGTGCGGGCGGAGGCATTGTTTTTGAGGATGGTTTCTGCTGCGGTGAAGGTGTCTTGGTTTCGGACTGTTATGTGTGGTTTGGCTTGGCTGGTGGATGGTTGGAGAGGAGGGAGGAGGGAGGGATAGAGCTTTGAGTGGGGTGGGTGGGTGGTGAGGATGGTGGGGGTTAGGGAGAGGGTGTCGTTGGCGATTTGCTGTCGTTGGGCTTTGTTGGGCATTTTGATATTGATTGAATAGTTGAATTGAATGATATGATGGAGAGAAGTGGTATTTATATTGATATGTGACTCAGAGGTGTGTAGTGAAGTTTAAATACGAGTGAGTCAATACACAGCCTCGTTGACATTATTATTATTGAATACTAGAACTAGTGTTGAATGATCTAATCTAATCAATCTATCTGTAGAATATTGCGTAGTTTATACGTTATGTATCATCATGACTACATCTACTACACATACATATATATAACTACTTCCTCTTCCATCATCATCTCCTACACAACATCACCTACTATACATAAACTACAAACCGTCAAAGTGGCCAACAACTGGTGCGGCACCACCCTCCCACCCCCCAACATGTCCCACCCACCCACCATAAAACCAGACACCGACACCAAAATCGAACGCATCACGAAATGGAAATCCGCCGTTGGGCCATCCTCCCTCGCAACCCTCCCAGCAGGCCACACCAACCCCCGCGTCTCCGCCATGATCACCCACCACTCCTCCAACAACGTCTCCATCGCCGCGTCGGAATACCACTGCATCACTGAATCCAAGCCAGCGGCGAACCTGCCCCGGGCAAACATACCCAGTTTGCAGGTGGGATTGAACAAGATCGTGAATCGGTGGAAAGTGCCAAACACGGTGAACTTTGCCGCGTACGCAAAGGGGTATCCAACCGACGACGCGAGGGTATACGCAGCGCAGATGCTGAACGACGCATGCAAGGACTGGAACGCACTCCAGCTAGGCGTGAGTTTCAAGTGGGTGACGAAGATTGAAGACGCAGCGTTTGTGCTCGCGTATGGAGGGGACCAGGGCAGTACGCTTGCGCGATCATTCTTCCCCAACGACGACGATCTGAGTACGGTGTATGTGTATAAGCGGGCGTTTGAGCCGGGATATGTCAACTATATGAAGAATGTGTTTCTGCATGAACTGGGCCATGTGCTTGGTTTGCGGCATGAGTTTGCGCCAGAGCAGGAAGGGGATACGGTGCAGCTGGGCGTGAGGAATGAGGATTCCGTCATGAGTTATTCGTTTCCGCCGGAGATGCAGAAAAGCGATGAGAGTAGTACAAAGGAGTTTTATACGCTGAAGAAGAATCAGATTGGGGGGTGGCCGATTCGAGATTGGATTCCGAATAATTGATAGATCGATCCAAAGTGGTTGGTTGGAGGGGATTAGATTGGGTGTGTTACTGGTCCACTTCATCCATTCAACTGAAGAATTGTCTACACTAGCCTGACAGCTTTAATTAATCTTATAATTTTTTAAATATAAAATGCTGCCATTGATATTCTCTACAGATAACATAAACAATAACAAGGAGAGGCGATGGACCCACCGACCATGCGACATCATGACATCACGACAATTGCTGTCAGAAATATCTTCACATCCATCTCCACTCTCATTGGCCTATGCCATGGAATATGGAGATACAGAGAACAGGGAATCTTCCAAGTCAACACGGTCTCCCAAGCAAGCTTGCAGTCTTGCTATTAGCTCATAGTTTAATCGAGTGAAAATTCAGATTGCCCCGGATAGAACATAAATTGCTTCGTTTCATCTAGATGAAGCATACGTTTCCCATCCATCCATTGTATCATTGTATAGACTCAAGTGACAATGGCAGGTCTAACCAGCGACGACAGCCATCCTCACTCCCGAGACTACGGCCTCCAACCCTCCTCCCACCAACAACAAAAAGAAGATCAACAAGACCAACAAAATACAATCCACCACCATCCCACCGACCGAGCAAGCACCTACAACCTCGAACCCCGGCCCTCGCACCAACGCTCCCACGCCCCCTCCCACTCCATCGCCGGCCCCCCCGACCCATCCGCCAACGATGTCTACATCGACCCAGAGTACCACAAACATAACCCGCGGTACATGAAGAACCAGGAAGAGCCGATATGGGGACTCGCGAAACCGCTGCCTCGCGTTGTGCGGTCTGGGACGAAGCGCGACGGCTCGCAGGACCATGAGATGTATCAGCCGGAGAGCAAGGGGGAGTCGGAGGCGGTTCCGGCGATGGACCAGACGCCGCATCTAGGGGATGACCATTGGATGGATGAGGGGGAGGAGCATAAGGTACGGCATACGGAGGATAAGGGGGATGAGGGGGAGAATCTGAATCGGTGGTCGAAGGTGAGGATGATGGTCAGAGCGCCGTTGGCGGAGTGGTTGGCTGTGAGTTCTCATATATATGAAGATAAAGATATATGCTAATGGAAGACCACGGTTGCCATGTTGATCGGCCTATGCGGCACATTATCCGTCGGCACAGGAGGAACAGCAGCAGGCGGCCGGATCTGCTTGTACTGGTCCTGGGGCTTTGGCATCATGGTCGGCATCTATCTGGCCGGTGGTGTCAGCGGTGCTCATCTCAATCCTGCTATCTCCATTGCATTATGGATCTTCCGCGGATTCCCGAGTAAGCAGTGCGCATACTACATCGTGGCACAGCTGCTGGGCGCACTCACAGCCGGAGGACTCGCGTACTGCATCTACCGTGACTCGATCATCAATCTCGCGCCGGGCGTGTCTCTCGGCGCGACGGGATTGGGGTTTTATACAGAGCCGTTGGCTTTTGTGCGTAATGTGACGGCGTTCTTTAATGAGTTTGTTTCGGCTGCGATCCTCCTCTGCACGATCTTTGCAATGGGAGATAATAGCAATGCGCCTCCTGGAGCGGGTATGCATTCGTTTATCATCGGGTTGATCATCTTTGTTTTGGACATTGGTTTTGGCTATAACACTGGAGGGTAAGCCATCCTCCCTTCTACTATCTATATATACTAACCAGACAGCTGCTTCAATCCCGCCCGCGATCTCGGCCCCAGACTAGTAGCTTTAATGGCCGGTTACGGAGGCGAAATCTTCAAAGAACGCAACGGCTGGTGGTTCTGGGGCTCCTGGCTGGCGACGATATCCGGTGCTCTGGCGGGGGCAGCGATGTACGATATCTGCATCTTTATTGGGGGCGAGTCGCCGGTGAATTTTCCGCGGCATAAGAAGAAGAGCAAGAAGGGAGATCTGGAAAGTGGGAAGAATGTGCAGAGTTGATTGGTTGGTTTTGCGTTCAAGTGTATATACGGTAGACGGGTATATCCATGATGAATTAATTAGATTTTACTGCTATTCTCCACTGGATATTAACCTAATACCAGTCCAGTTGGGGAATGTAACCCTAACTCCTATTGGCTGACCCAATAGTCGGCATTCCGCATGCAACAGGCCGAGACGAAGGATGATGGCCGTTGAACCTAATTCAGCCAAGTATGAGTCTATTGGTCTTCCCGTCGTCCGAGCATATAGACTCTGACGGTGGGTGTGATTGTGATCATCAAAATGAAACTCTTATTTCTACTTGCTGCTGTGGCTGTCTTTCGTCCTGTTTATGCGGATTCTGCTGCGATTGCGGCTTTGCCTCCGTGCAGTGTATGTCCTAATATACAGTGACTACCATGTATACTAATCATATAGGCAAAATGCCTCCTCGACGCGATCCCCGCCGCAGGATGTTCGCCATCGGATATCGCCTGCCAATGCAACAGCCAGAATGTGTCTGCGATAGTCACTAGCTGTATACTTGACAACTGCCAATTATCAGGGATACTCGGTACGTCCCAAAGATATATCAAGAGCATTCTAATAGATGTAGAGGTATCTCGCCTCGACGCTGTGCAATGCAACCGCCCCCACGACAGTCGACATACCGCAGTCAAGGTATTAGCGATCGTTGCAGCGGTGGTTACATTCGGGCTGATCATCCTGCGCATCATCGCGAGACTCTGCACGGCAGGGAGGCTGTGGTGGGATGATTATTTCCATCTGATTGCGATTGTGTTTTCGGTGCCTTTGACTATTTCGATTAATCTATGTATGTCCCTCTATATTATAAGGTATAGTTGCTCATGATGAAGGCGCTCGACTGAATCTGGGATATCACATCTACGACCCTCATATACAATCGACATCCCAACTCGCCACTCTCTTCATGTGGTGTACGCCCCTCCTCCCATCTATCCCCGCCAGCGGCTAATAGACAGTCTATCTCTGCCAAATCTTCTGGGCCATCGCCATCTACTTTGTCAAAATGTCCCTCCTAGCCCTGTATCTGCGCATCTTCCCCAACCGCTCCCTCCGCCTCGCCGTCTTCATCTGCATGGCCATCCTCACCCTGTCCGTCCTAATCACCGTCCCCATGGCAATCTGGCAATGCAACCCGATCAGCGCAACATGGCGCGTCACGGAACGCCGCCACGCACACTGTCTCAGTCTCCGACAGGTGGCGTACGCAAACGCCGGCGTGAATATCGCGACCGAACTGGCCGTCTTTATCATCCCGATTCCGGTTTTGAGGAAACTGCAGACTACGCCCGGAAAGAAAATTGCGTTATATGTGTTGCTTGGGATGGGGGTTTTGTATGTTCCCTTACTCTATCTATGAATGATATGCTAATGGTTACCTCAAGTGTGATTGGAATCGCGTCCGCCCGAATCCCCAGTCTCGTGTATATAGACAGCTTCGACGATCCGACGTACAACGACGCACCGGCTGCGCTGTGGACGACGGCGGAATCGGCTATTGTGCACATCTGCGCGACAGCACCGGCACTACATTCGCTGTACTCCCATGTAAAACGCAAATATATTGACAGTTCAACGGAGCAAATGCCGTCGGGTAAAACGTCCAGGCAATCAGAGTCGAGGAAGGAATCTGCGGGGATTGAAAGAAAGTCGGGGTTTGATTGGAAAAATGAGCCGACTGTATCTTTGCCAGATCGGGTGCAGCGGCGTGAGGATGTGGAGAGGGGATTGTATAGAGAGGCGTTTGGGGAGGTGGCGGAGGGGCAGAAGCGGATATCGTGGGGACTTCATATATAGTTATACTTCACAGTATCAATATATCAATATATCAAGATGAATATAAGTCAACGACGGTGAACGAGTCTGACCAAAGTACTGTGCAGAATATTGGAAGTATGCAGCAGATCATGCTATGAAGCACGTTCTCATGCGGGGTTTGGATAGTCAGCATGTGATAGCATATGATATAACCTATTAATAATTATATCCTGATTCTATCCGGTTAAACTGTATGAACAGTATAATAATAGTAAAATAAGATGCCATAATACATTACCAATCCGGTAGTGTACCAAACTTTATATACGAACATCACCCTCTCCGCCAATCACAACGCCCACATCGCCTGCCGCAGCGGCAAGACAAAGGCATTGTGTGAATGAATGGCTCCTGTTGTCCATCGCCAGATCATCATGCGCTGCGCTCGATCTGGAAATATGGGTCCGCCAGCGTGTCGGCGGTTACACAATGCTCACCTCGTGCTCTTATTTATACACAACCCTGTCGGAGGGGATTGAGTTGAACTGATCAATTCACTTTATTACAATGGCGCAATTTCTGACTGGGTTGTCCGTGTGGACAGCGGCTCTTTATCTTATTCTGAGGGTTTATAGTACTCCATCGGTGGCAGTGTATTCTGCTGTTTATCTTATCACCTCGTCTTTATATACTGTCCTATTTATCTCGTGGAGGACTATTGCTAGAAAACGTGCGAGTGTGTTTAAACATCTTCCAAAACCAAAGGTACCATCTATACCATGGCTATATCTTAGTATACTAACAGAACAGAATGGCGACATCCTCTTCCAACACGCACGCGCCGTCTTCGACGAACCCATCGGCGTCCAACTGACAGAATGGCTCAACTCCATTCCCAACAACGGCCTCATCCACTTCTACGGCCTGATGGCCTCTGAGTACCTCCTCCCCACCAGCCCAGAGGCCATCGCCGATATCCATCTCAAGCATGTGGCCGATTTTGAAAAAACAGCGACCTTCCGCCACTGGACGGTGGAATTCCTCGGGCACAGTCTGCTGACCCAAGAACGAGACGTGCATAAACACCGTCGACCGATCTTCCTGTCCATGATGCATCCGACCCGTGTGGAGGGGATGAAGCCGATGATGTCATCCAAGGTGAAGCAGGCTATCGGGCATCTGCAGTATAAAGATACGTCTGGGGTTGCTGTCCGCGACTGGACAGGCCTGGTAGTCATCGATATCACGTGCTACTTTGCAATGGGCATTGATTTGAATATGGTTAATGGGGAGAATATGGATATTCATGATGTGGTCTCGCCTATCCTCGAGGGAAACCCGCGCCAGAAAGCAAACTTTCGATGGCACATGGGGATGCCGAGAATAGTGCGCAGGTGGGTTCCGAGGAAGATGGACGGTGAGATGAAAGACGCATACGCTGCCTACTACGCCGTCATGAGCAGAGTCATCTCACAGAGAAGGGAAAAGAGTGATGGAAAGGATTTTCTCTCTGAATTCCTCCGTTCGGGCCAATATACCCACGAGGAAGCCGTTTCGCAGCTGTTTGTCATTCTGGCTGGAGCGTATGTTTCACCTCGCTCTCCCCCTCACTCCATACACATTACTAACTAACTCAGACTGGAAAACATCGCCAGCGTCGTCTCCTGGACTCTCTATCTCCTCGCCACCCACCCTCACATCCAACACACCCTCCGGCAAGACCTGCTCTCCAACCCCGGCGAACAAACCTACGACACCCTCCCCCTCCTCCACGGCGTCGTCAACGAAGCCCTTCGCCTATACACCCCCCTCCCCATGACCGTCCGCAAAGCCATCCGCGACACCACCGTCTGCAACCAGTTCGTCCCCCAGGGCACCTACGTGACCACCTGCGCCCGCGCCATCAACCGCGCCCACCACCTCTGGGGCCTTGACGCCGAATCCTTCAACCCAGAACGCTGGATCGACCGGTCCACCCCGGAGAAGCCAAAGATCGACACGCTCGGCGGGGCCACATCGAGTATCGCCATGCTGTCATTCCTGTACGGGACGAGAAGCTGTCCCGCCCGTCCGTTTTCCGTACCGGTCGCGAGACGGCTGGTCGCCGGTGTCGTGGAAAAGTTTCACATCGAGTATCTCGGGGACAAGACACCGCAACCAGTCGGGTTCGTTACGTCTCGACCGCCGGTGGATTTGAAGTTGCGGCTGTCGTGTATTTCTCCTGTTTGATGGTGGACTAGCGGTGTTGGGTGGCTATTTCTGCATTGGGAGGGTTGCATTATGTTTACCTTGCGTATGCATGGTGATGTTGCATTTCATTTCTTGTTTTCTACAGTGTTTTTCTTTTTTTGTATACTTTCTGTTCGTGTATGCTGTGAATAGTACAAATAGTCAATAAATGCATTGTTGTGAAACTGTCTGTGTTACCGGTCAGCTGGTTATTGGCTTGGACTCGGTCAGTCTCGTGCAGTCTTATGCCCTGTTCCTCGGGAATCAATTTTGAGCCATTAATCCGGCATTTTCAACGCACTGATATTCCTGTGTAGAGATGTGGATAACCCTCCTCACTGCATGTTCCATATACATTTTATATTGTGAATAACTCATCCCACCCTTCGTCGTAGAACCTGCATCTGAAATACCTCCTTACTCAAGCGTCACAGTGACAAACTCGACAGAAAGGCTGCCAAATCCCCGCTGCCTCCCCCCTTGCAGCAGAGTAGACAAACCAGTATTGTGCAGGTGACAAAGGATGAATGTCGAAACGAACATCCCGGTTGCCTGCTTTTAGTATGCCCTTTAAGAAAACAAATAAGAAACAAGGACGAACAATCAAGGCCGGCTGGCCCAATGGCAAGGCGTTTGACTACGAATCAAAAGATTGCAGGTTCGATCCCTGCGTCGGTCAATTCTTTTTTGTTTTTTGTTTTGTCGGAGGGCTTCCGGCTGCCCATACTTTTAGAGTCGCCTTCTATGGGCGCACAATTTTTACATCATTTTATAGATTGGTGCGTTGCTATACCCTTTTGAGGACAGGATGCGGGTAGACCCTCTCTCCGCCGGACGGTAAAATACAACAAGAGGAAAGCGTAAGTTATTCACTATGAGTATGGTTCTATTTCTAGAGACAGAAAATGGTAGACGAGGGCATTTTGAACGGGTTGACATTTGATTTAATCATTGGATATGTGTTAGTAGGTAGGAAAATAGGCAAATAGACATACAGAAGGTGTTGTTGCTTTAAAAAGCCGATCATATCAATTGAATGTAGGAGTCCAATGTTGTAATTAAATTGGCCAATCATACTGCATTGTCTGATATACATAAACACGTACAAGGATGTTCCATGTTACTTATCACTTTAAAAATAATCGGACAGGGATGTTGATTGGTCGGTTGAACAACAGTCATTAAGGAGAGTATAAACACAAAGACATACCTACTCAATTAATCTAAGATGATGTTCATTCTTCTGCACATGGAATCATGTTTAAATATTCCACTAGGCCAATCCAAGACCACCACTGTGAAACCGCCGTCTCCAATGCAGTGGCACCCCGCCCCCAACACCCACTCTCCCAACAGCCAGAGCAGGATCCCGACCCAGACAGACAATCAAGAAGATCTCGATCATCCTTCCCGCTCTGTAAAGATGGATGCTTGACAGCCAGCAAAATGTCGAATTTCAGCATCGTACGGGCATCAAGAGTGTCCGTCCAGGCGATGGTGAAGTATGAAGACTGAAATACCTGCATAAGAGATGTGACAGCCAGCAGCGTTAAGTCCTGATCATGGAGTTATTCTCCGGGAATGTCATCATTGAACAAAAGGCTCTATAAAGTTCTGCCAGAAGTACTTCCAGCAACAGGATTTCCTTGACCTTCTGACCTATGCCTACCTACGATTCAACAGTCTCGAGTTCGATGGCTGGTCAGCTGGTGCCTCGCACCATTGGCCATTTCATTGGTATGTGGAAGTGGGCTGCGTTCTACACTCTTCTCTGGGAAACCTGAACGACGGCATTCTATGCGTGGCCGACATTCCGGCACTGGTCTTCCAAGAATCTGATGGTAACTGGCGTCACCTTCTTGGTGATGAAGGTGTTGAACACGGCTGTCTATTCATTTGAACCAAGGCGCATGGGTGCAACGCCTGAGCTACTTATCTGTGTCTGGGCCATGACCACAGTCCAGCTCCAAGACTTTCTCGATATCGAGGGAGATCGCAACACACACGCAATGACACTCGCGATGTTTTCTCCAACGGGTCGAATCAGACTCGGGTGGGCAACTGCCTGCATCTTGGTCGTGGGCATTGTGATGAGAATGGCCTGGATTGGGGTCAACGCCTTGCCTACTGCCTTTGGACAGGAATACCATTCCAACTGAGCTCTGGCATCTTGGCATTTGTCACCACCAATTTATCATCGAAGAGGACCGATCAGGTCCTGTATGAGTTGTGGGCTTAACTGGCTTCTTCACTGTTAATCATGTTTTCCACCTATGAAGATCTTTTCTAATCCTACGAGATAATGTACTTAATCTGCTGTTCCATTCGCCAAAACCCCTCTATACCTCATCCCACCCCGTCGAAGTGTCTCCATCGCATCCTCAATTCCCTCCCTACTCATCGCAAAAGACATAATAGCAGGCTTGATGGAATGACGCGCCGCAAACTGCAACATCTCCCTCTGTCGCGCCCCCGCAGCAGGTAAACTACCCTGGATACGAAGCCCTTTCATCACCAGCGGGAGATATGGGAGGTGCATTTTGCCCATGTCGACTGTGAGTGCGTAGACCGTACCCCCCGGGGCCATCATCTCAAAGACCGTGTTCCAATTAGGTTGACTTGCGGACGTAACGAGGAGATGGTCGAGTGGTTGGATCGTTGATGAATCGAGGGTATAAAACTCGCTTGCGCCAAATGCCAACGCCTCTTCTTTCTTAGACTGGCTCGACGATAAAACAACAACCTCACACCCCATCTTCGCTGCGAATTGGATAGCAAGATGGCCCAGCCCTCCGACTCCAAGCACGCCCACCCTGTCTGTCGGGGAAATGTTAAACTTCCGCAGCGGCGAAAAGACAGCACTACCGGCACACATCAACGGCGCTGCCTCTGCATTCGAGATGTCGTCTGGGATTTTGTACAGAAAATCTTCATTCCAGAGTCCCCCCGAAGCAAACGATCCTTGGTGCGTGTTTGATTCGCCGTAGATACGACGGTGGGTGCAGTACAGGTCGTCGCCGGAATGGCAGTATTTGCATGTCTGGCAGCTGCCGTGGAGGTAGCTCCAGCCGATGCGATCGCCTCTTCAATGTTAGTATCGTGGTGAATAGATGGTGGATGGGGGGCGTACATCTGCAGCGATGTAACCTTTGATCCCATTGATTGTACAACCCCTGCCCCCTCGTGTCCGAGAACGATACCGCTGTTCTTGTAATGTTAGTCTGTCCCACAGAGACCGGAATGAGTGATTCTGATGAGGACTTGGTGGTCTGTCGGATCGGGGAGGTGGGTTTGGGATTGAACGATGGATCCATCTTTGGAGCCGTGGAAGACTGAATGTGGGCATTTCAATAGATTGAGCTGAGTTTGATGATTGAAGGTGATATGGAAGAAGAGAACTCAATGATAAAATGCTAGTATCTAGTAAGCGAGGCAAATAAGTATTGGATTTGTCTTGTTAGTTGCCCACAAACTGGCCAATCATATCGCTCCGAGGTAAATTCCGAGATTATCCCGGAATTGGCCAATAACAGTACACCATCTGATGACAGGCTCTCTCATTCGTTACTTTAATACCAATCTGACGGGGTATTGATTGGTCGCTTTGGAAACAATTCTTCTACTGACACTCTATATAAGCAGAGATATCTATCTACTTCAATCTGCCATCCATCATCTTCATCAATCCACCTCAACTGATATCTTGAACAATCCAAAACCCCCAAAATGTCACTCCAAGAAACCAACAAAACTATCATCCAAAAATACTTCACCGAATACTGGGGCAAAGGCAACGTCTCCGTCGTCGACGAGCTCTGCACCGAAAACTTCACCATCGACTACCCCATGCACGGACCCAGACGAGGAAAAGAAGCAGCCAAGAAGATGCTCCTCGAATTTCGCGAGGTACCCACAATCTCTCTATTAGATATTCATAAATCTAACGACAGTCAGGCCTTCCCCAACATCTCATTCCAGTCATATAAATTCCCCCTCATCGCGGAAGGAGACTACGTCGTCGGACGCTGGATCGGGGGTGGGAAGCATACTGGTGTTGCGTTTGATGATTTGGCTGTGGGGAAGTTGGATAGGCCGAATACTGGCAGGGAGGTGTACTTTTCCGGTACGACCATCTTCACCCTCAAGGACGGAAAGATTGTGGACGAGATTGGGGAGGAGCAGGCTCTCACGGCGTTGCAGCAGTTAGGGTTGGTGGCGGCCCCTAATGCTGGGAAGGAGGTGAGGTATGATGAGGGGAATCATGTTTGAGGTGTAGAACTACCTTCTTTTATCTGTACATTTGGAGTAGGTCACCTCATGTTCAAGGCTATGGCATAAGGTTGACCTTCTCTTTGTCTTCTTGTTGTATGGCCTATCGCAAATTGTTAGACATAGCTGATTGGATACATGGAACAAGTTCTGTGTCTTGGATTGATCATTCTTTAAAGTCTCTCCTTCAGATTCGAATGGCAATATCGTCGATGCTTAGTACGGTGTGAGTATTCCTTCTGAAAAGAAATACTAACGACGTCAGGATACGGTTAATTAGTTATTCTCAACCCATCGCAATTTTATTCTCACTGAGATATGAAGACAAACATAATATACATCAGATCATATTGCAGATATATAATGTGATACATAGATTGATAACGCTTCGCATCATAGCATCATAAAACCCGAGTATCTTTCTACTAAAAGCATTATCAGCATAATATCTTGAAATATGTCTCAACCGTGGTTCGCCAAACCTTAACCCCACTAGACCATTCTGGACAATAAACGTATCCTGGCAGCCAACCAGAATCGACCACTGACGTCAATGACACGACTTTATTTTGCCCCTCCATATCTATCCAGACCTCTCCCTAGAATTCCTCTTCCTTTCAACTCTCCTCACCAAAACAGCAACGTTGGAAATGGCCTCACCGATGAGATGTCTCCGGACAATTAGCAAGACATCCAGTCTCCTCCAATACCCATCCAGACAGCTCATCATCCCTGCCCGTAAACCAACCGAAGACTCCAATCTAGACAGACAGTCGCTGCACCCCGAGCGCGCGGAGACCGCTCTATCCGGCACAGACAACGAAGTAGGAGACCACCAATCCTCCTACGACCCATCCATAACCACCCCAGAAGGCGAATTCAAGCTGCTGGAAGATGAATGCCGCCTGGACGGGAGTATAGATCCGCTGTTCGTCAGTCCGGCGAACAGGGAGTATAGTCGGCTCAGTCCGATGATGGAGATGATTCACTACGTGGAGAAACGCGATCCGAGTGCGAAGGGGTGGACGAGGAAGCATAAGGAGGTTCGGATAAGGGGCTTGGGGGATAGTGAGTTTGATCCGTATGTGAGGCTTTTACGTGGGTTGAGGGAGATTCAGAAAAGGTTTGTTTGTCTGAGTGATAGGACTGAGCTGACATTGGCAGATCGAATGGGAAGAGTAGTTCTAGTCCGGCTCCGTTTTGATGGTTAAAAGACTGTATTGCATGGCATGTTGTATTAAAAAAAATTATCATATTGATCTAAATTCATCTTTATAACATATCTGAATATGCTAGTAGCTTGATTCTATACAATACGCTTGTAATCAATGACTCGCACTATAAATATCATATTACTCTGCAACATCAATCGTTAAATCAACCACCATACATGTATAGGGAATATAAGTGAATGAACTGATTCTTATGCTTGATCTGTCTATACTCTATATACAATCTTCTTTCCTCTCACACCCACATTCTTCAACTCATCTAGTCCATCCAGGATCCCCTCTAGCCCTCCCTCACGCACATCAACCGGGTGAGTTTGTATCTTCCCGTCCATGACTAAATCTTCCAAAATAAGCATACCCTTCTTCGCAAACTCTCCCAACTCCTCATCAGCCGGAAATATCGTCCCATCCACAAACTTGAACGTCTCTCCCAGCATTGCATACGCCACAGCTGTTGTACCAATAACACCATCCTCCGGTCTGAGTGCTTTGAACGTCTCCGGAAACGGCGCTTTGACGGAGTGATAATGTCCACCAGAAGGGGAGAGTGCTTTACTGCAAAAGTGGACTGCATTTTCATCTCCGATGCAGTCGATTATATGCGTAATGGACGCGTCTGCTTGTAGGAGCTGAGTGATGCAGCCTGGTTTGGTATAGTCGAATACAGCATCTGCACCGCGGGATTTGACCAGGTCGAGGTTATTCGTAGAACAGGTTGCGTAGACACGGCAGCCGGAGCTATCAAATCAGTACCTATTATAAGTAAGGATATAGGACATACAGTTTAGCAGCTTGGATGGCAATTGTCCCTGTGGCGGAACTTCCACCATAAACCAGCACAGTCGGGCCGGATGTACCATGAAGAGAAGGTAATGGCAGTTTCATCACCGAGTACAACACCTGGACGACGGTAATCAGTCCAGCCCCAAGAGAGGCAGCTTCTTCAAAGCTGAGATGATTTGGTTTGTGCATGGTGGTGTGTTCTTTGCTGGTGATGATTTCGGCAAATGCCCCGTCTTCGGGTTCGAGCGCATTGCCTATTATATTAGCGGGATACATAGATAAGGAAGCTAGTTGAATACCTCCATGGCAGACACCGTACACCTCATCGCCAGGTTTAAATCGCGTAACATCTTTCCCAACATCCTTGACAACACCAGACCAGTCGCACCCGATGACAGGTCCGGCAGTATCAAGAAGGTCAATATGGTGGTAATCAGCGGCATTCAGTGCAAATGCCTTTGTCTCAGCGATGATGTAGTCATCCCGGACTCGAGGGAGAGGAACATTATCTTGGAGCTCTGCTTTTCCAGGGGCGGTTTCTTTGATGGCTTTTCGGGTTTGGATCATTTTGTGATTGTACATATGATTCAGTCCGTCTGGTGTGGTTTATATATTGACGTCCAGGGTAGACATTATTAATGATCAGACTGTGCTTACTATACAATAGCGTTGTCTGTAATGTCTGATTACTGATGTAGGCATCAACAATGATTATCAATCAATGCTGACAGCCTTGTCTGACATGTGTCGTGATGCACATATTTAGTCAGATTTATGCAGATAAGGATACCTCTTATACTGGAACCTCAACTTATAGCAAGAAAATAATATACAAGAATGTAAATCAACAGTCAAGCTGTTTAAACCGGTCTCATTTTCTTCGGTGCTCCCCCCTCAAGATGCCAGTTAATCACGCAGCCTGCTTGATCACCACGCTTCCCACAGCATTCGTATATGAATTTCTCTGGGAAATCGTCAAAGAAGTCTTCCATTGGACCATGGCAGTCCTCATCATGGTCTTCAAATGAGTCTTCGTCTGGGTATGCTGTATCTATGCCTAGTTAGTTTATTAATTGGTATACAGATGCCAAGACCAACCAGAATGATAACAGCAGCTGGTCTTGGTATTAGTTGTAGTATCGAATTCCACATGGCAGTTCTGGCAGTATTCATATCGACTTCTTAATCTCTTTGATCCGGTTACTTCTGCGGGTTGTTTGACGCGTTCCTCATCCTCATCCTCGCTCTCGCTGTCATTTTCATCTTCATCACTCTCTGAAGCCCGCTTTGCAGGAATTTTATCTTCAGTCACAAGAAGCTTGTCTGCCATGAATTCACTAGCAAAAGGGTCGATATAGAGGAGTTCGTCAAGAAGAGCTTGCAGACGTTCTTTGGACGCGTTGGCGATGGCGTTTTTGGTGAGCATGCGCCGGTCGAGCTCGTCGGTTATATCAGATGGAATTGGCATTTTCGTATATGTATTTCAATTGGGTATAGAATTGATAGTGAAGTTGATATTGAATTGTTTAGAAAAATAAAATGATGATACTGATTAAATCTTGACGCGTGACTTCATTTTTAGCGTGCCAGACAGTCTTGGCGGCTGGAAGGGGAAATATTTGAGTTGTGCAGACTATGAAGATAGCTTTCAAACATTTTATTGCTCTGTCTATTTTGATGAGTAACATTCGAAAGAGCGTAGTTTCAAAGATTCAACTATAACACAGCAATAATCCTACAAAATGGAATCTATCACATGGAATGAACTAGATAGCAAAGACACTGCCATAAATCAGGATATGGAAGATGCTCTATCTTTGACCAGCGTGAATATGATCAGTTGAACAGGCCATTTTTACTGTTGCATAGCTTCAAGTTGATTATACTGTTTTCATTGTTATTCTGTTGATATATGCATAGCCCCAATATTGACAGGGATTCCTCGTATTCAACAGCATAGCGTATTCTGATTATAAATAGATATTTCCACTACTTAAAACCCCTCATCCAACCCAATAATCTACAAAGCATCACGATCACCATCACAATGCCCGCTATCAAACTGTACTACTCCCCCACCGCCTGCTCTCTGGTACCACATATCCTCCTGCGCAAAGCAGGCCTCGAATTTACTCTCATCAAAGAACAAATCGGGCACTTCTCCCCTGAATTCCTTGCCCTCAACCCTAAAAAGCAAATCCCAGTTCTCATCATCGATGATGAAGTCATCACAGAAGTCCCTGCCATTGTCACAGTCATCGCCAATCTAGTTCCCGAACAGCAATTCCTCGGCACTACGCCAATCGAAATCGCCCGCTCATACGAGTGGATGATGTGGTTATCGGCCATATTGCACACGAAAGGATTTGGGCTTAGTCTGCGCCCGCAGCGGTTCTCGGATGATGAGAGCCATTTTGAGGGATTAAAGAAGAAAGGGCTCGAGATTGTCAGGGAATGTTATAGTACAATTGACGAGAAATTGAAGGGAGTCCATGCGGTTGGGGATACAATTACGGCTGTTGATCTGTATCTGTATACGTTTTATCTGTGGGCGCCGATGATTGGATTGAGTATGGACAGTTATCCCAAGTATACGGCGTTGGTGGAGTATATAGGAGCACAGGAGTCTACTATTGCGGCACGTGCTGCTGAGGCTGATGTATAGAATATATTACTATCATATTTGGCTATAGGAGATATTCGGGCTCATTTTATATCAGGCATCTTGACAATTCCATCTCCATTCGACATGATCATAACACTCTTGACTGTCTTCCTATCTCCATACACCAGGCAGACCATTTCTCCCAGCGAGACACCATCAATACTGATATATGGTATTTTCTCCTCAAAGTCGACGACAGTTGCCGTCTCGATATTCCCATTTCCATTTTCCGTGCATTCTACTATCTTCTCCTCATTGAAGAGAAACACCCTTGGTGAAGCCCTGGGTCTACTGACGGTATGGATCATGAAGTTCTCGTAGAAGAAGCGTCGCCCCCATACATCTCCTATAGAATAGTCAGTAATGATAATGTATGAACAAATTTATACCCACGGTACATCCCAAAGCCCTTAATAGACCATATCTGGAGTAAAATCTCACTTCCCCCAATTTCTTTGTGATAAATGATATAGCCATCAGGACCAGCACATGCTGAATAGACCTCTTCTTCCTTCTGGAATTCGCCTAGACCAAAACCTTCAATACCGAGTTTGGTGAAGGGGGCGTCTCGACTGAGTCTGTAGATCCTGTCGTCATGCTCTCTTGATTTGTCAGATGCAGTCCATATCAGATAGATAGTGATAATACCTGGTTAAGTATGCCACATCCTTATCATCTGGCCCTGATATAATGACTGCCTTTCTGACATCCACGTTCCTGAAAAATGCCAGCTTATAATCCACCCACTTGCCGTCCTCCAGATCATATCCCCACTGATGCACCTTTCCATTGGCGACATACAGTAGATTGATCTGTCGGTGTTAGTTATTCTTCAATGAATGACACAGGTAGCTCACCTCTCCATCTCCAGCACACGTGGCATCTAAACTGCGAATGGGACCATGCGATTCAATGTCCTCCACCTTCTTGGTACCTGCCCAGTTCCCCGAGCCAGGATGCAGGGTTGATTCCGATATCCTATTTTCTTCATCGACAAAGTAGCACACTGTCTTCCACGAGCCCTGAGCGATCCATGATACTAGTGCCACATGTTTCTCCGGACTGATGTCCCTTGGCTCTGCCATCGTAGTTAAAGATTAGGTTGGATTGTGGGAGTTGAAGGTGAATTTATAGACATTTCGGTGGGCTGTTCCATAAGATTATATATCTTATGTATGTTGCGCTGTCCCCTTCGTCTCGTGAAGTTAATTTGGAATACCTGCATAGTTTGTGTAGCCAACGGTGACTCGGTAATTCGATCTGCAGGCAGTTCATAGCTGCATATGGGTCCGATGCGGTGGATATGTTGCATATAACCTAGCAAACCGTGTAGCATATTATGTAAACTCCATTTTATATCGATCTAGAACTGGTGAATCTCAAGTTATGACTTTTATCAGTATACCATCTTGCATATTTGTACAATATAACATGAACATTAAATGATAAGTGGATAGAGGTGGACTGGACAATCTGCATCTGCAGCCTCATGCACGATAACCAGTTTATCTAACAGCTGTGTGTGCTACGTGCCACAACAGCTGCTGTTCAACAAGAGGTTCAATCGATTTGTACACTTCATGCAGATGATGCAATATCATCGGGCTTCATTGGCTTAGAGGTAATCGCCTTCATTTATCATCCATCTATCATTTGACAAGAATAATATCTTATCTTATATTGTGTATTCCTCTTTCCATTACGAATCATCTACCAAAGTACGGCTTTTAATAAGATGATGCTGATATAATAATTCTGCCACATCTCCTAGACTCCACTTATCTTCTAGAAATTCGATTCGAAATCCGAACCCCTCAGAATGGGAGGTGGAAGGCTGCCTGTTTGTATAATACTGACATTAATCATAATAAACCCACAAGTATTGAATAAACATTGTTAACAATGCTATTTCTATTATTGATCTTTAGTCTGAAATAGTATATCAATTGTGGGTATACAATTGTGCGGCTATTTTTAATCGGAATCGGCTGGTTGTATTCTTACCCGACTCCATGAGGTTATACGGAAGATGGTCAGCCATCTCTAGAGACACAAAAAGATATAAATACCCTCTCATCCTCCTTTCTTCTGTCAGTATCATCAACACATACATCCCATCTATCTACTCTTCAATCAATCCAATCAATCCAACCAACAATCACAATGCAATTCAACTTTATCGCTGCTCTTGCCCTCGTCGGCGCTACTCTGGCTGCTGCCCAGAACTCGGTATGCTACGATTCTATCCGACTGTTCAAGCATCTAAGCTAATTCTTTTAGATTGCCATTGGCCAGCCATGCAAGAAGGACGGCAGCATGGGAGTATGCGAGGGTGGTTTCTGCTTGGTATGTGACTTCTTTTAAAGTGAGGAACATGACTAACCGATATAGCAACTCGCCAATGAGAGCCAGGGAGTTTGCAAGGCCCAGTAGATACTCCAGCTGGGCGACTTGGATAAGGGGGTGATGTTGTTTTTGTTGTGTTTACTTTCTGCCTATGGTATCTGTCTTGTATAGATATTTTGAACTTTTGTTCTAGCCGATCCTTACCAATAAAATATTATAAAACTTTGACAGCGCATTCATTCATAGTATATTGATAAACGGTAGTTTGATGCTATCGAAGCTACCGAAGGTGCTATGTAGGTATACGGTATACGTATGTAGGTACTTGGCAGGTCTTGTCCCGAGTAGTCCGGCCAATAGTTTGAGTGATTACTTATAGGCATCCTACTAAAAAATATTCCCTTCCAATAGATTAAGGTAACATGAAGAGTCGTGAAATAATATGGTGTTGCCAGGATCGATATGAGTGGATCCCCGACTAAAAATATCCGGCAGCCAAGCTTGCATGTCTCACTCACCTTCCAGCAGTAATATCCAAATGTATATAAGTCTGAAGGAAACCTTCTCGAATAAGTGCAATTCACATCATTTCCCCTTCCATCAATCCACACTATCCATCATGTCATCCACAACCACCACCGCCGCAGCATCAACAACCAGCTGCGGCACATCCGCACAATACGAACTCCCCGTCAACGATGCCGCCTGTGGCGTCCCCAACACCGGCAACTACAGCACTCTAATCGGCGAGTGTGCCAAACCCGCCGGCTTCCTCTCCTACAACCATGACTGCGCTCTGTACAGTCTCGCCATCGACCAGTCCGTCCAGGATCTCACGGACTGTCTTTATAAAGCCGGTGTTGCCTGGGAGGATGTCTGGTGTCATGGGGATACGAATAGTACCGCTACGGCGACTTCGTATCCGACTGCGACTGCCACTGCTACGAAGACAACGGAGTCGACTGCTTCGGCTTCATCCTCGTCGTCGAGTGATGATGAGACATCTGGTGCGGGTGTGATGGTGTCGCAGAGCCAGCTTACAGTGAAGTCGGTTCTTGCGCTTTCGGCTGTGCTTGCGTTTGGTGCTTTTTCTGCGATGTGAGTTGATCTTTGAATACTATGATTATGGATTCTAATTAATGGTCTAGTTAGATGAGGAATTGCCTACTGTGCATTATTTGGGGTGTACCGAGATCAGGGAGGGTGTAAATGTATAATATATTGATAACGTGTTCTTGCTTCTATACTATTTCCATTAGCAGATAGACTATTTCATCGAGTCCAAAATACCATCATAGCCTTTCTGGTAATATGACAATATCTATTATTAATGTTATTCAGTCGTAAAGGACATCTATATACATGCTTTGGTAATGCTTAGAAACTAACAACAAAGTCCAAATAGGCATATTTATATACTATTACTGCAGTGGATTTGAGATATAATTGTGCCCAACGCCTTTGAACGAATTGCATTTTAGTATAATTAAAACTATCACTTAAAGTCAATCAAATCAATCGACGGTTCCCTCTCATATGACTCAAAACCCGTCGAATTCGGAGCCATAACGTAGACCGGAAAATGAAAGTCTCGAACAAGCGTTTGATACTGAGACAGTTAGTCCATGAAATCAAGATAGACCAGGTAAATCTCACCCTAACCAACCCCAACCTCAACCCCAGCCGAATCTGCAATTTATAACTCCGCTTGATATTACAAATCTCAAAACTCGGCGTCAACATGGCCGGCAGAGGCTGTGACGCCCACAACCCATCCGGGAGCGTTATAATCGACCCACTCGGTGCATTATCCATATCAATCCCGATATTCATATTAGCCGTGCTCTGCACAACCCAGAAACGGGTGAATGATTCCGTCACGCCCTGTGTTTGGACGTGTGTGGTTTCGACAAGCATGGTTTGAAAATCATTCAGACAGATGAGGCAGTTTGGTTCTCCGATTTTGGTGATTGTGATGGTTAGTGGGATGGGTTGGTGCAGGATGAGGCATGGGCCGTTGAGGAGGTGGATGTCGATTTGGTAGGATAGTGGTGTTGGGCATTCGAGTGCGCGAGGGCTAACGGGCATGGACTGTTGTTCTTTGAGGGGTTCTTGGTAAGGCATTGGTTCTGATAGTGGGTAGAAGAATATATCCCGTGTCTGTTGCAGTTAGTATATTTTTGCAAGAGAGGTTGGGTACGAACTGATGATTTCCACTCATTCGGGATATTCCTTCCTGATATAGTTACGTCTACAAAGTAGTTGATTTCTGCAGCATCTCCACGCTGTCCAGTCGAGGGAGGAAGTTTCCTTAGTAGATGGACTGTCGGTCTCCGCCAGGTTCGCGCTTTGGATCGGTTTTTAGACATATCAGGTTTGTAGCATTCTGAAACCTGGGGGAACTATATCCAATTAGATATGATAATGTCGATCATGATGGCACATACTGGAATGGAAAATGGAAAAGCATGTCTCCCGCAGCCAACGGTTAGGCTGGAATAGTTGACATTCTGGATAAATTCTTGTGGTGGAAAGACTTGTTGGGCCCTATCAAATAGCTGGAGAAAGTTAACAGTGGACTCATGATACTAAAATATAAGGATCATACATGATGAACTTCTGTTGCTTTTCCTGAGTTCAACCTGGACGTTGCTGTGCCTGATAACGTTGCGTTGATCGTCGAGACACTGATTGCCGATTCTGTATAGAGTATGACTTCGCCAGACACTGCATCCTGGTTTGTATAGATAGGTATCTCCCGATCCAGTCTGATTTGTAGTTCCATTTCCGATTGTCCGGTCCAAGAACCGCAGCATGAATCCATAATGTTCGATACTAATGAGTAGAGTTCTACAGTTCTTTAAGTACTTATATCTATCTACGATTTATAAATATGCGGCAACGATAGAAAAATTCTTCTAGATGAAAGCATTGTCTCAGTTCATACCATCCATCAACAATATCTACTTCTTGGTAACTTCCATGTTGGGTCGGCATAAGATGGCCTGATGTGGGTCTGCCGGCTTAAAATAGTCGGCTTATCGGCTTTTGCGGGGGTATATTCCGATCAAGACATTGAACATCTAACGTCCAAATTTGGCATGAAACGCTCTATTCATGAATCAAATAGTTTTATATGCTCAATATTATAAGGCTTGGCTTGAGTGGTGTGTTTCCAACATTGTGATGATGCTGTGCATTCATGTTTCATCAAACAGTCGTAGATTGTCCTAATAGTCTGACCAGGACGATGGTCAAACAATAGTTCTATGAAGCCTCCTACCAAGTCCTAGTCTCTACTTTAGACTTAAACTTTCATTGGAACACGTTTTTGAAGCATCATCTTGGAAACTACTTTGTCTCGTTGAATATCGGATTTCCCATATGTACCCCAGCATTCATACCAAACCATCGACCCACATACATCAATCAAACCAGTCATCATCCATAATCAGAATAGATATTAGGCAGCTAATCCTCAACTCTAACCAACTTCAATGCAACCTAAAAGTCCCTGACTGCCAGACTGTGGCGGAGTAAAGGCAGCCCCACTTATCTTCTTCAATGCAAGCAATCAAACACGCGATTCGTTCAGAGTTTGCGGGGCCAGCCCTATTTAGATTAGGCTATCGGGGCACTAGGCCGGAATAAGACATGCTTTCTATTTTTATTCCGTTTAAAACTTTGTCGTTGTTATATCTTCTCCTCTCTGGGGTCAGTTTTCATGTTGTCGTTTCTGTTGATACTGTTGATATTATGATAGTGAATATGTCAGATAGTTCGGCTGAACAGCTGCATCCAGTGGTAAGTGGCTTTCAGGAAACATAACAGTAATTACTAATGAACCCAGTGCGATCTCTGCCATTCTCGAAAGGTACGATTAAACGTCCAACCTACATAATGATATTAACAATGCAGGTCCGCTGCGACCGAGGCAACCCATGTGGCAACTGCCAGGATACAAAGTCAACCTGCAGTCGCGACAGAACAGTCCGACGCATCCGAAAATGCGTGTCTCGACAGCAAAGGGAACGCAGTCGCAGTTTACGCCTGCAATCCGTTCCTGAGACGGGGGTAGATGAAGCAGAAGCCTCACTGGTTGAGAGAGTTGTATCAAGCAATTCACCAAAGAGCAATGTAGACGAGGTCTACGGAGCTATCTCTCGAGGTCCTCTATACGATGCGCAGTTTACCATCCAGCATCAATTGAAACGTCTACAAGGTCTTACTTTGGATCGACGGCAAGTGTTAGAGTCAGCGCTTTGTGTACCAAGGCAGCTTTTGGATGATTTTGGAGACTCGGCACATCCAAATGGAACTAGCTATCAGATTGAAGAGCAGCCCAGGGTTCCTTCAGCTGAGTTGTTAGCCTGGATGCTGAAAGGTATCATCTTTTCTCTGTATACCTACAACAAAGCTAATATTCCCAGACATTGAAAGCGACAGATTTGGACCATATGTTGCCGACTACTTCCGACATATATCAAAAGCAACGTTAAAGCATATGGGACTGTCACTTCTTCGAAAAGAAGCATCACCGCATGACTCTACGCTTTATACTGTCTGCTTCAATGCTATGGCTTTCAAATTCCATACCACGACTATGAACATGGACAACGATAGTGATTTACTTCCCGAACTACAGCAGAGTGCGCTACAGTATCGAGAAACAGCACAGGCGGCATTGCAAAAGATTCCTATGTTGATACCACCGTCTCTTGCGCTTTTACAGGCACTCTTATGTGGTGTATGTATCCTGTCTTCTGTCTCTACCTTTACTAATGGATTAGATATTTCTCCATCAAGGATCAGGAAATGCCAGCTTATGCTGGGAGCTCACCAAATCTGCCTGTCGAACCTGCATTGATATTGGTCTTGACACAATTGTTCTCCAAGGAAAAGCTACAGAGGAAGAATACTACTGCTTCATGTGGTGTTACATGCTCGATCGAAATTATGTCTTCAAGCTAGGGCGAACCCGTTGCTTTCTCGATATTCAACTACCATCTGATACGTCTGTCAATCACCGACCCATGGGAGAGCTTTTGCAAATATACGTGGATCTAGCAAGGGTACAGGCTGCTGTAATCCCATATCTACAGAGTCAGTCGGGAAGTGAAGATGCATCGCTGCACGCTTTTAAGGGATCTTTATTACAGCAGATGCAACGCATCCACGAAAGGATAGACCATGTATGACCATACGCCCATTCACTTATCTTTACTAACTGAATAGATTGCCTCTCTTCCCTCTCCCTGGAAGGGACTGGATATCCAGACAGAGGTCGCAGCATTGAAATTCGCATATCATTCCGTCATGACTGCTATTTTCTATCTATTCGAAACACACGATGCACCACGAAAGCCTTATCTCCAGTCTGCACGACAAGAACTATCAGCTCTGGTGGCGATGTGTCTTTCTGCTGAGAAGCAGAGCGTTGTTGCGTTCCTACATTGGTAAGTCTTTTGTCTACTTATTAAATAATGCTAATAATTGAAGGACCATCCTCTTCTACCCCCTAACCGCATACTTTGTCCTCTTCTGCAACGTCGTCGCCACCTCCGACACAGCCGACTTTAACCTCATGAAAGCCATCGCGGACTGTCTCAACCACGGCGGAACAGTCAGTCGGCCCATTGCCCAGTTGCGAGTGTTATTCCAGAAATTTCTCTCCCTTTCGTCGGGGTTCTTCGAGAGAGAGTCGGGTGGAGATCAGACTGTTCAAGTCCAGGTGCAGCATCCGTCTTATCCGGTGGAAAGTCCATTTCTCTTACCCTGGGGGGAGAATGGTACTGCTTTCAACCAGAGCATGCTGGGGGTGGATGGGTATGAAGGGTTTAATGTGCAAGAGACATGGCCGTTTTTGGCGTTTAATGATTCGGTGTCATTTTTGGATGGTGATGTTAATTGAATGTATAGTTATTAGTGGTCGGCAGCGTAAAGGAATTTCCAGCGTAAAGGAAAATAATCAACTTTTTATATTTTTGAAGCTATACAAACCACTGAAAATGCCTAAATCTTCTGAAAATTGCAATGAATATGTCAATAAGGTATATAAAACCACTCATGTTAAAAAAAATTTATAAAAATTATATAAGAATATAGCATTCCCTATCGCACATCATATGGCTGGCTACCTTAATAATGTCTAATAGCATTAGTCGATCGACTAGAGATGGTTATCTCCACTTGAGAATATGAATATGTTCTTGGTTATCCATGAATGTTGTAGGACTGGGGAGATATGTATGCATGTTTAGACTCCTAGTAGAAATATTTAATAATTTCCAATATAGACGTGGCGGGCTAGATATGAACTAGGATAGGAAATCTATTCCGGACCTAGATCGTAGTATATTTCGCTTGGGTCTTGGGCGGGTTGCTTCTACCTTTTAAGTTCCACAATGCATGGCTGCACGTGGCTAGAGTTGGTAAGAGAGTCGAGAGCGGTCAGTATTTGTTAAACTCAAGTGATATTAATATATTCCAATGTGAGCAGCGTGGTATGCGAATCGAGTTTATCTTCGCAATGTCGCATCCCGCCTGTATCACAGCGCGTTCCCAAGAACTTTGCTATTTTCCATCTCAAACTTAGAATACAAGAATGAGTGATCGAGAACGATCCTCAGATGATACTCACGCAGAATTCCCTTTTGAATGGTATTATTATAGAGGGACATACCATGGGAGTGTTAATGGCATGAATCATAGAAGCATTTTCGGATAGTTTGCCACTAGCTTGGAGAGCCACAGCTTATACAGTTTCAGATGATGACCTAGCAAGTTTACTTTCTGGACTAGATCCTATTTGGTTCGCGTAGATTTCACATACAGCTAATATAGAGCGGCAACGCCTGCTATATAGACTGACCTAGACCCGAAGCTCTTGCTATGCGTTGGAAGTAGTTTTGTGGAGATTGATATCCTTAAATAATCAAAGCCAGAAAGTATATTGGATAAGCTTATTGAATCTATGCGGGAAGCTAACAATCAGTAAAGCACAGATGACTTGGAAATAGGTAATTAGGTTATGGAACCCGTATTCTATCCAGTGTCCAAACTCTACTGGAGCTGTCATCCAACTTTATTTAAGACTTGGTTGACCTTCTCACAGCTGGCTGGGCGAATGCATTTCTTAATAGGGGTTGTGGTTTCTGGCTATTTCCGGTTGCGGTCAGTTTTTTATAGCGCATTATTACAGCTATATGAAGCCTTTTTCAATCTTCTTTGTCATTGTTTCTCCATGGAACCATTCATGGCCGTCGGATCAGCATTTGAATATAAAAACCTGCTGGACTCCTCAGCAAAAAACACTTTTTTAAGCATCTCTATCTCTCGTTCGTTCAAGTTGTGACTTCAGTTCAACATTTACTATTAAATTTGGTAATTATAATATTAATCATCATGTCTGGGCTTTTACAAGTCAGCATCGAATCTAAACAATTCCCTGGATCATACCTCCGAATTGATGGATCTGGGGTTACCTCATGGAGCGATTCTGGTGGAGGAAAAGTCAACGCCCAGAACTATGTTGGCTCTTATGAAAAACAAATAATTGTGAATGACCCTACTAATAACACATTCGCTATTTTCTCTTCTGTGTTCCCAAATGCTGCTTTACGCATGGATGCCACAGATGTCACGGCTGGGAAACAGTACCCAAGTGGTGCAGGAAAAGTAAATTGCCAGTGAGCTTTCCCTTCTCTTATCGGGTTGGTGAAGGAGCTTTTGGCCTGCCAGAACTCACCTTTGAGTCATATCACTAACCTTGAGAAATATTAGGTTCGGTGTTGGTGGGTGGGAGCAATTTCGCTTTGAACCACAGCCTGATGGATCAAAGGCCATTGCTTCCGTACAGTTTCCTGGTGTCTACCTTCGTTTGGACAATTCCGGAGGTGGCGGTGGAAATTCTGGGGCTGGGACCGTTAATTGTCAGGGCTATGTTGGTACCTATGAGAAGTTCTTGATTCATGTGATCTAGGAGGGGGGACCGAACCAACAGTCAGTCAGACAGTCTACCCTGAGCAGGCCGTCAGTTGTATAGGCCTTGGTATAGGTTTTTGCCTAATTTTTGAGGTTTTTCCTATACTGTGATGCAAATGCAGAGGCCCCTGTTATTTATTTGGTAGTTAATGGCGCAACGGTGGGTGATATTTCTACATATTAGGTCAGGATCCAATTAATATAATTATTTATACGGTACTATCATGTTCAAATTCCCTTTTAGTGGTTAAAGTGGACCATACAACTTTAAGGATGAGGGCTCAGTATACAAAGATTATGATTATATTGGAATAGATTATGTAGTTATTCTGTAATATACCCGGCCTTTGCATTCGCATCACAGTATAGGAAAACCTGATCATTGTAGGGAAAAACCTATACCAAGGCACCTGGCAAAAAGATAAATAGAACCCCGAAACTCCAGGAATGTAATTGCGTACTTTGAACACCCAGCCTATCTTTAACCAGTAGCTATGTGTCAGCCATGAAACTAATGGGTGGTTAATTAATGCATTGACCTTACCTAAAGTATACCCGGATACGATCCACAACTCCCTTGGCACCTCGAAGACCGCCAAAATCATCACCTCCATCAGCTCCAAGCCAATGACCAGATCCAACATTAATTGGATGTACTTCACCTCCATTTCCACCAACTTCAAATTTGTGGCCTTGGTTTGTTTCAAATGTGATATTATCAACATAACCTTGCTCGTGTCCTGCATGGATAGTCATGTTTTTGATCCGTTCATCATGGTTAAACCTAATGGACTTGTAGTGATTGTCATCTGGTGTACCGACAATCCTGCCAGGTTTACCATCCCAGAAAAATTGTATCGCACTGACGACAAAGAAGCCATCGCGACTTGTTCCCCATGCATGGAATTCTGTTAGGTTCTCGCCCCGTTCAGAGTAATGCTCCCCTCCAGGCCCACCAAATGGCCCAGATACAATATCTTGTCCTGTGAAAGAACGGCTTTCTGTTTGGGTCGCCATTATTTATATGAGAGATGACTTAGTGAGGTAATAATTAGAGATTATTAATCGAAATTCAAGATTGCTTTGAATATTTAGAGAGATTTGATAGTTCAGGAAGAAGCTTTTATGATCGATAGGGAAGATTCTACTACTTTATATAGACATTCTGCTTCCACGTACCCCTAATTAAAACAAAACTAATCTATGAATCTATGATGAAGCATGTCGTCAATAGAAATGATGACATGTATTAATCATGGGCACAAAACTGTCATATGCATCGGTTCAAGAAGTCTCAAAGGCCTATGATTGCCCTCTATATCTGAATACTGATATCACTTGTGCCAAGTTCGCCACGAATTCTTCATAGGACATGTCAACAATGTCATATTTACCGGAAACTCCGATGTCCTTGCTAAGAGTAATGTATTACACCTCTAATTATACAAAGTTCCGTGCATGTTTGCAGTTTAAAACTTGATAGCATGACAAGTACCATGGCCGAAGCCGAAACGGCATGAGGCGCCTTTCCATGATTTGGTAGTGCAGTTTGACTTGACCGTCAGCTGAAGATTTAGACTTCGCTGTACATTAAAATAACCATTTGAATATAACTAGAACAATGCAGTGTAACCAACAAGCTTTAAATGATGATTCAATATTTGGGGTATATTGGGATTTGAATTTCTCGTTCCAAGGAAAGCACCGTCATGACATGTTGATCATCCGCGACCCAACCTCTGTCCGCATGTCATCTCCGAACGCGGCGCTGCCATCCAAGGTTTCACATCTTCATATGTGGGGATGTGGTTTGGGTGACAGGTATGGTGGATGCTGTCATCTGTAAATGCTTTTGATCCTTGCCTGAAATACTTAAGTATTGTCATGAGGAACTATGTTACATTACAGTGGACCCGACTTCGCTTTCTTGTATCTAGATGCGGGCCCGGCCTTTCAAGTCTTTCATTATATTACCACGGCTCTAAGATATGACACGTTATTCTCCAGTTTCATTCATCACTAACAAGTCCGTTTTCAGTAAACATGAAGACATGACGTCAAGCTATTTAATGTAATCCAACAACGAGCTGCGCGGAACAATGAGCGACAAAACAATTAATCAGATTAAAGTATCGAAGAAACATAATCACCCAATCATAGTGTAACATGTCGGTTGAACGATGTTGTAGTCACACAACCTTGGCCATGTTTCATGTTGAATCAAACAGGCGGTCATAAAAAGCGAACGGGCCTTTACCTGCAGCTACGGGGATTTCACTGTGCAGGTACCGCAGGTACCACAGCATCCTTGGAAAGCTCCTGCTCTTCACAGAGCTCCTTTGCATGCTGCATGAAAGACAGCAGTCGCTGGCGCCGGTAGTAAATGTTGGCGAAGTCGATATGGGCGCTTGCCTCTGCGTCATTCTGGCCAGTGATGAGAATGAGCATAAAGAATGTCTCGACGATGCTGGGAGGCACGTTTGAAATCAACTGTCCAGTGAGACTCCACTTCATCGCGCTTGAAGCGACAAGGCAACCAATGGTGAGGAAGAAGCCAGCAATAACCATGAAGAGATGGGAGCTGACGGCATCCATCCAGCGGGAGACGCGCTGGCTCAGAGACGGGCGCTTGGTGCTGCTAGTTGAAGGGATGGCCATTGACAGTCCTGCGAAGAGGCCCAAGTCTCCCTTCTCCACAATACGAATCTGGCGGTTGATGTACTGGTGCACCTTGCCTTGGATGTTGCGGAGGACGAAACTGTCGAACAGACCAACCAGCCCTGCATACGTGCCGATGAGCAGCCACCAGTTACTGTTGAAGTGAAAGACAGGTCCGACGGCTGCCCAGGTGATGATCACCAGCACAAGGAAGATCATGCCGACCAGGGTGCCGACGATGTCGGCGTAGTAAAAGATCACCACCTGCAGGAGGTTCTCCTTGGGAGGCAACATGACCTCCATCTCGTTCGGCAGGTCATCCTCGCTGAGGCGACGAAGCTCCTTCTCGAGGGTCGAATCGAGTCTGAAGATGGCGTCCAGGCAGGTGTTCGTATAGTCGGCATAGCATTCCCGCAGGCAGGCCAGGAACGCAAAGACCAGTACCATCAGCGCCGATGTCGCATCATTGATATAGAGTTGCCACCGGTTCGACCAGCTGCAATGCGGGCCAAAGCCCAGCCAGATGAAGATACAGACCCAGTAGAGACCGCCGCTGACAACATGTCCAAACGTCTTGGCCGAAACGATGATGCACCGGGCAAACAGACCCTGCGTGCGTAGTCCATGGTCTAGCGGTTTGAGAGACTCATTATTACACTTCTCGGCGACACGACGAATCCCTTCCGCTCCCAGCCTCTTCTTGACACTGGCGATCATGCGTTGATTGCTGTTGCACCGGGACTGAATTTCGACTATGGCCGCGCGCTGCTCGGAGTACTCGCGGAGCAGCTGGCGCATGAGGAACGAATCGAACACATAACATAAAATAGCTTGAACGTCGGAGATAGCAGCAACCCAGACGTCCGAGTTGCCGAAACGAATGCCCATCAAGGCCCACGTCAACAGGCCAGCGATGATGAACAGAAAGACCGGGGCCGACCCGGCCACCCGGACTGTCACATCGAGCCAGCGGTCCACCAGCCTTGGGCTCGCCTTGATCCTGTACCCGGAGACATCCTCAGGAGTCGTCACGATAGCGGCATCAACCTTGACATCCTTCCCACTAGCCACCCACTGTGTCTCCGCCGCCCCCTCAATCTCGCATCGAAAGACAGGCCTGAAGTATTTCATTGTAGTCGACCAAACAATCGCCGCTGGATGTTGGATCCAATACTGTGCAATTGCTCAAGGGTTCAGGCTCATTGACCCACAGGGTAATTAAGGTGGATGAGTTGCGTTTGCAGACTCGCGAGAGGATTGCAGCCCAGCCAACGTGCCTGGGATTGAGGAGACAACGGAGGCAAGAGAGTTCATAGAGCGAGTATCAGCCATTCAGAGTAAAAGACTAGACAGTTTGTGTCTTGGGATATTGCAGTTAGTAGGTGAGTGAAAGGGAGAGGAAGATGGGAGAGGAAGGGAAAAATAAATAAAATAAAAAAAGGCAGAGGAGAAAAAAAATATTCAATAAGCAGTGGTGCCATTAAATGCCGCATACTATAAGAGGAAGACTGACCAGGCACTGCAGCGGCATGACAGGCAGCGCCATTCTTTCCCCCCCACCATCACGTCTTGGTCTTGATACGCTTCGCTTCCTTCCTTGTGGGCCTTCTCTTTTTGGGGGGATTGACCAATGAAATGGAAGGAGGGGGAACTTTCACTGCTTGAAAAAGCTTGTGGGCGTGACCAGACCTCGCCAGAACCGCCCGCCAGAAACCCAACCCGTGCGTGAGTTTCCAATGTAAAAGACTTAAGGTGACAAAGAAGAGCACGACTTAAATAGGGCTCCCGTCCTCCTTGCCTTGGAAGTTAATTTCCTTCAGTTATCCTATAGGCTGAAATACTAATATCTTCAAGGAGAATTGTGGTTGAAACACTGGGACCGGAGCCTTGTTCAGCGGGAGGTTGATTAGCTTTGGACTCCGTGGCCAGGGTTTTCCGGCCTCTAGGAGAGCGAAGGAAAGATATTTCATTGGATTAAATATGGATAAGCATTTTCATCACTACCTTTAAAAAGGCGATCTTCTCCAAGTCCGTGATAGAACTCATCACTCTGGAATGCCTTCTTATCTGAGGTAAACTCACTTTGCAGTTTTGCCTAGGTATAGCTGTGAAGCCAGACTTTGTTATTAGGGATTTTTAAGAATACTATCCTAGTTACCTGTAATATATTAAAAATCAGCACTAGTTTACTAAATTTATTAATGTGCTTTTTTATAAGTCCCTCCGGATCATATATTCTATAGATCATGGCTGCATAGTAAACCTAGGTGCTCTATCTAAACTCCTATAGTATATTATATGTACCAGAGTCTGCAGTGGAGTTGAGAGTTTCATATGCTGATTTGTATAAGAAATGAACAAAGGTAGGGTAAAGAGAGTCTGTTCGCAACTTTGGGTAATCGCTCAGGTAACCCGCTGGGATAGAATAGTCTTTGCGTCCTATCTGAAGAACAACAACTGGACATTCGTACAGGCTACCATTACTAAAGAATCAGTGGGCCATTCAGTGATATGTGAAGCTTGACTGTGTCATTAGAACTTGGTGTTTGGGTTTCTTTTCCAAAAATCCTGATTGTAGACTGATAGTAGTAATAAAATAGCTCCAAGCAACAGTGATAGAAGAAAAGATTTATGGACATGGAGGGAAAATGCCTTGATTATTTATCTTTCTCCCAGCCCTGGGAAAGAGGGAGAATGCAAGAAGATTTACAAGTATGACTTATCCAACTCATAGCACAAGTCATGCTAATACCCAGCATGTAAGGATACCACTAATATATAGAAGGTTATATACGCCATATATAATTAATTATTTAGTTAAATTGTTATTATGAACAAAGTAAGTAAAAATGATTCTGTTAGTGAATTTTAGACAGCATGGTGGCAATGGTGTGCTGGCTGACATGATCAGGCTGCCAAGGAAGGCTTATTTTGACTCTAGAGATCACTGTGGTTCAATAGCCTGTCTTGCTGGTAAGTCTGTGGTACTAGTGCTATTTAGCGCCCGAGGGATATCTATTGGGCGAGGAATCCTGGCATGGCTGTGGAAGCTGATGAAAGCTTAGCACTGCAGTTACTCTTACTCTTCCTGCAGTGAATGATAGAACTTCATTAGCCTGTTATTCTAAAGGAAGTGGGACCGCTGCGGCAGCAGGGCAAGGATACATGTGTATTGGCAGCGCGGCTGTGCCTGATGTGAAAAGCTTCATTCTATTCCTTTATACTGGAAATTCCTTTATACTGCTGACCACCCACTAGCCGAGGCAGTGAGTAGCCAGGCCGCCACTAATATATCCAAACTACTGTATAATCTTCAATACTATACGTAAAATATCTGATTATAATCAACCTCGGCTATGACATCACCATACTGAAGCGGAAAGATTCATGACCCATCATGTCTTGGCATGGACAGATTGTTGCCCCGGCTTGCGAGCTCGATATGTTTTTTCTTACTTATATTCTTCGTTCTGTCGACTCAACTAATAGAATCAATCAATCAAGATGCTGTCCCTCAACACCCCTACCTATTCTCCCCCGTCAGGATACCAGATCACCGATCTCCCGAAACCCAAACTCAATTCCCCCGACGATGTCATCATCAAAGTCCACGCCGCCAGCATCAATCCCGTCGATGTGAAAAAGGCGGGTGGAATGCTTAAAATGGCGTTTAAAGATGAGTACGTACTGTCCTTTTACCCCTGAATTGATATAAATGGCTAATGGCCAGATTTCCGTATAAAATCGGATATGACTGCGCGGGTATCGTCTCGGAGATAGGGAGTGGTGTTACTCGGTTCAAGGTTGGAGATCAGGTTTATACGCGGCTACCTGAGGCTTCTAGAGGTATTTATACTTATATTCATTGTGTATGGGTTGCTAACTTGGATAGGATCGTGTAGCGAGTATGCTATGTGTCCTGAGCGGTTCATCGGGCTAAAACCGGCATCTCTATCTTTTGAAGACTCAGCGTCCATCCCACTCGCTGCCATGACTGCTCTTCAGGCATTGAGGAGATACGAGGGTGATTTGTCTGGGAAGTCGGTGTTTGTTCCTGCTGGGTGTATGTTCCTACTCTTTTATAGTGACTTTGCTAATTGTATACAGTAAGTGGAACGGGTCTCTTTGCCTGCCAACTCGCAAAGCACGTCTTCCACGCCGGCAAGGTCATTACCACCGTCTCTACAACTAAAGTACCTAAAATCAAAGAGCTTTTGGGCGATGGAACTGTCGATGAAAGTAAGTCATCCCTACTCATCAACTATCAATTCCGTCACTTACAGACCATCCAGTCATTGACTACACAAAAGCCGACCCAAAAGACAGCATCGAGAAAGGCTCTATCGACTTCCTCTTCGACACTGTCGGCGTCTCAATGGACTATCTGTGCCTGATGCGCCAGACAGGCTACATAATCTCCGTCTCGACAATGCCATCCGGCGACCAACTCCAGTCTTCCTCCTTGATGGATCTACCCAGTAAACCCACCCTTCCAATCGGAGCAAAATTCGGGCTGAATACGATGGATTGCGTGCGGAAACTCCGTGCGCGACGGTACGGCGTGACCTATTCGTATATGTTTCTCGAATCGAGTGGTGAGGATTTGGATAAGTTGAGGGGGTATGTTGAGGAGGGGAAGCTGAGGACTGTTGTTGGGACGGTTGCGAAATTTGGGGATGTTGAGGCTGTTAAGGATGCTTGTCAGGTTGTTTATAGTGGCAAGGGAGGGTTGGGGAAGACTGTTATCCAGGTTGTTGCTTAGTTTGGTGAATGAGGCTATTTGTAAGATTATTTTACTTAGTTATTAATTACATTGGACAAAAAGATCTGAACACAAACAGTTGAATATCCACTTGTATCATATTACAAAGCCCCAACCCTCCTCAGCTCACTCTCACTCCATTCCCACAGCCTCCTCCCCCACTCCTCACTATGCGCATATTTATTCCCAGCCTTATGATTACCAACAGGCACATAATACGCCCCATTCACCAAATCCCCCTTTTTCGCCCCAGCAGCAGCCCATAATTGATTGTGCGTACCCGCAGGGACACCCGTTCCGACTACACCCAGCGTCTTGGACATGACTCCTCCGAGGACAGAGGAACTGATGGAGTTGTAGAGATCCGTAAGGATAATACCCGGATGCACGGAGACGGAAGTGAGAGATGGATACCGACGAGCGAGTTCCGAGGCGAAGAGGATGTTCGCTGCCTTGGACGCGCCGTAGCGGGTGTTTGTGTTCACTTTTTTCAACTTGTTCTGATCGATGATCGTCTCAAAGGACGGGGCGAGATTATGTCCCACCGAGGACAAAGATACAACACGAACATCCGACTCCGGCTCTGCGGCCGTCTTTTCCAGAATCGGGAGAAGGAGCTTCGTGAGCAGAAAGTGGCCGGTATGGTTTGTTCCGAGCTGGATTTCGTGCCCGATCTCTGTTTCACCTGGCGGGAGGGCCATCACGCCTGCGTTGAGCATGAGAATGTCGAGACGGGAGGATTCGGCGGTGAATTTGGCGGCTGCATCTTGGATGGATTTGATGGATGTCAGGTCGAGGGGGAGCCAGGTTATGGGGACTTCATTTGATAATTTCGCCTTGAGACAGGTGATGGCCTTGTCTGCTTTTTCGGCGGAGCGGGCAGCGAGATAGATGTGCTTTGGGTTGTGTTTGCCGAGTTGGAGGATGGATTCTTCTCCGAGGCCGGCGTTTCCTGCGATGATTAGGACTGAGCAATACGATATTCTCCATGCGAACTCACCTCCGGTTACCAGAATGACCTTTCCGGATAGATCTGGTATATCCCGACTAGGCTCAAAACTCACTCCTCCAATATAATTACACGGATTCAAGTTTGCTGCGACGAAGGCGGCCATTTTTACTAGTCTGCTGTTCGATAGATCGTCCAATCTGGGAATTGACTTCATTTAAATAGCGTGCCAAACCCCGATCCCCATTTTTATCTGCCTAGTTACAGCATGATTGGCCGAGTCAACCTCGGAAGCAGATGATCGTCCATCGGCCCGAATGCATATGAAATCGGATGGATTGTTGGCCCGATGTGGATCAGTAGGCAATTATGGTTGGCGCTAATGCACCCCACGGAGGCTAAATATGCCGAGGTTGAGCCGGGGTATATATGGGTGTTGGATACTACATCCCAGTATTGTACAACAAAGGTATATTCATTTACTCATAGTGTGGTTGTACGGGTTTACCGCTGACCGTCCTGTGAAACTCGGCTTGTTATCCTCGGTGGCATGTGCTGGTGGCTGTTTTTTATTCTATTCATTCTAGAGTATTTCAATGATGATATGAAATCGTAGTATAACAGAGTGAAGGAAAATTATGTCATATTGATTCGTGCACTTGCACCATGTATAAAATATCTACAAGACAAACCCAAGGCATCACCGAGATAATCAACAGCAAAATGCCATACATGGGAGCCTTCGGTTGCTGCATATGCGGCAACATCCTAGAGTACGAGCACGAGATCATGTTTACACTCCGGGAAAGAGAAGAATGGGAGAACAAGACACCCCCAATTACATGCAGCACGACTGAGCTGGAGGGCATGTATTTCAACGTTCCTTGGGTATGGGCTACGTTGGTTCGAATGAGTAGGTCTTCTGACGAATTAGGGGGGCGTGGCTGACTGACTTGCTAGTCATCCCGACTGATAAGCACTACATGTACACTGCAGAGAATCAGCCAGCGCAAAACAGCTTCTTCCTATCAGGAGTCGGCCAGATGGGGTTCTGGAATAACGTCCGAGGGTCGCTAGAGCCACTGCCCATCACGGTCCCTCTAAGCCAGAATACAGTCATGATAGGCGGATATGATGGAGCATCTGATGGGGTAGCCTCGGCGTACTGGACTCGCATGTTATTCACCGAGGACGATGACCAGGATTTGCACTATACACCCCGCGGATACGTCCTCCACGAACGTTGCTGGTGGCTAGCCAAGAGACTCATAGGAGCGTCAGTTCTGGAGAGGAACCTGAATCTGTTTGCTGCTGTTCTGCATGATAGACGGGACGATATCCTGGCAAGTGGCTCCTTTGGGCCGTCGGAAGGATCGTTCTATGTACGGGAGATTATGACTGTGGGAGCCAAAAGATTTCTCAGGAACCCGCAAAGATATATGCGGAAGCACATGAATATACTCGAGGATCCCAGGTATTTCCATGGTCGTGATCCAGTGAATATTACGGAAATACGAGATCTGGTGGATGAAGCTAGGCGCCGGTTAATGATGCTACCAAAGGCAGCGCTAATCAGCGCTCCTATTGATGTGCAGTGTCTGATTGCAGACTGCATAGACAGCCAGCGTGATCTGAACAACATGCTAGTTGCGTTTCGATGGCAGCTACCGGATGCATATTGGCGTGGGCGGTTTCCAGAGGACATCATCTTTGAGTATGATGGTTTCAAAAATGAGCAGATAGATTGGCAGTATCTCAGTCGAGGGGTGGAGCAGCTGCTCAAGACTTGTCAGGGGCTGAGGAATCGACGGCGGATATTGAGATTGTTAGATGGTATTAAAAAGGCGTTTCTCAACTGGATACATACTAAAGTATAGAGCATGTATATATCGATAATACTGCTAAATATACCTATCAAGACAACGTCACCCGCGCAGCAAAAGGAGCCATCGCAGCTCTACTCTTCTCCCTCTCATCCATCCTCTGCCAATACGCCTCAACATTCAACCGTCCCGGCGACAGCACCCACGGCGCAACTTGATCAACCATCATCTTCATCAACCCATAAAAGTGAATATCAGCCGCAGAGAACCTCTCCCCACACAGAAAAGTCTTCCCCTCAAGCTGATCATCCAGCAGATTCAAGAACTGGTTAATGGCGACTTTCTGGCCAACGCGCGCCTCGGGGACGGGAGTCCGATTTCCCTTGTAGAAATCTATCGTGGTTGGATCGTTGCGGAACCATGCGATTAACGGCTGTGCGATTTCCAGATCCATTCGTCGGAGCCACATGCGTGTCTCTGCGCGTTCGAGAGGAGTGTTGCCAAAGAGTGACGTGCCGCCTTGGGCTATCTCGTCGAGATATTCGCAGATGGCGGTGATTTCGGTGAGAATGAAGTCATCGCCTATACGGAGGGCTGGGACTTCACCTCTGGGGTTGATTTTGCGGTATGCGAGGCGGCGGTTCTCGAGTTTCATGATGTCGATTTGCTGGACGTCGATGTCGAGGCCGCCTCGTTCGAGGATGAAGAGGCGGACCACGTAGGGGTTGGGGGCTGGGGCGTCGTAGAGCTTGAGGGCCATATTATCAGATTCACGATTCAGAGTTATGAATGGAACGAATTGCTAGATATATTAGATACATTCAAGTGGAAGTCAAGCTACTTATACTCAATCAAAGCAGAGTCGGGAATAGTGAATATCTCCGTTATGCATTGTATATTTAAGCATAATTACGGTGCTGACAGCTTGTGCCACAAATCGATGCATAAAGTCTAAAAACGGGGCATTATGTTCTTCAGGCCGGGTTTAAGACGGAGTTAGGCGGAGTCTCCTTGGATTGTGTAGCTGTACTATACCATCGCCGTATTCTTTTAATCTCTGTTACTGTATGTCGGTTATCATACATGATTTTATGTATAGTATTACTGGTCATTGGCAGTGGGTTTGATATATAAGGTTATTTATAACTAACGTCCATGACACCTAGGTTAGAACCTATAAACTAAAGTAGTGCTTAAAATATGATGCGTTTGAAATACAAGGTTACAACTATATAAGACCAAAAAAGTCAATACATGGTAGTGATATATTGTCCTGGCTGTCATCCGCAAGGCTGACTCCGCCTACAACAACCCCATCTCCTCCATCCACCCACCACACCACCAACAATCACCATGGAACAACCCTCCTCCTCTTCCTCTCCCCCTCCCTCCCCATCTTCATCCTCCCCCGAAACAGCCTTCATCTCAGGCCCCCTCGAAACTGGCTCCGACGCCTCCTACTTCCACACCCACTACGTCCCCCGCATCAACGAAGCCATCTCCCGCGGCGACCATTTTGTCATCGGCCCAACCCCCCACGGCGTCGACGCCAACGCCCTCGGCTACCTCCTCGCCTACCCCATTTCCCCATCCCGAATAACGATCTTCGTCACCCCCCTCGAGGACGAAATGTGGGGGGACCGATTCCGGAAACTAAACGTCAACCTGCACGTGCTGCAGGGTGATACGAATCCCACTGCGCGGGACCGCGACGCGGCCATGACGGCTGCTAGCTCGTATGATATTCTCCGGTGGAGGACGAGGAATGAGGCAAGGGCGTTCTATGGGGCGAGGTTTACGGAGGGGTTTGTTACGAATACGGAGCGGAATTGGAGGCGGAGGACGGGGATTAGTGAGGCGGTTGTTGTTCAGGGTGCGGAGGGGGAGATGGAGGTTGTTGGAGAGCAGAAGGCGAAGGCGCCGTGTTTGAGCTGATTCAGTTTGGCTTGGGTTTGTGTTACAGTGGATTGGCGTTTGGGGTTATCTACAGGATATCTGGGATATGCCTGTATGTCTTGGAAATGCTATTATGAGGTCATTATTTCCGTCATAATATCTTTATCAATAATATATCACGGACACAGTTCTGTCCTCTGTGTTCTCTGTTCATGTTCAAGACTATACTAAGTATGCCTGTACTTCATAGATACAATCCATCTATACAATCAGATCTAGACACCCAACCCCAACCCCCTATACACCCCCGCCTCAACATCCTGCCACAAATCAAACAACTGGTTATCGCCAAACGGCAACACCTGCACACATATCATCCCCGCAACTCCCTTCTCCCGATCACACCACCATCGCGGGTTAGGCAGACCAGACCACTGCCCTGTTCCCAGCGATCGACCTGTAGGACCGCCAGTGATGTTGAAAGTGAGACCCCATCCTTGGCGGTCTCCCGCGACAGTGGGATGGACACCCACGGCATTGGTTACCAACTCGGGGACTGCGTCTGGAAAATGCTTTTCGGCCAGTGGGGGGAGGTTGGAGATTTGGTCGCGGAACATTTCGTCGACGGTTTCTTTCTTCAGGAGTTGGGTGCCAGTCTTGGGGGATGTGCCGTTGTTGAGGAGGACGGTGAGGATTTCTGCATGTGATTAGTAGGTATAAAGTAGGAGTATTGATGGGCATACGGCAGTAATCCTGTGGTGTAGAGAAACATCCAGCACCACCGCTGTAAAAGTATGATTTGTCGCTCTTTGTCTCCTCTTGCAGGGCGCGCTTGAGCACATGTTCTCGGGCAGAGAGCTGGCCATCCGCAGCACGTTGATTCATGAATGTGAGATTGTTCTTCATTTCTGTAGTCGGAAGCATGGAGATATGCTTGAGGCCGAGGGGCTCGAAGATGTGTTGGTGGAAGTAATCATTCAATGATAGTCCAGTTACACGTTCAAGCAGGGCACCTGCCCAGTCGATGCCAATCTACACAGGTTAGACATGCATATGCATATACCAGGAGCGTATACTTACACCATACTCCCACGCCTCTCCCGGCTGGTGGATAAGTGGCTGCAGAAAGTCCTCGATAGACCCCGTAAACTCATCATAGCCAGGCTTCTTGTAATCCCGCAAAGCGTCACTGAAAAACGTGTACCCCAAACCAGCTACACTCGTCAGCTCATCCTCCCATTATAATTATGGATACCCACAGGTATGAGTAAGTAGCATCCTCAACGTAATCTCCCTCTTTTTCTCCACCAAGCTCCCATCCTTCTGCAACACCTTGGCATCCCTCAACTCGGGACAAAACTGATACACCTGCTCTGCATCATCCAGCGAAAGTCTCCCCTGCTCAACCAACTGCATACACGCAATGCCTGTAATCATCTTCGTGCATGACGCGATCCAAAACACCGAGTCCGTTTTCATCGCTTCAGAGCTGCCGTAGCCCCGCTGCCCCGCTGCATGGCTGACGAGTTCATTGCCATCTTTGCCGACTGCGACGAATGAGACTCCCGGGAGACCCTTTTCGGGATCGCTGCAGGCGGAAGCGATGCGGTTTTGGATGACTTCGATGGTTTCGGTGGGTAGGGTGGTCATTGTGTATGTTGTTACAGTGGGTTGGTGAATGGATGGACTGAGATGGGAATTGTGGTTTGTTTTTATTCCCCTCAGCTCAGCCGAGAACCCCGCAATTCCGATTCGGGTCAATGTAAGTTCCGTGCGGGGTTACTCCAAACATTCAACAGGCACAGGGGAATATATTTCTACAATTGGAATGTATATCACCAGAAAGGAACTGATTTGAATAATGATCATCACTGACTATTCAATTCACTTTAAACAAAGATTCGGTGGGTCACGTGATTTCCATTCCATCACTGGACAACAAAGGATTGCATATATATCAATGAGTATATGCAGTGACTAAGGTCAGAAATATTGTTAAGGGTGTTTAAATGGGTCTTATCTTACTACCTGTTTAATTGTTACGTCATGTTGGATTCTGTTGATAATATATAATCTACTAAAAAGGTTGACATAACCTGAATCCCAGCACGATTTCCCTACCAGGTAGTGGTGATAAAGGTGCAAATTTGTATTCTAGTAACCGGGCAGTGATCTAAAGTTATTTTAATTATATTCATATTGTATCCAACCATTCACTAGACAGATATGGCATCACCGACTAATAATCCAACCCGGCTGGGTATTCCTGACTAGGGTATTATAGACGCTTGGCAGGGCTTAGATTAAATCTCTATTCTATCGGACCCAGTGTAACATTGTCAGAAACAAACCAAATAGCATCATCTGTAATAATCTCCGCCAGTAAGCGATTAGGACCAAAGATAGCCGTAAGTGGTTGGAAGAAATCAGTTGTATTAAATAGAACGGTGTTCATTTGGACTGAAAGAAAAGATATCAGATCCTGGTCAGAAAGCAGTAGGGATTAACCCATTAGGGAAAGCTTATTGGCCTAGTGGATGTCGTGATATCGACTATGGTGACTGTCCAATCAGATATTGGCCTGGTTAATATAGGGAAAATGCAGATAAGACAGTGATCATCAGGGTTACATTGCACATCATTCTGGGTGAATATGGGCCATTCTATCTAATATATAACCTCTTACCTTTGGCATATCATGGATACCCAGGCAACTGTCATACACCATGTGTACGTATACCCAACCTCATACTTTCCAGACTAACATCCATCTCCAGCTTCCACAGAAAAGAATATCGTCGAAGATGTCATCACCAGCAATGATGAAACCCCATTCGACACCGAAGGGCAAGGCCAGAAAGTGACAGATGAAGAATATCCAGAGCCCAGCGAAGAAGAAACAGACACCCTCCGCAAAGTCGCCGGCACCCTTCCTCTCGTTTCCTTCTCGTTGTGTCTAGTCGAATTTGCCGAGAGAGCTTCATACTTTGGTGCTCAGACTGTGTTTTCGAATTTCATCGAGTTTGGTCTTCCCAAGGGTATATCTCTATCTCTATCTATCTGTATATGATAGTAACAACTGTATAGGCGGCAATGGCTCTGGTGCTCCTCCCCGCGGAACACAACAAACAGCTGGAGCGCTGGGAATGGGTCTGCAGGCTAGCTCTGGTCTGGTGCTGCTATTCGCATTCTTGGCCTATATTATCCCTCTTTTTGGTGGATGGTGAGTCTATCTTACGTGTTTACAGTATGCATATTAATCTGCTAGGTGGGCTGACGTGCATGTTGGTCGATACAAAGCCATCTGCATTGGCGTGTTGATCTGTGGCATTGCCCATATCATCCAAGTCGTCGGGGCCATTCCATCTGTTCTCAAACGAGGGACGTCGAATTCTGCTCCTCCATTTATCATCGGATTGTTGCTGTTGGCTTTGGGAGCTGGTATCTTCAAGCCGAATATCGCCCCGACTATTTTGGACCAGCATCGCTGCAAGAAGCCGTATACGAAAGTGCTCAAGACCGGGGAAAAGGTCATTATTGACCCTGAATTGACGTCGAGTCGGACAATGCTGATTTATTATGGGTTTATCAATGTCGGTGCGTTTTATATGCTGGCCACGACGTATGCGGAAAAGTATGTCGGATACTGGCTTTCGTTCTTGCTGGCTGGTGCAATTTACTTTCTCCTTCCTGTTCTGTTGGCGTTGGTTTATAAGAAGACGTACAAAGTGCCGCCTAGTGGGACATCAGACCTGAGCAAGGCAGTCAAGATTATCTCGATGGCGCTGAAGCGGAATAAGTTTCGTGTTTGGAAAAAGGGGTTCTTTGATGCTGCCAGGCCGAGTGTGTTGGCTGCTGAGGGTATCCAAGTCGAATGGACTGACAGGATGGTTGACGATGTTCGTCGGACTCTAGGTATGTCTCTTCTTCCCCTTCATCATCATCATCTAATATAGATAGTGGCCACCGAGCTCTTCTTCTACTTCCCCATCTACAACATCAACGATGGCGGCATCGGCTCCGTCCTCACCAACCAAGGCGCCTCGATGACCACCAACGGCGCCCCCAACGACCTCTTGAACAACTTCAACGCCCTCACCATCATCGTCGCCACCCCCCTCCTCAGCCACGTCCTGTACCCCCTCCTTCTCCGCTTCAACATCAAATTCGGCCGCATCTCCCGCATCACCTTTGGCTTCTTCCTCGCCACCATCTCCAGCATCGTCGGCGCTATCGTCCAATGGCGCGTCTACAAAACCTCCCCATGCGGGTACTACGCCTCCGACTGCGCGGCCGGCGTCAGCCCCATCACGATCTGGTGGCAGCTCCCGAACGTGATTCTAGGTGCGCTATCGGAGCTGTTCTGTAACGTGACGGTGTATGAGATGGCGTATGCGCGATCGCCGCCGACGATGCGTGGGTTCGTCATGGCTGTCTTTCTCTTCACCACGGCGTTGTCGAGTGCGCTAGGTGAGATTTTGATTCCGGTTACTAAGGATCCGTATTTGATTTGGATTTGGGGGGCGCCGGCTGTTGCGTTGGCAGTGCAGTCGGTGTTGTTTTGGTGGAGGTTCCGGGCGTTGAATCATGATGAGTTTATGGTGTAGCTGGTTATTACTGGGGTCAGTGCTCTCGCGCTGAGGTCAGAGGTGGATGAGATTGTGATCGAGAAAGGTGGAATACTGCTATTGGTACACAGAACATGACGGCTTTTATACACAATTAGTTGTTTTCTGAGGTGATAAGAGTGAGCAGCCATTTCCAATTAAATGGCTTTATTATCTGGTTAATTCTTTTATCTGCGCTTCTACCTTTTCCTTCTCATTTTCCTTCCCACTCTCAGTTTTAATATACTACTCTAATACCAATCATGTGGTGGATGGCAAAGTTGAGCAAAAACTTGAGCAAAAACACAGTAATAAGGACGATAAAAAGCATTAATCTTATGGGCAGTATTCATATCGTTGGTAGCGATACAAAACTCTACGAATTGAAGCAATTCATGGTTAAGAATCGCTGTAAACCGTGGAATGGTTGAATATTGATGAACCCAGCGGATATTCGATATTCCAACCTGATAATAGCAATCATCAACACTAACTGAGTGCAACTTTCAACTGGGATCTCCTATGGACCTCACAGAAGATCTGCTCCACACATTTGAACTCAGACATGGTATCTGCGGAATTATCTTGATGTCCAAAAACATCACTGCCTTTGTTCTAGCAGCCTCATCAGATTCAAATTACAGAATTCCATGGAAACATCGGGCGGATAAACGAACTGGCAGAACAGCAGGATCCATTGATGTAAAAGCTCCATGTCACCACTGTCTGTGCAAGGGTTTTGGCCAATCAGGGCCGCGAGATAGAATGCCATTGGAAGTCTCCATGCGAAGTTGAACATGTTTACTATTTCACCTACAGCTGCCGTATGATCATGTGTTGCCCTGGATGTCATTTGAAAGGCGTTTTCATTTAGCCAAATGAACTCTCAAAGGTCCTGCGCTTTCTTAGCCCAAGGTGGGTGATTCTCATCTGTACAGGGACGGAGTATACCTCCAAACTGAGGCCGAAGCTGGGGCAGATGATTTGCGTTAAAAGTAGATTTGCTGAAATGACTTGGCATTTATTGTCAATTTACAACGATCCCTGGGGGAGGTATTCCCCAAAGTAGCAGCCTCATGTCGTGCACACTGCACAGGGTCTGGTGCACCCTCTTTCACTTCACTATTTTAGACATGAGGATGGTGGCAGGATTATAAACAAATTAATAAGCAAATTAATCAAGAAAGCAATACCCCCCTGGACAATGGTGTGCACATCCAAACACAGCATGAAATACAGATCGATCATGTGTCTTTTGCAAGATCTCTTTATTATCCCCAGCATGCCGGAAGTTCTGTTTGTAGAACATACAAAGTTGGTGCTCTTCTTGGCAGCGTGCCCATCTTGCGCATGGTATACACCCATCTGCGTAGCAACTCCTGAGGAACTCCACTAATTTCTCACTCAGCCTGAGGATAAACGGCCGCGGCTGGGATTTTGTTTGTTGTTGGTGCTTCCACAGTGTTTCCAGGCGGTTGAGCGATTCGATACATGCGGAAAAGTCAGATGCAGCCTCTGCTGCAAAGAGCGACTCATTAAGTAGCGCGGCTTGACAACGTTCCCTGATAATGTCTAATTGCTGGCGCCCGAAAGATGTTTCTTCATCCAAAGAAGCAAAGTACTCCAGCCCCTTATCGCAAACCTCAAGGCCTTTCTGCCATTGCATGTTGTTCAACAACTGTTCGAGCAGCCACTCTAGGTTTTCGGTAATCGCATCTTCCACTTCACTGATGTTCATAGGTTTATATCTTTTCCAGCTGCTCGTAAATTCAGCGTGCAGCTCCCTTACCCTCTCAATGTCATAGTGACTCCTTGCGTCAGCTATCTCTTCCATGAGTTGCTCGAGTTTGGTGGCAGCCTGGAGCCTCACAAGATGGTCGGGGGCCCACGCTTCAGGTAGTTCACTCAAGCTGAGGTTCGAAATCTCGTCTATGACAGACTGGGCACGATCATACTCTCCATCAAGCACAGCAGAACTCCAAGTATATAGCCGATCATAGAAAGACATATCTCGTCTGCATGCCTCCCGAATCGTCTCCACAGCATTGAGTTCCTTGAAAATATCACGCAGCCAATCATTCTTCTCTATCAATTCCTCTAGGCTATCCACATGTGCCAGGCAAGTGCTGAATTCTTTCTGTTTCATAGCTTGCTTGGCTAGCATCAAAGTTTCGAGAAAGTTCTCCTGGATTACCGTCATGGATTTCACAGAGTCAGGGTTACCAAGGAACCCTGTGTGATTTCTCATAATTTGCCGCATCTTTTCCCTGGACACAGCTGAAAGATACCCACTGCCGCCTTGCTTGGCTGCCATTTTATCGCACCAGCTAGAGGCAAGAAAGCAATGCAAGGGGGCTATGTCAGCCATTAAAGATAGATACTCTTTCTGCACTTGTATTGCGTCTCCTCTCCATCCCCCTTCAACGGACGGGAACAGGCTAAGTGCAAATTCAAACCTAAGCCGTCTTTGGTTGACTTCTTTCTTCAGGTTGTCCAAATGAGGACCAAGTATATCAAGACCGGCCATCATTCGACATAGCTTCCGGAGACTCTCGATATGTTGATCAGCTTCACCAAATAAGGTTTTATCAAGTGCATCACATAGCAGCTTCACATGCTGCAGAAATGCTTCTGCACAGTCGCCTGTATCGGTAGCGTCTTCGAGATCCTGCAGAATTGGCGAGAGAACGTGATTTCTCTTAGGAAATTCAACTCTTATTTTCCAGGGTGAGCAGCGAGAGGCTTCAGCAAGCTCGGCTCGCGCAGCGCCTTGTGTGTGTTTATGTATCAATCGTTGAAATGGATCCTGCCAATTGGGCATGTCTGGAATTTTTGATGCGGACTTGATATCATTTTGCATACTCGATTCCGAGAATTCATGTCCGTCAAGACCTCTAATGAGCATGTCAAGTTCGTGTTTCAGAGATCCCAAAAGTTCTGGTTTCAAGAAAAGCTCTGCCGGTAATGAGGTAACTCTGTTATTAGTGCAGAGTTCCTGAAATATTTCTCTTAGATCCTTGCTTGTCTTGTCTTTCAGTACCCCGATGCCTTGAATCCCATGAAGAGTGCTCATATGGGCGTCGAATATGCCCCTGTGATGAAAAAGCGGCAAAAGCAGCAATGCCTTGTATATTGTGTTCTTGGGTAGCGGGTTTGCCCAGTGATATTGATCCAGGATCTGCACCATATCAATGCATAGGTGCATCAGTTTTTGGCCTCGATCACGACACCAAAGGAATAGCCTCTTATTCTCGAGAATTCCGGCTATTGACATGACACAAAAGCCCAGCGGTGTCGAATCAAGAGCATCATCCCCTCTAGATCGCTCCACACACAAGCTCAAGAAATCAAGAAAGCTATCACCCATATGAATCGATATTGAGTTATCTTCAAGGTAGCTCTGAAGCAGATGTATTGGTAACTGGGTCGTAGGTATTTGGGATGCAAGCTCAAGACCCAGCTTGATGCAAGTTAGCACGTTTGCATCGCCACCACATTTGGTAAATCTAATGCACGGCTCACTGGCGCCGTCATAACCACCAGTAGGTGAACCTTTAGTCCCTTGCCATCGAAATGGGATCAACTGGATTGACTTTAAGATGAGCTCTTGCATCCATGGATGCCGAAGATGAGGGGTGAACTGAGGCACAAAAGCACGAGCGTAGATGGTAAACAACGGATGTACCCAGGCAATATTGGAGCCTAGCTCACAACGTATGTATCCTCTGTCGATAGCAAGCCCCAAAATATTAGAGTACCATTCCACAAGGGACTCTTGTTCTGACCCTATTTGCGTGCTAGGGCCGTTCTCTTCCCTTGAAACGGTTAAAAATAGTCTCTCAAAAACTTCCAGAGGGGGGGTTTCTCCCCAATAGCAGCTGAATAGTAATAGAAGAACAAAGCAATCACGCGGAAGCGCTGCAGAGAGGTAGAAAAGCTCTTCAAGAATGGGGTATGGCCCTCGGCCTTTTAAGTCCGGTAACGAATTGAACAAACCACCATGTAAGCGGTTGTAAAACTCCCGCCACGGTATACGGAATTCTCGCTGAAGGGGAAGGATCTCCATGAGGGCGAGCGGGATTCCGTGTAATAAGTCAATTATTGCCTCCAGCCAATCGAAATCCCGAGAGCCCCATTTCGCCACGTCTTCGCCTGCGTTACTGAGGATATTTTGAGACAATTCTATACTGTCTGACAGTTCCAGACTCTGAAGCTCAAAGCTTTGGACTGTGCTCGCCTGGTTGAAAATAGCCCCAAGCCATTGGTGATCAATACGGCGAGCTATTAAAACCACCCGACTCCTTCCTCCGAGCTCTGGTGATGTAGAAGACATGACAATGGATTTGATAATTTCAAAGATCTCCAGCCTTGCAGACCCTGCATGGGGCGAGTTGGAAGCAACATGCGCACGAAAAGGGGAAAACAACATATCAAGGCCATCGATTATTAAAATAGCGTCACAGGTGGAGAGTACGTTTGTTATAATGTCCTGGATCGCGTCAAGGCTGTGAGATTGCTTTCGTAGAGATGGGATGGTCCAGAGTTGTGGCCTCTCGGATTGGGCCTGTGTTTGCAGAAGCTGGTTCAAGACGGCGTTGGCAAAGTCAGGCCCGGATAATATCCTCTCCATGGCAAAATCAATCACAACTACTGCATTTGCAAAGCACGTCTTTAGCCATAGCTCAGCAGCATATCTGAGGAGTGAAGACTTCCCCACTCCAGCAGGTCCGTGGAGGTAGACAATGGGACTCTCGAAAAGCACCTTTTCTAATCGCATCAAGTCAAGATCTCGACCGACGGGCTTCAAATATGGAAGGGACGAGACCGTAGGAATTGTTGTAGAAGTAGACGAGAAGAGAGCACTGTTTTCTACAGAATCATTCTGGCTTGCATCATCCTCCACGAGCGGACAGTCATCGCCACACCCGTAGAGCACAGGAACGAAGGCATCAAGAAGTTCTCGTTCCAACCCGAACCTCGCTGGACGGAGCATATTCGCTCGCAGCGCCTCTCGTGCTTTACTTGATGAAGCAACAAATGTCAATCGATCAATGAGAAGTGACTGATAAAAGCTCGCGAAGAAAAGGTCCACAGCTGCGCTGGATACCTTGAATGACATGGCCAGGACATTTCCTACCCCCCCTCGCCTTTGGAGGACGCTCGCAATGTTGGCGTCGTCGCCACTGCTCGCCCTCGCTGAATTGCAGGCATTCAATACCACAGATGGGATTTCATATTCTCTGAGTAGGTTGGCGACATTCAACGCGGGGACTGCATGTAGGCCGTCTGATCGTTTGCGGCCAAAGTAAAGTAGTCCAACCTTGACGCGATTTATAGTCTTTACCGTTCCATGCATATCAAAGTGGACAATCTGGAAATATCCAGGTCCGTTTACTTGCTTTGCGCGTCGCAGATGTTCTTTGAGTGATGCAAAGGTGCCCGGACGAGCAATTTCCACATGGAAACGAAGGCGACCTCCACCACCATTTAACTTTTGTTGAACTTTGCTCAGAGCCTCGAAAGCCAGGAATGGGCAAACGTCATTGTATGTTTCCGGGTTTCTAGATGTATCCCTCGCAATAACCAAGAGTATGTTAACCGTGGTCACATCCTCCCGCCGTACATCCCATGATCGCACCCGTTTCGTAGGGGAAAATCCAGCGCCCCCAGCTGGAGAAAGATGTCGCTCAATTATTACTTGCCATCCAAATGTCGTGGTTTTATCTAGATACTCAAGCGTTTCCCAGAAGAGCTGATGAATGGTGCTGTTAGAGTCCTCCAACGGACGCCCATATTCACTTGGTCGAATTATCAGGCGCTGCGGCTTTCCCCAGCCCGCGTTTTCAAGGGAAGAGACAACCTCTGCCAGTCGCAGCTCTCGCCACAGCCTTTTCGGGTACTCTTCCAAGAGTGCTCTGGCATCTTCCCCAGGCTCAACTGAGTAAGGTGTCTTTTGTGTGTACTCCTCGAGATACCAACTGCAAAGACGACGTTGCTCGGTGGAGAGAGGGTCCTTCAGTGCGACGTCGCGTAAGGACTTTTTCCCTGATACGCAAATATCAACTGTCCATTCTGGGCACGGGGACTTTGCGGCATATTGTGATCCAGTCGGCTGTGATGGCGGCTTGGGCCGAGCTTGAAGCTCTATCACCACAACTGCGTCCATTGTGTGAAAAATGTGAAGTCGAATTGCAACGAGAGGAAGGAACGGTTGGTTAGAGGTCACTCTGATGACCGCAGAACGCCGACCGCAAAAGGGGGTTGAGGTTTTGACGGGGTTTCCCCTTGTCGATGTGGCGCAGAACCCTGCAATGCATATGGTTGCCAGCTCTAGAACAGCCGCAGTCAAGGCAGTGTTGTGTTCGGAGAAAGGGGCTTAGATTGTAAGCAGCGCTGTATTTTGACGGTGCACATATAAAGTGTCTTGGCCTTTCCTAACCTCTGTGAGGCCCTAAGCGTTACATGCCCTAAGTCCTCCATCTCCGGTCCTATTGCAATTTTCAAGCCCACGACACCCCGCCCAAAAGACCGGAAAAAAAAAAAAAAAAGAAAAGAAAAGAAAAGAAAGAACTAAAGGAAACAGAATGTGCAAGCGGCGATACTTCATACTCGATGAGACACTCCCTGCAACTGAAATTGATAGCTTTATGTGTCGGGTAGTCAAGACTGTGTCACGGCCACTCGACGGATATGCGCCTTGTTGTCCTCCCGCACATGGACAACCGTCGCACAACACAAATGAGATCATCCGTGATATTCTCCCACAGCCCTCTTTGTCAGCAAATAGGAAAGAGCTTGTCCAAGTCTTCCGCGAGAAGGGCATCAGCGCTCAATTATCTGCACTATTGGGATTGGAACTAAGCCGAGGCTCATCGGAGACCAGAAAGCTCGAAAGCGAACTCGTGAAACAGTACAGTCTTTCCAACCCCCAGCAATATTTCGACATCCTTATGCAAAATCAAGACTATTCGCGGGACGTTCGAGTACTCTTGGAAAATGCCAAATCCCATCGCGCGTACTTGGTGACTGGCTTTCTTACAGCTGTCAGCACCACCTGGACGATCGAGACCACGACCAATACTGCGAACAGCTTGAATGTGAATGTCCCATTATCGGCGCTGGCCAACGTCCCTGTGCCAGGGGCGTTGGACTTTGGCCTCCAGCCACGAATCAATTCTGGCACGCAACGCAGTCGCGAGTTTTCCACTGCGGCTGAGGAGATCTTTGCGGTGTCGTACTCGGTGGTTGAGTTGAAATCTCAGAGCAGGCTGTTGCCCGGATTTGGCCACAAATCTCCGACTTTGAGGCATCCGAAAAGGGCAAAGGCCTATCATTTAGCTTTGGGGGATGATGATGACAGTAGTGAAGAGATCGATCTTGATTCCGATGGAGACATCGAATACGGCAAGAATAAAGCAACATCTGCTGAAGCTTCGGTCAATCTCATCGGCGATAGTGGAGACATGGAAGCAGTATATTCTTGCCAGAAGTACCATCGTATTTCGACCTTTGAATGTTGACAGAATGGAATCCCAGATTTCCTAGTCTAATATATGAGGATATTGGACAGCTTGAATTCTTTCCAGGTTTAAAGAAGGAGGGTATATCATTATACAATTGGACTACTAGTTGCATGGTATTAGATTGCTTGGTGAACTGTATCCTGGGACACACATACGTGAGCCCTATACAAACAGCATTCCTCAACGCGCTCATGGTTAATACGTAGTAGGTACCAGTGTTCCTCCTACACATCCCTGACAACTTTGCCATTCATAATTTTAGTTCTTTTCGTGTTGAAGATGGATAAGTACCTTGCATGGCTGAAATGGATGTAAGATTAACTTGTAAATCTCATTAACCTACATAGCTCTGTAAATATGCTAGAATAGGCAATTAACTATATATTAAAACCAGTAAGATATATGTAAAGGGCCAAGGCCCAGGTGATTGACTCGAACCGGAAACCGCTTCTCATTGAAACTATTCATATCTACCCTGTGGGAACTCTGAACAGGCAGTATAATACACAAAGTTCTCTTACATCAACATACTATTATGAAAGTGGTAAATTAGTAATTTAATAAACTACCTGTTAACTCAACCGCAATAATTAAAGGGAATCTAATATCTAGGTAGCTTAAAACACACTGTGATCTATTCTAATGCAATTTCTGCTGCCTGCAGCAAGAAAATCATTTCTGCTTATAGAGTGGCTATGTGCAGATGCCAAGTAATTCTATATTTCAGATAAGACCATTAATCATCTTTAGTTTGGTCCCGCCAATTGCCAACACACGATTACCCCGCTTTCAGATCTCTCTACCAAGATATACCTCACATTCCATTGCCTGCCCACATAGTACGCCAGTGTGTTTTTTCGCCCCTACAGTCAATAATCAATGTTGCCTTCATCGATCCTACGCGTTTAAATTGAACTATTGCATTACAGCCCAAGTGCAGCTCAACTCAATGCACGATCGAAGATCCTGTCACATCCGCCCACGCAACCTACCCAACAAGCACGGCTTCAGAAGACCATAATGATCAGGGAATAAGTCTATGCGATTTCCTAGGGTGTGGAGAGTCTTGTAAAGATCTTCATGCTCACCAGGTCACACCCCAAGTTGATAGACCTGAAAAATGCCCAGTTATGGACTGTCCCTGGCACCTTAGGGGATTCGCTCGTCCTTATGATAAAGATAAACATACCCTTACCCATTACACGGGGGTCCTGATTTGTGGATTCTGTCCCGGATCTGGATCTCAGAGCTTCAGTCGGGTGGGTTTTTTCAAGAGACATCTCACGGATGAACATAATGCGAATGGTCATGATCACAAAGGCCTTGGTACCACTAGCAGTGAAGTGAGCGGCAAGTGCTCGACTTGCTCACTTGTCTTCAACAACGTTCAAGTCTTCTACAACCACCTGGAAAAATGTATCTGCCACGCGGTTATCAATGGATGAAAGGTCAATGTCCCAGAGACAATAGGATAAAGTTATATCATCATGCACAAGAAATATATATCTCATGATAATAATTTAATTCTTAAAGGAAGGATTAATATATTCCTTAATCACCCTTAAGAAGAAAGATAGGATGATTACATCATTAAAATACTATTAAAATAGTAGGTAAACATAATATAAGGAGAGCCATCTTAGTAATATGCAACCATCCATTATGGATTACTATCTTAATATTCCTATTTCTATTTCCTATATATTCTACTATCTTCTCCTTATTAAAGAGAAACACCCTTAATGATTCCCTGGGTCTAGTAATAGTATAGATTATAAAGTTTTTATAGAAGTACCACCCCTATATATCTCCTATAAAATAGTTAGTAAGGGTAATACTAAGTAGTGTGTCACACGAGTCGAGTTTGAGTAGAGATTTAGGACTCAACTCGCGAGTCGAGTGAGAAGGTAGGACTGAAACTCATGAGTTGAACTCATGCCAAGAAGAGTAAGAGTAGAATAAGAGTCACTATTTTTACTGTATTTTACAATATTTTAAGCCTCCCCCATATAAAATAGCTGTACTTTTGGTATTACGAGTAGAGTTGTAAAATATTTAGAGCTCGAACTTATAGTATGAGTCCTAAATCTTAACTTGACTCATATTACGAGTCCTAAATCTCAACTCAAACTCGCCTCATTACTCGAACTCTACTCGTTACTCATGAGTAAACTCGACTCGTGTGACACACTAATACTAAGTCTAATGTATACATACAGTATATCCTAAGACCTTAAGTAGACCATATCTAGAGGAAAATCTCACTTCCCCCAATCTCTTTGTGATAGATGATATAGCCACCAGGACCAGGACATGCTGAATAGAACTCTCCTTCCTTGGTGAGTTCGCCTAGACTAAAGTTTTCAATGCCAAGCTTGGTGAAGGTAATCTAAGCATTATCATTTCCTTACCTAGCTAATGGGTTTTCTATCCTGACAAATAGATATATCTTACACTTAACTAGAATTATAATTAGCTGGACGTAAATAAAGTGCAATATGACCAAGATCTATCATAATAGTGTATAATTGGATGAATAGTGGTGGGAGGTGGTTTGGTCTCCCCCCCCGCAACCCATTTTTTTCTTAGGGATTCCCGCCATTGCAGTGGAACTTAGATAGTAGGGGTTTAAAATCTGTTGATACTTAGCAGATGGCCCCGTTGACCGTAGTTCAAAATTCTCGCCCTGTAGGGTCGCCACAGACAAGAAGTATTGTATCCACTCACTTTTAAACCGATCAACAAGCTATTACTAGACGACCTGTGAGCATAATGCTTTGCTAGATACAGAAGCAAAACTTTGCAAATCCCAAAATACATTCCGTCCAGTACAATTTGTTTCCACGATAAATAACCCAATTCACAACTATTCAAATCCACCTAAAGAATATCAATCTCCCTTTCTGCTATCATGTCATCAGCATTTGGAAAAATTGACAAGAATGGAATACATCAATCGTTGAAAATATTAGACAATCGCATAGGAGTCCCAGGAAAAAAGAGAACGTTAGATTATCCGGATTCAAGTGTTGTTGTTAAGTTTGTATATTCCAAAACCATAACGATTCAAAATTTTTGCCGATTTTTTGGAAGCTTTCCAGTCACGAAACGTTCGTGCTCACGCTTTGCTAAAACTCCAATATTTTTCTTTCCAATCCCACCAACTTAATGTCCAGCTTGCGCATCCACAATTCCAAAAAAAAAAAAAAAAAAATTATCTTCCCTGGAGCAGAGATTATGCGCTACAAATGCCAAGTGGTTGCAACACCATCCCGTCAAATCTATCCAAGAGCTGGCGGCCGTGAGGATCAGCTTGGGTAATGTTGAACTGACTACTCAGACAAATATGAACGGCATCTGAGTATATCTGGCCCATGCTCAACGGTAGTTCTGCACTGGCTTTTTGCTGTAGATAGATAGAGAATTCTTGATTAGCAAATCTCCTCCGTCTACTTTCATTAAGAGATGCTGCAGTTCTCCACATCCCAATCTCAGCAAGAACAACTCCAAGACTATAAAGATCATACAGCTTTTGATAACCGCGTTCTTGGTACTCTTGGGTATTCCACGCTCTGCTCACACAGTTGGAGTGTCGATATAGATCCAATGAACTGTCATTTTCCTTAATGGAAGCTTCTCCACGTCGGTCAGGGCGCGAAAAGCCGAAACCCAAAAGAGCGAAATCCGGGTTCTTGAGGATGGAATCGGGAGATTGTGCTTCATTTTCGTTTTCATTTTTGTTGAACAAGACAATATTGCTGCTGCGGATCGCTTTGTGCATCCATCCGGTGCTGAGGATGTAGTACACCGACGTTGCGATTTCTCTTGCGAGCCGAAATCTTAGGCCAAGCTCTGGTGGATGTTCATTTGTTGAAATTGCCTCATATAAGGACGTTAGCGGACTTTGCTGAGGTATCTGTCGATGATGGAGTGGAGACTCGAACACAAGGCCATAGCGACATCCAAGATGGAATTTTTCATCCTGGAAGTAACCAATAAACTTTGGAATATGGTAATTGAGACGGCCATGGACAGCATTCAGAAGTGTGGCAAGCTGCACGACATCTATCCTCAGTTGCATTTCTGCATTTGGACCTTGATATGAACTGGAACATCTCCACTCAACAATCACACTGCGTGTCCCAAAATCAATCTGATTGCTCTGAATGCACCCTTGCCATCGCGCCAGATCAACAGGTAATGCCTGATGAGGAAATCTCGCATCCCGAAGGAAATGTGTTTCAATCAGAGCATCTCCCTCGACTTCTTCATTAGTCTTCCAAATGGGTAATGCTTCTCGTACAGTAACTGCACTTTCAATGGCACTCATTATTTCAAAATCAGAAGCACTTCTTTGACCCATCTGTGCCGCAGCCAGTTTAAGATTTTCCATAATCCCTGGTGTGGACACAGTGACTTTGTCGCGCAGCATCTGCCTTTCGACCAAGTGAATATCCTCTGGAAGCAACTCGCACAGCGCTCTCCGTAGAGAAGAGACTCGGCCAACAAGCTTTTCGAGCCTCGAACCATCTCGAATTGCCCATCGGAAGGCACGCGGCCGCGGTACATCTCTTTCCTTCACGCTTCTGATGATCTTTCGGCAGATATTGTCCTCTTCATCTGCCACATTTATTATTGGAACGGACTTGAACTTTTCTTCATAACGCGAAACAAGATGACTCGATTCATGAAACAGACCTATTATCCTTTCAAGCGTTCTTCCAATAAGCTGGCAGTAGGAAAATGGGAAGGCCTTGGTTTTTCCCAGCTCGCGATTGAAAATACCGACATTTTCTGCCCAGTGCCCGATAAAGATTTGTTCAAACTGCAGTTGTATGCTTAAATCTTCAAAGTCTTCTTTACGATCTGCTGCTTTGAAACCAAACTCAATGACCTCGAGGCACGTTCCTGTAAGCCCGAGGATGCCAAGAACGATGCCAACAGGCTCTGTCATATTGTCAAAGTGATGTGATTGTTTGAGCTTTGGATGTCCGTTAGTTATTCACATGGAAGGGGTTTTGTGATAATATATAGATATGAATAAACAATTCTGAGAGGACAGGGCCATGACTGACACTATAGCCTCATATATTCCAGCCTGTTCAATGGTATGTAGTTGTGTAGAGAATACTAAAATCAACTGCTTCTAGGTATCATTATGATCTAAAGGGCCACCAAAACTTACTATAACTTGTGAGCACATTAGGTATAGGGAGGGGAATCTTCTTATCAAAAGTATTTTTCACTGGAGTGAATCACTTTGATATGCTACAAAGTTAAACTTAAAACACATTAGGAAGTTTTTGAAAAAAAAAAAAAAAAATATAAGAAATGTTTAAGCAATGTTTAAGGGAGGCCTGATAAGCGGAAATCTAGACTCCACATTCTCTATAGGAGCCACCTGGTTTAAGATTTAAAATCTGATGTAAAGTTTACTAGTTCTAGACCGCAGATTCTAAGGTTATAATTTATATTGAGAATAATAAAATTAACTCCTTCTAGGAATCACTATGATCTAAAGACCTGCCAAAACTTACAAGCATAGTAGGTTTGGGTAGTAGTATCTACTAATTAAAAGCATGTATTCTAGAACGACTATGTTTACTATTGAGTTAAACTTAAATTATACTAGGAAATTTTTCAAAATATAAGGAACATTCAGGAGCAGTCAGCAGTCTAACAAGTGGAAATCTAGATTCCTCTATTCTTTTATCATATGAGCCATCTATTTCAAGGTTTAAGATCTAATGTCAGGTCTATCAGTTCTAGATCCCACATATAGCAAAAGGATTGGTTATTGGAAAGAATGTTATTCTAGGTTTCAGCAGAAACCATGTGGTGCGATGAGGCAGTATGAGACAAGTCACCCGCCACTGAATATTAGCAAATTCAGTTCAAATGCACACGTCAGTGCTGATTACTAGCCGAGGGAAAACGAAATAGGAAGTACTCAAAGAAGAGCATAATCTTTGGATGGCTTTGCCAGTATGTAGCGTGTCACAAGACCCACATAGACGTTACTGAGATGCTCTGGAACGGGAGTGTTCAAAGTAAACAAAAATAGTAATTAGTACCTAATATATATTCCTCTCGTCGTCATACCGTGCGTTTGGAACTGTTAAATCCTCATCTCCTGACCATATTGGGGTCTAATTCTCTACTGAGCTTCAAAACATTGACAAGATACAGCTTTGATTATGGCCTACTTATCTAGAAGGAGGTTCTCTACTGACAACGATGCACCTCGCAGTACACAGCGCTATCCTAACCCTATCGGTGACTTTGCATCGTTCATGATGTTCTTCAATGAGATCTTTCTCAATGACGAATATATGATTGACTTTGGTATGACCAACGACGTACAGACGAGCAATGTTATCGGAGAAGGGAATCAATTCGAAGTCAAAAGATTGGCCCTCCAAGGATCCATGTCTGTTAGGACCTCCCTTGACCCCCACAGCCGACTAAGCAAAGGAGACAACGTAGTCATCAAGCGACCACGTCTGGATGTTGACGAGTCTGGCCATCTCATCGAGCCCGAAATAATCACGAATATTGTCCAAGAGCTTCGCGTTGTGTCCCATCATCGTCTCCGTAAGCATCCTAACATCCTTGACGTCTATGGATTCGCATGGGAAGACGAGTATGTATCACCCCGCATCAAAGTTTGGCCGATTATCATGGTTGAATACGCGGCCGGTGGTACGCTGGATGACTATTTTTCGGCGTCCTCAGGCTCCTTGACCTTGGACCAGAAGCTCGGGTTAGCCGGCGACGTCGCTCAGGGCATTGATGCACTACATAGGTGTCGCATCTTACATTCAGACATTAAGCCTCCCAATGTCTTAGTCTGTGTTGACAAGGGTGGTGGTGTAATCGCAAAGCTCTCGGACTTTGCACTTTCAATTTTCCTTGATGAGAGACAACCGAATGAGGCATGGAAAAGAGGAACAGAAATGTGGATGGCTCCGGAATGGGGGTCAGTGATACCTAATGATGAGCTACTCAAAGCGGACTGTTAGTTAAAAGCCAGTGCAAAAAAAAAAAAAAAAAAAAAAAAAAAACCCCTATGGACCAATTGAACTGATTGTTGGGCAGATTACAGCTGCGGCCTTCTACTCTGGTCTATATTGGTTGATGGCGAGGAATTATGGGATAACGACACCTTCGGTAATACACCCGAGCACTGTTATTCATCGTTTATGCGTGCCAAAGATCGAGGCGACGAGTTACTCGTGATTGTAATCGCAATAATTGAAGGCCGTGGGATACCGAATGATGAAATTGAAGAGATAGCGGACTTATTGGGATCGCTACTACGTCAGGACCCTTGCCAAAGGACATTAGATTTGCTGTTAAGGGCACATGGAGTAATTCAAAGGTATTGCTTATCTAGCGAGACGCTTTTATTGGTTATTCATCGGTTCTGACGAGTCTTTAGAGAACCTGCTGTCTATATGGACAATCCTTCTCTCTTGATAAGTGAAACTGAAGGCGGGGTATCCAATCGTTCTCATGGACTTATTCCAGTAAGAATACACTCTTGGTAAAACAAGAAAAGAAATAGAAAAAAGGCGGGAAACTGTTAACACTTGTCCAGAAACTGCGCAACTTTTCCGAGATATCTCGCCGATATGCTCCAATGCAAGTCCAACAGCAGCTTCTCGATTCACTTCAAGAAGTTGCAAGAAGCCCGGATCAGTCTGCAGAAAAGAAAGCCGACGCAAGCTATGCGGTAGCAATTCTATACCTGCTTCGCTTTGGAACAGTTCGGCAATCTGAGTCTCCACCGACCGGCTATACTGGATATGAAATCGACTACAACCAAGTGCTTAAGTGGCTTAGAGAAGCGGCTGATTTTGGGTCTACCATTGCGCAGTCTTTATATTTCCAGTTCTTCGAGGCTTCTGGCCTAAGCCCTGAGAACGATCCAGTTTCAAACGAAAAGAGAGCCGAATGGTTGTGGAATGGCACCATAGCCGGGTCGCATCTCGCGTCAGCAATATTTCACCACTGCAATCCAGAGCGCTGGGAGGAGGCGGACCGTTTGTTCAGAACAAGCCTCTGTGGTGTCGGAAAGGCGCTTTTTGAGGAAGATCTCACCAGTAGCTTGAATGAAGAGAAGTTGAGATATTTAACAAATCGCACGGGCGGATCGGACCTAAATGCTCGCGGTGACACCGTTTTACACTGGGCTGCAATGACAGGGGCGGAAACAGAGCTACGGATAATTCTTGACGGATCCGCAGAGCTTGATATCAATCAGACGAACTATGAGACCGAGACTCCACTTTTCCAGGCTGCCAGATCGGGACATATCAACATAGTCCAACTACTTCTGTCTCTGGGAGCCAACCCATCCATCTGTTCAGGTAACGGAGAGAATGTCCTCCATTGGCTTTCTTCGTTTGATGTGGACGAGATGAACTTGTTGCTTGTTGCGGCAAGTTTTATTGAAGGCGGCTCCAGTTTAGAACAGATGTGCTCTCAAAATTCCATATTTAGCCTGGATTCTTGTGTGACGTTATCGTCTGGTTCACCGTTGCGAAGGGCAGTCGCGCGAAACCATACATCGGCAGTGAGAGTCCTCCTTCAGCTTGGAGCAAGTCCATACAATGGCGGAAATAATTCCCCAATAGCTTTGGCAAGCTCAGCACATAATATTGAGATATTGGATCTTTTCCTGCCCCCTAACTACTCAATCAAGCATCCTCCTTGGAAGGAAATGTCGCGTTGGAAAAATTGGCAATTCCTAATGGAAATCCTGTCTGGATTGTCAGCAAAAAGCTTCCAACTTGGAGCCCCAGCTGCTTTCCAGTCCATGCAAGACCAAGGAGATGAGCAGTCGCTTCTCGGATACGCCCTAGACCCCTTGCCGCTAAATGAGCGGATAGCCCTACACGGTTCTCGTTTTAAAGAGCAAATGCAGGCCACAATTCGAAGGCTACGAGAAGTAGGGGAAGAAGACTATTCCAAGGTAACACCGAACGGGAACTCAGCAATGATGCAAGCTGTCACGAGCCGAGATATAAATATTGTCTCATTTTTACTCGATTCAGATTTCCCAGAAATGGCGCCGCTTTTAGTCCGTGTTTGCCCTTCTGCCTCTGGCTCCAACACGCCCCTTGGACTCGCGATACTTATGAATGATAAACCGATATTCGATAAACTGCTTGAGTTTATAGGTCCAAACACTCCTTTAAACCTCTCAGCTTCCATGGAAATGTTTGTCCCAGATATCATAAAGTCTATATTGCCCAAGGAGAGCATGGCGGCACCCGATGGCTCTATCTGGACAGTCGCGTCTTTTCCGCCATCTTCCGAGTTCGTCAACCTTGTCCATCTTTGCGTGGCATCTACGCCTGACCCTTCCTTTGTACGTTCAATTCTGCAATCCACGGCGGACCCTCACAAGTTGGTCAACGAACATGGTTTCTTTGATGAGCTACCTTTCACCATGGCCTTGGTGAGACACGCATTCGAGGTGGCGGAAACTCTGTTGAATTATGGAGCTAGGCCGGACGAGGAAGCTCATCAGCCGACTGCTGGAATAAATGGCTTAACACCTCTTGGTGCTCTCATTGGGTTTAATAACCACGGCACTACAAGAGCAATTGATTGGCTCTTGGCACATGGAGGTGGTTTTATCGTCAATCAACAACTCGGGCTGACCGCACACCACATGGCCGTCCGAGCCGGCGGATTCTACGAAACGGAAGGAAGAGCAAGTCAAATGCTTCCCATCGAGCTCTACAAGTTTGATCCCGCCAATCTCAATATAATCTTGCATTATTTCAATCAGCCTGAGCAGATAAACTACCGTGATCACTACGTTGGATTTACAGCTCTTCATTACGGAGTTCTTCGACTGAATCCTGAGGCAATCGGGCTTCTTCTCAACGCTGGGGCTGATCCGGATATTGAGGGCGAGAACGGCATTCCTACCGCGCGACAGATTGCAATGTCACTAAGCAGAGAGAGCATTCCAGAGCGCGTGAGTTTAAGAGGCGAAAAAATGGTAGCAAGATATCTGAATCGGATTAACAGAGTGAGGGAGTCCATGCAGAGAGGTGCGTTGAATTTATCGGATTCGGCAGCTAATATATTAACTGAATTGCTAAAAGGGGAGTCATAATACTGAATGAGAGCTCTGTATCGGCCTTGTAGTATTTAGTATCACATTCCCATGACTACACGGGATGTCTCTGACATTTTCTGTGCTCCGCGTTCAATTCTCAGTCATTTTTCGCAACTTTGCATTCTTAAAAAATATTAATTCTTTTATGCTATTACAAGAAAACCGAAGATATACCATATCAAACTTTTCAATTCGCAGTTGCTGTCATGGGACATATCCGTTGTATCTAGAAACTAAATTTGGCACAAGAGAACTTGATAAAGAAATGATATCTGGCCCATTGGATAAAAGACATGACTATTATAGTGTGCAGGACACCTCTACTCCTTGGGATGATTCTTATTATAGGTCTGAAGCCAGTACTCTGACTTTTGAGAGGGGCCTGTTTAACCGACTGCTTTTGACAAACACCCTCATTAGATTGATGTTGATAGTATCTATCGTGGTATTCACTATCAAGTTGATCAAATTATATATTAGACATATAGAATACACCATGTTGGAGTAAGTGACTGTTTAAGAAGGCTTGTGCATCGTGAAAACCACGGACTACTCTGCCCAACGGCTGGCTGCGGAGTTGAGACGTCCAACGGAGCTGCCACCGTTGTAGTCATTGTCTCCGGTGCAATCCAGGCTGGATCCATTGACGCGGCCAGGTTTTTCGTTGGCCGGACTCTTTGTGGCATAGGCTTGGGGATGATTTTCGCCAACACCCCAGTCTACATGAGTGAGGTATCACCGCCTCATATTCGAGATCTTCTGATGGGCTAGCATGGCATTAGGGTTGTGTCGGCCTACATCCTAGCTGCATTGTGTACGCTGGCTTTTCCTTTGTGAAGATAGAAGCGCACTGGCGGTTGATCTTTGTGACACTGACTGGCGTGTCATTGATCTACCTGGCGTCTCTTTTTCATCTCCAAGTCTTCGCAATGGCTGATGGAGAAGGGCGGTGAGGAAGAGGCAAAATAGGTGCTAGTTCACCTACATAGCACCAGGACAGACACGCGTCTGCATTCACTCACACAGAACTGAAGCAGATCAAGGAACAGGTGGAAGTGGAGTGAATACCCCTAAGTGGGTTTCTCTATATTGCTTGCACTCTGAGCCACTGCAAGAGAGCACTGTGTTCAATTCTCCTCTAGGTAATGGGCCAGGGAATGAGAATCACTACTATTAGGAACTTGATTCTCACATTGATAGGATTGCTGTGGCTTAGCACTATAATACAGGCTGGGTCCAGGATTTGTTTAGACCGTTTGTGCGGTTAGCAGCTGCGGCATTAATTTTATTCTCTTAGATCGCGTGGGTCGGGTGAAACTTCTAGGTTTGTCATTCATTTGCTTATCCGTATAGCTAAGACATGCCAGTGGCCGGTGGATTCGGCAGCGCCCTGATAATTGGTGTCATGGTCGGCCTGGAGAAATACTACCTCAACACAACCTACATATCCAGCATCAACGCAGCCGTAGCACTATACTTTCTCTTTGGTGCTTTTTTTACCTTGACAATCTAATGTACCACATAGTCTACGGGTCTGAGATCTGGCCTACGCATCTCCGCAGCTAGGGCGCGACAATCGTCTGCGCGAGATTTTTCGCCAATGCCGTTGCGTATGCGGCTCCTGTAGTCGTGACGTTGAAAACATTGGATGGAAGTATTATATGATTTTTGTGGCTGCTATGGTGTGGCTACTGTTGTTTTGATGTTTTATTTTCCAGAGGTGAGTCTTTTCTAGGTTGATTGATATGGTATCAGCTAATGGTTATAAACCATGGGTTGTTGAGTCTGGGGGAGATTAGTGTCAATTTCGATACGGTGGAGGTGAATCTTCAGGATGCACTGGCAGAGGGCAGATTAATTGACGAAGCTTGAGTCGTATGATTATGCCATGGAATGACTTGGTAGACGAATACCATCCATGGTAGCTGAGTCATATCTGGAGACCCCGCGGATATGGTTGCGATTTGTTCAACGCGGGGTAATTGTGGGGCTACCCCAGCCAATCGGCGCAATAATGGGTAAGAGTTACCTAATTAGTGTACCATGCAATAGGCTATACTACCCTATGGCATAATGCAATTATCCGCAGTCTGCTGGCCAACAGGGCTAGGGTGCTTAGCTCTTAATTTCATGCTTGGAACTTCCTATCCAGGCGGATTTCCGCACATTTGAAGCACTAGTGATGCTTGGCTACTGTATTTTAGTCTACACACATTAATATATAAAGCAATTCATGCCCCGGAAATTTCTCTTTCAACCATCATCAACCCACAATTGAATTATGGAGTCTACAGCAGAGGATCGGGCAAGACTAGCCCATAAAAACCGATGGCGCACAGTAGCCAACAACCCCAAGCTGATCGTGATCGCTCTTTTTGCATCGTACGTACCTCACTGAATATCTCATATCTGCATTCTTATCTAAATACAACCAGTTTCGGTGGCTTCGAGTACGGCTACCAGCAAGGTGTCCTCGGCCAATCCCTGGTGATGACTCGATTCAAGGATAACTTTCCCTCGGTTGTGCAGTCAACCGGTGCAACAGGCTGGTTAACCTCGATTCTTCAGCTGGGGGGCGTGCTTGGTTCTCTGACGGCTGGTGTGTTGGGAGAAGTCATCTCGAGAAAGTATACCATGTTTTCTGCTTGCTGCTGGGTTATTCTCGGGAGTTATCTGTATTGCGGTGCGACGCATCATCAGCCTGCATTGCTTTATGTGGCCAGGTTCTTCACAGGAATTGGGGTCGGGACGTTCAGCGGTGTTGGGTAAGCTATTCTCAGGTTTGCTATCATCGGTCTACTAATATGATTGATAGCCCGTTGTACAACGCCGAACTATCAGCCCCAGAGCTCCGCGGATTCCTCGTCTCATTCTACCAATTCTGTACGATATTGGGCATCATGCTTTCGTTCTGGATCGGCTATGGCAGCAATTACATCGGTGGTCCCGGCGAGAACCAGAGTAATCTAGCCTGGATGCTACCGTCCATCATTCAAGGCATCCCAGCTGTCCTTCTTGCATTGGGGATCTGGTGGCTCCCATTTTCGCCCCGGTGGCTAGCCAGCCAAGGCCGTGACGAGGAAGCCCTGAAGACGCTTTCCTATCTGCGGAATCTCCCCGAGCAGCATGATCTCATCCAGCTGGAGTTCAAAGAAATCAAAGCCGAATGCTTGTTCGAGCAGCGCGTCTTCGAGAAGAACTTCCCCAATCTAGCGACGCAAGGAAAACGGAGTGTTTGGACTCGGGAATTGGTGCAGTATTACAACATTGTCAGGACAAGAGATAACCTGAAGCGGGTCGCAACGGCCTGGCTCATCATGTTCTGGCAGCAATGGTCGGGTGTTGATGCGATTATCTACTATGCAAGCAATGTGTTTGAAAGTCTGGGCTTGACAGGTGGTACGCAGGCATTGCTGGCTACCGGCGTGACGGGCGTGGTGTTCTTTGTTAGCACCATTCCTGCAATGCCGATTATCGACAAGGTAGGACGCAAGACGATGCTGTATGCCGGGTCGACGGTCATGCTGGCCTCCATGGTCATCGCGGCTGCGATTGTCGCCGTCTACCAGCATGACTGGGAATCTCATGTCGCGGCGGGATGGGTCGCCGTGGCCTTCATCTGGGTCTACATCGGTGCCTTTGGGGCGACCTGGGGCCCGACAAGCTGGGTACTAGTAGCAGAGATATTCCCATTGTCTATACGATCCAAAGGCGCTTCGATCGGCGCCTCTAGCAACTGGGTAAGTTTGTTGAGTTGTGGCGGAGACATACGCTGACGGAAGCATTATAGCTGAATAACTTTGCGGTTGCGTTTTACGTCCCGTCGATGTTTAAGACACTCGAGTGGGGAACTTATATTTTCTTCGCGGGTTTCCTAGCTGCCAGTATTGTCTGGATCTATTTCTTTCTGCCGGAAACAAAAGGCGTGAGTCTGGAGGAGATGGATCGTGTGTTTGGGAGTCATTCGGGTGCGGAGGATATGCAGATGCTCGAACAGGCGCGACAGGACGTTGGTTTATACCCGGAGCTTGTGCATGGTGCACTCAAGGGCAAGGGGTCTATATATGAAGTTGACCTGGAAGACAAATCACAGCTTTAACGTGGTTTGGCAAGGCCATGCATGTCTGATGTGCGTGATGGTACTATAAGTACTCACAGCTATACTTTGCTGCCTGTATTTATGTATAGAGATATACTATACCTAAATGGCTACCATACGGCAATCATCATGACGAGATCATGATAATTTAGGCAGATGGTGCCTGAACCATTATAGTTTAGATTTCTTTCTCGCATCTCCATCTATCTTGCAACTCTTTCCCATCTATATTGAATTTTCACATTTATACTTATTTATATTCGACACCATGCCTTTTAATCGTCCCTTTACTTCCCCACCAAGTAAACCAGAAGACCACCATCCTCTGCCCTGGTACAATCCCCGCGGATGGTCTAATCGCAAAAAGATCATCTGTCTTGGAATCACCATCCTGATCTTCGTTGCCATAATCAGCATTGGTATTATTGTTGGTGCTATCGTGGGGACAAGACCTCGCTATCCAGACTACGTCCCACTCGAGTATAAGCTGGTTGATACCTATGCCGGCACTTCCTTTTTCGACCAGTTTGATTACTTTTCGGCCGAGGATCCGACACATGGATTTGTGCAGTATGTATTGGTTATATCTTGCAGCTATTAGAGCTTTATCTAACAGGGATATGTAGTTATGTCGATAGATCGGTAGCAGAGAACCTCAACCTGACCTATGCCACCGACGAGTCTGTCATTCTCAAAGTTGATACTTCTGAAAAGAAAGCATTAACAGGCAGACGCTCTGTCCGGATCGAGTCCAAGAACCACTATGATACAGGTCTTTTTATATTCGACATCCTCCACACCCCCTATGGTTGCGGCACGTGGCCCGCTCTATGGCTGACAGATGGATATAACTGGCCTGCAAACGGCGAGATTGATATCCTGGAAACCACTAATAAGGCGAATGAGGGCAATACAGTGACTTTACACTCTACAGCAGGCTGTCATGTGGAAGGAAAACGGAAGCAGACTGGGTCTGCTGAGTTTCTCAGCTGCGAGGACACCAACGGTAATGCAGGCTGTGGCGTACAAGGCACACCGGATACTTATGGTGAGGAACTGAATGATAATGGAGGAGGGGTAAGTATCTATCTATAATGATAGCAGAATTTCTAACTCTCTAACTTCTAGGTCTACGCCTTGGAACTGCGCAACGCCGGTATTCGGGCCTGGTTCTTCCCGCGCCATCTCATTCCAAACGATATCGCGAATTCCACTCCAGACCCATCAACTTGGGGAACTGCACTGGCTGACTTTCCGAATACTCACTGTGATATCTCATCGCATTTCTCAAACCAAAGTATCATTGCTAATATTGATCTATGCGGCGAACTTGGCGCACAGCCGCAGCTGTATACTGAGCTATATAACTGTCCCGGGAAATGCGAGGATGTGGTTGCAAATAATCCGCAGAGATTTCTAGAGGCGTATTGGGAGTTTAGCAGCTTCAAGGTTTATCAGTCTGTTTGATTTGTACTCTTTACGATGTTGTCTTGCTTTCTATATATGGGGTTTTAACTCGTCACCCTGGGGATATATTACGAAACTGCTCGTGTGGGGTTTGTATAATTTACTGCATTCTTGTACTGGGAATATCTGGCTAGAAGTGTTGTATTATTGTCAAGTGTACCAATTTAATATAACTAATAAAAACTATATCAATGTTTCAAAGCTTTGATAGTATACCGAGTTTCCCGAGAGATGGACGCTATCATGCCGTGGTAGAAATAAAGTAATATACAAAAGATGACGAAGAGTGTTAGGCATTCATCAAAACTATGCATCTGTAATGCTATTGGAGGCTCTTACTGGCCTCCATAAGAATTCTAGAAGGTTTTATCACAGATCAGCCTGGAGTATCGTGATCAACCGTGGGTGACTATCAATTACACTGATCGATGTCATACCTGGCATCAAAACCCCTCTTCAACAACATTTCAGTCTTTCTCTCCACCATTCCTCATTATACAGCCAACATGAAAGGGCATCTCCACTGGATCGAGAAGATCCTGGATCATCAAAAACACCCGGTTGCTTGCAGTAATCGCACATTACCCACCACGCAATTCCTAGAAGCCATACTGTCCAATATTTTCGACCTTCTTCCAGTCCTAGATCAAGTTTGTTTTGCACTCACCTGCAAGCATTTTTATGCCTACTTTCGTGCATACCTCAATAATCGGAAACTCTTTCTACCTGATCTGTTTCGGGAGACACGTCTGATTCTATGCCGCAACGTCGATATTGAGAGTCGTGCTCGAACACAACTCCTCCGTCGCCTGGAGGATGCCAACTGGAAATACTGCTTTCAATGCTGGACTCTTCATCCGCACTCTGCATGGCAACATCCAAAGGGGAAGAGCTGTCTAGACTGTCAACAGCTGAATGGACGGCGCTGCATGCCGTATGCTGGCATCGTCGACCTCTGTCCGTGTCTGAGCATCACAAAGTGCGATCAGGTTTACCTGATAAAAAGACAATCCGATAGGAAGCGAAGTGCGCAACGAGCGTACAGAATACTTTGACGGGCTGTTCTATCATGATACTCGCTTCGGCCGCAAAGACCGGAATATCCGGCATGAGTGCACAGTCGACGTCCACCCGCAAGTCAAACTCCAGATTAGAACCGCACTGGGTATGTGTCTGTGGAATAACGGTGTCTGTCTAAGTGTGCACAATACATACAAATTCCACTCCATCTCGGGCATACTTCCGTGGCGGGGAATATGTCCGCACAAAGAGCCCTTGAAATGGCTGGAACGCTTCTTCAATGATATCGGGTCGAGTTTTGTCGGGTGGAACAAGGATAACTATGATGTTCTTGTGCCCCGTTACTTCTCATGCCATCTGGTTTGGCGGAAAGTTGCAGAGGCTGGGGTTTTTGAGGTCACTGTTATCAGGCGGTTGGGGAATATGAAATGGCCCGATAGATACTGGGATCGCAATGCTCATTTTTAGCGTTAATCTTGTACTGGCTTTAGCATTTCTTTTCTCTTGTATTCTATCCACCTTTTGCTGGTTTGGCTTTATCTCACTCTTTTCATAGCACTTTGGAAAATGTGGTTGTTCACATCATCAAACGAAACACCGTTGTTCTCTGCAATGATTGGCAGCTGGGACCATCCTGGACGCAAGCCCGCAAGTGGATTGATCTAGAAATGATTACATTCATATCGAAATAGTATAGGATATCTCACCTCCATAACATTCGCCACTTGCTTCCCAGACGAAGAATCAAGTCGAATGTCAATTTGACCACCATCGCGACAGCCCAGGACAGTCCACTCTTTTAATGCAACCTGAAAAGCAAGTTCTGCATCTGGATCCATTCAGTCAAGGTTCACGTCATCGGCCAACCATCCCAGACATCCGTCGCTTTTGACTCCGCAGTTGTGAATTGAATAGACACTTGGGAGCTGCCTGTGGACGTCTACACTAGTTCAGTCACACCGACAACCCACGCATCATCTCCAGTCCCTAAAATGCCGACGGTAAAACCTCTTCCTAGGAGGAATGTCTCCAACAAGACCAGGGCACGATGGACAGCTTGCTTTCAGAGTTGACGACACGGCACATATCATACAAATGGCTGATCTTATTACTCGCCACGATGCCTTTGGATGAGTCTTCTGCGAGAGGTTTGGCGAAGCGGGGATAGTTGGAAAATGCCGCTGTCAATAAAACACCAAAGTTGCACAAAGCTAAACCTAGGATGTTGCATGACATTGGTGCTTTACAGTGCCATCAAATCCATCTCGTGGGCAAAGGTATATGTTCCAACCATCGTCTTCATCGTCATCACCATCCTCCATAACACCAATTTCATCTTCAATGGCTCCAATGGATCGCAGTAGAGCTCGCAGCGCCCCATAATCTTCCTCGTCACGACGTAACCACTCATTCTGACACGTATCCTCATAGTCGGTGTAACCATGGGGCCAATTCTCATCTGAGATCGATTTATATCTGTTCACAGCCAAACCAAGCTTAGAACCTTGCTTTGTTTTGTATAAACATCGTTTCCACCCAATGCCGTAGCCGATACGAAAAAGTCGAAGGTTCGGAAGTCCCTCACGAAAAGTGTCAAAATATTGATGTCAGGTTTTGGTATAAATAGCTTCCCCGTCACCGCCATCTCGTTGAACCATTCTCCCATTTATGAAGACGCAATGGGAGCTTCGTGAAGCAGCCAAAACCTAGAAGGTGATTGAACAGTTATAAAGATATATTTCCTGCAGAGTCGCACCATGTTCAAGAATCCAATTCAGTTGACTGTCGTGCCCAAATTGGTAGCTTCCCAGGGCCAGGCTTTGAGGATGAGGGGAATGCACGCCGCGCAAGTCCAGTCTAAGAAGCGCGCCAAATGGAAACTCCGAGGAAAGCTCGAGGCGTCCGGGAGTGTACATTGTCGGCTTGAGCCAAAGGTCTGGAATCCTTCGGAAGAAGTGAACCTGTGCACACCCTGCAAATAGTCACCTTGTCAGCTAAGCCTCCTCATATGCGACTTGGAACTTACATAGAGCTGGTGGATACCGTATCCCTGGATTTCCATACCAAGTCGAAGCTCATGCAGCCATGTAAGCTATGATTCAATAAATCCGATCGTCCCGCTGTCGGTAGTATTGATTTCCTGGATTCCGTGAACCACGAGCTGCTGAATAGGCGTGGGAAGCGTAGCCAACACCAAGAAGATCAATTTGATAATCTGGACTTTCAAAATCCTGGTCTCGTGAACGGGCCCACTGCCCCAAGGCATATAACTTTCGTCGTGGCCAAAGTAGCTCAGTTGTAATACCGCAATCTTCAATTGGGAGATATCTCCGAGACGTGTGATCAATTTGTTAAACTAATATAAAAACCTAAGTGCATATTCAAGCTATATTGGAGTTAGAAATACCCATGCTAGTAGGAGCTGAACCTACGAAATACAGTCTCTCTAGCCCTTGGTTGTCCCATATGCGGATCAGAATGGTTCTGATCGTTCCAGCAAGCCCTGTCCCAATGATCTTTTCCAGCTTCCCACAGCTGCTTAAATTATGATACAGAATGGCGGTTTTGAATAGCTCCTGGGTTGCGACTACCTCGAGACTGTGACAAGAAAGCCTAAGAGCTTCCAGGGTCGATGTGTCATTGACAAACCGAACTATTTGTGTTTGGATCTCGACTGGGAGGCTAGTCAAAGGCATTTCGGCGGATGCAGATGAGGGAAGGAAATCGATGCTCTGTGATAGAAGGTCAAGCTGGACGCGTTTGAAAGAAGTTGAAGTTTGTTGTGGTCAGCGCTGAGGGGGGTTTTAATCTCCTGGGGAATTTTGCTCTGCCTCAGGCAGAGAAAACATTCACTCCTGCCAGGGATGAGATGGAGAGTGGCGAAGATCATGTCGAGTTCACGGTTGTTCTATCATAATCTGTCTTATCCTTGATGGATGACCAAGGCACAGCGCCTTTAACTGGCGCTTGGCGTATAGCATGTGGACATTTTATTCGATGATATCTTGATGAACAGATATAACTGCCATTACGACTTCTGATAGCAGCTGTATTCCACCCTCCCGTTGCTTGCATTTTGGTTGGTCCCAGACCCCGTGACGTCAGGTCCGAGTCCAACGACAAACAGCCTCTTCTTCTCTCTTCCAGCTTTTCTTCCTCAACCTCCCGTCTGCGAGAATTTTGCAAAGTCACAATCCCTATTCCAGCATGAGAACGCCATCCGATCCAGCTTCCAGGATTGGATTCCTTTTCAAATCCCCCAAGAAGTGGACACCACAGCATATACAAGCCGTGAACCTGAGGGAAATCGGTCCTGTTCCCGCGTCAGACATTGTTGGAGCGACAAACCTTCCAGACGATTCAGACTCAAGTATGCTATATAAAAATGATCCCTTTTCGATATTCTTTGATTGAGGTCGAACAGCCTATTCGCGCTTGGCTCGTGACTTTACAAAACCCACAAAGGAAGAGATTATCCACTATTCATCCAGAATTTACCGCTTCGATGATAGTCGACTTGATGCGATTTTTAACACCATCTCGATAAGTTCTATTCCAAGGGGTGACGGTGTTCCACAATCCGGTTTCTTTGCTCGCTCGATTATGAAGGATCTGAGATGGGTCTGCGACTTTCCTAGTAAAGGCCTGTGAGGATGCGATATCTTCTTTTTGTTTATGCTGACGGACCTATCTAACCGAAACACCAGGTGGCTGTCAACTTATTTCATTCCATTCCAGCTCGCAAACTGTCATATCCGAGGGAAATTGCATTGTGATGGTGCCATTACTAGGGAAGGGCCTGATGGAAACCAAACCCCGTTGGCAATCTATAACGTATGTTTTGTTTGTCATTCCAACCTCGTATCTGACTTATTTTCCCATAGACTGCCATTGAAGACGACGAGGAAAACAAAATGAAATGCGAAATCCCATTTGCTTTATTTCTGCTGGCGATAGCGTTCGACGAGAATCCCAACCGCGAATCATATACGTCTTTTGTCATTACAGTCAACGATACATCTCTACGATTCACAAAGGCGGTTGCCTCCAAGTCCTATCTCGAAAGTCTCTTCCAAGGCAGGCATTTGACCGAGTGTCTAGAGATCTCTCGATCGCGAGGTTACGATATCTTGGAGGTGGAAGGACGGAGGGATTTCCTACGGATTTTTTTAGGTCTACTCCAGTGTATGAGATCTTGAACAGTGGAGCCAGCATTTAGACGCCATGTGTTGGAATAAAATCATTGTTTCCTGCTCTCAGAGAGGTAGAACTAGTTATATTGTTCTTTTCTTTTATTCACTCCCTTTATTCACCCAGATGGCTCCCCGCAGGACTAGCCACTGACATTCACATATGGACTCCATTCACATTCAGATGATATCTGATGGATTTCTGCCAGCTCGCATTTGTCAAGCTGTAATTATTCTCCTCCTCCTTTTAGATACCCAGTGAGGATCATCAGCAACGACATGAAGTTTCGCCCCAATAGTTCGGAGCTCATAATCACAAGGGCCACTGGCCTACCGCGAGGTCCCACACCACTAAGAGAACTGGCCAACGTTCTCAAGTTCTCCGGCTCTGCATGGGGGGGAGACGCATCTTAAGGCACTGAGGATCGTTCCGCTCGATAATGTCGATGTAGACCGAATCTTACCGACCAGATTTCTCCCAAAGAACAACAGTCCAGGCAAGTCCATCTTTGTGTTTAGCAATCTGGTGTTTCATAATCTGACAGTGCCTGCAGTCTTCGCCAGCCTCTGCAACGATTTGTTGGAGCCAACGGAAGAACAGCTCAAGCAATGGGCTACTTGCAGCAATGGCTTCCGACACAACAAATTCATCTCGCTCTTTGATGGGCTGGCTACCTCTATGGCAACTGCAACATTATCGCTGGAGGGGAGTACCAGTGACCCCAGCCCTGGTCGATCCGAATCCTCTTCTGGTGAGGAAAACAGCCCAGAAAACTCTTCCCGTGATGCCCTGCGTGAGTTCGGGCAAGCAATTCTGCGTGATTTGGAAACAGAGAGACAAGAGCAAACCTTGGGGGCTCAATTCCACAGTATTAAGGTGTATGTGCCAATGTGGAATTTCATTATGTTCCCCATTTTGCTGACAGCTGTAGAAAAACGAACGACATCCACCTGAAAATTTCTCTCGGCCCTCCCGATCTTCTTGTTCGACCCATCAATACCCGCACGGACGGTGGTTTGATAATGATGGGTCCTGCGTCTGGAACAGGGTCAGATCGACCATCCGGAATTGCGCTGGTTTCTTTCGAGGTTAGTATTCCACGTTATAGATTGCGTGCATTTCAATTAACTCGTCCAGTCAAAAAGACGCCACGCCGGAGGACACCACCGTGCAGCCGGTCAATCTGAGACTATGAACCCAAATACTTTAGGGCAAGAGGTCGCGCACCTTCTGGGTGCTGCGATGGAACAAGATGAGAAGCTTAAAGACGATCGTCTTGATCAAGAATCCTTCTTGATAACTATTCATGGAACTCAGCTACGAATAATCGCAGCGTTCTTTTCCAGCGAATACATATCATATGTCAAGGGTGAAATCTTGCCAACCCACCAACATGTCTGGGCTCGCAGATCGAGAATCTTTGACCTGAAACACCCCTCAGATCGTAAAATGGCTCTGCGGGTGACAATAGGCATGGTCAAGTACCTCTACAGCGGACTTGCGGAGATGAATGAGCTGAGACTTGTTGCTCAGGAATTCCGGAACGTCAGCTTGTCGTCTTGAAGGTTTGTCCTTCCAGTCTGGGGTGTGGCTCTCTAGATATGTTCGGAAAGGCAACTTTCGGCCATCTCTGATGATAGGCGATGTATTCCAAGGATGGGATGAAGGGCAGAGAGCCAAAGGTCGGTAGATTATCTGGAATTTAGGATACTAGAGAGAGATACGAGATAGGTGTTCTACTTCATAGTTATCCGGACAGGATAAGGCTCACAATGACAACGTTCAATTCGGGGCTTATTGGTTTATTTCTTTATCTTTTTTTATAATTTTTTTTATCAATAATGTGCAGGCTTTTGTAACGGGACGGTGCTCGATATCCAAAACACAATCCTTCTAGACCTTTTAGATACTGAAGTTGCTAACTACTATTTTGAGCTATGCCAATCGGTTGATTGGAGATACAAAGACTTCTCGCTCCCTCCTTCCCATCTTCCCTTGCGGTTGGGAGATGAATGAGAACGAATTGGGTTGTCAGCATAGTCATCCTCTATAGCCCTATTTCTTCATTGATCCACGGTTTTACAGAATCGGGGGGTTGGCTAAATCGAAACTTGTTTATATAAGCGATAATAATTCAGTGTAAAACAGAGGCGTGATGTGGTAATAAGCAGGATAGCTTAGTCTACTCCTGTACGGTGCTATTCAAATAAATTGGGAGCGACTGGACAACATAAAATAAAGATACACAAAATAGGCATGATTCGTGGTGCTGAATTAGGCAGTAGTTGATGTCATCTGACTTGGACTTCTACCACCAAAAGATGTTATCAATTAATCCTCCACCTTCAACCCAAGACCAGCAAAATGGCCCGGCCTACTCGAACATATATCCCATTTGACAGACATTATTCGCCTTGTACCCCAGAAGTATTCTTCAATGCGAACGATTTTACAAACCAGACTGAATCCCATGATCACGCACTGGATACCATCCTCTCCACAACAGATCATCAAGAGATCATCTACACCAATGTCCCTACGCCCTGGGGTGAAAGTGTGGTATCATTCCTAGACGAGCAAGCAGAAAGCAGCTGCGGCAGGTACGATATTTCCCGCTGTCAAGAACACGCTGACTGTCCAAGGAAACATTACAACTCCGTAACCCAGATCTTCTGGATTCGTGTCTTTACTACTACTGAAATACACAGCTGCCACCAGGAATGGGTTTCTCATGAGCAGTTTCGGTGGATGGATTCTGGTCTTTGTACTCTTGAAGAGGTTCTTCATTTGAATCATCGAACTGGGACAAGTAAGCCCTTCTCTCTTTACAAGGATTTAGCTAACGGTTGGATCATCACAGCAATCTATTCTTTTCACTCTCCTTATACTGGCTCTCGGAAAGAGCCTGATCTGTTTATTCGACCAGGTAATCAGCGACTACCCAGTGTCGTGATTGAGTCTGGATGGGGCGAGTCTATGCCCAGGTTACACGATGATATGAGGCTGTGGTTGGTAGGGGGTAATGGAGTCGTTAAAGCTGTTATCATAATTGAATGGCATAGAGTTGCTGCCGATAAGGTTGGAGGGAAGGTCGAAGTATACACTCTGGACGGCGATGACGCCCCTATCCTACGGCAGGAGGAGATTATATTTCCGCCTCCACTGCAGCGGGAACATATACAGCGTATAGCTCTTACGAGGGGAATGCTTTTTGGAGATACCATACCACAGGGAAGAAAACCAGATGACGTCTTATCTCTCAGTTTGGATGATCTCAGAAGGGAGGCACGTGATGCTTTGGATCTTATGCGACTTTGTCCTGCAGAGTAGTCCTTTATCTATGATTTATCTTGTATTATCAAAAGAGTGAACTTTCTATTGCAACCACTATATAATATCAAGAGAAATCACAGTCTATATAAAACAGCACAACCACCAACTCTAACACCCACTACTTCCTCTCATCTAAAGATACTTGGCACATCTGTCAACGCCCAACTGGCCCACCAAAAACTCATTCACAAACTGACACTTGGGATCCTGGCGTTCCTGGATCGCCAAAAACTCCGGCAACTTGGGGTACTGCTCGCGCGCAAACGTAGCATTGGCAGGGGACATCTTATTCCAGTGCGAGCGGACGTTATACGTCTCACCAAAGTGCGGGAGGAACTCAAATGCCAGGTCCTGGTTCTGCCAGAGGGTAGTCCAGTTGTTGTATGTTTGCATCCAGTCAATCTCGAGCACAGCGAAGACGCCACTCTGCTCAGGTTTGAGGTTGTACGTGTTGACTGGGGAGAGGTAAGAGTCGTCGCCCTTGAGGGTACGGTACTGGAAGATCATCTGGTTGTTATACGGGGCGCGCATACGGGGGGTCTGGGCCTGCTGGAAGAGGGTGTAGTTTGTTGCTGCTTCGGCGAGGTACTCGATAGGGAAGAAGTGTTCGATTTCGGCGTAGAACTCACGCGTGCAGACACCCTGAGGAGGGCAGGACATGGCGTCGGTGACTTCGTCGTAGCAGATGTAGTTCTTGATGCAGTCGCCACATCCGTTTGCGCAGTAGTTGAGGGTGCAGTTGCGCTCGCCAGTGTAGTTGGTTGGTTCCCACCAGGAGGCGAAGAACTGGGGCTCAATGGCCCATTGCTGAGCTTCGTCGTTCCAGTCGAAGTGGGGGCCCCAGACGGTCATGCGGTCGTGTTCTTTGTACAGCTGGGCGATTTCGTTATACATTTGGTTGTAGTTGGTGGTGGCGTTGAGGACTTTGGTGGTCTTCTTGAGCAGGTAGGTGGGCTGGACCTTGATGGTCATTTCAGTGATGAGGCCGAGTGCACCCAGGGAGATGCGGAATGCCTTGAGTTCTTCTGCGTTGGTGGTTTCATTGACGATGCGCACGTTGCCTTGCGCGTCGAGGACACGCAAACCAGTAACCTGAGTGCCAATGTTACCAACGAGAGAGCCAGAACCGTGAGTGCCCGTCGATGTCGCACCGACAAAGTTTTGGACACGTTCAGCACCAAGGTTATTGAAAGATAGGTCGTTGGCCTTGAGCTCATTGGCGAGATCGTGCACATCCCAGCCAGCACCAAAGGTGACAGTGAGGTTCTTCTTGTCGATTTTAAGACTCTTCAAGTTGACCAGGGAGACAATGTAAGACGGCTTGTTAGTGAGAGTAGTGTCGACGCAGGTGGACAAGTTGCCGAATCCGTGGCCATTGCCAACGACCTTGATCAACGAGCCTCTAGGATACTGGGCCTTGAGAAACGCAGCAGTGGCAGCTTCATCTTCGGGAGTGATGTAGGCATCCGATTCGCAGGTGACTTCATACTGCCAGTTGAACCAGCGGTAGGCAGAGCCAAAGACAGCGTGCAGCAGCACGAGAAGAAGAGGTAGCTTTAGGCTGACCATGTCGAGAGGAAGATGGCTGATGACGGTTGCGAATGACCATTGTTGACGATAGATCAGGCTATATATACCACTGCCAAGCACCGGAAATGAGAAATGCCTCATCTTCAACCTTCTATTGCTCCATCTTGTGAGCAGATCAATCATGTAGGGGTGCCTCAAACTGACACTTGCCCATCAGCAACCAGAAATTGAATAATGACCGCATACTCGCTCTGCGCCAAGGTTCGCCTACCGCTATCCTGCAGATCTCACTAATATTGGCATCGTGGTCAATCGGCCATGAAACCTCATTATATGCAATATTGATGCGGATCCTCTCATTTTATTACACCGCTATATTGTTCATATTACTATATTTAGTGTAGTGAATAGCTTCAATCTTAACATAAATACGGCCTGTTTTCTTAAGATTTTGAGAGCAGCAGACCTTTTTCAATCTTCTTGACAGTTCCAACACGCCTGAAGGCCGTGCTCCACCGCAAGAAAATCTCATATTGGCAGTGAGCATCGTCAAAGCAAAGACGGCGGCATGCCTTACGTAAAGCATTTATTTTCCTGCCCCGCCCGTCCGAAATACAGTTTCAACATCGGCATCCCGGTGAGCAACAGGGCCCATAACGGGATAAATGGAGAAATGCCATGCAACTGTGGCTGATGAAGCGCAATTTTAATCTCCGCCTCGCAGCGGGATCGAAGCTTATTCTGCGGCACAAGAGATTGATACGGCGCTGCCATGCTGTCATTGGCCAGGCGAGATTGTGAAACCCTGGGCCACGTGTGGATCTTCCCAGAAGGGAATTTACGGTTACGCACTGGCAATGATTTCAAAGACGGCCCGGGCAGATTATCTTATCTCCAGTGTGAATACGAGGTGATTGTCCGCCGATAGAGGAGAAATTTGTGGTAATCTTATCTGATTTGACAGTCAGTAGCACAGATACTTACCAATGTTACCAAGGAAAACTCTTATGCGGCTGTAGAAGGTATGCCAAGAGGTCGTAAAACCAGTAGGCACTTCACCTTCACCATGAGGCTTAGTTGACCAAGTGTTAGAAACTCCCATACCAGACATCACACCCACTCGTCTGTGTATCCGAGTATCTGCAGATCAATCCCTGGGCCACAATTTCCGCATTCTGTCTCTGGAATATCTCATTCAAGCCCGGCCTCACAGGCAATCTGGCCAATGTCGATCCAGACGATATATCCACCGTCACATCCTTTACCGACACCCAAGACGAAGAATGGTTCTTTGTCATACCAGCTGCAATTGAATCTCAAGGCGGAAAGTCAATCCCCATCATGCTCAAGGCCATCGACGCGGCACGTGCAGGCGACGATGAAAAGGTGCAGGTATTCCTGAGCGCAATGGGTGCTTGTATAAGCCATATCACCGAACCGCTGGCGAGAATGTACGATTACTGCACACCTTCTGCGCTTTACCATATGCTACGCCCGTTTCTTTCAGGAAGTCGCAATATGGCTGCTGCTGGTCTTCCGGATGGGGTCTTTTATCCGTCTGATGAGAGTGGCATGTTTACTGTGGTGGAAGTAATGCGCAAAGCGCACTGCTACAGCTGTTTGATATCTTCCTCGGGATTGAGCATTCTGTCACTGGTTCAAAGGGTTCTGATATAGCATATACCAAGGTGACACAAATACCAAACCAGCAGAATAGAGTTAACAAAGACAGGAAATGCGAAAGTACGTGCCCGGTCCACATCGAGCCTTTCTCGAACTCATGACGGACATATCCAACATCCGAGAATACGCCATGAGGCGAACCGCCAGTCCGGAAGTCAAATTCTCTTATAATCGAGCTGTTTCGAAACTCTCGACTCTGCGGGATAGGCATCTAGCCATGGTATCGCGGTACATCATTATCCCAGCCTCGAATAAATGCCACATGCATCGAACAGATGTCAACGAATGGCTCAAAGGGACTGGGGGGACTAATATGATGCAATTTCTAAGTAGGACACGCAATACTACCAAGAAGGGGATGCTGTTGTTATAGAGATGTTCCAATGAGGTTTGTATGGGTGAGACATACGAGGATTCAACACTGCATCGAAGATTCCTACTCCAAGTAAAACTGGCTTTCTTCTGTTTACTATATTAGACCATCAGTATGCCGTATATCATGCTAATATCACTCTATAAGGAGGGCTGCAGGCAATATCGAATCCTCACATTGGAAAATCCGCACAAGAGTCATCATGACGCATTCCAAAGATCAGATCGATCAGAATGTGTATCCAGTGGGCTGTGCTAGACTCCTTCCATGATGGGCAATGTTCGTGTAACATGATATTGTTGAATACAATTCCTTTTTACCATCAGACATTCAAGAAAAAAAGTCAATTATATCCCACGACGATCTGATGCCATACTAGAGCATTGTTCCTCTAGATTACAGAGCAGTCATCCTGATTGCCCTGACATTTTTATTCTACTAATAGGTGACAGCATATATAGACACAGCATAAAACCCAAAGAGTTCAATGGCCACTGTTGATCATCAACTAATCCATCTATAATGTCACCTGGCTTCATGCCACATTCCCTTTGCAATCATGTTACACGCAATTTCCAAATCACGAAGATGACAAAAATAAGGTTTGCAGTGTTCCTGACAATCTGCCCCCTTGCACCATCGAAGGTTCTTATCAGTAACTATAAATATCACCTATTCCCCTTTGCTACCATTCGACAAGGTCTGGACCACTGATAGAATTATCAAAATGCTGATTTATTACTTGTCCAAAATGCGGTTTTTGTCGGTAGACCAGTGGTATACGGTCTTGCCCTTAGAGGAAAGATGGGGGCAAAAGCTGTGCTGCAAGGGCTATGAGCAGATATGTAGTAGACGATGGGTTTGATGGGCATCAGCACCATTGATGAACGCACTCCGGATAAGATGAAGAGAATTAGTTATCCTGGTAATTTGAAGAGCTTTCTCTAGTCAGGAATGTAGCCATAGCTATTATCTGCCGGCGAATCCTTCAATCATCTTGGATGACACTAGGCGAGATTAATAGTCTCGAGTCTTGGAGTTGCGTCCTCCCAAGCCTTAGGGTGCATATACCCGATAGCAACACGCTCTGCTACTTCTCCATGAGATTTAATCAGCATGATGTTTAGAAGGCATTTGCATCCGACTGATGCTTTGCGATATGCACCGTGAATGTAGTGGGTCATATAAAGCATCCCCTTTTTGCAAAAGCTCACTGCGATAATGCGCAGACGATGAATTTGATCGGAGGTAAATGTTGAAGTTGCAGGATTATAGAAGGCGCCACACGTTTGACCCTTCCTATCGTAAATTGGTAGAAGTGATATCTGCTTTTCTGTCGCGCTGACAAAATCAATGCTCTTTACAAGACCAATCCTTCCAAGCCGGAACTCGCTGGTCATTACTGTAGATGCGCTAAATTGGAGGATGGAAAGGTGAACAGTCTTATCTGGACTGTTGTTTGTGTTTGATCGGCCGGTATCATCTGTGCTATGCCATCGGGATATAAAGCACTCATTCGATCCACAGTGTAGGAGCTTCGATTGCCCAATGTTCCCTATCCTGTTGAATTCAATTTGGCCGGAATCCCTCATTTTGATCGAATCCGGTGGCAAGAGCCCGTGTACGGTACAGCGTCCCATGAATCCAAATACTGGGTAGATAACTGGTCCCTTCCAGCCAATCCATGACCAACTAGGGTAATTTACGCCTGGGCTTTGTTCGTTCACCAAGGAGCGCCTTGAAGGAGCGGATGCTGTTGTGCACCAGAGCAAAGCACGGAATATATTGTCCCAAATAGGCATTGCTGCGTAGAACCTTACTCCGTGCGTAGCCGATAGGCCCTGAAGAATCCCTGTAAAGGCATTTATGATATCCGAATCGTAGGTCAGGTTTCGTTTTGTATATGCCTCCACGTATCGCTCATAGTGGGATATGAAATCTTCATTGGAGCCTTCTCTGATCAAGCATGTTGATGAGTCAGACTCGTGAGAAGTTGCTGCATCAAAGTCTTCAGCCCGCACTGCTCGGTTGCATCGGAAGTAAACCTGGTAGGACGAGACGAAGAGACATCGGCGAGAAAGCATCATTTCTTGGTAGGTCCAGCCACGAGTAAAATAGCGCGAGGTATGCATCTCATCGTGTAAATCTGGCAAGCGAGCCAGGAATGTGCAATTGTCAATGATCTCGACTGGCTGCCCAAGTCGAGTCCTTGGGACGACGCCTGGAAGGCCGGAATCGGCATCCGCACCAGCCATCGCAACGATCGTCAATCTCGCTCTCATATATATTAGATCCATAATTTGTAGCTGTTCATTCTTGGTCGGGTCATCCTGAACGATACAAAAAGCATCTACCCAAAGGTATCGATCCCCGATAGCCTCGACTAACGCCATCGCATCACTCACGACACGTGGTACCAGCGATCCAAGAGCACCCGGTGACTGAAATTCAGCCAGGTTGGAACGGACGGTCTGTAGCATCTGACTCTGGCCCCATACATAACTCAATGCGATGTACGGTGTCTCCGGGTCTCCGGGCACAGAGCGTCGGACGAGACGCTTCTCTTGAACATCGATAAACCAACCCTCTATTTGCAGCTTATCTCTAGGGGTCTTCGACCGACCCTCCTGGCAGTAGTGCCCGTGGAGTCCTATACAATTATCGACCCATGAACGGACAAGAGACGCATCGATTTGGTCCTGCCGAACAGCGCGGACCGTTCCTTCTTCGACTTCATCTCCAGTTTCCATATCATCCCAGCTGCCAGTCCATCCCGGACTCCCTCCCTCCAGGTCATGAGCTTGCTGGATCCTAAATGCGTCTTCCCGCTGAAGATGCACGGTTCCTGTCCTACCCGTGACATCGACGACCTGAAAAATCGGGTATTGATACTCAAAACTGTATATTGGGAAGCACGTAATTCCTTTGTGGGACCGAAGGCCTCCCATGTCCCTATTCCTCTCTAGATTGTAAAATCCCAAAGATTTTAAAAATAATCGACAAAGAGGGCAGTTCGTCTTTTTCTGCAATTCTTCCATGGTTCCAAGTTTCATCGGCTCTGAACCATGTAATATGCCCGATAATGTGTTGATGGGGTCGAGGCGTTTGCATTTGTTGCACAATGAACCACCGTCACCATGTTTGCGATTATTCGACCTCGACGCCATTTTTTCATGTGGATGATAATTCAGGATGGCAATTTCGTTCGGCAGTGATAGCAAGGGTAAAGTCGACAATGAAGCTGTCAATATCAGAAAGTGCGAAATTCAGGTGGATGCTTTTACTGACCAGTAATGTAACAGACAAGGAATGCACGGCTGCCTGAGGCCCCGAGAGACTAGCTGCCCTTTGCATTTGGCAATCACAATTTCCACGAAGTTTTATCAGGAAATCTCTCAGTTTCCTCCGACAAGCGATATCCTCGAGGCTTTTCAGCCAGCCCCCACATGATCCAAAAAATATCCCACCATACATCAATTGGTTCTGCGAGGCACCATGATTGAAAAGCAGTAAAATAGCTATTCGGATTAGATGTTAGCTTCAGGGGTCTTTAATGATATACACTATTTGACTTACACTTTCTGATGACCCCGATCCCATAAAGGATGCTCAAGACCTACGCTCTCGTTGATGATACCTGCACGAACAGATTCCCTGCATAGTGATTAATTTTAGATCGTGATAATTTGATAGTAAAGTAACTCACTCCCAAGCAGTCCGAAACGCACTGCGAATTGCATCACGTTCAGACCGATCGTAGTCCCAAAAACAAGTGTCAAGTCGAACACCAGGAAGGCGCTCAATCAGTAGAAATACAAGGAAGCCACCTGGGATTAGGCCGGTTTGATCTTGCTTCAGGATACTGCTGCTGAGGAGGGCTGGGAGCATTGAGAATTATTGGCTGTCAACTGCATCAGGGCATCGATTTCCATTCGAGCAAGTCTTGCGATTCTGTCGACGGCTTGGTCGGCTCTTTCTTCGGGTGTCATGAATGAAGATCCAGCATGTGGAACCCTTTTTGACGTTAGGAAGATATGACAAAGAGTCGGGAATCATACTGTAGAAAAGCCCTTATGAGTGCAGTCTCTGTGCTGCTGTCATGGGTTTTTGTGGCAAGGAATGTTCCATAAGCTGCTCCAAGACCACCAGCGTCCTTGAAAATCTCATAGTCCTCTTCACTCAGCTGGGTATTTTCCTCGTCGAGCTTTTCTGTCAATGTCCAGATTCCAGCGTCGCTGAAGTGGACAGGTTTGCCTATGGACCCGCGGAAGAAGCTGAAAGGCATGTTGTCCCAAGGATGCAGGTTGGCTGGATGGGTTTTCGCTGATGATAGCTTGAAGGGGAGAATGTAAACAGCAACGAGCAAAACAGAAGAAAATGTTAAGAAGATGAGAAGAGGCCTGGAAAGTCACATGTGATCCAGTGACCTCATAGGGTTGGTCAGGTCATGTGCTATCAAACGTCTGGACAACGACACGGCATCAACCATGGAAACCCATGGATGTTAGGCTTTGGCTAAATAGAATATTGTTACAGACATCCAAGCCATGTATTAGATATGACCGATTTTTTCCCTTCTATCTTCAAAATGATGCTCAAAAATAGCTTCATCGGCAATAATCACCCAAAAGCCCAAAAAGGCCTAGATGGCATGTTCTAGAACGACCAACAACGCCACAGAACGAAACGAAGAAATGCCCCTTTTTTCAGCTTCACAATTTCCTGAAATGACAGGACATGGGTATTAAAAACGCTCTCTTCATAATATCTTGTCAAAATGCCTCGTCGCAACCATGTCATGCTGGAGCTTCCTCTTGACCGACAGACTCCGTCAGCGCAGCGATATCGACGGTCTCTTTATTATGCCGCTCAAGCAGCGGTTTGGATGTCGTGTTTTTATTTCAGTGCTCGATTCCTGTTGATACTGTCTGCTCCTAGAGAAGCATGGCACGTCTGGATGATGTTCCTCGTCGAAGCCATCTTCGCTTGTAAGTCAGCACCTACGGTGAATATACTATTTACTGATTCTATTCGCAGTCATGTCTCTTAAAAACCAACTCCTCACTGTGAAAGCATACAAAGCGCCAAATCACCCCCCAAAAAGACTGCGATTGCAAGGTAGCGACAACCTTCCCCGCGTGGACGTCCTTATAACATGCTGTGGTGAACCTCTGGATATAATCCTCGACACTGTCCGAGCTGCCTGCGTACTCGACTATCCCCACTCCTCATACAGAGTCCTTGTCCTGGATGACGGCGCATCAGTAGCACTCCACGATGCCATCTGCTCGTTGCACACCCAATGGAGCCATCTGTCATACCATACACGCGGAAAGCAATCAGGCCAGACATTCGCCAAGTCAGGTAATCTCAACAACGCTTTGTTCACTCTGCAAAATGAATTTCAACCAGAATTCTGTGTCGTCGTCGATGCAGACTCAATCCTCATGCCTGACTTTCTCAGAGCGACTTTGCCTCATTTATTGCAGGATCCTCGGGTTGTGCTGATCTCTACACGGCAGTACTTTTACAATCTCCCTCATAAAGACCCTCTCGCCCAATCCCGCGCTCACTTTTACACACGCCGCAACGCCGAACTTGACCTTCTGGGCCGTGCAATCGACGCAGGATCAGGCGCAGTATTCCGCCGCAAAGCCATCGTGAATGCAGGGGGATATCCGACCTTTTCCTTCTCTGAGGATTGGCAGCTATCCCTTATCCTACACGGGCTGGGTCACCGGATTAGACAGATACAAGAGGTTCTCCAATTCGGGCTCGTTCCCACCACTCTCAGGGGTCATATCAAACAGCAGAACCGGTGGCATATTGGTCACTCGCAGCAGATTCTGGCCATGCGACCGCCAGCGAATAGATCTATTCCACGACATCTTCAGTGGAAGATTGCATGTGGGGGTCTGTCTATTCTGCTTGGACTGGTTAGTTGCGTTCTTGGCTTTACCGCTGTTCCACTTCTTCTGGTGTCTGGGACTCTCATTCCGGCTTCATCGCCGGTGCTGGTTTACGTGCAGCTGGTTCTGGGTGTGTTCTATATTGCCTTGATGTGGGTGTATGAATGGCTACAAGCTGCGCATGCGGGTGTTTCATTCACACCGTTTTCGCATTTGGAGAATAGCTGGTTAGCGAGTAGTAAGTACTCTGGGTATCGTAATTATCTGATGCTGAACTAATTTATCAGGCCATTTATACGCGACCATCCAGTTCCACTTCTTCTCCAGCAAGCCAAAAGGATCATTTGTTACAGGAAGCACCGATAATTCAAAGAATATCTCAAAGTCAGCGTCCTCTGACTCCTGGCATAATGTTATGTTGTTCAATATTTGCATTTTTATCGCGACAATTGTGTCGATGGTTTCTGTCATATGGTCAGCTACAGCTACAGCAATGCCTTTTATCAAAATCGCCACTACAATAGCATGGCCGCCAATGCTGCATCTTTGCTATCTCACTATCACCAATACCTGGGTACCGATTGCATATTTGTTGAACCGTCCATCCTATCCTGATCGAAATGTCCTATTGGGCCGGGACCAAAGTGGTATATTCTACCCTACAGTTGTATAGATACTGAGCAGAACTTCCAAGTTCCAACATATAATCCATTCAATTTTTTTCATTTATATGCATCGCTTTATAAGCCACTTTTCATCATTTCCCATTATAATCACGACTAAACCTCAATCAAACACCTACTTCCCTTTAGCGACAGAAGAAAGAACACTTCGGCCTCCATATCCTCATCCCTCATATCTTCTTTACACGATACCCTTGAATCGGGAAAGGCCAGGAAGAATCGCGCTGCTGCTAGGCAGATTTCCATTCGTGCTAGGTTAAGACCCACGCAGACTGGCATTTATATTAGTGCTATTTCTTGTGGATGGAAAGATAGTGTCATACTTCGAGAACCGGCCCCGAATGGCATCATGGCGTCTTGCATTTCTTTGCTGGGGTTTTCCCATCGTGACGGAATCCATCTGTTACTGTTAATATGCTGAATATACGTACCCTTGGGGAGAACATACTGTTGGGGGTTTGGAAAGACAACCGGATCACGATGTAAACTCCACGCCTGGGACGACACCGTCGTACCACCCGGGATGCGATAATTCGCCAACTCCGCCCCTTCCGGCGGCACAACACGAGGCAGCGAAGACGGAGAGGGTGCGTATAGCCGTAGCGTCTCGGTGATGACACAGTCAAGATACGGCACTTTGCGCAGGTCTTCATACCCGAATCCATCGGGCAGCGAACGCAGCTCGTGCAGCAGTCTCGCTTTCACTTTGTCATTCCGCGAAACGGACCATACGATATAGGTGAGTGTGTTTGCGGTCGTGTCGCTGCCTGCGATGATGAAGCTTTGCGCTTCGTTTTGGATTTCGATATCGCTGAGGCCGTCGGCCTTTGCGTTGAATAGTTTCGTGAAGAAGGTCGTCTTGGGGTTGGTGGGATTCGATTCTATCATGCTTTTGTATCGCTGGATGGAGTCTTTGGCGTACATGCCTAGACGGCCGAATGCTTCGTATCCTTGCTTCAGCATGGGAAGTTGGAGATATCCGAGTAGCTTGAATGATGCGGGAAATTGGGTCTGGAGAGCTCCGAATCTGATGCCTTGTTGGAGATCGTGGATGTATTGGTTTTTCTGACAATATTAGCATTTCCTTCTTTCCTTTATATGATCCAACTCACCCTCCCCAATTCCAGCATCCTGAATGACTCTCCAAAAGTGAGTTCCCCGACGATATCACTCGCCATAAACAGCCACCACTTGAACACATCGACCACCCCCCGCGACGCCATTTCCCTTTGCATCTTCTCAATCGCAAGCTTCACGCTCCCATCCACCAACGGCTCCGTCTGCTTCATTGATGTTTCCGAAAGTGGTCCAGCCAGTAGTCGCTTCCGATTACTGTGGAATGCAGTATCGCATGTACTGAATAAATCCGCCGTGCCGTTTGCGCTGAAACTTTCATACCACGGTGACTTTCTATATCCGCCTTTGACGCGGTATATTTGCTTGACTGATTCGGGGTCGCTGAAGGAGACTTCATCTGGTGTTATACGGACGATGGGACCTTGTCATATCAGTAGATAGTCTGGGATAGAGAGTAGTCGGTATACCATATTTGAGATGAAGGGCGTGGACATAACGTGTTCGATTGCCCTTTAGCCAATGATAGTCGAAGACAATCTGTGTATAATTCGTATGCCATGGTCCAGGGAGAGAAAATAATGGATTGGTGAATAGTTGATGCAGGAACTGTCCATCAGTATGATGTTATCAAATGCAATGCTGCACATACCTTGACGAGTGCGACCCCCACCAAGAGGATAAAAACATGTGAGATGTCCATTTTCAGCTGACGATTCAATTCTGGGCGGCGGTGGCCTTTATATGTTGCATAGACCACGCACGATGACGATCAATGGTGTCCTCCTTGCAGATTCGCACCTTCAGCTCTGCTTATCAGGAATGATGTCTGTGCCTATTGGATGCAATCCATGGCGTGGCGTCCCAAAAGGTGGGTGGTGTCTGGCGTGTCAAAAACGCGATTCGACGTTCAGCTCATGCCGTGTAACAGAGCAATATAATTAGTGCAGACTAACGCATAAAGTTATTTATATTCCGCTAATTAATAAAACGAACGCCATTTGCAGGCCTTGATTGGCGAGCACCTCATTGGGTTGAGTCTACACGCCACTGTACTGCATCTAGACTTGCCGTGTTGGGTTAGCCTCAGCCTAAAGCCCCTGAAGATCACCGCTAGTGGCGCGTATCTTTGCCCAGAAGAACCCCAATGAACCCTCACCCTTATCGGTGAATATTAATATCATTACCTTGTATGGAGCATGGAGTATATAAAATAATAATCTAAGAGCTTACTATCTTGGCTTATTCTTGGCTGCAAGGTTACTTCGGACACGCCGTCCCAATGCATGCCTGGTAGTTATGCGGTTGCAAAAAGTCGGTCTGGGCTTTCAGCTTTTGTCGAAACATGAAACGAGCTGCCCTACTCTACCGAGTCTTGGTGGGACACAATATCTCCGATCACGGGAATTACCATGTGGGATGAGTTGAGCCCTATCTGCGTCGAAATAGACGTAGAATTGAGGGGCACTTGGGATGTGCAATCGTGCCGTGCTTTGGGGGTTCCTTATCTTATGGGGTCTGTGGGTATTGTGGGGTATGCTTTGGGGGGTGTTTTGGGGGGTGTTTTGGGGGTGCGTTGGGATGCTTCAAGGGTCCTTAATAAAGATGAGATTATTCCAGACCATGTGATGGTATAAAGCGGTCCAGACTCATGTGTGCAACGGGTGTACTATATCTGAAACAAATTCTTGTTGGATCGTTGATCAAATGCTTGGGTTGCTTGGTTTGCTTGGTCAAATGCTTGATTAATATTCAACCCACATGAGTCTTGAGGTTTCAGATCTGACCAATCAGGACAGAGCTTAGAATCCTAATGATCTACATGCTCTACAGATACGAATTCAAGATGTCAAGCTGCATCTACTCTCCAAAGTGCAGTCTTCATAGCAATTACTAGTGTGTACGATGTCAGGAGATGCGTGCTATGTACTATACACCAATCAGCTCCTACTCGGAGATTGTTCGGCCTGGATTACCAGATATAGTAACTGCCTGGCGCCCCGTCCGCTTATCTGATTATCTCCGATTCTCTTATACATAAATCAGCAGCGCCCGACATCTCATCCCACATCATCCCACCATGTTGTCCCGATATTTCCTCACTTTCCTTGCCTTGATTGGTCTATCATTCGGCCTGAACGGCCACTCAGACATCCCCAATGCAAACCACATCTTCAACGCCATACATTCCTCCATGCGCCACTGTGGCTCCTCCGTCTACCCCAACGGCATGTCATTCTATCTAGCCACCGTGCCCCGCGGAATGCACTTCTATCATGGGACAGGCACAGCAGAACCAATCACCGGACTCGAGTGGCTGGCTTTCGAACCAACTCATGCTATCGGCTTTGCGCATCGAGCTGAACGTCCTCCCTCCCATCACCATAAACGAGAACAGCAGGTGCTGAGCAATGAAGACCCTCCCGAACATGGCTATCTCCATACCTATTCCACGGCAAAAGATCTCCGTCTGCTCTATCTAGACGGTATGTCTGGAATCAAAGGGTCCGGGGGGACAATGGACGCCCAGGACCGGATTCTCTTTAACGATAGTATCGATGGGGAGTTGGTGTCGAGGTATAAGAAGATCGGGGGACCGGTAGATGATCAGCAGCGTGCGATTTTCGGGTGCCAAATGGCTAAAACTGATTGGGGTGGTCGGGTTGATGGGTTCATTCGTACTGAGGCGGGATTTGAGATTATCCTTTGCAATTTCGAGCGCGATCTTGAAGTTGTTCGGATCGCACGCACGAAGCCGCAGACTGATGTGCAGGTATTTGGCCGGAAAAGCCAGCCTCCAGGTGGAGATCGACATATGTTTCTATCGCCATTTGATGATCTCGCTGCGCAGAGGGCGAGGGTCGATTTCGATCATCTCGTCACGGCGTATACATACCATCTGGATTTGTTTGCTGGGGGCAGTGAGCTTCCACGGTTAAGTCATGTCCCTACCCATCAGCTGGACTCTATCAAGCGAGATATTCATGACTTGATCATGACTCGAGAACCGTCGCTAAATCCATTCGACTGGCAAGCTATCGCTGATCGAATCGTTGTGCGATACTCAGATAAACTGCAGGCTTTGTATAGAACCTCCTTGTCGCTGGAAACGCTGCGTGGTCAGGTTGAAACAATTCTAGAGCCTTTTATCGACTACGATAATATTGATGGTGAGGAGATCGTTCAGCGCTGTCGGGATGAGTTTATTCCCAGATATGGGACGCCAACTGGCACCCTTGCTGGGGATGTTGTACACTATGTCTCGGGGAGGATCTGCTCCACGCTGACATCTGTCTTGCTGCAGGATGTTGACCTAAATAGGGCAGTGGAGAACCTTCGAGATTTGGTTTCGTATCTGGCGTGGACGACTTGGTCGGGTTGTTGACTGAATAGATCAATGTATCTCAACTTCTAAAGTAATATCCTTTCCTTCGTACTGTCGATATATAGCCCTGAAGAAAAATATTTATTCAAGAGTCACAGTAGCCAAATATTGTTTAATCTCGGGCAGTGGATCATCAGGCATTTCTTCCTCTGGTTCCTCCTTTAAACCTCTGTCCGGCACAAACAGCTGTGGTGTGAGGAAGGATATGGGAGATCTCGCCTTAGGGGTCGAGAACCTTTCCAAGAGACGGATCAGTCTCTCCAGAATGCGAATAACAAACCTCCATATCCCTCCGGTATCCTGTATCAGCACTGGAGAGTCGATTATACCCACTCGCTGGTAGACGTTGTCCGTATCGGTGGGTGTAACCAACAGACCGAATCGATGTTCTATAAAAGGAGAGAATCCGCTGTTCCCATCTGGTAGACGAGCGAGAAAAACGACCGATAGTGGCTGCAGTTGTGTTAATGTAGGTATCTGATCAAATCCTGCCTGCAGATAAATGCATTTATTCTCGATTGCTACCTCGACCACATAATCAAGAACCGGGTTCTTGAGGGGTGTCATCAATACATCAGACGATGGCAGGTTCTTGTCTGCAGGATAGATGTTCTTGACGGGCAGCAGCGGTGCACGGAGACGAAGACGTCCTCCCTCGACAACCTTTCCATATGGATCTGGCCCATCTGTCTCCAGATGACAAGCGACAAATGTCGCGAGTGACTCATAATCAGCAATACCACGCTTCCATCGACACCGCTCGAAAAAGCTATACACGATGAACTGGACTGGCCCTTCGACTGAAGCCCATGACCACGATGGGGCATGAGTTGGACTTGCTCTCTGGAGTGGCTTTTCATGGCTTGTCCCAGACCACAGTAGTCCTTCGACTAGTCCTTTCTTCCATAAGCCAGCCATGTATGTATCCTTGGATATCTGAGCCATTGCATTGGCCAGACCAGATAATGCGGGAAGTCGATCGGACTGAACAGTGATATTGCGACGCATGTACTCCTCCACCATTTCGTACCAACCACGGTAATTCACCTTTGCATCACCAAGTGGTCGCGGTCCGAATATGCTTCGCTCAATTGCTGCTGTTTCGCAAAGACGGTCAAGATGGTGAGGGTTATGGGCCACGGCGTCACCGTCTTCGGCCTGGCTGACTGTCCGACATTCCCAGAAGAGCTGATCTGCACCGTATAGCAGCATCCGTCGGGCCAGGTATCGTTCTTGTAGACACCAAGCTCTGCTCTGTAGTGGCTCGTGAGACACGGGGTCTCCCCCAGACGTCCATCTTTCTCCATCCGGGGGAAGGAGTTGTAAATCCAGATCAGCCAAACGAATTGAATCTCGACTTCTTCGACAACCAAGGAACCCATGATCGTCTGAACTGGAATTCGATGCTCCAATGACAAGAAATGCGTCTTGATAGACATTTACCATCCTTCCAGCCTCGATTTGCCAGTCCTTTATATCATCCTGTACGATGCACAACGTATCTATCCAAATGTATTGCACACCCAGACGACGGGTGATGTGTATTGCGTCTTGCAAGGCCTGGGGCATTTCACCAAAATTAATCCCAGCCTTACGATCTTTGAGATTCGTGGTTGTTGTTATGAACGGTATGCCTTTGCCCCAGCAGTGACTCAATGCTATATAAGGTGCGGCAGGCTCGGTTTTGCTTTCCTCGTCTCGTAGACAGACCATGCCTGAATTCGACTCGGACGGGCTAACATCAATCACACGAGTTGGTAGCAGCGGTAGTTTAGCTGGTTCTGAGCAATATTCATGGCCATCTAGACACGATCTTATCCAGTTATCAACCACAGAAAACGCTTCTTTGCCGTCAGGAACTTTGGCGACAGTTCGGCCTAGGATTTTTTGTGTCCACGGGTTGTCTATTCAGCGTCAGACCTGAAGAAATGAATGCCTATTCCATATACCTTACCATAACCAGTTGCTATTCGAAAGTCTGCATTGAGAGTCAAGCCCCATGATATTCCTGATGAGACACTCACCGTGAGTATGAAATTGGCACGCTTCCTCGCTTTATCCAGAGTGGATGAAGATATTTGCAAGGACATGGCCATAGGAAAGTCCAGGTATCCGTTTATATTTTGCAGTAGATCCTCCTCCACTCTTCCTACTGAAATATCGCCATTTGCTTCTTGCCGTGCCGCTTCAAAGACCAGAGAAGCCTCTAAGCTTTGACGAACCAGTCTGCAGAGTTCACACTCAAAAGTCAGCACCCTCAGCGATGGGTACCAAGGGACATCCAAAGATAGGTCCGCTTCTTCCGATTCTGTCCATCGTTGATAACCGTTCCGGATGAATTCATCAAGTGCAATTTCCTTGCAACGAGGACAGTGCATCTTTGGTCGCTGCTAAGGTCACAGACTGTTGGGAAAATGCAGAATCATGTTCATTCTGCCTCGTTCTCTAGACCTTTCGTGGACTAGCGGATCTTGGCAATCCGAGGTTGTACATGTAGGCACAACAGAGTGAGGATTCATGCTATGCTACCTTCCATCCAGTGATCTACCATGACTTCACAGGTACTCAAATTGAGGACTTATCCTATAAGGCTAATAACACCAAACTACTAGCCAAGAAAAGCATACCACAGCAGGAATTCGCTGGTCATACTCATCTGTGTCTTATGCACAGGCAATACCCCGCACCTAGAGAGCTGACCCAAATTCGAGCCCTTGGAGAAACTAGCACCGGCCCTGGAGCAACATGGACAACGTTTGAATGGCGAGATTCACATCAAACAAGAGTCTCTCCAAAGCAAACCGCAAGCCTATCGTTCTGTCTTTGCCAAGGCGTCTGGGTCGCTGCAGATTCCGTCCGCTGGGCTTCACTTTTCCAAAGAACTGCTGGGCCAGGCCACCGCAGAGGGAGGGGAAATCGCCCATATTACACTGCACGTCGGGCGACGGAGATCTTCCTGGCTCGTCACATCAACCAGGGAGACGTGGCGAACCACAAAGTCCAATCTGAATACTTTGATTTTGGAGAAAAGGCTGCGGCGCAGATCAACCAGGCCCGCGCAGAGGGACGCCTCGTGATCGCCATTGGCACGACTGTCATTCGCATTCTTGAGCCTGTTGGCAGAAATGATAACCCCGGAGGTGCTGTGACCCCCCAGGAGGGATGGACGGGTCTCTATATCTATCCTGGGTTTGAGTTCAAGGTTGCAGACATGCTGCTCACCAATCTTCATGCGCCGCGCTCCACACATCTTGTGCTTGCAGCGGCCTTTGCGAGCAAAGATCTGCTGAAGCGCAGCTACGACGAGATTGTTGAAAATGGTGGATATGAGTTTAATATGTTCGGTGATAAGATGCTGATTTTCTAGCTCAATTGACACCTGGGACGCTTGCATATATTAACTGTCTGCAAGAGAATAGCTAGAATCACCTGGCAGGGAGCCAAGTACCAGTTAAATAAAATATACTCATGATTAGGTCTATGTGGCCGTTCTGTCTACTTTTCCCAAGCGAGCGTCGTGTTCCTGAACAGTTACACTTGGACAATCTCAGATAATAGAAAACAATCTGACAAATATAAATGAAGTCATCCGCATCCAGGTGTACATACAGGACTAGGGTGTTAAGTAAACAGCTAGCTGATTCTATATCAGAACAATGACATTATATTGATCAGATAAACCATGTCACTGTCCCATCCCGGTTAAATAGTCTCCTAGCTGTTTGGTCACACTTGCAGCCGCCTCATGTGCCACCCCCTCAGGACTATGCGCCAGTATAAGAGCCTGATTCGTTTTGAACACATACACGCCCTCATGGTCCTAAACCAATATATTTCCAGTAGATTATATCAGTATATAGATTTTGGGCACCTACCTTCTTAGCTTGAAGAGACTTTCTGTCTGCCGAGGTCACCAGATACTTCTGCCCATTGAGATAAAGCCCATTATCATGTAGAGGACCCGCATCGCTAAGCCCCTCTATAATGCTCTGCAACTCCTGAGGCGTAGCCTTTAGATTGGTTTCAACATAGATCAGTTACTGAAACCATCGTTGTAAAAAGATAATAAGCGTGCCGTACGCTGAAACCAGTACTGGTCCCCCATACACTGTCACCCACTCCTGAAAATATAGCGGCTTTGTCGATATTGCCAGTCGCGATAAGACTAGAGTCAACATACCCTGGAAAATGGAAGAGATTAGCAATCGTGTAGTATAGCCATAGTTAGATAATCTCGTACCTTGAAAACTCATTTTGAGTGTGTACCTATATGGGACGCAAGTATACAGGGACAAGAAGTTTGTGTAGGTTCGGTTGATAGACAGAGGGGTACGGCTCCTTTATAACATAGTATATTGGCTTCCTGCTTTGCCAAGATTCAGGGCGGCTATTAGCGTAGATACGTATTTCTTCAGCTGAACTCTGGCCCCATTTGTGCCTCAGCTGAAGCTGACTAGTGTCAGCTACTATTACCGTACGAGCTACTAATCATATCAAGAGAATAAGGTCTGATTTTCTATCTATATGAGAACGCGGGCGTATATGTAGCCAATCTGAAGCCCTAACACTCGTCTGAATGCAGTAAATTAAGCAGTACTTTTATGAGCGATATTCATATCGCTGGTAGCGAGACAATTCTCTGAATATTGAAGCTATTCGGGATTGAGAATCGCTATGTACCATGGATCGATTAAATACCGAAGGAATGGATATAAGGAGTAAAACTTCAATCTCTTGAGAATTTCACTCCGTGTTAGGGATATTACTCGGAGTAAAGCATGTAATATATGGTTATTATAATAAATATATTTCTTGGCTTAATGTAGTTCATCTTTATACAAGAATTCATGGCTAATCCCACATCCCACCCCACTGCTTGTTCTCCTTGGAATCCCATCCTTCCAAATTCTTCTTCTTGAGTCCCATGTCACGATAAGCAGCCCTGATCTGCTTCACAATCTGTTCTTCTTCGCTTTCTGATTCCGACTCTGTGTCATCATGTGATACTGCACAACCACCGCTCAGCATGATATCAGCAAGCCTGACATTTCCCAGGTCATGCAAGGTCTCTTGCCATCCCCAGTGACTCGCCCGTGGGATCCATGGCCACCAAACAACCTGATCCCGAAAGCAGTATTCAAAATCAATGCCTCCATCTAACAATACCAAATCAAACAGAAGATCCATTCGGATCCCTTCTTGCGCCTTCTCAGGGTCCTTCCTTTGCTAGATCTGAATTAGAAATTTGACGCACGGCTCGATGCTAATGGATGGGAGGAATTCTACCAGAAATGTATAGCTACCCGAGTAGCCTTGACAGGAGACTGAAGTTTGATAAACGGCCAAAGTAGTTGCTGGGGGCTGTTGAACTAGCATCCGTCGCCAACTTGCTTCTGGTCGGAGATATGCCTCTTTCTTCTCCGGTCTCTTGACCATATCCAGGGTCGTGAGGGGCAATTCATATGCTTCCCCTTCAGGGGTCTCAGGATCATGATATTGGAATAGTGGGGGGAAAGCATCGACCAAGAGTGGGTTGAGCTGTTTTTCACTGTTGGGATGTTTTCTGAGAGGCTTCATAAATAGTGCTTCTTGGATTAATGATGACTCTTTTACTAGAGCTGCCCAGGCACGGCAGACCTGTGGAGTGGAGGCGATGAGGGTGCGCAAGTCAAGCTGCAGCAATATCAACTCGAGGAGCTCCGGTGTGGAAAGGGCTTGATGTGTATATGTCTTTGGGGCATCCATTGCTTGAAGATAGACAGAGGTTGTTTGTTTGATGAATGTCTGGATGACAGGTTGTTGATACAAGTTCACAGCCCACACAGCCCTGCCCCCCACGTGATATCATCTGCGCTTTAGCATTATAGGTTAGTGCCTTTATAGTAATATCAAGAACTAACTGGTACACTAGGCTAGTCTATAATCAATATTTTTGGTAAAAGATTGAAATTGGGTATAGTACTGATACCTTTTGTTGATGCCTGCAGATTATTAACTGTAGATTTTAGTCACAATCTCGACACCATGAACCTATTTAAACACCGTCAGTCTTGAAGCTCTTATGGACAATAACCCCAACGCTCAAATCAATACTTAACAGTAAAATGGATCTCAAGCGTCTCCTGTCACACCCAGATTATGACTGTTTTGATTTTCACGACCTGCAGTCCCTCCCGCAGCATCAGACTCAGTCGCCAAAACGTCTCTTGAAATCCTGCATTGGTTCCTCGATGCCCTCCCACACCACAATTCTGTCGCACCTTTAAATGAAGCAGAATGAGCCGAGAGAAATGTAGTCCCCAAGGCAGACCACTGTCGTGCCGTCTTCCAGAGGGCTGTGGCCTGAATCACCAATGTTACAGCGCATCTCTCGACAAAGGGAACGATAAAAAGGTATAGGAATGTAGTGGTAGTAGTCGTAGGCAGAGTAATAATAATAATAATATATGTATAATATTAAAAAAAGGGGGTTCCACGAACGAACTCTACGAGGGTCAGTATAGCAACTATGCTAACGCCACACACATACCCTAACAGCTTAAGCCAGTATTATCGGGACTGCCCTGGGCGCGGTTCGAACAGGGAACGTTGGCCACTGCAGCGCAGAGGTTGCCCTCTACTCCACAGAGTGGTCGGATTATCTAGTAAGGGGAGACCTAAAATATAAGGGAAGATTTGGACTGCTGCCTGGTGGGCAGGTATACCTTGTGTCATGATGATTGAATCTACTTTGTTAGAATAAAATCGACCAGCTATACGGCTCAGATTCCCCAAAATAGCAGCCGGTGGCCATTATTCGAGCAGGTCATCGAAGATCTCACCGTTGATTGGAAACTGGGTGTTGAATTCCATTCATGCCGGGTCAATGCCACGGTGTTGGAGCATCGAGTGTTACACGATACCCCCGTCCATTTTCAGGGACTTGTCCCACGGTGATATTCTCCCAAGCACTGCGACAGAAGCATTTCCCCCCTACATGCGCAGCCTGGCAGTCAACCCTCTGGTATACACTGCCCCGGCGTTCATCGTGTTCCCCGAGGTCCAGGACCCTCTGCTGTATTGGATATCGGTGGCCCCGCAGATTGGCCAGTATGTAGCCTTCATCAACGACTTGTTATCCTTCCCCAAAGAGATCCGCGCAGGTGAGGAATGGAATTATCTCTCCATGACAAGCAGAGCCCGTCGGCAGGCCGGGGAACCGTCTCGCTTTAGTCAAAGGGTGCTGCTGCTGGTGATTCTCTGTGGACCTTCCGGGATACGCTGCACGAGGCAATCGAGGACGCATTGAAAGTGACGGCTGGAGTTGATCAGGGGTTCGCTCATTTCGATAAGCCCGGTGAGAAAAATCGGCACAGGATAGATGAGCATGGAAAATTGGCTCATGGTGTCTGGAAGGCCTTTAGGCATGGATATGTGGCGTTTCATTTGAACTCGGCTCGATACGGGCTGTCAAGCTTGAGGGATCGAGGGGAACTCGCGAAGAAGGCGGATAAGACTAGCTGTTCTTGCCAGTTGGTGTTCTTTCCTGGGAGTTCTGGCATGATGTGATGGAGATGGGCGTTTAGATCTTTGTTGAAAAGATATGGTTTATATATTTAATTATGTTTGTTTGTGTGATGTGTTGCTTTTGAAATTCGGTTTGAAGGTATTGTCTGCAATATTTTTGTGAACATGAAGCTACATCTGCAATTCAACTCAACTCCCAATATATTCAGAGCATCCAATCTATTCAACTGTACTCCAGGCTGCAAAATAGTATTTCCATAAACAGAGATATATCGGACAACTTTCCGGCCTATCATCGGTCCACCACCGAAACAGAACCCCGCAGAATTCCCGCTTCTCGGGCAATTCTTACAGCGAGAGAAGTGGGGGATGTTTGTCTGAGTAGAATGTCCTGAAAGCTGATTTCTCTTCTTCAATCACTTTCCTTTTCTCTTTCAATTATACCCATTGAAGTATTTTTTACATCAAAATGCAAGCTGCCAACCGTCTACAAAATGCCCTGCGCACTGAGCGCGGTCTAACCTTTGGAGCATGGCAGATGCTCCCCGGGGCCAACCATGCGCGCTTCATGGCCAGATCGGGATATGACTGGATTTGTGTTGATACAGAGCATGGAAATATTGCTGGTACGATTATATTGCAAGCAATTGTTTATATGGCTGCTAATGTAACAAGACGCACAAATGCACGAGGCTGTTGGTGCCATTGCTGCCACCGGTGTCAGCCCAATTGTTCGGATTGCGGCCAATGAAGGTTGGATGGTGAAGAGTAAGCTCTATTCCTTTTTTTATTTGATTTTATGTCTAACCCCAAAAAGGAGCGCTGGATTCAGGAGCCCACGGAATTGTCGTGCCGCTTCTCTACACTGCGGATGACGCCCGGAGACTGGTAGAGTCAGCTAAATTCCCTCCTGTTGGCCGAAGAGGGTTTGGGAGTCCTTTTGCCATGGGCTCAACAGGAGGTGTCACGGGGCCGGAATACCTGCAACAGGCCAATGACTCTCTTCTCACGATTGTTCAAATTGAGACTAAGGAGGCATTAGAGAATGTGCGTTGGCAACCCCCTAATCTCTCGAATACTGAAACTAATCCCATTGGTAGGTCGAGGAGATCGCAAAGGTTCCCGGTATTGATGTCTTATTCATTGGACCTTGGGATCTGGGCAACAACATCGGCCGTCCGGTCCTCGGTGCTTTCCACGATGATCTCAGCGCTGCCATTGAGCGTATCCACAAGGCGGCTGTCGACAATGGCAAGCGATCAGGTATTTACTGCGTGGGCGGTGCAGCTGCAAAGAAGTACGCAGACCAGGGTTTCCACATGGTATGTAACGTGTTGAAGAAGTCTGCCTTGAAAACTGCTAATATTCGGTTGCTTGTAGATCTCTGTTGTTGCTGACGCTGTCGCTCTTCCCACATTCCTCTCCGAGGCACTAGAAACCGCCAAGGGGTCCAAGACAGACGCCGCGGTCCCAACCTACTAACCATCCAGTGTAAATATAGCTTTATAGCGTTTGAAATGAATAATACGATTATCCATGTATAGCTTCTTATTTCTGCTGCTTCTCAGCTTCGTCGACCAAGTTCTCGACTTCTTGTTCGGTCCATCGGTGGAAAAGCTTCTTCGGATCGGAAAGTGCCTGCTTGGCCTGGTCTTGGATGGATTGAACATGAAGAACCGGAACATCGAACTCGTAGACATCTCTCCAGGGCTTGTTGTCAGGAACCATAATGTCCAGCTCGGAGTAGTCGAATGGTTTGCGCTTATGCACTTGGGTCACGGCGTGTTTTGCGGTGTCGCACAGCCCGCAACCGGCACGGGTGAAGAGAGTTACTCGAACTGCTTGAGAGAAGAGAGCTCTTGTGGGAAACATGGTCACTGATATAAGATTGAGCGATTCGATCTTGGACTGGAGCAATTGTGTAGATCTGATCCGATGAAGGAGAAGTCGGAGAACAACAACAGCTACGATGGAACCTTCGAGCTCTTAGGCTAAGCCCGTTTGGGACTGAGTCGTATGGCGGTCCGACGAGCAGCAGAAGAGTGGGATTTCTGCGACCGTTGGCTTCCACGACTTTCTGCCAAAAACTCCGACATCTGTGGTATATTTTCTTTCGTTGTCTCTCTCTTGCTATTATTGAGAACATAGACGGACAAGATGGCATCCAAGTGCGTCCACAAGGGATGCGGTAAAGAATTCACCGACTCCGAGGAGCAGTGCGTGTATCACCCTGGACCGCCAGTATTCCACGAGGGACAAAAGGGTAAGTGAGAGGACCTTGGTGTCACTTTATAATCCGGTTGCATTTATGCGATCGATAGTTTGGTGGATTAGTTATAGCTAACTGGCTGTCGTTGATTTCTACAGGTTGGAAATGTTGCAAACCCCGCGTTCTCACTTTTGAGGAATTCCTGGGGATCCCACCTTGCACTACAGGCAAGCACTCGACAGTCGACGACACCCCCGTCGAGCCCGCAAAGAAACCTGCAAACGATGAAGCTATCACTTCCCTTTCTGCACAGCTGGCAGCAACTGAAACTGCCCCGCCGCGACCTGTTGCTTCGCCCGCCATTGCCCCTCCTTCGAATGCGCCCTCGCCGGCTCCCGAAGAACCAGACTCCGACGACCCATCTCTGGAGATCCCAACGAATGCGACTTGCCGGCGGAGAGGGTGCGGTTCAGGATATGATGCATCTAAATCGCGGGAGGAGGAGAAGTGCGTGCATCATCCGGGACAACCAGTTTTCCATGAGGGGAGCAAAGGATGGTCCTGCTGCAAGAGGAAAGTGTTGGAGTTTGATGAGTTCCTGAAGATCCCAGGATGTCAGGAGAAGAAGCAACATCTTTTCGTGGGCAAGGTTAAGCCAGCGGGAGAGGAGAAGGTCGAGACCGTGAGGTGAGTAGCAGCATCTGATGGAGTACGATGCATAAAGTCTGATCTAACATCTACAATCGCAGGAGCGACTTCTACCAAACACCACACTCGGTGAACGCCTCCCTCTACCTGAAGAAGATCGATAAAGAAAACGCCAAGGTTAACTTCGCCTCCACGTCGGTCGATCTCGACCTCCCGACGACAGACAACAAGCGGTTCAAAGATACATACCAGCTGTTTGCGCCGATTGACCCTGAACAATCCAAGTTCCGCGTGCTGGGCACCAAGCTCGAATTGACGCTGATCAAGGCAGACGGAACCAGCTGGCCAGTGTTGAAGAGCGATGACAAGTGGAGCGGAGAGAGAATTCAAATTGGAAAGGCAGGGAGGGTTTAATGTCTGATGATTGACTTAGCATAACGTGACGATAGTATGATAGATGACGGTTGACTCGTGGAGAAATATTGAAATAATACAGCTAGCAGGAGCTGCTTACAAGGCGCGAAAAGGCTGAGAGGACAGAGTATATACGGGAAAATAATTCATTTGATTGACTATTCTGAAGAGCACCAAGTGCCTGTATGATTGAGCAAGAGTACACAACATAGAATGTACTGAAAGGGTGTGTTGCGCCCCCTCCACAGCTAAAGCGCCTGGGGATCTTTTCTTGCGAAATGAAGCCCTAGCCTAGCCATAGTTTGTAAGGGAAAAAGGGATGCGCACGCGGAACAAGTCCACGTTACTCTGCGAAGCCGGGAACGGAGGGAAACCCATGGAGTTAATTCCAAACAAGAATAGCCCTCAGCGAGCAGTACTTTGACTGAGCTCCGATAGATTTACATTAAAGGTATGTAAACCGCTACTGATGATGGAGAAAAAAGAAGAAAAAAAATCAAAAGGGTGGACGGACAGGAGCAGTATTTAAAGGAGCGGTGGGGGGCGCTAATGGTTACCGTAGTCAGCTAGTGTTAGGGCTGGGGCTTGGATCATCAGGTGAAAGCACGTGATATTAAGACCTCAGGCTGAAGTGGGGCTTTTGTTGAGAGAGTCACATGATGTGCGATCACATGCGGAGTAGTACGAAACCGGTCATTCCGCACAATTTGGCCTGACAGCTGGAGGGAGAATAATGACCTAAAGCATGTAGTTATGATTTGAATACTGCTTTCATGCACGTGGCTATCCCCGGAATAGCTCTCGTCTGGCAGTTGTAGGCCCTTCTCCATGGCGGGAGGGGAAAGTGCTTTAGCAATGGAGGGGTTGAAATCCGGGCGGGCATCTTCCAATCAAGGCTCAGGGGCACGAGACCAGCAACGTTCACCTCTACGGCCCCTGGGCTTGTTTTTCCCTTTGCTTTTTCCCCTCAGCCTTGCCACCCATTTCACTCCATAATTCTCTCGTCGCATCAATTGCCGGTCAATTTATGCTTTTTCTCCCCTGATCATTATACCAAACGTTTGGTTGTTCTCCTACGAGCGCGGGATAAGCTAGGTTGGTCGGACACCGCTGCATCTGGCGGTCTAAACTTTTCTTCGCAAAAAAGACTAACTGCGACTGCTGTGCAGAACTCCTTGCCGTCGCTTATCGCCCCCAAGAAAAATAAAAAAAAGACAAGTTGCGCTTCAATATGGGTTCCACATCCAGTGACGGTTCCCTTTCCTCCCTCAGATACATTGCACAGTCGTACAACCATGCGGACTCGCAAGCCTCCGCGCTGAGGCTCATTTTGACCCTGAACCCCCACTGGGAGGGCGCAGACAACAAGATCGAGTTCGTGCGGTTTACGGACGGCATCACCAACACTGTGTGTTCTAGGAAAACTCCGTAAACGATCTCTGGAGAACTAACGTGATCTGTGTAGCTTCTCAAAATCATTAATCGCAAACCTGGCTGGACCGAGGAGCAGATAGACAATGAGGCAGTACTGATGAGAGCGTACGGTAACCACACGGAGATCATCATAGACCGCGAAAGTATGACCGTCACTTGTGACATGCCTAATCTCCCTCCTTGCCTTGCCCATTGCGACTTTTGCTGAGTAGATTTGTGATTGCTATAGGAGAGATGAACTCCCACGCTCTGCTTGCCAGCCGTGGTCTCGCCCCTCCCCTTCTGGCACGCTTCCAGAATGGCTTGCTTTATCGGTTCATCCGTGGTCAACCCACTACGTACGCCGACTTGGTGCAGGCTCCGATTTGGCGTGGCGTGGCCAGAAGGCTAGGACAATGGCATGCGGTCCTGCCAATTCAGAACAAAGCGACCCCCACAACCGAGAAACCCACGTCTATGATGCACGAAGTAGATCTCGATTTGGAATCCCGGGTCAAACAAGAGGATGACATAACCGCAATTCAACCGCGGCAACCTGGACCCAACATGTGGACGGTTCTCCAGAAATGGATCCTTGTTCTTCCAACTACGACTGAAGAGCAGCGTGCCAAGCGACTAGGTCTGCAGACGGAGTTTGAACGGGTCGTGCGTGAATTCGATGATGGAAAGGGCCTTGGTGATGGTGGGGTACGTTGATTTCCCCTAATCTTCAGGCACTCCCAATATGAAGTGTTCTAACCCGTTTCTTAGCTGGTCTTTGCGCACTGCGATCTCCTCTGCGCCAACGTGATCGTTCTTCCACGGTCAGAGGAATCCAACAAGTCAGACGATGAAGCCGAAACAGTGCAATTCATCGACTACGAATATGCGACGGCCTCTCCCGCTGCGTTTGACATTGCCAACCACCTCGCCGAGTGGTGTGGGTACGATTGCGATTACAACATGATGCCCACCAGGGCCGTTCGCCGGCAGTTCTTGACCGAATACGTCAAGAGCTACAGCAAATACCAGGGGATCGCAGAGTCCGCTCAGCAGGAAACCGTAGACCAGCTGTTTGAAGATGTGGATCGCTTCCGCGGTCTCCCCGGGTTGTTCTGGTGAGTTTCATTCCACCTGGGACGATCCATGCCACATACTAACAAGCACAGGGGTGTTTGGGGCCTCATCCAAGCACAGATCTCGCAGATCGACTTCGACTACGCCTCGTACGCCGATCTTCGTCTCGGGGAATACTACGCCTGGCGCCGGGAAACCGACGGCTCCCGAGCTCAGGCAGGCGAAGAGATTCCCCTGCGCGAGCGACGATGGGCACAGGAAGCATAAACATGCATCCCCCAACACCGTATCCTTGTTCGGCTATCCACGCGTGACCAACAACTACGGCGATTGAGATGAGGATGAAGATGCACATTGTATATAATGTACTTGATTTACTCGGTTCGCGCGTGCTGTTTTTGCCTGAGTTTTTCATTTCGCTCTGATTGAAGAGGGGTTCAACAAAGTTCCCTCGCGGAGTGCAAATATGCTGATAGACAATATTTCATTGGGAGCGGAAACTTGGGAGAACAAAAAGGGTACTACTTTACATTTTACTAACTACAGGACAGGAGGGCTTGTCTTCAACGACTTTTTGGTGTTTCAAGGCGCCGAGGGAATGATATATACATACTCGGAAAGATATAATAATAGAATGCTTGGCGGTTGAAATAAATTGAAGTTAAAGATATAGACAGAACATGAAGTGCATGTTCATTGACAGTATAATAGACATAAGTATATACATAATCTTATCATAATAAACACAGCCATACATCATGAAGGTATCTGCAGTCTATAGTGCAAATAAATCAGAAGAAAAGATAGAAAATACATAATTACAAACGGTGCTGCAGAGGCGACGAAGGCTGGGAATACGACCCATCCAACTTCAAAGCAGCCACTAACTTGCGATACGACTCACTGCCTCTCCGGGCATGTTCCTGGGGGGTCTGCGGGTTGGGATCAGCCAGCGTCCTGGAGAACAGCTCCAGCGACACCCAGCCCTTGAAGCCAATGTCGAAAAACGCCTTGGCCACGTCCAAGACGGGTAGATAGCCGCCGCGGTCTTCTTCAAAGGCGAATAAGCGTGCGTTTCGAGACCAGTTCATACGAGTGGGCTGGCCTGGGACGTGGAATTCGTGCTTCTCATCCAGAGGCGCAGCCAGTCGCTCTCCATCGACGACTTGCACGTAGAACACCTTGGCAGGATCGACATTATCCCGGAGACGGGCTATCGAGGCCTTGAGGTCGGCCTCTGCGTTGGGGTTTTTGCCTGTCGGCGAGGCCGGGTCGGCGTATACACGGCCGGCGATGTTGAAAGTGTCCAGACAGAGACCAAAGTTGGGACGGTTAACGGCCTCAACCACTTCCCAGGATGCCTCCCAGGTGTCGATGTGGTTGCCCCAGCAGAGTGCTTCGTAGACGAAGCGGAAGGGAGGTGACTGCTGCAGACCCAAGTCGGCGATGCGCTGCAGGTCCGAGACGATGAGGGCACGATCGCTCGAGGTGCGCGACAGACCGGTTTCTGGGTCTGCGCCGAGGAAGTTGGAGGGGACCTGGATGAGGTCGGTGCCCAGGATACGGGCGATGCCGAACCAGCGAGGCAGCTTTTCAGTAACGTGTTTCTCGTGCTCCTTGCGGTCTAGCAGGCCCTCGTAGAAGCTGAAGGGCTGCAGGCAGATGATGGTGAGACCGAGCGACTCACACAGTTGGCGGGTTCGCTGGGCGGCTTCAGTGACGTCGCCATTGCAGGAGTATTGGGCGAAGCAGTCGAGGTCGTCGAAGAAGAGTTCGATTCCCTCGAAACCATATCGGGCAGCTTGGTGAAGCTTTCCAGGGAGATCGTGGATCCATGGGCGACCAAGCGACATGGACGCAATTCCTGGACGGTTCACGTTTTGGTATGGCATTTTGACTTGCTTGATAGATTATTGATGTGAATTTTATATTATATAGATGTTCTGGTGTTAAGAAGCAGGTATCAAAGACGCTGAACCGCGCAGCAGAAATGGACGACAGGCAGCTGAAAAAGATCAAGTGACGCTGACTTTCGAGAAAACAGCCAAAGAGGGGACCAGACCATTAGCGATGCTTTTAATGGATGCCTTTCGAATGGAAATATGAATACCAATCGAGGATTGCGTGGATCAACGCAGGACAACCAAACAGGACGGGCAGAGGGGAAAATGCAGCGCGGGAGAACGTTTAGCATCGCTGCGTTTACCCGGAGCAATGGATTTCCCCACGCGAAGGCTCTGATTGGCATTATTGTCGCGTTCCAGTTGATTAAAATGCTGCATTTATGAACATTCGAATCGGAGTAATTCATAGCCTATGACATGCAGACAGCGAATAAAACACTCTGAGTCATTAGTGAACGCTGCAGGCCAGGGTCTTTTCTTCCCCGGATTGTCTCCATCTGGAGATTCGACTAGCACGTACATATACAGCACATCTCCACCACTCATCCTAGACTCGATTCAATCAAACCATTCAAAATGTCCGTCAAAGTCATCGTCGTCGGCGCTGGTCTCATTGGCCCTCGCCACGCCCAATCCGTCATCTCCAACCCAGACACCGACCTCGTCGCCCTCATCGACCCAGCTCCCAGCGGCCCCGCGACAGCTTCACAACTCAACACAAACCACTTCCCCTCCCTCGACGCTCTTCTGGCTTCATCCTCCATCCCTAAACCAGACGCCGCCATCGTCTGCACCCCCAACCACACTCACGTCCCCATCTCACGCAATCTCCTCGCCAACGGCATCCACGTCCTCGTCGAGAAACCCGTCAGCGACTCCATCGAGTCCGGCCTGGAATTGCTTCGCTTCGCCCAACTGCCAGAAAACGCTCACCTCAAGCTCCTCGTCGGCCACCACCGTCGCTTCAACCCCTACGTCTACAAAACAAAACAGATCCTCGACGCTGGCTCCCTGGGCTCCATCATCGCCGTCAACGGTCTCTGGACCCTCTACAAGCCTCAAAGCTACTTTGCTCCCCCGACGGATTGGCGTCGCGCGAAATCCTCCGGCGGTGTCATCCCTATTAACTTTGTCCACGACGTCGACATCCTGCATCACTTCTTCGGTCCCATCGTTCGCATCCACGCCGAAAAGACCCTCCCGCAGCGTCCCAACCCCCCTCACGATGCAGAGGAAGGCGCAGCACTCACTCTCCGCTTCGCGTCTGGCATCGTAGGAACCTTTCTGGTCTGCGACGCTACCCCATCGCCGCATAACTTCGAAACCGGCACGGGCGAAAACCCAATCATCCCCAAGAGCCCGACAAACGGTGATTCAGACTTCTACCGCATCTTTGGCTCGAATGCCTCTCTGAGTGTGCCGGATATGACGCGCTGGAGCTATGATGGAAAGCCTGATAAGAGCTGGAATGAGACTTTGTCGGTGGAGCGGTATGATGTTGGGGATGCCACGCCTTTTGATTTACAGTTGGCGCACTTTGTAGAGGTTATTCGGGGTAATGCACAGCCCAGCTGCTCGGGCGAGGAAGGATTGAGAGCTCTGATTGTTTGTCAGGCAGCCAGGAAAGCGCTGGAAACTGGACAAACTGTCGATATAGACACAGATCTGTTCAAGAATGAAATATAGAAAATGTACTTTAGCTATAGATTTGTTAATCTAGTCATTCAATTTCTGACCTTGAAAACCACTAAATATCTATTAGAACTAGTGTTCGACTTGGATGCACACTCTCATCACGATTATCTTTGTTCTGTAGAAACCATGGATGTTTCTCGGTCTAGCTATAATGGCCATACCCAGTTACCGTCCACGTTGATGATTCCCTAGAGTCCACACTTATACTTGATGCATTACGTTGATCGTAGTTCATACACTGCATTCAAATGTCTGGTAAATCTGTAATTAGTACACTAAGCACATCATTCATTCATAATAAAAAAATATATTGTCATCTCAAGCTTATTCAAGCAGTTATCACTCAAATTATACAGGAAAGTAATCCCAGATCATCAATCCAATCACATCTCAAACACCCAACGCGTCAATACATCACAGCTTAGCTTGAACGCTTGCCGCATCCTCCACATGCTCATCCTTTGCCTTGGTGTAGCCCGACTCCTCGATATCGTGGCGGAATCGTTCCTCATCCTCGCGCAATTGAGCAAGCATTTGTCCATGTGCGCGCCAGATAGGCTTTTTCTCGAAGAGTCGATCCATGCTTTCCAGAGGAATACCCTTGGTTTCAGGAATAAGGAAGTATACAAAGATGATAGACAGGATCATCAGCGACGCGAAAAAGAAGTATACGCCATATTCCATGCTGGAAAACATCTGCGGCGTAAATCTCGAAATCAAGAAATTCCAGAGCCAGTTAGATGCTGCCGCACAGGCTTGTGCAAGGGATCTCATGTTGGGATCGAACATTTCCTGTACATGTTAGTAGAGTTGACACCCCAAGTGTAGAGAGACAGGCTTACCGAGTTGAGGACCCAGGGTGTACCATTCCAGGTCGGAGTATAGAAAACAGTCCATAGGTAGAAGAAGAACATGGCTGCAATACCACCACCATCCATTCCTGCATCATCCGGTCTGCTTTCGGGCTTTGCGGCCTTGATATAGGCTCCCACCACCCATAGACAAACAGAACCTCCGGCAGCACCAACCAACAGGAGCATACGTCGTCCCACGTGGTCGATCAACCACAGCAGCCAGATAAAGGTAACCACCATCTTGACAACACCAAAGATACCCGTGGTGAACAACTGAGCGTTGGTGCCCCGCACACCAATACTCTTAAAAACCGTGGGGCTGTAGTAGTTGATGGCGTTGATACCAGATCCGTTCTGCCAGAAAAAGAGCATGCTACCCAGGAAGAGACGATACCTGACCTTCGGGTTGGTAGCCGCGGCCTGGAATGGCTTCCAGAAGCCAGTACCGATAGCGGAACGCTGTTCCTCCAGGGCCTGGTCTATCGCTCCGATTTCCTCAATCATGTAGATGTCATCCTCAGGCAGTTGACGGATCCAGCAGAGGTTCTTGATTGCCTCCTCTCGGCGACCACGACCAAAGAGCCATCTGGGGGATTCCCGGATGAAGATGGCACCGATAAGCAGAAGGCCCGATGGAATCAGCTGAACAGCAAAAGGAATCAACCACTGTTTGTGACTGGGTTCCAGCGTTTCATCAACACCATACTATCATACATTAGCATACATGAATACAGACATTAAAGTCTTGGTGGATGGAATGAGGGGAAAACTCACATTAATCCAAAAACCAACAAGGCCACCAACTTGCCAGCCTAACTCGTAGACACCAACCAATCTACCACGGATAGCAGGTGGAGCCAGCTCAGAGATGTAGATAGGAGTGATGTTGGAACCAGCGCCGACAGCTAAGCCAGCTAAAACCCGACCACCATAGATCAGGCCTAACCCACGCTCGCTGTTGGCTCCCAACATCAGACCGGCACCGAGAACAAAGACCAGACCAGATGAGATTAAACCCCATCGCCGACCCCAGAAATGACCGATTGGGTATGCAAAGAAGGCACCAAAGAAAGCACCAGCCTGATAGCAGGAGACAATGTTGGCGCTCACCAGATCGACAGCAGCATCACTCATAGAACCGAAGCTGAATTCACTTTTGAACGAGTCCAAGGCCAATGTAGTACCAATGAAGGCACTATCATAACCGATCATACATGACGTGCAGGAAGCGACAGCGGCCAGAAGATAAATTCTCCAGTTGTAAACCGACCTGGGGGTTGGTCTATCCTCAACAAGTTTGAGAATAGACATGGTGAAGTAAAATCCCTCTCAGAGGGAAGGGCGGCGCAAAAACAAAGCCAAGTGTGGGGGGAAGAAGTAGATCAGAGTCAATGAATCAAACGGTGATGAAAAAAAGACCAGAATGATCCTGAGCAGACTGGGGTCTATATAGCCACAGGATTCCCGGTAACCTAACCCGAACAGATGGAATCCGGGGTTAAAAGAAACGTCGTGATGCGAAGGCGGAGAAAAACAAGGGGCAAAGTGGCCATCAAGTCGATTTCGAGGAGTGTTTTTGATCTGGTGGGAAAACGAACGGCGGCAAAACAATGTTAGCTTTCGCAAAGACTGTAGAGGACTGTGCGTGTTGTTTTCTCTGGGAGCAAGTCTCGGGACTTTTGTGCAGATTAAATTTCTGGGCGAAAAGTCAGACTGGCACGAAACATGGGCATTCTCTTGGGACGAGAAATCTCTGCCATCGCTGGCGCAGGCGCTCCGATCCCGCTGCGAAAAGTGCGGGAGGTGTAAGCCATTGTGGGGAGGCTAAGCCGTTAACTGCCAAACGAGACAGGGATGCGGGCTAGCAATCGTGGAGAAGAGATGCGGAGAGTTTGGCGGTAATATGGGACAGACAGCCAGAGAGACCGAGAGTGTTTCCCCGGATTTCAGTCCATCAAGGGGGGATCAGGCAGGGTCAAAAAGGATAATCATGGAACCCAAAGGCCATGCGGGGGATATGTCACTAGGTGGCGGGGAATTGATTCCCCATGGGGTTGATTATTTATTCAAGAAGACTGATTCATGAAGGGCCTATTTGTTCATCGGCGAAGAATATGGCCGACGGTAAGGGGGAAAAGGTTCTCCCCGAGAAAAGCCTGCCGGGATGTTAACGCGGTGTTGCTCGGAGATAGTGGCGATAACTTACTGGGACGGCATGATGGGCCGATCAGTGGCATTCAAGTCTGCAGAATCGAGTTTAACTGATGAAGTGATAGTCTTTGATAGACAATTGATGGAATGAAGGAAGTTTGATGGGAAATTGGCATATCGTCCTGGTTGAGGAAAGGAAGAAGAAAGAGAAAGAACTGCGGGGCGAGAAAAAAACAGGAGGAAAAAACAACAGCAAAACGTTTCTCCGCCATTGGGAGAACCTCGCCTGCCCATCGGCGCAATTAATAACCAACGGCCTTTCATCGCTTGTCCCCAAAGGGCGAATCGATTCCGTGTCGTTAAGCGTCATCCCCTCTCTGCTGTTTTAAATAATTACCGATCCCCCATTCCTGGATCAGGCCATCGCTACGTATCCCCCTCACCTTAAGATCTTCATCATTATGGCAACACAACCAACTGCCGGCGGCGTTCAGCCCACCGAAGAGCCTATTACCTGTCCTGCTCACTTGGACGGTGTCGCCTACCTCTACGGCCATCCTCTCCTCAACTCTCTCTCCCCACCTCTGCACCAGACCATCTACAATGCCCTGGGATTGAACTGGACTCAAATCCCCTTGTCCAGCGTGACAGGCACCTCCGCTACCTATCCTCCTCCTTACACAAAATCCCCACCGATTGAGAAATACCTGGCCACTATCCGCGCCAACCCCAAATTCGTCGGCTCGTCCGTCACCATGCCCTGGAAGGTCAGCATCATGCCTCACCTGGACGACCTGACCGAGGATGCCCGCCAAGCCGGCGCTTGCAACACCATCTTCCTGCGCAAGGAAGCCAACGGCGAGACAAGCTACGTTGGCACAAACACCGACTGCATCGGTATCCGCGAAGCCCTGGTGCAGAACCGCCCCGAGGGCACCGAGGACCCTTACCGCGGCAAGCCCGCCTTGATCATTGGAGGCGGCGGCACTGCACGAACAGCCGTCTACGTGATGCGCAAGTGGTTGGGTGCTAGCAAGATCTACATCGTCAACCGGGACCGTGCGGAGATCGAAGCCATCGTCAAGGAGGACCAGGAACGGAACCCCTCTGCCGACAAGGCTGAGCTCATCCCTGTCTACAGCCCCGCCGAGGTAGCTCAGTTGGAGGCCCCCGCTGCCATTGTGTCGGGTATTCCTAACTATCCGCCCAAGTCGCCCGAGGAGATCACCGCCCGTGAAACCATTACGGCTTTCTTCAACTTGTCGTCTAGCACCACGCCCAAGGGTGCCATCCTGGAGATGTGCTACCACCCCGTGCCGTGGACTGAGATTGCAGAGCTGGCTTCATCAGCAGGATGGAAGGTTATTCTGGGGTCGGAGGCCTTGATCTGGCAAGGGTTGGAGCAGTCTCGCCTGTGGACAGGACGGGATCTTATTGGAACACCGGGGCTGGTTCAACGGGTGAAGGATGTGGTGACCAATTCCATTGCTGAGCGGGCGCCCAAGTCGAACTTGTAATGACCATGTATTTCATTTTACGTTCTTGTATAAAGTCTTAGAGAATTGCATGTGCTATAGACCACGATTATCCAATACATCTATGCGGTATCTACACCATATATATAATTTGACCATCACAGCGTAATGTCCTTGAGTATATATCCATTAAATTCCAGGTCGCGAGTACTCAAGCTCGCGTACCCGTCGCCATACCTGTCGCACAGTCCTCTCTTGCGTCTGTCGTCCTGTTTCAGTCTCCGAGGGGCCCGCAGGTCTGCCAGAATTAGCATTATCATTCAGCAAGCAGACAGCGACAATCTCACCTAATAGCCAAATACAATCGACTTCCCAGCTTGACATCCTCAATAGGAGCTGTGTCGGGATTCTCAGGGGGGTTGGCCGTGGTGACCAGTCCACCAGCCTCGAGAAGAATCGCAACTCCAGCAGCGACATCCCTATAGCATCAAGTTAGTCATAAAGCAGGCATAGACCTAGAAAGAAAAGCGCTTACCATTCCCAACAACCTCCCTCCCACCAAATATCCATGGCCCCCATAGCCGTATACGCCAGGTCCAACGTGGCACTTCCCAAACTCCTCACACCATGTACCATACCGCCTTTCCCGTTCCTGCTACCATTCTCTGCTGCCAGGTTCATGAAGCTCTCGATCTTGCGATGCATGTTGCCGTCGAGGATATCGCGGCGGTCTTTGCCCCACTCGCATGAGAGGATGCACTTATTAGGGGCGTTGGGGGGCATTGGCGGGATGGAAGGGTTACGGATGAGGGGTAGTTGGCGCTTCTCGTTGAGCCATGCGCCGCGGCCGATGCAAGAAGAGAATAGCTGGTCTTGGAAGGGGGCGTAGATGACACCGATAATAGGGCGGTGGTCGACCAAAAAAGCGATCGAGACGCAGAACATGGGGAAGATGTGGGTGTAGTTAACGGTTCCTGGCACTGTTAGCCGAAAGAACTTATATATAGAAGGATGGCATACCGTCCAACGGATCGATGCACCATGTTGGCTTCTCGTCAATCAGATAGTCGCGCGATTGTCCTTTGGCATATGTTTCTTCTCCCAGGAACCTGTCGCATTTGTCAGTGATTGCCTCAATTCAGGTACAAAAACACTCACTTGTGGGTGGGATATTTCTCCTGGATTGCATTCTTGATAAGTGCCTCCGCATCTGTCCATAGTCAGTATCCGTGGATCATGTCAGTTCAGTCGGAAGCAAATACCCTCGTCGGTTTGAGTCACAATATCAACCGCGCTGTCCTTCTCCGTAAATGCCTGGCTTGTTCCTCCGATTCTTTTCTCAACACCATCCATCAAAAACTGCCCAGCCTTACGACCCAAGTCTACGGCGAAGTTGTAGATCTCGTCTAGCTCTTCTCGGCTGAATTGAGTCATGATGCGGGCAATGCGGGGTTAACGTGAGTTCTGACAGGTTCTGAGAAGATACTTGGTGACAGGTTAAGATAGCAGATGGTACCAAGCAGTAACAGAAGAAATGAAAGATGGAGAAACAACAACAGATGGCCAAAAGATGAGAAGATGGAGTTGTTACGATTTCGATTTCTGCTGACCTTGACTGATCTGCTCACCGTGAGTGACTCCGTGAGTAACCGTTTATCGGAGGTCCCCACAGGTGGAGCAAAGGAAGTTTTGCTGCCAGCATGGTCATCATGCTTTAGGGTACAGCAGTTCGAGTGGCTTGCAGTATGCATTGGCTAGACATCTGTGTAGATGACTGAAACGTGGATATATGCATGGAAATCCCAGTGGTTCCAGAAGATTGCTGCTATTCGATTGAACAGTGGCATAGGGCACAGTTTGTCTTCTGATGCTGACAATTGCTACGGTACTCGAGGATTTTGATATTGGCCAATCCGTGATGAAGAATAGTCATTCTATTCTGCTATCTTCTTCATACAATTTACATCATCCTAAGCATTGCTGGTAACTGGTCAAGCCAGTTTGAGTTCCCCAAGGCCGAAGCCGGAGATCTCGATCTCGATATACTTTGATATAAACACCAGACTTCAACACCTCGCAGACCAGAAAGTCACAATGAGAAAAGTCAAAAAGCAAAAAAAATGTCATAGGACAAATTCTAACCAGAATCAAAAAAATGGGGCTTTATAACCACCCTATCATCAGTGTTACCCCTCCTTGTAATGCTGTGGTTTTGTCTCGGCACCGGCAAAGCATTCTGTCTGTCGCCATCGGCTATCCGTTTATCCCTGAGGGAAACCCCTCAATTTTTTTTATGGGGAATGCGACTCCACAATCCACCATGATTACAACATTGTAACATGGGATAAATCTAAGGTCCAGAACAATTAACCGATGATCTTATGAAATAGCCAATGCCACGAGGTTGATTGGCGGGGGTTGATGTATTCATGCACTTGATTTGCCTCGATTCATATATCTCAGTTCTACTTTGAACTTTGACCACATTCATCTACTTACCATCTCTCCACCATATCGATATACATCAAATACACTCGAAATGGGCAAATCAATCCTCCTCATCAACGGTCCTAACCTCAACCTGCTCGGAACCCGCGAACCCCATATCTACGGCAGCACCACCCTCTCCGACGTCGAGAGCAACTGCAAATCCCACGCCGCCTCCCTCGGTGCCTCCCTCGACTCCTTCCAGTCCAACCACGAAGGTGCCATCATCGATCGCATCCAGGCTGCCCGCGGTAACGTCGACGGTATCATCATCAACCCCGGCGCCTTCACACATACCTCTGTTGCAATTCGCGATGCCCTGCTCGGCGTGAGCATCCCTTTCATCGAGCTGCATGTGAGTAACGTCCATGCGCGCGAGCCCTGGAGACATCACAGCTATTTCAGTGATAAGGCTTCGGGGATTATTGTTGGTTTGGGGGTTTATGGATATAAGGTTGCGGTGGATCATGTCGTGACGAACTTCAAGGCGAGAGATGAGAAATTGTAAATTTACTTTCACTTGTTCTGTATATAACTTAAAATTCTTGTTTGGTTTAATCTTGTCTGTGTTGTAATTTTATATGCAAAGAGCTTACACTTCTCCGGTAATGGAGTGAGATCTCCAAATAATCTAGAGAAACCAGTCATATTTATTGCATCACGCACTGGTATATCGGAATCCATCTTGGCGATCTCATCTTATTTTTCATAGTCTTATGTATTATATACAAGTGAGAAGTTCCTGGTGTGTCCGATTGCTTTTTGCAAACCATATCTGGATGGCTGCATGTTAAACGCCTGCCGCTTGCATCCGCAATGTACACATGTCCTAAATATATATCTAGAATTATAAGTAGACACTATTGTATCCTTGGATACAATGCGAGGAGGCCGTGATATATGAATCATGCCTTGTGGGACTGTCTGGCCTAGGTCGCTATATTCCAACCTGGCAGCCAAGCTATCCATTGAATCCAAATCGATATGCCCCTTGGCCTTGACGCTGGTTCGAAGCTGGACTGCTGGTCCTACAGCATATTGGATTGCGGCCAGACACTGCTGTAGCTCATGGCCTTCCTTTGACCTTCTCTGATTCGAGTAAGTTATCAGGATGTCGAATCCCACGCTCATCTTTGGGCATGCGAAGAGCTATTCGTCTGTTGTGATTCTCGTCGTACGGCGGGCGCAGGCTCCGAGCAGGAGAGTTGTTGGGTTTGAGCTAGAAGGAAAGGCTCAACTTGACTGGAGTATGAATACAATTCAGGGATCCCAGCGTCCGGAACGAACCCCAAATTCTGCATGAATTCCGGTTGGTTATCGGTTCTAAAATGAAGAAAAGCATGGTTAGCCACTTCCTATAATAGATAGAAAAATATTGTACTCACTTTTCAGTTCCGTCCAGCGACGCTAGTTCGTCAAACAAAGCATCAAGATCGGGTGCAATTCTCGGACGTCGGGGAGGTCCGTATCCATCAATGTCGACAAAAGATTCAAGGTTTAGGTTCGGGTCGCTGTATGCTGGCGGGTATTGTTCAGTGGTGGAGGGGAACGGGGATGGTATGTCAGGTATCATGGCACCGGCTCCATTCATAGGTTTCGTGTTTGAAGTGAGAGATGGACGCAGTCTGCCGGATGCAGGGCCGTTCAACGGTGGAGGCGGACGAGATGCTTCCGACGTTCTGCTCGTCAAGGTGGGTGTTGGTGTTGGAATTGATAAAGAAGCGTTTTCATCAAGAGTAGGCGCTGTTCTCATCCAAGAATCTGGCATAAAGGGGCTCGATGTCACGAGCCCAGTACGTGCTTCATCTGTTGGATGTAATCGTCGTGAATCGCTCCTCGGTCGGGAGCTCTGAACAGGAACATTATCCATAATTGTGCTCTGCTCGGGTGTGCCCATTGTTGAAAGGTTATCCTGTCGGCCTATTTGATCCCTTTCGGTAAACCCCATTTCCGCTGTGGGTTTTCCTTGTGCAGACCATACTGATGTAAGATGAGAAGAAAAGGTTTGCAATTTACTCTTCAGCCCATATTCGAGCTCGGATGATGATTGCGGAATCGCCCCCTCTCCGGGTGCATTAAGACCAAAGGTAAGCATCATCCCAAATGTAGGAGATGTTGCCGAAAGACTGTAGTTCTCCATGTAAGTCTGAAGTAACAGCAGCGATCTCTTCGAGCTTTCAATGGCTCGCTTTCTGCAAGGGGCATCCGCTATGTTTCGGCCACCTTCTTGCATTGCAAATTGTAGACTCATGCACGTGACAATCCCCTCGTACATCATTTCGAGACCGAAGATATGTGGTGAAGCTAGCTTGGTTGTCTGCAGATCAACCCGGTAGCTTTTTGGAAGGGCAGTGACCCAGAGTTGTAACTGGCGCTCCAGCAGCTCCAGTTGTGGAATGGAGTAAGTCAGGTTTTGCTTGAGACAGCACAATTCATTCAGGATAGAGACCAATGAAACGAGACGGTTGAAAGTACTTAGTGCATGAAGAGGTCCACGGTGGAAAGAATCGCGGGAGGACTTTGTTGGGCGGAGACCAGTCTGGTCTTCCCATGGATGCCATTCTTCCAGGCCATCTTCATTGACTGGGCCGACTCTCATGAGGTCTTCCTTGCGTAGTGTTGGCACCTGACCTGTCTTCGTGGCGATCAGAGTCTCGAGAATGAAACAACCTAGAAACACATGTTTCGATCGCGCAGCAGGTTTCCCTTCTTCTATGGCCGCAGGGGGGTGATCTATCCCGAGCGAGCGCGAGATCCGAACCGCCTGTCCTACAAGCATCCATGCTGCAGTCCATTCCTGTTGGCCAAATTTGACCAAAGACAGAAGCATTATCGCTTGGACATGGCCGATTTCGTAAACCCCATTTTCAAGAGGGATCAAACTTCGGGCTGTGGCATAAAGCTGCTCGGGGTCAGGTCGGTCGCTGGGGAGGTCTGTGAACTGGCGGGTATTGGTAATCGATGCTTCCTGAATGGAAGCAAACGTCAGGACGGCCCATAATGCCGCGTAATCCCCAGACCCTGGAGAGGAGGAAGAGACTCGCATCTCCCCTGCTGTGTCCCGAAATGCCGTCCGGAGGATATCATGCTTCTCGAGTATTGGGAACCAACACTGTGTGTATGAAAAGTAAATGTCGAGCAGGGACCATGCATTAGAAGGGAGTTCAAGACGCGTCCCCGTCCCATCCTTAGAAGGGGGAAATGTTGTGAGGGTTTGTGGGAATTCGTCGATTAGAGGACCGTGCGTTCCAGTTGGAACATCATCGGATGGGAGGGTTTGGGTACCAGAGTCTCTGGTTGCACGAGAAGTATAAAGGTTGGTCGTTGAGCCTAGTTTGGGCGTTTTTACCGGCGAGAAGGCTGCGGGTAGCGAAGTCTCGCGCCCGTCTCCAAATCCTTCAGGAATCTGCCATTCGAGGGTGTCGGAAGAAAGGACACTGCTTCCCTCAGCTTCCTGCGGCGAGTCGGTAGATACTCGATTCGCTTTTTCCTGTTCCTCCTCGGGCTGATCCAAGAAGGCTAATATCCTTTCGATCTCCCTCAACACAATGCTGTTTTTCCACGAAGAGAGAAGTGTGTCCGATCCTTCCGCCTCCTTTCCCATTGTCGCTAGATGACTGGGTATATTTGCCGCCCTCAATAGGGCCCGCACCACCTCCTCGCTCCCCTGAATTTTGCAAAAGACGATTCCCCATAGTAATTCGAGTGTACGAATGTAACCGGTCGGTACACCTCTTTTCTTGGGGTTCGCTTTGTACGTACAGGGCCGGCAGAGCGACGCGCACGTCGAACACACTGGTTGAACCCCATCGCATTTGTCTTTTTTCGAGCGACAGCTGTCGCACGCCCGGGAGACGCGCTGTCGCTTTGGATGAGAGGTATAATCGTCAGCGGCATTTTGCCTGCCATCCTCGTCTGCATCAGTATATCGTCGCTTCGCTTTGACGCTGCCCCCAGAGGCTTGGCGCGTATCGTTGCTCATGATCGTTTACTCAACGGTCCACGAGTTGTTCCGGACGCATGTTCATTTTCAGATAGATCGTATGACCGAGATGAATCTTTTGCCGGCAGCTTTCTTAACAGGTGTGACAGGTTGAATTGCTTCGATCCAGCCCCACCCCACACGTGAGCACTTGATTTTTTAAAAAGGAAGAATCCTGCCTGGATGTAAGCGAGTAGCGATCAACGAGTTCTGTCTGTCGAGAGCAAGGAAAGAGACGGAAATTGGAAGCTATGGATAAGAGAAGACGACGGTGGAAGTGCCGAAGTGGAAGGGAATGAAAAGCGGAGAGATGGACCAGACGGGGAAGCGATCATTGGGCGGAGTCTTGGTCGTTTCTCCCCGGCTGCGACGGGTTTTCTCTCCACTTGTCAGCATTTCACCGGACCAGCCTATGGATTCGGACGGATTCCCAAGCACTGGTGGCAGATTGGTTTTTACACGCAGTTTTACTTCGTAAGATAACATTGTTCAATTCGTCATTTACAATAGCATTGCTCCTCTGGCCTCAGCAATCAATACTCACCACCGACCCCCTATGCAGATGCGCTGTGCTATTCCATATGCCCAGCCTAAACCCCGCGGGGAAATCGGAAAAATAAAATTTTGGAGATACACGTAAATTACCGTATTCGCGTAATATAATACCGGCTGAGCATTCTCCCTCGCTCCAAAAAAAGCAAAAATGAAAGTCTCCGGTTTTTTTCCCCGCGAAAAAGAGAAGAACGGCGATGCTGCTGACCTCTTAGTCTCACAGGGTTGGCGCGCTTTAGCTCTTTGTCAGTTCGTCGGCTCTTCAACAGTTTACCAATATCGTCTCCAATGGGTCTTGGTCCTTAGCCCTTTTCTAATTTTCCCTCGATCTTGGGGTCGAAGCTTTGTCCTCGTTTCATTAATCTCCGCATTATTCGATCTCGTCTGCCGTTTTCGCCCACTCACACTACCTTGAATTCATTTCCTGTGGTCATGTGTGGTTTGGATCCCTCCGAATTTAAATCCTCTCTCCTTGAAGGCTTAATCATACCATCACGATAAAGACTACTGGGCCCCCAGTCAGCAGTATGTCGATTCTCGTGAGACCAGCAAAGCGCAAGTTGGACGAGGTTGAGGGGCCGGAAGAACGGGAACGGAACGCCCGTTTCTCGCAGCGAAACAGTCACGATCAGAGCAACCCCCCGAGTACTTCCCAGTCGCCAATTCCTCCATCCAGAAAAGGCTCTGCGCACTCAGCTATCGGTTCTTGCTCACGGAATGAGCAATTGGAGGCATCAGGGGATGGGTATTGGTATGCGCCATCGTTGCGGGAATTGAACTCCAACCGTGCGTCGCCCGTCTGCTTTGATGGCTTGTCTCATGCCCAGAGAACCTTCGATCGGAATGCGTCGGTTGTCTTAATTGGTATCCGGGGCACTGGGAAATCTAGCCTCGCAGTCATGCTTGCGGCCACCTCCGGGAGGCGACTGATCGATGCGGATCGGTACTTTCACCAGATGACGGGCCGTACGCGTGCTGCATTCAAGAAGAACTATGACCTCGCAGATTATCGTCAACAGGAAGCCAAGGTGATGGAATCGATGCTTATGGAACACAAAGAAGGCTACGTGATTGCCTGTGGACCTGGTTCCATGGAGCGCAGTGGTCAAAGGCTACTCAGAGAGTACGCGAATACACACCCAGTGATCCATGTCATTCGAGATCCGGAAAGCATCCAGTCATATTTGAAAGCCTGGGATACGGATAAGGTTCGCCGGTTTCTCGAGCTGTCAGGTCCAATTTATCGAGCGTGCTCAAACATGGAGTTTTTTAACGTCTCTGAATTAGACGCTGGAGAGCATGCTGGGAAAGATGGCCATCACCACACCACACTAGATCTTGAGCTTGACCACAGAGCACAGTCTCCCACTCCCTTCCTGACTCTAAAAAGACTGCAGCGTGATTTCCTTCGCTTCGTCAACTTTGCGACAGGAGATGCAAACGATGTGAGCAGCCAGGATGTCTCGTTCCCCCTCTCAATGCTACCGATAGAATCCCGGACGTTTACATATTCGGTGGCTGTGCCAATTTCTTCATTATTTGAGCAGGACTTGGACATCGAAGATTTGGAGTCTACCACAGATGCTTTTGAATTGAAAGTCGACGTGCCAGAATCCCCTTCTACTCATATCGGTGTGGACTCGACTCTCGCGGACAAAATCAGCCAGACCGTGGCTACGATTCGACGAAACATTGTCGTCCCTTTCATCTTCCATGTTGAAAGTAAGCTACCTACTGGAAATTCGACTCCGCAAAGCCAGCCGTTACGACGTCCAGACGATGCCTATCTAAACCTATGCCGACATGGACTCCGGCTCGCCCCCGAATTTTTGACCGTCGACCTTTCGTACGATGATGCCGTTATATCACAAATAATCGCTTCCAAGGGCACAACCGCGGTTATTGGGCATTTTGCGGCCTTCGAGCCTCTTCCTAGTGGCTGGGATAATGCGGATTACACTGAAATGTACGAGCGAGCCAAAAAACTGGGATGCGACATGGTTAGGCTGTCACAATCAGCGGCAACAATTGATGACAATTATGCCGTTCAAAGGTTCCGTCATCATATCAACACTCTTCCTAAGCCAAGCCTTCCTCTTATTGCTTACAACTCTGGTCCTCTGGGCCGAATGTCGTGCTGTTTCAATCCTATTCTTACTCCCGTCACCCACCCTTCTCTATCGTCAGACCCGGCAAAACTGCCACCATGTATCACTCTACGTGAAGCGCATGAAGCTCTTTACGCCTCATTTACACTGGATCCGATGCAGTTCTTTGTTTTCGGTGCCAATGTCACCTACAGTTTGTCTCCGGCCATGCACAATGCAGCTTATAAGCTGTGCGGCATGCCCCACGTATATAGCATTCATCAGTCATCATCTCTACGAGGCTTGAGTGAACTCGTGGAAAACCCTCATTTTGGCGGTGCCAGTGTCAGTTTGCCTTACAAGACCGAGGCTATTCCCCTCCTCCACTCAATGTCTCCACATGCTCGGGCTATTGGTGCCGTCAACACCATAGTTCCTATACGAAACATCGAGGACAATGTCCTCGTCTCGGAGAAGTCCTCTCTATACCTGGAGAAGAGCCGTGCTGGGCCCATCAAAGCCCTGCATGGCGATAACACCGACTGGATCGGAATCGGCAACTGTTTCCGGAGAGGTTTATCTCCCGCTAACGCAATCCGCCCTAACTCCACGGGTCTTGTCATCGGAGCAGGGGGTATGGCTCGTGCGGCTGTGTATTCCATGATCCATCTAGGCTTGCAGAACATTTTCGTTTTCAACCGCACATCCGCCAACGCGGAGAAGCTTGTCCATCACTATCATCGACAAAACCTCCATCACGCCCTAAAGAGGAGCGGGTCGACTCCCCATCCCACAATACACGTCCTGGCCTCGTTGCAAGACAACTGGCCTGCCGGCTACAAACAGCCAACAGTCATTGCGTCTTGTATTCCAGCTCACAGTATTGGAGGACAACCGGCGCCCAATTTTGAAATACCTTCCCAGTGGCTTGAAAGCCCTACTGGTGGTGTTGTTGTCGAGGTAAGTATTCGATCTGATTCTTTGTCTTTTAACATCTAAGACATTGAAAGAAAGTTTGCTAATGGTCATTTCATCGTAAAGCTAGCTTACAAACCCCTCAACACCCCACTCATCAAGCAAATGCGAGCTCTTTCCCATAGAGGCTGGGTAGCCCTTGACGGTCTCGATGTTCTGCCAGAACAAGGTTTTGCCCAATTTGAGCTTTTCACGGGCCGTCGCGCTCCCCGGCGATTGATGAGGACGATTGTGTTGAAGGAATACAAGGATGAAGAAGAGCAATATGACCCCAGCTCAATTCAGAGTCGGCTGGAAAATCTGGATGGACAGCCTACATGAATAATGAATAACATGATGAATAATGAGAGTCAATTCATGGGATGATTTTGAGTGGTTTGTTTTGGGGAAGTTCAGTACAACGCAGAGAAATGAAGGTCTGGAAATGCTTGGCTACAGAATGCAGTCGCTCCTAGCCTTCATTTTCTCGGGTCACTGGCACAGTTTGTGCATCCAATGTAGCCGGCATATTCACAAGAATGGTTTCACAGTCACCTTCGCTCAAAAAGATACGTCTCTATCCTTCTTCCATCGTTGGGTATCATTGAGAATGTCCGAATTTGAAGCATTTACTTGGCTCGGCGTGTACCTATCCAAAACTTCACTCGAGAAATGTTTGATGTCTATCCTACGGTTATTTCTTTTACGGAAAGCGCGCTTGATGCTTTGGGGCATGCCTCTGCAAATCACAGGGGAGGCAGCGAAAACGAATCTGGCGGCAGGAGCAACTGGATAATGGCCACAGAATAACAACTTGGACTTTGCCCCGTTTTCTTTTCTCTTCTTTCATAATCGCGTATACCGCTCCATCAAGCTATCTTGCAACGAATCGCACACATACATTAGGTCGGTATTGTTGTTTTAACGAAGAGAGATTCCCAGTCCACTGACTATCTCAAACCAAACAGATTAAACAACTTCACTTCATCGACAAATCTTCCACGTCCGCCAACATGCAGCTCAGCCTATCTACTGCTGTATTTGCTGGGCTTTGCCTCTCCCTCTCCGCTACCGGGCTTCCTACAGACAAAATTTCTGCGCCGATCATAATGGACAACAGCCCGAATGTTGTATACGAGGCAACCTTGCAGGATACCAAGAACACCACTGTTCGAGGATGGCTCACTCTCTGGGCACCACCGAGCAAAGTGGGAGTCAAAGTCCATGCTGATTTTTGGGGGCTTCCGGATGGAGAGCCTTTATGTGAGTCTCGTCCCTACTTTAAACTCTTAGTTGTCGACCTCGACTTACGTTTTATCTTAGTTTATCACATCAACGAGCATCCCGTATCCAAGGACGGCAACTGCTACAGCACTGGCGGACGGCTCGATCCCTACAAGCGTGGAGAAACCCCTGGCTGCGATACATCCAAGCCTCACACCTGCCAAGTTGGTGATCTGTCTGGAAAGCACTCACCACTTTACACCGGCAAGGGTGAATCATATGAGATTGAATACACCGACCTCTTTCTTTCGACGGACCCAAAGAAGCTTGCCTTTTTTGGTAATCACTCGGTTGTTGTCCAGTATTCCAATGGTACAAGGCTGAACTGTGCCAACTTTAAGCTGGCACGTCACCAGAGCTTACGGTAGATTATCTTTCGAAGGAGGGCAAACTGGCGACCTTGGTGTTATTGACACTGCCTATTCCTCACCTACATCATATCGAAAACTTAGGGACATCGCTTGTGATGACATTGTTACCTCTTGAATTGCTTCGAAGGATTCATGTAGCCTTTTTGTGTCTGCTTTTGTGGCTGGAGGCTTTTTTGTAACTAATATCAATATCCAATTATGCATTCAGTAAAAATGAACCCATTAACTTTTGATTCTGAAGAACCATCGGGGCATAATTAACTACTTGAAAGCCCATGGAAAAGAATCCCAACGACTAAAATACAGAAGCATAGAACGTACATTTGGTAAACACAGCAGGAAATGCGATGCTTGTATCAAGACAACAATTCTTGTATATTTAAGGGCGCTGTTTTGAGGCAATATCAACCATTGTCTATGCTGTTTCCGTGGGAGGCGCCCTGTAGTAGAGACCGATCTTCTTTTCGAATCTTTTGCCTTCCACCTAATGCATTCAATCACAGAAGCAGTATGATGTGTTCGTTGACAGGGTTACTAACAGTATTTCTCTTCTGTCATCTTAGAAATTCGTCTCATATTACCTGTTTCGATGCAGTCACACATCCGTAGGCCCGAATGGCGCTTTCAACAACCACATCCAGATCCTTGTCCTGCTCAGCGCTAGAGCCTTCTAGATCAAGTAGCTTAAGGCAAACCCAATTCCGGCCTTCGGGCTTCTGTGCGAGATGTGCATCCCAGTGCAAGTCGTGATTCGTGATTCGTGATCTTGGACTGATCGATAAGCGGTTCTCGGCAAACCTGCCCTGTTACCCCTCCTCGGCAATCTTTACCCCGGGGGACTGTCCCTCTGGCTACCCCACATGACTCCCAAAAGGTAAGCTCGCTTCCTCTGTTGACTCTCGTTCTCTCTCCAGCAGACGCTTCTCCACGTTTCTTCCAGGGCTCTTGGTGATGAACTGCTTAAATAATTTCAAGCTCGGCTCAGTTTCCATAATGGCATACACCCCTGGTGTGAATCAATGGTATTTATACCAGAAGCCTCGTCCAGTCAATGAAGAATACTCTTTCCCAACATCCTCCAATTCACTCTAAGATCCTAAGGCCCAAGCAAAGACACGCACTCACAATGTCTCTTGCTCAGAACCACCACGTTATCCAGCTTCCTACGACTCCCTCAACCATTCGGGCTCTAGATCCCCGTATCATTGCCCAGCAATGGATCACTAGGCTAGAGGCCCAATTGGCTAGTGGTAACCTCTCCCAGGTCTCGGAGCTCTTCCATGAAGAATCATGGTGGCGGGACATGTTAGCCCTGGACTGGGACTTCCACACAGTTCAAAATCGTAGCGGCATTCAAGACTTCGTTAGTCGGAATCAGCCCCGAGCCCAGCTGTCGGCCTTTCGTCTTCAGCATGAAGGCAAATTCCAGCCCAAGCTAGACAGGCCAGTGAAAGGGCTGAGCTGGATCTCTTCGATATTCTTCTTTGAGACCCGGGTTGGTCGTGGATCTGGTGTCCTCCGCCTCACCCAGAACGAGGTTGGAACCTGGAAGGCTTATTCGGTTTATACTTCTCTTCAGGAGTTGGACAACTTCGAGGAGCCTCTTGGTTCGAAACGGGCTGAAGGGACAATTGAGACCATGCCCGGTGGCTTGAGCAAAGGAAATTGGCTCGAAAGACGGAAGAGGCAGCTTGAGTTTATGGATGAGGAGCCTACAACTCTAGTTGTTGGTGCTGGTGAGTTCTACCTTGTGATATTAGTGTTTGAGAGAATAAGTCTCTAATTTTCAATATGCAGGCCAAGCTGGTCTAAACACAGCAGCGCGACTTCAATCACTTGGAGTATCATGTCTCCTCGTCGATCGAAATGAGAGGATCGGTGACAACTGGAGGAAGCGTTATAGGGTAAGCAATCTCCCTTCAATTGTTCTTTATACCTATTTTCTGATCCTCAATTATCAAATAGACACTGGTTACTCACGATCCCGCCGAGTTCACACACATGGCATATCTCCCATTTCCGAAGAACTGGCCCCAATTCACCCCGAAAGACAAGCTCGGTGACTGGTTTGAAGCATATGCCAGTATCATGGAGCTCAACGTGTGGCTCAAAACCGATGTCAAGTCTGCGGTATACGACGATGCCAAATCAGAGTGGACGGTAAATCTAACTGGGGGTGATGGTACTGAGCGAACAATCCATCCCCGTCATCTTGTCTGGTGTACCGGCCACTCAGGTGAGCCAAAGGTTCCCAGCTTCCCCGGACAGTCGCAGTTCAAGGGAACCGTATACCATGGTAGTCAACACCATGATGCCTCAGAAACCGATGTCAACGGGAAGAAGGTAGTCGTGGTTGGAACTGGAAACAGTGGTCATGACATCGCCCAAAATTTCTATGAGAATGGAGCCGACGTGACTATGCTCCAGCGGAGAGGAACATATGTTATCACAGCCGAAAAGGGTGTTTTCATGATGCATGAGGGTCTTCACGAAGAAAATGGGTATGCGCTTACCTTTATCCATTGAATCTCCCAAGACACATACTGACTATATATCTTCCAGACCCCCGACAGAAGAAGCAGATCTAATGGCAGAATCCCTACCCTTCCCAGTCCAATTCGCCCTATCCGTCCACTTCACAAACAAAGTACGCGCGATAGAAAAAGAAACCCTAGAAGGTCTCGAACGAGCCGGCTTCAAGCTCGACTTTGGCGTCGACGGAGCGGGAATCTCCCGTGCATACATGACCCGCGGCGGAGGCTACTACATCGACGTCGGATGCAGCCAACTGATCATCGACGGTAAGGTCAAGGTCAAGCAAAGCCCCGAGGGAATCTCAGAGTTCAATGAGCGCGGTCTTGTCCTGAAGGATGGCAGTACATTGGACGCAGATATCGTCGTCCTTGCAACGGGATACGATAACATGCGGACGACCGTGCGAAAGACGCTGGGCGATAAGGTGGCGGATCGCTGCAGAGATGTTTGGGACTTGGATGACGAGGGAGAACTGAACGCGGTATGTAATAAGCTCTCCGTTTTCCCATTCCATTTATTGTCCAAGAAATACTAACAAAATACAGATGTGGCGACCAAGCGGCCACCCAGGCTTCTGGTACATGGGAGGAAATCTGGCTCTGTGTCGGATCTACTCCAAATTCTTGGCTTTGCAAATTAAAGCCATTGAAGCGGGTCTCGTAGCAGGGAATTGATAAATGTCAACTTACTAAATTTCAAAATCATAATGAGTAGTTATGCAAATGGGTTGCAGTTTTCCATCGCTTTTTATTGACGCAAGATTGTTCTGCTCTATATATCAAATGGTATTGAATTAATATAACAACTAGCATCATTGGTCTAGTGGTAGAATTCATCGTTGCCATCGATGAGGCCCGTGTTCGATTCACGGATGATGCACTTCTTTTTGCATTTTTTAACCCCAAGCTTTAATTTTTGCCTTCACAACGTGTGCAGTTATGCATTACTCTTTATTCAATTAGCAAGAAGATCTATAGTTCACATTAACTCTCTATATTGATTTTACATCCCAGATATACAGAGCAAAAAAAGTAATAAACAAGAAAAGCAATCAGCGCCTCATATTCAATCATCATTATCCAAGTGAGTTTCCGTGGTCACTTCCTCCTTGGCTCCATCATCAATGACCATATCCACCTCCTTGATGGGGTGGAGGAGCATGGGGGGTAAGCACATTCTGCCTTCACCCGCCAGCTCTTCCTGCTCACCACCGTCATTGTCAACCCGGTAGCCCAACCAGCGTCTCCAGAGGTTTCCGGAGAACCCGGCCGAGTAGAACCAGGTAGTACCGCGGAAGTTGTGTTCGCGGTCACCGAAGATGGCGGTTCGAGCGCCGCCGGAAGCGCCGTTGCGGCCTGCGTTGAAGACGGACTCGAGGTATTTGGTCGGCCATCGACGGTCGATGTAGACGGAATGGGGCACGTATACCGCCTTGAAGCCGTGGTGGAGGGCGGTGGTTGCGGGCCACATTTCTGAGAACATGCTGTGGCGTTTGAGGCTGGTTTCCTTGTGCATCGTTTGGAGCAGTTTGCGGGAAATTCGCGAAGCAGTGATGATGGCTGTGCGACGCGGAGGGAAGCCATGTTCCCTGTTGTATCCGGTGACATCGTCCCGGAGAATCCAGGTGGTGCCTTCGGGGTCGTAGAGCGGGTTGAAAACGATCAAATCGGCATCTTCACCAACACCCCATTCGTAGTTATCCTTCTCCATCGTGGTCGGAGGGATGCCTTCTCCCTCGACCTCGAACATATCCCGTTCATCGGGACGCTCTGGGCCCCAGATGAATTTGTCACCCTGTTGGGCCATTCCGCCCCTGCCAATGCCGGTCTTGTCCTGGCCCGTACTCCAGAGGTTGTTCGGGCTGTTGGTGCCCATTTCGGTTTGCACTCGAACCATCTGTCGGAATTCGTCCCATGTTCCGTGCACGGAGGGGACGTAGAAGCGAGCGTTCCTTTCCCACAGACCCTTTCGGGGCTGCTGTTTCGCCCAGCTCGACACTTTGTCGAACAGGTGATACCAGTGGCCTGTGTACCGGGCATCCATCTCCCAATTCCAGTAGTAATCATATTCAGGGTGCTGGTGTCCAAAATACTGCATGCACATGTAGGTGCTTCGGTATACACCATGGATAGGCAAGCCCCGCATATTCGTTTCTTCCAGACCTGGATACATGAGAGCCATCTGGCGCTCCGACCAGAGCGTGCCCATGCCACGGAATTCTTCCGGGAGCGCATCATTAAGCACGCGCTCATAAGTTTCGTCATCGGCCCAAATCTGCAGATTCTCGTCCTTGACATGGACAAGGAAATGAACCGTGTATTCGCCACCAGAAACCAAAGACAGCTCCGAAATCAGAGAGCGCATGTACAAGATGTCCTCAGGAGTGTAGTGGAAATCGAACCAAGTACGAATGACAACCGCCGTACGGGGAAGACGATCCGTTCCGACCTTGGGCTCCTTTTTATTCTTGGGGAGTGTAATTGGCGGATTGCCTGCTTTAGAGGAACCAACGGGCATCGAGAGGAACCGATCAGCCCGTGGCTCTGGGAGTTCGTGATAGCGATGGCGGTTAAGAGCGGCACATCGGTTCTGCGCCGCAGCCCAGTCCACCTTGCGGAAGTCCACCGGTGGGAAATCCTCCCAAACACGCTCCGAACCATCGCGATGGCCTTCCAGGCCTGCACCAATGCCACCTTTCCGTACACTGTAGCCCAATCCATAAGGTCCAAGCCGGCCGAATCGGTCGAAGCACAGGTCATCCTGAATTCCAATCATCTCATTTGATCCCATTACAGCCTCTGGGAATCCCTTAGGGACACCAGGGTAGTGATGGATCAGTGGGATCCGGGTAGTTTCCTCCTCATCCAAAAAGCATTCGCGCTTCTCGCCATATTTCTTCACATACTCTTGCGACGAATAGTCGGGATAGGGATTAAAGACCTTGCTCAACATCGGCGGTGCATCGCCTCTGGCCTGGACAGTTTTCTCATCGGGTTTCGCCTCAGAAGCCCCCAATCCCAAGTCTTCCGAGCCATCTCCTGGGTATTCAGGCACTGAGCCCTTGCGCGCCACCAAACTGCGGACTCCTCCATGGTAACGCTTCAGGAACGGGAAACTCTCCCACTGCGGCGGCTTCGGTGATGAAACCTTTGGTAATTCAATCGTAACATTTCTAACGGTCGAGGAGAGCGTAAATCGGAACAGGGTAAGGATGAAAATGACCAGGGCAGAAAACAGCGCCAGACAAAGCCATCTCATAATCCGGTTGGGGACACGAAAACCCACAGGACGAGGGTTTCGCGTGGAAGAACCTAGCGCGGGCTGGTAGGAGGTTGCGACACCAGCAGCCGGGGTGAATGTATCTCTTTCGCTATCAGAATCGGAGTCCACCGAGCTGCGACGGCGATAACGCTTCTTGGACCGGATGGTTTGCGGCTGTTTCTCGACGTCTATGTTCGCATCTTGAGTTCGGGAGGAGTAAGGGGAGGAGGTATTGTAAGCGGAGGAATGCCTCCTCGACTGGACAGTCATGGCTATGTGGAGGAGGTAATCATCGAAGAGAGCGACGTCACAGAGGCCAATGTGAGTGTGGGACTATCAGCGGGACGGCATCAGAGTCTCGGTGGGATAATAATAAGGACTGTTCTTCAATCTGGGCGGTTAGAAAAGAAAGAACCATGAGATAGGGGATTGCAAAGCATGGAGGTTTACAGTGTTCAGATGGCACAAAAAGTGATCGAATAAAAATAGCTGTCTAGCTCAAGAAGATCAGAATAACACCGCGCAGTCTATCGATGATCTTCTTCCGGATGAATTAATCTCCTTTTGAGACGGTCGATGTGGGTTTTGGCTGGGGACGGGATGAAAACAACTCCACGCAATTAAAAAGATAACCAAAGGAGAAGATGAAGAAGGTAACAATAAACCACTGAATGATATAACAACAAAGATAGATGGAACCTGAAGGTGAAATCCAAGTTTTCAGAGGAAAAAGATGACAGGAATCAACTGCCAAGCGACTGGTGGTTGCCCAAGAGACTCTAACTTAGGCGATTGCGGACCCCAATTTGAACTGGCCGCCCAGATTGAGAGCCGACTTGGCGGAGATGATGATCATAGGGGATGCGGATTGTTCGATGGAGGATTGGAGGCGTTCAAACTTCGATGGCGATGTTGCTGATGATCTGAATGATGGTTATCATCGGATCAGTGCAAAGTATGTATAAAAATAGAGGCGTGTCAGCGATCAATACCCTCCCTTCATTCAATAATTCGAGGATATCCTCCGCAAACTACTGTATATAGATGCAGATTGCGCCTCCGATTATGTATACATATGCAGTAGTACCACCACAAATACCGTACCCTTGCTCAATCAGCCCCTATTTCAACAACAAACAAAATGAATCCGTACCACCTCGTCCGCTTTCAATCGCAAGTTGAAGTTGAAAACAAACATTTCGATTAACAACAGCCAGCCATCACGGAATAGGACTAGCTTCAGAAATAGCCTCAACGCCTAGCCCGTTTAGGTCTGATTATTCAATCGTGCTTTCCGCTTCTGGTTGGTTCCTTGGGCGAGCCATACTTCTTTAGGCAGCCATCCACGGATCAAGTAATCCCCTTGGTGTTGCTGTTTCCAGGCATCACATTGCAGTGGCCTTGATGCATTACGAAGCACAGGCGAAACTCTAGGGATATCCATGGGTGATGCCTACAGGACGGAGTACGCGGTACGGAGCAAGGTGTTTAGGTGCTGTATGCGAGGTATCATAAGACCAAATATTAGCCTCGGTTGGTCATCGCAAAAATCAGGTCCGCCTATTTATAATGAACGCAATACACGGAATAGTTTATAAGGTGTATTTTCTATTTATGATGGATACAACCATCTGATATACTGATTGATATTAATTGCTACAATCTGGAGTATTCACAGCACAGCTCCTGCAAATGATGACTACATCCCAGCACAAGCTGAAAAGAATCACAAATGATCAAAAATACATCTGAAGTTTTGGAACGTGGCCCATTCTTCGGTGAATCGTAAATATTGGAGTCTTGACTGTAAAAAGGACATGGAAACAAAGGAAAAAAGTTCAAAGGAAAAAGGGTTTTCAGGACACAAAGAGTATTCGTTGGATCGACGCCGGGACGAAAGAAAAAAATGAGGCTAATAGCATAGAGGAACGAAAGGCCGTTAGAGAGGTCACATAAACACCGAAGTAGCAAATCCATTTCCTACACGTGGTGTCTTTGCCGGCCTCGGTTCCTCATCCATCATTCGCAACTCCCAGTTAAAACTTCCTGGTATTCTCCCCACAAATCAAATTACAACCGTTTAGTCGCGGTTTGTTTTCCGCAGGGTGTCGGCGAGCCATTCGAGACCCTCGTACAGACCGTCACCGGTGGTGGCGCATGTGGATTGGATGAACTGTATATATATTAGTCGATACTTTCAAAGAGACCAAAGTCTCCGAGGGAGATCTATTCAACTTACCCAGCCACGGCGGGTGAGGCTCTGCAGACCAAGCTGCTGGGTGATTTCGGCAGGGCTCATGGCGTTCTAAGAATAGATCAGCATTCTGAATCGTAGCGCAGGATCGGACACGGTGTTCATACGGGCAAATCTTGCTTGTTGGCGAAAACGAGCAGAAGAGCGTCACGGAGCTCATCCTCGTTCAGCATGCGCTGCAACTCTTCCCGGGCCTCGACAATACGGTCGCGATCGTTGCTGTCGACGACGAAAATGATACCCTGAGTGTTCTGGAAGTAATGTCTCCAGAGAGGACGGATCTTGTCCTGACCACCGACATCCCACACGGTAAACTGAATGTTCTTGTACTCGACGGTCTCGACGTTGAAACCTTTACAGCAAGCCAGTCAGCTTTCTTTCATCCCATAATGTAGCGCGATCCATGCGCTCACACCGACATCTCAGGACTCTGGAAACCGGTGCAAGACGACGGGGAGGGAGGAGACTCTTGGAGAGTGAGACTGACCGATTGTGGGGATGGTGGTGACGATTTCACCCAACTTCAACTTGTACAGGATGGTGGTTTTACCGGCGGCATCGAGACCGACCATCAGAATTCGCATCTCTTTTCTACCCCATAGCTTATCGAAAATCTTCGAGAAGGTAAGACCCATGTTGTCGGTGGCGAACGCTCGAGGCCCTGCTACTCGGGCAATGTCAGATGAATCACAAATAGGAGATGCAGACCAAGAAGGTGATCGCAGAGAAACAACCCAATAAGGGCAACAGATGGAGTGATGTGGAAGAGTGGTTGTGATAGGGAGTCAAAGAGGAATGGGGGATTGAACGAGGGGTAGGCTTTCCACACACCGGGGAAGAACGGTGAAGGGGGAATAGATGCCACGAGGTGGTGTGATGATCAGGGGTTATCCCGTGCGAGAAGTGATATATCAAGTTGAAGGGGGAAGGGCAAAAAGGGAGGGCGCAACGTACCAGAGAAATGAAGCTGAAGGGGGGAGTGGTAGAGGGTAGGGCGTGGATACAGATGGCGTGAAGGGAGATAAGTCTTATGGAGTCGACACTGTTTTTGTCGATGTTGGAATTTTTGGGTGCAAAAATGCCAGGTCAGGAACTTCGGAGGCCAGCGTAGCTTCCGTCACTAACAAAAACCAGGATCCGGCTGAAACACCGTAGGATTTCGGAATCAACAATAGAAAACGGACAAAAGAAATATGGTGATTATGGTTATTAAATGGAGTAAATTTATTATTCTTTCTGAAATTAAAACTACACAGTATATATACACCCAGACCTCATCCCGTATTATCTCTCGAGTTGTTCTGCCTGGCGAAGAGGACACGGTGTTTCCCGTCAATGGCGTCCGACCAGAACAACAGACGGCCTCTTGTTGGTTATCCTTCTTATTTGGTACCATTCCCAGAGGATCAGAGGCAAAACGACAATGAACCCACTTTTCCCACTCCATCGCCCGACATCAATAATTAGCAATAAGCATGAATATAGGTTATATGCTCATACTACTATATTAAGTTCCCCAGACATCTGAGAAAATAGAAACAAAAGTCACTAAAAGAAAGACAATTACAAAACCGTCTGATAGGCTGTGACTAATGTTCCCCGTATCTCGACCAGTGGGCCTGCGTTTTGGTGGTGGCCCCAGCCGTCCATGGATAACAGGCCCAAGTCTCTCGTGCCTTTTGCGCGAGATGAGGATACTCCGTAGACTAAAAGTGAACATCCACCGCCAAAAGGATGAACCCACAAGGGACCAGACTACGCGTCATAAGACTACTAAGGCTCGTGTCTAGCCAGCAGTAGTCCGGTTATTTGTATCAGATAGTGATTCCAGGGGCATCCACGGGTTTGGTTTGGCGGTCGGAGTCTTAGATAGTTGACTATTCTGATGACATTAAATACCTTATTCTTATTCTTATTTTCTTGCATAAAATTCATTTCAGTCATATATTTGGGTATCCTTGTAGTAACTAGCTATTTAATCAACAATCTCAGTGGACAGGTGCTGCGGCTCTCCGCTGCTTCGCAATCCGGTCTTTGGATGAATGAAAGAAAACTCGGAAAAACGACTGGTAGATGGTTCTGCCTTCCACCGTGTCGCTGGCATATCCAAACAACGATAGCGTCACAATGGACAAAAACATGATCACCCCAAAACTAATCCAGTACTGATTGGTGGTGTATACCCCCTTGACCCCCTTCAGTTCCGTCGAAAAGTACGCGGTCATCAAGCTAACGGGGAGGAAGAGGATCGTCACTTTGGCCAGCAGGATCGTAATCCTCGTCAGCTTTTCAACAGCCTGGGAGTCTTTGAGGGCGATGAGGTTGAAGTTCTGCACACAAGTTGGTCAATGTTTAAATATCACGGTCGCTAAGCGAAGAACTCACCAGAAAAGTCAGAGATTCCTTTTCAGTCATGCAGGTATCAATCTCGGACAAACAATATAATTTGATGCGGTCAAGCAACCTCTCAAAACGAGCAACGGCGGTCGAACTTAACGGGACACCCACGGGTGTATCTGGGTTGCTTCCAAGGCTAAGACTGCTTTGCAGGTTCATCTGTCGCAGATCCACAAAATCGCTCTCATTGAAAGTGTTTCCCATCGAGAACGGAGGGCGATTCGAGCGTGCCTCATCCCGAAGCACTCGTTGTCTTTGCAGAATGCGCATCATAATGAGCTCGTAGCTCTGATACACACGCTTCAGAACTCCCAGCCTTCTACCCAGCCAGTGTAATTCATCCACCAATTCAACCACCGGCTTACTCAACATGTTCCTCCTCTATATGGCAAAGTCAGATCATTGAAAGCCAGGAGTTGTTCACGGGACATTACCACTCGATCGAGAAACACCCCGTACTTATGTTCGCGCTTTGCAACGAGACCATAACTCGAAACCCAGTCGTCGAAAATATAGTAAAAGAGCAAACTTGATCCATCTTCCTGCTTGATGCTCGCCTGGTCTGGTCCGGAATCGCTGAAATGCCGTACTCGGATGGTGACCAATGAGTCACTTTCAGACGTTGCATAATGCTGTTTAGATACTCCGGAAAAGATGAACTGGACGTTTCTACGGACGATTCCAAGCACTGCCTTGGTATCTTCTTCAGGCGGAGGCCCTTGTGGCCCAGGGTATGGATTCTCCTGGATGGAAATTATAGTACCTGGCGAAGTTAATATAACGGTCGAGTGTCAGTTGAAGCTTCATACCGTCATCGCAAAGAATAAGCCAGGACCATAGCCGTTTTCCGTCTGGTAGGTCTTTGCCGTTATCAATTTCGACATGTGGTATCACGTATAGGGAATTGTATCCAATGCAGGTGTCTATAACTCATCAGCAAGCGCAGGTATAACTTAGATCGACAGCATACATCTCGGACCATGATCCACCGAGCAAAAATGCCAAATTTGGTTGGTAACTTGAGCAAACGTAAGCCCCTTGGATGATGCAGCATTCTGTATATCTTCCGGATCGGCCATATCCTTCATAGTATAACCTCCTTCGGGGTCATCCAAGCGGGAGGGGACCGGTCGGTCGACGCCTCTCCCACGAAAACCGCTCCTCGGAGTGTGAGTGACCGGTGGTTTTGGTGGACGCTTTACAGGATCTGTACACATCATTGCTTGTAATCGCTCCGAGACGCCATAATTGCTAGTTATGGTCTAGGTAGACATGCCAATTAATATCTGATGGATTCACAGCAGCAATTGACCAACCTTGATGGTTTCTTTTTGTTCCTCCGGAGCCCAAATGTTGCTAGAAGTCGCAAGGTCAACAAAAGCTTCGCTCAAAAGCTAGATAGGTGATATCTCACATCCATCTGGTTCCAAAACATCTAGGTTTCTAAAAAGCGATCGCTCATGTTAGATTTTGACTCGGTGTGAGCTCACTCAACACATACAGGCTTGCGTAACAATCGCGCAAAGTCCTCTTCTTCCAGATTCACTGCGCACCATGCATCGTCGTTGCCAAAATCCAGAACAAAATTTTGCGTCAGCGCATTCTGAAGCAAATGAAGGTAGGCCCGGAAATTGGCCTCCTCGTCAATATCCTGAAACTTTTCTTGAATATGAGGACGGCTGGTGAAGCTGGAATAGTATTCACGAGGTGTTTGGAAGCTCCGTGATGGGGAGAGCTCCGACATTCTTCTCTCCCTGGGTAGCTAGCTCTGCGGGGTAACAATGTAGTGGGATTAGACAGGTGTATGATAAGAAAAGGAAATTTAGGGATGAAGATGAATATATACGAAGAATGGAAGAGTGAAGAATTGCCGTCGCTGAGCGCGAAACGCCGTTCATTATTAGGCACAGTTCTAGATCTGCACGGCTAGTCCCATGCTGTTGCCTCTTCCCCCCAGCCAAGTGACTGTGTCAGCCGCGAGGCTGTCGCACATTTGCTGTTGCTCATGGATTGACGTCCTGGCGCATCGGATGGGGCACATGGGCGCATCGCTCCAGCAGCTGACTCGTCCGGCACGAGGGCTGTCTGTTAGTGGATAGGATCTGCTCTCTTTCTCGTTTTGCAGTCCACAAGAATGGTGCCCATGGCTAATTTCCGAAGATCTAAGCGGTTAAGCTTTTTCGATGATGAAATTGCTATCTTCAATATATATCGATGTCACTGTGCATTATGCCTGTTTAAATCGTGAATTACACTTTATGCCATGAGTTCCCAACTATCTTACCCTTATTGGTTAGCCATGCCACACACTTTTTCCCCTTTACGGGTTAGCAGTGCTTAGTCATTCCCGCTGTCCTGGAAGTTATCCGCATACTGTGATGGGCCTCGATCTCGACGCTTTACGCATTCATGTTGGGGTATAAATCAGGATCACTCACGGGATGATAAGTTACGTACTCTGTGGAGGGGATTCGTGTGTCAAACGTTTAGCACACATGGAAGACAGAATGGTCAATTCAACTGAGCAGGGAAGGACCATCCGCCTGGCTGCAGCTTGCACAGAGTGCCAGCGCCGGAAGCAGAAGGCAAGCAAACATACATGAAACACAGAATATGGATTTATCATCATCTGACACCCTGAGAAGTGCAGCCGAGAATGGCCCTGTAATCACTGCCAGGCAAGGCGGATTGCTCATCTCTGTAAATTTGCCCCGAAGAAGGTGTTGAGGACGGCCAATACCAGCCAGACCTTTACCCAAAATGCCAATCCAAGGTTTGTAGCTATACATAATATATTGAAAAAATCGTGGACTGTTTAATAACGTATGATTAGGAACTTGGAACCCCGTGAAGACACAAGCGTGTCCCTGGAGCAGAACCATACGGCGGACATTATTGTACCGTCTGTCGCCAGTGATGAAGAGTTCCGGGTCCTAGGATACCTTCCCGACTATCAGAATATATCGATAGGATCTCCTGGGCTTGAAGTAAGAATCCCATCAAGGCTGACTTTTTAGTCTTTACTAAAAACCCAAGGGCTCCATCGCAATTTCAAATAAACCTCAGGGCCCTATGTCACTTGAAATGGGAGATGTTTTGCGTTCGATTCCCCCCAAACCCTATGCAGGTAAGAGGAAAGAAGCATGTGGCTAACTTGTTATCAGTTTCTAACGTTATTTAGATGCCCTCGTGCAGAACTTCCTTGATGATGTAAATTATCACTATTACTCCCTCTACCCACCGGCATTCTCGCAGGACTATGCCGTTTGGTGGGCTGGCAAATCTAGCGGCCAACCACTTACCCCAGAATTTACTTGTCTTCTACTACGTGTCTGCGCTTGTTCTTTGGCTTTTCTTGACGCCAAAGCATGCCAAAAACTCGAGACAGATCTGGGCGAATCGACTCGAAGCCTCTCAGAGCGTTACCATCTTGCTGCTCAGCGACTAAGCAACACCATACTTCCTGGCCAGGGTGGCTTGATACAAGTTCAGCAGCTGTTTCTCACGGCATTCTGGTTCAAGACGGAAGCTCGCTTCATTGAGTCCTGGCATGCATTGAGCTCTACCATTCATGAAGCTCAAGAGTTAGGTGTGTACTATGAACCTCCACCCTTGTAAAAGTGAAGTGGTTTGACTGGCATGGAGAGTATATAGCTTCAAGGAACAGTAGCCAACTGACATCTCTAATAGGTATGCACAAGGGGTCCTTCAAATCTGGTATATCCGAGTTTGATCAGGAGATGAGGAAGCGAATATGGTGCCTTCTATATTGTTGGGATTGGTAAGAACTTCCCATTTGCACTCATCCCATACAAGGCTGTCGCTCACGCGAAAAGGCAATTTGCTATATTCTTATCCCGGCCGTGTATCATTCACAGTGCCTACTGTTCCTTTGAGCTACCGAACATGCGACTAGAATGCTCCGAGGAACAATTGGAATTACCGTCTCCAATAACACACGTGCTCTTCCAGGCCCAATTAGGTCGGGCTTTGTCGCACATACCCGGGGTTATTGGGGGGACTGTGCCCTCGGCTCATGCGGCCACTGTTCAGCAGGAAGTAGAGAAATGGTTTGCTTCATTCCCCCCGGCCTATAGGATTACGAACCCAGATTCCCAGTGGGATACGGATTACCGCTATGTAACCTTACAGCGCCACCAACTACATGCAATAGGCTACATGACGAGGCTTATACCACTAAAAACGTACCTTACCAAGTGCGAAACAGACATTCCCGATAATGAAAAGATCTTCCAATCGACTGCTGTCGAGTGCTCTCTCAAATTGATGGAAACTTCGCACAAACTGCTGGAATGCATACTCCCTGCAAATGCAAAATTTCACTATGCCACATTTATGATATTTGACACGGCCGCCTTCCTATGTTCCGCCATACTCCATGACAGAAACCGCAATCTTCCACAACGTGGTGATGTCATTGAAACAATAAGACTGGCCCTCAATGTAATAGAAATGCTTCGTCCTCTCACGAAAACCGCTGCATTATGCTATCCAGTTCTTGCTAAGATTGCTGCTACCATTCCCTTACCCTCAGAACGAGTTACGCAGGACTCTAAACCCCCCGAAAGCTCAAACGGAGGATCGAAAACACCCAGTCAATCGCGAAAAGACTTGGACGAATATCCCGCGAATGCAGCGAATATTGCCGATGAAGCCAATTCCCCCGGTCTTTCTGGTGCTGGGATATATGGCCCTATACCGCTAGAGCTTCCTACATCGGCGATGGTACCGCTGCCAACGTCAGGACTTGGTGATCTTTCAAGTCTAGATTTGGGCGAGCTAAGTCGGATTTGGGATTGGGAAACGCTTGATCTCGATTTATCATCGATGCCACCGGCTTTCTAATTGGTCATTTATTACTGTTATTACTACCTTATACACGACGAGATATGACGATTATGTCCCAAAACATCAGCCTGACTGAACCTACTCTCATAAAGGTGTGTCCAAAAATACGGTGTAACTAGAATTATGAAGTGTATAACACAGTCACGGGAATTGTCCTAGCAATAATATTATTGAGTCATGCTCTTAAGAATACTTGCATGCCCCCATACACGCCATTGAGAATTTCTTTCTTCCATTCATTCATTTATTTGAATTCTGGTATCTAATTTCCCCGCAGTTTTTCTAACTGGGCCATATCTAGTTGTCACCGACAGTCTCGGGGACCTTGTTCTCATCATATCCGTACTTTGTCTTCAACTCCTCGACAAGTTCGATGTACTGCTTCTGTGCATCCTCGGGAGAGGTGCCAGCCTCCGCGACCTCCTTCCAGGCATTGTACTTGGCCTTGCCCTATTATTATAGCCTCTTGTTAGTATCTGGAAACAGAGGAATGAGAAGATAGGGAATCGAATTACCTTGAAGTCAAAAGTACCGGGCGCCTTTGCAGCCGCGAATCCCTTTTCATCGGTCACCTGCTTGTAGAGAGAGTAGAGCTATATCGTTTCATTAGCACCTGATTTCAGATCTCTCGTCTTTATAGAGCCTGATAAGATAACGTACCTTGAGGAGCTCATCGGCGGAGGGCTTTGCGAGCAGCTTCTTGCTGGCGTCGGCGGCGGCCTGGAATTCGGGGCTTGGAGTAAAAGCCATGATGAAATTCGGTATCGAGTTAGGATATATGGGTTAGTTAGGTATTTTTTGGTTATAAAAATGAAAGTTGTGTAGATGAGGGGAGTAGAATAAATGGCAAGCGAGAGAGAATAATATTGGTGTTGACTCGTTGGGGCAGCTCTTTGCTTTTTAGAAGGGCGGGGGGATGGGGCAGATGAGGGGCAATCTGGTGGGACACGTCTGGTGATGCATTATGACTGCGCTATGGAAGAAGACGCGATTAAACGCCGTTATTATTATTCTAGGGGTATTGCTGTTCACCAGTTACATCCTCTCAACTTGCTCTACTTGGCCAACATCTTCTTCGTCTAGTTTCACCTCCTTCCTCGCCACTTCTGCCTCCTGTTGATCGTTCACCACGAATCTCTCCGGACGTCGAACCTGCACCGCTTCTCGATCCAAAAACACCCAAAACCGCAACCCTTCCTTGAACACGGCATCTACGTCCTCTAGCCGCCGATTCGATGTTTCCGGATAAAAGAGATAGATGATTGGAATCGAGAACCAGTTGAAGAACACCCAGATGAGATAAAATCTCCATCCCAAATTCTCGATCCCAACAGGTGTCACTTGTACGACCATGTAGTTCACTGCCCATTGGGTGGCTACACTGGCGGCAGCACCCTTCATTCTCATATTCAACGAGTTTATTTCCGTGTTGTAGAGCCAGGCTGTGCCTTGCCAGCCCGTGCCGAAGAATGCATAAAAGAGGAAGATCATAGCAACTGAAGCGGCGCCATAATTGTACGCAAGTTGGGGGTTTTCGGTATTGCTGTTTGCCCAGATCAACAGTGCCAAGACGAGGTAACAACAGGCAGAGCCGGATGAGCCTTATATTCTCAGCTTGGAGGTTTCTGATATAGGTTTGGATGTGTTGCAACTAACCAAATAACATTGCACCACGACGACCCCACCTGTCAATCATCATCATTCCGAGGAACGAGAATATAGTGTAGGGAATGCCGTTTACTGCGGTCAGCAGCCGGGCTCGCTTCTCTGGTAAGCCAACGGATGCAGTCAACACTGTTGGAAGATAATATGATGTCGCATTGATGCCAGAGAGCTGGACTATGACTTGCGTTCCAAGACCGAGGACAAACCGACGCAGAGTGCCCGATTTACCATCGTTTGTTCTATTTCGCAAAAGATCCCACCAGCTCACCGCATTGTCCTTCTCAGCGCGGTAGGCTATGAGAATCTCGTTCTTTTCTACAATGACGGAGGGAGTAACGGTGGTAGCACCATCACCTTGAAGGTCGGCAAGCACTTGGGTTGCTTCGTCGATTCGATCCTTCGAAATCAGCCACCTTGGAAAGCAGAATTATCAGTTCTCCATCATACGGCTTGTTGGTCTATTTCTTCAAGCTTACCTAGGTGATTCAGGAAGCCAAGGGGCTGTGCTCAGAATGACGATTCCAAAAAGAAGTTGCAAAGCGAGTGGAAATCGCCACGCGATACTTCCATCGAGATAGGAGAATCCATATGTGACCCAGTTGGCAAGACAAAAGCCAGCTACATTCACGACCAAACCGAGAACAACCAGTTTTCCTCTCCAACTCGGCTTGGTCGTTTCACTTTGCCAGACTGGCGCAGTCGCTGTATTCAGGCCATTACCGAGACCAGCCACAAGACGGCCCACGATCATATGAGGGACTGAATAAGCTGTGGTCTGAAGAATTGCCCCTATGATCATGACCATGGTCCCGATTATAACAGACCATTTCCTGCCCAGGCGAGCGCCAAATAAGGATCCCGAGACGGCACCAAAGAAGCAACCCACGTCGTAAAGAGAAGTAATGGTGCCAACCAGGTTTGCATCCGGGTGATTCATGGCATTTAAGAAATCCTGCGTGATGACCACGCCACCTAATAAGGTTAAAACATCAATTCAAAGCCGGCATATTCAGACTCACTGAATACTGCTTGGTCGTAACCAAAAAGCGCCATGGCAGTTGTGCAGCTCACAGTCACCCAGAATGTGAGGCGGCCGCCTCGACAGCCAAAGTATCGATCTTTCATTATATGAAGCTATCCTTGATCTCTTCTAGGATGATAAGAAAAGATGTATACATCGAGAGTGCCGGGGAGATTCCCAGATATTTAAACCTCCGATCAGAGCACGAGTATACTACTTGCTCCGGATAAACACCGCAGAAGATACACTACTCGAATGCCAAGTGTATTCACTCGACCCATCCATATTCTAAATCCCACTGAATGGTGGAGTTTCCCCGGACCGTGTTTGCACCGTGCAAGTGCCCGGGCCGTGTCTATACCGTTGACTTTGCGGGGAAATTGAGGGGAATGAAGATCTACTACCAACACCACCACTCGGCTGATAATATCTATAATACTACACTTAAGACCAAAGAGAAAGTCGCTATCATTGCCACTAATTTTTTAGGTATTTATTGCGGAAATGTGTTTAACAGCCAACTATCGAGATGCGCACCCGGAGAAAGACCGGAAGAGTATATACAGGGTAACGCACTTTGATATAATAACTCATCTAACGAGGCTATTCGCTATAGATCATATGATAGGATTGCATACACCATAATCAAGCTTTATCGCTTGGAATGTTCATCGTCATCGTACTTGTTAGCCCTGGCCCCCCGATATTGATCAGACGAAATATGGATTTCCGGGATACAAATCGGGAGGGCTAAGGTATCAAGACCAACATGTTTCGTGAGCATCAAGACAATATCAGAATACAATCTCATAATCATACCTTGATTGAATACATCAAACTCAATTGCCATTTCAACATGCCTACTCGCGTCGAATTCCCCAGCAAAGGAATCACCCTGGTCGCCGACCTCTATCTCCCACTTCATCAGACGCTAAAAGCATCCGATAAAGCTCGCATCGCAGAGGCCAAAGGCGAACCTGGCGCGATGCAACCACGTATGCCTGACAGCGTCGACAAAGTCCCAGATACTGTCCCGATTCCTGTGAAAGAAGGATGTGAGTACTATCGGACCCCACGAGGCCAGCATCCCCGATCCATTAACAGCTGGCCTGTCCGAGTGCCGAACTATTCACCCTATACATTCATCGATCTCATTTCTCCGCGTCCTCTATTGATGATTGCGGGAAGTGAAGCAGATACTCGCTTTTTTAGCGAAGAGGCTATTGCGCGTGCCAAAGATCCCAAGAAATAGTATTTGCTAGAAGGGAAGAATCATGTTTCTTTGTATGATGATCTGTCTGGGCATCTTCCGAAGCTGGTTGACCTTTTTGTCAATTCGTTGTGTTAATGGGCTTATGTGTGTAAGGTATACAAGGAAGCGATAGTGTCTACATTACGTATTGATTATCCCATGAAGTTTATGTCTATCACCACACAAATCAAATATTCCATCGAAAGATATAAGATAAATTATATATCTTCTAGTTTGGATATAGTTACAATGGAGCCGAATGGCAGCTTTGCGGAATCCAGTCCTCTCCCTCCTATCAATCCCTCCAAGTTCTATACAGCTTTCCTCCCTCGAGGCCTTAAACTGCTGAGACGAATTGCACCTCATCTTAACCCAAATGTGCTGCAGATCAGCTCACAATATATTTTGAAACCCAGCGATTCATCACAAGCTCTCGAAGAAGCACATACGATAGATTTCGTTTCGAAGCACACCACCGTTCCTGTCCCAGGGATTATCACCGCGTTTCAGGCCAAGAATGGAGAAAGCTTTCTATTGATGAAAAGATGCCCAGGAATTCCTCTTGGGGAGTTTTTCTTTGATCTTACCTACGAAGAAAAGCAGAATGTGGTACATCAACTGCGATGCTACATGGAACAACTCCGCGCTTTGGATCCTCCACAGCCTGGGAAAATAGGAAGCACGCTGTATAGGCCTCTGAATGATTTCCGCATTGCCAATACGCCTCAAGGACCGTTCGACAGCGTGGAAGATTTCCACGATTTCTTGCGACATGGTGGCCAATATCCCACTGGAAATCGAGAGTTGGATGCATTAATTGTCGCCCAGGATAGCAGAGACTATGACATCAATTTCACACATGGTGATTTCGGGCTGCGCCATGTCTTCTACCATGGCGGGAAGATAACAGGCATCATCGACTGGGAGTTTGCCGGTTGGTTTCCTGATTATTGGGAGTATGCAATGGCTGGTTATTCAGTTTGGAGTTTTGTGAGTATTGAAGACTATCTTCATATGATCATGGATCCTTTTCCAGATGAGTTGCAGATGGAGCGGTTGAGATGGGTTCTTTTCGCCATTGTTTGATCATTTCTATTTAATTTTCTGTCTTTGATATTTCCTTAGTCCATGTAGAGTAATTGAATACTATTAATCATCATCAATATCAATATCACCGCAAAGAAATCGTCTTCATTCCAGGCTATAGAAAGCGATTAGTCATGTCGGACGTTAGGGCACGGCTAGTCCTGATACGGCTAGCGCCACAAATCACCCACAAGCGGAGACGGCATTTTCTTAAGGCGGGCAGCGAGTAGCCCGTCTTTTTTTTCTCGACCTCGACCCGATATTCAGCGTAGAGCCACACCATAAGGATTACAAGTTCTTTTGGAAGACTGTCGCCATCATGTCGAAGATCACAGTCGGTATGCTTTCCTGATATTTCGATATTGTGTTTATTCCTGCGACTAATGTCTCTGTTACAGCCGGAGTGCGCCAGAATGTCGAGCAGCTGCTCAACTACTCTCAGAATGAGAAGAAGAGAAACTTCCTCGAGACCGTCGAGCTTCAGATCGGTCTGAAGAACTACGACCCCCAGCGTGACAAGCGTTTCTCCGGAACCATCAAGCTGCCCTCCGTTCCCCGCCCCAACATGAGCATCTGGTGCGTTATCCCGATACCGATTCCGATCAGACTTGGTGGAAGAAAACAAGGATGAAGGAATCAAAGAGACGAAAAAAGGCGACAAATTGCTGACGGTTGGATTATTACAGTGTTCTTGGTGACCAGCACGATCTTGACCGTGCCAAGCACCACGGTGTTGATGCCATGTCCGCTGATGACCTGAAGAAGCTCAACAAGAACAAGAAGCTCATCAAGAAGCTTGCTCGCAAGTACGATGCCTTCCTTGCTTCCGAGGCTCTCATCAAGCAGATTCCCCGTCTCTTGGGTCCCGGTCTTTCCAAGGGTATGTTTATATCACCTGTGGCGCAATCGCCAATCCTATTGCGAAACGTTTTTTTGAGATACTAACATCTACTTTACAGCTGGTAAATTCCCTACCCCCGTCTCTCACGCCGAGGACATGGCCAACAAGGTCACCGATGTCAAGTCCACCATTAAGTTCCAGCTTAAGAAGGTTCTCTGCCTTGGTGTTGCCGTCGGCAACGTTGGCATGACCCAGGACGACTTGGTCGCTAACATCATGTTGGCCATCAACTACCTCGTCTCCCTCCTGAAGAAGGGCTGGCAGAACGTTGGCAGCCTTGTCATCAAGGCTACCATGTCTCCCCCCAAGCGTCTCTACTAGAGAGTGTACGCTGGGATGCTGGGTTGCATTAGGAGCTTAGGAGTGGGAATGTATATGCCATAGTTACGGAAATATGAACCTCACGACTTTGTTCCTACTTTTTTTGCATTGTATGATTTTTAAAAAGTAGCCCAGGTATCGGTCGTAGTTTGGCTTATGCCGTTGTATACATCTTCAAACTAACCTAAAGTACAATAAACGTGAGGATATCTACGCATTATACATACAGTCCGCTGCAGTAACTGGAATCATTCCATCCCGTGCATCAAATCCGTCTTGTCCAAAATCATCCCCCTCATACCGATAAACTCCCGTAGACTCTCCCATTCTTCGCCTTCCTCTTCGCCTCTCATATAAATGTCCTTGAATCCCCAGGCGACCGCCACCTTGTCCATAGCAGCACGCTCCTCTTCCCGCAACCATCGGTGTCGCAATGGGATACCGGGCTGCCATACAACCCGATCCATCTGATCGTTGGCAGTGGTGATGGCGAGAATGCCAACCGATGACGTACCACCCACATACGCAAGGGTTGCGGCAAATGCGATTGCAGTCGCTGTGCTCGGATCCATCGTATTTTGCAAAGACGAGGCCCAGGACGCAACAGCGTAGCATGCAGCCGGTGCAGCCGCTAGACCGCCAAGTGGGACACCGGCCTTTTTGAAGATCTTCGCGCGGTGGAATGCCGGCGCACAGAACGTGTTGTCAATAATGGCTAACACTAGTGGAAGGTTCTTTTGCTCTATGGCGACGTCAAGGGCCTTGTTGGCCAATTCAGAAGGAACAGCGCTGTTGATATCCTTGGGGTTGGCCTTGTGATACTTGACTGGCGAGCTGTTCTCTTCTGGGACCGGCTTGTGAGCGTACATATGGAAGATCTCGGGAAAGAGTTCGGCCCTCTTCAGCAATGTCTGAATATTGGTATAGCAAGCCAGTGCATCGGGGGATATAAACACCTTCTCATCCTTCAAGATGTCATCGACAATTTGGGAAAGTGAATTGACTAGCTTCGGTTGAGGATTGCCGGTGGATTTGGACTGCTTTTTGGTCGTTGTTGCGCTCTTTTCCTCCAGATCCAGCAAGGATGAGACTGCACTACCCTCTCCCCGTGTTGTCGACACGCCTTCCCCTTGATCTTGCTCCCGTGCCATGATAACTTCCGCAATTTCCTGGCATTTCTGTAGCAAATGTACAACTGTCTCGTCGGAGGGTACAGAAACTGAATTTCGAAGCTCAGCGGATGCGTCCGCGAGTTGTCGCAACGCTGATTCTGGGTCCAGAGGGGCGGGATTTTGGGGTGAATTCGATTCGAAGCGCCTGGGTACAAACTGAAGAGGAGCTAACGACGTTCTCAATGCCCGCTTTGGTCGCAATTGCTCAAAATGGGTGCCGCGATTGAGCCCACTAACGGAAGCATACTGCCGGACGAAGGGGGTGCGACGAGGCGCAGGGGATGGAGAAAACTGGCAAAAATGGCAGACCAGCCCTTGAGGCTTGGAGGCTCTCTGGCCTCTCAAAGCAATTCCCTTCATAATTGCGAAAGACCTTGCTGAACAGGAGTTGTGTATCGCCCCAATGCGTCGATAACTATTTCCAAAAGGAAGACTTGGGAAAAGGCGGAGACGCCGCTTAGTTATTTACTGCCGGCAGCACCGCCACTGCTCCGTTGCTCGTTGCCTGAACCCCCAACTATCGCCCTGACGTCTTCTCCCCTATACCTCCCACCCATGTCAGATTGGCTTTTTCACAATTCTCTTTCTTGTCTTATCCTCACTTCTTGTATAACATCGCCAGAGTCCTACTTTAAAGAGCATGCCGCCTCCACCTCCACCTCCCCCGCCGCCCGGCGGGATTGGAGGCCCTCCTCCCCCTCCCCCTCCAGCAAGCCTGCCTGCTAGACCCTCGAAAGGAGAGGTGAAAGACCGGGTATGTTCCCAGATATGATAGGAATAAATATGAAATTTCTAGGCTTTGAAACATGAAAGATTCAACACTAATGTCTTTACAGGGCGCACTTCTATCAGATATCAATAAAGGCACTCGCTTGAAGAAGGCCGTTACCAATGACAGATCGGCACCGGTACTCTCAAAAGAAGGAAATAAATCAAGTGGTCCTGTTGCAGGCGCACCACCTGTTCCTACGATGGCTAGACCAACAGGACTTGCGCCACCGGTTCCTTCGGGACAAGCAGCGAACAGACTACGAAGCAACAGTGGAGGAGGCTCGGGGGCTGATAGTGCAGCAAGTGCTCCGGCGGCCCCGCAACTAGGTGGTCTTTTTGCAGGAGGAATGCCTAAACTGCGCAGTCGTGGTGGCGTTGATACTGGAGCCAATCGAGATTCCTCGTATCGATCAGAATCGGAGGCTAGTACTCCTGTCGCAGCTGCGCCGAAACCTCCAGGGGTTCGTCCACCTCCACGGCCACCCTCTACAGATCCTCCAGCAAACCCGTTAGTCGCCAATCTTCGAAAACCACCCCCGCGACCAGCTTCAAGACCGTCATCGTCTGCATCTTCCGCCCCGCCTCCGCGCGCACCTCCTCCGTTGCCTGGATCTTCAAAACCTCCACCCCCTCCAGTGTCATCCAGGAAGCCCTCTGCTCCAGCCCCGCCGCCTCCGCCTTCCGCCAGCCCAGCTGCGCCTCCTCCACCTCCACCTTCAGTTTCCGCTCCTCGACCTCCTCCCCCCGCCCCTGCGCGATCAACCCCTCCACCCCCTCCTGCGGCATCTGCACCGCAACCTCCCAATGGAGTAGGGGCCGCCTCGATAGCAGTGCAAGCTGCTAGAAATGCACTTGGACAGAATAACCAGACACCGTCGGCTCCCCCGCCGCCTCCGCCCGCTGCATCAGCTCCCTCAGCACCACCACCGCCACCTCCAGTCTCTCCACCTGCGGCTCCTGCTCCTCAGGCCGCCCCAACACCTCCACGTCCAAGCCCATATGATCATCACCCAGATCGTTCTACGCTGGATCCGAGCTCTTACACCCTCAGTAACGGCGGGCCGTCACCGGGATCAAGCCCTCGGAGTCCAGGTATGGGTGCGGCACAAGTAAATGATAGCCGGTTCAAGTTCCAAAACGAATCACTACTTCCCAAGCCACGGCCGTTCGTGGGAGGTGTCAAGAGATACCGTGCTGGTCGAGGCAGCAGCGTGCCCTTGGACTTGAGTTCCTTGGGCGGTTAGCTGATGGTGACAGGAGCAAGCCGGTGGGTTGTCATGTCTATTCATCTTGGTAGTTTCAATATTGTTTATAGCATGTCAATCCACTTTCAAATGAGAACTTTGTGTTCTATATGTATTAATTCCCGAGCAAGTTTACATTTATTCTAATTCACATTTGGTGACACTATCCTTTCTCATTAAACGTTATCATCTAGTAGGAATGTAATATTCTTATATCAATCACTAGCTTAATAGTATCGAAGCGACATTGCTCAGGTGTATGGACAAGCTCCCATGCACGTGACTGAGGTAATCGGAGGTCGGGTTTATCCTCCAGCGCAAAGTATCAAAGTGGGGAGACGGACAAGCAACGACATCTGCGCAACAAAAGCCTTTTAATCTCATGTGTTATGACAAGCGATCCGGGCGCTTCTAAACCATTATAAACCACTATTCTTTCCTGGACAGTGCTGCTATAATACAGCTTAGCGGAGAGCCAACCACGCGTTGAAGGTCCTAACAACACCACCGACATCACCCGGAACCAAAACACCGAGCAACAATCCCATCCTAGCACGATAATTTTCCCGCCATACAACTCGATATTTGTGCATATACAGTTTATTTGAGCGTTCTTGAAACGAATTGATACCCCCAAGAGCATTCGACGCATTGCATAGAATAGCGAATTCCGCGGGCAATTCTTCTTGCACTTTATTTCCACGTTGCGGGGAAGCAGCGAGGAGGGCTCAAAGCTCTCTTACACCATAGGCTTAGAGCTATTGTTGGTTCTGGATATTAAATTGGGCATATCTACCTCTCTTGCGCTTAACCTCGGACGGTTCCGCAGCCCCTCGCCATGTCTCTTCACTCGTACATAAATAGTAAGTACTTGATGTTGGCAATTGAAGCTTTCTTGCAGAAGAGTGCTTGGTACTTATTGAACTTGGGCTAATTGGTATATTCTTCGTGGAACAGAAAAGGTCTTAATTCTGACCGTCGACGGCCGGACTTTAGTCGGGACGCTTTTATCGACAGACCAGCTGACAAACTTGGTTCTGCTTAACACTATTGAACGGATAATCCGAACCCCAGACGACGACGAGCCGAGCTCAGAGATCGAACATGGGTTATATCTGATTCGAGGAGATAATGTGGTGGTGTGCGGGGAGGTAGACGAGGGCATTGATGCCGATATCGACTGGACAAAGGTAAAAGGAGAGGTGGTCAAGGGAACGAAGAACGCATGAGGAGAATCACACACACAAAGTCCGACACAGCGCTTGCCAAAAAATCGATGTACACGAATCAGTTATGACTCTCTGGCTACCCTCGACTCCTCTCTTTTCTTTAGTGCATGCGGAGAGCGAAAATCGTTCCATCCGATAATCATTTCCGCATGAATGAACGGACATCATTGGTGGATTCTACGACTGCTGTCAAAGGCGTCTGCTATCTATCACCTTTGAATCGAACATCAAGCTTCTGGGACGGCAATTCTTGGGGGAGAAAACGAGAACAAAAAGAAAATGGAAAGGGGAGAACGTGCCCAGTGGCTGGGCATTGCAGATATTTCTTATAGGGGAGTGATGTTCTCTACTGTTTTCCATCGCGACGAGGGTGGTTAAAAAAAAAAAAAAAGGACTAAGTGATCTCTTTGCATCTAAGGGAGTGGCATTGACCCTGATGTCTATTTCTTTTTCGTTTTCTTTTTTTTTTTTTTCTCTGTTGGATTGGGGTATAGTTCTTTTATTAGCATTGCAGCTGGTTTCTTGTGAAATCTAATCTAATGATCTAGTTATGCACTCCCTGTAAGGTCCAATACTCAGATCTATTATGAGTGGCTCATCCCTTCTCCCTACCATGTCTTGCATTGGCTTTTTGTGCTCTATTCTTGGATAAGGCTTTAAGGGGATCGATCCACTGCCCTGTGGAATGGGGCTATTTATGTGATTTACAGGGTCGACCCAGGACGATGGATTTGATACTGTTATTCCAGCCCCTGGAAGTAAGGATTACATATAGTCAGACACATATAGTTTGTTCCTTGGGTTGACTCCTATTATATATTATCCATCAGAAACAACGGCTCGACTCTGGAGGTTTCGAGAAGAAAAGAAAGGGCGATGGAAAGAAGAATGACTGGTCGAGTGGCAGTGCTCGGATTTATCGTCTCATGGAGTGTTCCCACGTGCATTGTCCATTCCAAATCACTGGGCTGAAGATTGAAGATTGAGATAGATCGATCATATGGCCAAAGCTTTGAAATGGATGGCAATGCTACATGGCACGACGACATGAATCGCAAACAGGGCAATAATGAGCAATAATGGTGGAAACAAGCAAGGCTGGTATTGATTGGCCGCTTGCGGATGTTCGAGTCTGTTACATCCGCGCTGTTCCTGAATCGCAGCGGTGCCATGGACCAGACAGCTTCATTTAAAAGAGCGTCGACAGATAGATTAATCGTAGATTAGTTGGTGTACCATTTCTATGTATATGGGAATGATGCTGCCTGCTATCTGACCGCATTGCGAACACAATCCAACATCTTCTCGCATGGCGAGTGGCTGTTTATAGTCGCCCAGCCGCATGATGATGCCCAATCTGCATAATATCCATGCATGGCCAGCGCTGACGTTCAACACGCCTTGCTTTTCCCCAGACTGTGTGGTCTTATTTAACCACTTCCACTTCCACTTCCTGCTTAGATTGCTGCGATAATATTATTTCATCCTACACGGCTTCCCGTCTCCATCTGACAGCCTCTTCACCCTGAAACAGCAAATCCGCCTGCCGATCCAGCAGATCGAATTCTCCGACCGTTTGATAAATACTGATTCCCCTGGCCCGTCACGGCGTTACCCCGTAAGTTACCACCCGCTCTGCTCCCCACCCGTCACCGCCGCCCCTGACTTTCTCTTCTTCTCCCGTCATCATCACTCCTCTTTTTCCTTCTTCCTCCATCCCCTCTCGCTGGGTGTCTGTTTTTTGCATTTGGTGGTTTAAACCGTTTGTTCAGCCTGTCGTGTTCTCTCTGTCTCCTTGCGCCACGACCACGTCAATTCCTCTGTCGTGGTTCTCGCCTTCTTATCCGCCTGCGCTTAACAAGGTCGCTGGGCGACCTCCCAATTCCTTTTCCTCTTATCCTAACCCTCCTCTCAGGACGCCCTTCATGTTATCGTCATCCTCTCTGCAGATATCGAGTTCTATCTTTCTATGCCCGTGGGCCAATCTGATCTCGTGAAGGAAGAAATAAAATAAAAGGATCTAGCTCCTCCCCGCGGATCGTTACATACATATCGTATCTGCCTAATCCACCCTGTCGTCACCCGTCCGCCCACCTAGGGTTCGACCATGTGGCTCTACCGAGGCGTCCAGTCCGCCGTCTTTTACTATGCTACCTGTACGCCGTGTGCCAATTCTTTAGACCGACGAAAACGCAAGAAGGATGCTGCCCGATCGCAGCGAGAGAAGGAGAAGACCGATGCTATCGTTTCCGATCAACCCAGACCTTTCCCCCAACCGACTCCGTTCAGTACAAACCAAGGATGGAGGGAGGAGATTGCTCTAGGTCCCGGCCCCCCCGCGAGAAGAGGTGGTAACCGTCACAACCGTCGCCCGGAAAGTTGGGATACGGATGGTTATGATGCGGACTCCGACTTGAGAAGCGGCGGCGGCGGTCGTTCGGGGAAGAAGAAGGATAAAGGCTCCAGTCTCAAGCACCCCCTCAGCGATCGATGGAGTCGTATGCGGTATCAGCGCGAGGATGAACCATTATGGGGGGAAGACGTGGAAGTGAAAGGGTCTTCTATCGGGCTCTCTGGTCGGGGTAAGGCGGAATCGGATGAACCCAGCAAATACTACATCGCTCGCGTGCCACCCGTCAACGACCTTCACCCTCCTATTGTCAGTGGGCCCAAGAGCAGGGCTGAGACGAGGTGGATGCTGCAACCTCCGCCAAGCGCCAAGGTCATGGCTGGAAAACAACGGTTCGACAGTAGTAACCGCACCAATGATCGATTAGATCAGGATAAGAATGCGGTTGATCCGGAGCGGAGTTCATCACCATTCTCTGCGACTGGTCAAAAGTCACCACCTTCATCCTCTCAGAACCCTGAAAAGAGAACTCTTAAACCTTCTCCTATCACAGTACCTCCCGAATTTCGTGCCCAAAAAGCGTCCGCACCCGAGAGCACCACCGGTCAAAACATTCGTCAGCCGTCTTCGACGGCGCTGACCCATGGCCGTGATGAATCGAACTTTGTCATATCACACCCTATAACCTCGCGACCCGGCTCCCCTTCTACGATCTCCACCACCGACTCTGAAACTTCTCCTAGTGTATGGCAGTGCCCTGTAACACCCGCATCGCGGCCTGGGTCAAAAGCCACAGATGACAAGTTATGCCGTCAGCCGCTATCACAGGTTTTACCTACTGTACAGCGGGGCAGCAAGGATGTCCATATGTTGCAATTGGAAATAAACGATGATACCCATGATGAGGTCGGATTTGGCCAGTTGGAACCATATCGACCCTATCGTTGGAGTATGGACATATAACAACGTGCAGTTTGCTGCTTGAACTTACATAAAACCCTCTTTTCCATTTTCTTTTTATGTTGCTCATAATTCTTGGGTCGTCATTCTGGCTCTGGACTCGCAATTTGGATCTTTCAGGCGTTGGAAGCAGAATAAAAAACAGCGATCGTCGTTCACCCATCTATCTCTATCGGGAAGATACACACAAAAGCCACCCCGGGCCGTTCAAAAAGCGTCATCCATTGGCAGGACCAACAAATGACACATATCCGTGGGAACACCCGGAAGGCTTGCTTTGGCCCTGATTTACAACCTATCCGCATCTGCACAGAATCTTCACCCGACTACTATCTTTACCTTGTCAGATTTCCTTTTTTTTTTTTTTTTATTATCCTTTGCAACTCAACTATTGCTCTTCTTCCCCTTCATGTATATTAACCCCACTTTCCTAATACATACTTTTTTTTCTCTCTTGCTCATCCCTTTTTGCTCCTGTCATATTTGCATCGTTTGCCCAGTCGTTGTTTACTTGCATACCCCGTTGTTTGTGTCTCCTTATGTTGCAGCGTTCTTGTTTTACCCCCATTGCTCTATATGTTTTATCGGTTGTATCAATCTTCTACCTCTCTCCTTCCATCTATGTACTCACCTACCTTACTCTCTTACGCTCAAACCTCGGTTTTGGACATGGAATTCGGCGTTTGCGTTACACGGTTCAAATTTGAATGTGAATTGCGGGGTCTGTCTGGATATCTTTGCCTGAAAGAGTGGGGAGATCTACAATGGGGTACACAGGACCAGGGAATGATTGGTAGATGGATCAGATAGAACAGTATAAATGAATACAAACATAGAATCCATGTCGCCAATGGCGTTTTGTGATAATAACTGTGGGGGCACATCTACAGAGTATTGACGTATGAATATGATAAACGTATTATAGGTGTTTTTTGTTCCTTTTGAAGCAAATTCTGGCCGTCCAGCAAGCGAATTCTTCCATTATGTTTATTATAAACCCAAAGGTAATGGGTAGCTAGTTTTGTAGCCCAGCGTTCGATCATTTTCGGAAGATAGCTACTAGGAATTTTGTGACAAGAGAAGAAAAAAGGAAGGGGAATATAAGGGGGCGTGTGTATTTGTATACGAAGGAATATCGAAATGCATGTAATCAAAACGAGGCTATGTAGGCTTGTTTTTGATGGAAAAAAAAGGCGTCTCCAAAAGGTATCAAGGTGTCTCAATTGCTGAGAGGAAGCGTATTCGCGCGTTGGATTTCGCATGACATGATCTGCCGTTTGTGTAAAAGGACTTGGTTCCTCTAGTAGACCTTCTTCTTTTCGTCCATACTCAGTTGACCGGGGCCCATGTTGACCAAGAGCACCAAACCACCGCTGTGAATTCATTCGTTAGCCTCGGCTAGATATATAGGATGAGACGTATTGACTTACACAATGGACAGAATCTGGAAGAAGTCGTACTTGGCAAAGTCCTTCTGAGGGTGGTGGGGGTGGAGCTGGAAAGATGAATTAGTTGACAGAAATACCCAAAAAATTGGGGGAAACATACAGTCCAGAAGTTGTTGACCAGAATGTTGAAAATGCTCAGCAAAACCACCAAAAGGATAGCACTCCACTTGGCCTTGAATCCGACAATGACCATGACACAAGCGACAAATCCGAAAAGGCTGACCAGCACACGCCACAAGCTCCACTGGCCGGAGAAGACGAATCCGATGAAAAGGAAGATCAGCAAGACACGACCAGCGAACTGAACGTACATCTTGCGGTCCTTCTCGTCGAGCTGGGGCAAACCGGCGGGAACGAACTTCTTGCGGACCCACGAGTCGGACAGCACCATGAGAAGACCACCCACGACACTCAGGTTGCGAAGGAAAAAGTTGAGATCGAAGATAAGACCGTATCCGATACCCTGCGTAACGACGACTCCGAGCAGACCGGCGACCGCGATCTCAGTGTGTTTACGGGCGATAACCAAGAAAGAACATGCGGACATGGCGAGGATGTTGACGATCAGGAAGGTATGCGTGATTCCCCAGGGAACTAAAATAAAAGAACAGGCATGGTTAGACCTCACATCCTTATGATCATATTATGGTGTGGTAACGATGGTGATCATGAAGATCCCGATGTAGCATAGACCACCGCCGCCGCGAACACCTGGCAAATGTCGGTAGGGAGGAAAGCTTACTGCCCCGGAAGTCGCGCAGATATAAGAGCTGGTCGCTCCATTGTGTGATAATACGCAAACTGTCTTCGATGAAAGTGACCACGATCAAGAAACGACCAATGGCTGGGAGGTATCTGGAAAACGGAAAAGACACGGTGTTAGTGGCCGTTTGTTGTCGGTCGCCCTTGTTTCTCGGAGGCGTCAAACATACGGCTTGACAGGGTCTGCCATTGTGTCCAACCAGTCCTCGATCTTGCTGGTCTGCTCTCGAATAGCATCCAAAGGACTAGGATCACTCGTCGCATCGGCGCTACCAGGCCCTCCGAAGGGGTTCTGGTGCCCGAGGTTGTAGCCCGCAGTGCCGCGGATTTGCGCCATTGCGGGAGTAGGACAAAAGGAAAATAGGAGAGAAAGGATCAAGGATAGAAAGAAAGTTGAAAGTGAGAAGAAGAGAGAAGAGAGAGTGTGTGTGGGGGGGGGGGGGGGGGTTATGAACAGTAGATAAAGGAGAGAGGATGGGCAAGAGAGGGAAAGATGAGAAAGAGGAACGACGCCAAGTTGGCCAGCTCCGGATGCTTATTACGGGCGTTGATTCGCTGCCCGTGACTCTCTCCAGTTCAGGCCACGATGACCGGAACTCGCTGCTACGCCGCATCGGGCATGGTTGCCAAGCCCCGCTGTACACTCTGCCTCTTCACCCAGTGACGACATTGCTGCTTCACTCCACGATGGAGGCTGTCAGGGCATCGTCATGCTGTGAATCGCTACGCTACATGATCCAGATCTCAAGCATATTAACCCACTGCTGCCATTGAATTGTGTCTTCATGTCCAGGGCGTGAGGGCATCCAGGCACAGTCAGACGGATCGTCGGATCCCCACAAAGTGACCAACAAATTGGCCTTAACCAAAGCCACAATGGGTTTGCGACCGCGCCTCAATGGAAGCTAACTGGATTGACCAAAATAGGATGAATAAGGACAAGTTACAGAAATAGAAGCACATAGCCCTGCAGAAACGACGATCCAGGAAAAAAGCAAAACGACCAAGGAACTGAATTTCAAGTCACCCAATAGTACAACGTCAACTAGTGGACCTTTGACGACTCAGCAGAATCAAGTCTAAACAAGGCAGATAGGAGACTCCACTAAGGCTGTTTGGGATACAGTAATCAGCATGAAACATCTGAATTCTGAAAAGCAAACATGTTTCTTTTGTTTGACGTTGGGACTCGATCTATACTGCAGGTTCGGCAGAAGATCGCGATCCATGCACCATCCCTTTGAGCCTCAGCTAACTGTTCCCCCAATCTTGGCGCTGTCAAGTAAAAGTAAATAAAGAAATACAGTAGAATAATATAAAGCATCAGTCACTGATCACAAGGTAATAAGGTAATAGTATTGCGGGGGTGAACAAGCAAGCTGTGCACACATAAAAATTTCTTCTTAAAGATTATCGATTCCAAAAAAACATTGTTAAAAAAAAAATACATGAGGTGAAACAGCTTTTTTTGGTGTTTTTTGTTCGTTTGTTTTGTGTTCTTTTCGCTAATGACGCGACAAGAAACAAACACCTCACCAGGTGCTGTTTTCAAAGTTGAATTGGAAGAATCCGAAAAACGCCTTGACCATGAATATAATAAGTACAGTTTTTGATGGCCGCTGGAAGGCACGGGCGCCACTTAGGCAGCCCAGTCGGAGTCAAGAGGGTGGCCCTTCTGCTTGGACTGCAGAATGTCGGGCAGGTACGTGGGCTTGATGGTGACCTTGGGCTTTTCAACAGGAGCAACCTCGGGGATAGGGTTGCTTTCGGAAGCGCTGAGATCGCTCTGGCTCTCATCGGTCTTTCCGCCCTTCTTCTTGGGTGCCTTCTTGCTAGGCACGGTGGTCCACTCATCATCTCCATTAGCAGCGCCAAGAATACGCATCTGCTCTTCCTCGGAGGGGAGGCTTTGAGTCCACTTCTTCGAGGCCGCAGGAGTGGCCTTGGTTGATGGAGTTTCGTTCTCGAATGTGTCCAAAAGGTCCACCTTGGGGGCCTGAGTGGGCTTGGGGGTGCCGTTGGCGACAGCACCGTTGCTCTGCCAGGCATTGGTCGGGGCGGCCAGCTTAGACTTGGCAGCCTCGCGGCGCTCAGCTTCTCTGGCAGTGTGAAGCTGCTTCTCGAGCAGCTTACGTCTCTCAGCCTCGGCCTCCTGGATCTGCTGCTTACGAGCATCGTTCTTCATTCTCTGCTGGCGCTGCTTCTTGGTCTCGACTTGCTTGAATGTCTGAGCCTTCTGCTTCTTTGGCTCCGATTCCATGGAACCCGTAACGCGGAGAACCGATGCACCTGGAGCGGGAGCCTCAAGCATGTCAGAAACGTATCCGGCAGACGAGGTGGCGTTCACCTCGGGAGATTCAGCGGGGGAGAGATCATCGTCAGCATCGGCTCCGTTCGTAGAGGCTGTGCGAGTGGACACGCGCGAGCCAGAGCGCTCGCTGCTGTTGTTGACTTCGAGCTGGCTAGCAGCTGTCTTCTTGTTCTTCTTCTGAGACTTGGTGCTCTTGGTGCTAGTCTGGGGAGTTCCGTTCTTGACAGCAGCAAAACGCTTGGCCATCTCGTTCTTGTCAATCTCCTCATCGGGCTTGTCGGCCTCCTGAGCCTTGAATTCAGCGGCGGGTTTTTCTTCGGCCTTGGGAGTCGAAGTAGAGGGTTCGGGGGTCTTCTTTGTTTTCTTCTTTGGTTTCTTCACGCTTGGTGCGCTCTCGATCTTCTCTGCCACAGGCTTGACGGGAGCCTTGACCTTAGGGGTTGCTCCATTATTATAATACCATCCAAGGCCACCTGCCACGACGAGCAGCAGGGCCCAGCTAATGTAAGGGTTCATCATCGTTAAGGCTAAGTGAATTGACCGTCAGTCAAAAATTCATACACACGCGCTTCGCATATCAATTCTTTGAGAGAACTATGGCACCATACCTTGAAGATTTCTTTCTTTATGCAACGTGGCAATAGTCATGAACACAGATTACGGTTATGAAAGCGAGTCCTACACGTGTGGGACAAGCGCGCCAGACTTGGCGAAGGGCGGGAAAAAAAAATATAGGATGAGGAAACAGGCACTTCAACCCCAAAGATGAGGATTAGTGCTTAATGTAGAAGGTAAAAGGCGATCACTCGCGAATCTCTAGACACCTTAGGTCATGAGGGTAGGTTTATGAAGGAGAAAACGGGGTCAGCGGAGGTAGGGGAGGCGGGCTGATTGCGACAAGGCCAGATTTCCTCGCCGACGGAGAAAACCGATTCGATTGACCGAAGACCGTCTTCGACCACGAGTCCAAATGCCAAGCTGTTGTTTTTGAGCACAGCAGCGGCAAGCGGGAGAGGAATTGACCTGGTTATCGATAATTAGACAGGTCTTAGTGTGGTTGAAAAGGCTCGATGGCGCTTTGACAGTGAGAGGTCGCGGAGACCTAGAGGCGACAAGTTAAGGAGATCACCAAAGCACGGGAACAGCTTGGTGATCACCAGAGAAGAGAAAAAAGGGCAAACGCAGGTTAATAGAAAACAAGCGAAAAGCCAGGGGAGAGAGAAAAGAGAGAGAGGAGGATGGAGAGGTGAAGGGAAAGGAGGGAAAGGGAAGGGAAGAAGAGGACACGATGAAGGGGCGGCCGTCAACCTTCAACTATCGCTGGTGAATAATAGTGGCCTTTGCGCTGGGACGCTCCACTCCACTACGACAACATAGTACAGAGATACAAGATGGTGGCATTGGATGGAGTCTGATATTACATCTACCGGGGGTGGTCTAGGCATCTACGGAGTCTTCTCAAGGATCTGTCTTGGAATTGTTTGATTTGCCTCTTGAGCTGAGGCTATATTGCGATCATGATGAAATCAATCTACAGTCCAACGGCCTCATAAATACAAGACAGCAACCCAGACAATTGCAATTCTGGAATACCAACCACACCATATCCATCAAGAAAAGACATATCAATAAGGGGAATGGCTGGAGCCACGGCGAAATCGCAATGTCGCCAACAGGGATATATACTTAGTCTGGATATCCGATGGCACGGGGGATCAGCCTGTTAGATGCTAGTAGCATTCCCTGCTGCCGGGTTGTGGGCGAATGGCAGACACAAAGTCTCATTTGAAGTAATACAGAAAGAATTGGCGCCGAGATCTCACATTTGTTTGAGGATTAATTGTGTTATTATTTTTTACTGTTATTTGCCCCTGGCCAAGAAGACCGAGAGAGAAAGGGATGTTGAGTCGAAGCGAACAGGCCACGTCTCCGGATCGTCTAAACTCCGCCGTAATTCCCGACGGTTATTAGCGATTCATGTTGAAGATGAAACTACTGCAATGCGTGGGAGGATTATTATTATTTAATAACTATTTAATATTACTATGCTGTCTCAATCAGGGGTTATTTGTGAATATGCATTCTGCCGTATCACCAGTCTGTCATATTCAGGTACACCCCCAAAAGTACTCTGTAACAATATTCATCCCCACGACTCGAGTCGATGTCTGTTGAATGGATGAGAACGAAAGAGGAAATACCGTCTGCAATGGACCGTCTCAACTCCCAACACTTGACACAGCATCATCCCTTGCAGACATGTTTTGTTGCCACGAGGACTCGCATGGTCTAAGATCGGATGCATCAGACGGACACGGCCATGTTATATCGATGTAGAGGTCGAATCATCAATAATTAATGTCAATTCATAATCATGTCTTCTCACTTCCCAGTAGAGCGCCTTTCTACAGAAATATATAAGAAGTCTAGCTATGCTATACAGTATCTAGGTAATATGTGATATCGCCTAACAAGACAATATATATATCCATTTTGAACAATAACCTCACCACTTTCTATCTGTACAATAGTCTTTTCGAGGCTTCCGGAAGCTGCTCTCTTACTCCTCTAGTAATTGTATGATAATTTCATTGTGTTGGCCAGCTACCCTTCAAGGTACTTGAAATATTTAGGGATAGCGGAATATGAACTGATTAGCACTAAACGAATAAACACCAAGCCTCCTCTCTATCCAACATCCTAAAGTATATGCAGCTATCAAATAATAGTGGCAATAGAATACTCAGAAAACACAAAAAAAAGTTGTGAATGATCTAGATTCTACAGAAATGATCACTGCCTGTTGTGGGAGAGTGGGGAAGCGGCGATAACAAAGCCAAGACCCTGGAGACATTATGATTTCCACCCCACCTTCAACTCTTTCCATGCTTTCTGCTCGATTCCTACAACTCTATCGTTTCTTGCATCATTTGTTGTTGTTCTAATAGAACTATAGACCATTATATATCTCAAATTCCGTCATGTCACCCAGAAAGATTATTATCGATACCGATCCGGTATGTTTTATATATCCGAGCTACCCCTCACTCGGAGCTCTAGCTGCGAGGGGAACAAAGGAGAAGAAAACCATGGGCAATAGACCGTTGCTAACCATGCAAAGGGTATTGATGACATCCTCGCTCTTTTGCTCGCCCTTTCTGCAAAACCAGAAGAGGTTGAAGTGCTTCTCATCTCATTGACCTTTGGCAACATCGAAGTGAGAAGGTAGGATTGTCCCAAGCTATCACTTTGTTTTATTTGTTGTTCTCGTGTCTTTTCTATCCACAGAGCTAATTCTTTAAACTATCCAGCTGCCTTCGCAATGTCGTCTCCATGTTTCATATTCTCGAGCGCGAGATGAAGTGGCGCAGGGAACAAGGCCGGCCTGAAGGATTCGGTGCTCTACGTGCCTGTCGACCAGTCGTCGCCGTGGGAGCGGAAGATCCTCTCGAGGAGCAGAAGATGCTGGCGGATTATTTCCGTAAGTCTTCTTTTTGCCGGATAAAGAATGATTTGTGTACGGAATACTGATAATCTACAGACGGAACCGATGGTCTAGGCGGGATTCATGCCAGTGTACATGACGGACGATCTCCTTCCAGATATATGACTAACAGCTTCTAGCACCCCCATCTAACTCCCAAAGAGACTTGGGAGCATCTCTTTGATCCGTCGGCCGATCCCGTCGAAGTCGAACCGGTCCCAACTGGCGATGCCGCTCACCGATCGTTCATTCCCTCTAAACGTCCTGCACACGAAGAAATTTTGCGTGTCCTGCGCGAGAATGAGGCGGATACTGTTACACTGGTTGCTGTCGGTCCCTTGACCAACCTGGCGTTAGCTTCTGCGGCCGATCCAGAGACCTTCCTCAAGGTCAAGGAGGTGGTGATCATGGGAGGAACAGTGAACTTCCCCGGAAATGTAAGTTTCCGGACAAGGCCCCTATTGTAACCACACATATTTGGAACTATGGAATGGCAGTGGAATAACATGTTGGAAACACCAGGTAACCCCCATGGGCGAGTTCAATGCCTATGCCGATGCAGTCGCCGCCGCACGGGTCTATGCCCTTACCTCTCCCACCCCGTCCAGCACCATGCCAACAAACAGCGTCAGTCTCCAAGGCTACCCAGAAAAGCTGAGCAAACAGCTTACTCTCCGCCAATTCCCGCTAAATATCACCCTGCGCCATGGAATGAAGCGCGGCCAATTCCGCAAGGCCATTACCCCGCTTCTCGAGACAGGCTCGCCACTGGCGGAATGGGTCTCGGCTTTCATGGCCCACACCTTTAAGACACTCGAGAGACTTCATCCAGGACACGTGGGAGATGAGGCGGAACTGAGCATGCACGACCCTGTCTGCGTCTGGTACGCTCTAACCCCCGTGGACCCGCGCTGGAAATCATCCTCGACTTCCCCAGAGGATATCCGGATTGAAACAACGGGCCAGTGGACACGGGGCATGTGCGTGGTGGATGGACGGAACCGTCATCGCATCGAAGGAGACCAGGAGAGCTCCAGCGACCATGGTCTCTGGTTGAGCCAGAAGGCCGGAAACCGTATCTGGAGAATGGATGCCTCCCCGGGAGAGGAGAACTTTGGTGAGATCATCATCGAACGGCTGTTTACCTGAGGGAGCTATCCCAGGGAAGGAAGATACTTCTAGTACAAGGGATGGTTGAACGTGAATAGAATCCGATACACAGTTTTATGTAGATAAAGTCATATAGACGTCATGATCAATAACCATGCTCCAGATCTTCGACCGATAGACCAAATCGGGAAATATCAAGCCGATCACATCATTCTTTGTTGTGCCTGGATCGGAGCATTGAAATGCTAGATCAGGGCTGGGTAGAACGTCATTGGCTTCTGGGAGCTGGAGGATATTTCCCCTTGGGCGTGCCTGAGGAGTAGAAACACATGTAATTTCACCATCTGTAAAACTCCAATAGGGATGGAAATTATTGTTTCATTGACTAGGTATTGACGTCAATTATGCATTCTAGGTAGTTACTGGGTAGATTTCAGAGAGTCAATTGCTATGCTGAGAACACAACCCTGGGCTAAGAAGTATTCAGTGCTCTAGATAATGCTACAACACTGAACACACGACTCAGGTTAATTTGTTCGAGTTGCATCTCGAACATCCCCAAGTGATGTGCAATGAACCTGCAAAGTGACGTATCCAGCTCTCTGTACTGCTGGTGGCTAGGGAATATAGAAGCCTTCGACATTCAAGCCTCAGTCTGCGGAGTAGTGAAACACCACCTGGAATGCATTGATTCAGAAGTGGCCAAACAGATATTCTTCCAATGATATCATCACAATATCTGCAATGCGGAATGCAAGTAGCATAAATTATGCATCGCCAGTGCGAGACAGAAAGATGAGTGGTGAGGAAAGGAAGGGGTGGACGGAATGTGGGTTGAATATCGGCTTCATAGCGCGGATGAAAAGCTGCAGAAACGCGGGGAGAGGCTTGAAACGTGGAATGCTGGGAGGCTGGAGAGGCTGGAGAGGAGGTAAGTAGACCAGAACGGGTGTTTTTTATGGTGCGTGATGGTCTATATAAGAGGTCATAGAGTCGGGATGTTGGAATAGCATCAAACTCAAGCATAAGATTCGTCAAGATAACTTGCCAACGAATTATCAAAGCCATCGAACATTTCAATCTTTTTCTATTCCTCACTATACAAACCATCATGCAACTCAACAACATCATCGCAACTACTCTGGCCGTCCTGGCTGGCACTGTGGCTGCCCTGCCTGCCGCCAACACAGGACCTTTCCGGATGGCCAAAATCTCCATCCCCAGCAACAGCACGATGGCAAGAAACAGTACCATTCCGAGTAACAGCACAATAATAGCGAGCAAGACGGTTAAGTCGGGCACTCCATCCTTTTCTCCATCCTCGTCTCCATCTTCATCATCCCGAGCGTGGCCCAAGGTCATGGCATCCAACGTCGCCAACCGCACGCAGAGTGCATCTGAGGAGCGAAAAGCGGGCCATGCAGAGCCCAACATGTGCCCTGAGCTCTGCTCTCTTCAGGCCCAATCATGTGTGGTCGCTCTCCCAGATGATGAAGCATTCTGGTAAGCACACTTTTTTTTTCACGTTTTCCTTTTTTATATAAAAAAATATATGACGATAGCATGCTCACTGGAAATAGCTGGCGAACATATGTCGAATGCAGTCACCGTTGCGGTCCCCAGGAGGTAACCAGCCACGTCCACTGAGTGCCAGGGGACTCTGCACGTGCTTGGATTCCTGTCTGGTCCGGAGCGACACGGAGAAGAAATCAGGGGATGATGCATTTGGGGAGGCAAAAACTGGACGGAACGACATATGGCTATGAGATTACGATTCAAACTGTATGATTAGCAATGGGATAAAACGGGACGATGGACTGGTTTTTGAGTTCTGCCACTGCGCCTTTTGGCTTGTGAAGGTTGACCTGATAAGAGCAGCAGGACTGTTCCGAAAAAAACTGAGAGAGAAGAATACAACAGAATCACGACGATCCTTCATATACCTCATATATCGTACTCTGAAACCGTAGATATCCATGGACGCAAGGAGCCAAATTGAATTCGCTGAACCAGCAGCATCGGCCACTGCTGCACCCACGAGCCCTGGTGTTGCGGGCGAGTTGGTCGAGGGCAGCCGGTCTCGTGCTCTGCGCTCCCGGCCAATCAGCGCCCGCCATGCCGCCGCGTGGGCGACACAAGCACGCGACACTTGCTCTTCTGCTCTTGACGCTTTGGAGACTCCAACTTTTGTCTCGTCGATCATCCATGGCCTTTGGCCGCAATCCTCGTCATATCCACCATGGCTGTTGTTGCTGCTGCTGCTGCTGCTGCTGCTGCTGCTCGTGCCCCCACGTGCTCATGCTCTCTCCTGTTATCTGCTTCAAATACTAATACTGCTGGCCCTCCCGGTCTCTTTCTATCTGTCCTGTATCTATCTCCCCGATAGTCTCCTTACTTTGGGATTGTCGATTGTCCATCTGAGTTCACGCATAATTCACTGCAATACACTGCTATCTGCTGCTCGAGTCCATTGTGCAACTTATCTTATCTTCCCCTTTTCTTATCCTGTACGACAGTCCTCGACAGCAGGTTGCACACACAATTCTGCCCGTTGACCTCGTGTCCGGTTTGGAATTGAAGAATCATCGGCCTGCATTGAATCACCTTGACAATGTCACGTTCTCGTCTTCCCCCGACTCCCGCAATGTCAGGGGAGTTCATCATCAAGGAGCAGACTTTCGCCGAGGGAACAGACTGCTTTGCTTTGCCTCCAGCTGCCCTCAGTCCGTCCAAAATCGAACCTGCCAGCAGGAGGTCTTCAAAGTCTGACCCGTCGTCCTACTTTCCCGCTTCTCCAACCTCGCCTGATCTTGTTGCCCTGGGTCGTACTGCGAACCCTCGTTCGTCTGCTACCAAACGCCCGCTCGAGGACTTCGACCTTCCCCCTCCTCCCACTCGCACCCGCAAAATCATCCAAATGAAGCCCAAGACTCAGCCCCCGCCTAAGCCAGCTGCAACGGCCACTAAGTCAGCCAAGGAAACGGGCAAGGCCCCAGCCAACAATGGGCCGGCATCGGCAAACTCGAAGAAGAAGCAGCCCAGCGCTACCAGCGCTGCTGGTCGAAAGATCGCCAGGAAGACAGCTCACAGTTTGATTGAACGGAGGCGAAGGTCTAAGATGAACGAGGAGTTTTCAACTTTGAAGGATATGATTCCTGCATGTCGGGGCCAGGAAATGCACAAACTTGCCATTTTACAGGTAAGACAAGCTACCCCAATTGCTCAGAGCAATGAATGCTAATGAATCTCAAGGCAAGCATCGACTACGTCAACTACCTAGAGCAATGTGTACAAGATCTCAAGGTGGCTGGTGGCAAGAGAATCGCCGTTCCTCCACGCATGCCCCCAGCTCCTCCCTCTCCAACCTCGCCCGAGTTTTTGGCTCCAGACGATTTGCACTCGGCATCAGCGTCTCCAGAGCTGCTCCCAGAAAGTGCTCAAGTCAACGACACATCACCATCGTTCTCCCCTCGCACTCAAGTTCCATCGGCGGGCCCGAATTTTGAATTTACACATACCTCGCTTCCCAGTCCTGTGCTGGGTCCGCCTGCTTCTGCGGGTACTCAGATCCATTTCTCTCCTCAACAGTGGCCGACATCTGCCAACACTTCCCCAGCTATACTACCTCGACAGAGCAACGCTTCTGCCTACAGTGCTGATGCTGAAATTGACCATGAGGCATCTGCTGCCCTGCTCATGCTTAACAGGGATCGTCGGGGTACTGCAGATTCAATTAACACTAAACTCACAAACTCCACCCTCGCTTCACAGGAGGATAGGAATCGTGAGATGCAAGAAACGCAGAGGAGAATGGGGATGAGTGTCAAGGATCTGTTGATATCTTGAGTATCAAGTATCACTCCAACTTTACAAATACTTATAATGGTTCTTTATTATGGGTTGGACTGGTGTTCTTGCAACCGGTGGCTTTTATTGACTAGTTTATTTGGGACAGTATAAAAGGGTTATGATTTATGTTCTCATGTATATAGATGAAGTATCCATCGATACTGAATATTAGTGATAATTTATTAGATGCTTTGGCATCCAAAACTCATGGTATCCCTTGAATCTCACTTTTGATCTTTAGCCAACCCCATACAAGTTGCACCCTTCCATTCAGATGATCCTTGATGTTTCAACCGCCAGAAGTTGAATTAAGGTGCAGTTAAGGTCACGAGGTGGAATTCGCTTCCCCGCACCAGGAACACAACCATTCTCCATCCCTCCATGATCTGACAGAACATTTTAACCTTATTTCACTTCTTTTCGTTTTCGATCATGGTGATATCCATAAAGCCTAGCAATCTTTGCTGTCAATCCAGATACTCGGGCTGATAGCACCTGGACGAAACAGTGGAGATGTTATCCCCGCAGTCGCCTGCATCCCAAGGAGGGGTAATTCGCGCTGTCTGCATCCCCATCAACAACCAAACAAAACAAAGCTTCCAAAATGCCAAACCCTAAGAAAGTTGCTATAATAGGTTTGTCAGTCCTCAGATTTATATTAATCATCTCTAGAAGAATTTAATCAGATTCCATTGGGAGCTAACCACTCAACCTACGTGACCCCAGGCGCCGGTCCCGCTGGACTTGTAACAGCCAAAACCCTCCTTTGCAATTATCCAGATGGAACATTTGCTCCCACCATTTTCGAAAAGCGCAATGAGATCGGCGGCTTATGGCCCACCAGCCGCACGGCGTCTCAGGACCCAAATCCCATGCCATTCGGTTCGAAAAAGAATAGCAGCGAGACTGGGCCGGTTAATCCGCTGATGCGAACAAATCTTAGCCGGTTCTCGGTAGGATTCTCGGATTTGGCTTGGGAGTCGGTTATTGGGGGCTCTGAGTTACCTATGTTTCCGCAGGCGTGGCAGGTGGGGAGGTATCTCGAGGCATATGCTGAGCGGTATATTCCAAAGGGAGTGATAAGATTGGGGCATAAAGTTGTTCAGACGGTTCGAGATGTCAATGCGACTGCAGATGCACGGTGGACTGTGCATTGGGTGAAGGAGAGGTTTGTTTAATTGTCGAATGCTTTATTATGACCTGCTAATGTTGGTATCAGCGTTGACGAGGGCAACCCCATCAAGGATCAAGACCAGAAAGTCGTTACAGAGCATTTCGATTTCCTCATTGTTGCATCCGGCTTCTTTTCATGTCCGCATATTCCAGATATTCCTGGACTCTCCGGGTTCGAAGACAGAATCGTCCATAGTTCTAGCTTGCACAAGACTGGGACTCTCAATCACCTGTTCCGAGGGTATGACAACACCCGTGGGAAGGTGGTTGTTATCGGAGGGAGCATGTCCGGAGCAGAGGCTGCCTCCGCTCTTGCTCTTCATCATTCCTCTTTAAAGCTTGCCGGATCAAATCAATCCTGGCAGGAGTACGAGGTGCATCATGTCTGCACAAGGCCTTTTCGGACCATACCTACCTATCTGCCGCATGTCTCAGGCGACATGTCCCAAGAAAATGTATCATTTCAACCACTTGATATAGTTATGTACGACTTGGCTCGACGACCACCTGGACCCATTGAATATGCTTTCGGACCTGTCTCGTCGGAGCAAGTTACCCGGGTAAACAGCTACTTCCAATCTCTACTGGGAAGTGACTATGAGAAAGTCGGGAAAGTCGAATCTATCTCTAATGAGAGTGAATCAGATGGACGGCCCCCATGGGTTGCCATTGGAAACGACCATGCAGAATTCGTTCGATCGGGAGCGATATCAACCACCATCGGCCGGGTCTGTGCAGTACACCAACAGAAATCAGGTCTTGCACGGCTTCATGTACGCCTTCCAAATGGCCAAGAAACGGAATTAGACAATGTTGCAGCCATCGTGATGGCCACAGGCTTCATGCCGTTTGGCTCACTCTTTTATCTACCTAAGGATGTACTTTCTGTGCTGGAATACTCCGCAACTGACCCTTTCTTCCCTTTGATACTGGATGGAAAGGGTAGCATGCATACAGAGATCCCCGATCTGGGATTTGTTGGCTTTTACAGAGCCCCTTATTGGGGTGTTATTGAGATGCAGGCTCGGAATCTTGCAGAGAGATGGGCTAGAGAAGACATTCATCTCTCCCAGACAGAACTGGCTCAGAGGGCAGAAGAAAGACAGAAAATGCGTCATCTCCGATCTGCTGATCCATACCTTCACCGTGGCCAATTCCCCATGGCTGACTATACAGGGTTGGTAGAGTCGTTTGCCAGGGATTTGGGAATAAATCACATTCCACTTCGAGATACTGATGAACGACATGGTCCAGTTGTACCGGCTCGGTACCCGTTCAACAAATCGTCGAGTTTTACCAGTGGAGAAGCTGAGATGGATCTAACGCTGGGCTCTCTGCGGACTATACTCTCTGACCCGGATGCTATCAGTGTAGCAGCGGCAATGGCGATCTTTAGAGCTCTGCATGGTACATGGAGATTCGTTCAAACAACCAAAACACCGAAACACGAGAAAAATATTTCCGGTAATGCGAAATTTTCCCCACAGTATCCATCTGACCCAGCCTATGAGAAAGAATACATCTACGAGGAGGTTGTCCATGAACCTCAGGGCGTACAGGAGACCAGATCCCGGTCGATCGTCCGCTTTGCCGATACTACCACCGGACCTGACCACTCACATATCTTGATCTGGTCTGTGGGAGTGTGTGAAGATACAAACCCCACCACTCGATTTTCACATGGGTTGAACCTCGCCCCTGCTCTTCGACACGTTGAAAACGGCGAGCCCGTGTTGGGGGAGTATGTCATCCATGCTTCGTCACACCCAGGACACAGATATGATTATGAGTTTAACTTTAGGGGTGTATCGATCGTCTCGTGGCAATGCACTAAGAAGACGAACGAATCCGATGAGGCTTGCTTTGTTCGAACAGTATATGAACGATAGATTGGTATAGCCAATATTGGAGGATGTGGGAAAGACATGTTTCTTTGATTTAAATGAAAGGCCACATCAAGAAACTTCTTTTCACGGTTATACTATGAGAACATCCAATTGACTATTCATCATGCTTATATTGCAGCACAGGTAGGTTGTCGATGTACTGTAATAAAAACCATACACAGCCTAAATGGGACGGGGAACTTCAAAATACACCAACTGTAAATACTGAATTCGATATACCTTCCACTCCGATCTTCAACCCCATTGGCTGCTGCTAGTGTATTTACCATTTAGCGTCTTTTCCGATGACCTTTTTGCATTTAAGATGGCCAGACAGCTTTAAAGCGTTCCACAGCATTACTACCGCGGCTTGATCACCCATCTTCTTCCTGCCCTCAGATAGAACGGCTTCAGCTTCGGATAATTCAACCCGGAAGCCTGTCCTGATTGTGGGCGGTGGAATCGCAGGACTGGTTCTCGCGCAAGCGTTGAAGAAGGTAAATGAGAGCCAAACCCCCAAACACTGTCACTTACTGATCATGAAGAGCAGCGAGGTATACCATTTATCCTCTTTGAACGCGACAACGCCGCGAACAGCCGTCTACAAGGATGGACATTGACTATCCATTTCGCGCTCCCCCAGCTCCTACATTTACTCCCGGAAAAACTACACTATGAAATAGACCAAGTACAGGTGAACTCCCTGGTGACGACGGACAAGAGCAACTCGATATTCCTCAACCTCGCCGATTGCCAGGTGAAATGGAGTCTGCCCCCGGGGTCGGGAACGAGAAAGCGAGTCGCGCGAGACAAATTCCGCCAGCTCATAATTGATGATCTTGATCTCGACGGCCGGATTATGTGGGGGAAAGCCATGATGGAGCCGAACAGATACGGAGCACCGCCAGTGGAGCGATCCGTGGTCTGAACCATGGCCTTGGCCAGGTTGGAGGGTTGGAAGAGAGAAGCAGCTCGATAATTTTGCATTTTCGGATAATGAATTGTTGATGAAGAATTAAGTAAATTGGACCGGAAGTAGACAGAGGGGGAAGAGCCTTTTCTCTTGTTTGGCGGCCCTATTTTAGCACTGATCTACGAGTTACATAACATTCAGCTACACAATATAATAATAGTATTTATATATAATATTCAATTTAAATGAATAGAAAGCGGATAAATATACACGCAGTCTACGATTACTCATTCGTCAATTCTACACCACAGCCAGCACCTCCTGCAGCGCCTTGACCAGCATCTTCTGCTCCTTCGCCGTGCCTATCGTCACTCGAATACAGCCTTCACAATGTACGGCTGACCCGATATATCGCACTCCAATGCCATACATCTCACTGACTTTTGCCACCACGGCCTTTGCTCGCTCTCCATCTCTCTTTTCATTTTCGCCGTGGCTGAGAATCGGGACTACAATGAAATTCGCCTGGTTCCCGCCTACTACAGACCCAACCCCGAGCTGTCGGAACCGTTCTTCTCCAAGGGTATTCACAAAAGCATCTCGGTTGGCGCAAACCTGGTCAGTGATTTTCTTTGCTTGTTTTACGTATTTCGGGGAGAGGGCTTTGATCGCGAGAAATAATGTGGGTGTCGAGATGCTAAATGGCATTTGGAGTTTGGTGAACATGGATATAATGGCTGGGTGGGCGAATGCCATGCCGACCCTGACGATGTATGAGACGGGTTCAGTCAATTCTGGAGGATCTGACATACCTGATACCAGCAAGGCCGTGGGATTAGCTCAGTGACTGCACAACAACCAGGTTGGCGTATTCAGAGAGCAGCTGGACCGTAGATGCGTCTTCGGGGGTAGAGGAAAAGTCGATGTATGCCTCGTCCACCACAAGGAGACCATGGAAGGCTTGTCGGTCAGTATTCATCTAGTCTATCACGGCTGCACACTCACTTTCGAGATTGAGAATTCGCTTAATGTGTTTCACGGGAATCAAGCTCCCTGTTGGATTACCAGGTGAGGCAAGAATCACCACCTTGATGCTTTGATCGGAAGTAAGTGTTTCGCATATCTAAATCCACCTTAGCACGGCCACAGCAGAAATAAAGAAGAAACACCCCCTCAATGGGAAGAACAAAGTCATCGTTCTCAAACTCCAGCGGACACTCGTGGACACCAACATCGTAGATCTTCGCGCGCACTTTATACAGATCAAACGTCGAGGAGGATGGTGAGACGTTTCTCAGCCAGTGTTGATGTCACATACACTGGGGAGTGGAAGAGAGTTGGGCGGATGGAGAATTCGAGGGAGAAATGCGATGGTTGTAGTCGTTGAGACATTGTGAAGAGAATTGAAACTGGTAATCATCAACCCAGATGTGCTGTTCCATAGTCTATATTGGTTTAACATGGACAGACTAGCCCTCCATCGCTTCCAGGCCGCATTGGCATCACTTGCGCAAGACCAAAAGAACGAGTCAGTCCCGAGCATAAGATCATTTTCAGACAGTCGATCACCTCTCGACAAACCATTACATGGGCCTTTCTCCCGATCTGATCATCAAAGAGCCGGTTCAGCTCTCGCGCTTCGGTTGCTCATTCTAATTTTTTCCTCTCCACATCGGCTCTTCAGACCCAATACTCGTATCTGTATACTACGCATGACCCACTTCTATCCCGACAGCCGCTGGCATGATGGATGTCTGCTGTGGGCCAATCAATCTTCTTCACTGCTTGGGGTGCGGCAGTTCGTGCCAAGCTGGGCTGAATCTTAAGAAGTGGGTCTGTTGTATTTTAAAACAATACAGTACGGAATACAGATTATAGATGAAGTGGGCTGCCATAGATAGCCACAGTAACTCTCGGTTGTTCTTGTTCACTTCCATCTTTACATCACTAAGAGGCAACGAGCACAATGGCTGATTTTTCAACACCTTGGTGAGCTCCTTTAATTTCACACTATAGTACACAGCACTAACATAACAGCTCACCAACGCAACATGCGTGGATTCATCGTCTACCACCGAATGGGGTTATCTTCTCGCGCCCTATCTCGAAAACGCCCTGAGACACGCTGATCGCTACACACCAGACGACATCCAAAAACATGTAGGCTTCTTTCTGCATCACATCGCTCCATATCTTGGTTTAGCTCCGATCGCAAACACCATCAATGACCAGACCTCCTACACGCCTCAGTATCCTTCAGCCATGGCCAACGACCTGACGCCGTTCGAGCTCAGTTTGTGCTGGAAGAGCCTCAAGCAAGAATACAAGCCTATCGTTCGCTTTGTCAACGATATCATTCCCTCGACTGGGGAGCGGACGCGGTCTGCCTCGCTTTCAACGGCGATTACCGTCATCGATACTCTGGAAGAGGTTGCTCGCGATAATGACTCCTCGACACTTAAGCTCCAGGTGCTCCCGGAGCTATGGAAGCAAATCACAGAGACACTATACTCCCATGAAGCCATCGTACATCCCCTGGGAACCTGCTCGCAGTGCGGCTCATCCTCCACCTTTGTAGGCTTCGACCTGGCGCCCTCAGTCCTCAGCAGCAAGTTCTACTGGCTTCTCCCCTCTTGCCAGAATACCCCGGAAGTGCTATCTCTGATGGACAAAGTGTTTTCTGCCTGCGGCCTCACAAACGACTACTTCGCTTCCTCAACCTTCCTCACACCCTGGCACCAGATCCGCACCCATATCGAAACAAACCACAGCACCCTCCGCCCGAGAATGCTGTCACTAGACGCAACGCAGTTCCCAGCTCCGCGTATCAAAATCTACACCCGCTCTCTATTCGACAAGACAGCCGCCTTCGATGACTGGGAGAGGCATCTCAACTTGGGCGGCGTGGTCTCCTACCCTGACGATTTCCGCGCCACATCTTCCGACCTCTGGACGTCTCTTGCGGAGAATCCTAGAGAATGGGCTGAGTCACGGCCAAACGCAGGCCCAAAACACAATCTCGTCCTGTATGAGCTTACGACGTCGTCTCCGTCGAGTTCGGGGGAGAAGGGCGATCTGGGGAGGAAACTCTCCTGCAAGCCTTATATCATGTGTCAGGAGATTCCTCGTCCGGACTCGTTTATTGCGAAGCAGTTACTGCGCCACTGTAAACTAGCTGCACATGCATCTATCCTTAAGTATGTTCAACAAACCCATACTGTATTTCTATACTAACGATGATTTCCTTAGGGCATTCGCCGAGGCATCTCAGCCGACTAACTTTATCTCCGAGTAAGTTTACGCCTGCAAGACATTAACCCTGATTCTGACATTTCCTTCTTCCTTAGAATCGGACTTGCACCCCGAACAGAAGGGACAGAAGTCTCTATCTATCTTAATCCGGCTTTCTTTTCGCGGCAGGCCTGGGGGGTTGCGGGGGACGGTTACATGACCAAGCACCGTATCACTCTCCCTGCTAAGACAGACGTTTAGTCTGAATTGCTGACTGGTCTGGACAGTAGAATCATGAAATGAGAAATGCTTGGACTGTGTTGTTTAGATCTGGCAAATAGTAAAATTGCCACTGTCTGCAAGTGACAAATATGGGCTTCATTTGTCTAGCAGTATATGCAGCTATATACATCTGCTATATTAATCCCAACCTCTGACCGACTAAAAAGACCTATCACCATCACGAGGACTCATCCAACCTGGACAAACCCTCTTTCTCAACACCATTAGACCCATAATGATATCTTAAACTCCTCGCCCTCAACACCACCTACCGAAACACACAGCCGTTCGAGGCCCAGTCGCTTTGATAACCACCACTGCTCCAATGACATATGTGGCTATATCAAACATGCACCGTAGTTGGTGTATCCGATTTCCACCGTCAAGACAGTCGCTGTCACTGCAGTTTGCGACAATTCGGTCAATCATCCATCCGCCGCAGAAGATCTGATAGAGCCAGAGCCGGACAGACAGTGCGAAGTTGTTGGATACAAAGTGGCATAGTAGGGAGAATGCTGCTGCTGCTAATATGAGCAGGGCGATAACGGATGTTTCTATCCTGGGTTTTGTTAGACGGGCTGAAGTAACTGGGGGAATTAGGGTTGGTACATTTCCTTTCTGTCTGAGATACATGTGAGGTTCAGCGGCGTTGAAGAAATTTCAAGCTTCAGTGTCAAATATTAGAGACCAAAAACTAAGAATTCGAATATACCAAGCACGATTTATATATTCTTAACTAATACTCTTTATCAAGTCGCACCAAAATTTCTTATAAAAATAATTTATGTGCTAAACCTAGCAAATACAGCATAATTAGATGCTGTCAGGACCCAACAGCACCAAACTCCTCTTTTCTAACCGGGTATCTACCAAAAAGTCGCATATAGCAACAGCGAAAATAATCATTCAACAACAGAAAACAAAAAGAAAAAAAAAATCAGGCCCGAGCCGCGGATCGAACGCGGGACCTCTCGCAGATATGCTTGGGTTGTTACCCTAAGCGAGAATCATACCACTAGACCACCCGGGCGGTGATTGTTGAAAGCGCAATCAGGTGACGTCCCATCAAAGGGCGACAGGGATTATTCGGTTGTTTCGCGGCTGTCGCGGCCTCGCGGGTGGCGCACTGCCACTAGGCTCCCCAGCAGGCTCGCAGCCATTCCACCGATCGGCCCCTGTCGTATGGAGGGGAAGTCCCTGCAGGGCTGTCGTACAAAAGTAGTGTAGTGCAGTGGAGAGTCCTTGGCTGCGTGCATGTTTGACACTGCGCCTTTAAATGACGTTGGCCGTTCGCGTGATGGTCAAGGAACTTGCATAAGTCATCTGGACAATATGTCGCAATAATATGAACATGGAGAAGGTGTTCTCTGGTGTCGGTGTTTTGTCGGCAATTATCACCAAGTGATGACAGACGTGGTGCCTGGTGGAGGTTCAAAAAACTTTGGAAAGCGTTGAACTCGCTCGTTGGGCATTGCGAGCGCATCAATTAGGAGTGGATGAGATGATCTTGTAGTAACGGTCGAATCAGAAAGCCAAGATCGACGGATTCACGATGTTTGCTTTTTTTTAAGAGAGTCGTTCAAGCCATGCAGAGACGGTCAACTCCCTGGAATGCTGATCAGGATAACAGGCATCCGTGCACTCCTGCTCAGTAACGAAGGTGTCGACGTTTCTCTCTGTCAACGGAATTTTGTATCGATTCTGTTCCTTGAGAAGTTCTTTTTCTGCAAGGGAGGATGGGGAGAGTTTCGATAAGGTATCGCGAAGTCGTCGGATACCACCGCCCGCGAAGGACGAAGTACGAGGCGGGCCAAATGGATGGTCGACCTTCCAAGCATCATCATCAGAGATGGAAGGCGATCGCTTGCGTTGCGAACGAAATTTAGACATGGTGGACGAGGGAGAGAGTGTAGAGGTGATTCTGAGGATGAAGTTGGTGTCTAGAACGAGGGGAGGCGAAGTGGGTAAGGGAGGGACTATATAAGTCTAAGGATCAGCAGTCCGTCCACCCAGTCAGAACCAGACTATTCGAACCAACCAGCAACAAGGCGAAGACGTGGACACTCGATCGCCGCGGAAATCCTTCAGAAAGTTGTGCGGGGAGGCGCGCCTTCGAGAGGCAGACAGATGGTTGCCAGATCCGGTAGCAGTCTTGGCTGTGCCGAGAATCACAAAGGCATAATATCAGGATAATATCGCGAACACAGGCTGCTTGGCAGGGGATGCAGAGGATAATGATGATGGAATGATGAGCTGCAGACTGGCTGCTCACTGGCGACACTTGGGAGGCACTCGTTCGGTCGGAACTGATGCAACTCGACCTCGACGAGGCCACAACGACGTCATGCCAAACACACCCCTAAATGATCTGCTGTACGGATGTGCACCCTTGGCAACGACAACAAGCCCTTACGCTATCATTCGTATGTGATCTCCTTATTACTATTTACTATTTGAAGATGGCTAATCGTTAATACGTAAATCGAAAACTAGGGTGATCGTCGCCCATGTTCTCCAGCTCTTCTCTCGGCAACCCGTGCCGATCGTCTCTCTTCCCCTGGTCTCGCAGCCGATTCTCCCGCACGAGAACGCTCAGAAACACCACGCACGCGAACCCACAGATCCAGACCATTCCCAGGCTCACTCCAAACCCTGTCGGATACCCCGGGGCTTCCGAGTCGTAAAAGATGTTACTAGCCACAAGCCCGCCACAGTTGCCAAATCCGATCTGCATGGCAGACGCGATCGATTGCTTATAATGCCCGGCCATGTTGTTGCTTAACCAGCCCATCAGGATAGGCTGAGCCATATACCCACCTGCCGTGATCGCGTAAACGGCAAAGTAGCGAACGCCCACAGGGACGGTGCTCTGGCAGAGGAGAATCGCATATCCGACCGTCGCGATAAGGCACCCGGCCATCGTAAAGGCGAACCGGTGACGGAGTTTGTCGCTGATCAAGGCTGTCGAGAGTGTGGACACCATTGCGACCATGTAGACGGGGATGCTCATCACCTGTGCGCGGACAGCCGTCCATCCCAGCTGCTTGAGGATGGTGGGCGTGAAAAAGGAGGTGGCATACCCGGTGTTGACGATCCCAAAATACATGATAGGACTATCAGGTCAGTATTGTCGAGGCAATATTCCCAGTGTCCACTTACCCAAGGTATATTTTCACATCGGTAAAAGTCCGCTTCATCGACTTCTTGTCCAGACGGTTCATGCGTGCCTCGCCCTGGTCTTCAGACAACCGACGAAGCAAAAGGGACCGTTCTTCGTGGTTGAGGAAAGTAGCAGTCTCAGGCCAGTCGACAATCAGGAACTTGGAAATGACAGCCATGACCACTGTTGCAAGGCCTTCGATGATGAAAATCCAGCGCCACCCACTGTACCCGGCGATTCCATCCATATTAGCAATAGCATATGCGAGGAGCTGTCTTGGTTAGATCATGAACAGAATTAGATGGCTCAAGACGCACTCCGCTCACTGCACCAGCCAAGATACTAGCACTGAAGAAGACATTGAGTCGCCATTGCAATTCGTGGCGTTGGTAGTACATGTTGATCAGATATACACATCCTCAACCAGGTCAGCATATTCAACATCGATATCTTCATTCAACATACCCGGCATAAATCCCGATTCAAACACACCTAGAATCGCACGACACACAACAAGCCCAGCAAAGTTGGACGTGACACCCTGACAAGTCGTGACGACCCCTATTAAAGTATCAATATCCTGACTAGAGTCATGAACAAGACACCATACTTACCCCATGCAAACATAATCCCACTCAACCACCAAGACGGCTTCACCTTCTTCAGAATAAGATTGCTAGGAACCTCAAAAAGAATATAAGGAATGAAAAAGATAAAAAGGGCAATATTATACTGATGACCCTCCATGCCAAGATCCGCCTCCAAACCCATCAACCGTGCATTTCCAATGTTGATTCGATCGAGAAAGGCAAACATGAAGAGGATCATGAGGATGGGGACGACATGGAGGTCACATTTCCTCAGCAGTCGTCTTTCTGCTGCGTGGTCTGTGTTGACTGCTGAAGTGGTGGATTTGAGGTCTTCGATCATTTCTGGATCGCATTCGTTCTTGTCGATCTCCATGGTCGCGTAACGTAGAGTTCTGTATCAATGTAAAGTGCGTTCTTCAGGTAGTATACCAGCAATGTAACACAACTAAACATCAAAGAATAATCATCTATTTATACCTATTTTATCTTGTATCGTATACTCATTCCTATCACAACTCACCCCGCACAGCACCAACACATGAGACCAACATTCCGAATTTCCTACCCGAGCAAGCTGCGAAATTCCGCGCCCAAGCCGCCAAGCACAATAGGTGCTACAAGGATAATGCCTTTTGCCAACGTGGATTAAGTTCATACCTCAGAGCGAACCGAGAGACAGAGAAGTTTCCTGTCGAAAGCGGAATGAACTTGCATCATAGCTATCACTGACGTCTACATAAAATAAACACATTACGACACAATATGACAAAAAACGAAATTCAAATAAACCCCACTTAGCTACCATCTACAGGTCACCTTTTGCCTTGACCTCTTGGAGTTGGTGAATGTGCATGGATTCTTTCTTCCCCGCAACCCAACCCCGGACTTCCCCACAAAGTGCGGAGGAGATTCCATGGCGACTCCACAATTCGCATTTGATCGACGGCCTGTCCATGCTTTGGCGGACTGTCATGACGCAAGGTATGGTTTTCTGGAAATCTTCGATATTCTCCGGGTGAAAGTGGTTTGTATATGCTGTGCTTGGGTTGTGTTTGTGTGGGTTGGGATCGCTGGTATTTCTGGTATTCAATCTGAGACAGTATTTCCCTTTTTGTCTACAGACGACTGGTTCTTGATTGTTGATAGAAATGTCAACTCACGGAACCGCTTCCGCGTGTCAAAGAAAGTCTAAATGGTACTTCTGTGGTATGGAAACTTTGGGATAAGATTTGACATCTGTCATATCGAGACATATTCAAACATAATTCATACTAACTTGCATTATAGAATAACTAAAATACTACACAATACGATAGTAGATATCACCGCTTAAGATCCGCATTCTCAATCATAACTTCATCTGACTTCTCCGTTGCACTGATATGCGCCTGCTTCTCATTGCTAACCAGCTCTCCACCACCGGTAACATGGTTACTGCCACCAAATAGAGCGTCGATTTCTTCCAGCGAAACCTTCTTGGTCTCTGGAATGAAGAAAATCGTAAAGATAGCAAGGAGGAAGTTGATACCCGCAAACATGTAGAAGGCATAAAACCCGCAGTTATCGAGGAATATGGGGAAGAATTGCTGGAAGATGGTATTGGCGACGTTTTGGGTCTGCGAAGCCATTCCAACCGCTTGCGCGCGGACGTTCATGGAGAAGATTTCGGATGTCCAGATCCAAACGGTGGCGCCCCAAGATGGTTTGTCTATCAAGGGTTAGTATTCGACGTGATTTCTCTGTTGCGACGCAACTTACAGAAGAAAATAAACAAGAATAGCAAAAACACGATAGATATGCCGACAGATTGTGTTTTTGCGCCGCCAGGTGAGGGTGTCTCTGTTTCGACAGCGGCGACGATGATCATACATATTCCCATGCCAATGCCACCAATAATCAATAGGAACTTTCGTCCAAATCGATCAATGATCCACACGGCATTCAGCGTGAATAAAATACCGAAGGTAGCATTAAGGGCGTTGATGAGAGCAATCTGTCCAGCGCTGGTGAACACCTTCTGGTAGATTTTCGTAGAGTATGTGTTAAGGGTGCCCTGACCGGTTATCTGTTGACCAGCGTTGACAATAAACGCCAGAATCATTCGCTTGCGGAGGGATTTATCCTTCCACAGAGCAGAGTAAGTACTTGAGATGGCCTCCTTTTCGTACTCGAGAGCTTCACGGATCATCAGCAACTCCTGTTCGACTTCTTCTTCCGTGTCTCGCACTTTAAATAAAGCAGCACGGGCCTTATCGATATTATTACCCCGTTTGATATACCATCGTGGAGAGTCAGGAATGGTTGGCAGAAGTGCAAGGATCAGAACTGGAACAAGAAGTTGGAACATGACAACCATCTTCCAGTCCCATTCCCCCAAATTCTCCTTGTGTTCTGTACAGCCATAATTGACCCAGAAACAGATAAAGGACCCAACAGAATAGAACATTTGCCAGAAAGTCATGATCTTTCCACGAATCTCGGCTGGCGCTAGCTCACCAATATAGATTGGCCCGGACGCTGCAGCAAATGCTGGTGAGCTCAGTTTCCAAGGATAGAAAAGTAAAGTATCTTACTCAAAGCAACACCCTGCCCAATACCAATGATACATCTGCCAGCAATGAAACATCCAATATTATGCCGTGGTGCGAATGTCTGCATGAACGTCGCCACAACCACCATGACACAACCCGTTCCCATACCGAATTTGCGGCCGAGAAAGTCTGCAATTGGGCCTCCTAGGAAGAATCCTCCAAAAATTGCTCCAACGGTGTAGGCTGTGTTGACTGCTCCGATCATATTTGGGCCGGGGTCATTGAAGTAGGCCACCCAGTTCGCAGACCCTTGGACGGAATTATAAACGGATGCATCGTAGCCGTAGAGTACCATGCATGCTGCTGCTACGCAAGATACATACCTGTGAATATTCCGTTGAGTTATTGACCTGTAATTAGAGAATAGTTATACGTACCAGTTAAACGCTCTTTTTGAGCGGAGAAAATTGATCACCATCGGAAGGCTGATCCAGTTGATATATGTATATGATTGAAGGATACTATTGCTAGACCAGATGCTCAACCCTGGTTTGTTTTGAAAAGTAGTCCTCTGACTAACGGTACGACACTACCAAGGAGACGAGGGACCCGTAGCCCTATAAATATAGAAAGCTACCAAGGAAATGTCAACGGAGAACATGGGGCCATTGACAGCAATTATATTAACACGAGACTCGCCATCCTGGATAACTGCACTAGCCTCTAATAAAGAGTAGAAGCAAATTTTAGAGCCCAATAAGCAAATACCGGGATATTTTTGCCCCCGGAAACACTGGCCACCCCAGATGATAGTGACCGACTCCCCAGATCAGGGTGTCTGAGTGGTGGGGAAGCTGTCTGGGGTAATCTGAGGGAGAAAATTCAATCAAGCACTAGGTCGCTTAGCTGCTCTATTCACCATGGTGTTGTACCTCCGGGGAAGCTCGTGCTGGGGTTCGAGGAAGTTCTCTGCCGTCGACAGGCATCAGATGCATCTTTTCCACGAATCGGCGATGACCACAAACAGGGCGAGGGGGCAGATCAATCCACCAACTGAATCAGTCCAACAAAGGAAAACGTTAGTTTCACTCGCCCTAGACAATACTAAGAGGTAATGAAGCTAGTCAGACTCACATGTGGAGGATTGACATTATCTGGGGAGATGGTTAGGAGAGAAAGCAGGAGGTGAAGTTGGCGAGTCCCAACGGTCCAGCCCCTTCTGTCCAATATAAATCAGAGTAAGCGAGTCACGCGCCGGTCTTGTGGTCTGCCCCAGTCTGCTCGTCTCCTCTTAAAATTGGTCTTCATTGACTCCTTCCACGGCCAATTTGTCTCTCCAAAGGCCCTCAGAATGATGCACTGACACCAGACTTCCTAGAATTACTTCTGAAAACATGACTTGGGCTCACGCTCTACGCCACCATCATTTAAGCCCCCCTGATGACCTGTCGAGATTATCTACGGGGATTCTATTCCACATCGTGCTTACGCGGCCAGTTGTGAAGGCTAGAAGGAACCAACATTGATAGTAACGGGAAACACTGTTGGTGATCCAATCTTTATCACTATTCCATAACCGAATACAGCGCCATTCTCCGGCAATCTCTAATTCAATACCATAATAATTTGATTTTGAGCATACGCCGCCACGGAAACAGCCCCAACCCGGCTTCTAGCACTCTTGAGAGTCATCCTTATAGCTCTCTTTATCAGTCCTTTTCTTCCTATCGGCTTGTCTTCTGATGTTTGCGTTTGAGGCTCGAGGAAGTACTGGAACATTCGTCGAACTCTCCTCATCTCGCTTGGATAGCGATTCTAGATCAAACACATCTTGAACCTTTCTGCGAGAATCTTTCATAAAGAGCCCAAGCTGGTTGAGCTTTCTGCGAAGCATGGATGGTGTCGCCTCCGAATTATCTTCATCGCTCACTGCAGTATTGCGCTCACGTCGCAAGTTATCCATTCCGCTCTTGAAAAGAATCCCAGGGACGCTAGCGGGAATAGAATCCATACTGAACACAGAGGATCCAACTTTAGTCCTCGCCATAGGGCTTCTGGGAATTTGGTCTCCGCGTAAGTTGCGAAAAGGCTGACATCGTTTCTTCACTCGTTTGCAAAGTCCACGCAGAAGATATAGGATAATAGCCACTGAGACGGTAATGACCAACAATGCACAGGACGCATAAAAGACTTCAAGCTCCAAGGCTCTGATCTTTTCGCAGTATTCTCTAGCGAGAAAATCATTCTTTCTTGGATAGCATACCCTGCAGAAGTTATCGTCTTTCTTCCCAGGTCGACTCTTGCCTTTGGGACCGCAAATCCTTTCTATCTTTTTCTCATTGCAAACAGTCTCCACACATTTAGTCAGATGGATATAAGGGCATCTTTTGAGAAGATTCCGGCTCTGTTCTCTTAGGGAATTGACAGAGATGTTTTGATCAAGGGGGAGTTTCAACTGCCTCCGTAGTCTGAGCCTTCCTTCTCTGACAATGTTTGCTGCTTTTTGAACCACTCGGCGCTGGAAAGAGGATAGCAGAGAATCGAACAACCCGCGGTATGTTTGCGACAATGACTCCATTTCCGCCTGATCGGATTGACGATGTGTAATAGGCGTGGGACGACTTTTATGAAAGCCACCCTGCTTGAAATGGTGTTGCTTCTTCAAGTCTGGGGACTGGTCCAGAGCTTTTTGGCCTCTGATTAAGAGCTCTTCCAGCCTGTCCTTGCACTGCCAGTAACCCGTCTCTTTCTCGTCGAAAATTGACAATGTCAGAGTCACATTCCATGTTGTCTCTGGTCTATCATTTGCATGACTTCCGTGTATTATATTTTCTGTCAGGGTATTCTCAGGACCGACAGGCCATTCAAGTGGGCAGTTGAAGGATAGGGTACATTCAGGGCCTTTAAGGTTCTGAATGTCGGAGGCCACAATGTGCTTTAAAGCATCTGGCAGAGAGTTGGTATAGCCGAGCACACTTTCCAAAACATTCGAATGTTCCTGTGTGTTTGGTGAGAATCCATTCTTGTTCTTGTTGGCGACGCTCAATATCGTATAAAGGTAAGCAAGAAGAGGCTGTTGACAATGCATTGGAACAGAATGCGGATATTCCGATACGGTGAGTATATGATAGAACAACAGACCAAGTCTATTTTTTGGTAGAATATTTGAATTGAGAGCCAGAAAAGATCGAGGAAGACGACATCTTGCCATATATGCTTTTGCATTCGTTTGGAAAGGACGATTCAGTCAAAAGTCATCCTATGGCAACTGCGTCCATTGTGGCCCCCAAATATTATTCCAGGTTTTCTCTGGATCCTGTCAATAATAAGCAGTGATTAGAAGTACGGACCCTTGAAATGAAATTCTGAATTCTGACATTCTGTGAGGCTGTTTCGAATAAAATGACAACTTGGAACACGATGCCTAGTAGATAACACTTCACTGACTGCTGACATCTCATCCCAGCCACTTGAGGATTCTCCGAGATACTAAACAATCACATCGCCTGAATGGTATGAAACAAACCTCACGTTGGCCTCATTTGCAAATCTGGTGATATAGTAAACTAATCACGTGTTCTCGTGAAGGGCCGACGCGATGCGGTAGACGAGCTTTTCCTTCAATCCAACGTAACCAATCTCTCACTTTTGATCTTCATCTGAGAATTCAAATCGCGATAGCTGAATATAAAAGCTTAGCGCGACCCGTATTTATATCTCCCTCCTACGAATTTCAACAACTTTCTTTACCACGCCGCCATCAATGCCCCGCACTTACGGGAAACCGAAGCAGACGCGACTTTCCTTTACTCCAGCTGCGCCTCCATTTCAAGATCTCCAACACAGCCCAGGTGATAAATCGGATCGCCGGGCCTTTGTACGATATGCGCATCCATATATGCCTACAGTGCGCCATGAGCGATCGCAAGTAGGTAATCACAAAGGACTAAAGCAAGAATCGCCCGCTCCGCCTGCAGCAGACGCAAAGTCCGACGAGGAATCGCTTCCAAAACCCGGCAAATCCCCCAAGAGAAAGTCTGGTCGCAAGAAAGGTAGTGTTCTATTTGCCTTGTAGTTGATATTATATCGCTAACATTCTTTCTGAAAAGGGCAGTCGACACAGCGATCGAGTTCTAACGAGGCCGTCGCCGTCGATAACGATCGTGATAGCGACCTGGAAATCCTCTCCAGCACAAAGAAAAACATGGGAAAGCGATCGCTGAAACGGAAGAGATCTGCACCTTCAGAAGACATAGAAGAACCTACTTCTCGAAATTCGCCCAAACCCCGCACTTCAGAAGAGGACGATGATGATGATGATGATGATGATGATGATGCGGAGGACATAGTGGCGCGGCCTCGCCGAAAACTACGAAGAAGAGGACAGGCCCCTCAGCCAACAATTGTCCTTGATGATTCTGAAGAGTCGGAGGAAGATCCGGTGGCCTCGTCTTCCGCCAAAAACCGGAGGCGCAACGTTGGCTCCGAGGTACCTCAAACACCGCGCCGAGGCTCGAACCAGGATAAGCTGGACCTAGAAGAGGATCTTGAAGACCTTCAGGATTCAGGTAAGCTTTAGCTATCAAGTTGAGTATGGTCATAATACTGACAGACCTGCTTTAGTCGTGAAGGAAACGCGGACTCGCGGTCGATTTGCCAATTCAGCTAGGGCCCAAAGGCAACAGCATCTTGAAGCTCTACGTCGCCGACGAGCTGGCGAGAAGGCTGCAGATGATACTAAATCCGAGTCCGAGGAGTCCCAGTCTGAGTCTGAGTCCGAGGAAAGCGAGGGCGAAAGCGAAACCAACGTCAGACAACCCCAATTTCATAATCAAACGGAAAACAGCGACGTCGAATCTGCAATCGCGAGCAACGAAGATCTAGATCGTTACGACGAGGACTTCGTATCGGATGATGGCGTCGGGGAACTGGGAGTGCCAACCGGTCTCGAAGATATGCCATTCGAATTCACTCGACATGCATACAAGCAGACCAAAGATTACTTCCAGGACGCAGTCGAGTGGATGGTGCACAACCAACTCAACCCAGCATTCTCTCGTTCTAGTCCTCAATATAAAATGGCATTTATCAAACTGGAAGATGAAGTCAAGGGACGAACAGGCTCTCAGCTAGTCTCTTCAGCATGGAACAGCAAATTTCACAGAGCACTCCTGGCAAGACCACACATCGAAGTCACCGCATTCCCCACATCCCACGAGCACCCTTGCGATGCTTGCAATAGATCGGGCCACCCCGCCTCTTCCGATATCAAGTTATACGGGAAAGCCTATTCTCTCGAGACTCTCGAGCCGCTGGCGGAGGAAGACAGCGTCGATGAGGAATCTGAATCTTCAGTGGAGCGAGATAGAGATGGCAACCCCTTGCCTGACGAAGACATCAGGTTCTACTTGGGAAGGTTTGTTGAACGAATACAATGCCCCTTTGGAAGCCCTCCCAAAACTAACATATAAAACAGGCACTGCAAAAACAAGGCCACGATGGCCCATACTCTGACTCACTGGCGCGTCCACCTCAACGAATGGGTCGTTGACTATCTCGATCGCATGAAGTATCTAGAAGACGAGAGAATTCTTGAACGCAGTCACTGGAGCCAGAAGCGCAAAGCCAAGTATGCTTTTGAAGTTGTAGGCACAATGGTCGAGACCGGCGAGGTCCAGAGGCTTTGGCGCGACTTCCATATCAATTTGAAAGCAGCGCGCGAACAGACGGTATGTCTTGGTTTTCTCGTTCTCTCAAGAGCTACACATGCTAACCTCTATTTGCAGACACGTCGTTGGTAGACTCATGATTTGCATATACCCTTTTTTTTCATCCCATGTCAAGTTTACTTGCCTGAAAATATCCTCGTGGTTGGTCAAGATCTATCGTTCTGTTGTTTTTATTCTAATTCTGCATCTTTTACGACCCATTCGGCTTGCGTTACGTCTTGATACCCTTGCATTCTGTGCTTTTCATACCCCCTTTGCCGCAATTTGAGACTGCGATGTATCTAAAGAGCTGGAAGCAGTAGCAGTCAGAAATGGCTCCAGTCAAATCCTTGCATGAGCTTCTACAACGAGAAATGATAGCTGGTGATACGCAACTAGAGTCATCCACATTCCATTATCTAGAAACGTAAATCGGTAAAGTTGATAGAAATAAACATGAACGAAATGAAAATAAAGGAATATCGGTTATACAAGTACATAAGCTGCCCGAGCTGGAGGATAGGAAAAAGGGGAGAGGAGAAAAGGCAGATAGACATAAGACCAAAGACTTTGAAAGAAACAGGGGAAAAGAAACCCAGCCGCTCAATGTCCACTCTTCGTTGCGCCAACCCGAAAATCCAAACCAGTACCAAAAATGTGCTGTTCATTTATACAAATCGAAAGTCGGTAATAGGAAAAGAGCCGGTCGAAAGCTCCCCAGTTTCGAATTAATTGGGGGTTTTATTCGTTTTGTACATCCCATCCGTAAACCCGACAAGCACTCCGAGATCATGCAAATTTTTATTTTTTTTTGTTTTTTCTTCGTTTTCGTTTTTCTCCCGTTCATAAGTCTTTGCGCAGATCCATAACGAATGAAGATGACATAGCATCTTCTGCTCGTAGAACAGTAGTCTCTGGATCCAGATTGTAAACCACGACAGTTGGTAGGTCATGGCCAGCCTTTTCCGCCTGCTTCAATCTCCGTCTTCTGCGGGTATAGTCATTTACAGAGAGGGCTGGGCCTCCTTGTTCTCCTCGGCACCAGGGGCGATCATCTGAGCGGAAGAATCGAATTAGTATCAGTTTGGGAGGGCATTGGGTGTGGAATGCAAGGTCAATGTAATGGAGTATCGGATATCCATGGCAAAAATGTGTCTTTTATCCATGCTTGGCAAAAATTGTTGATAGAAAAAAAGATTTTCACCGCAGCCTATCACCGAAACGCGATAACATAATCCGACCATAGAGTGGAAAAATGGCATTATGTGCAAGGCTAGGGGAAATTATGGCAACAGTTTTGAAGAACATACCTCGTTGGCTCCTCTGATCATGCCCTGCTCGCGCTCGAGCTGGATGTATTGCTCCTCTTCGGCGTAGGCAAGAGCCCATGGGACACCGAGCAGGAAGGCACTGGTGCTGATGATCCACAATGCCTTACCGCTGAAGGTGATGCTGGACTTTGTGAGGGAAGTAACTGTAGAGACGGTGGTGTTGAAGGTGCGACGGGCGGAGGGAGGGATAATGTCTTGCAAGGCCGAAAGACGATCGGCGAAAGACTCGCTCTCGAGCTCAATGTCGGAGTCGTCAGAGATTTCGGATTCTAGAAACAGGGCATTATGTTAGTTCCGACTACAGCAATGATGATATGTGAGAGTGTTGACAGATCTTCACGCGATCGCTTCAATACGGTCGAAGCTGATGACGCCGCAGGAAGATGCCGGTGAAGGGAAACATCGGCTTCGATGGCCTCGCTGTACGAGCGGGAGAAAGGTCGAAAAAGGATGACATATGAAAGAGACCATGAAATCAATTTACTAACCGGTGTCAGTGTAGTCATCCTCCTCCTCTTCATCATCAGAGGTAAGGAGAACGTTGCTCTTGGTGGCTTGAGGCTTCTCTTGGGCGAAGTGCTCGTCCTCAACTTCAGTGAGTCTGACCATTATGACGGTATTGAATTATAATAAATAAACTAAGAAAAAAGAGAGGGTGAAGGCGACTTGGTCTGGATGATGGGGTATGGAGTGTTTGTGATGGTCTTTTTGGGTGACGGAGAGCGCTGGAGGACGGCGGATTCGAACTTGTCCGTTCCAACTTTTTTCCCGAGCCAAACGAACCCAAAGCGGCAAGGAGCTTCGCCGCCCCGATGACATCGCTTTTCCGATGCTCAACAAACAGTAACAACGTATATTCTACTACAAAGCTGGCAGAAAATAAATAAATACATAAGATAATCAGAGATTGTATTCAATTATTATACATTGCACAGTGTGTGATATTGGCTATCTCCATAAATACATCGAGCAAGCCAATTTTATCATGCGAACCCGAAGCACATAACACTTAGGCCATCCATCCTCTATATAGTACACCAAGACAGGAAGAAAATCGAGTAGTTATCCAAGAGCCTCGTCTAATTGGAACCACTGGCAGCATTTACCTTCTGCCCAGCTTCCATCTGGCTATCCGCTCCTGGATTTCCTCCCACGGGAATGGGCGACGTCTGTATCCTTCCAGCTCGCCTTCTTGCAACACAACAGTAGGCATACCGGTGCCCTGTCCCTTGTTGTTAACCTGGCCACCAAAGACCTGTCGGGCGACTCGGCGCAGATCCTCAACAGTCAAGGCTTCAATGTGCTCGCACATCTCCTTAACTCCAACCTTGCGGCCATGCACCTGGACTTGACGACCGAGATCCTCCAATTCAACCATACGCGACTCCAAATTCATGAGCAGCGACGACCGAAGTTGGTTCTTGGCACGGTTAACTTCCTGGGGCTGCAAAGCCATGTAGCCAGTGTCGAGGGTCAACGACTGCAACTCCCGGCACATGACCTCAAGCATCTCTGTGGTCCGGGTAGGACTGCACGAAGCTGAGATCCCGAAAATTCCACTGTCAGTGTAGCTGTGGTTAAAAGCAATGCAACTCTCAACCCATCCATGCTGGTTCAGCACGTTTGTGTACAAACGGGAATACATTCCCTTGCCGGGACCACCGGCAGAGAAGGAACCACCTCCTCCCAACAGTGTCTGAAGGGTCGCGAGAGCGTAGATATCGTTGTTCGAAATAGGGAGGGCCTCAAAGGCAAGGTGGATGTGACTCAACCGAGGCAGCATTGGGCTGGCTGGTGGAGGAATTGGAGGAAGCGAAAGGAATCCACCAGTGTAATGAGAAGGGCGTGTCAGTTCCAAAGACGGATGGATCAAAGACGGGTCCAGCGGCGACACGGAGCTTTGTTGTGATGTGGAAGGAGAGAGGTTCTTCAAGAAGGGGAGTTTGGAGAGAATGCCTGACTGGGAGCTCGGAGACGAGGCCGAGGTGGATGTGGTCGAGGACGGTGTGAACTGAGGAACAGTCGGCACCTGGCCTTCACGTTTGGCCGACGCGGAGTCTGACAGTGTGGTTTCGATTCCAGCACCAGAAAGAGCAGGTCCATCGCCTGACTTGCTAGACTTCATGTCACCGAAGAGCTGCTCCGTAAGTTTGACAGCCTGGTCGTGAGGCACTCCGGCAAAAGCAACGACTATCCGGTCCGGGTTGAAGAAAGTCTCGCGGTATCTCTGCACAACATCCTTGTTTATCTCATTCAGCCTCTCAGCCGGGCACAGGAGCGGGTTTCCTAATGTGTTCTCCTTGTAAGCCGCCATGTGCACCAATTCCGGCAGGATGAGCTCAGGCTTAGCCCAGATTTCGCCAATCTCATATTCGGCAGTGGCCAGCTGCTGAAGCACTTCCTCATCGGTGATGAGCGGATCACGAATAGTCTCCGCCAGCAAACCGAGAGTCGTCGGCACAGCCGAATTGAAACTGGCAGACTGGTACATCAACGACTCGCGAGAAGATGCACACTGAATGTTTCCTCCTAGACCTTCGAGGATCTCAAGCATTTCATCACTTGAGCGTGCCTTGGTCGACTTGAACGCCAATCGATCCATAATATGGCTCACACCTCGCAAGCTCGCATCCTCGTAGCGAGACCCAGCGTCGACGTAGACTCCAACGCCGGAGAAGGGACCTGGCAAGGATTCTGTGGCGACACGGATTCCATTCGGCAAGGTGGTGATCTGTTCGAGTTCTGCGGGATCCTATTGAGATTGAGAAATTCAGGCGTCAGTAAGGCGTCAATTAGAAATTCGAATGCCATCACCTGGAACGACATTTAAGATTCAATTTACCTTGGCCTCATTATTGACCGTAGCGAAACCTCTGGACGCCGAACGAGGCACGCGAGCCACTGGCTTCGCGGACTCGACGGCTCGCAAAACTGAGCGACGCATTTTGCTGGTCTGTATTCAATGAAATGGGAATGAACCAGACTGTCGGAGCCCACTATTCCTTTGCGTGAAAAGCTGCGGCTTGAGGACTTCGCAGCAGCGGCGAGGGATTTCGGGCCGGAGACTTGGTCCGAGGATAGGTGGCTTATCTAATCGGTTCCTGGGCGAAATGGCGTCACAAAAATCGCAGCAAGGGGATTTTTCAAAGAGCTTTTTCTATTTATCTATTCTAACAATGTATGCTCTGGCAGTTAGCCTATTTAAACATGTATTTTTAGTGGTCTTGTTATCAAAGCGTGGCGACATCAATGGCAAAAGCACTGTTTATTAATGCACGGTCTAGAATCAATTCCTCGACATTATTCATAATATGCATCAGTCATAACTGGGGATTTGCAGGATAGTCTAATACCCGGGATATCAGGGCTGGAACTGGTATTTTTGGGGAAATGCAAGTCTAAAAGTGGTGGGATATCTATTCTAAGGATGCTCTGAAGCCCATGCGCGATACCAGTCCAGACAAGAGGCATTGGCAACGCTCGCTCCAATCTTGATGTTCAATCCGCATAGAATCTGCTTCACGGCATTCTCAACCTTCTTGCCATTGGAAGTGACCGGGATCTCTGGACAGGCATCTACTACGCCTGGAACGTGACGCGGACTGAGCTCCTTGCGGATCGTGGACTGGATGCGCGCCGCAAGATCTGAAGACAGTGTAGGAGCAGCAGAGGAGAGCTTCACAAAAAGCACCACGGTCTCGTCCGTATCAATCCCTTCTCTTCTTCGGCCAATGCAAAGGGAATCCTCGATTTCCTCGGCAAAATGTTTCAGAAGAACATTGTAGATCTCTGCGCTTCCGAATCTAACCCCGGCTGGCTTCAGCACACCATCGCTTCTGCCTAGCATCGTCACACCACCAGTCTGTGGGTTCAAGCGCACAAAGTCTCCATGATGCCAAACCGATGGCCCAAATACGTCAAAGTAACTCTTGCGATATTTTTGTGCTCCAACAGGACCAGGTGGCCAAAACATGACCGGTTGAGCGGTAAATGGCCTTGTGCACACAAGATCACCGGGCTCGTCAGAGGCGCTAATGTCGTTTCCAGCGTAATCAAATACAGAAACAGCCATTCCTAGACAGCGGCACTGAATTTCGCCTTTGTAAACGGGTAGAATTGGACAACTGGCACAGAACAAAGATAGGATATCGGTACCGCCAGTGATAGAGCCTAGCATAATATCAGGATGAATAGAGGAATACACGTATTCAAACGTCGAGGGGGCCAATGGAGAACCGGTACTGAAAATGGCCTTCAGTTTCTGCAAAGATACCGGACGATGGGGGTGCTTTCGAGGATTCAACGATGCCTGCTCCAGCATCGAGAGGTATTTCGCAGATGTTCCAAAGTGTGTAATCTGCAATTCATCAATGAGACGCGGCATAGCCATCTCTCCGTTTCCACCTTCTGAATCAAATGGCCTAAAAGGTGAACCATCGTAAAGGACAATGGTGGCACCGCTAGCCAGACCAGAGACAAGCCAATGCCACATCATCCAAGTAGTGGTGGTGAAATAGAACAGGCGATCTCCTGGTCGAATATCGCAATGAAGAACATGCTCCTTTTTGTGCTGCAACAGTGTCCCCAGGGAACCATGTACGATAGGTTTGGGAGCTCCGGTAGTGCCAGAAGAGTACAAGACATAGACTGGGTGGTCAGGCTCTAAGCTCGCAAATTCTAGAGGAGCCGACGGGACACTGGCCATGGACAAGAAGGAGTCGTATGTGCATGCTTTTCCTTGGAGCGGCTGGACCCCATCAAGGTTGAATTCGTGAGATTTGACAGCCTCGAAAATGACCAGCAACTCCAAATGTGAAAGCTCAGGCACAATTTGGCGGACCTTGGCATGAGACCCGTGAACCTTTCCGTTGTATAAGGAGGCGTTATCGGCGAATAGAATCTTGGGTTCGATCTGCTTGAGACGTTCCAATACTGCATGCACGCCAGTGTCAGGGGATACACCAGTCCAGTAGGCACCTAGTGATGCGGTTGCGAGCATGGCCACGACCGTATTGGCATTATTTCCTAGGAAACCCGCCACGCGATCCCCAGATTGCAGTCCCGCTTCTTTCAAAGAATTGGCACACTGTCGAACTCGTTCCCGTAATTCCTTCCACGAGATATATTCTCGATCCGACTCGGTAGCCGAGATCACCGCAACAGCATCTTCATTGGACGCATTGGCTGGGTAGAGGAGGTTCTCAGCAAAGTTCAATCTGCTCCCCTCGAAGAAACGCGGTTTAGGAAAGAGGAGGTTATCCGCTTCCAACACCTACAAAGGTCAGAATATATTTGCTGGTTCTTGTATGCCTTTTAACGGAATACAGAGTTTACAACGACATCAAAAGATAGGTCTATATTAAGATAGGAAAACTACTCACTCGTTCATATGGTTTGTGAGCCTTCACGGCGGTATAGTGCCAAACCTCCTCCCAAAATTTGGCAGTTTCCGAGATACTCCACTGCCACAGATCGTTGTAGTTGTCAAGAGGGACTCCATACTTTTGACTTGATCGCTTCATAAAATCATATATCTGAGTATCCTGGGGAGAAGAGGGTCGCCATAATGCCTCCACTCCAGTGGTGGGGACAGACTCAGCGGTGAGGGGCATAGTCAATTGAACTGATTAGAGTGCGTACGGGGTGCAAGAGATGGGATGGGGATCAATTCCTTGAATCCGGGGAATTGAGACTGAAACCAACACTCCCCAGTGGTTAATTGAATATTGTCGAGGAAAGCACAACCTCGGAAAGATCATGATGGAAGACTATATATAATGACTGGTTCAGGGCGGAAAAGAACGGATCGTGAGCGAGCGGGTAAGGGAAGAATCCCGCTCAGTCCGCGGAATGCCAATTGATGGGTTAGCTTGTTAAGGCGAGTTAGCGATGCTTAGCAGTGGTTTAGTTTCGATAAGAAAAGCCGATAAGATTCAATCATTCGATATGCTTTCTGGCTGATCCAACAGTTGTTGGGATTCATATTCCATATCGTCATGGAGTCATGTCTCATGGATCACAGCCTGAGGCAGGAAGATTCACCTGACACATGCATCAAATATGTAGCAGCTTGTCGCAGTGTAGCACCTCAAATGTAAGAGGGTCACTACTCTATTTTATTGATGAGAAACAAGGACCATCCTGCCCTCGATGAGAATTGATTTTTACTGGCTGTTCTTCCGGTGATTCTGTCTTCTGTTCGCCTTGCGTCTTTTAAGCCCCTTTCTTTTCCATGTTTTTTCTTGTTTAGTAAAAAAAAAAAAAAGGGTCCAGGGGTTAAAAATTTCCTGCCTGGAATACCGTATTAATACACATATTGTCAGTCACTAGTAGGAGGCTAAACCTGTTCTGGTACAATACATCGTACGGGACTGTATTCCGATCCAAAACCTCCTCCCAACAAGCTGAGTCCATATGATTCTATTATCATTAGCACTCGATCGATCCATCCTCGACGCGTCTCTTCCTCTTCCTTTTCTTCTATCTTCATTAGAATCATTGCAATCCATCTCCAACACTCCAATTCTCTTAGTGAAGGGGGTCGATCGGTGCGATTACCAGCAGGGCTCCGTGCCCTCCTCTCCTTTGGTCCCCACGTGCGAAAAATACCAGCAAAACGCAAAGCAAGCAAATTGCAGGACTGGCTCGGATTCTTCGGATTCTGCCTCGACCGTTCGGTACGTGCTGTCACTGTCACCCTGCGATTTTCTTCTTTCTCTTCTCTCCCTCCTCGTTCTTCTCGCCCCGCCTGGATTCCATATTTTCTATCTGGTTTATCTTTGACAAACCCAGCTGATTGCCTGTGGTATTCCAGATCTAAAGTCGATCCCGACTGTCGTCATTTCCTCGTGTGTTCGAAGAGATAGTGAAGCAGAGTGAGAGGGAAATTTGTGCGAACGATAGGAGAAGGAAAAAGGAAACAATCCAGGATACAGAAAAAAAAGGGGAATCGTATCGTTCTTGCCAACACAACCCTCGGATCCCAGAGTGCGATAGAATCATCAACGTGGTGTTGCATCCTCACCCTTACCCGTTTCGTCCTGGCTGCTTCCTGCGATGCCTCGTCGATCTGCCAACTCTCCTTCCGCCCAAGACACCCCTAACTCGCCGTCCTTTTCATCTGCCTCTGGAAAGGGCGGTATTGCCATTAAGGCGCCCATTACCATAACCAACCGTTTCAGTCAGCTCTTTTCGACCTCCCCCAAGTCCAAGGCCGAGCCCCCTCAGACTGCCCAGGCTGTCCTCCATTCAGTCAGTGGGAATCTCCATTCTAGTCCCGCCGCTCCGCCGATCAGTTCGGCATCACTGTCCTTACCGACTATCTCTCTCTCGACTGCTACCGCAGATAACCCAAACATGGACGAACCGCCAACCACGCTCTTTCAGCCTCCCTCCGCTGAGGAGGCCCGTCGTCTGGCCAAGCAGCATGCGCAGTTTGGTCCTATCGGCCATCATAGCCATCGATATTCCAGTCGTCATCCTGGTGGTGTCTTTCCGGAACCTGTGATGGATGAACCGCCTTATTATTACCTTCTTACTACATACATCAGTTATCTAATCCTAATTGCGTTTGGCCACGTCCGCGACTTTTTTGGAAAGCGTTTCCGCGAGGAAAACTACCGTCACCTGAAGCCCCGCAATGGATACGGCGCCCTCAACAGCGACTTTGACAATTTCTACGTGCGTCGGCTCAAGCTGCGCATCAACGACTGCTTTGAACGTCCCGTTACTGGTGTCCCTGGTCGCTACATCACCTTGATCGACCGCGCGACTGATGACCACAACAAGCACTTCTACCTGACCGGCACCACTACCGATACCCTCAACTTGAGTTCCTACAACTACCTTGGATTCGCCCAGTCTGAAGGGCCATGTGCGGATTATGCTGAGGAGATCATGAGGAAGTATGGTATTAGCACCCCCAGTACCCGTGCGGAGGTTGGAACACAGGACCTCCATGCGGAGGTTGAGGACTTGGTTGCCAAATTTGTTGGTAAAGAAGCTTCTATGGTCTTCTCAATGGGATTTGGTACAAATGCAAACATCTTTCCTGCACTGGTCAGCAAGGGCTGTCTGATTATTTCTGATGAATTGAACCACGCGTCGATCCGCTTTGGTGCGCGTCTCTCGGGGGCATCCATTGGTATGTTCAAACACAATGACATGAGAGACTTGGAGGCCAGACTCCGTGAGGCCATCTGCCAAGGACAACCACGCACCCACCGGCCCTGGAAGAAGATCCTGGTCGTGGTCGAGGGTCTCTACTCAATGGAAGGATCGATGTGCAACCTCCCAGGTCTTATTGCTCTGAAGCGACGCTACAAATTCAACCTCTTCGTCGATGAAGCTCACTCGATTGGCGCCATCGGACCAAAGGGAAGAGGTGTTTGTGATTACTTCAGTATCGACACCAGCGAGGTTGACATTCTCATGGGCACACTCACCAAGTCATTTGGTGCCAACGGTGGATATATTGCCGCTGACAAGGAGATGATCTACAAGCTTCGCGCAACCGATTCCGGTGTTCTCTACGGAGAGTCCCCCGCCCCGGCTGTTCTGGCACAAATCTCGTCTGCGCTTCGCTTGATTAATGGTGAACTTATTCCTGGCCAAGGTGAAGAACGACTACAGCGTCTGGCGTTCAATTCTCGATACCTTCGTCTCGGATTGAAGCGTCTTGGCTTTATAGTGTATGGTCACGACGATTCGCCAATCATACCTGTTCTTCTCTTCAACCCGGCCAAGATGCCGGCCTTCTCCCATGAAATGCTTAAACGGAAGATCTCTGTCGTCGTCGTCGGTTATCCTGCAACGCCCTTGGTTTCGTCTCGCGCTCGTTTCTGTGTCTCTGCCGCTCATACCAAAGATGACCTTGACCGTATTCTGACCGCTTCTGATGAAATCGGGAATGTTCTTCAGCTCAAGTTTTCCACCGGTATTGCAGGTGGTGCTTTGCCTGACAATGGAGACATGACACCTCCCCCTGAGATGGAAAAGGAATGGCGCCGCAAGCGCAACCCAAACATCATCCCCCCACGATGGCAGATTGAAGACGTCATCAGACGAGGTGTGCAGGACGTGAAATCACCGCTGTTCTAGCCTACTCCCATTGCTTAACGAGTTATTATGCCAACCGGCTGCTTTCGGCGTCATCTGGCTTACTTTGTTATGTCGATTCATGTCCATCAAATGTTGCACCAGGTTCTCTCGCGCAAGGGTCTGAAGGAGTTGGTCAAATTCATTTCAACAAACACGGTCGATGCTGGTCATGCCGCGTCACAGGTTGATTGATCTTGCTGTGTATCATTAGACAATCATTTCTGATTGTCCTTTATTTCTCTTTTTCTTTCTCCTCTAACCCCCCTTTTCTATTTTTCTTTTTTCTTTACTCCCTCTTCAGTGCCCTGTGCATTACATACACCCTGAAAGGACCCTGCTTTGGACAAAACGAAAAGAAAATCATGAAATCCTGAGCAATGAACGAATATGTTTTTGTGTGAATTCGTCTGTTTTTTCTTCTTTTCCCCCGAGCGCACGTGGTTGTTCCCATTGTTTTCCCTAGGACTACCTGACTCAGACCTTCTTGCTCTCTTTCGATTCTACTTTTTCCCTTCCCAGTTCTCCTTAACCAGCTATGTTTTGCTGGCCCCTGTCTTCCCTACCAAGTGCTGGGGGGTCACGACGAGGGCAGACTGTTTATTGTTATCAATATCCTTGTTTGGGGATTGTGATTACCATTGTTAATGAGATGGACGAGGTGGGATGGATCCCAGAGTTTGCTAGGATGAAACCGTACTTAATATGTGTTTATAATTAGATGATTGTCAATATATTCTTATCTTGAAGCTTTTACAAAAATCTTCCAAGGCTGATTTAATTGAGAAGCTTTGCTGTTTGCGAAGCTGGAAACTTGTGTAGTAGAAAGCAGTGTAACATCTAAAGCATGAAGCAGGACACCGTATTCCAGAGAAGGGAATTAATTCCATCCTCCACAAAGGATGCATATGCAACAGTATATCAGATCCACAGTATATTGAGAAGGCCAAGAAAGAGAAAACGCTAGATCGAATGGGTGTATGCCTCTCCTTATGCCTCCGATGCGAATGATAATCTATATCTTGTAATCGCCAATTCCAAAAGAAAGACGCCGAACAATGACAGACCAATAGTAAAAGGAATCCCAACAGAAAAGCAAATAGTCATCACATCATCAAGTATTCCATCTACCTCAAACGAGGCAGAAGGGCCAGAGAAAGAAATAGAAACTCTAGACAATTATACAGTGTATCAAAATTAAACTGTACCATATCTTCCACGCTCTTCGTTCAAGAGAGCTTGACCTTCTTCGGTGGCAGCAGCCTTTCGCTCGGGAGAAACAGAGGGGATCCAGCCTCTCATCCAGCCACGAACCCGAGTCCATTGGCCACGTCCCCGAACAGGATCATCGACCCTGACGACAGCTTCTTCCTGGGAACCGTACATGAGGAATTGGACTCCCATGAACGCGTCCATGCCTAGCACGCAGAAGGCACCAAGGAAGAAAGGAATTGTACGGCCGATCCATTCCAGGCGGTCGTTACCATCTGCATCTGCCCATCCGCCGCCTCCGTACGGAGCAAAGTCGTACCAGCAGTTGGGGTTTGTCAGGATGGATGAGGAGTAAAACAAATTTCCACTGAATGCAGCCATGAACAATAAGGGAGATAGCCCTGAAGTGCTCTTGCGGCAGTAGTTCTTATATAACTGAGGCGGGCGCGAAAGGAGATAAAGAATTGTTGACATCCATGAGACAATTCGACCAGCAATTTCGACGGTGCTCTGATGGGATGCCATAGGCTGAGCGTGTGCTTCCGTGGGAGTAGCATTGGCCATCATGGCGCAAAGCATTGAGGCCAGGAGTATCGTCCGGGTGGATGCAATTGGGAGACTGGATCCATTGCCAGTTCGGGTGATCGAGCGACGGGAAGATCCTGCTTTCTCGTTTTGGTATACCGGGGAATGACCGTTCACGTTACTGGGAGGTGTTCCTTTGAAATCACCCACGTCCTTGGCCTCTGACCTCTGTGCTGTCTCCAGGGAAGGGGCGCTGTAGGAGGAGTTATCATCGGACGGGGAAACACCATCCAGCACACTCCCAGTGTCCCCATCGTGGTGAGATTGAGCCAGCTCGCCGTACCCATTCCTGCTTCTCTTGTAGTGTGTGTACCAGAAGAACTGGAAAACAAGGGTAACATCGACACAAACATAATAGCCCGCGACTACCACCTGCCAACTGGCCTGTCGAGTGAATAAAGCCCCCAAGAGGTTTCCAGCGTCACCGAATAACCACACGACCAGGAAAAATATCGATAAGCCAGACGTGGATTTCAACTGGTAATTTTTGTATATCTGTGGCATCTGGGCAAAGAGCCATGATATGATGCTGAATATTCCGAGGAGTGAGGAAATAAGGGCGAGAGGCGTCGGAATGCAGACGTGTAAATGGGAGGAGAGGTAGGCTAGAAATGGCGATGACGGCTCACAATGCTGTGGCAGAACAGTTGAATAGACATGTTGCAAGAGTGGAGGAGGCATTATTATGCAGGTGTCTTCGCTGTCCTTCGAGAACAACCTAATCTGAGTGTGTCGTGAGGGTTTCAGGTGCGTGTCTGGAATAGGAGATTCGGTCGGAGATGGAACAACGAAAAATAAAATGAGAAAGGAGGATAGAAATCTATATTTGAGAAGCCAGAAAGGACCGGAATGAGGTAAGACGAAAGAGAGAAGGAAGCAGTAATCCTGACAGCGATAAGGATATATGCAAAGGGGGGGGAGACGAGAAGAAGAACAGCTGAGGAGTCACGGCGAGAGTCGCAAGTCACACGGACTGGCTGAGTGACTCCGCACACTATCAGCTTATCGCCAGTGTGGGATAGGATGGCAGCGGCGCCCTGTGATAGGCCGGGATAGAGTCTCCATTTCTGGATCCGATCACTCAGGCAAACTATTCAGATCTTGGCTCTGTTTGCGGCCCAATCAGAGGCGTGGAAACTGTTGAATTGCCCCAGATATTGCTGCTTTCGGGCTAGCGGTGTGCTTTAGGGGTCGATCGCCACTGACCGATAATCGGCCTTAGTCACCTGCTGATAAGCCTCACTGTCGCTGATAAGCACTTTTGCTTCCGTCTTGCTCCGTATGAACCGACAGACGCTGGATAACAGCCAACAAAATGATATCTATTCCCATCATCTATCCATGACTTCACGACTAACTTTATAGTGGATATTACATTGCTAACTGTTCCATTGTTGGGACACACGCGATGAACAGCACCAGTTCCCTGCATCCCTTCATGTGCATCCTCCCCAGACGTCTTGGAGTGTTGTATCGACCAACTATACGATCTCGACGTCGAGATCCGTTCCCCGTTGTCCTGATGTATCCCATGATTATAAAAGGCGAATTGGTCTCGACGCGTGAGTGCTGTACTGCTTGGGTTGGAACGCATGCTCTTTTCAATTCGGGGCAATTCTGCTTAACGCAATGCTGGTAGCATACCGGAATGTCTGCTATGCAGCCCGCTTGGCGCGACTATTGTCGGGGTCCGGGCTTGAGCTGTGGTCTTATGGCGCTCTGGTCGACATATTGCTGATACTTGACTGGAGACATCTCGCCTAGGGCCTCGAGTTTATTGATGCTGGTGGAGGGATATCGATCATGGGAAAATCTTCCGACGTCGATGTTTGCGGCTTTCGAGACCCAGAGCTCCAAATAGAGCGGAATAAATAATGAAATGGCTTGAAGCTTGGGGAGGGGAACGGCGATGTCATGTTTGATGTAGGCATTTCGAGTGACTTGCTCGTTACTGAGATACTGTTGGATACTGATATCGCAGGTGCTGACGGGCTTGAAACGACAATGGGACAGCCTGTTCAAGTGAATAGAACTGCCGCTTATAAGCTATCTCGTGGATACACTGCGTATGGACTGGTATGTGGCTACTTTACACAAGCTGACCCCAACAGCTCAGATGCCTCAATTGTCTCATCATCATCGAGGGATCTGTCTCTGTAAGGAGAGAGGATAATTTCACACATCCTATATGGACAATCACCAACACAGCCCAGCTAGCTGAGGCAACTGGTATGATGACATACAAGAATACCTCTACTACAGTAGTGAAATGAGCAGGACGAAGGAAGGGGAGAGACCTTTACAGCCCCTTTATGCCCCTTGTTATGTCCGAACACTGTGCATTAAATTCTCAGGAATGTCTGCACATAATCTAAGCATGCATAATTAATCTGTTTAATTTTAGTCTGTAACATATTTGGAATCTTCTGTCTTCGAATTAAAATGAACGTGTCGATGCATCGGCGGTTTGATTGTTCTTTCGAAGCAAGGGCAACACCATCGCAACATTTTCTATACTCAGTATGATCTTCTGCACAAGGAAGGGGTTTAAGATTGCTAAGCTTGTGTAACTTTATCAAAAATAGGCATAATTGGACAGTCATCAATTGTGATCATCATCATAATCATCAAAAAAGAGTTATCAGAATCCAAGTCGTAAATTAAACCGCAGTCAGACTGTTTGTAGTTAACCTCCAACACGGCCATGGCTACCATCCACTCCCCCACGAACTGTCACTATGATTACTATGTCCAGAATGACTCCCATGATGGCGATGGCTTCGATGGCTCCGATGGCTATGGTGACCAGACCCATGGCTCGACCCATGACTAGAACCATGCCTAGAACCATGCCTAGAACCATGACTAGAACCATGACTAGAACCATGACTAGAACCATGACTAGAACCGTGTCGATGCCCATGATGATCTCCATGGTGATGGCGGTGACGATGGTGATGTCCATGTCCATGCCTATGTCTATGCCCATGACTATGACTATCACTATCATCGTCGCGATCCTTCAACTTCTCGCCAATGAAATTCCCCAAAAGCGCTCCGCCCACTGCACCCAGGAGACCATGCGACCTCTTCCGTCCGAGATAGTACCCCGTAGCGCCCCCGATTAGGGTTCCGCCTAGGTTTCGCTGGCTCTCGTGTGCGTCTGGTTCTCGGTCTTCCTTTTCGTCTAGTGGGCGGGGAGTCTCATCGCGAGGTGGAGGGGAGTATCTGCTTTCGTAGGGCGGGGGTTGGTTACTTGGTAAATGTTAGTTTATGTTATAGTATCAAATGGGTATGATATATAGCATATGATGCGGATATCCATACTAATACTCTGCATTGCTTCCCTGGTAACTGCCATCGGGCTGTAACCCCGCGACGGGCGGACCAAAAAACCCAGACGCTGCCGGCGCATCTTGTTGATAATACCCAGATGCGTAGCTCATATTATTCTGCGGGTTATACGGATAGTGGTGTTGCTGTTCCTGAGGGAAGTATTGGCTTTGCATTTCTGGATGTTGGTACGGATGGTTCTGATACTGGTGGTCGGGATAGTACCCAGCCCCGCCTGGCGCAGAGGGGTAGGGATGATATTCGCTGTAAGGCTTTGACATCCCGTCAAAATAAAAAGAGACGATACAGCAGGATAAGTTGATCTGCGTGGTGGTGAGTGGTCGAATACCGGTGATGGGACTTTGTTTATATAGACGGGATACCCTAATGGTTGGAAATGACTTCAAGCAGCAGCTGACCCTCCCGCACGACACACCCTGAAGTCACAACAACCTTTACGCTGCATACCAAGAACTAAACTATAATCCCTGCAGAGACGTGTAGATCTTGTTTGGTGGTCTCTATATGCTTGGTTTTTTTTTTTTTTTTTTTTTTTTTCATAGACGCTGATCAAATTGACTATAAATTATAAAACGAAATAGCAAAACCAGATTGAAATCACATATATGCCTTGGGGTATCCCACCAGGATTAAAACAGCTGCAGAACAAAATACACAAGGAGAACAGGAGTGGACTCAAACACAGGCACAAAGCAAAACGCACATTCAACGCAGCAAAGTGTCGATGATTGGAAACAGCAGAAAGATCTAGTCTTGGAATGAAGCAGTCTTGGGACGGGTATTGTAGACCACGCTTCGTTTGGCAAACAAATGGAAAAATAAAAAGAACAAAGGCAAAGAAGGTCGAAGGTAGGAGTCGAATAAAGAAATAGAATCAGCCCACGTATAATTATGCGTCCAGCACATCGTGAGCTATTGGCCCTGACTTATCAAGGCCGATTGGCTGTCATTCAAATAATGCATACAGCGGTCAAGCTGTATAGGTAAGGTATCTCTGATATATACCATGTAATCAAACAACTTCAAGCCAGCCAACCTGGGCCCGCTTATATGGTTGCTGAGTTTGGCTTTCGCCGGTGAACCCATTGGGATAACATCCCATCAAGTTGACTGGTCATCTCCTTCAATCTCTTACTCTCTTCCTTGAAAAGGCTACCTGTAATTGGATGCTCGGGACCAGCAGGAGGAACATTAGACTTGTCATGGACGATAATGAACAGATCTCGAATATCATTGTCATCATCCAGGTACGACCGCAAGCTAGCATCACTCCATGTTGGGGTGTTGGCGGAGATGTTGTCCAAAGATTCACGGTTTGCCTCGGTGACTTTGATTTCATTCACATCGCCAAATGGAGACATTGGTGGGGAAGCTGGAGATTCAGAGCGTCCACCTGGAGATGAGAGATCCATGGCCAGTCCAGGTGCTCCGGAGTTATGAGTTTCGAGAGGTGAGACATCGATGGGTGATTCCAGACTTCGGCCTTGGTGTTCCATTCTCGGCTTTGGCTGGAATCTCTGGGGCGGAGATGTCACAGAGTGTTGGGTGGGAGTCACTCGATCAAACGGACCTGGTCGCTGTCCACCGTTATTGGATCCGGTTGGCGACGCCAATGCGTTGATAAAGGCAGAAGATGACTCCTTGACAGGGCTAGTAGGGCTAGTCGGACTGGTCGGACCAGTAGGGGACGAGATCGTCTCCCGCACATCATCCGATAACCTTGTGCTAACCTGGTGAAGTTCATCCGCTTCTTCTGGCACCACTTGTCGAATGGATCGATCTGCCCTCCCTTTGGATGTTGGTGCTGCTTCGTCATTACCCATATCACGCTTGGTAGGGGACATGGCTCCTGGAGGCTGTTTCTGCAATTTGCCGCTTTGCTTTTGGGGTCCTGGAATTTTAGTTGACCGAGATTCTGGCGATGATACTGATTCTGACGAGGTTTTGGGTTGTGGCGAAGACCGAGAGTTCTCTCCTGAGACCTTTTCTGGTTCCTCGACCTCCTCCTCGGCTGTTTTGCTCTTCTTGTCTTTCCTCTTGAACAGTCCACTAAGCATCCCCGGTTTCTTATCCTTCCGCTTCTTGTCCTCTTTGAGTTTGTCGTTGGCACTGAGGGCCTTGTCGATAGCCTCAAAACTAATGCGCTCCTTTTCCTGGGGACATCAGCATCCATTTTCTCAAGTAAACACGGATGATTCATACCTCTTTGGCTTCGGCGTTTGAACTTTCATCGCGAAGGAGATTAGGAGTCAGAGATATCTTCTTCGTCTCAACGGAGTCATCCTTGAAGAAAGAGTCCGTATTTCGCACAGTACCATTTCTGGACCTGCTGGGTGTATTTTCTGTGGAGTAATAAGTATACACTTCGTTTCGTACAGATAGAGATGGGGCCATTACCTTCCAACTCGTTCAGCTCCTCACTAGAGCGTTGTTTCTCAGGGCTTGCTCGATCGGATTCCCCTGCCTCGTGCTGATCTTCCGGTTCCTCGGCACCCTTCTCCCGTTGCGGTTTTGGTCTCAGAGGCTCAACCACAATGTCTTCATTCTGGCCGTCTTGTAAATCGACATCATCTCTTTCAATTGTCTCTTCATCATCATCGAAAAAGTCGCCATCTTCCAATTCTTCATCGGTAGAATACTCAACATCCGACGCTTCGATATAAGTCGGGGCCGTGAAAGCGACTGTTTTTGCGTTTCTCCGGCGCATTGCTTTCTTGAGCGGGTTCTTGGACTTTTCGGAATTGTCACCGAGCATCGTCGCAGAAAGCTAAACGTCTTAGATGCCACCTTGGAAGAAGATAGGGTTACCTACATCAACATTTCTATGCTTGTTCAGTCTGGCCAGTCTTTCGGTGGGGGTCTCGATGTGCTCGGCGGGCAAATATCCTGTTTTGTGTTAGAAATTCCTAGAAATTTTGGAACAAAACTTACCAATACTACCATCCTTCACAATTCGCACAAGCCACCAGTAACTATTGCTGTCGTCCAGCAGGACCATGGTATCTCCTTTCGCTGCGTTGGCCTGTCCTTCGACAGTTGCAACGAAATTGTGAAGGGCATAAACGAACTCAAAGTCGATGTCTTCTGTTCACCGTCAGCGATTGTGGTTTGATGATTAACACCGCCCATATACGGGAATGAGCGCGCTGGGTACGACATCGCAGCGGAAGGAATCTGTGGCCAAAAGTCCAGAGAACAGGACGCCAGGGGTATTACACACCATCATCAATCGACGGGGAGCTTGAGATCTTATCCATCATATCATCGTCCATGAGATCATCGCCCTCCACGTCAGCAAGATCGCCATCTTCTGACGAACCCCCCGTGTCACTTCGGTGATTTCCATCTATATCCTCCGTATCATGATATATATCGATCCTATCGCCGTACTCTTCATCTTCGTCAAAGTCGGGTCCGTGCGATATCTCAGCGCTCGAATCTCGGACCGCATGGCGAATAGATTGCTCTTGGTGGGGGGCGAGGCCTCCTTCTACAGGGGCTGGGTTTATATTTTGATTCGTATGATCTTTAGCCGAGGGGGCATGCTGATCTTGGAGGTCAATAGTGTCTGTTCTTGCGCGTTAATACCTGGGCGAAACTGTTTTGAACCACCTGCATCCACAAGGTCCACATACCAGCTCGAACGATTTGAGGTCTTGTCATATTTGTAACTCGTTAGGATGATCGTGATATGGGCGAATTTGAAAGCAGTGCGTAGTTCGGGGATAAAGAGCGACTCATAGGCACGTGGAGGTCAAACGACAAGGGCGAGACAATAACACAAGGGAGTTTGGCGTTTGACTCGGAAGGCGTAACGGTGGAGAGGGACAAGATAAAAAGGAACGAACTGTCAATTTAGAAATTCAAGGAGAGGCCGTGGACCTTTTACGGGTTGTCGCGAAAGAATGGAAATGCCACGAGCAACAATGGCGGGGAGGACCTCGTTCAAGTTAATTGTACCTGTGTCGGAGGACAATTTCGGGCACGAGATAAAAGGACTACTTCCAGAGCAATATTTGAAACAAAAACAGAAATAGAATTGAAACAGCAATAATAAAAAGCAACAAAAGGCCAAGGCTTGTCAAAGCAAAGGATGGTGCCTGCAACCGTGTTAAATAACCTGAAGGACCCGATGAGTTCCCCAGACTTCGAGACAGCCAAAAGGAGGTCTCCAGTGTCTCCAAAACAAGCGCCCCTTGCGCGCGGCTATCCGAAGGCCCCTGAAAGGCTAACGCCAAGGATCTTGGACAAGATAAGATTAGCGTGTTTACCCAAATCCCTCTAGGGTTTAGGGCCCAGGGCCAGGGTCGAAGGATCAGGTGATCAACGGTCGCCCCACTGCAGAGCTTATGTGGTGCCACTCATCTAACTGGATTTAGTAATCCGATCGACACTGCTTCCCCGCTGCTCGCTTCCCGTGTCATGTGTTCCGAGATCTCCCGATGCGTCAAGGTTCGTTTTCGTCCCTTCTCTGGGACTGACGTTTTTCCCTCTTCCTAGTCTCCAGAGTTCTTTTCTTCCAGATTTTTTCTCTGGATTCGTTTCCCTTTCGAGTTTAGAAGAACCAAAACCAACTTGCACTCTATTTTAACATAATCTTTGACCTCTGGTGACTGCCTTCCAGTCACCACCCAACCTACCCACCTACATACAACCCACTTTACCAGCATCGTTGGCGTCCACCATTTACGTACTTGCATCTGATCACGACAAAATTATTCAGCACTAGAGGCAGAAGAGCGATAAACTTGAATGTGGGCCTTGAATCGTCTTGCATTTGCTTCGGGGCCTAGACTGTGCCCTCTCTGAAGAGCATGGCTCACATCGAGAGGAACGGATTGGCTGGCCTGAGGATTGAGACATCGTTCGAAAAAACACAAAGAGACCGCTGGCGAGATGAAAATGGAGGCAGGAGGGCGATGGATGGTGGAGATGCTATCGAGGGCGACCGTACCAACATCTTTCACGATTATGACGCACGCCGTTGCGGTACTGATGAAGACCACAGTGTTATGAATGATCTACACTCAGCGACCCCTCCCATCTCCGTACCCCGTCATAGTGATCCTCCGAGGCAAGAAGATGTCAGTTATCCACATAAACCAGAAGACGTTCAGGCGTCTCCCCTTGACAGCTTTGTTCAAAACCGTCGACCCTCGATCAGCTTCGACCCTAACGTCACGCTTGACTCTGGTCGACAACGTGCATTGGAGGAACCACTGTCGAGGGGTGATCCGAAGAATCGTCCACAAAGGTTTCAAACAAGAAGCTCTGGGCTGAGAAATGCTTTGTCTCAGGAAGATGATGGTCACAGTACCAGACAGACGAGCTGGGGCTCTAGCCCTAAACGGATCCAGAGCCTGCGAGGGTTTCCAACTGGCAATTCCCGTACGGGGTTCCTATCCAGCCCTCCTGAGGATGACATGAATATGAACCCTGAAATCGACCACCCTACCTCATTGACATCTGTATCGACTGCATCTCCTGTCGTTGATGAACCTCGAACACCCCCGGAAAGCTGCTCGAGAGAGACGCTCTCGCCCTTTTGCATGACATCTCCTCTGCAAAATTTCGCTTCACTGGACGATCGCAGCTCTTGGTCTAGTAGCGTTATTACACCTTTTGGAAGCAAACCTCGCGGCTTAGACCGATCAACTAGCCTTCGAACCTCCACGCGGCCAGGCTCTCGCCGATCTACTGTTTCAAGCGGCAAGTCTCCGGCTAGCATGTTTTTGTCAATGTGGAGTGCACGTGAGGAATCTGTACCGCAACCTGATGAAGAGGGACAGATGGTAGGGACCGAATATGTCCTCGGAAAGCAAATAGGCTTTGGGGGCTTCAGTACAGTGAAGGAAGCGTATAAGGTCGAGGAACATGGTGAACCGAAACGACTGGCCGTCAAGATCGTTAGGAAACAAGTGTCTGGGAAGAATGAGAAGGAAAACGATGAAGTTCAGGCGGAATTTGACCACGAAGTTCGAGTTTGGCGGTATCTAAGCCACCCGAATGTCCTAACACTGGATGCTGTCTACGAAACGGACTATGCTACTTTCTGCTTCACCAAATTAGCAATTGGTGGCACTCTTTTCGATCTCGTTCGCCAAAATCGCCGTGGTATCGACATCGGGGACGCAAAGAAATACACCTACCAGTTAGCGTGTGCCTTGCGGTATCTACACGAAGATGCGCAAGTGGTCCACAGAGATATCAAACTCGAGAATTGCCTCTTGGATCCCGTCCAATCCCCGGATGGCATGAAGTCATCCAATCTTGTACTCTGCGATTTTGGAATGGCAGAATGGGTGGGCGCTGATAATGGTGCCGACTCCCCCGATCCGTATGACGATGCTGCAGACCGTCCCCCTCTCAAAACCATCGGACCCGCCGACTCGAGTACCAGTGTTGCAGGAAGCTTGGAATATGCTTCCCCCGAGTTACTTCAAGCCACCGCTGATTGCGTCATCAGTCCTGCTGTTGATATATGGGCATTCGGTGTAATTCTGTTTTCTGTGGTTGTTGGGTCTCGGCCGTTCCAAGATTCTTTCACTCCACGGGTCCATTCTAACATCCTCTCTGGGAACTGGAACCAGAATGCTGTCTTAGGCGAAACACAAGACCAGCAGCTTCGACAAGATCGAGGGGACGCGCTTGAGGTAATCAAAGGCTGCCTTGAGATGGATGTTGACAACCGGTGGACCATTCGCGACATTTTATCATCGCGTTGGTTGCAAGGCTTCTCGGAGTGTATGGAAGAAAATGCAGCTGATAATGCTTGGAAGCTTTGAAAAGGCGGAAGCCAACCTTATACAATCGTGGGGGGATTAATTTTTCACGATCCTCTAGTCCCCTCATTTCTTACCCTTCAACGGGATTGTTTACAATAATATGGGGGGCTAAGATGAACATTATGATTTCGCATTTGACGATTATGATGATGGTGATGATGCTCTAGCGTGCTTATGATATGTCAATCGCTGGTGTTGCTTATGTATCATCTATGATACCCTCGTTTTTGTTTTTGTGTTTCTTGTCTTATGATTCATGGCGTTTTCTAGCAAGTTTTCGGGTTTTTCTTCTTGTCTTTTTTTTTTTTTTTTTTTTTTTTGGTGGTTTATACATTTAGCACTCGGGGGACAAACGGAATAGGCGGGATATATCAGTCTGGTATGGTACCCTGGGATGATAACATAACGGAATATTCGGCGAGGCAGACATGGCGTTCAACCGGTGCTAGCTTTCATGTTTGTCTTCTCGATTCTTTATATCTATGTACCTATATATCTGGATGGTGACTATGCTCATATTGCAAATTTTTTGCACTTTGTTCTTTCTCTATTTGTTATGGGGTTATGATTTATCTTAATACTTCATGTATCTTAATTAACGATGGACAACAAATTGATACATCCTGTTTATCTTCGCCAGAATTGTACAAAATTTCCTTTCCCAGGAATATACGGAGCAAAATAGCCTCTTCGGACTTCATATAATCAAACAGGATATGTGTCATAACCGAAACAGTCTATTTTCAGATTCATCCAATTGAGGCCTATTCCACGAATATAAGGCGTAATATTTATACATGTACTTAACAAAACAAGACGAGAAAAAGGGGGGGAAAGGAGGCTATGAGGGAATACAAAAGATACAAAGAGGCATCTCACTACCAAAGTCTGTTCTCGGGGAGGACCTTCTCCTTCTTGACGCCCGCAGCCGACTTCCTCTCTACCGGAGAGCGGAAGAACAAACTGGGTCCCTCCATAGGCTTGAGCAGGTGGCTCAAGTAGCCCCTGTGAGCAGGGTCACGGTAGTATTCGATATCGCGACGCTTGCTGGGGTCGGGAAGACGGTAGCGGAAGCCCATCTCCTTCATGACCTTGGACTCGGTGAGGTCCTGGACACCATCGACCTCATTGAGAGCCTCGCTGCCGCTCTTATCAGTCCACGCCATGGAGACAAACGGGTGCATTTCTCTCTTCATGATGCGCTCAATCGCGGTGCGGGTGTAGAATCGGGTAGTCACGGAGCCACCGGCGGCTTCGACGGCGGCGATGGCGGAGGCGGAGGCGCGCGAAACGACGAGATGGATGGGCTGCTTCAGGACGTTCTCTGCGCCGCGGCCGAGAACCTTGACGCCCTCCTTGGTCTGGTGGATGCAGCGCGACTGGCCCAGTTCGCGGATGGTGATGGGACGGGCAGGGTCGATGCGGCCTTGGTCGATCCATTCCTGGATGCGGTCCAGATTCACGGGGGCGAAGTCAACAGAGTGGCTGAAGTACAATTAGCTTCTTCTTGTTCTTCCTTATCCAATCAATTGGATCCCAATTGACACCAATGCCAGAAGATACAAACATACACGTTCTTTTCACCATACGTGCCATGCACGATAATATCAGGGGTCTGACCACCATTAAACCTCGCCGGCACCTTTCCATGCTGCTTCTGACCCTTATGACCACGACCGGAAGTCTTACCCTTCCCGGACGCGGGACCACGACCTCTTCTGATCCTCTTATGGTATGCTCCGGGGTTATCGGAGAGCGAGGCTAGGATGTGAGCATTGCGGCTTTGCTGCTGGAGCTGGGGCAGCAAGAACGAAAGAGGCGAAGGGGCCTGAGCCGGTTTCGAGAGAAGCGACTGCCACTGAAGGGTCAGTCCTGGGAGCCTGGGAGGCATGGTGGGCGTTTTGTGCTGGACGGAGGTGGTGTTGGTGTAGTCGGAGTTCCGGGCAATAGTAATACGGACAAAGATCCTTTCGTTTGATGCGGACGGATCGGAGGAATATCGGGCCGGGAGGAAGTCACGTTGTCTGTTGCTTTCTACTGGCGTTGTCGAGATTCGAAATATCAGATAATTCAAAAATGATTCAAAAGACATTAAGCTATATGTGTTATACTTTATTCTTTTTCTATATATCATATTGATATATGAGTGTACAGGTATGTTTGTTCTCAATGCTAGCCAACATGCGTACGGATTATATCGTGGAAACCAACAACATAATTAGAAAACCAATTGATCCCTATGCATAAAGATATGATAATCAGAGTAAATATGTCTTAAACCAGACAGTCGCCCAGGAATTTTTTTCTGTTATATCAATAACTAAAAGCATATATGCACTTTCCTTCGACAGGCACTCCAACTTAGGGCAATAAGACAGCACAGGCTCACCGCTTCATATATACTGACAAAACAGCCAAAGGCGGTGGATATCCCTCTATGGTGTTTCTATTCCAAATACCAGACTTCTACTGCTACAAAAAAGCTTGCGTTGAATGGAATAATTGTTGTTAAGTAATATTGACAGGTAGAACTTCCTCGGGGAAATTCTCATGCGATTGTATCATTCTCACGAGACCATTTTGGTCCAATCCAGTGTCCACCCGGATCGAAGGTAACTAACGCCTAATAATCATGCAAATGCATACATAGATGGACAGAAGTAGGAGAAAAAAAATACATGAATGGTGCGCCAAACCCATGCTAAATGTGAGGCAAGTACAAGAGTAAGAAAATGGAAGACACAATATTTCCCACCCATAGTTCAGACCGAGAGCCAAAGAAAAAAGAATACAAGATAAGAACAACCATCTATGGTAGTAGAACGCCATGGTAATGCCGAGTCGTAATCGAATTTAATGCTGTACAAGAGGTGATGAAAATAAAAGTAAAGGCATCCTTGTCGTCTAAACGGTCGTGAAAGTGTAATTCGTAAAATAGCAACGAGACGTTTCTGCTTTCAACCCGAATAGTTCTGAGTAGACTGGTAGAAGGGCTGGACAAATGGTCCTTGTTGCCAAGAGTCCTGGTGGAGATATGGCAGCAGGCCAGTCTTGCGCTCTGCAGCAGTCTTGCCCAATGGCTGATAGTGCATGTGGTCAAAGGGAACACTTCGCTGCTGCTGGAGAGAAGTCGACGGAGGAGGGATGAGCAGAGTGTTGACGGTTCGGACAGGCCGGTATGGCGAGTTCCGGTTCGCCAGGAAGAAAGACGGCGAAAGGTGCGTCTGAGGTGTGTGAACGGAGTATGCGGATGCAGCCGGCGAGACGGTTGCCGAAGATACTCCGTAAGGGCTGTGGTGTCTCACGGGATCAGGCAGAGACATTGAGTTGTTGTAGAGACCGGCCGAGAGGGGTGGGACCGGAGCGGAAGGTGGCAACTGTTGAGCCCAGTTCGTGGAAGGGTTGTAGGCAGACGACATAGCACGTCCAGCAGAAGGGAGATGAGGGACAGGAGTTGGGATGGTCGGGGCCAGGGTGTTGGTAGAGGTAGGGAAGTTGGGGCGAGGAAGGCGTGAAAGAGAGCCTGGCATCGAAGCGTGAGAGGGAGCAGAGGTGGGAGTCAAGACTGGAGGCAAAGCTGGGATGCTGGGAAGACCAGAAGACGGCGGAAGCGTCGAGGCCGGAGTGGGAATACCATTTGGCAATGCAATCCTCTTGGCCGGGTGCTCCTCAGTTTGTTCATCGCGACTTCTCTTCCGTGAAGCAACTGGGGGTATTTCATTGCCAAGCTGTGGGGGAGCTGTGTAAGTCGAGCCATTGAAAGGCAAATTCCACGGTTGAGGACGGAGAGACTCGGAAGCCGGAGGTGAAGGTAGTTTGGAAAGAGACGACGACTGCATCCGAGGAGCAGGTCCTAGACTCGGCGAGATGCGAAGCACCGGAGTTGTCGGACTCAGATCCTTCTCCTCTGGAACCTGGGACGCCCGGGTGAAGAAGTCGGCGAAAAGTCCCAACTTGACATGCCATTCGGCCCAGTTCTCCTTGGACGCGAAGAGGTTGTATCGAATATTGCTGAGAAATTCCACCTCCATAATGTGTATTTCCTGCACCGAGATCCCCGAGACTTCGGCCCATGTCTTGTTGGTGTATGTGTTATCGTCGAGAAATTTGTTTCCGAGCATCAGAGCAATCGTCATCAATCGGAACTCGCTGCCTTTCTTCCCTCTCACTCCCGGATTAAACTTCTTCAATCTGTAGACGAACATGAGAGCCAACAAAATCACATTCTGGCTCACTTGGGTCGTGGCGAGAATGGAGGAAACCCATTTCTGGAAACCGGGTGCGGGCATCGCTTCGGGGACGAGGTGAGATGTAGGATTCAAGCGTTCTTCAATCGCCTTTAACTTGGCGGTACTTTCGAACCAAAACAGACATGTCATCTAATAAACGAATCAGTATTCCGCCATTCCCCGAGAAACTTGACTGGTGAAATCCTTACCTGCGCAGCAAATTCCGCCAAGTTACCCTTGCTGTTATTGATAGACGTAGGAATCTGCAGTCGAGAGCCCACCGAGCTGGAAGGCTTTTTCTGGCTGGGCTCCGAAGCGGGAGCTTCCTTCACAGGAGCATGGCTCTGGGATTTGGAAGACGGAATTATGGCGGACGAGTGGTCGAAAGTCGGGCGAGAGTTGCTGGGAGCCTTGGAGTAGGGATGAAGAGACATCCCGTCCAGCTTCCCTCCATAGTTGGAATATGGAATTGCGTTGTAGGCCACGCCCGTCATGTCGCTCGGTGGAGTAGGAAGACCGTCCCTGAAGGGAGCAGTCCAATGGTGATCAGAGGTGTGCGGGATAGTCGGGGGCAATTGCTTCTTGGAGCACGCAGTCGAGCCGTCCTCTTGCGAGTAGAGGTGGAAGGCGGGGGTTATCGGACCCAGAGCGGAAGAATAGGGATGCGAAGCCAGAATCGGAGGAGGCATATGGCAGGAGAGATGGGGAGGAGGTTTGAGGCGGATAGAAAAGAAAAGTAAGAGCTTCTTGTAGACACAATTGTCATGGGGGGATTCACATAAGAATCGCCGGAGACTATATTGTGCTATTTCCAAGCTGCAGGCAGCCCACTTTGAGAGTCAATGGGAGGGTGCGGGGAAGAGGGATTGATTTTGATTGATTGAAAAAGAAAAGAAGAAGTAATAGATAGACAAAGGGTGGATTCTATTCGAGTCTGTGAATATAAAGGAAGAGCGGGACTTGGTAGGATAGCAACAGCAGCTCTGGTGAATGTTTGACCATGCCTTGCCTGGTGGAATGAAGGCACTAAAGGGGGGTTGTCAAAGTAGGTTGAAGGAGCCAAGCCAAGGGCAGGCAGGAATCACATAGTCTTATTTGCAGGTAGCAGTAAGAGCAATAGTAGAAACAATGGAGAGGTGAAGCTGGTATGATTGGCAACGACTATTCAAGAAGCTGCAAATGCATATCCAGAAGAGAGAAAAGAAAAGAAAAGAAGAAAAAAAGCAAAGAGGAATAATGTATAATAATAGTCAAGGAGAGTCAAGAGGAAAATAATAACGACCAGGGAGAGAAGATTATCATATAGATCAAAGCCATCTGTAGTAGTAAGTAGTGGTAGTAGTAGAGGAAAATTAAAATAAAATACTAAAATAAAATAATAATTTTTTAAAAA